CGTATCCCCCTGCCTCCTCCAATGCGCCCTCCTCACGGCCTCCAAGCCCTCCAAATTCCCCCAAACCCTCAAAATAGTCGGAAACCCCCCCATCTCAACCCCCACCCTCTCGGCCCCCCAAACCGCCGGCACGAGACACACATCCGCCAACGTAATGCAATCACCCACACTATACGTCCCCGCACACTGCCTCACAATCTCCTCATACGCGCGAAACCCCTCCTCCACTAGTTCCTTTGACCAGGTTGTTCGATCCATGCCTAGCTTCGCGACCCGCTTTAGGATTCGCAGGTTCGTGACGGGTTGCACGTCGCAGGCTATGATGTTCACGAGGGTGCGGACTAGGGCTCGGGTTTCGGGGGAGGATGGGGGTGGGAGGAGAGGGTGGGAGGAGGGGTAGGCTTCTTCGAGGTATTCGAGGGCGGCGAGGGATTGGGGGATTATAATTGGTGGTGGTTGTTGTTGTTGTTGTTGGTGGGACGGGTCCGATGGGTTGGGGGATGAGGATTGGATGATGAGGACAGGGACGCTGGCGGAGGGGTTTAGGGATTTGTTGAGCGGGTCGTGTTGTTCGTCTTTGAGGAGGTTGATGGGGATGGAGGTGTAGGGGAGGGATTTTAGATTTAGGGCGATGCGGAGACGCGCGGAGCAGGAGGAGCGGAAGTAGGTGTGGAGGGTTAGGAGGTCGGTCATTTTGAGTGCTTGTATAAATTGTAGAGGTTGGAGGTTGGGATGTATATGTGATGGAGATGGTGGGATTGGTTTGATAGAGTTGGTATGTGGTTGAACAAGGTATGTTATATGGCTACGGTTACGGTACTAAGTATCTGGCTGAGCGGAGTGCGGACGCGGAGGGCTGGCCCGCTGCGGAGTGTACGGTACCTGCGTGCGCGTGATGCTTTACGGTACGACTGAGAGTAATAAGGTGGTGGTTATGGTCATGGTTGTGGTTCTGTATAGATGCGGAAGAATTCCGTTGCCGTAGCATCCGAGCAAGAGCCTGCGTGGGTTGCCGCATCTTCCCGAGGTCACCAGCCACATGATCAGCTAGACAAGGATATTCATGGCATAATGTGAATCTAATTCTCCGCTTAATACCAGTCCTATTTCTGGGGGACCGCCCGGTTCCCGAGTGATCGACTGGTTCCATGGATTGACGTCAGGCAACCTGTCTGAAGCGGCTGGTGTGTTCGAAAGCCGCTCTAGACAGGTTTCAAACTTGGTCCGCGAGAGCCAAATCTGCATGGCGCTCCCCCTGCAGCAGCGACGCATTCGATTTATGTCTGATTACCAGGATGATGCCGGCTTGTGCAAGCGATGACATAATGTGCAGCTAGTATTCTGTCGCTGGCGACCTTGGGATAGCTCTCGATGACACCATGGGCATAAACCTGCCGCTTCTGACACCATTTCATTCTTGATAATGCGATTGGAAATGTGGCTACTGGAGCCATCCAATAGTCGGATTCACCGAGGTCAGGCGTCCGATTTCTTTGTCCGCCTGGTCAAGGGGTCCGGGTATTTCGATTCCCGCCACGGCAACCAGCGGGTATTTTGAGCTCCCCACACCCCTTTTCTGCCGCCTGCAATATGCGCTCCGAATGGACCTTCGATACCCGCCTGGATCTAGTTTTTCTAGCCAACCGCCAGATATCCGGTCTTCCTATTACGATCCATCTTATCACGACAATGTAATTGGTTGGGCCACTTCTCTCACAATAATGGAAGTTAGGGGCCCGTCCCGCAGCGGGGATGTCTCGAACCGCGCATACCAGCGGACCTACAAGGCCTGTCTCTCCTGTCGTCAACGAAAGGCCAAATGTGATCTAGGTACCGACTCCGACGGCCTTCCGGTGGGGCCTCCATGTGCAAAGTGTCGGAGAGAGCAGAGGGAGTGCGTGTTCAGCGAGAAGAGGGCCTGGGAGAGGAGTAGCAAGCGAGGTGAGCGGCGTATGTCCTCTGTGGCTACCAAATAGGATGACTGACAACTGGAAGGTCCGTCGGAAGATATTGTGCCCCCTTCAGCAGTACGCCAAAGGCTGTCGGACACTAGACACAGCAGGGAGGTCCCAGACGATGTACTCCAAGTGGTGGACGATGGTCCAGTTCACGACGATGACAGGCACGATGACTTTGCCAGGCCGCAGCCATACATCCCTGAAGAACGTCCTGGTCGCCGTCACTCCACGTCGAAATTGGCCAACTCCATGATGCGCACCGTGGTCTCCTCCGGGAATGATGCGCTGAACATCCTCTTCGAGGCGGCCGCGGTTCATAGCCAAGAGAATAGTTCAAATGAGCCTGGAACGCAGACGCAAAATACGCAAACCTCTACCGCACATGCTAGTGACGTGGAGAACTCTGAGAACCAGATGCAGTTCATGTTTGCTGCCGAGGCTTTGGCCAAGGCGAAGCGTCCAGTGAAGCTCTCCCTCGTCTCGAAGGAGGTACTCGATGTTTGGGAGTCTTGTCGCTTCGTCAAAATGGGATGGTTTACTTCAAGAGAAGCCGTCACTTTTATTGATCTGTTCGTGTGATCTTGAACTGCTGTCGGATGTGACTAACAGGTCCAGGTTTTTCAAGAATATGACACCGCTATCTCCCATCTTGACCAACTTCTATGCGGATCATAGCAATCACCGCTGGCTCGTGACACGTGAACCTGTCCTTTGCTGTACGATATTAATGCTGTCATCGCGGTACCATGTCCTGCCAGGGGCCGGCGGCGATTCCAGAAACTTCTTCATTCACCATCGACTCTGGCAGCATTGCCAGCAGCTGGTGGTGCGGCTGATATTCGGGCAGGAGAAGTCATCGCATACTCGGATAAGGAGTATCGGCACTATTGAGGCCCTTTTGCTAATGTCAGAGTGGCACCCCAGGTCTCTCCACTTTCCGCCCGAAAGTGACGGGTGGGATGCGGACATAGCGCTGGGTCCAGAGCCCCAAGAATCGGAAGGCTCGTCAGCTGATAGATGGCTCGAGGATATGATCGAGCCAGCCAAGAGATCAGATCAGATGTCGTGGATGTTGCTCGGCTCGGCGTTGTCTCTAGCTCATGAAATGGGCATCTTTGAGCTGGACGAAAAGAAATGTGACCACTCTTCCGTGTATGAAGGATTCATATCTGATGACCAGATAAAACTCCGCAGACAGCGGGTGCAGCGGTTGTTATACGTATATATCAACCAGCTTGCCTGGCGAATAGGCTGTGTATCGCTTATGCCACAGAGTCTGAACCATGCTATTGCAAGTCGACACGCAAATAGAGCTTCGAGTCAGCCTGGAGACGAATGGCTAGCGTTTATGGATTCCTGGATGGATCTCACCAAGCTGGCCAAGTCGGTTACGGATACGTTCTTTCCTACGGTATCGTTTGCAAGACAACAATTACATAGTGGACGGTATATCGACCTGTTGGACCATTTCCGCACACTACTCGTCAGGTGGAAAGAAGGACACCTCCGGCCACAGGGTAAGACATGATTCTTAGCCCCATCAACTCTTCGCCGCTTCTATTGGTCTTACTAACAAGCTGCAGTGCTAAGCAAACACTTTTTCGATATTCTCTTCATCGAATACCACTTTGTCCGCGTCTATACACACTCAGTTGGAATGCAAGCGGTGGTGGAGCGTGCCGTTGCGGACAGTGATCCCAATGTAGAGGATGTCCGGGCTACCAGCATTGACCCGATCGACTATGAATATATCCAGGAAGTAATTGACGGCTGCTGTCAGATCCTACAAAAAGTGACCCAATTAGGTGAAACTGGGGCCCTGCGATTCTCTCCCGTCCGGATATTCCTTCGAGTCACCAGCTCCTCTATATTCCTCATGAAAGCTCTGAGCTTAGGGACCCGGCCTGCAAAGCTGTGCGAATCACTCGACATCCTCGATCGCTGCGTGCAGGCGCTGAAATCCAACGCGCTCGATGATATTCATCTGAGCTCGCGATATGCTGCGTTGCTAGAAATGCATGTATCGCGTTTACGACGCAACTTATTCGCCTCTTCTCGGTCGGCGAGGCATAGCTATAAACCAACAGTGCAACCCTCCATGGCACCTTCGCACAGCATGAATGACGACAACGGTCCGATAATGGACGTCCCTGTGTCGCAGCACATGGCAGAGGTGGGTTTCATTCCATCATTAAATGGCGTCGCCGCCGATGATTGGCTTTCCTTGCCCTTTGACCCATCGATGGCGCCGTTTGGGATCAGTACGGGTGGGCAATTTCCGGCCTATGAAGGGGGAGCATTGAACTTCATCTGGAATCTGCCATCATAGCATTGTAGATAGCAACACCAGGGGTGCCGGATCACTTCTGGGATTAAAATAGCCATCCTAAATGCATATGCCCAAAGCCAAACAAAGGCTGAAAACTTTAACCTGCATATCCTGCTGATTCATTTTTACTGTCATTCCGACGTCCAGGCTTTGCCACAGCCACGAAAACCAGGGCGGCGTCTGTTTGGGTGCACGGATGGGACTTTCCGGGTGGTTATCTGCACGTGACCTCGTCCCCGTCCGAAGTCACGTTTTCCGGGCGAAAAAAGCCAAAAACTTACTGTCGCGATCCGCCGTCTTCTCCGTCCCCGACCCCAGACTCTGCTTTAAAACAGCATCCAGCCTGTCGTTTCGACGTCGACTTCTCCATCACCCCCGATTGCCCTTTGAGGCTTACCATCCGACGATCCAATATTCCTTTCTCAGCGTTTCGCCAGCCGTCCGGATAAGCTTGGAATCGCCTTCCCTCGACCTACACTTCCTTTGATCCGTGCAGCTCGACCAGGACACCAGTTCCTCGAGCTACGACCCCGCTCACCTTTACACTTCCTTTCCGGTCCTTTCTCCTTCCTTCAGATTCGATATGGATCACTCCAGAGACCCCTGCCCCTGGGTTGCCCTGAGCGACTTCGGTGGTGCTTTCTGCATGGGTGTACGTCACAGGTTCCAACTTTCAATTGTACTTGTTCCCAGGGCCACAAGCTAAATCCATTCTGCTCTATAGGCAATTGGTGGTGCTGTCTGGCACGGTGTGAAGGGTTACAGAAACAGCCCCTACGGAGAGCGTCGGATAGGTGCTCTCACAGCTATCAAGGCTCGCGCGCCCGTTCTCGGTGGTAACTTTGGTGTTTGGGGTGGTATGTTCTCGACGTTCGACTGTGCGATCAAGGGTATCAGAAAGAAGGAGGATCCTTACAATGCTAGTATGTTACTCATCCCATTACAAGGGTACTATTGGTTTGTCTAACGGTTTCAGTCATTGCTGGTTTCTTCACTGGTGGTGCTTTGGCTGTCCGTGGTGGTGTCAAGGCCGCCAGAAACTCCGCCATCATGTGTGCTGTCTTCCTGGGTGTGATTGAGGGTGTCGGTATCGGTTTCCAGAGAATGATGGCCGATAACACGAAACTAGAGGTGAGATCATTGCCCCTTCATTCCGGGGCGACAACGCCTCCGCTGAAGCTTATTGATACTGACTTGCCACCATTAGCTTCCTCCTCCCCCTCCGTCTCCCGAGAAGGCCATCGCTTAATTCACCAATCGCTTCACGTTAAGACCTACGATTTCCCCGTTGTCAGCAATATGCCCATATTATTTATATTCCTCTCGTGTCTCTCTTCTCTGGTGTTGGGCTGGGTCATATCATTTCAGGATGCATGGTATAGAGGTTTTCGATTCATGCTTCGATCCCTTCTCTTCAATGTCTGTGAGAAAAAGGGTTTTGCCGGCGATTTTGGACTGCACAGCCTTGCATCCCCATGTATTTCTGCTTTGCCGGAGGCGAAAAAAGAGAAGTCTCGGCGCCCATCTTCGGTTCTACCAGAGATGTATTTTCTTGTACATTAACATGCAATTTACGGTATAATAGTACCCATCGATTCCTATGATTCTCAAACAAACAGATGGGTGAGATGAACGAGAGTTTGACATATCCGACGCACCCGATAAGCTCTCCCCCTCATCGATCGATCGATCCCAGCCTTGCCAGTTGCCACAATCCATCATCCGGATCCGTGGTCCAGACTCAATCCATGCCGAGACTATGCCGATTACAATTGAGATCGGCCATGTCCCGACCATCTACCAATGAATGTATCAATGAATACGAAGTATTCGATGTTCCTTGGGTCAGGGAGGTTTATCTCGAACCACGATAGACTTGGATTGTAACGAGGGAAGTGTCTGTAGCTGTGACGGAGATGGAAATTAGTTAGATGACATGATGCTACCTTGCTCATAGACTGTGGTTTGTTCTATCAGGTTAGACTGATAGTACATGTGGAGACATGGTCGAAGTTACATAATAGCAATCGTACAAGAACTTGATATAGTCCGGTGGCAAGCGGAGCAAGTCAGGATGATGTCGATGGTCGTGTGGGGAAATACACCCAGGTGCAGCCGGTTGGGTTGCTCAAGAGATTGGATTGGCTCTGGCAGCTGTTCATGGTTTGTTACGCGATGGGCATGGATGAGATATGTGGGCATGGCATGGTATACTGGCATTGAACTTACTATACTCTGTAGAGGTAGGAAACATGAATATATAGATTCTGTTGATTGGTTATTGATGAGGCCTAGTGGTGTGTGGAGTATTACTGTACGGCTACGTTTCCTATAGATTGTTCATACGGGAGTTGTTGTTTTTGAGGAGGGGGGTTTATGTGAGTGCTGTCTAGGCTCTGGTGTACTTATGAGTATACATAAGTATGCATTGCGTGTTCTGTTGGTTCCTGGATTGTTCTGGTTGTGTTGTGCGTGACTAGTAGATAGTTTTTAAACCATGTATATACTGATATACTCTGGTCTACTAAAGTCTGTTAATTGGGAAGGACTCGAAAAAGCAAGGGTCAATACTCTTTTGATTACGATATATTATGGCTGGGATAGTTCTCTGAAATGATGATACTATGTGAAACTGGAACAGAGATTTTACTGATATAGTAATAGTTCGACTAGGATATACTTCACCCTATTTTAGAAGATAAACAAAAGCTTTCTACCGTAATGATTCTAGGTATTTTTTTTTCTCTGTTCTGTATGTGAGATCGTCCAGCATTCTTGATTCTTCGGTTCTCTTGTGTCTTTTTCCACCAATTATAGTCTGATATACTGATTGTGTATTCTATCAATAATAACGCCTCCCGGGCTGAGAAGACAAGGGAAATTTCACATGAATTTCATTAACAATAGGGATGTAATGCAAATGTCCATCTCAACAATTCATAGCTTGAAATAGCCCGAGCGGAGTAATCACATCCACCAATATATCCAAAGAGAATTCGTCGTGTTGGTATCCGCTATGCCAGGCCATGTATTGCAGGGAAAGCTACACCATCCATGATAGAATCGCAATGATTCCGAAGAACATTATGCAGAACATCCACTTCATTCACAGAATACACGCATATAGACCGGTAAACAAGTCTTCTCAGACAACAACATCACTCCTTCTCTCCCCCTAACTCACTCCGTGGCTCATCTGCTGGTTCTGAGATCCGTGAAGGGCTGACCCGTTTCCGGTTCTTGAAGAAGGCCGTAACAGTCATAGATGCAGTAGCTATAAACAGCAGCCATTCGAACGCACCAAAGGCCGTTGCCGCCTTGAGCTCCGCGCACGAATTCTGTCCCGACGAGCAGGCATCGGTTGTCAAAACGTTGATAGCCACGGCAATGAAACCGGCGAGCCATGATAGGACAGCTACGGTCTCTGTAGCAATACCGATATAGCTGATCATCGGGCGGCTAGCGAAGCTGGGCTTGACAGAGTGGAAGATAACAGTCAGGACTGTCCAGCCGGCACAGAATAGCAGGAAGCCCCATGCAGCAGGGACGCCGGCGTAAAGGGTGGCTTCGCCGCCGAAGACGGGTGAGTCGACGTAGTCATTGTGGCCATGATATACGTGAATAGCTGGACAATGGGGTTAGTACTGAGGCGGATTGATGAAAAAAGGGGGGAGCAAACCGTAGCCGTCTGTTCCTATGATGATGAGGGCAAAGACTAGCTGGAGCCCTCGCACGATGTAGTTGAGAGGCTTGTTCTCGGCCATGTTGATGGTCATGATGTGTAGGATCTGGTAATGGAGTCTGGGAGGTGATGGGCAGGTCCAGTGAGAGATGACTGATGAAGAGAGGAACACGCAGCGTAGAGCAGGGAGGCCTGGATTTTATAGGGCCCAGCACTACGTGCTCTGCAATCAGCACTACATCCTTTACGACCAAGAAAAATCAGTATGCTATAGAGGAAGGTTAGCAACTAAGCTCAGCGCTTCATCTAGTATGGAGTACGGAGTATCTAACCCTGTAATTGACGGAGTCGATCGTCTGAATCCACCCCTCTTCCCATCCTCATTGGTCGCTTCGTACCCCCACTCTCACTAAGTGACTTGCCCGACTAGATATTTGATGCGCTGTGTCGATATCCTATCACGCTGCCTCTTCATTCCCGAAGGTGCTGAGAATTAGGCTGCCCCTTAACAGATAAGAAATTAATCAGGCTGTTGGGTCAGAAAATGTGAAAAAGAACGATTCCGTGTTTCGAGATGCCGTGCTCCTCACTGCCTCACTGCCTCCTACATTCAAAGCAATTGTTGCCTGGACCCTCAATTATTTACCTCTTAGGCCTTTATCCAGACGAGGATCCTCCGATATCAGTCAACCTAGCCCGACGAGCACTCAAGATAATGCCATTTTCTTCTAGAATTGCTTCGAGAGTATTCCAGGATGACTTCGAATTGCTCAGCCATAGCCGAGAATATATATTCTGATACAAAACTCATGTTCTCGACTATTGGATAAGTTAAAATAACACTTAGACCTGAAGTGGATGTAGAAAGCGGTTCTTGAGCAGTACATCACCTGTTCTTATTCTATATAGTAGGTGATCATCAACAATGACAACTTCAACATGATCTCGGAGATCAAGATCAGCAATGCATCCGAGGAGGGACAAAAAACAAAAGAAATGAGCTCCGATAGGGGGAATCGAACCCCCGGCTGCCGTGTGAGAGACGGCGATGTTAGCCACTACACCATATCGGATTGTTGTTTAAGACTCTAGCACAAGTGTGGTATAGAAGCCAAAAGAAATGATCTGCTGGTGAAACGTCAGATGGAGCATTGTTTCGAGTCTTGATGACTGTTGTTGCTTTTTCAATAACTATACATCGTCTCTGTATCTCACGTATACGACCTACTTGTATCGAGAAAAAGATATATTGATCGCCAAACGAATCAACATGCCTGTGGATGCAAGTGACCGCACCAGGCATTGGAATTGAACATCATGGCTTCCCGATCCAGCACACCCTGCATTCCCCCGATGCACTGCAAAAATGTTGTAATCGATCTTCTGGACCAAATTCTGGTCCTGAATGTCACGGCCGGTGCTGTCAAATGGCGGCGTCGGAGCAAAGAAGGCGAGGCTCAAGATCCCCACAGACCGAAGCTTGGCGCTTCTTTGCTCGATCGTCACGTTCTCTCCTCACTTTTCCCTCGTGTAATTCTTCCCCCCGTCTCCCCTTCTGCCTTACCTGACCATCTGCAGCTCCAGTTGCGTCCCCGACGTCCTACCCTCCCACTGCCTCTCCTCTCCCCCATTGACGCTGCAATCTTGGCCCTTTCTGGTCATGCATTGAGCTGCAGCACTCCAGTGAATTCCCTTCTTTCTTCTCCCATTGAACGCGTCCCTCCAAGTGTCACCTACTGCTCCCTCTGTCTCCCTGGCCCAAACCCCGCGTCCCTGTGAAACATGGATGAAGGCGCATCTTCTCGTCCGACAGACACCCCCGAAGGCTCTGCTGGTGGGGATGATAACAACGCCGCCTCGGCTGCGTCGAAGAACCCGGCCTTGAAGGATCGGAAATGCCAGTATTGCCATCAAGCGTTCACCTCGTCGTCCCTCGGTCGCCATCTGGACCAGTTCCTCTTCAAGAAAAAACCAGACGGCGTTCACGATGTCGAGGAGATCCGGCGCATTCGGAGCGGAATCACGCGGCGACAGGCCCGTACCTCCTCTGGGAGACGGGATACCCCCGAGCGAGCGACGAGCAAAGGCCAGCAGGACACGTACAGTGCGGGCGAATCGGGGATCAAGTCACGCGAGGGCGCGTATAGAATGATGTTTAACACGCCCACGTGGCATGCGACCGGAGTGATCAATGACATCCCCAACCCGACTCAGTCGCAAGAGAATAGCTCGTCTCAATCGCGCATTGCGCCTTCGCAGTCACGGGCTGGTCCGCTTTCGTATCCGGAAAGAGGTGGATCAAATAACCCAGACACCATGAGGGCGTTGGAGCTGGCCTTGCGCGAGGTGCTGGACAACATCAAAGCCGCAACGTATGTACATTCCTCGCATTTCACTGTGCGCCTAATTAGGAGCATGATGACTATGTTGAATAGAGATGCTGACAATAATCTACTCTACAGTTCCAGAATGCGCCCTAGGCTCTCCCCATTTGACTTCGACATCCAGGCGCAAACGTTCCCTTCCCTCTGCCTGCAGCTGCTGCCTCCCCCACCCAGTCTATTCGCAGCAAGCCCATTTCCGTCTCCCTCGTCATTCCCCCTCCAGCCTCCAGGAGTCGAGCATCTCGACATTGTCCGACAGGCGCTCCGCGCCAAGATCGATCAATGGCAATCCGACCAGCGCACCGCCGAGTCCAACAGCAGCTCCCAGTCAGGAAGACCCAGCCTCGGGCTGGACTCGACCATGATCGGTCGGAGCGCGCAGCAACACGAAGACCTCAGTCTGCGACACCTAGAGCTGGCATTCAAACATTGGGTCTCCATGCCTGCAGACGCCCGGAGAGACGCCTGGCAACTCGAAATCACCCGCGCATTCGCACGGGAAATGGAAAAGCGCAAGTCGCTCGACGACCAACTCGCGCGCGTCCAACAGGAGGCCAACCAACTTCGCGCGCAGGTCGAGCGCCTCGGCTCCTGCCAATGGCCGAGGGAATTCGCAATCTTCCCTCCCGACACCCTCCCCCTCCCCCGGGACGTCGCCCGCGAACTCGACACCAAGGAGAGCCAAATCAGCCCCACCTCCTCACGCTGGGACTACGACAACGTCGTCGCCAAATGGAAACGAGTCGTCATGCACGACCGAGGCATGGGTCGCATCGGGGTCGGGATCGGCCACGCCAGCAACCCACCGGATGACTACCGCAGCACCGAACCCAGACACCCCCCCACCAGCGACACCGACCCAACCACCCGCGCCAGGACCCTAAACCCCCCGTCCGCACTCAGCCCCGGCCCATCCCCCTCCAACACCAGCGGTGGCGGCCCCTCCGCGCCCCCAAGCCAACAAACCTCCCCATACCTCCCACACGACCACCACCACACCCGGAGCCCCGACGCAGGGCCACAAGCCAAACGACCCCGTCTGATGAACGGCCACCATCATGCCGGAACCACGCCGGACGGCGTCCCCAGTTCCGTTCCCACGAATCAGACCCCCGCCAGTGCGCCGAGTAGTAGTACTACTGCTAGCTCCTGGACAACGACCACGCAAGCCCCCTCCACTATCGCCTCCTCCATCGCTAGTGCCAATCCTGCAGGTCCTACGCCCCCGCCTTCTTGTTCTGGGTGATCATGATGATTGACGTGTCTCGACTTAGCTTTTGAATGAAACCATCGGTATCGTGCATGTCTGGTCAAATCTGTCCTGTCGGGATTCAGCCCATGTTGGGTATGACTCGTGTGCAGATGGATAGGGCACCCCCGCATCATACATTCGCTGGATGTAAATATATAACATAGCATTGCCGCATTGCATGTTCACAGCTATCGGCCTTCCTTCCCTGCCCAAAAGCTCTTGTGGAGGCTCTGGTTCTTTGTGTGGGGATGTGTGCTGCTGGAGTTATAGCATTATAACCTCAATTGGAATGGATATAGGTCTGGTCATTAGGATTACTCATGTGAATTAGGTACATTCAAGCCGACAATACATGATACTGAAGTTGCGTGCAACCGTCATACAGTCTAAGAGGGGAGAGGGGAACAAGATTATAGTAAGGAGAAATCATATGAGATGAACCGATCATTCCTTCGCAGCCTTCTCTGATTTTCGTGCGCTGAGACCTCGCTTCATGTTCTTGATGCCATGGAGATAGAGCCACGAGAAGAAGAACACGGCCATAAAGTTGAAGATCACATAGGCCCAGAATATGCCCTATGAAGGATCGGGTTAGAGAATTTCGCTTAGGATTGAGAGGAGGGGGGTTCAGCTTACATAGTTGCGCCACTTGTGCGAATAAAACACGTTGAAACTTGCAGCCTGTAAAAAGCAGTGTTAGTATCCGAATGGCAGCCCTTAAGGAGTTTGATGTAGCGAGCTGGGATGGACATACAAAGTTATCGCCAACGGAGTATTGGCAAAAGGCACACAGACCGTTCCCTGCATCTTGGACGTATCCGCCCACCTGGCTTGCGTAGGATCCAGCGTACTCCTGACAAGTCATTCCGGAAGGGGGACGGAACTCGGATTCCTCCCTGGAGACGCAGCGGAGGGGAACATCATGTACAACGACACCAAGGAAGCCTTCCAGAAGGTAGTGGAACGGGGTGAGCCAGTACATCCAGGACCTCCAGAAAGTATTCAGGCCGCTGTATGGGACGACCACACCGCAGAAAGATAGGACGAACGTGAAGAAAGTCGGAACGAGGAGAGATGCAAAGAGCGGGTTTGGTGAGAAGGCCGCAATAAATTGACCGAGGCCGACATAGAACAGCTCGAAAAGCATGAGGAACATCCAGATAAAGCCAGATCGGAATGAATCCCGTGGGAACCAGACACCCCAATACCTGAATTGGTTAATTTCATCTCCTACAAGGATTTGGATCTGGGTGCAGATTGCTATCCTACTTACCAGCAATTGAAGTAGATGGATCCTGCAACGACCGAATATGGCAATTCTGGAAGAATGGCGCTCGCCACAAACGCAACCCATGAGTATATCTTGGAATTAGCTTCCCGCGACTGATACAGATCGCGGAAATGGAGAAATCGTGGCTGCAGCTGCTGGATTAGAGGTGGCGCTATTGTGAGTGTCATGAAGATGGAGAACATCCGCGACTGCATGTCGATGTAACTGTTCCCTAGGTGCCAGAAAGTAAACGTATTGAAGAGTCCAGTGAATATGTGGAGCAAGACTTTGCCCTGTCAAGAGGTTAGGTGCATGCCTGATAAAGGTGTTGGACACTTACCATGACGTATGGGGGTGTTCGCCAGTACGCGATGAAACTTCGTTTGGTAACAGTCAGGACTTGCACCCAGATGGGCATTGCATACTCGCGATTGTCATCCTTTCCTTCTTCGACTTCCTTGTTGCGTCGTTCCTGAATGAGATTCTCGATATCTTGTGACAGCTGCCTGTGCTGCGCAGATCTGGCCCAGACATCGCCCCAATCCTGCCCTTTGTAGTCTGGGTTACCAGCGCCGATAACCTCGAGCATATACTACTTTCCGTCAGCATTGGTCAAGAGGATCACTGTATAGTGGAGTACCTCTGCGGGATTCTCATGAGGGGAGCATTTTCTAGCTCCATTTTGCTCAAAGTACTCAATAAGCTTCTTCGAGTCCGTGCCGAGCTCACTGTTGTAGACAACTCTTCCTCCGCTCTGCAACAACAGCAGCTCATCAAACTGCTCGAAAAGAACGGCAGAAGGCTGATGAATGGTGCACAGAATGGCCTGTCCAGCGTCGGCAAGGCGTCGAAGAAATCGTACGATATTGTAAGCGGCCAAAGAGTCCAGTCCAGATGTCGGCTCATCTAGGAAAAGCAGTAACTGGGGCTTACTTGCCAGTTCCACTGCAATTGTAAGTCGTTTGCGTTGTTCTGCATTCAAACCAGCGCCTCCAGAGCCGACTATAGCCCCTGCAATTGGCCGCATCTCTAACAGATCAATAATCTTTTCACAGTAGTCATACTTTTCTTGGACAGAAACTTCTTTCGGCTGACGAAGGAGTGCCGAAAACTGGAGCGATTCCCTCACAGTTGCGGTAGGCTCATGAATGTCCATCTGCTCAGCAAAACCGGTCGCCCTCTGAAAGCTCTTCGGGAGAGGTCTGTGAATGTAAGCGATTGCCATGAAGCAGCTTCAGGGGATGCTCACTTCCCGTCAACAAGAAAGGTCCCAGATATCACCCCGAAATCGATCCTCTGTGCCAAAGTATTGAGAAGCGTAGTTTTTCTGATAGGTACATCAGCATTGGCTTGTTCCCTTTTAGCTGTGAATACTCACCCAGCCCCAGAAGCTCCCATCAGTGCCGTAAGTCGACCTGGCTTGACATATCCTTGCACGTCCTGTAGTAGCTTTCTCTGCCCACCCTTGTAAGGAATCGTGTAGTTCACCCCCTGCCAGGTAAAGATCGATGTGCTTCGCGCGATCCCATGCACATCACTGCCGGAGTTGTCTGAATCCTTCTCTTGGAACTCATTATTGGTTCCTGTCTCAATTCTTCCCGCTTCTACATCTCCTGGAAGCTCCTTGTGTTTGACAGCCTCCTCGATAGCCTTTGGCGCTTCGCCCTTTTTGAAGATAGTAACCGTGCTGCCTCCCTTGTTAGGCTTCTGAAGCTCCATTCCTAGCATTGTCAAAGACATGAAGAGGATAAACCAAGCTATGACAATGCCGAAATTTCGCCACAGATGTGATCGACTGTACGTGAAAGCAGAATTGATATAGTTGGATCCTTGAACAACCAGCTGATCCGGAGTGCTCCCTTGAATCGCACAGACTTGGTTGCCAGGCTGCGCGTTGGGGCCATCGGGGAAGATGGATGGTGCGACACATTGAATGTCTAGATTGTAGAATTCGTTTGACATGATCGCTTCAAAAGCGTACTGTAACGGATTGATCCATATCAACCATTTAAGCCAAGGATGCATCTTCCATGGGGGAATAAGGTAGCCTGCTTCGGTCAAACAAGTGTCTCAGTGACTTAAGAGTATATCTTACCGGTGTACACTATCAGTGCCTGAACCGAAACTCCGGTTATACGTGTGGCTTTGTAACAGTCAGCTAGTATCTAGAAAATCGAAGATGTAGCCATACCAACGTCAAGCGACGCACTCAGTGCTCCGATAGTCCGGAAGAAAGAGTACATTGTCATGGTAAGTATGAAAACGAAAAGAAAGTTGATGAAGAATTGAGATGGGGTCCTCGAAAGATTAGACATGCTAAAGTGGTGGTCAGCATGAATCAACACAGCGCTGAGGGAATGCATACAAGTATACAATCAGCTCGAAAATGGTGACTTGAATGAATACAATAGGTGCATCGACGGCCACTTGCGCTAAAGCATATGCCGATGGACGGTAGAATGAGCTGAAGAGTTAGTCTATGTTAGAAACGGATAGTTGCTGACTTACAAACTCTTATGTTTCAACATAATAGGTCGGCTCCAGAAGAGGGATGTGAGCTCCGCCATGGCAAGTAAAGCGTTGAACAAGAGTACGTAGAACATGACACCACCTCTTGTAAAGACGCCGGCACTATCATACTGTCAGTCACGCTCATGTGTGAGTCCGCATGGCATATCGGTCTGACCTAGTGGGGGGTAGGTTGTAGAAGAGACTTCCGATAATGAGTGCCTGGAACGTGAGCATCGCCCATTTCCCAATCAGCGTCTGCTTATCACCATACATAATGAGAAATTGCCGTTGGGTTAGTATGACGACCTGCTTGTAGAACGAAACGGTGTAGTTTTGCTTTGCAAGCTTTTCCCTGGCTTGTTCTCGCATCTCCTTCTGGGATTCAATTTCTCTTTCAAAGTCATCAGTATCTGCCTTGGCAGACTTATAGATGTCGCTCTTCTGATATGCTTTTTGAAAGTCTTCACCCGAACGAGGAACCCGGTCTTCCCATCCTTGCTTGACACGCCGTGCAAATGGGTCACTGACGGAGGTCAAGAAATCCGGCGTTGTCCATCGAGGAGGGCACTCAAATCCCAGACGCTCGAAGTAGGCCTTTGCATTCTCAGTGCGTCCGTAGTAAGCACATTTCCCGTCCTCGATCAGGATGACTTTGTCGAAGAGATTGTAGAGATTTTCCGAGGCTTGGTAGAGAGCCACCAGTGTGGAGGCATGTGCCATGTCGGTTGAACTCCTCAAGCTTTGCACGTACTCCAAAGCCGTACTTGCATCGAGACCTTTGGTGGAATTGTCCCAGCATTGAGTGCTGGCCCTCGTAATTAGAGCCTCGCCAATGGACACTCGCTTCTTTTCTCCTCCAGAAACTCCACGAATGAGTTCGTTGCCGACCTTGGTCCCAAGTGCATGCTCTATCCAGAACAGCTTGGCGATTGTCGATAGGAATGTCTCCTGGTAGTGCTTTCTGCTTTCACCGGGCAGTCTTGCTGATTTATCTGGTGTCCTTGTTTTGAGAGCAAACATCAGAGTGTCGCGAACGGTGAGCGTTGGGTAGTGGAGGTCGTCTTCAGGATTGTACAACACTTCCGACCGATATTTGTCTGCCATGGTTTCGGCATCTGCTCCTCCATAGCGAACATCACCTTCAACGCTTTTGTATCCCGATCGTTGGTTCCCGATTACTTTTAAGAATGTAGAGCACCCGGACCCTGGACGACCCAGGACCAACAGCATCTCCCCGGGTCGTACACAGCCATTGAAATCATCCAGGATGGTCCGCAGTGGTGTGCCCTTCCTTCCTCCTGTCAGAATGCCTTTGATTAACCTCGGTAGGGCCAAGACGATGTCCGTAACCGTGGGTTGGAGGGCGGCCCCCAGTCCAACACCTTTGACAGTCAAATTCTTCCACACCACGCCAAGGTGTCTTGTCTTTTCCTCTTCTGTGTTGGCCTTCCTTTCTTGTCCGAACATCCGAGACACCAGTCTCGCTATCTGGGCCGTATCTTCAGCTCCCCCGCCCCCAGAGGCAGACCCAGTGCTACGTCGTTGAGAAAGGACGCGAGCGATGTCCTGTTCTGTGAGCTCTCTCTGAAGAGACGGTTCCTGTTGGATGGCATCTTCGTCCGAGACTTGCTGTTCCATAGGGATGGCGGAATTCTTTTTGGACAACCCCGAACTAGGCGATGCGGTTGAGCTCATCTCCGATGAAGAGCCCTGTAAATATTTGCCTTCTTTGGAGATCAAGCTTGCCTCGCTGCGCGGAGAGCGCCCCGGATCCATGTCGAATGTGATGCAGTGCTAGTTGCTAAGAGCGTGCATCAACAAAACGGACAACGGGAAAAAAACCCGATGAACACTCGAACACCAAGACAAGAAAACAAAAAAAGCCTAGCAGGGTCGCAAGGGAATAGAATAACTTATTTGCGCCTGACTCACTTATCGCTACATTCACCGGGAGCATCGGAGCTTGGTGAAGGCCGATGCAACTTCACCACCGACCTCAAGCTTCAACAATCGGAATCAGGTATGGTTCGGGCATTGTGAGGACCGAGTTGCCGACCATAGGGATCGAATGAACATCCAGCCCTTAGCGAGGCAGGTGCGGATCCAAGGGAAGCCGTGGGGTAGACCCTGGCTGAACCGTGGATCTTGCTGTGATGTAGTAGATAGCTTCCGCGGATCATGGTGAGGTCATCATCTATGAATCGGCGATCGGTGACCGAATGCAGTCCCGAGGTCAGATATCAGTGAAGTAAGCAATCATAAAGAAGAACCTGTTCTGCCTTTTATTGTCCTGCCTTGGATATCTCCGGTATGAGACTACCCGACCTCCGGGAAGAAAGTCTGGGTCGATTGGATAAGGTTTGTAAGCAGGCCCTTGTATAAATCTCATGTTAACCCAGCTGAGACATCTGTTGAATCTTCCTGATGGGGTTGCTTGAGTGTCGCTGTGAGTGCGATGAATTGAAGGTGAAGGAAGAAGACTTGGCTGGGCCCCTCTGGGTTGCCGGGCCACGGTGAAGCCTCAGGCCTCCCATGTCTGGCCCAGTAATTTCCCCTGTGTAAGTTTTATAAATGACGGAGTCACTAGGAGTGTACACGATCACCCCTCTTCGTCTTTTTTGTTCGCTCCATAGCAATATGCCAAGTGTTTGCCAACTCCGATGTCTGCCATGTAGACCCCGCATCGGGCTTCTGCTTGCTGATTATCCGGTCAATGAGAGAAAGGCATCCAAGGGCAGAATCTAGAGCTGGATATTTATCCAGACACCCCGCAGATGAAGATCGGCCATGCATAAGTTCTCTCTTAAGATCTCAAGATGGGTGATTTCCCCAGCATCTGCAACTATTTCGGCTAAATGGCTCAACTCGGATGCAGGAGCCCAACATTGAAAAGCAGCTCTTTCGCAGTCCATGAGGCTGGTAGTTCCCAGAAGCAGATCTTTCAGTGTGCCGGTTTCAATGATGCGTTATCTGATTCTCTGCCTAGGGCTACTGGTTGCTGGTAATGCCGCGACTGCGGTCTCCAACACTGCGAGTTCTACCGCTTCAGCGCCTTTGACAACGACGCTGAATATTACCGTAGAAGGTGGGCCCATATCCCACGCAACCCCAAAGGACATGCATCTAACCAGATTCAGATCTCTGGAACATATACATCGGACCAGTCCAGTCGGCATCCATCAACACAACCGTCGAGCCTACCCCCATTCCATCCGCTCAACTGATCCCCCCTCCCCAACTCTACTACCCTTCTTATCTACCAGGAGCCCAGATTCCTGGCCTAGGAAGAAATGAAAGCTGGTCCTTTCCCAAAGGATTCTGGTGGGGGGTCTCCGGTGCCTCATACCAGGTCGAAGGGGCTGTCAAAGTCGATGGCCGCGGCCCTAGCTTATGGGATGCATTCACCCATAGAGCCATGAGCGTCGCCGACAACCAGACCGGAGACGTTGCCATTAATGAATACTATCTCTACAAGCAGGGTCTGCACACCTCCACCCCATCTCTCATATCCATCCCACCATCCCACTAACCCTAACCACCCAGACATCCAACGCATCGCCGCCATGGGCGTCCAAGCCTACTCCTTCTCCATCTCCTGGTCCCGAATCTTCCCCTTTGGCAACGGTCCCATCAACGAAGCCGGACTCCAGCACTACGACGACGTGATCAACACCTGTCTGGAATATGGCATCCAACCCCAAGTCACCATCTACCACTGGGACCTCCCCCTGTACCTCCAACTCTCCTACGGCGGCTGGACCAGCCCCCAAATCATCGACGACTACCTCGCCTACGCCCGCGTCCTGCTCGAACGCTGGGGCGACAAAGTCTCCGCCTGGTACACCTTCAACGAGCCCATCTCCTTCTGCGGCGAATACCCCGTCCCGGACCACTACTTCACCCACACCACCACCATCCCCGCCATCCAACAACCCTACTGGTGCGGCCACTACATGCTCCTCGCCGCCGCCAAAACCTACCACCTCGCCCGCTCCCTCAACATCACCGCCCCCATCAGCATCAAAAACTCCGGCGGCTACAAACTCCCCCGGACCGCCTCCCCGGCCGACACCCTTGCCGTCCAACGCGCCTGGGCCTTCAACGAAGGCTGGTTCGCCAATCCCCTATTCCTCGGCGACTACCCGCCTCTGCTCAAGAACTTCACCTCGTCCTTTCTCCCCGAATTCACTCCCGAAGAACGCACCCTCATCCACGGCGCAAGCGACTACTTCGCCCACGACGCCTACACTGCAGCCTACTACATGGCTCCGGATTCGGGAATCGAAGCATGTCTCTCTGACCCATCCAACTCCCTGTATCCGAAATGCTACAACAGCACATACACTCTCCCCGACTCCGAAGGGGGATGGCTCATCGGTCCAGCCTCAGACCCTAACACACGCTGGCTTCACAAAGCCACGGAATGGCTTCCTGCATTTTTACACTATATCCAAGATACATGGAACCCACCAAATGGGATCGTAATCACGGAATTCGGAATGACCGAGCCATTTGAGGCATACAAGACCAAACGGGAGGATGTCTTAACAGATCCGCTGCGTTCAGCATATTATCATGATTATGTCCAGGCGATGCTGATGGCGGTTGCGGAGGGGGTGAAGCTAGTGGGATGCTCGGCGTGGAGTATTGCGGATAATTTGGAGTGGACGGCGGGGTTTACGGTGAAGTTTGGATTGCAGGTGAGCTTGCTGCTTATTGAATGGATGAAAGGGATGGGTTATGCTAATGTGGATGATAGTATGTGAATTTGACGACGCAAGAACGGTTCTATAAGGCGAGCTTTTTTGAGTTGGCGAGGTTGTTCAAGACGTATATGCAGGATTAGATACTGCGAGATATTGCTGAGATCGGAACGGAAGACAGGGCGGAGTACATATCAGGACTGCATAACTTACCCTTTCATGATCATTAGCCTTGCATTATACAATATGCTCATACAAAATAGCACAGCTATACAACTCTAGTAAGTTAGTAAGTGAGCCACCACCACCCCTCAAACAACAACCCCATCTGCAAAGTACTATCTAATCCCACGACCCCCGTTTCTCATATATACTTTTCTCCCACCCTCCCCCTCCCTGCTTCCCCAATCCCTCCAACCCCCCATCCATCCCCCTCCCCCGAAACCACCCCCTCACCCCCTCCACAACCTCCACCTCCTCATTCTCAAAATCCGATTCCGGATCCGTACACGACACCATGGCACACATACACAGAATCACATCCGGCAGCGTCGTAACCCCCACTTCACTTAGATGTCGTCGGATCAACGGACTCGAACATTCGCCCCACCAGTAGATACTCGCTGGGTTGAATGTGGGTGCGAGGTTGCGGTGGAAGATGAGCGGGTTGAAGAGCATTTCCATGCGGATGCCGTCGTATCTCTCGGTGGGGGTGAGTTCCTGGGTTGGTTGGTTGGGTTAGGGCTGGTTGGCTATACTAATGAATGAATGAATGAATGAAGGAAGGAAGGAAGGAAGGTGGTAGGTAGGGGAGGGAGCCGTAGGGAGTGGTACCTGAACCTCATACACAAACCCATACCCGAACATCCCGCCCGACCAACTAAACACCCCCAACTTCGTCGCGGGAGGTTGCTGAATGAGCATTCTGCGCCAACTGGCCTCGGGTCTGAGATAACTATCTCTCTTCTCTGGCCGTCGAACCATATCCAGATCCGTTAGGGAGAAGGGTTCTTTATTTTGAGGGAAGACAGTCCCATTCTGGTGGAAGATAGCGGGGAAGGAATCTACGAGGAGTGGATTGAGGGTTCGTGCGATTGATGCATTGGCGTTGGAGGGGTGGTGTTTGGGTTTGATGGGTTTGAAGTATAGGGTTTCTTGGAGGGGGGTGGATTGCTGGATGAGGGTGTTCCAGAAGTGGCAGACGAGGGGGGCGCAGGTGAGGAGGGTGCGGAGGTCCAGGTGGAGGAGGATTAGTTCGAGGAGTTCCGGGGTGGAGAGGACCCAGTTGGTGGTGCTGGTGGTGTGCATTTTGCTGGATGGATCATGGATAGGTTAAATGATGTAGTGATTGGGGTTGTGGTGGGATTGGATTGGATTGATTGATTGATTGATTGATTGATTGATATCGTCCATGCGGTCCCCTCACACGTGACATAATATTTTGGTGTTGGTTTAGTTTGGATGCTAGGCGTTGGGGCTATCTTTTGCTATCTTGGGCGTTATAGCTTCTGCTGTAAGCGACTACAATATGCGGATTTGATTGGTCTTTTTAGAGCATAATTGGTGAACTAAATACGGGTTCGAATATAGAACCTAGATTCCCACCCGGGAAACCGATTATACTATATTAGAACAAACCCGCTATACTTACAGATTCGCACTTCTTTCCAACAGATATATCTATACATGTTGACTTGTATATATAGCCCATACCAACGGCACTCTGGCAACCCCAGCCCGAAACATTCTATTAGCATTGTCCACAGAACCATCCAAATTTATCATACAGATTATATGGCTCCCCCTGAGATAACAGACAGATATGATAGATCCTTCCCTACCGATATTCTTGTCCCGCCAATTCAGGATAAGAACCCCTCGGATCCGACCCCTGCATCTCCTTCGGCGGCAGCGGCTGTGGTTGCCGCATCCCGGGCCAAGAAGCATGCATCGCACCTGGGTGCATCGTACCGGACGCAGCAGCCATTGCAAGGTTCTTGTTTGATCGTGCCTTGAGCCATACCAGCGCACCCAGGGCCGCAAGAACAGGTACGCCAATCCCAATTCCCACCCCAAGGGCTATTTGCTCCGTAGGGGTTAGTTGTGCGGTACTGGATGCAGGCGCAGTGGATTGTGCAGCTGCAATGGTAGTACTAGGTGAAGAAGTCGTATTGAGAGCTTTGGCTGAGGTGGCAGTTGCTGTCGCACTGGAAGTGGTAGTCGTGGTCGGCTCCGTGATGTTGAAATAGGTCGACACAAACCCGCCGGGGTCATCGGAGTTGATCCACAAGAAGAAGACGTTGGAGTAATCCAAACTGAAGCCGTACAATTGGACGACCCAGGTGAAATTGGTGACTTGGTCGGTGGAATGGATCTTGGCTGGATGAGTATCTGGTTAGCTTTCTGCTGTTTTGTGTCTGTGGTTATTCTTTGCTCGGGTTTGCGTACAGTAGATATTGCCTTGACTGGCGGCGCTTTCTTCAACTAGGCTCTGCTGCCAGAAGGAAATGTTGAATACTCCTAGAGTGGTCTCCCATTTTATGACTTGTTCCTCGCCGAGGGTCCACACCGGGTTGATGTCGTTGCCGGAGGACGGGTTGATGAAGTAGTCGTTGGCGTCGGATCCTTGTGTAATATGAACAAGGAACAATAATGAAATCCATAGTGAATAGTACATCTTGGCAGATGTGATGGCTTATGTGGGTAAGCGAGGGCAACCGAGGCCTTTGGTTGAGCGTGTGAAGGTGTGATGGCCGGACTCGGACCCCGCCGATGAAGGTGAAGGTGGGTTAGAGAGTCACCATTCGGGAGGAAATGCTTTGCAATCGGGAAAAGGGCATGACCTTATGGAAATTGCACAGACTCACAGCCTTACAGAGGGGTTGCATAGATCCTTTGTTAGTAGTTGTTGCGCCTGGAGCTAAGCAATGCAAGTGCACGGCCGTGCAATCACAAGGATGTTTTAGTCGCCTGGATTCTCAATTTTAGCACCTGAGCCCACCAATGCCATCTCGCCACCATTCAGGGTCCACTATGGCGCTTGAAAGTAGGTTGGGGTGTGGCTAAGGCCGCTGGTTAGCTCAGGTAGCGCTGTTGGATACGACTCGGGCCAAAGACCACTACACCAAGCAAGACTTTGTTGGAAAGTGAAATGATTAACAGATATCCTCCAAGAACACCAAAACGTTCTTTATACAGCATACAGTAGATATATCAAATAGCAGACTCGTATTCCTCCCATCTATGGGTCAACATCTGTAAGGGTATACGCCCCCTCCTCTCCTAGCAGGAGTAGAGCTCCCCCAACAGCAGAAATATTAACTGGATTAACGACCGGAATCGGCGCATCATCCCATGTTGCAGTGACCGTCTTATCTCCGGTCAATATACGGTTGATATTGAGCATGGTGCTGTACATCACCCCGTTACTGGAGGCGGGATGCACGTCCTGACCCTCGTCATGGATATCCGAAGCCTTGGAGAAAGGCCCGGCGGGCTGATAACCGCCTGTTAGAGAAGGATAGGCAGCGAAACATCGCAAATAGCCGTTGCCACACATCCTACCGAGGGACACGTCGAATTGAGCGCCAATGTCGATCTGCTCTGCGAGCCCCCCCGGGTTCACGGAAAGAGCGGCGAGAATCTTCTGAGCACCACGATAGCTCACAGCATAGACAATTGAGCAAACAGCATCGTGCACGGCGCAGGCTAAGCGGGAGTGATCCGGTATCGCCATAGGAGGTGGATCGCGCCAGTAAGGTAGGAAATGATGCGGTGGAAGCACAGTGGGATCATTTGAGCTCATAAACAAGGGCACATCGGTCCGACACTCCACACCACAGTGGCCTAACCAGATGATGTCCCAGTCATCACCGTATGGCGAATCAGTTGCTTTCTGAGTCACTCCCTGGAGAGCTCGAACCGCGAAGGCAAAGCTCTGTAGTTGAGTCTTAATAGTTACGTCCCAGTCGACATCATCCTCCATGACGATGGCACTTCCTAGCCGTTCCCTCACGATGCTGGCAATGCATGGTCAGTCTAGAGAAGGAGAACAACGAGTGATTGCCGCCTACCGTTGCAAGGCATTTACGTGCGCCCGTCGAGCTGCATACTCGGTCGGCTTGTGGTCATAATTCCAGTTCTGATAAATCGTCAATCTATTGACGTTGCATGTTGAATGGCTAGAGAGAACTCACGTAAGGATATGCTTTGGGATTGAGTTCATCAGGAGTGACCCCATCGATCCAGTCGATGTGAAAGTCGCTAACCGATGAACCGAGAACCAGGTTATCGCGCTTGTCCACCCTGCTCGGGAGACTGATAGCAAAAATCTTCCCAACCTAGAAATGGTCAGTGTATAACCAAGATCAACGTGAGATGGGAGCGGATACCCCCAAAGTCTCGTTCCTGATCGCATCCAGCTGGGTCCGGGATCCCCCAGCTCCTTTCCGCACGGTGGCCCGAGCATAGGGCAACGGCCACAAGACGAGGAGGATGACAATCACCCCGACCACATAGAGAAGCAACCGGCCGAACCGTTTCTGGGGCGTGGATAGAGCCATGCTTAGTTGGGCCGGACAGAAAGATGTCCAGGTGGTGGAAGACATCGGGGAATCTCCCAAGTCTCCCCGTCCCCTGAATCTCAGCCTCGCTGAACCTGGAGCTAATTAGGGTGGGACGGCCCGGGCGGGGCAGAGCGTTTCGCTTGTCGTTTGCCTGGGCTTTCTTGGTAGATGATGAGGATGCACTTTGAATCAGGATTCCGGCGATGAACCCGCATTTCAAGGCATTGCATCGGAGTGTGGAATTGTCAATTCACCTGGCGACGGTTTTGACGCACGGAACCAGGGTCTGGGGGCGCTCATGAGCCCGGCGGCTAGCTGGGCCAGTGAGATCTCCGTCCCCACGCTATCAATGATAGGGCGACCACTGGAGCGATGTGACTGGGTGCGTGAGAATATCCGCTGTCCTTAATATATCTCACCCAGTAAAAGCTGCTGCTAGGGAAGGGAAAAAGATGCCCGTGCCCGCGTCTTTGCGCAATTTGGGTTTCCAATTTCCAAATCGCAGAACCCCAGTCAAATCGCTTTCCATCAATGACCTTGAACGGCTGATGTTATTCCAGTCATTGCCTGGAGAACGCCAAGTGGAAGTGGTGACGACATTCCGAGACTGGATGATCTCTCCATGGCCGCGACATCCGGGCCGGAGAGGAGATGAGATGACCCGAGAGCCCAGACTACATGGACCATCCCCAAATCTGGGTAAGCGGCTGTGATTCCCGCTGATCCTAATCTCAAGCAACACCAAATGGGGGACCTCAAAGGTTGGCAGTTTTTCATAGAGGGCCCGTTCTTTGAACACATCAGTAGTGTTTGGCGCCTGTCGCCATGACTAGTCCTTGATTCGTAGACTTTCCATAAATTGGATGTGGCCTATGTAACCAAAAATACAAGTAGATTCCATCAGTTGGCTGGTTGGTGTAGTTGGTTATCACGTATCGTTAACACCGATAAGGTCCTGGGATCGAGCCCCAGACTGGTCATTCTTTTTCTTCCACACCACCGTGTGGGTTTTTTGTACATGAAGCAGCGTTATCATGCTTGTTGTTTTATGCTTGCTAGAAGTGTCTCTACATACATCTAATTGTGTATTTTAAGCTGTGGCCACTTTAGAACTTAGAATCATAGATCGATCCCAGCTTTGCACTGGCTCCGACTCGTAAGCTTATCGGATATACAAAGAACTGAAGTAATTGTATTACTTTCCCATTATGCCCGTCTTTCAGTGAAAGCCATTACATGCTTCACAGTTGCATTGCAGGACGTTTTCGTCACATACACGTGGACCTTACATTTGCTGCATGCACATCCGAGCAAATCATCATGAATTTAACTATCAATTAGTGTGCAAATGGCACCGGCCTGCGTATGCAGACTGCCCTTTAAAACGACACGCAGCCCTCAATAGGAATCAAACAGATCCTGTCAGTCCGACAAAAGCTTCTCCAAAACCTCCTGGCCCTTCTTGTCTAGCTTCGGATATTCCCTCAAATTGTACAGATCCGTCCAAAATTCCTTGGCATCTTCATGCACATCCATCCGTTGACGTAGTAGTTTCTTCCATTCTGCGTCCATATCAGTCCATCCCCAAGCAGCCGAGACATATTCATACCAGATCGGGTAGTAAGCCGCATACTCCCAATCGAGAATGCCGGCAAGCTCCCCATCTTTGACCATGATGTTGCCCATGTTCAGATCACAATGAGTGAGAACATACGGCTCGCATGGAGGTAGGCGCTTCTTCAGACTCTCCAAGGCTTTGGTAGGAAAAGTCTTCCGGGGAGGGTCATGAAGAGTCCGACTGAGTGCGTCCCAGAGTTCGGCGTCAGAGTGGAAAGGTCCACGTGGTTTATAATCGAAAAAGAGTAATGCTGGAAAACATGGACCGTGATCAACGCCTTGGATGGCAGTTGATGTGAGCTTTCTGAGCTGGTTGCGAACTTGAACCACTTGATCTGCGATAACCAATCTCTGAGATTCCGACAACGAAGGCCATGCCTCCTCCAGCGTTTGCCCGTCTATGCGTTCCTCCAGAACAAAGTATCGCCCATCGCGATCGACCCAGTCACGCACGAGCTTTGGAGCTGGTATATCGTTGTGGGCTGCAAGTTCGCTGAGTATCTTCACTTCGGCTTTTGGACCTTCGTCAGGGCGTTCTTTCAAAATCAAATCAGAGCCGATCGACCATACGCCCCGGTTGGAAGCGCCGTAGATGAGCTTGACATGGCTAGAATAGCGGCACAGCTTTTGCTTTGCAGGTGACCAGCCACATGCAATGCAACTGTTAGAGCTTTCTTCAGTCATATTTCGAAGCTGCACAGAGAAAGGGTGAATTTGGGCGAGATGGAAAGTGAGCAGAAGTAACGAGGGAAAAGATTGGAAGAGCGAGGGGACAAGGCTATGCAAAGTAACCAGGGGGCAGGCGAACCGAGAGCAAGATCCCTGCTCGAATGCTAAGTACTTCCGGGTGTCTGGATTTCTCCCTTCCCTGAGAGGAGGTCTTCCTCATGTGGTAGGAAATGTTTTGAAGAGACGAGATCTGACACTTAGCTTGGGGACATTCATAGTCAAGAGTACATAGCAAATAAACTAGTCGGCAATATAGTGAATTGAGATGTATTGCATACCCCTCAATATAATACAAGCTGTTTAATTCGTCGGTAAAATACGGCTTCGTGCCCATCAGAGCACAACCAATAATAAAATGATGGGACTTTTGTCTACTAGGTAAATTGAGAACGCCGTCTATCCATTGTTAGTCCAGGTAGCGATTAGGCATGAAGCCATCATGCAGAAAAGGATGGGAGCATGCCTGTTTTTCCTCGAGTACTATTGTTCGATAAATAATTTGAATGAGTATAAGTTAGTGAGGGAGCCGGCAACTCTCTCTTGAACGGTCAAAGTGGCTACATTATCACTCTAGAATGAGTAGAAACATAATGGTGTCGTATATCATCTAATTCCACGCCCTACATATCCCGGAGGTTCTTGCTGAACTCGCACAATATGAAAGATGCATCCTCACAAGATCCTTTTCAGCGCAGAGATTCCCAAAGCAATATTCCTCCAGACAGGAGAATTCACTTTGCTGCCGTTTTTGACATGATCGGCTGGGAGCGTTCTCCACCGTCAACAGCCATTATTTTTCAATTTAGCCAAGGAGCCACTCAGGAAATTATTCTGTACAACAATGGGGGGACTAATTCATACCGAGTAAGAAGAGTAGACTTCACCCATTAATCCCAGGAAATCTCCGGTATGGATTATACCAAAAGAGCTCTCCGGGTTCCCCTCCCCTTGACCGTGACTGCATCCGAACCCGAAGAAGCTTCAAACAAGGCAAGTCAATCTCACGCCTCTTGAGCAATTATCACTTTACAGTTTTCCACCCAGTATCCCATCATCATACCCACCTGAACTGCCCTTTAGTAAATTGAAGCAGTGGCCAGACGTACGCCGGGCACTGCGTTTACCGTCTAATCACCCTAAGATGGGCTGCGAGATATTGGAGTAATTACTCACAAGGAACCACCCCTTCTCTCGCTAGTATCTTGACCAACTCCTTCAGACTCGAAACCAAAACTCATCCCATAAAACAAATGCAAACTGATAATGCCATCTCCATATCCCACCCAAGGCGGCCCTCCCCGGCAGAATCATCACTAAACGCAACTAACCCGGCACCTCCAGACTAGTGCCCAATAAGCTCCGGATCGCCCTCCCCATCCCGATTCCCAGCCACCCGCAACAGGGATCCAAAATCAACATGGCTGGGCCCGGGGCCACGTCGTACGCACTCCCCTTTTATATGGGGAGCTGGGCAGTTCCCTCGTTCTTTATTCCTCATCTTCTTGCCCCGTGCTACTTGGGGAATCCAGGTTTCAACTTGTGGGTGGAATTTACATCCTCATCCATACTTACGATCCGATAAACCAACATTCATATCCATTCATATCTTATCTACCATCCGATCGGTCGATCTATATCCACATCTACATCACATACCAAACCAAAACAAACACAACTTACATTCCAAACATCCACCCAAACCTACATCAAAAAACAAAAACCCGCCAAAATGCAAGAAAACGTCGCCATCGCCGTGATTATCATCGTGCTGTTCATCATCCTCGCCATCGCCGGGTACTGGATCCACCGGATGAAGAACCGGGTCGCCTTCAGCAGGGAAAAGAGAGCCGTTGATGAGGAGAGTGGTGGTGACGTGGAGGGTTAATTCCATTCTCTGGATTTCAGGTTGCGCTGGGGATGTGATGTGGCGACCAGTATTATACGATTAAGATGAGATGGGATGTGATGAGATACGGCTTATCGACCTACTTACGACTGATTATGCTCGACATGGGGTTACGATTTTGATGAAGTTGTGATTGACATTGCGATTGCGGTTGCGATGATATACTATATATGCATACGACTACACATACATACATACATGTGTTTGATGGGTTATTTTTGTTTGGGTCGCTGATTGTTGATGCTGTGCTGTGAAAAGCATTGTCGGGGTCAGACGAGATTTGGTTCCTGCTTTCTGTTTGTTGTTTGGATGGTGTTTGTGGTATACCTCATTTTTCTTGGGTTGGGCTGCGTTGGGATTTGGATATATTATTTTGTTGGGTTCAATGTGTATGACATTACTAGAATGAAGCTGTATATGCAGCACCGAATGGTATTACCGTTCTACCGGGGTCAATTGAGGTTATGAAGATTTGATGGTTTTATTGTTCATTATGTCAAGGTCGTTTTTAAGATATACATGTCCGCTATCCGATAATCTTGAGTCCACCTTTAGTCTTGCCGTGCTTCTTAACGCCATCCTGCTTGACCTTCCCATTGCCTCCCCCACCGCCCGATCTTCCTCCACCGCCGTGTTTCTTCCCATTCTTCGTGTTGGACACCGGCCGCACCTCCGTAGTGGCTCGTCGAAGCAGAACCGGATGCGATCCGATGTACTTGCCCTGCATTTCCCTGGCCGCTTTGAAATAGTCGTCGCCATCGCTGAAACTGACGAACCCGTAACCCTTGCTCTTCTGAGTACGCTTGTCGCGGATCACCCGGGCTTTCTGGACCGAGGTATATTTGGCAAATGCCTTTAGCAACGAATCATCCGTCACCTCACCAGCAAGGTTGCCTACAAACAAGCGAAAGTGGGCAGGATCCCACTCCAGCAGTGTCGAGTCGGTCCAGTTCTGACCTCCTCCAGCACGCGCGACAGTCTTAGGGGCGGGCTCCGGGTTGGGTGCTGGCGTGCTAGCCGTAGTATTACCACCGGATGGAGTGTTTACACCAGAACCCGCACCAGAAATACCCTGATTGACGGCCGGACGGCCAGTGACCCTGCCGGTGGCCGGCACCTCGTCCTTGTTCACATAAGCACTCTGCCACTGCGCAATTTGGGCCTCCATTTCAGGATCCAGCCCTGACTCATTGCGTCCGAAGTTCCTCCCGCGCATACCATAAGCGCCCGACTGGTCTGTTCCTGCTGGCGCAAAAGGGTTCTGAATTCGGGGCACGGATGGGCCATATGTGTTGTCATTGTACTGGGAGGCTCCGCCGTAGTATGAAGGGCCGCTTTGATATGAGGCTTGCGCTTGCGCTTGCGGAAAATAGCCACCATAGCTTCCTGTGGTCGGCGTCGAATACCCACTAGACGCTGCTGGAGGAGCCGACACAGCAGGACTGCTGGTACGGTAAGGTTGATTAGACGCTACAGAGCGAGGTTGGAATGCTGTGATGGCGCTGTAGCCCGCCCGAGATCCGTGTCCGCCATAGCCACTGTTTGCACCTGACGGCGCGGCCGAATATGCAGGTTGAAAGTTAGAAGGCGAAGCGGTGTTTGCTGTTGCTGGTGGCCTCGGAGGGAGGGACGACGGGGCTTGTTTGAGACCTGGAGGAGGCGGAAAGGACATGATGAACGGAGAGTTCGAGAGAGATGGATGATGGATGATGTGATGCGCCGTGTGCAAACTAGCAGCAGACACGTACCTTCAGGGTCTGACTGACGCAGCAGTCATACGCCAGACGTCACGCCTGAAAAAGGTTGCGAATCTTGGATGAAGGTGAACGAGTGTGAGACTTTCTAGATCTTTCCCGGCTATTGATAGTGTCCCGTAAGTGAGAGGCGTCGCGGTGGTGGTAATCGGGTGGTAATTCTTGCACTTCCTTGCTGTAGGGTATTGCGCCGTGCAGGGTGACAGCTGAGCTGGAGAAAGTCGCGATCCGAGTGCTGTTGGGAGGTCGGACTGGTGAGTGGTCGTTGGTGGTCCCGATGACGGATGGAGTCCAGCGCAAGATTGAGAGACCGCATGAATGGCTTTTCTCGCCTTCCGTTGGATGCAAACCGGGAATAGCACACGCCATGTGACCTACGCACGTGATCTATGGCACGTGATAGTTAGTTAAGCTTTTGGTAGATGAGTCAGCAGTCTGGGCTGACCTCCTGAGTCATCAGGCCCAAAAAGGCCAAGGCCCTCTCAGCCCCAACGGATTTCCCACATGTGATGCAACCCCCACCCTAACTCCTTTAGGCAGTGCAGTAGCCGACCGACCGGCGGGTAGGATTGACTCTGGCGGCCTCCGTACTGGACAATTCCCGTCACGAGATGCAAAGGACAACGCGGGATGATAAGAGGCCCCGGAAATAGGAATTAGTTTCTCCGACTGATGACTGCTACTCCGTGGAGGTAAGCCATCGAATCCCGATATGAGCTATCTACGATACGGATTATGGCTTGGATACTAAGGATCCCGATGCCGTCGCAGGACGGGGCCTGTAATCTGATAGGTGCAGATGCCTTGGGGACGAGTGATGCACCACCGCGACCAACAATGGGTTACTGTTCCTAGTTAGACATGATGGGGGTGGTGGAGGGAACCAATTTATCCGTCTCCGAAGGTGCTTCACCGAACGCGCTCTGGGAAGTCTGGTCTGGGATTGTTGGTCCCTTCCCTGGGCCGATGTAGGAAGTGCATTTGTTGCGGCCGGCTGCCCCTCCATGCCCCGCCATCTTTGATGTTCCAGCTCCTGTGACTCCGTCATTTCCGAACTTCCCCCATGCCAACGGGGCTCAATTGGCAATTGAGTTGAGGGTAGTATAAATGATATGAAGCGCTGTAGAATGTGAAGTCCGTGTAGGTGGAAAGATCTCGATTGCGACCGGTTAATTGATGCTTCCCGGTGTATGTTACCAGCCATACTGGAAACTAGTCAGTAGTAGTACTGTATCCGCGGGCTTCCATCAGAGCTTCCCCCCCCCCCTCTCTCCGTTGAAGTAAAGTCCCCGTACCAAAATCGCCCATCCACCGGGCGTGGTTGTTCACCGGAGGACTCTGCTCCCTCTGTCCCAAGTCCTGCCCCGCCCTCCGTCCCACCATGACGGAAGGCTGCTCCGTAAGCCGTCCATTTGCACGAATCCTGCTCTGACATCTTCGAACGCCTTCTCCTTCGCTCGCTTCTTCTTCTCCCTTTCCCTCTCTCCTCTCCAACCTTCCTCCTTTCTCCATCATCTCACTCTGGGCAGTCGGTTCTTCCTGCTGTACATATATCCCCCACCCACCCTCCTCCTTTCTTCACCTCTTCCATATCTCCTAATCCAGCCTTTACTCACCCCACTATTTCATCATGGCTGACAAAGCTGTGTAAGTACCCTGCGGCCACCCTGATTACCCCCTCTTATCTCCCTATGCCTCTATCCGTCAATCCTTTTACTTCCCCCGCAGCTGGAATTATCCCGGATATCAATCAATGTGCCGGGAGACATCTATTGTTTGCGGGTAGGCTGGATCATGGACAGCTTGCATCCTGGACTGCCTCCGCCATCATCCATCAATTCATTGGGGATGGCGGTGGACGGCCAGCTTGGTGGAGTTTGCGTCTCGACGTCATAAGCGTTGAGTGCAATGCAGCTTCACACAATGCCCCAACTTTTCATTTTCCGCCCAGCTATTGACAGGAGAATTGGCAACTGACTTTAGCGCCCGTCTCGCCGGCATCAATGTCGGCGCCCCGGCGCGTCCTTTGCCTAGTGCTGATTTCGGTCTCATCGGTCTGGCCGTTATGGGTCAGAACCTGATCCTTAACGTTGCCGACCACGGATTCACTGTCTGCGCCTACAACCGCACGACCTCCAAGGTTGACCGCTTCCTCGAGAATGAGGCCAAGGGTAAGTTTCGTCCGGTACCAGCCGGCACCTGTCTTTCTGAAAATACTGACGAGATGGTCTTTTAGGCAAGTCTATCGTTGGTGCCCACTCCATTGAAGAGTTCTGCGCCAAGCTGAAGCGCCCCCGCCGTATCATGCTTCTGGTCATGGCTGGAAAGCCCGTCGACCAGTTCATCGAGTCTCTCCTGCCCCACCTTGAGGCTGGTGATATCATCATTGACGGTGGTAACTCCCACTTCCCCGACTCCAACCGCCGCACCAAGTACCTGGCCGAGAAGGGCATCCGCTTCGTCGGCAGCGGTGTCTCCGGTGGTGAGGAGGGTGCCCGTTACGGTCCCTCCCTCATGCCCGGTGGTCACGAGGAGGCTTGGCCCTACATCAAGGACATCTTCCAGAGCATCTCCGCCAAGAGCGACGGTGAGGCCTGCTGCGATTGGGTTGGTGACGAGGGCGCTGGTCACTTCGTCAAGATGGTCCACAACGGTATTGAGTACGGTGACATGCAGCTGATCTGCGAGGTAAACCATTGGACGGCAAAGACCCTTCATAGGAATTGCATGGAAGCTGACACGCTCGGTATTTAGGCCTACGACATCCTCAAGCGTGGCCTGGGTCTCCCCACCAACGAGATTGCTGATGTCTTCGCCAAGTGGAACAAGGGTGTCTTGGACTCCTTCCTGATTGAGATCACCCGCGATGTTCTCTACTACAACGACAACGACGGCACTCCCCTCGTTGACAAGATCCTCGACAAGGCCGGCCAGAAGGGTACTGGCAAGTGGACTGCCATCAACGCCCTTGACCTCGGCATGCCCGTCACTCTGATCGGCGAGGCCGTCTTCTCTCGCTGCCTGTCTGCCCTCAAGGACGAGCGTATCCGTGCCAGCAGCCTTCTCCAGGGACCCGCTGTTCCTGAGTTCACCGGTGACAAGCAGGCTTTCATCGATGACCTGGAGCAGGCCCTGTACGCCTCTAAGATCATCTCCTACGCCCAGGGCTTCATGCTCATCCAGGAGGTAAGTCCACGCACTCGATAGTTTTTGCCAGAAGATCAGTGACTGACTGTCCTACTATTTTTAGGCTGCCCGTGAGTACGGCTGGAAGCTGAACAAGCCCTCCATCGCCCTCATGTGGCGCGGTGGTTGCATCATCCGCTCCGTCTTCCTGAAGGACATCACCAACGCCTACCGCAACAACCCCGACCTTGAGAACCTCCTGTTCGACGATTTCTTCAACAAGGCCATCCAGAAGGCCCAGAGCGGCTGGAGAAACGTTGTCAGCAAGGGCGCCCTCTGGGGTATCCCCACCCCCGCTTTCAGCACTGCCCTCAGCTTCTACGACGGCTACCGCACTCGCGACCTCCCCGCCAACCTGCTGCAGGCTCAGCGTGACTACTTCGGTGCCCACACCTTCCGCATCAAGCCCGAGCACGCCAACGAGAACTACCCCGAGGGTAAGGACATCCACGTCAACTGGACTGGCCGCGGTGGTAACGTGTCTGCGTCCACCTACATTGTTTAAGTGATGCTGCGATGTAAAACGCTGGACGTGGAGCCTCGCACTGGTCTGGCCTGGGAACCACCGGGTCGGCCAGGATCCGGCGAGTTAGGAAGCCGGGCTCTTTGAGCACATAAATAAGAATGATGACGATCAAAACGACCAGCAAAAACAGGAATTAAATCCTTTTATAGTTTATTAACATGTACCTAGATGCTTGTTCTGATGTGAAAAACGGACGGAATGAGATGGTTTAATGTTTCTTCATGCAGGTGGCTTGGCCATGGTCGAGGTAGAACTGTAGACTGTAGACTGTAGACTGTACGGAGTCGACTGACTGTTAAGAAGCCTGGAGGTGTCGGAGGTGCTGCTCCGCGTGGGACTAAACCGGATTGGGCGACGGGAAGGTCGTGACTCCCTCCGGCGGGCTCCCCTCGAGTGGTCGCCGCTGCATTAATCCCCCCCCCCCGATTCTGCCCAACTGCATGCCAGGACGCTGAGGAGCTCTCCCTCCCTGGCTGGCTGTACTCTATTGGTGCCCCTTTCGCTTCGGTGGTGGTTGTTTTACTGGATATTCTATGTTCTTACTTCTCGTCGTTCCTTTACTCAACTACGACTAAGCTGCGGTTCCCGCCCGTCCCACTTTTGCTTGATCCGCACTGCGTGCCATCGTCATTGCTGGTTACGACCGCAGTTTCCACGCAAATAGGAGACTCACTCTGATCGATCATTGCATCCTGCGTCCGACCTAACTAGCCCTCTGCGTGGGCAAGTTTGTGCTCCCGTGTTCCTCGACCGAACACGCCTTTGTTCCCCTCGGGAAGAGACAACTCAGCCACTGCGTGACGGTGGACCCTATCCTGTTGTCCTGCACTGTTGCTAGGATAGTCCAACGGTTTCCTGTCCGATCATATGGCCGATAACAAGCGCCACAGTGTGGGAGCGAGAGCATCTGCGCAAGGACCATCCGGAGGAACTGCGGGCCAGGGAATGGCTGGTGCTATGGTGCCTTTGGAGGTGGCATTGAGCAGTGCAATTGGCGCACGGTAAGTGTCGACCCTGTCCAGACACTGTTGGGCCAGCGTTTCTGTTTATCTAGCCTGATCTTGTACCCCATACTTTCTGCCCAGGTATTGCTTCTGGTTGAATGCCGGGGGAGAACAGAACAACCCGTACTGACACTGTTGCCTCCACATAGTGTTCGTATCAGTACAGCTCCGGTCGCTGCCACAATTGAGGGCACTCTGTTCACAGCCTGTCCGATCACGAACCTTGTTGCCATCAACACTGCCGGCGGAAAACAGACACATGCAGGCGATTACCATATCGTCCCGGTGTCGCGCATACAATCCTTCCAGCTTCTTTCTCTGCCGCCTAACGCCGATGGGGCTTCCTTTTCCGATGCCGTTCCCGCCCTGCACGCCCTTGATATCCGCTCGTTGAAGACCCGGGAGGCCAATGCCGTCGGCAAACTACAGGAGAGTGAGGCCCGGCGAGGCAAAGGAGTCACTCGGGAAGCACAGGACCTCTTCGATGCATTCAGTCGCACAATGCCGGCAAGGTGGGATGGATCTAAGATCATCGTGGCTGATGCGGTCTCCATTGCGGCCCCCTACCGCCCGGACGACTGCCGGCCATTGGTGGCGGGTGACACGGCTGCTCTTGCCCGAGTCCGCATGGTGGTAAGTCAATCATGTGTTGAGGGGATTAGGGTACATCTGACGACCGGACTAGCTCGAGATGGAACGCAAGAAGATTGAACTGCGCAACGCGAGTGCAACTATCGGTACGGCCCCGATCTTGGCACCCTTCTGAAGACACCTCCAACTATGACTACTTCTAACGACTCGAGTGTAGGGGCGGGTGCTGCTGGACAACGTAAAGGAGGCTGAAGCATCCCTACCTGTCTCTCCATTGGCCCCCTGGTAGGCTCCCCTCTGCCTCTTGGGTACTGTTACGGGGATGAAAATTTGGGCGGGACGAGCCCGTTCAGAAACGCGATATTAGCATGCGGGAATCGGAGACCACAAGTCGTTCGCTGATTGTCGAATGTACATGTAGAGGAGGGTTGGAAAAGCGGCCTAGAGTCACTGGGCAAGAAAATGAAGGAGAGAGCTTATAAAGAAGCGGGACTTGGACCTGGCCGTGGCTTGGTTGTAGTACGGACCTGGTGAATCCGTCCGGGGACGACCGGTGCACGGGATGGGACGGATACGGAGGCTTGCCTTCGGGCCTGTCCTTTAGATTTATTGATTTAGATACCGGGGCGGCATGAATATGATGAACTATACTTTGTGCACCCGATCCTGAATGCGTCCCGAGTCATCTAGCCGGCCAATTGATCCCCATTGGACTTGGTGGTCTGTAGTCGCGGTAGGCTGCTCGATGAGGTGCTACAGCGTTAACGGGTTTTTTCTCCAGAAGACAGAGAGTCTAGCGCCAACACACGAAATATCCCGTTCACATGACAATATAAAAGCACCTGGGATTTCTTTTTTTTCCCCCCTTGTGTGAGATTTTTGTATACTGAATTGACTTCTGTTGCGAAATAGGTTTGTCATGATTTCTCCGTGTCTCGGACAATAGATGATGCTGGTGAGATGAGCTGGTGATGTGTGAGTGAGTACGTGCTGAGGAGGGGAGGGGCTACGCTACTACTACTACAGTACTGCTGGTGCTGGTGCTGCATGGTGATGATGTGATTGATGGGTGACGGGCGGAGAATGTGTGTCTAGCATGGCATTCATGGCACGGCACACGGCACCCGGCACCCATACATACATACTTTATGTTTGAAGCCCTCACGTCGGTTGAGGTAAGGGAGAGGGAGGTAGGAGAAAGATAAATGAATTTTCCGAGCCGTGTGGAAAAGAAAGGAAGAGAGACACAAAGATTCAAAGAGAGAGAGAGAGCAGAAGAAAGGGTGGTGGAAGTGGACCGGGCTGCAAAGTGTATGCTGCAGCGGGTGGAGTTGATGCAGGTCAGCATATGGCTATTCAAACTATGACTTGGGCTAACGCGGTTGCAGGGCTGCATGGGACCCGATAGTTCATGGCATAATGGTGATGACATGGATGTGATGGAGGTTGTTGGTGGTGGCGATTGAAGCTGATACCCACCAGGTCCATCAGGATCCAGAGAGGATACTGTGTACACTACGCTGTACAGTACACAGTGGGGAGAAGGCAGATCATGGGGAGAAAAGGGTGAGGAGAGGGAGCAGAATGAAGATAGGGTGAACGGGTCACCCCGCAATCTGGGATGGATCAGCCCTCCAACCCTTGGTTAGGGCCCCAAAATGAGGATCATACTGAGGATGCTGGTCATCGGAGAAAAACAATTCGGGGATCGCGAAAGAAACAACCCCCCCATTATTCCTCCAGACCTATCAGAAACTTATTATCTGGGTTTGTTTTCCTTCCTGCCGAGGTGTTGATTAATGCATTGGGGGTGCATCCAATCATCACGGGTCGCTGGTCGTGTTTAGAGTTGGACCCAAAGCACCTCCGAATTGATCAGGGCTCATTGCCAAGAGAGTCGGTGTGCTGAAGGCTGAAGCCATCCAGCTTCCCCTCTCAGGATGGACGGCCCCGAGGCCGACGGATGACTTCCTTTGCTGTCAGGGAGTGTGCCACAGCCACGCAGGGTCACTACTAGTCACTCTTAGCACCATCTCTCGGCTATCGGCGGTGGTTGCTGCCTGATCAGGTTTCTCGCTGGAGTTTCCATCGACTTTGTGCTGAGGATTGGGGATTTCATGTCCATCTTCTAGCTGGATGGTTCGAAGGGTCCTCTCGACGATGCCACGAGGAATGAACTACGCACCAATTGGGGGAGAGCCGACCGTGATACACCTATAAGCATGGCGACGTGAAGGCCAGGGACCCAAAAGCTAGGAATTGATGACCCCGGATCGTCCGGAAGGGACCAAGCCCGAAGGACTCTAGAATGACTCGCGACCAGGATCCCATCTAGGAAGGTAGGCTGGTGATGAACTTGGCCTTGCACACTATCTCCTCCGTACTAGTGCCTTCAAGAAAAGAAAAGGAACAGGCAACAATTAGTCAGGCTGCTTTTTGAGACTGGGAATGACCCGATCAAGGTCAGGCGGTGGATCCCGACAGGTCCTTTTGGCCCATTTTCGCCCTCAGCATCGGTCATCATTTAATAACCAGCGAGCTCGTATCGCCAGTAATGACGTTGGAGTGGCTGTTTGGCTGTTGGAGATCCCGACCAGGCCCAACTTTGACTCAAAGTCATACTGATTTTACTGATCGCGTCCCTTGGCGATAGAAAGTCCAATTTGGGTTGAAACCTGCACGGTCTCTCTCGCGCTGTCTCTCCCCTCCGGCAGCCATCCGTATGATCCTTTCTTCTCCTCCTCCTCCTTCCACTGGCCTGACTTGAATTGCTGCATCCCTCTCTCACTCTCTCTCCCTCCTTTCTTTTCTTTTCTGGTTCCATTTCCTCTCCTGTCGTGTGCTTATCCTCTCTCTATCTGTCTCTCTGTCTCCTTCTCTACGATCTACTCCGTACCTCCATTCATATCCATCCTACGGGGCCGCTGTGCGTGCATCGGTCGCCCTTGCATCAATCATCCGCCGCCGCTGCTGCTGCTCTGCTGCGCTGCTGCGCTGCTGCTCCTTTCCTCCCCCCCATTTCCCTCCCTTGACATTTTCCTTTTCCTCTCGTCCGACTCCCATTTGCCTTTTCTGCTCGATTTCCTGTCAATTCCCCACTAAGACCAGTCAATTCCCTCACCGGCTTTCCACCTACACACTCCTTGGGTCCGCCTGTGCCCCTCGCCATTCTTCGCCCTCGCCAATCCCTCCGGTCGTGACAACCCACTGAGACACGTTGACCCTCGTCACTGATGGGGGCATCGCCAACCTAGCGATCTCCCTCCTTTCTTCGCCTTATCGCCCTCTTATATCGTTCCCTTCCCGCCCGAGACGAGCCATCGCCGACTATGGGAGTCTCCCCGTCCGGCAACCATCATCGACGGCGGAGCTCAGTGCTGGCGGGCACCTCACAATCAGCTCCAATCGAACACCGGGACGACGGTGCGAGGGTCGTTGGCGACGCTGTGGGGCCGAAAAAAGAAGAACCCAAGTCCTCGCCGGCTGAGGACGCAGACATCTCGGATCTTTCGTCAATCGCAGAAAGCTTGGAGATGGATTATATGAGCTCGGATGACGATCTCCACGATGATGAAGAGACGGGCCTTACCGCGAAGCAGAGACGCCAAAGACGCCGCAGAAGACAACAGCGGAGGCAGTTGGATGCCCGTATCGCCGATGTCAAAGCCTCGCGGCAAGATGCGATACCACTAGGATTGGGAGATCGGGAGGTCTTCAAGCGCTTGTCGATCAATGCGGGCTTGATTCTGATGTGGTATTTCTTCTCGCTGTCCATCTCAATTGTGAGTTCTCCTGTGTACGTGCGGCCGCGATATTGATTGCGATGCTAACCCCCGGTGTCCAGTACAACAAGTGGATGTTTTCTGATGATGATGTCGTGTTCCCTTTCCCTCTCTTCACCACCAGTCTGCATATGGCTGTCCAATTCACCTTCTCATCCATTATCCTGTATCTGATTCCCTCTCTGCGCCCCAAGGCGCCTACGACACCCACGCCTTCGGGATCGCCCGTGAGCGAGCATGCTGCGTTCGAGCCCCAACCGGTGATCACCAAGTTCTTCTACCTGACGCGTCTTGTTCCCTGCGGTACAGCGACTTCCCTTGATGTTGGTCTGGGGAACATGTCTTTGAAATTCATCTCCCTGACTTTCCTCACCATGTGCAAATCATCCGCATTAGCATTTGTGCTTCTCTTTGCCTTTGTGTTCCGCCTCGAGACCCCGTCCGTCAAGTTGATCGTGATTATTGCCACCATGACCGTGGGTGTCGTGATGATGGTCGCAGGCGAGACCGCCTTTAATGTAGTCGGATTCATCCTTGTCATCGCATCGGCGTTCTTCTCGGGCTTCCGCTGGGGCCTCACGCAAATCCTCCTTCTCCGCCATCCTGCGACGGCGAATCCTTTCTCGACCCTCTTCTTCCTCACGCCCGTGATGTTTTTCTCCCTGATTGTCATTGCCCTGGCGGTAGAAGGCCCTCTGGAAATCATTGCCGGCTTCCAGGCCCTGGCCGATGCCCGTGGCGGCATGTTTGCTGTTTTCCTCCTGATTTTCCCCGGCATCCTGGCTTTCTGCATGATTTCCTCGGAGTTTGCGCTCCTCAAGCGCTCCTCGGTCGTGACGCTGAGCATTTGCGGCATTTTCAAGGAGGTCGTCACCATCAGTGCCGCGGGAGTCATTTTCCACGACCAACTCACCGTGGTCAATATCACGGGGTTGGTGGTCACCATTGGCAGCATTGCCTCGTACAACTACATGAAGATCGCCAAAATGCGCGCCGAAGCGCAGAAGAGCGCGTGGACCCGGAGCCCGACCCTGGACTCCGAAGACGATTCGGACCCCAGCGGGGAACGTGGCGAATACCAACGGATCCGCAATCCGGAAACGAGCATGTTCCATTCTTCCGACACCCATGTTGACGAGGACAACGTTAACATCACCCCCGACGATGACTTGACCGCTGGCGGTCGGCGCTCGTTCCGTGTTCGTGCCAGCGGAGCCAGCAACGCGCTCGGGCTGAGTATCAACACGACCAATCTCGGCGACCACGATACATCACTCTCTCCGCGGGTGTCCGGCCCCTCGCCTATGAAATCTGCACCGCCGGTGATCACGTCCCTCGAAGCGGAGCTTAACCGGCCGGGCCAGGGCCCTAGCTATGGGAGCAACCTCCAACCCTCCCCAGAACGGGGATTGCATGGGCAAGGGCGTTCAGCGACTTAGAGATCATAGAGATCATCTTTGGACATGAAGTTTTGTGCACCTTGGTTCCCGGAACCACTGGAATGGTTCACCCTGGATCTTCGCTTTCTACTTTCCTTTATCCCCGCAGACCCTTTGGTCGGTCTGAAAACGTAATGGCATCAGCGTTTGAGTCCCGATTGTCATGTTTTGGACTTGATGGTCCTTCTTTTATAACGGCGGTTCAGCATGCCTTGAAGTTGGCATGTCGGAGTACATTGGGCGTCCCGCACATAATGGCAGACGATGTCTGGTATAGACAGTGATTTATCGAGTGATACCATGTTATCTATCTCTTAGCTCGGAACGAGTTTAATCGCATGTGCGGCAGTGCTCGAGTTGACGTAAGAGCCGATCGGACGTCTTTTGACTAAATAAGCCATGCCTTGGGATGAAAACTGCACTTGGCAGACCTGATTGATCATCTATAGTCTGATCTACTGGTAGCTGAGGCATTGTGCCATTGCAGCTTCTTCACCTACATCTATCTGTTACTTTATCATCGTGTACACTCTTTAGACTTTCTGTTTCCTTCACCAAAGATAGCATTCTGATAGCATATCATATCTCGTCTCAAATCCCATAGTACGTCAGGACCCAAGTCAAGTCAGGTCGACAGCACCCACCCCTTCAACAATCAATACCACATTATATCCAAACCCATCCCAAATGACAACCCACTCAATCCTCCGCATGACTCTGACACCCCTCCTCATCACTCCCACTCTCATCCCCCTCTTTTGCACTCTTCCCCCTTCCCCTCTTCGTCTTCCCCGCCCCATTCATCATCTCCATCAACGTCTTCTGTCCCTTCTTCTTCTCCACCGGACCCTTCCCCTTCGCCTTCTTCTTCTCCTCAGCCGACAATTTCCGCTCATATTGCTCCTGTTGCTTCTCGCGCATTTCCCGCCCCTCTTCGGATAATTTTGCCTCCAGGGCACGGAATTCTTCCCCCTCCGGGTCCATCCCGATTAGGGATTCGAGGAGGGCGATTTCCTGCGCCCAGACGGTGAAGTCAGGAATTAGTTTTGCAGAAGATGAGGGGGGTTTTTTGGTGGTCTTTTTGGGAGAGGATGAGGATGAGGATGAGGATGGTGGTTCGGGACGATCGATAGGCGTTTCGAGGATCATAGGGAGGTTTTGAAATCGGGGTTCGTTCATGACGTTGTGGAAGGCACGGAGACCGAGGAAGCCCGTGCCGATGTTGGCGTGTAGGTCGCGTTTACTGCCCTTGGGTGCTTTGGAGTCGTTGAGGTGGAGGGCGCGGAGGTGTTGGAGACCGATGGTGTCGTCGAATTCTTGGAGGAAGGCTTTGAATCCTGCGGGAGTGACGAGGTCGTAGCCGGCGGCGAAGCTGTGGCAGGTGTCGATGCAGATGCCGATTCGGGGGTGGAGGTCTTTGGGGATTTGGGCTAGGATGTCGCGGAATTCGTGCAGGTAACCGCCGATCGTGGTGCCGTGGCCGCACATGGTTTCCAGGACAGGGATTACGGTGCTGGTGGCGCGGAGGGCGTTGGTGAGGGCTGTGGCGAGGCGGGTGAGGGCGTCTGGAAAGCTGCTTTGGTTGGCGCTGCCGGGGCTAAGTTGGTTGGTTTAGTGGGGGTGATTTTGGGGGGAAGGGGAGGGGACGGACTGGAAGTTGTAGAGGGTGATTCCTAGGGCTTCGCAGCGGCGAAGGTCGTCAAGGAATGAATCGTATGCTTGTTTGGCTTTGGCTTTGTCTTCTTGGGCCAGGTTCACGAGGTAGGAGCCGTGGGGGAGGATGTGTCTGAGCGGTTAGGATGAGGATGGGAGGATGGATGGGATAGGGCTCACTGTGCGGCGTCATATTTGTGCTCTGTGCAGAGGCTGCGGAACTGGTCGCGGTGATCGTCTTGGAGAGGAGGGTTGTCCCATTTGCGCTGGGACTTGAGGAAGAGGGCAAAGGCGTTGCCACTAAAGATATTAGTTGATGGGTGACTGTTTGGAAGGAGGGGACGTACCCGATGTGTGTGCTGTTGTGGACAGCATTGAAAACACCTGTTAGGAGGTATCATCAGTTTGATGAATGGCACGTTGCATTAGAGGATGTGCAAACCTTTGGCGGCGCTGACATGAGCTCCCACGCACATGCGCAAACCCTGCGTACGCGCCCTCAATGGTACCATCTCGACCTCCTCCTTGGTCTTCCTTTTCCGCGTAGCCTTTACCTTCACTGCTGGTTTCTCATCCACCTCCTCGTCCTTGGCCACACTTTCGTCGACTACTTCTGCCTCGACCTCAAGCTCTTGTACCTCCTCGACTTCCTTTTTCACGGAAACAACCTTGCCCCCACGAGGTTTTCTCGGCGAGGCCTTGGGGCTCTCTGCAGCAGATCGAGTCGAAGCTGCGCGTGTGGTGGACTTGCCGGATGGCGACTGCGTTGCAACTGGTTTGGCCCGCTTCGACCTTCGCAGAGGGGAGCTCTGTTCCTGGGTTTCGTCTGGCTTGCGCTTGGCTCCCGCGCCGGAGGGTTCGGGGGAGCGTGGTGGCTCAGTTGCCACAGCGGTGGAGGCCGTCTTTCGGGTGCCGCGGGGAGGCATCGCAGGTTATCCGGGGGTGTGAGTGACAATGAGGTCACCGATCCAGTCTGAATTGTTATTTGAGGAATGGTGGATGGCAGAAGTTGGTGGGCCGTGAAGCCAGCAGGATCGGCCCGCGCTGGGAGACGCGAGACGCGAGCGGGCGGTTGATCAGTCGGATGGGGATCAACCACGCGGTATTTCACAAAAGAAAAGAATTTAGAACAGAAGACCAATCCAGTGTATGGAGGAACGACAATAATTATCCAGAAGAGAATCGATTCCTCCTGTCAAGAGTGGCTGGACCAGATCTCTGCAGCTGGACGTCTCCGCAGCCAATATTACCCGATACAGACTAGAGGACATGTGACCGGTCGCCAGGACAACGGCCCAGGGATTGACGGCTGTTTATCGATAAACTGCCCAACCAGTCAATCTCCGTCGCATCGGAGCCTGAATCTTGTCTTTTATCCATCTCGCCAGTCCGCCATCGCCATCATCGCCATCGCATCAGATACGCCAACGTCAAGTACCGCCACTCTCGACTAACTCATTTTGATTCACCAGTCCTCGTCATCTCTCGCCGCCATGGCGGCCCCCGGAGACCTCATCAATTTCGACATCATCGAAGGCCAGAAGGAGAATATCCAGTCATTGCCAGGAGGACGGTCGGCAAGAGAGCTGGCTCGCATCTTCTCCCCGCGCGAGTCCTCAGATATCTTGGCTACGCCATCACCAAATGATACCCGGACGGTCAACGATACCATCAGACAGGAATACGAAGCGGAGCTGCAAGCCATAGGGGAATCGGATGACCCCCTCGACATCTACGACCGATACGTCAAATGGACACTCAATGCCTATCCTTCTGCCCAGGCCACCACCGAATCTGGCCTTCTACCACTCCTGGAACGCGCCGTGAAATCTTTCCTCAACTCCCCTCATTACAAGAATGACCCCCGCTATCTACGCCTGTGGCTGCACTATATCCGACTATTCTCAGACTCACCGCGGGAAACATTCGCATTCCTGGCCCGCCACCATGTTGGAGAAGGTCTGGCCCTGTTTTACGAAGAGTTTGCTGCCTGGCTGGAAAGCGCTGGGAGATGGACTCAGGCCGACGAAGTGTACCGCCTCGGCATTGACAAGGAAGCGCGCCCCGCCGAACGCCTCGTCCGCAAGTACAGCGAGTTCCAACACCGCTATGAAAACCACACACAAGACAATGGCCCCTCGTCACCGGCGTTGCCCGCGGTCCGGCCAGCCTTGGCTGCCAAAGTCGACCCCTTCGCTTCGGCTTCACCCCCGGCCGCCGACGGTCAGGCCCAGCGCTCAGCCCCCGCTAGAGGGGCTGCCCCGAAGACGAAATCCGGCAAGCCGAAAATGGCCATCTTTTCCGATGCCGACTCGCCAAGCCAGCCAGCTGTGAGTGGACCAGCCCAAGGGTGGGATGAAATTGGGTCGTTGCACGAACGACGGAAGGAGAACAAGGTCGAGGCAAAGCCATGGGCGGGGGAGACATTAAAGGCCGGCAAAAAGCCAGCTCCGGCACAAAAGATGACGATTTTCAGGGATGAGGTAAGTCCCAGTGGTTTATTTACCCTCTCTTTCTGATTTCCGCCTATTTACGATCACAGGACTAATTGGTGGCATGAACCGCATTGGTTTACGATTTATGTATTCAGTCAAGCTCCAGTTTACAAGCCAAAGAAGCATTGCAATCGAAACATGTTCCAGAGCATCGTGTAAGAGAGGCGATTAACCCACGTACAGGGAGACGGGAGCGCGTCTTCGTCAATCTCGAAGCAGTCTACCCTGACTACAAGAACCCCAACCATGAGGTCAGCTTTGAGGAATTGAGAGCCATGAAGCGCGGCTGGATGGACAAGAATTGGCGGGCCCTTAAAGAGCCCCTTAAGCAGATATCTGGCAATGCTGCTTCAGGAGATCTCTCCTCTGAGAACCCCTTGGAGCAGGGTCTAGAGAACGAGCTGCCGACACAATTTAAACAGAAACTGACCGTCAGAGATGCGGATGCTCACGACCAGGGGCAGGCCCAGGTGGCTCAGGAGAGCAAGGCCAATAAAGCGCGGAAACTCAAACTTCGTGAAGTCAAGGGAGAAACACAGACCAGTAAGCGCTGAAACTGCCTCACTTTGCCGCCCCTGTCTTCTCACTTGGTTCTCATGTGTACTAATCCATGTGAAGTTAAAATGAAGTTTGACTCCCCCACGGGGGGCAAGATCCGGCGAAAGAGCACTGCAGAGCCAACGATGACTATTCATACTCGCGCTGCAACAGACGAGATCTACAGTATTTTCAACCAGCCACTCAAGGCGGAGACTGAGAACGTGGCGGAAAGTAGTGACTTTGAGGACGACGATTATACGAGCGCCGGGGAGAGCACCTGCACAGGTCGTATTTCTGCTGCGTCAAGCGACTTCGGAGACGATGACACCACTTTTCATAAATCATTTGTGGAGGGCGATGAGGATGGCTTCGAGGATAACACGCGCGCTGAAAGTGTCGTTGATGGTGAATGGACTCAGTTCTCAGCCTGCGATGTGCCTGCTCATTCACCAACCGTGCCCGAAGACGCTGCGTACAATGATGGCGAGAATAACACAGGGCGCTTCCTCGATGGAGTAGATGAGACCGAGAGGCAGAGGTTTGTCCCAGAAATGCCAGAAGACTACAACCCACCTTATGGTCCATATCGCGACCCCGCGGTAGTCGCACAGAACCGCCTGCCTTTCATGACCCCAATCGTGGAGCAAACTGAATATTCGCTCTCCATGACGGCAGCTAGGAACAGTCTATACAATGCGAAGACCCCGTCCAAGCCTCAGATGGGCAATCTGCTGTTGTCCAGCCCATTGATCGCCACCCCGCGGAACTTTCCGGATATTCCCGAAGATGTTGCTCTGAGCCCTACAGTCGAGAAGGTCCGAACGAGTTTCAAGTTGACCCCGCTGAAAGAGAGCAGCCGACGAGAGATAGTCATTGAGGACGCACAGTGCAATCCCACCGACAGGGCGATTCGCAACACCATTCTCCAGTCCTTACAACCAGCGCTGGCATCTTACCCCGGATACCACGGCCATCCTGAGATGGATACCCACTACGGCACTGAAGTGCAGAGATTCCTCAAGGCCAGTCCCAAGCGTTCGAGAAGCGGTGGCGAGGCATCTTTCGATGTGCCCATTCTAGAGCTTCCGGGTGCCGAAAGAAGCTATATCATTCGGCGTGAGCTGGGCGCCGGCGCTTATGCTCCGGTCTACTTTGCAGAGAGTATCGATAATCTACCTTCCGACTCAGACGCCGAATGCACGGACGGCAACCGCAGAGATTCCCACAATCGTAAACCGACTCGATACGATACTCCCCGTTACGGGTTCGAGGCAATCAAACTGGAGGTAGGACCGCCTAGCGAGTGGGAGTTTTACATGATTCGCACCGCAAACGACCGATTGAGCCGCCATCCCGAATTTTCGCGCGCTGCCGAGAGCCTTATCCGGGCACATGAACTCCATGTCTATAAAGGGGAGAGCATTCTGGTTGAAGACTACCGGGGACAAGGAACGTTGCTCGATCTTATCAATCTCATCCGCAACGAGCCAATTTCAGCCAACACCAACGGTGATGGTGGGATGGATGAGGTCCTGGCCATGTTCTTCACGGTGGAGCTATTCCGAACCGTTGAAGCTCTGCACACATGTGGCATCCTCCATGGCGACATCAAGGCTGATAACTGTCTCGTCCGCTTTGATGACAGTTCTGCAACCCCTCTCTCTCTGATCGATCTCGGGGACGAGGTCACCGCAGACCCACACGAAGTTCACTACTCCCCCCGAGGCCTGTTCGGCTGGCGCAGCAAGGGTCTTTCCCTCATCGACTTCGGCCGCAGCATCGATATGCACGCCTTCCAGCCATCCGTGCAGTTTATCGCTGACTGGAAGATTGGCCAGCACGAGTGCAATGAAATCCGCGAGCAGCGGCCCTGGACGCACCAGATCGACCTCTACGGGCTCGCGGGTACCGTTCACGTGATGCTCTTCGGCAAGTACATTGAGTCGATCCCCAGTGGCCCTTCGACGTACCGGATCCGGGAGTCCTTGAAACGGTACTGGGAGCGCGACATTTGGAACGATGTCTTTGATGTCCTGCTCAACCCCGGCGAGGAGCGATGGGCTCAGATGGAACGCGAAGGCAATAACCCCGCGGCCATGGCCAGCGAAAACCCGCCCATTCTCCCCGTAACGAACTCCATGCGCTACGTCCGCGAGAGAATGGAAGCCTGGCTTCTCGTGAATGCCGAGAAGAAGGGTCTGGGCCTGCAAATCCGGAAGCTCGAAGCCATCTTTGCCGAGAGGAAGAAACGCTTGGAGAAATGCTAATGCATTTCCGCCTGCCACTTGATCACCTCGCTACTTTGCTTTGCCTTTGCCTGTTCCCTACGATGCATGATTAGCCCTTATACCCCCTTTGCCTGGTCGCAGCGTTGGCGTTTTGGTCGATCACCATCTTCTCTTCTCTTGCCTTCTCTTCTTATCTTCTCCGTTGTAATCATCTTGACCGTCGGTCGTGGATACATACATAGTCTGTATAGTACTAGTACTAGTTCTGGAATCTAGGTTGTTGGTACCTTTGATTGCATATCCAATCTCAGTTAGGCATAAGTGATTTCCGATACCTCCTATCTAGCTTATACGAGTAGTCACTTTCAGTACAGGGCTCGAAAACTTACTAGTACAACGTCGATTTTAAAAGAAACAGAAACATCAATAAATCCTTCCAAAGTGTAGCATCTAACACTCACTTACATCGTAAGCATTCTGTCGTAAAATTTCTGTCATACTTGTTCGTTGTAACATCCTGCATCATAAAATAGCAATCGGTAGCAGATCGCGTACGTATCCGGTTGTGTGTGTGCATGCTTCGTTATCCAAAACACCAAAGATCAATCATATATGCTAAACAGGACTACAATGATCACCAAATCATAAATAAGCATGAGATGTATTCTTGGAATAGAGATAGTAAGAAATAAAAGAGAGAGAGAGAGAGGTAGATTGTTGGCTGTAAATCGACATGCTTGACTGGAGCAAGACATGGTGAACAGACAAAACAGAAATCAATTCAAAACAGTCAGTCAAAGCAATGCTGAACTGAAACTGAACGCTGCAAAGACAATGAACGCTTCCATAAGACGTCGTCACTGAGCAGCAGCCATGGTTGGACGGCTCATTTCATCTATCAGTCATTCATTCAATAGCGGCGTCTCTCCATTCTAATCATCACTGTGCATGCTAAAAGGCATGCGGAAGGTTCATCAAGATCAAGGACAGATCACGTGGTGATATCGAGTATTCAAATTCGATGGGTGGTGGATATAAGAGAGAGGATAAAGAGGAAAAGAAATTGAAGGATAGTGGGATTGCCAGGGTTCGTTGGTTTTGTATGACTTTTTTTCTTTTGTGTTTCCGGTGGCAATGTTGAAGTTCTGTCGAAGCTGTAGTTGGTCAAAGAGTGAATTGGGTTCGGTATGTCCAGAGAGTAAGAGAAAAGGAAAATCAGAGAGTGTCGTTGACTATCACCAGTGGATGCGGAACCCTTCCGTGGCCGGGGTCGTACCAAAGTTACCCGGGTCCCGTGAGGCAATTGTCCCGAAGGCGGTTCCGACATCCAATGCTGGTCCGGTCAAGTAGAGGGGAGAACAAGAATGCTGCAAAACAACGATCGAGTTCAGTCAGGTGAGTGGCGGTTGTAGGTTTGGCTCGTATGGGGAACACGGCTGAACCGCCGAAAAGCAACGTATGCATCGCGAAGTCCAAAACAACTTCAATATTTTTTGTTCGTTTTTTTTTTCTTGGTAGCCCTTCTCATTCGTATCATGCAACGCTTGTCTGGAACAAATGCAATGTCTCAATCAGAAGAGAGAGGGGTGAGGTCATCAATTCGTGGCTGCCGTTTCTGTCATTATATTCTTTGATCAAATGCGATCAATCTCACGGTAAATCATCCAGGTCATTAGTTTGATACATCGATGCGAGGTTGACACATGGTGAAATCAGATTTCCAACTATGCGGTACTCAAACCTATCGCTTTGCGTGCGACAAATTCAAGATTTGCCTCCGAATGCGTTCCGCATCGGATATGCCTTGTTCCGTTGGGTCGTAAGGGAGCAGGCCAGCCATGTCTTGATTCCGAGGCTGACTATTCGGGCTTGCCGGGTTCAACGGCGGTAATAGTCCACTCGCAAATGGATCTGAAAGAGATGGAGCATGTCTAATGCGCCTAGGTGATGGTTGGGGTCGTTTGGATAGTTCCACCTTGAAAGGTGAGCCCAAACGCTTGATACTTTCGCCAGCAAGATTCAGCATTGGATTGGCTACAGGTTTCCCCACCAGGTTCTCTTCTTCACTCCGAGATGAGGAGGATGGCGGGGAGAACAATTGGTCGAGGCCCTTGTGGTTGACTGCACTTGTTGTGGCGCCACGGTTGCGAATCCGTATCCGATGCTGCCCAATGTCATTGAGCTTTCCTTGCCGGAGAAGGACTTCGAGCTGCTCTTGCGTGTCTTGCTCGGCTGGCGAGTCACTGGTCGTGACAGCATATGGAGCCAGGTTGGGGAAGGCCTCCATGCGGGGCGGAGAACGAAGCCGGGACCCTGTCACATGGATGGTTTCTCGCCGACTTCTCGGTGTATGACGGTGGAGGCGCTTTCTCGAGCCACCGGGTCCCCAGGTGTTGTTGTACGTAAAGGGTGACCCTAGTCGTGGCACTGGCTCCTGTTTGCTGGCACTGGCAAGGGGTATCGTGGGTGGCACAACCATGGCTTGATGAAATCCACTGAGAACAGGGTTGTTGAACCACTCGTTACTAACCTCCCGGGGTGACGGGTCTTCCGCTGCTAGTTGGGCCAAAGGTCCGGGGGCGGAGCTGGACATCAGGGACACGCCCAGGTCGCGCGTCGCATATACAGTGGAACTGTTGTTAGGAGCCTCGGCTCGGGCAGGCTCCCCGGATGGGTGTGAGAGCAAGTCCAGGAACGGTGTCGGGCTCTTGGACTGCATCATTCTCTGGTAATGCGGAGCGATTGAGAACTTTTTTCTACAGAGCAATTTTAACCTGCGTCGGGTCGACGCTTCAGACTTGGGCCAGGTTGGCTTCGCTGCATCAGACGTGGGGGTGGAGTGGCGCTGATGCGATGAGAGCACAAACGGAAACTGTCGATCGAGTCTAAAGCGCCTTCTCTCCCAGGTCCGCTTCGCCTCTCGGGCAATGCGGTGCGTGACACCAAGAGGTGGAATGCTACCTGGAGTCATCTTGAAGGGGGTAATGGTAGGGTCTTGAAGGTAGACCTGGTAAGTGTTCCACAGGTGATTGTCCATCTCCAAGGTCCATCGCTCTTTGAGCGGGCGTACTCGTGCCTTATTCTTGCGCGTCTGGGATAGGGTAGGCGTTTCCGGAGTTTGCTTTGACGGAAGCTCCAGGTGGAAGAATGGGTCGTATGAATCGCTCTCCATGCTCGTACAGCTTCCGCCCGCTGAACGCCGTGAGCCAAACGTTTCAATTGACGAGACCGATGAATCCGATGCCTGGGAGCAAACGGAACTGGGACGTTGTATGCTCTCCCCCAGGGCCTGGGGATCCTGTAAAGACCACGACCCTGTGTTTGTGTCATCGATCGGATCGGGGCGTATCTGAGCCGGAGGTGTTTTCATGGCCAGACGATCCCGGGGAGGAGCCAAGAAGCGATCATCACGGGAGGGTACTGTGGGACATGGGCCGGCTGCGAAAGCATCGTAAGAGGGAAATTCGATCGAGGGCAGGGGTACGTCGGATTGGTTGGGGGTGGATGTGCTGAGGTCGTATTCAGCCTGCGCAAAGACGTCGGTCCCCGAGCGGACACGGGACCGGCGCACACGGCAACTGGAATGACGAGGGGGAGGTGGTGGGACTTCTAGATGAGTTGAGGCACGCTCTGGGGTTCTTGGCTCACCCAGCCCTGTCGAAGAAAAGGTGAAGTTCTTCGGCAGGGTGCGCGAAAGGCCGTGCTGGCGACCAGCCATGGTGGGCAACGTCCCGTATCGTCCAAAGGTGAGTAGCGATCAGCTGGATTGTGACGGCTGTATTCCAAGGGTGATATATTTGCTCGACAGTCGGATTCAGCTTCCCTATTCCAGTCTCATGTCGCGAACCTCGTGCGCGATTCGGAACTGTGGCTGACGTTCGAAGTAAAGCGTAGCCTAGATCGCACTCTTCGTTGGGTTCCAATGACACGCGCGCACGCTATCCCGCAGTAAACAACCAAATGCAAAGAGGAGTGGCAAGCAGAAAAGTCCAAGAGCAAAAGTAAAGAAATCCGTTTCAGTCAATGGTGCAACGTCTCCGATCGATCTCCGAAAGGTCGATAAGGCGCGCTTAGGGTTTGGGGGTCGTGATTCGTAACAGGTGCAGGGGGGAGAGAGAAAAGAAAAGGAAATCAAACACGTCTAGGTGTGAGTGGTCGGATGGGTGAAAGCGATCGAATCCGTGTGTTATTCGATGTGAAGCGCGACGGAGGGTTGCAGTGATGCGCTTGGGATTGAAACAGGCTCACATCGAACGGTACCCGCGCTCCATTGCCGGAAGGTCAGAGGAGAACTATAGGGGACGGGGAGCGGACATTGGCACACGAACACGCCAGACCAACACAAAAGAAAAGGAAAAGAAAATGGAAGGGATGGTTGAGGACGAGCGACAGGCTCGATCGGAGAAAAAGGAGAAGCGACAACGTGGCTGTCGAGAAAGAAAGGGCGTGGATGTAGTGGAAGGAAACGAGACGGAGGAAAAGGGAAGAAGAGAGGATGAGACAGCCGAGGGGGGAAGCGGTAGGCGCCCGGCCTCAGGCTCAGGGACACTACCAGTAGTCAGTACTCCGTACACAGTAACTACTTACTACTATGTACTGAGTGCTCCACTTGCACGGCTCCCGGAGATCACCACGTCAGGGCACCAGGGCACTAAGTGGCCTCGCCGCGGTGCTGTGCTGTACTGCTCTCTGGCGATGCCGCTAATCGGGGTCCCCTTCAGATCGTGGATTGCAGCCCGTGCTGCTCATGCCAATGCCTTCATGACAGCCACGACGTCCATTCTCAAATGCCACGGGCGCATTTTCGTCATGTACCCAGTGGAATTGACTTGAGTGAGCATTGCACAGGAGGCAAATGAGACGGACCCCCCCAACAATATAATGATTAAAAATAAAATCCAAAAACGAGCAGGGCCCTTGGGTCGCGACTGCTCAGGAATGCGGAGAAAATCGAGATGCTGCGTTTCCTCGTGAGCCACTCACCTGCTGGTCTGGCTCCTTTTTCCCCTTCCTCTTTTTTTTTTTTTTTCTTTTTCCTTTTTGCCATTTATGTTTTAATCTTCCCCCTTTCCGTTTCTTACTTCGTAGCCCATGTTGGTTCCTCCGGAAAGAGACTAGATACTCCGGACCATCCAGGACTCGACCTCCAGCATTCACATTGGCAATTCTCGGAGGCTGGAGGTGAATCCATCCAACCGCCTCACCGCGTTGCCCAACGATCCCTCGGGACGGGCAGAGGATTCACGCCTGCAGCTCTCGACAAATCGCAGCCCGCCCGATGGAGTCATCCACCGGCCCCGAGCAAGTCGAGCTACCCAGCCAGACGATTCATCTTGGGCCCTAAATTATCAGTCCGCTGCAGGACCAGCGATCCAGAATCGTATAGCTTAGCTTTTAGTTACTATACTTGCAACGTTGCTCCCCCAACTGCAAGGGTACCAAGCCGATGCCCTGTGATGAGTGACGAGGGTGCACTTGACCTGCTCTCCAATGACTACCCCCCATCGCCCTGGGATTGATCACAATCCTCGTGCACCCGGCAGACCTATCTGATCCTTCCCTCTATGTGGCCCCATCGATCTACACGCAACGTTCTCTAGCGAGCAGGACCGGCATAGACCATCCATGGGGGACCGTGTGATCCAACAACCCGGTGGCTGGGGGGACGAGAAAGATGAAAATTCTTTCGCTGTTTAATTATGTTGGCGAACCAGGAATTTGGGGGCGTCCATCGGTGCTTCAGCAAGGTGGCCTCGCGGGCGATGCACCGTACATCAATCATGGTCGCGGTCATGAACTCCAGTCACCTGCAGAAGCGTTCTCCACCGCCTGGCGAGACGAACCCCGATGCACTGGGCGTGCATTAGCACCGCTGCCCGCCAGCCAGTCGCAGCCCGGCCTTCAAGGCATGGAAATGAAGCCACGACTTAACCGCCTCGCGGGCGGCCCGAGAATGATCGAACAGAGATAGAACCGGTCCTACGGCCTCATCCACCGTTCCGTCTGCTGTTATATAGGTTTCGGTCTCTACATGCGCCCATCGTTTGTGTTCCCTTCATGAAAGAACTCCCCGCGGACAAAGGGTGGGCTGTCTACTTTATCGAAGACCAGGAAACGTTGGACTCGCTTATCGCCCTCGCCCAGACGCGTTAGGGCGGGGTAGTCGCGACTTTAACGCGTCTGGCACGCGGATCCGCGCGTGTGGTAAGTGACCGTATTGCGCGCAGTTCCGGCCAGTCAGCGCCACGCTCAGGGGTATGGGCTTACTAGGGTACCGCCTGGGGCTTCCATTTGTTCCTGGCTAAATCGACTAGATCCTCGACACGACTTAGTCTGGCCGTGCTATCCCACTCCCACCTAGTTCGACTCCATCGACCTTGAAATAGTAATTCCGGAGGCTGGGATGGAGCATGCAGGAACCAAGATACGAAAACTTTTATAGCAACAATTCACTGAAGTTATATTTAGCAGAGAACGATGGGTACTACCATTTTGAAGTAGTGGGTGTGGTGGAGAGTTGATATCGCGATGAAATTGTGGGACCGGGACAACATATGATCGAGAGCATCTCCGACATTGCCGTACGGAGTACAGAGTATGCTAGATGACATCCCGTCTCATATACACCGTAACTGAGCTTGCCTAAAAGAGGATAACACCCAAGCTCAACAAAACTCGAACCCAGCCACCCCACAGGATATCACATATCCAAGCATAAAACAATCCCCCATAATAATACCAATCATCCTACATTATAGAATCATATACACTCTAACTCACCACTCAATGATCTTGACTCCGTACTCCGTAATCTATACGCCAATACAGAGTGTAAGCATACACATGGATCAAAAAGAACCAAAGATAACCCTCCTCCAGACAATACAGTCTGAGTCATACAAAGTACAAAGTACTCCATACACTAGCCACATACCCATGCAACGCTCGCTTATATCTACTATGTACCTACCTGCTTCTTGCGTATACGTCATTCTTCAAAGTAAGCAAGCAAGCAAGTAACCGAAGCAAGCCGTACAATCCCCAAAGCTTGGCCCCGGCATGGGCATGGGCAGGGTAGGTATGAATGGGGTCGGGTTCGGCTAGACTGGACTGGGCTGGATCGGAACCTACTAGTAGTAGTACTAACGCGGATACGCCAATGTCAGTGGTTAAGCTTGATTTTGAGCCGTGGTTCGACTCAGGGTCTTGGATTTTACTCCGTGTTAGGTGGGGAGTTGCATAGTATGGAGCATGGAGTAGAGGTAGAAGTATATTTATATACTATATAGAATGAGAATATTATTATGGTTGAGTTGGGATTTTTGCTGAACGAGTAGCATGAGGATATTATTGTATGGAGGGGTATATGTTCCTGAGGTGTCTGTTTATAGTATGTTGATTGTAAATAGAGCACTCCATACGGGTAGGTATAGTACTACTTAGTTGATAATTCTCCTGCTATGATATTTTGTGATTAACTTGATTCTTATTCCAGTCTAAGGTTTCAAAGATACCTCGCTAAGCTACCCAACCAACTAACTACCAAACCCTAATCCAGTCTTAGGTGATGGTGGTGGTGGTGGTGGTGGTGGGTGTTCTTCTACACCGCATCTCTGCCGTGCGCGTGCACATGCATACCTCTTACCTGACAGAGAATCCGCAACAGGTTAAGCTTACTGTCTACGGAATAGTAGGTGAGTATCTAGGTAGTCGCCACTGCTTACTTACAGCTGCAGATGCAGCTGCATACATCTATCGATGCGGTGGTTGCAGTGGTTCGTGCGAAGGGTAAGACAATACGTAGCCTTATTTATCTATTAAATTTTTATTAGGTGCTCCGTACATATTAAGTGCAGTTTTTGAGCGTATGACTCTAATGTAGCTATGTTTTACAGTAGTATGGAGTATGATGGTATTGTTTTGCATCTAGCACAGTTATGAAGATAGGGTTATGTGTGAAGTCATTGAATATGCTGATAACCAGTTGCGGTATTACTTTGCACTATCTACCCCTTGCATAAGCCGGTTTTAGTTGTGACTTCACATGTACTGTGCTGACTAGGCTGGTGACCATGCATGACTGGTCTGCATGCATGCGTAACGCCGTTGGGTAGGATGGGATAACTTGATTCATGAACTGTCGTGTTATGTCTTAGGTTTGGGTATGATGTTCTGATTGGTGGAATGAATGGGACATCTACTGCTTATGTATGAGATACTTCTATGGTATATACACTGGGATCATTGAATCGATCATACCAGTTCAACTTCGGGCTGTCGCGACTTGAACAGGAATTGCACGGTCGGATCGCAGATCGTCTCAGTCCCGTGCATGAAGTTGGTCGGTCGGGTCGTGCGCTCGTCGGCGAACTTCCAGTCGTATCGCAGCAGGAAGTGGATGAGGAGGATTTTCACCTCGTTCGCGGCGAAAAACCGCCCCGGGCAGGCATGCATGCCGTGGCCAAAGGCGAAATGCTCCGCGCTGGTCGTCACGAACTGGTAGCGGTGTTCGTTGCCAGGTTCTCGTCGCTTCTTGTAGAATCGGAAGCCGTCATACTTGCTGGCCCCCGGGTAGATCGACTCGTCTTCGAGATTGTGCGCGGAGACGGCGATGCTGGCGCCTTTGGGGATTCGGGTGCCGTCGGAGAGGATGATTTCTCCCATCGCGACGCGATTGAGGAAGGCTGTGAGCAGGTCAGAAGATGCGCTTGGTTAACGGGGTATCAGAAGAGCCTACTGATGCCAGCCGGGTGCATTCGCTGGGTCTCCTTCAGCACACTGTCCATCAGCTTCAACTTGGTCAGGCTGGTCTTTTTCAGGCCTCCATCTTCGGTGACGACAGCTTTGATTTCGTCCCTCAGCGGTTGAATGTACTCTGGGTAAGCCGTCAAGTCGTACATGACATTCGTGAGAAGATGGGACGTCGTATGAATGGCCGCCAGAGAAAGGCCCACCTGGGCCCGAGTGACATCCACCGGCCGCCCAGCTGCGACCTCATCGAACCAGTCCAGTGTATCTGCATGCGTCCTTGGGGGATCCTCCTCTGGGAGCTTGCCTTCCCGGATGAGCTTCCGCTTTTCAATTTCACTGTTGATGATGGCGGAGGCAATTCTGATGTCTTTCCGGGTCTTGCGGGTTGACGGCAAGAACCAATGGACCAAAGGACGGAGAACGGATGGCCACAGTCGGAGGTCGCGGGCAGCAAAGAAGGCGTCGATGGTGTAGTTGACAGAGACATCCAGCCATTGCTTGTTGCGACAGATCTTCTCGCCCAGAAACACGAGAGACGACAGCCGAGCCACGATATTGGGGATCTCCTGTGCAAAAGCAAAAGGCACCCATTCTGAATCGTACTGTTAGACCAAAATGAGCATCATGACTGCAAGTCACGTACCTTTAGTCTCGGGAATCTTTTCTTCCAAAACTGCAGCAGTCTCCCTCGAAAGCGGAGTGGTCAATTGACCTGAAAATGAGTTAGTACTCTGGACGTTTCACCTAGTTGACAACCGTACCAAGTCCTTGAGTGATCTTCTTATTAATCACCTCTAGGAAGATACCCTCGTTGTCTAATCCATCAAACGGCTCAAATCCCGGGATCTTGGATCCGAAGAAATTCTAGCCATAGCGTTAGACATAACAACGTGGAGCTCGATGACAGTGGCAACCTTTTTGTTGGCTTCATTAAAGTCAAGAAGTGGATGGTTCTTGACCTCGTCCACCAGGCTAGGATGAAGAACAATTGTCGGCCTAGAGGAGAAGACGACCTGAAATGCTTTTCTGCCCTGCAATGGCTGTCAGATCTACCACAGCAATAGAAGTAAGATGCAACCCACCTGGCTAAATCCCTCCGCAAAGAGATCTTTCGCCGAAGTAACAAACCGCTGTTTGGCCTTTGTGTTCGTGATCTCCCACCTACTTTTTCCGATGAGGGGAATATTCTTGTATGGGAAACTGTCTGCTAGTTCATGATAAACACTCGACACGAAGACCACAAGCAGAGCCACTGCAACCCCTTGCAAGAGGTTGTGGCTTCCCAGGACGTCAAGCACTATAGCCATGGTGGATTGCTAGGCTGTGAGGACCAGAGAAACAGCAACAAAGCCATTGTTGGAATCCAAGACTATATATTCCGACGAAGACAGGATCCAGCCCCCTGGTAAGTAGATGAAATTGTTCCCCACTTATCATTTTCCATCAGGATGAATCATGAATACGCCAATACGACGGGATCATCGTAGGAGCCGTGGGTGGGCCGCCACTTGTAACCGTCCAAACGAGATGGAGACGGTATATCGGCATCCCTTTCATCCGGGCAATTCGCTTGGAAGGATGGATGATTGACAGCATACTTACCCAAGGAGGAATGTCGGACGTCCCCGACGATACATGGTTGGCATTCAACCCCTCTGCGCCGAAACACGGCATACAGCGTACATTAATGGAAGGACAAGACAGTCAATTTGACCAGACTCAAATAAAGGTCCCATTCAGACTTGCCTGTATATGAAAGGGGCATGTTCTCATCAGATTCACAGGAATCGAAGGATGATGGAGGATGAGTAATGAGGCTCCACGCTCACTGCCATTCGTTGGCTCGCTGGGCCACACGCTAAGCTGCTTTAGGAGATCGTATCGCCGTATTGATCGGGAATTGACCGGATTCAATAAGGGTCAAGAACCGAGTAGATCAACAGGAGACTTCATCAAATCCTTCAAGAAGTCAACTCAGCCTTGTCCCTGATGGCGGGACGCTTGCAGGCCCAAGGCTGTTATGCACTGCCATGCAGCAGTCCACGCTGTGGCGCACGAGTCTGCCATCAAGAGGTTATTCGGTGTATGGCATCATCAATCTATTGCAGAGATGACAGATGAGCTTGGCGGAGCAACCACACAAAATGAAGCAGTCTTCGGGTGACCATGACAGTTACTGCACACCTGTATAGATCTGAATTGTCTCGCCTGGGAGCAAATAAGAGAAGACTGCGGTGGGCGAGAAGGACCCAAAGCGACGAAGGCTGCTTATCTCACGACGCCAAGCCCGCCTTTCAATCCGGAAGTAATGCGGGGAAGCCTGGGGTCCCAATTCTTCTCCTCGTTACCTCGTCGTCCTCGATTGACTTTCCTGACGGCCGTGGCTTGGAGGCTGATCGTGTTCCGTCCTCCTTTCTGCTCGCTGCCTCACTCTTCCATGACTGACATTTGCTGATCCGACCCTCTGATTTAGCTTTTATCACTTCTTATCTAAGTAAGAGCTCGTGCTTATCATGGGTGACTACGGGCAAAGTGTGTCGTCACTCACGGCACAAGCACCGGGCAACAATCCGCCTTCCTCGATCACGGACTCGGATGAGATCTCGGTCCTGGTGACGGGATTCGGGGTACGTATAATCTGTCTCATCTTTCAGCACACTACTCACCACGATGATAGCCTTTCAAAACCAACCTAGTCAACGCCTCATACCTGATCGCCTCATCCCTACCCTCCTCTTTTACCTTCTCCCCTACACCATCCAAAGACTCCGACGCCTCCCCTCGTCGCGTCTCAATCCACGTTCATCCCTCCCCGATACCCGTCGCCTATTCAACGGTCAGCACGACCATCCCCACCATCCTAGACGACTATGTCAAGACGCACGGCCGACGTCCCGACATCATCCTCCACCTGGGCATCGCCGGAATGAGGAAATTCTACTCCGTGGAGACGAAAGCCCATCGCGACGGATATATCATGTCCGACATCAAAGGCAGAGCCGGCTACGAGGATGGCGAGAAACACTGGAGGGAGCTCGACTTGCCCCTGATGCTGAAGGCTGGGCCAGCGACTGAATCCGAGATTTCGTCTTCGGAAAAGGGGCGTTTGAATCCTCGCGTACCGGATGACACCTTCTTGGCCGCGTGGAAGGCATTCTGTCCGCCGGAAACGGACGCCCGGATTTCCACCGATGCGGGGCGGTATCTCTGCGAATTCATCTTCTACACGAGCCTAGCACTAGCTTACCAGGGTGGCCATAACCGTAATGTCAGCTTCTTTCATGTCCCTGCGTCGTGTTTGGACGAGGATATCGAGACCGGCAAGGAGATTGCCATTGCATTGATCAAGGCTCTGGTGACAAGCTGGAGTGACGAGCAGGTTCCGAGTGATGCTAGCTCTACTTAACATGTGAGCATTGGTATATTGCATGCTCTAAAGTACTTTTCGATTTCTTCTATTCTCTCCGACCTGGTTTCGGAGGCTTCGTTGATATTTTTGGTTCATATATTATGCATGCATCGTTTGAATTGTTGTCGGCGTCTGTTGAGGGTCGAAACCCACCTGCATCACCACTTGGCGCCGCTTGTGCATCTTGGGGCATATGAAATAATCAGGTACTTAATAATTTCCGCAACCGATCATTTAGCTACGAGTCAGAATCTGGTAGTCTGCTCTCTAGTGTTGTTTTTGATTGTGCTTTACTAGTTGCAACTAGCAGAGCCATTCTTCTGGATGACGCCATGTGGTGCTTACTCGTTCAATGAATGTAAGGCAAAAGGTTCCTGGATGACATGATGATCCAGGCACTTGTCTTTCGGTGACTGAGAACCGGTCGAGGGAATAGCAATGAAGAACTAAGGATGAGAACCAGTAAAGATATACAACAATAACAGAGAGCCCCATTAACCATCGCAGATATTTATATGTCCGAGTAACATTGACCTGTCTGCTCTCTCTTCTGATTTCCACCTACCTGCAAACACGGGTGAACTGATTGGACTGGTACCAATAGCTACTATGAAGGGATTCAGCTGCTCCTGCAGTCTGAGTGTAGTTGAACAACTCGGATCCTGTGACATGAGTCCGAGTCACGGAGCAGGGATGCATCAATACTGTACTCCACAGCAGTGGAACTACAGATAAGCCCCAGATCGCCACGCATGCTTTTGTTTTTGGCTCATCGTCTCTGGTCCATATCCCGGGTGGGTCCCAAACACGCAACAATGTGCGGCTGAAAAAACCACAACAGGGAGTTCTTGCCGAGGGGTATGAAATTTGTCGTTCATGATCGCTTGGAGATCCCGAGTTTGATCGTTTCTTTCCTTCAGATAGACACGTGGAAAGACCGTCAGTGAATTGTGGCTGAGGCAACGCCACTCATACGGAGACTGAGCTTGGCACAAGCGGATGGGGACAAAATAGCCGGTGAGGAACGGCCCCAGTACGAAATAGATATGAAACATGGACTCTTCTTGGGGCGAGACAGGCACTAACGACGTACTGATCGTCTGTTCGGTTCGGGCCCGAGCCGAAAGGTACCATTGAAGGACTGCAGATACGGCCTGAGGCGGGCTACACGTGACACCCGCACAGATACAATGGGTATTCCATCTCACTATTGACCCTCTCCCTTAATCTAGTCCAGACCCTCCCACGCCAATTACAAGAGGGATCACTTGGCCACTCTGCACCGCGTGATCGATGTCCGCCACCAGCTTCATCAAACTGGTAATCATCTGGCGCACGCCCCCGGCCTCCTGCTGCTCCCACTCATTCGCTGTATCCAAGAGGTACAGAGTGTCTTGAAGGATGTGCGTCACACCCGCGGCCTTCTGCAGGACAGTGGCCTGATTCACCACCTGCAACACCGTCTTCACGACTTCGGCTCGACTAGGGATAAAACCGTGACCACCGAGCTGTCGAGAGACTCCCTCCAAGCAGCCAACCTGGGTCCAAAGCCCGCGCCAGTAGGCCCTCAGACTCACAAACCGCTGCGACGCAACTCGAGTTCGCCCTTGGTGTTCCTTCAGGGAGGCGAGAAGTCTCCCGAGCTCCGCATTCGTGTCATGAAGGGCCTGCAAATGGCTTTTGTAGGCCTCGACTTTCAGAATGCGATCTTTGGCGTCTCGGTAGCAGGCATCGGCCGTCTGACTTAATCTGTGGAGAGTCTCTCGATCTGCCTGCTGTTGCTCATGGAATGCCTTGGAATCGAAAAAGAACTTTCCAGTCGTAATCTACTACCGATCAGCGCCGTCTTCCCTCAGTGACAGTATATCGAACATACCACAAATCCATATACCCCCAAGGAGGCCGTCCAAGGGTTCCATTGTGGCGTTTTCTCTACCCTCTCAACCATCTCCCCATATTTTTCCTGGTACCGGTTCCTGGCCTCTTCCCACTCCTTCATCCGGGGCTCCAGGTTCGTCCGTTTGTATTCCTCGAGGGCAGCTGATTCCTCTTGCTCGGCCCTTTCTGTCGATTCCACGGCCGTGGACAGATGCACTTGACTGAGGGTCAATCGCTGGGAGGTGACAACGGCTTCCTGCCAGCCCTGATCGAGTTTCTTGCCCAGTTGGTCGAGGACCTGGACTCGACTGTCAAAGGCTGCCACGACCGCCGCGCCGGCGACATCCAGGGTCTGGACAGTGGGATCTTGGGGGTTGAGGCCCCCGCGAAGCACTGCTTGACAAGCCGCCTCGTACCGATCATCGGCGATGTGATAGTTCTCGTAGCAGTTGAGCCGGATCAGCGCCGCAAAATCGCGCAGTTTCTCCAGGGGACCTGTCAAATCTGGATTGGCGAGGGCCAGCTCACGTTCCCATGAGGTCTCCAAGGCTGAGGCCGCATCAATGTGGGATTTAGCCTCTTCAATGTGCAGGTGGGCTTCGTCCAGAGCGTCACGAGGTAGCTCCATACTGGATGAATCTTTGACGTGATCGAGGGATTGCCAATTGGGAGGAAGGGGTAGTTCAAGGGCTGGCTGGATGTACATGATCCAGAAATATTGGAGATGAGAAACGGCAGTTAAAGATTAACGAAGCCTGCTGAATTCGGCCAAGCACCGGTGTTATAGAAGGGACGGCTTTCTTGGTCGCAGGCTGGCCCATCGCAGACCAGGCCAGCTGAGAATCAGCCCGCAGCAGACTCCATTACAGACATCGTCCAGGCTATTTCAACCGACAGGTTGACAGCCATGGTGGCGAGGAAAGATAAGACGATGGCCCACGTGTCGGGTATTTCTACCATCTTTCTGCGGCATCGACCCACTTGCCCTAACTACGCCTCACGATGGTGCTGTGGCGTTGCTGAGCCAGGTGACCAGAACTCGCTGAATAGACACCGTGAAATACAGGCGGATTATTTTTGAGATCAAACGCTATAAGTAGCTCTAATGTACCCCTTCATCTTGCTAGCAGACCTCCCAAGCAAATCCTCCATCTTCTACATCTATATTCACAATGGCCTTGACCGTTGCTCACAAAGAGACCCTGGACCTCCTGGCACGGGAGGAGCAGGCGCAAAAGGCGACGGTCACCAAAATCGTCGAGGACCTCAAGACCTCGGAGTTCTTTCGTCAGAACTGGGACAATCTCCTGCTGGCGGCGCCCAATTGTTTGGAGCTGCTGGGAAACTGCAATGCCATCGCGTCAACCCGGGGTGCCGCCCAGGTGACGATCACTCCCCCTCCCAATGGCTTCAAGTATTTGGCCGGGTGAGTTATCCTCTTGTGAATGTCTTTACAGCACATGCTAACCGACCTATAGCTATACGGAACTGTCCGGTGCTCTAGCCGACGTGGCGAGCCAAGGAAGTCGGTCCTTTACCACGGCCGCAATTGCTATGACTACAGTCAACAGCGAGTCTATGGCGACCATTGACCATGTGCGCTCCATGATATGCCCATTCCCAAATCAAGAAAGATATATGGCTGATACCTGCTAGGTAAAACTCATTGTGATGAACCTGGCTGATCCCCAGGCTCCAATGTCTTCCGTCCGGCTGCGCCTCAACGCGCTCCAGAAGAGCGCAGAGCGTTGCCGGGAGGAGGCCGTCAAGATCGAAGGCACCATGGCCCTCTGGAAGGAGTTTGTGAGCGAGCTCTACGTCGCCTGCAGTGCCCAATCCTCCAAGGTCCAAACCGCCAGTATCGATGCCAAGTCCAAAGAACAGCTTGCCGAGGAGGCGCTCGAGGTTCAAAAACTACGGGAAACCGCCATCGAAGCGCAATGTCAGGAGATGAAGACCCAACTCGACGACGCCAAGGAAGACTACAAACGAGCGCTGAACGACATGCCAAAAGGGTGAGTGCTGGAAAGCCGGGAGGAAGCTGTGATGTTAACTTCGTTTAGTATTGATATGGTCGGCCAGCAGATCCTCCTGGGTCTAGGCCAGGCGGCCAACAGCGCAATCACGATTGGAGCCACCGCGGCCGCGGCGTATGTGAGTCCGATGTCAGGGTTCTCCAATGGGGCCAAGACGTTGTCTGCCGAGGTCGAGAAGTGGGCGCCGGAGATTAAGAAGGTTGCGGCGGCCACCGGGGGTGCGACAACTACTCCGTCGTCCGAGCCGGCCGCAGGAGAAGCAGCATCAGCCACAGGGGATAAGCCCACGCGCATGGCTATCGTCAAAAAGGCCTCGCTGTTTGCCAAACTCAAGGCCCCCTTTGTCCGCAAGGCCAAGCCCGAGGGTGATGCCGCTGCTGACCCGGCCGCGTCCACCACGTACGACTTGTCAGGCTCATTCAGTCGGAAAGACCCTGCGCTGAGCATTATTGCCTCGGTGAAGGTAAACATAGATGCCGTCAAGGAGATTCTCGTCGGGTCCCCTGAAGGGATCCGCTGGGAGGCCACGCAGCCTCCCAAAGATCCCGCCAAGGGCACCGCGACCGAGCTGGAACGGCTGCACTTCAACCTCACCCGGATCCTCAAGTCGTTCACGCCGATGAAGGGTGGCCTGGCATCGCAACTAACCATGGCCGTGCTCCAGGAGGCCATCGCCGTGGCCAAAGAGTTGCAAGCCGAAGCGGCCAAATCCTCGACCATGGGAGCGGGGGCCCGCGTGGACCGGAATTCACCTACCTACGAAGACTGGGATGACCGGATCTCGCGCTGCGCCTCTGCCGCACTCAAGGTCAATGAACTGGCGAAATCCACAGCGGGAGGCATCGTCAACGGTCAGTCCATCACGGCTGCGCCACCGTCCGGCAACAGCAAGATTGCCGCCATCAATGAGCAGACCAGCGCGAATCAGGCCTCGATCGCCGAGGCGGCACTGAAGTCAGCCACCGCCTCGATGAAGTCGACGCAAGAGATGTACCAGGTCAGGATGGACTATTATAGGGACGCCCAGGACAAGGTGATGGAGGTCAAGAAGCAGCTACAAGAAGCTCGGAACGAGGTCAAAAAATACCACGCGGACCATGTCAACTTGGTAAGACCACTGAATGCCCTTAGTACGACACGCACAGTATGGCTGATTTGATTGCAGGAACAAGTCATGAAGATCTTGGTGACCACCATTGGCTACCTGGTCGAACTGAAGGACCGCATCACCAGATTGGTGACCTTCTTCAGCGGTCTCGCCGTGATGGTCAAGACCTGTGTAAACAACTACGTCGAGCCCTTCAAGGGCGAGATCGAAGCCTTTGCACAAGAGAATCAGAGCAAGGCAGGCCTGTATGGAAACTACTATCGAGACGTATGCTTCACTACTTCCCCACGCTCACCCACAACCACTAACCTATCACACACGCAGATCATCTTCCAAATGGCCATGCAGATCTACTCCAATTTCTCCCTCTACACAGACATCACAAGCATGTACCTCCAGGTCCACCGCCGCTGCATCCAGCCAGGCTTAATCCTGGTCGACAATCTCAGCATCCGAAACCTGGATCCAGAGAAGGAAGAAGCAGTATTCGCAAAGAAACTAGCCGAACTCAAGACGTTCTGCACCGATGCAGAAAATACCGTAACCGACGTCGTCAAGACCGTAAGTGGACCACCCTACATACCCCGAAACAAACCACAATGGCTAACACATGAACCACAGCAACAAAACAAAATCATCAACTCGCTCCAATCGCGCGTGACAGCATTGAGCCAGAGCATTGACAGATTCCCTCTGGATTTTCGTCCTGACCAGGATACCGTGGATGCCATTCAGACGGGCACGAAGCTTGCGCTGGAGGAAATGAAGGAGGAAGTTGCTGCTACGCCGTCGGGTGTGCTCTCTATGTTTGGAAGTACGGGTGGAGTGGTATGTTTTTCTTTCCTTCCATAACTGGTCATCGGGACTAAGCTCATATACTTAAGTTGCCGCAGGCATGGGAATAATCAGAGCACGCACGTTCTTTCGGCCTGTTCAAAAGCCGGAGTTCCTTTAATCAAATGAATACACAGTTCTTTCTAACCCCAGATAAAGCCTCCCACGCACTACCCAGCCCAATCACCCTCTATTCATACTGCATATCCCCCATGCACTACATAGTGTTTCAAAATACACAATAATTCACGCCAAGAATCCCACCAAACAGAATCCCAAATTAGGCCTGTCTGTCTAACCATATACCCGACACAACGCAACAAACACGACCAACGTAACAATTCCCTTCTACCATCTCGCTGGTAAACATCATCTCATGTACATATTATCATTCTATTCGATCATTCATCTTCCTTTCTATATCCATCCCAACCAATCAGATTAGATAGCCAATAGACACACTGTCAATACCAGAATATCAAAGGTGGTGTCTGTCGAGTAGTGAACAAAGACTAGCATGATGATCGTTGAGACAAAGACAAGCACACACCCGTCTTTGTCTGTATAAAGATGTTTCTAGTTTGGTAGGACATAAAGGGATGTGATAAGTTTGGCGAGGTGGGTTTTACATCGCTAGTTGCCATGTCAGAAGTGATAGGATTCTGAGGAGGTAAAAAGCTTCTCCTGTGCGGAAGGTATATTGTGTACTGCATTGGAATTTAGACTTGTAGGTAGTCGCATGTCTGGCTAGCCGGATACCTTATATAAGCTGTCGGTTCCTGCTTGACTCCTGTTGCATTAGGTTCTAGCAAGACGGATTGTTCAGCTGGTTGTTTGTGCGCATTTACAACTTCGAAATTGTCCACCAAAGAGACATCTGACATACAACCTACCATGACGGACATGTTGGATATGATAATGGAACGGCTCAGACGGGAGGCCAAAAGTAAGCTTGATCGGCAGTCCAGGCCACTGTACCAATGCTAACGATCATCCAGGGGGCAAGCCCAGAGAACAAGAAATCCAGGCTGGAAACATTGGTTGACGACCTGATCTTGCCCTTATTGACGACTTGTCAAGATAGGCACCTCTTACACTGCGAAGAAGCAGACCAAGGGGCATCGGGGGACATGCCTACGCGACTGATTGATCATGGTTCATCTGCCACCAGCTCGATCAAGCTCATTGATACCAGAACCCAACATGAAGCGGATGTGGGCCAGGGATTATCTGGTCCTCTTGTATCCCTAGGATAGTCATGATCCGGCAAAAACCACCCGTGCCAACCTACCACACCGTCTGGAAGACTTGGATGTGAGCGCATTCCCGGCGGCAATCCGGGACGCCATCACTGTCACGCGGCTGATGGGCATCCGTTAACTCTGGATCGATGCCATCTGCATCGTTCAACCCGACAACGACGAGTATTATGACGACTTGCGGCAGGAATCTGTCAAGCTGGCATGTGTTTACGTCAATGCCACGCTCTGTATCTCGGCGTGCAGTTCGACTGACAGCTCAGATGCCTTTCGTACGGAGCGGCGACGGATGCGTTGCTCTGGAACGTGTCCCCAAGAGTGCCAGTGCTCTGTCGGGCGCTTGGGCCAAATGCTCAAGAGTACCCCATTGATGACAGATGGTTGGTATACACAGGCGTGGTTGCTTTCACCGCGCATCTTGCATTGGACCCGGGACGGCCTTGTCTGGCAATGTCGTTGGGGCATATGGCACGATGGCTTTGGAGAGCCGGGGTTTAAGGTGCTGAAGCTTACGAAAAGCTATGCATTCGAAGATGAGTCTATTTACGGTCACCTGATGGATGCACGTAGAATTGTGACTGCCCTGCGAGAGGAGGCTTTGGGAGATCTATGGCTTAATGTCGTCCGGTATTATCTGGCGGAGCAGTCAGCCCGTCCGTTTGATCGCCTGGCTGTTCTCAATGGGCTTGCAAGATACCTTTCGGAGAAGCATCGAGTTAGGTATCTCGCGGGCATCTTCAGCTCCTGTCCGGCGAAGCCGCTCCTGTGGAAAGGGACAGGCATATGCGAGACGGGAAACTATCCCACATGGTCCTGGGCATCCGCGACGGGAGTCACTTTCGATCGGGAATTTGGAATCCCCGCGGTTCAATGCGTTGAGCATCGCCGGCTTCCGCCGATGGACCGCGTGCCTGATTTTAGCAATCTTCCTGAGAGGATTCTGTCTCTTGCAGGCATGTCTTTGTCTTTCACGCAACACCAGGTGCTTAGAGGAAGCGAGCCCCGAGTTTGGGAGGTAAGGAGTTGCAGTTCTAAGGTGAACTACACTGTTCACCTGGATGCTGAAACGGATACTTTCCCCGAACTGGAGGATGTGGTGTTTTTGATCCTAAAGCAGATAGGCTTTCAGCTTGATTGGTGGGACTGGAAGATCAAGTACAAAGGCCTGTTGCTGCAGAAAAGAAAGGGTGAGATGGATTCGCTCTATGAGCGACGAGGCTTTGTCGAGTCGAGCCATGTGGATGAAGAGGGTTCCAAGTGCCTGATTGCTGGGCGGTGTACGACGTTTCACTTTGATTTAGCACAGCCACTCTGCACATCAATACTCTCATATGTTATAAGATTCAGCGGAAATCAAGGGAATATGGAAGAAACCCGAGCGTGGAAAGGAACGCGACCATCACGTGATACAAACACTCGGGACCTTCCAATGACACCAATCTCTATGAATTAAAGAATACTGCCAGGAATACTGCAGGAACATAGTCGATCTATCAATTCCCCACGAGGCCTAACCCTAGTTATGTGCTGTGACTCACCACTACTCCACTCGTTAGTCCATTTAAGCTCGCACATTCGGACTTCGGCCATTTAGCAGTTAGCTCTAGCTGCATATCAAACTGCGGCTATATCTTATCGCTATCTACCCATTTCTTCCTCCTCCTCCTTCCTCCCTCACCACCGATATACCTCAATCAACCACACCACCACCACCGCAGCAGCAGCAGCAGCAGCAGCAGCAGCAGCAACAATGGACACCACCGTCCTCCTAACCACCATCCTCGCCATCCTCCTCCTCTCCCTCCCCTTCATCCTCAAAAATATATCCAAAAACCCCCTCTCCCACCTCCACACCCTGCTGCACCTGCACCACCACCGCCCCCTCAAAACCCACCCCAGCACCATCCTCTCCCTGCACATCTACCCCATCAAATCCTGCCGGGGCCTCACCATCCCCAAATCCACCCTCAATAAACACGGCCTCGCTCTCGACCGCCGCTGGATGTTCGTCGACGCCAACACCCATGAATTCCTGACCATTCGCCAGAACGCCAAAATGACATTGATCACCACCGCCTTGGATAGCTCCCTCACCACCCTTTCTATTTCCATTCCCTCATTCACGCAGAAAGTGATTACGGTTCCCGCATCCCCGACACCCTCCTGGCTCGCGGAACACACCACCCTCTCCGAGAAAGTCAAAATCTGGGACAACATCACAGATGGATACGTGTACGGACCCGCCGTGAATTCGTTATTCAGTGAGTTCCTCGGCAGGGAGGTGGCACTGGTATATAAAGGTCCCACGCCGAGGATGTTAAAAGGCAATGGGGACCCCAGGATATTAGGCCGGGAACAAAGTACCTTCTTCCCCGATGTCCATCCCGTCTTGATAGCGAGTGAGGCCTCCATGAGGGAGTTGAATGAGCGGTTGGTGGGAAGGGGCGAGGAGGAAATTACCGTGGAGAGGTTTCGGCCGAATATTGTCATTCAGGGGGTGGTGCCGTGGGAGGAGGATTCGTGGAAGGTGGTCAGGATTTTATCCGCGGGGGAAAAGGAAGGGGGGAAGGGGAAAGGGTTGGAGTTGGATGTTGTGGCCAGGTGTGCCCGGTGTCAGGTTCCGAATGTGCATCCCGATACGGCGGTCAAGCATGCCAAGCAGCCGTGGGATACGCTCATGTCGTATCGCAGGGTCGATGAGGGGATGAAGTATAAGCCGTGTTTTGGGATGTTGAGTGCCCCGCGCAATGAGGGGGTCGTGGAGGTGGGGATGCGGTTTGAGGTGGTCGAGGAGACGGATCAGCATCGGTATATTACGGGGTTTTAGTGTGGTGGGATGGAAAATTGACCGGTTTTGTATATGGCATATATTACACGTTGGCCATTTAATGTATGACTAGCTCAACTAGTTCAGCTGCTAATTCAGCTGCTAATTCAGCTGCTAATTCAGCTGCTAGTTCTTCAGCTGCTTGCTCGACGAAACACACCAGTTGTTCCAGTCCGTGAAGAACGACGGCTGAACGTGACATTTCTTGCTGAGCAGCTGCGCCTTGCGCGTCTCCGCGTAGACATCCACCGCCCCCGCAATCGTCGTCTTGTCGTGCGCCGCCAGCGTCTTCACCACCAGCAGACTGGCCTGGCTGCAGGCCGACGCATGCGCCGGCGGGCCACTGTGCGTGGCCTCGGTGTGGATCGATTTCAGCAGCTCCCACACGGGCTCCGTCGACTCCAGCGCGGGCAGCGCCGTGCCCTTGCAGTGCTTGGTGTATTCACGGAGCACCCCGCTGGCCTTGTTGGAGATTTGCTTGACGGTGGAGCGGCGCGTGAGGCGCAGCAGGGGAAGGAGAAGATCGAGGGCTAACAGCTTCGAGTGGCACTTCTTCACGTAGATCTCGAGGAGGTCGAGGACGCGGTTCTTGAAGTTGACCATGTTCTCTTTGGCATCCTTCTTGTCCTTCTTCTGGCCCAGGGCGTCCCGACGAGCCTTGAAGACCTTGACGAGCTGCGTGTCGATCTCCTCCATCTCGTCGTCGTTCATGTCGGCGTCGGAACCGTCCGAATCTTCGTTCAGGTCCTGGTCGGCGCGGTGCGTGCCCAGGGCTTCCGCCAGTTTGGCCTCGAAGAGCGCTTCTTCCTCGTCGTTGCCATTGTCGGATTCTCCCTCCGCCTCGTCATCGTCACTGTCCTCGTCAGAGCCCGCATCAACGACTTCCACGTCGCTGTCTTCCTCGTCGACGTCCATCATCTCCTCGTCGCCTTCGTCGTCTTGCTGGTCGAACATCTCTTGCTGACCAGCCAGACTTTCTTTCGCTTCCAGGATCTAGCAAACGTGAGTCTTGATTCGCCTCCTTGGGATTGGACGAATTAAACAGGGGATGAATGGTCTGAACTTACAGAAGTCAACGACTCCAGGCCGTTCTCCGTGATGCTGTCTGCGAACGCACCAAACACCTGCTCGCTCATGCGACGGAAGAGCTGCGACTGCTTCGAAGCGAAACTCAGAAGAATCTCCACCAGAGCGTCAGAAGCATCCGACGTCTCTTCCTTCTTGGACTTCTTGTCGCCAAAGATCTTGGTGTAGCAAAAGTCGAGTTCCTCGAGCATGGATGCCGCATCGGCATCGCCGTTGTACACTTGAAGGATGGTCAGAGAGTAAAGCAGCTTGAAGGCATCAACGGCCTGATCGCCCTTCTACCGTAGGTTAGTAGTAGAACATAGTAGCTGGGATAAATGGCTTACCATGTTGGAGAGTTTCTTCAGCGACTTGAAGGCGCCCTTCACCGAGTCTTGGATGGTGTCGTCCATGTTGATGATGAACTTGCCGTGCTCCTCGGACTTGACTGCGTCGCGGATTTTACGCACCACAGCATACGGAATGCCCGCGTACTTCTGGGTAGCAATGAGACTGTTGATGCACGAGTTGATCCGGCTGCGGAAGAGTTCCTGTGTCTGCTCCGTCAAAGGCGGGACAACGGACTGGTCCCGATCGTCCTCGCTGTGCTTGAAATAGGCAAATCGAACAAAAGCAAACAGAATCTGCTCCAAGATCTTCTGCATGCCCTCTTCCGCTTCGCTGGCCGAAGCCCGGGCGCGAACAATGGACAGGAGCAAGCCGGCCAAGAACTGACGGCTGGATGCAGCAGCCTTGCTGTCAGTCGTTCCCGGAGCCGCAAGGAGGGATTCAAAGAGCGGAACAATCTGTTTCAGGGCGTCCAGATTGGCGTCCACGACGATCTTTTCGACCGTCTTCGTCTTGGTGGCCTGGTCGAAGTTCACGGATCCAGATGAGCCCATGAGGCCACGGACAGAAGCGGCAGCAAATTCGGGCTCCTTGGATACGCGGGTCTGGATAGCCTTGGCAGCCTTGACGGCCATGCGATGCAGATATCGATCCTCAACAGCAAGCTGGTTCATCAGACACCGGACGAGGTTCTTCGTGAACACCAGGGAAGCCAATTGCAGCGGGCTGTCGCTGATGACCTTGTTGAAGAGAAGGAACCCCCAGTATTTACGCTCCTCGGACGACGAAGAGGAGAAGAGGCCATCTACTGCGGTTAGACAGAACTTGGTAAGGAGAAAAGCGACTCACTATCGACCACTTCCGTCCAGAAGTCCACGAAACTAATACGAGCCGAAGACTTCGACTTGGAGCTCTCCTTCACCGGCGCGTCGCCAAGTCTGCTCATAACGATGTCCCAGGCAAAGTGAAGCTTCGAGTTCCACACTCCGGACGATTTGGCCTTTCCACCTTCGTTCTCGGAGTCGGCAGTGGAGGACTCCTTCATGACCTTGGCCAGCTGGTTTCTCTCCCGCGCATCGAGGGGATCGTCGTGTTTCCAGACCTTGTTCGGGAATGTAACATTTGGGAACAAGTCCTTGGCTGCGAGCCAGATGGCCACGCCCTCAGGGGTCCGCGCAAGCTCGTTCGAGCACAGACGCTCAAGAGCGGACTCTACAAATTTGGCCTCAGCCTTCTGAGCCGCAAGCTCGTAGATGCAGCGATAAACAATCCAGCCACATTCCTCCCGGATCCAGGGCTTCTTCTTGGCCAGATCAAACACCAGGTCCAGAAGCTTGGTCCACTCGTTGAAGGGGGCACTGGGCTTGAACAAGATGGATGACTTGATGATCGCTTCCGCACCAAACAGGCGACCGAAATGATGATCTCTTTGTTCCTGTTGTACGTCAGCATCACATTCAGAAAAATGCTCACGGGATCATACCTGACCGGACTCACTGCCGGAAGCATTAGACTGCGACTCCCAGATGTTCATCACCGTCGAGATGTTCAGCTCGGAAGAGTCCCGCGGAGAGCCAAAGACCTGGGAGACAATCTCAGTCAAGGCGATGGAGAAGCCGATTCGGGCGGCCTTGCGGCTGCTGCAGAGACCACGGAAGAGTCGTTGCAAGGTTTTCTTGATCTGGTCATCGGCAGGGTTCTTGTCCGAAGTGAACTGCGACACCAGGAGTTGGGCCGCCTTCAGTCTGATCTCATCCTTTTCATTTGCGAGATCCTCATAGATCTCGACCAATTTGGTGTCAACGTTGAACGGCTCGCGACGCCGCTTCTTGGACGCAGCGTTATGCTGTGCCATTGTCGAGGTGGGTTAATTTAGCCACCAGATCGACTAGTAAAGTAACACGCAAAATGATATTAGATAGAAGCCCGTCGCTGAGGGCCAACCACGACTGGGATGGAGGAGTTGGCTGCGATTCCGCTTCCGAAAATTTATGAGGCGCCTGGCCGAAGCGGGTTAGCGCCCCCCGGACGGGTCCACCTTTAGGTTACCGCCAGTCGACCAATCACGTCTTTGCCTATATGGAGCCTGATCTGCTTGCTTAGCCAGCCATCAGGCGTGTATTGTTCAATCTGATCAAATTTCAATGATTCCCAGGGTCTGAGCGCTTTGTCCCACCTATACAAACCGTCTCGCAGAGCCCTTACGACGCATCGCAGAAAGCATGAATTCCACTGTCTCGGTGCATGCTCGACTCTCTTGGGTGGTCTACAAGAAGCTTAAGATGAACAACCCAATCTTATGGCACAGTAAGAAAAAAGTATCCAGGAGCTCAGCGACACATCTAAGCAATTGAATCCACGGATGCGGAAGTCAATAGACAGGAATAAATCAAAGGTTTGCCTACAGCAAGCTCTAGGATATATAGGAAAAGCAGCTCCTGGTGTATTTTCTAGGTAAAACAATCCACGTCAGGGATGGGATGGTCGAGCTTTGGTGCACAAACGCCTGGACCAGGCTGGGAGATCTCAGGGCGGGCGATCAAGGAATAGCAGTCATGGCTTTCTCCAGAGATGGGCAATAGCTCTCTGTACAGACAATAGACATGTCCGAGTGGATTCAATTCTTGACCCCAAAGTGGGTCCTGGGGAACGAATTACTCTGAACAAGGCTCGTAATTTCCTCTTAGACAGTGGAAAGGAGCTGATCTTGATTCCTCCCTCTCAAGCCCCGGTTATTGGCTTGCGGATCCCTCTGTCGCGCAGCACTTGGTTGCTCTGGTCTACGTGGATCGATTACTACAATCGGATTTGACAGCTCGGAGAACAGGACCGTCAGGGAGATTTCGGAGGGATGATCGGAAAGGATGTCAGGTTCGAAGGTAGTGTGGATGCACATGGCATTTATGTATTGACAGTGTGTATGTTCTTTCACTAGATTGAGCAGCCATTCAGTTTGCTGTTTACAATACATGGTAGATGACAACAGTCCATTTCAGCCAGAACATCTACGTCGGGATAATCTACTGCTACTATGATACAGTGTGAAAATATCGTTGGTTCTACCGGTGTATCGCAAAACCCGCCAGTCCATTGGTACATGGTACTGCTATTATCCGGAGCTGCTAAAAACCTTATATCAGTACTCCAGAGAAAATCGACAGTACCTGAGACATATTTCCTCTTGATGGCCTAACTGATTCCACAACTGTCCTTTCACACTGCACCATAGTAACGCGCTAGCGCATATACGGCATGCAGCTCGGTCTGGATAAGAACAGACAGGGGTCAGCGCGGGGAAAGTAGCAGCATGATTTGTCGATGGCTCCATTCGACGGTCTACTCCATTCGCAGCCACAATTAAATCACGCAGTTCAATCCTCTCGACAATCTAGATTGCACCCTACTCATCCCAGGCAGACTTTTACTGGAAGAAATATATCCGTACAGACACTACAACTAACCCTGGCCCTTATCTACACCACCTCAGGGACCAGATTTGCCTTTCTGGTAGATATCATCTCTGCACTGCAGACGGAAACCCTTCATCAAGTGATCGTACGCCCGAACATGCCATCCAAGGGTTGCCTATTTATTCTCGTATTCCCACCTCCGTTGAGAGGTATGTCCGAGGCAGGAAGAAAATCCCGCATCTGCAAACGAGACGCCTGAACTATTCCTTTCTCGCAACTCCGCACGAAAAAAAAAAAAAAAAACAAAAAGAATGTAAGACATCCCTATCGGCGATCAAGCATTGGCCAAGCCTTGGTGGCTGCTGCAGAGAAAAAGCAAATAAGATGCGCAGTGTCAGCACTAAGGCTTATTCTCGGAGGATGTTGGTATAGGAGCCTTGTAAGGCTTGGGGGAGGGATGATAAGGGATGTTAGACAGAACGGAGATAACTCTGGGATGGAATAAAAGGTTGGTTGGGTACGGGGTGTTGCTGTGTTCGGTTCGTTCTTACAACATCGTCACACAAGTCCTCCTCCTCTTTTTTATCATAGAAAGAAAAACATCATCTCCTCACTCAATTCTACTCGCTGAAACTCAACCATGCATCTCACCACCCTCCTCCTCTCCCTCACTCTCACCCTCACTCTAAGCGACTTCACCACCGCCCATCCAGCAGCCGATGCGCTCCTCAACGCTCTCGAACCCCGCTGCCTCAAAACTGGGAATTTATGTGATCCGAGAGATAGTCGGTGTTGTGGGGGGTGTTGTGCGTTTTGCTCGTCGGGTGTGAAACGTGACATTGATGATATTGGTGATGAGGATGGGTTGGTTAAGCGCGATGATGATGGGTTCATTTATTGTACTTATATCTGTGGGGATAAGTGTTAGCTGGGGATTCAAGTGTATGTATGATTTCCTTTGCGATTGGTTGGTTGGTTGGTTGATTTTGGTGGGTGGGTGGGCTGATTTGGAGTAGGTGTTGGCAGCTGGAGGGGGTGTGGTGGATGTGGTTGGGTTGAAGAAGCTGAGGTTGGTTGAGGTCGTTGATGGGATGCCATTGGTTCTAGTAGACAATGCGCTCTTGGAGCATTTTGGGGTATTCCCTAAGTGACAATTGTTGCCCTTTTATATGTCAACTGCAGTCACGAGAGACATTTGCATGCACTCAGGAAACATTCGTTCTCTTGTTGACGAGCCACCATCTTAAATTTCAAGCAGACCTACATCAACAGGCTTAATCATACAATAGCATCTATTTCAAGTCTATACTTTCCTCCTGAAGCATTCGTTCACTAAGATCATCCGTGACCCATTTCTCAATCTGCGAGACCACCTCTCCGACCAACTGGTCATAGTGTCGTCCATCCCCATGCGGTACGAACAGCGATTGATGTGCCGTGACTTCATCCATGTTCTCCATGTGCACCGGTACCCAGAGGGAATTATCTCCGTGTTTCCAATGATGGGAGGGCATGAGCACGAATTTGTGTGGTTTGGAGGTGGTTTTGATGGTTGTGTCGACTTCTGTTTGAACATTGCCATTCAACTGCACGGTTTTCTCTTTGACGGATTCTTCCGAGACCGTCGTATAACCATCCTCTGTCGATAGGTCGAGGGATGATAACGACGACGTGTATTGCAGGCCTAGCTTCTCTGTTGGTGGGGCCAGATACATCTGGTCCACGGAAACAGTCCTCGTTTGGACTGAAGCGGAAGTGTGACCTGACTCTGTCTCTGCATTCTGAGACCGATCCCCCCCCCTACTCTTTACCCTCCCCTTCGACTTTCTCACAATAGGCTTCGTACTCAACGTATAATAATTCACAAACCGAACCCGATCCAAACTTTTCTCCGCCTTCTCCAACGCCATCAACTCTTTATAACGTTTCCGTAACTGCACGTAATTATTCAAACAACCGGCGAACTGATACGGCGACAAGATCCGGTTATAGATCGATCGCGTCAGATTGTGACTGTTCTTGTGAAAGAAGTGCATGATCCCGTTGATCCCATGTCGCTCCACGAGATGGATGTCGTTGCTGAAGGGTGGGTCGAATAGTGGATCTGTTGTTGTGTCGATGTCGCTGGGGGTATCTTGGGATGTGGTGATGGTTTCTTCCTTTTGCTGGAATAGACCTCGGAGCCCTGTAGGGATTACATGAGGGTGGAGTCCCAGAAAGGGGACATCGAAATTGATGAGGCCGAGAATGCGATGCTTTTGGTTTGGTGATGGGGAAAGGCTGGAAAGAAGAGCAGCATCTGCGGCGACAATACCGCCGAGACTGTGACCGAGGAGAATCACATCTAAATCGTCCGCTAAGTGTGGTGATAGCCTATAGTTGTATATGTATCAGCCAATCTGCTTACCAATTCCGTCTATATAACTACCTACCAAGAAATAAAATTCTCCACCGCCGTACGCATCTCCCCTCGCGACTTATATCGCGGATAAATGCGCGTATAGATGACATGCGACTCGCTTAACAACCCCGTCAAAGAATGATGAACATGCGCCGGGAAGTCCGAGAAACTGGCCTCGGAACCCATGAACCCGTGGATATAGACTAGTAACAAGCGACGTTTGCTGGATGTTTCAGCTGATGCGGGCGGTAGTGATAGTGTGGAGGAACCTGGGGAGGCATTTGTCGCCTCAGCAGTAAGGGGATGTAGCCGCGTCATGGTAGGCTGTGCGGATGAGACAGTCGAGGGATGTCTTGAATATTTTGTAGAAATCGTAGCATCTATGCTGGTGGTGAGTTTATCTATGCTGGGATCCACCTTGGGGCTTGGATCCAAGGGTCGGGTAGAGGGAGGGCCCTCAGCCACCCGATCGCCCCGAGTACGAGTACGAATCGTCGAATACCCTATTTTAGGCTGTTTAAAAGTATGCGGTAGCCTGGTTCAACCGCTACCATTCATTGGCTTTGTATATTCTGGTTTCAATGTTTAATCCATGAATTATTGTTAACATGTAGTTATATAAGTCTACTGATATTCCCTAGCGTCAAGTCCCACAGAATTAGGATTTTTACCAGGAACCAGATCGACTAGATAAGTGACTACTTGATCTCCTCGGGGCAGTTGTTCTATTATATAGCCATCAATTCATAACAATATACACCATTCCATCACACCTTCTCCACACTATCCGAGTCACTACTCAGCTTGCACGAGACCTTGGACAGTCGACACCGTCTCTTCTCCAACCATACAACCACCCCCGCAACCGCTCCCACCAGACAAGCCAGACAGACAAACAGCCCCGTCGTCCAACTCGGCCGCGTAAACCGATTCATAGCCCACATACACACAGCCAGACACACCTGAAACACCGTATTCAGCATATTCCCCCATACCACCGCATCCATCTTCCACAGCGGGGTGGGACTGGTGCATCCCTTGAGCAGCTCAACCGAGTCCGCGTCGATACTAGACATATCCATCCCGGGATATTGAGAATCAAGGACGAACCAGCCGTCATGTGTCTGGGAGAGACGAGTCAATCCTGTCATAGAACCAGCTAGCCGCCAACGACACCAGTAATGGACATCCCGGATACGCCACGGAGCGAGTCCAAACCCTGTGACGCAAAACAGAGCGTTGAGGATCTGAGAGTCGATTTCGATCCAGATCTGACGGGGGGAGTTTTCAGCCGAGCAGCTCGGATGGCACATGGCGGGGGCGGCATTGCATATCAGGAGGAAGAGCATCCCGCCCCAGGCTATGATGTTTAGGCCGTAGATGATGGTGAAGATGCCGAGTGGGGTGAGGGTCCAGTGGAGGAAGGCTTGCGTTTTAGTTGGCTGCTGGGTTGTGGGGGCCATTGTTGTAGTTTGATATAGGGTGGAAAAGAGAAAGGAGACAGGGATGGAGTTCCTGCATATTTGTTAGTCGAAGAAAGGAACTAGCGATGACTTAAATAAAAATGTAGATTCGTGATGCTGTCGTTAGTAGCCTGTTGCTTCCTTTGCACTATAGTTCTAAGTAGGGAAAAGCAACGGTGATCTGCCGCTAGTGTTGATTGGATACGGATACGGGTACGAAGTGGGTCGATTAATGGAATCACTGAAGATTTTGGCGTGGCGAAGTATAGCATGAAACCTTTTTTGATTAGCTATCGTGGATATAACTAAGACTATTCTATCCTTGTGTTTGCGTTGCCTTTCTCAGAGTATAAAAATCGTTGGCCTATACATTGCTTGAAGACTGCTAAGTACCGACGGTGGGAATGATTGAGAAGCTTGTCTTTGGATTGAAGAATACTTCTTGAGAACACCACATACCCATCGCTTGCGTATTTAAGACGGTTCAACTAGATCAAATTTGCGAGATGGTGTGCATCATGTGATCAGGTGTATCTATACGCTCTTGGCTTCCCTCCCTCAATCTCTTCAGATAATCTACCCATCTCACAACAATCAGTTTTCATCAAACTTATCAAGGATTTCATCAGTATTTCAACTCTAAACATTCGTATATCTCCCGGGCCTGTTTATATTCTCGACCAAGACAATTCTGCGTTGAGTATTTGTCGTCAGCTACAACCAATTTGGTTCATATCTCAGAGCCATGGCTAATCATTTCGAATGAGAACAGGTTAATCGGACCCCTATCACCAACCAGCACAGCATCCACATGCTTAAAGTGGGTATAGGCTCAATCCTTTGCTATTTTCATCTGTTTGTTGTAGAATTTGATATACTCCAGCTCTGCTCCAGAGCCGGCACTCCCCAGCTGTTCATCCACTCCGATTCCAGCACCTGTTGTGCTGTAGCTCTCTCCTCTGGCCGGAACTTCAGCATTGACCGCAGCATAGAATCGAATACCCTCTTTTCCTCATCTGTCACGGTATCCAAGCCTGCCTCGGCTCGAGGCTGCTGTATTCCGTGACTAAACCGCATATCCCAGGTTCTGCGCACACCATCATGCCGCCTAGGCATCCCCGGCTTCATACTCAGTTCACCATCCTCGTCAAACCATTCTAGTCTCCTATCCCACTTCTTCCACCATTCAGGAGGTAGAATGCCAAGCACTTGAACCTGCTCCATGGTGACGCGATCACGAGTTGGGAAAAATGTCTCGAATAAAGGCCGTTGGCCGAAGATCTCCCAGATAGTGCAAGCAAGGGTCCATATGTCTGACGCAAATGAAAGCGGCTCCTCTGAAAATCTCGCTTCCGGTGGTTGAAGAAGAGGTAGGGTTTTTGAAGAGTACCGGGTCAATTTGTGTGGGTTGAATGACTCTCCAAAATCGCAAAGGATAACCTTTTCCTCACCCAGAGCGAATTCGTCGCTGCGGACGCCAAACCAAGTGGGAAAAAACACTCGAGCAGGTACGCCGCTTGGCAGTGCCTTGCCATCGATGCGGACAACGGCCTCTGACTCGGGCTCCCCATATCTCTGGTACAATTCTGACGTGGAAAGTCCATCAATCGCTTTTGGAAGCTGCACTAGGATGTTGCCAAGATGAATGTCTTGGATGACTTAGCCAGACCATCTCTCCAAATGTAGAATATAAGCATCACATACCTCCATGGACCGTGTCTTGGCTGTGAAGAAATGCGACCCCACGAATAAGCTGCGCGACTATCGATTGAGCAACCTTGGGTTGAAAAAGCCCAAGTCTTGAAGATTCTTTGGCATCGAACAAGCTTATTAGCGCAGGTGGAGTGACCACGCATCGATGCTTCCTATTGGGACCGGAGACACAGAACTCGTCAAGGAGAAAAGGCACAATGTTTTTTCCCAGCCTGTCTGATGATTGTCTTAGAGAATTTATTATAGTAGCTTCATTAGTGCTGCCACTGGCATCAGCAGTAATGACTTTCACTGCCACATATCTAGACCTTTGTCGATCACGGGCTAGCCATATAGTTGAGTACCCTCCGTATCCAAGCTTGTCAACCAGCTGATAACGCCCATCGTTTAACTCATCCCCAACACGAAGGGGATGGTACCCCCCGGGACAGTACCTATCCAGGTCTTCCACATCTTCAATAAGCTGATAGAAACTCCTCTGAGACGTGATATTCGATATATGAGCGCCTTCAGTCCCTTGGCTCGATCCTCCTGGAATACCCGGGGATGTTGACGAGGCGTTTCGGACATGCCGTTGATCCGCACAAACAACACGATATGTCAACCGTTGGTATCCTTTCAACCGAGCACGGGTACGAGTAAACATCTGCAGCGACAGCATGGTGTCAATGAGTGGTTGTCGCGGGTGGAGGGAGGGGGAAGTTGTCACTCTGGATGCCATGTAAGCAATTGACGGAAAGTTCCATTCACGTGCATTATGGGCATCTCCCCTCCCTAGTCCTTGAAATTCCGGTGAGCACGCCTATGGCTACCAGACTCGCAAATACATAGCCTGCGAGTCTAATCTGTTGGCCCTTCGGTAGTAGTGAGTGACTCCGTGATTCCACGCGACAAAGGGGTCTGCGGGAAGCTCTTGACCGCATTTCGCCGGGGTGACACCTCACGTCCTTGTCAACCCCCCCTCCGGTATATCCATCATGACTTCAGACAGCCTCAATCTTCTCCCTGCCGAGCTGATCTTAGAGCTGGGTCTTTTCTTGCAGTCCCGGTCGCTGGCCGCGCTGGCCTGTTCCTCCAAGCGATATGCGCAGCTCCTGACCCCCCAGCTCTATACTCGGTGGCTCCAGCACAAATGTGGAGAGATGGCTCATCGCTCTACGTGGCACTATACTCAGTACTGGGGCTCTCCTTACGCGGTCGACTATTTTCAGAAGTATCCATCGGATGTATCCCAGGTTCATTGTTGCGCCACATTGCTGCACCGATTTGCCGGGGCTGGAAACCTCTGCCTGGTCAGAGTCGTTCTTGCCAGGGGTGCCGACGTCAATGCAAAGACTAGATACTATGAGGAAACGCCGTTACATGTTGCTGTGCATCACGGGCATGCGGAGATTGTTCACGCCCTGATGCAAGCAGGGGCAGATGTCAATGCTAAAGACCGCTCGCTCAGTACGCCATTGCAGACAGCCATTCGCGGGAGGCATTCGAACGTAGTGTTATGCCTGCTCAAGTTCGGTCCCGGCATCTTTGAAGGTCGTCTGACAGCGCTGGAGGAGGTTATCTATCATGGCGTGTTGGAACTTTCCGAACTGCTCCTCCGTGCCATCTTGGATGCTGGGATTGACATCAACATGTCTGGCACGTCCAACCATACAGTACTACATACCGCCTCCTGGAAAGGATACAAATCCCTTGTGCAAAGTCTGCTCAATAATGGCGCGGACCCTTTTTGCATGGTTTCTGATGGGAGCACAGCTTTGCACATGGCCTGTTCGCAGGGCCATGCGAAAGTCGCCAAGCTGCTTATAGAGGCCATGCGAGCTGCTGGCGGGGATCCGTTCCTAGCAAACACAGCCGGACTTACTCCATTGGATCACGCAATCACGAGTTGTCAGTTACCCGTCGTCCAATTGCTCTATGACTCTGGAGCCGATGTATCCGTTGTGGATGAGGATGGAATCACGACAATACAAAGAGCGCTGGATGGTCCGAGATGTATCTTTGACCTAATCCTTGATCGCGGACCCACTGTCTGGCCATCTGGCATGTTACAATCTCGCCTTTGCCGTGACACGAGGGATATGGCTCGATCAGGACGTCCAGATCAGCGTAGCTTGCAAGCTACGGCTAGGATCTTAGGACTGGTCAAAGCTGGCAGGGCTGCAATCGATTTGTCAGTGAAAGGTGTTTCGAATTCTACCCCTCTAAATAATGTGTGTCGCATCTCCCCCCGACGCACTGGGACTATTGGGATCATTCGCTCTTTCATTGCAGCTGGATCAGATGTAGACGTCCCTGACAACGAAGGACGAACGCCTATTCATAACATCTTGCGCTCGTCCCGCCAATACGAGGACTGTGAGGTTATACATCTGCTGATCAACTCCAGTAAGGATCTCAACAAACTGAGCAACCATGGAGATAGCTACTTGCATGAGGCAGTCCGATACGGTCACCCGCGAATGGCTCAGCTGCTATTAAGAAAGATGAACAGGGACGTACTATGCGCGGTCAACAATACGGGACGTACAGCCCTGCACTACGCAATAGAACTACAGAATATCCCTCTCGTCCAGCAAATCTTGGCCACTGGCATCGATCCTGATGTTCAAAACCAAGATGGACAGACAGCTCTGCACCTAGCCTCGGGCTCCTCTTCAGCAGACCTAGTTGCTGTGGAACTACTCGTCGAAGCCGGAGCGGACATGTCTATCATGGATGATGCAGGAAATCCGCCGATACATTATGCGGTGGTGGAAAACAATCGAGAGATCGCGGATTTTCTTGTGAAATGGGTCGCTGCTGAGCATCAAGACTGCTTGGATTGCCTAGAGTACGACCTGCAGTACGGAAGGCAGCTAAGAGAGGACTATGAATATGATCTTCGCTCGTTTAATGAGTCTGATGACGATCTTGAGGGTTGAGATAAGCTGATTTGTTCTGGATTCTCTCCCTCTCTCTTTTTCCCATCCTACAATTACTCGCATGATGCTTCTTGGAATGAGCAACGATATTCAACGCTTCGTCAAAGCATCCAGTCCTACATAGAATTACCATATTTGACTCCCTAGCTCCCGGATGGCTTCCCTTTTGTCTGTGGAACAGCATCTTTAATATAGCTTCACCCTAGCCTTGGAGTATCATCACCATCACCAAAATACACATTCATGATTCTGCATAGCACCTACAAGAAGCCATTGAACATCAGTCACCTACTCCCCGCTGTTTAGCCACTCGAGTAGAACTGAACGCTTTGGAATCAAACCAGTACCTCATATCCATTCGACTCGGAGATTTAATATATATCCCGTTAGTACGTACTATAGAATACAAGTCCAAGACAGCTAACGCCAAACACCTAACTTCAGTTCAATATCGCCTTTTAGCTCGACTAAGTGGTTATCATCAAGTACCAAAACCTCAGCTAGAGCTAGAGCTAGAGCTATCATCTCGAACTGCAAGGGTAGGTGTTGTCTCCCCCAGAACTCGATCAAGGTAAGTATACTAGTTTAATCTAGGGACCTATTGATTCTCACATTTTGCCAATGATATATATAATAGTATTCCCTCCCTCAATCACCTCTATAGAATCTAGTCGGCGTAGTAGGCTATTCCCGCCACTGTTCTAACAAATATATCTTCAAAACTAGATATCAGTTTCCAGTTCTTGACCGCATAACCCTGCGAAATGGTGGAAAGATAAGACTGCGACGTTACATGATACTAATCTCGAAAAGAACGACGAATTACGAACTTTCAGTCCAAGGCCCCAAGTATGAATCCTAGACGGTGTGTGTCGCAAGATAGCTTAGAGATTTGCAATGATATATGTATGTAGTATCTCTCACAGGTTTGTGGATAAGAAGCATCATACCATATAATACGGAGCAGGACGATTATTGATGATTAGCATTATCGATCTAAAGAGATTTAGACACACTCACTACATACATCCCCATCTTTCTGTTCTGACTTCTACGTGCGTAGATAGATTCGATCACGGCTGAGTGAGACCTACGATTCTATCTACACTCCCTTCAGAGGTAGACACGAACAGTAATCAAAACAACGCGTTTGTAGGTCGCTTTTGTAGACTAGGAGAATGCGGGATTGTTACTTTGTATGCCACCTATACGTCTTCCTCTTCATTCCCAATGCCATAGTTCGCGGTATTCACGATGGAGTCTATAATAGAGAGAACTATCATCCATCCGTTCTATTTTATCAAGGAAGGAATACCAGGTAGATAGTTGAAGTCAAATCGAAACTATCTAGTACTACTGCCTATTCGAGTCCGTTCATCCTTGCCAGGCCTAAGCTAAACTCACTTGACTTGGACCCCTTGCTGGAGATGGGGTTGATAGGATGTTAGGTCTGAGAACTGGGGATATTACTGGCTGCTGCATGGCCCATGTAGGGGTCTCCGGGGTAGGGAGGCTTTTCTTTTTTCGGTAGTGTACTAGACAGTCGGGGAACTTGAGAGTGGGGTTGGTAAAAAGGCCTCAGAAGTGGGTGCGTTCCTGGGATGGGAGAGGCATTCTTTAGGAGGCGATTGGTGTACGGTAGCCACGAGTGGAGAGGCTCAACGGTATTTCTGGTATCCTTCAGGAACCGAATTGGAAGTAGGTAAGTATGGCGAGTAGAAGCGATCAAGAATGGTGGTACGTACATGGTCGTACCATGCCATGGTTCTGATAGGTTGAACCACGGACAAAGTAGGCCGGCCGGAATGATCTGCCCGAACATGTGGACTTCGCCAGGCATGGTATAGAACCCATTCTCCAGCGCTGAGAAATACAGACCTACCTGTCAAGATGATAATGTGAATAGTTAGGTGGCGACAACGGATGAACTTTGAAGATGAATAGTAGGTATTCTGATCGTATGGTTTAAGAGAATACAAGGAATGCGCGTAATGTATGAGTTGCTGCTAATTATATACAGACAAGCAACTTTAACTATACTTAGCCATCTGAGGACACCCTGTTCTTGTGGGAGACATACCAGTTCTGTACTCCGTAGTTGACGGTGCCATCGCTCATCTGAAGTCTATGAACCAGGCGACATGCTTCACCAACGAAGGAGGAAGCGTTGCACTGGCGTGCAGCAAGGCATATTATGTAAGAACTCCAGTTCCTTTGGGGCCCTAGGGATGCATTGAACTTAATTCGAGAGGGATAAGATAAACCAGGTCTGTAGGTGTGGGGAGCTAGATAACAATGCAAGGGCGGCTCATGGTTCATGTATGTCTAATTGGTACCTGGCATTCCTGCAGGTGTAGGAGCGATTATCTTCGACAACGGGGAATTTCGTGCAGATATTGAAACTAAAGAACTCAAAGAGAATCAATAGCGATGGTAGGGCTGGTGGGCTATCCTGGTTAGGAGTTAAGATGTGGCTGAGCCAAGGTGGCGATATGGGGGCCACCAGAACGGTCGATGACTGAGCAGGGCGCTCCAATATGCTAGATAGACTTGCATGTCGTGCTGACTATCGAGCCGATATAATCTCCTAGATAACCTTGTCCTGCGCTGGCGATATATTTGACGATCTCGCCAGGAGACCGGTTATTGATTGATTACCGGGGTGTTTTAAGTTTGTTGGGTCGCCTTTGGCAAGGATCGTGCTAAGAAGGGGGTATATGCGATCGATATCAGGTCCGAGCCAGGTGGGGTGTCCACCAGGTGTAACGATCGCTTGCAAATAGCGAACCGATCTGAGAAAGGCAGTTATTAGCAAGATATTGCGAGCGGAAGCGAGATCCTGCACGCAGATGTAACCCTCGATAACATCCCCAGAAAACGCAATTTCCCAGAGATAAGCGCAAGTGGTGGGTGCATAGCAGAACCCTGATCGAATAAGCTTTCTTAAGCTCCAATTTGTGTGTGAGATATCAATTTATTGACAACTGATAACGACCTAAACCGCCCTGCATACGAGTAGCCCTTCCAAGCGGATCGGATCTAGGTGGCAACAACTGGCAAATTGTCTGAAACTGACCACATGGCCAGGCGGCCGCGAGGATGAAGATCTGGATCCTTTCTCAAAGTGCTAGATAGCCGATAGTGCTGCAGATCGCTTCCCCGATGGTGTCTAGACTCACTAGTTACGGGGGTATGGTGCCGTCGCAGGTGGGATGAGCAGAAAGGGTCATCATCGTGGTGAACGGAGGGATCTCGAATTGGCAGGAAGCCAAGTCCGAGAGGAAACAATCAATCCAGGACCCGGAAAGATGGATGATGGTTTGGAGCGGGGAGGGGAGCAGCAAGGAAGGCCGACGGAACAAAGGGACAAGCAAGGCGAGGATGAAGGGGACTCCAAGGGAGAGCCAGCGGGTGATGTCATTGGGCCCGACCGCCTTGTGAGGGACGAGGCCGGGTCACGGGACCACGCTCGCCGGTCGCGTCGCTGGGCCAGTGTTGGAGGGGTTCTCAACCACTGTTTTTGTTTACATCGGTGAGAACGGCAGTCGATAAACAATGAGTCTCACAGGGTATTCCCCGATTGTGTGCCAGCACATACATACGTATGTACATACCTGCAGACACCGGACTGGGCGGGAAGGAAGGTTTCATGCAAGACGTTCCCCTCAGTGTGACATCACGACTTCCCCCCATCGACGCGGTCCAGTAAGATCTGGGAATCCCAGTTGGGAGCACTCCAGTCCGGAGGGCCGATATCTACTGTATCTAAATAAAGTTGCAGACAGCCTTTCTGGAGCACGAGCACTAGGACTGCAGGACTGACCCAATCAGGGGCTTCATCACAGTTTGAACCCCGCACCAGCGCTTCCTGCTGGCCCGCCAAGGATGCTGCTGATACTGGGACATTCGGCGCGGACCACTTACAGCTGCTGCTGGCGGTTGCCAGAGCGCCCAACGCTGATGCCCGGTCCTCGGAGTTGTCTGGGCTGCCTGGACGACAGATAACAGTGCATGTCATGGCCGCTCAGGTGACGGCGTAGTCCGTCGACACCGACTCCACCGAGCGATCCGAGGTAAACACTAGTCCTCTAGCACGGCTCGTCATCACGCGGGCGACGGTCCAGATCAGTTCCCGGCGCCTACGGTCAACAAATCCATCGTTCAGCCGCACATGAACTCCCTCGGGTCAATCATTACCACCCTGAGAACAATGCCTCGGGCTTACGAATTCGGATTGTCCGCCCACTCCCGTAGAGACGGAAGAGCACGGGCTCCGGAAACCCCTCTAGTTTTGGGGGCTAGTTTCTATCCTGGCGCGTAGAGAACGCGGGAGAGCCGCATTTTCCCAGCTATGTTCATTGAGGGAATATGTCTCAACCTGGACCCTCGAGAGCTTTTGCGCTAATACTGTGGAGAGAGGGAGGGATCAGCCTTGGGACCGACCGGTGTCTCAAAGGTGAGGGGCTTCGGCCTAGGACAAGGGAAAATGGCGATGATGAGGGGCCGACGATGGGATCGCTGCACGCTTCTGTAGGAAGAGCTTACCGATCTCGCCATTCGTGGCGGTGTAATTGTCACCTCAAGAGGCCAAGTAGGGCGCTAGTCGTTTCCTATTTGTTTGGGCTATTTTGATGGCCCACGAGGCAGCACTAGCCTCTGGGCCTCCATAGCTCCATCGAGGGAATATGATGCGCGATCGATGAGGGTGACCCAGAATGGCGGAAAGAATCAGGGCGCGGCCCATACTCCATTGTTCTCCGTAATCGATTCGAGATTGCATGACCCGGTAATTCCATTTTAAGCCCCCATTGTGGCGGAGAGGATCGGTGACGTCGTCAGCTCCTCGGGTGTGAAGGGAAATCCTGCTTCAGCTGGGGATCACAGTCAACCCCACACCCGGCAGGACTTAGCCGGTCAGCTAGACTGACTGCCTCAGCCGTAGACATCGACCTATGCTCGAGTGTAGTTGCTCCCATGGTGAAGCTCATGATCAGTTGGCATCGATAAGATCAAAGACAACTGTTATCAGCCGCCACCCTTGGATCGTCCAGGAAAGGGAGGGCATCCCTAGCCAAGAACTGCAGGAATGTGGGCAGAGTGAAGCCAACGTAAGGGCATGGTGTGTGTCTGAAGAACGGGCCGCAATGAAGACAGTGCGCGAGAGGGGTGCAAAATTCAGGACGGAGGGACCGTTGGACCTATCGATATCCACAGACATTCATGATCAGTGTGCCGTCGAGGAGGTCGGAGGAGGTTACTACCTGAATATTTCTGACTCATGGTCAGCCGCCGAGGGATGCTGGTGTAGCACAACCTATGTAGATCCCGAGGGAAGCATCTTTGTGAGATGGCCATTGTGGAGGAGGGGAAGATTCTTCTGCAGAACCACCCTCGCTACTGGACCCAAGTTAAGCGCGTGGCATGCTCGGATCAGGTTCCAGTCGTTCCAGTGTCTCTGGCATGGCTCGATTTGGCTAAGCCGTTCGTTGTCTCCGATCGGGGGGGAGCCTGGAAAGGCAACGATGATCTAATCAGTCGGCAGCATGAGGGGAACTACAATGTCTGAAACAGGGCAGGTATGTGTAGTCCAGGCCTGTAATACGGACTTGACTGCGGATAATAGAGGCGGCCATTTGCCCGGCGGCGGATTCGTCGCACCTGGTATTCCTGAGGTCGCCAGGGATCTTTACGTATGTATGACAGCTTCACTCGGCTCAAGGTTCGAAATATACCATGGAACTCGTTCCTGAATGATACCGGACAAGCTCTTTTTTCCGACTGAGTGGAGTAGAAGTGGAGATTTTATTAGATTCGATCTCTCTTTTTGGTTCTAGGGAATGATGTATATAAAAGTGGAAAAAAGGGAAGGGAAAAACTCGAACGGCACACACGGGACGATATTATTGATCGAATCCGAGTTTTTTACCCCATCCATTGCTCCTCTGACTGGTCGATCCGTGTCGAGCCCGAAAAATCCTTCTTCCCAGATAGGCGCAGGGATTGATCGAATACTACTACCTACCTAAGTGGTGTTAGTCTCCCTCCGTAGTGGTCGAGCTCTAGATTGATTGAGTGACCTAGCTTACGCCTGGATTGATAGTTACGGAGGTAGTTCTCGGGGCGAACGACCATTGAACAATAGTTCCGGCACCCTGGTTTGAAGCCGGGCTGCGAGTGTCAAAAAAATGGCAACGGTTCCTCCAGCAATTCGGAAGACTTTGTTACACAGGTGAAACCTGTCAAAAAACCAAATACAGAGGACCCAGCGTCTCCGCGGTTAGGTTAGTAATGGAAAGAAAAGAAGGCCGAGAGAAGAGTGGGAGGCCCTCTTCTCCGTGAGACAGGCACGATCTATGCCTCAGCCAGCCCGCCGAGATTGGGTCGAGCGATAGGGAGCGGGCGGCGCTGTAAGGAAGCTGATAGGCGGGGGGTTGCTGAGCAGCGGCTAGCGCTGGTGCTGGCGGCAAGGGAGTCCCGGCAACGAGGGGCGCCCAGAGCCCTACTCTCAAAGAGTGCAAACTAGTCCCGGCCGGGTACCTACTTGCTTGTACAGAGTACAGAGTACAGAGTACATACATACATACATACTGTACGTGTTCTCCGCCCGGTCATACTGTATGGTACCGGTTGAGCTGCCCTGGTATGTACGTATGTATGGAACAAGGTACCTGCGACTTACATAGTACTCCTGCTAGTAAGGACCTACAGCTGTCAATTATTCCAGATGCGCCCGGGGGAAAAAGGTGACTGGTGCTGCATATTCAGTCACCAACCCTCTTCCGAGGATTCGCCCCCTCCCCAATGGCAACCGGGCCAGGCCTTGCAGAAGAGTAGGAGAAAAGTAGGCAAAGCGGGTAGTAGTTCTTCTAGTCCTTAGTCGTCGTAGGGTAGGGTGTTGCAGGTCAAATCCTTATGCGGTCATGGGCCAAACCGGTTCGACAATGGTTTTCTGACACAGCCTAACCCATCGTCGCTTAAGCTCTTCTCGAGCATCTGGAGATCCCTCCCCACTTTTGCGTTGCCATTGCAACAAGGGCATCCCTTCAGCTTCACTTCTCCAGACCATTTTTCTTTCTCTTCCTCTTCTCTCTCCTAGCTCTTAAACGTCCTCTCCACCTCCCAGTCAAGAGCTTCTTTCCTCCTCATTCCCATGCTCCGTCGTATGAGCTCTGCCCAGGCCCAGTCCCGTGTCCAACCCTCTTCTCTTCGGTAACTGCTACCCCGTATATATATACCTGCTCGGAGCCCCCTACTACTCGCTGTGAGGTGTTGCTTTTGCTGACTAGGTCGTCGGTTCTCTTAGCCATTCTGCCCGTTCGCCGTGCTTTCTTTTTCAACCTATACCGTCCCCGAATACGCTTTGAATCCGCTGGACAGACCAGCCATGTCGCTCTAAACCGACGGCTTCGTTCCCGAGTAGTGCGGTTTCGGACTGGTCAGCTGAAGGATTTCGAAGCCGTCTTGAACGTTTACGAGATTCCGGATCCGATACAATACAATTGGGGAAAAGAAAAAAGAGGATTGCAAGAAGCTGGGTAGAAACGACGACTCCAATTGTACCACATCTGCCGTGTAGTGCATGCCGGATAGATAGTTCGCACCGTTTCTGTCGTCCATTTCTTCGCTACGAGCAACTACATCGCTTGGTCGTCGACACATTGGCGTGAATTCGAGAAGAGGAAGACCACCATTCTCCGGCAAGAATGGAACATTCGTCCCCGTTGGCTGCCATGCAGCCTCCCTCGGTCATGTTCGGACATTGCTTTCGCGCCGATGCCCCGACCTCCTATAATTCTTTCAGCCCGATGCGTGGACTGGGCCACAACAGTTTCAACTTCAAGGACCTGTCGATGAAGAAAGGTCATGGGGATTACTTCAATGTGAAACCCGTCCGGGGCTCGTCTCCCACGGCTAGCCTCGCTGCGGATCTGTCTCAAAATTTTCATATTGACCAAAGGTACGTCTGGTCGTGTGCCCGCCCTTTGTTCGCATGGGTGTGGTCCATGGGGGAATGTACTAACAACCAAACATAGTCCGCAGCTGGCTACGCCCCGGCGGTCTTTGTTCACTGCGAGTCTGCTCGGGAATAGCAACCGGTGTGGTAAGAGCTCACGTTCGAAAGTGTCTTCCGAAGGGATCGCTTAACTTATAGCAGAGTCCATGACCACGCCTCCGCTTCCCTGTTCCTCGCCCGCTCCCGGTATGGATATCATGGATATGTCCCCGTTACCACACAAGCCCGCGTTCGGCCTCCTGAACGAAGCCGAACTCGAGTCGCCTTGCTTGGACTCTACAATGGATACTCCGATGAGATCTGCCGCTCCCAGTCCACTCGAGGAATCGCCCCTCGTTCAGCCCAAGGACAGCCTGCAAGAGTAAGAAACGAAGTGCTGGACGTGATTAAGGCATCTGTGGATCTAATTGCATTCTGTCTGTAGGAGAAGACGTCCGACCTTTCTACGGCCTAGCTTAGCCAGGAGCAAAGCCCAAACCTTTCAGCTGGGAATGAACAAGCCCGCCCCCGAGAGCCAGGCACCACCGTTCAAGTTCCACAGCAAGGGAGGGAAAACCTCGTTGAGTGCATCGGCGTCACTGGAGGATATGTTCAACGAATCCCCCCAGCGGGAACGGCCGACCTTGAGAAGTCACTCGAGCGGAATCCTAGCGAATCCACGACTGAGACCACAATTGAGCAACAGTGGGAGCCATGTGCGCGGAAATGGGTCGCCATCGGCGGCCTCGGTCCGCAAAAATTCCCATCCGATGATGCGCCCTCGGAAACAGTGCCGACGCTCGCTGAGCATGTTTGAGCACCCGGAGGATATCGTTGTCGAAAAAGAGGCTAACTATACTACAAATGCACCACTTCCGGCGATCGCCGACATTGAAGGAACCCCGAGCCTGCAGCTCCCTCACACCTTTGCTGAGGACCAGGCCGATACACTGCCTCGCATCGACAAAAGTATTCTCGTGGAGCTCATGGATGGCAAGTACAACGATCGGTTTGACCACATCATGATTGTGGATTGCCGCTTCGAGTACGAATATGAGGGCGGCCACATCACCGGCGCGGTGAACTACAACGATAAGGACTACCTGGCTGCCGAACTCTTTGCGAACCCCCAGCCGCGGACGGCACTAGTTTTCCACTGCGAGTATTCCGCCCATCGCGCCCCGATCATGGCGAAGTATATTCGCCATCGGGATCGTGCCTACAACGTCGATCAGTACCCGCAACTCAGTTACCCTGAGATGTATATCCTGGACGGCGGTTACAGCGCGTTCTTTGCCGAGCATCGAACCCTGTGCTATCCGCAAAACTACGTTGAGATGAACGCCAAGGAACATGAGTTTGCCTGCGAGCGTGGCCTCGGGAAGGTCAAGCAGCGGTCCAAGCTTAATCGCGCCCAAACCTTTGCCTTTGGTCAGCACTCTCCTCAGATGGAAGACAGTCCGACGGGGAGGTGTCGCAACAACGCTGGTGACCGCAACCGTTATCTGGGCTCCCCTTTTGCCGAAAGTCCAGGATCTGGACGATTTTCCGGACGGCGCATGCTGTCCTACTGAGTCCATTCGAATCCCAGGCCCACGCAATGATGTTACGATTATCATGACGCGTCGCCACACCTGACGGGCCCTCCTTTATTTCCTTTTCGTCCGCCGTGCAACACTCTAGATTTGGCCACTGCAGGTCCATTGGCTCCTTGCGTGGATTTATGGATATTGGCGTCCGAGCGTTTTGCATTTTGGGAGAACCAGTCGACCGTGAATTTTGCATCCGACCGTCGCGGGTCATCCCATTCCATTCGTTTGTTTTCGGTTTCCTTGCTACCACTGTTGGGGTGGTGATTAGACGGTCCATTTGACGATTCTCGATTTCCGCGGACGTTTTGATTTTGATCCGAAGACGAGACCTACCTCACCTACCTTTCGACCGAGTTCGAGTTCCATTCCTTCATCAACCGACCACTCCCTTCGGATTTCCTATGTGATTTGACGACCTTCGACATGATACCTCGCCAGCTGGCATTTCCTTCTGCAGCTCTGTTTTCCTTACTGTCTTTTAATTGACCTCCCCGGTTCCTGTATAATGCCAAGGGAGTGCAATCCGCCGTACCACACAGTACATATCGACGTACGGCTCGTCAGGTAGACGATAATGTGATGCACGATGCTACTCGGTGGCCCGAGAAATTGCCAGAGGCTTAATATACGCCGAGAGTGCGTGCAGGTGTACATACAAACCCACTTGGTCGGTTACTGACCCGACTATGTATGGGAAAGTGGAGGTTAAAAGACTTTTCCTATGTTGGACAATGAATGAACATGATGATTTAGTTCAGTAACTTTAACTAGCATGTACTGTGCTCCGTACTGTGCTCCGTACTGTGCTCCGTACTGTGGATGACAAAGTAAACCGGCTACGGCCTGAGGCAGCAGTCTCCGCGGCGGAGCCAACAACCCGAGACCCGCTCTCGTTCCGCTCCGCTTCTTCCTCCATCCCACTTTTGACCTTCAACGCTCCGCCAATGCACCTCCTCACTCCTACTTCTAGCACAATACACCATGGACATCGATGACATTCTCGCCGCGGTCGACCGGCCGGACGCCTCGACCCCAGAATCCGCAGCCCTCGACCACCAATTACTAACGCGCTTCTGGGTCGCCGAGCGCGGCGTGTCGGAGCTCCTCCCATGGCCGGCTGCTCTAATGGAGCGCATGATGGACCGCGTCAGGAACCAGGTATACCTCCCTCCCCCCCCATCCCCAGCCCCCTTCATTCTACTCCCTCTAACATATACCCTTCTCAATGAGAATAGATAACCCAAATCGAAGACCTCGCCGCCTCCTCCACAGACCCCATGTCCGCATCCACAACCACAAACGCAGCAACCACAAACCTCACCCTCTCAATCCTGCAAACCGACCTCTCCCGAACCCAATACCTAATCCGCTCTCTTCTCCGTCAACGCCTCTCGAAACTCACCGCCCATAGCATGCATTACCTCCTCCTTATCTCCCGCCAATCCCAACAACCCCATCCCTCCTCGCAATCTCAGTCTCAAGACTCGCAGCATCAACAACAACCAGAAGACTCCATCCCCGCCCCTCCCCATCCCCACGAACCCACATCCCCCCTATCCAAAGAAGAAGTCTCCTTCCTGCACGCGCATCAGACCTTACTAGCCGGACACTACGGGGCGTCATTTCTGGGTTCGTTCCCGCCGCAGCTGAGACGGTTGGATGATAATGCGGGGGGCGTGAGTATGGTGCAGGGGCCGGAGGAGAAGGAGGTCGTGTTTGTGAGGTGTCTTGGGGAGGAGGTGCGGGTTGTCGTGCCTCCGGGGGATGGGGTTGAGAGGGAGACGTTGGGGACGACGATGCGGATGGGGGATGTTTGGGCGGTTAGGTGGGAGGGGGTTAGGGGGGCTTGGGGGAGGGGGGAGGTGGAGGTTCTTTAGATTGCTTCTTCGCGTGTCGCGTGTATTGGGGAGGGTTGGGGTTTGGGAAAGGGTGTTGGGGGAGGGGAAAGATGGTGGAGGTGGAGGGTGAGTGAGGAGTTGGGTTGAAATTGGGGTTGGGGTTGGGATGGGGCATGCATTTGTGGCGTTGGTGGGATACCTATTACTGTTTGTCTTTATCATGTGTAGGGTTGGTTCGAGATACTAAGTCTTGCCATTGTCATATCAATACCATCACTCGTCAAACTACTCCCTCGCACTCCGCTGCATACCATATACCTAAGATACTAGTATGACAAGACAAAGATCTATGGCTAATCGGATCCATTCATATCCCACCGTGCGCCGTCGTCGCTAAGTCCAAGATCATGCTCTCACGTATGAGATCAACGCCCACAGAGAAAAGACGAAAGAAACCGTTGCGAAGAGAAGAAACAGGCTGCTGCTGCTGGCACGTCACGCGACGTATCCGTACGTAGGGGGGTCTTCTTCCACCCGTTCCAGATACTCGCGGTCAATGAGACTCTCGATGCGCTTTTTGATCATGTTCACGTCGGGGACGAATCGCGCGGATAGTTGCGTGAGTACTTCGTTCATTAGTTGCGAGTGGATGAGAGTCTTGCGTTGTCTGTGGGGGTTAGCTAAGTCAATGGGATGTTGGAGGGGGGGGGGGTCTCTCACTTCATGATTCGGACGATAGCTGCCTCGATGCTGGCGCCGCGTTCTTCGCTCATCTTCTTCTCGGTTTCTTTTCGCTGATCTTGGTTCTCGACCTTGTTGGCACTGCCGCTGACTACGCCAATGCGGACTTTCATGAACGGGCTCTGGAAGTCGTGGTTAAAGAAGAATTTATCGGTGGGCTTGACGTCCTTGCTCATCGGGTCTTTCTTGAGGACTCGCGTCTTGGGCGCCACGGCAAGCGATTGCAGGTTGCGGATTAGATCGTGGTCAGGAATACGCGTCTGGGCCTGGATCTCGGTGTAGGTGAGAGACTCGCCCGCGGGCACGTCGTTGAACAACAGCAAAATGATCATGGCGTAGGTAGAGACATTCAGCTCGTGGCGCTGGGTCTTGCCATTCGATCGTTGAAACGTCGCGCGGATATCGGCTGTGCCCATGCTGGCTTGCCACGACAGCTTACGACCATTGTGCTTGCCCAGGTAGAATTGTTCGAAGCTTTGCTTGACGCTTTCTACCTCCTTGGGGAAGATGCAGGAAAGCTGGACGTCTTCGCTTCGCACGTTGGACATGATCTCCATCGGCCACATCGTACTGGTGAGCACGTTGATATCCAATTCCACCTTCTTCTGGTCGGGGTCACTGGATTGCCGGACATGTTCTTTGTAGCTCGACGTCAGGTCCTCGGAGATGGTCATGTCCTTGAACATGGCCTCCAGACGCTGTGTGAACTGGTTGCCAACCTCCATCTTCATTTTCGAGATCATCTGTCGCTCTGCGTCCATGCTCACGGAGCGCTTCATCAGCAGACGACGGGATAGATGTTTCTTGTAATATGCTTCAAACATGTCCTTATCTTTGATATACCGCAGCAGAGTGATGCCGTTGTCCAGCAATGTGTCAACCTCACTATCCGTCTTGCCCTTGATGCCCTTCTTCAGGTTCTCATCGAAGAAAAGGGACAGGTACTCCGAGCTGCGCGAGTCAGCCGCACCCTGGGACAGGTTGATGAACTCGGAGAAGCTGCTCGTGATAGCGCTTTGCATGACTTGATCGCACTGGAACGCATTCTGCCAGATATTGTCGAACTTTGCCTTGAGGGCGAGGATGTCATCCACCCACTTGATCGCAGCTACCGTCTGCAGATTCACCGGCTTCTCCTTCTCACTGGGCTTCTTTTCGCCCGCTTCAGGTTTCTTGCTGGGCGCTGCGGATGCAATCGCCGAGGCGTTGACTTCTCTGCCCATCTCGACAATCCGCTTTTGCACAGCAGTCGTGAGCGGTGTCTTTTTGCTGTCGACCCGCGCACTGAGCACGTAGATACTTCGCAAGTTGTCTATCCGATCATTGTCCAGCATGTTCCTGGCCCCAGTGCCTTCGAGCTTGACCACCTCGGCGATGTTGTTCTTGATCAGCTCATTATCCAGGACGTCTTTGATCTTGGCCTCCGTGAGCGACGACAGCGTGTCGATACACCGTTCAGTCTCCTCTGACAGACGATCCATGGCACTCTTGCAGAATGTGGCGGCATCTCCGGTCTCTAGTAGTCGCCGTCCCTCGGCCTGGTAGAATTTCCTGCTGGCTTCCAGGAATGCCGGTTCAAAGACAGTCAGGTAGAGTTTCGAGGACTCCTCCTCGGTGATCGTCTCGTAAAGACCCTCGAGCATATAAATGCAATGCCTGATCAGTGGCCGGTCGATAATGTGCCCCGATCTCTCCAATTGTATCATGAACAGCACGGTCGATTCGAGCACATCGTACACGGTCGTCTTGGTATCCGGCCTGATAGGCGAACGAAGCACATGGTCTCGAAACAATGCCATGACAACAACATAAATCGATGGTTTTCGGTGGTCCGTCGACATGACTCGGTCCTGCGAGTGTTAGCAGAGCAGATCGAGCAGACACAGATAAACCCACCATGTACATAAGCACATCCGTAATCATCCCCATGCAAAGCTGATGATCCTCCCACGCCTCCTTCAGCACCGCGAGGAACCTTTCTCCCGCCTCTCGTCGTTCATTCGCCTGATCTTGCACATCGACATGCGTCGCCAGCAGTAAACTGGGCGAAATCGACGCCGTCACGCGCTTCTGCACCTCTTCTTCCAACCATTCTCGTTCCAGCACTTTTATCCGCTCGTATAGTTCCTCTCCACGCATCATCAGCACAATATTGTATGAGTTGCGGTATAACTGCTCGAAGGACAAGTTGGATGCATCTTTGGTGTGAATTTTCCTCAACGACGTCGACAAGTCTTTCCAATTTGTCTCGAAATCGTCCGTCTTGGTGACTGTCAGGCCCTGATCTTCATTAGCTACTGCCAACGTTCTATACCTTCGCCGTTATCGGACGGAACCTTGTCCGTGCGAACCCTCCACCAGGCCAGCTGCACCGTCCATCCGCAGCCTAAACGAAAAGACAGAAGAGATAAACTCACCCTACGCGGAGCGCGAATCTTCTGCCTCGCCCTCAAAGCCATAACTCCCCACCTCACCAGATACCATCCAAGTCAAACAACCAAAGCGCGCGGGGCAAATCTCCGGAAAGGCCAGAGTGACGTATCCACCACGACACCCAATCAAACGAACCAGCTATCCTTTCAAAAGAACTTAAGAAAACCACCAGGTCGTACTTCAACCCTTGTCACTGTAAACAATCACTGGACGCTCAGTCGGGACAGTTGCAGGAGCGAGAAGAACCGCTCCAAGGCCCGCGGAGGCCCAGACAGCTGGAAGAACCTAAGTCCGGCGCAAACTCCGGCCCAACATCGTCATCTTTCCTTCGTCTGGGAACAACCTGCCGCTGAACGATTCCGCAAATCACAGATCTTTTGCTTAGGAGGGTGACGATAAATAAAATTATTTGATCATGCGTTCGTTTACTTTCCTTTCGAAGGGTCTTCGCGGTCTTCAGGGCGTATCTATCCCTCGCTCGTCCTCGAGATCTCTCTCCTCGAACCTGATCCGTCATCGTCCTTCACATCCAACACTACCATCCATTCACTCTCGACTCTCCACCTCAACATACCTCCTCACTTCAACCCGCCACAACTCCTCCTCCAACCCCCCCAACAAAACCAACAACGACACAGCACCACCCCTAACAACCAGCACCAGCACCCCCGAAACCACCGCCCAAAACGCCGCCGCGAACCGTCTCCGCCGAGAACAAGAACCCGCATACCAAATCACCTTCACGTGCAAGCCGTGCGGACATCGCTCCTCGCACCGTATCTCGAAACACGGCTATCATCGCGGCACGGTGTTGATCAAGTGTCCGTCGTGCGAGAATCGGCATGTCATTAGTGATCATTTGAAGATTTTCTTTGATGAGAAGAGTACGTTGGAGGATATTTTGAAGAAGCAGGGTGGGAAGGTCGTGAGGGGGTATGTGGATGGGGATATGGAGTTTTGGGAGGATGGGAGTGTTAAGGCTGCTGGGGGAGAGGGGGAAAAGGATGAGTGAGTGGGGGTGGATGGGGTGGTTTTGATGATAGATGGAAAATGTGAGCGTTAGAGGCGTTATGGTGGTGTTTGGATATCTATTTTGGAAGAAGAAATCTGGAGGAAGGAAAGTATATACACTTTGCTCCAACATACACTGTACTTTTATAAAAGAAAATATCTGTACGATACTCAAATGGAATCATCTCCTACTCCCAACGCCATTCCAATGCAACCAATCATACCACTCGTCTACCAACCACGTCTCCGACTGCGATGTTCGGCACCCCGCTCCTTTCTCTTGTCGCGCTTGCGGTCGTTGCGTCTCCGCTTGTCTTTCTCGTACCGCTCCGGCTCGGTGACGGCTTCGATGCGGCGCTTGACACGACGTCCTTCCCGTCTCTCCTTGATGGCGTCTTGCACCTTCGCCATTTGGGTGATGTATTCGGTGGGTCCGAGCTTCTTCTGGATGATGTCGAGCACCTCGTGGCAGTTGGACACCAGGCCCTTGTATGATTCCCGGAAGACTTCGTCGGAGGACCGAGGGGGTGGGATGGTATTGTCGGTCATGTGGAGAAGAGGGAGGAGGATGACGGAGAGCGACTCGTGGAGTTGCTCGACTTCGAGGTGTCGGCAGAGCGAGGCGAAGAGACCGATGGAGGCGGTCTTGGGGATCAGGGATTCGGCTCGCGTGGTAAGCAGTTCCCGACGCAGGATGGAAGACGTTTGCTCGAAGATGTAGCGAATCGCGGATTTAGGTGCGTTCGCGGGACGTTCAGCTTCGTCGTCGTTCGCCTCGTCCTCGCTATCGCTGACGTCCGAGTCGGCGTCCTTGCCACCGGCCTTTGGGAATTCAAGGCCGTTCTGAGCGCAGCAGCGGCCGAGGAAGATGATGTTGCGGACGGACTGCATGGCGAGCTCCTCGCTGACGGCAGGAGTGCGAAGGGAGCGCAAACTGGCGCGGATCAGCTGCAACATGGCGTCCTTGTCGAGCGCCAATCCCGTGGAGCCAGCCAGCGGGAGAGAGCCGTATCCTTCTGCCGCGTTGTGCTTGGCCAGGTCCGCAAGCCAGGTGCCGACGAGGGTCGCGGCGCAGGTCTTGACCCAGGCATGGGGATAGAACAGGCATTCACGGATCGCGGCCCAGATTTTAGCGCGCTCCTTGGCGAGCGCAATCGCAGGAACAGACTTGCAGAGCTTGGAGAAGAGCTGCAAGGAGAAGTAGAGAGCTTGCCAGTTCTCGGTCTCCTCGGCCTTGAGGACAGGCTGCATGATAGCCGGGAGCATGTCCACGACGAACCGAGCTTCCTTGTCCTTTTCGGTGCCTTCCACCTCGAAGTAGATCCGCATGGCTTGCAATCCGGTGCTGGTCAGAAGCATGTTGTCCGTTTGCTCCAGCCAGGTATGAAGAGGGGCAAGCATGGCCTTCATCTGCTCCCGGTCTGCCCGGGTGTAGAGCTCTCCCAGCAGGGTACCAGCCATTTCACGGCACTCAGGCGCGTCATCATTCGACATGACGATGACCACCGGCAGGAAGAAGGTGCTGACAATATCTTGGGCGAGCTCGTCGCCAGTCTTAGCCAACAGCATATGGATCGCCTCCATGACGGATTGGCGACCATCCTGGTGCTTGTACTCCAGGTTCTTAGCCAGGAAGCTGAGCTGCTTGGTCCAGCGGTTCTTGGCTTGCGGGTACTCGATCAGGAAATGGATGTATGTGCCGCGAGCGAGATCGCGCGCAGAGCGAGTCTGGTTGGTGACCATCATGGTGGCGATGTGGTCCATCAGTTCGTACACTTCAGGAACCACGAATTTCCGTGCCATAACCGCCCGGATGAAGTTGAAGGTGACGCCTTGACGGTCAGGCTCTTCGATATCCGCGGTAACACGTTGGAGGAGGTAAGCGAGATGTCCATCTCGGAGCTTGGTGCTCTTTCTCTCCCGGAGCATGGCCGAGACCAACTTCAACGATGCTTGCGCGGCCTCAGTGTTCGTGCTCGGGGCCTCCTTGATTACCTTCACCGCTTCGGTGAAGTAGACATGAGAGTTGCTGTCGATCTCCGGGATAGGAAGCTTGATGATAGTCGACAACAGACGAAGAGCCGAGATCTTGACTTCCTCGTGGGCCTGGACCAGGGCATCGCCAATGATGGGAATGAATCCGGCCAAATTGGCCGGCGTGAGCAGGGAGCTGAACTTGCTGAGGATAGCACGCAGGACGTCAAGGGAGAAGCGCGTCAACTTGTGGATGTACGACGACGTGGTACCGCGTTTCTCGCCCCGCTTGGATCCGTGAAGGTTGATCAACAAGTTTTCTTCCTGAGCAGTCTTGGTGACTTGTGTCTGGACCTTGGCCGGTGCGTTGTACGTCTCCTTGATGACTTCGTAACAGAACATCAGGATATCGCGGCTTTCGGCACCTGGGTTCCGTAACAGACCGACTCCAATCCTCCGCAGGAGCTCATCGACCTTCCTCACAATATTGGAATTGAGCTTTTCCCGCAAAAGCGACTGCAGGGGCCGAACCAGACCCGCCAAGTTCCGGACGGTAGAGTTCTTCGCCAGCAGCTCCATAGAGTCGAAACTCTTGCTGCTCTTGACTTCCTTCATCTTGCTCACATACTCCTCGGCTTCCTTCTCCTGGCCTACAGTGCCGAACGTGTCGTCCATCACAATAGAGCTCAAGTCCGTCAAACAGTAATCCAGGTCGCCCTGCTTGAAATCATCCGTTGTCGAGACAAGCATTGAGTGGACCGTAAAGGACAGCACGTGAAGCTGGTAACCTTTGGTGAGAGTAGTCCGAAGCTCTTTGAGGATATAACCAAAGTAGGGCGGGCCTAGCAGCAGGGCAATGTCGTTCAGCGTCTTCCGGGCAGTGTCTCGTGTTTCCTGGGTGCGACTCTTGAGGATACTGCACACGTCCAGAAGAACGGGTGGCAACCGAATTGACATGTCGGTCTCAGGCAACAACTTAAGAAGCTTGATCGTCGTGACGGCAGCAGGTAGACGCAGACTCATCTGCGCCTCATTCTTGTGGTGAATGAAATCAGTCAACTGAGGGGTGAAGTTTGTCGTCAACTCATTCGCAACCTTGGTGACAGAGGGAATGGACCGAGCCAGCGTAGAAGTCGGCGCAGAAGTCTCCAGCCCATCCATTCCGTCCTGAGCAGCCGCTTTGATGGCCGCATGCTGATTCATGGCGTTAGTCAAAGAATCAGCCATCTTGCCCAAGAGCCTGAGGATGTTCTTCTCCATGTCGGACTTGCTCTGCATGTAACCACGATATCTCCGGAAGATAGCCCTGAACTGACTCCAATCCAGCCATTCTGCCAGGGCTCCAATAGTGATCACAGCCTCCGCGATAAGGTTATGGTCAGCCTCGTCAGCTTCCTCATCAAACACAAAGTGCTCATTGAGAGGAATGAAGATTGTGCTGATGTTCGAAGCCTGAAGGTTCCCCTTCGCTGCTTCGCTGGCAAGACGGCGCAGGGCCCGAAGACGACGATGCTGCTGGATGTGGAGAACGTTGTTGAAGAAAGACGCTTCTTCGTCATCACCAACAAGCAGAACATGCATATCCTTCACAGCCGGACGCTCGGGGTTGAGCTTGACGAAGTATCCAAGAGCGGAAAGGAACTCGGATCGAATGAGCTCGGATTTCTGGCGAATGCCACCCTGCAGAGCAGGGAACAAAACCTCAGTAACGAGAGGCTCGAAATCCTCAGCATCGCCACCGGTGGGAAGAACAGCCCGTTCCATGAAACGCTTCAGACCAAACGAAGCGCTCGACCGGATCGCAAGTTCCTCCTCATCCTTGACCTGATACAGCATGTTGTAGAGAAGAGGCCGCCACTGCTTAGCGTTGAGCTTGTCCCAAAGATTCTCGTTGACCTCCCGGAAGGCCTGCAGACGACGTTCATAATCCACTTCGAGCCTCTTCATGGACACGGAGTTGAGGTCCTCGCAAAGAGAAGCGACCTGAACGAGCTCCTCATCCCGTCTGGCAAAGGCCGTGAAGACCCTAGCCAGAATTTCTCTGTTGGCATTGTCCTTGAAGTAATCGAACATGGACGACACAGCTTCGAAAACCTCTCCGGAGAGAGTAGCATCCTCCTTGGGGTCAAAGAGGGGCAAGAAATGTTCCAAGGTCCGTAGCAGGCCAGACTTGGTCTTGGGGGACACACGGTCCGGAGGTTGACGGAGTAGATAGGTAGTGATGCTGATGAGACTGTACGTCTCTTTCGAGGACTCAACACATGGCGAGATGAGAGAAAGCGCCTGCACGCCAGAAACCAAGACGGACCGGGAAGGGCCGCGCTTGAGCAGTCTGCTGAGATGAGACAGGGTGTGCTCGATATAAGGAGACAGGACCTGAGTACGGATTTCATCGGCAGGAATGTCGCTTATCTTCTCCTGCTCTTGCAGCTCCTTGCCCGTGGCGAGGTTGACGAGTGGCACCAGAATCTCGTCCATGACAAAGACCTTGACTTCGTCACGAGCTGACTCCACGCCGAGACAGTCCACAACCTTCTTCAACACAACGTCATTGTGCTGGACAAGATAAAACGTAGACCTAGGAGCAGAAGCCCAGACGTGGAAGAGTCGAAGAAGACCCGACACACCCTGAGCAGTTTCGGTTGCAAAGTTCTCGATCCTAGGGTTGATAACATCCTCGAAGATGGCACCGACATAGGGCGACCAATCCTGATCCTGCGTGGTGGAGAAGATAAGCTCCAGACAACGAATACAAGTGTGACGAATATTGCGCAGAACGGTCAACAGACGTCCTTCTTGCGAATCGGCAGCAGGCGTAGGTTGATCCTTTTCTATCTCGCGACATGCCCGGACGAGACAGTAGAGAACCACTTGCAGGGACTTTTCGGCATAAGGAGCCACCCGGCTTTGGAGCGTTTCGAAGACGGTTTCAATCATCTTCAGCAAACCGCTTTGGCGTCTGGGGGAAACAAGTTCTTGTTGGAAAGCCTGCTGTTTGATTTGATTGTTTTGTAATAAGTCGAGCTCTCCCAGCGCTCCGAATGAGACCTGCATAAAGATCTCGAACTCATTATCAGGCAACTGCGACAACGTTCTCAAAATAGCCTTTCTGCGACCCGCTTGGCCTGCCTGGCCAGAACTTGCACCGGCCTTGGAGATCATTCGACCATACAAAAGCCGGAGAAGCACAGGAACAAGCTCAGCCCGGTGCCCTTCTTCGATCACACTGTCATCTCCGCCGACCCGAACAAACACAGAAAGCTCATCCCGGAATCGCGACTCATCCAAGATGTTAAGAAGGTTCTCTTGGTAAGGAGTGATGTTTCCAGATTTCCACGTGAAAAGAGCCTTGAGTGCAGCCTTTTGAATTTCAGAATTACCGTGGCACAGCAACCCAAGAAGCGCCTCATGGACCTCAGGTGCTTTGAACAACACACGGGGGTTCAGGAACTGCCCAAGGAGGCCAAGGAACGCCAACCGATCGTGGAACCCCCAGGGAATATAGGGCACATTGGAATCTTTCGATTCCGCACTGGGGCCGTCATCCTCATCACGTAGGGCCCAAGAAAGGAACAGGGGAATGACCTGACGAGACTTCTTTTCAGCAATATTCGGTACAGCGTTGAGCACACGCAAAGCTTGGGTCCTAGGCGAAGCGGGAATAACGCCTGAGAACGTGTGGTCTTTGTCGAACCCGTCGGACAATGCTGTAGCAGGTTGCTCGGGGGTTTCGAAATGCTTGGCAGAAATATCCTCAACCTTCATCGTGTTGGAGCATGTATAGTGACCACCAACATAGGATTCAGTGCTTTCTTCATCGTTGGCGTCCGCAGCTGCCTCGCCCGATCCTCTCTCATCGAGCCACTGGAATGCGAGATCCGAGACGATCTTCTCCCCCTCAGGCAGTTCACTCATAGACTTCAAGGCAGATGCAGCATCATCCCACAATGGCGCCATCTTCTTTGACAACAAACCAAAGCAGAAATGGGGAAGTAGCCTGGCCATCCATCTGCGCGAAACCACCTGCGGGTAAGCTAATGCAAGCTTACGCACATGCATTGCCAGAACTCGTGCACTTTGCAGGGTCAATGGGCTCTCCTCGATCTCAATGGCTGTGGAGATAAGCTCGGCATCCTCGCCGGAAGCCAGAACAAGTTCCCGTAAAATCCTCAAAGACAGCAGGCGGAGCTTGTGGGAAGGACCGCTGAGGTTAGAGATTAGAACCTCCGCAAAGACTTCGATCGTCGAGTTTTGCAGGTCAAGGTCCTGTTTGCAGGCGGAAATGTATCCCAGCGTGGCCTCAAGGAAGGCCGGAAGACGAGAGTATTGTGCCGCTACCTTGCTGATGCGGTCCCAAAGGGCCGAGTCAACATTACCAGCAGTGGTAGCAAGGTCCACGTAGGTTTTGAACCCCTGGCCAAGGTAAAACTTGGTTGTAGCCGATGGATCAGTGCTCTTCTTCTTCAGAGCGCGGACGAGATGACCGTGAAGAGTCTTGGTCATCTCGGGTATGAGAGAAGGTTCGGTCGAGAGAGACAAGGCGCTGGGGAGTTTAGAGTAGGCGTTAAGGAGGGTCACCTCGGTGGCGCTGTGGTCAGGCTTGTTGAACGTGTCCTTGACACGAGACTTCCAGGATGCGGGACAAGTGATATACCCCGGTTTGGCTACCTCGGACGTAATGCAACCGGCCTGGTTCAGACGGAGCAAAGACAGACAAAGCTCGTCCTCGTGTTCTTTCCAGGATGTGTTGACAAACCTATGTCGACGTTAGATAGTCATAGGGATACAATGGATCAATATCTTACTTTTGGAAATAAGGAAGGACAACACTGTGGAATCTCTCTGGCCCCCATTCGGAGAAGGTGGCACAGAATGCGAGAAAATGCGTAGAGAGTTTGTCATTCGATACGGCATCCATGATCGAGCGCATGAACGGCAGCATTTCATCCATTGGTGATATTTGGAGCGCGTATGCGACGGCAGTGAGAAGCTGAGGGATAGCTTCAGCGTACGCACCAGGCGCACCTGCAGCATTCTGCAGCAGAAGAAGTAGTGTCTGATGGACGGGTCTCCAGTTCTTCACTCGCGTTCCCTTTCTAGTGGTGACACACACGAAAATCAGTCGAGAGCAAGCGATGGCGTGCTGCTTATCGCCCTTGGTGCAGTTCTTTTCGATATACGATCTAACAAGATCAAGAATTGGCTCGAAGGTATCGACGGTAGTGTTGTGGAGGATGTTGGTCACCACTCCGCTTGCGACTTCCAGCCCCAAACTACTCTGCAAGTCATCGCCGGTGCAGATGTTGTCCAGGATACAGCTGAGAATATCGCCTCCGTTGGAATGAATGCCATATTTGACACCCTTGATGGCGTCCGCGAACATCGCCATCAGACCATCCTTGTACATCTCCACATTCTTATCCTCCCCAACAGTCTGGCGCAAGTCTTCGAGCAGGAAGGATACGGCGCGTTGAAGAGGAGTTGTATTCTTGTAATACACCAAACCAGCCTTGCGGATCAGGAACGACATCGATTCGGCAGCGAAGCGGGTAACAAACGACTTTTGGCGCTCTTTTCCAAGGTACGGCGTCATAATACCTAGAAGCTGTCTAAGATCCGGAACCAAAAGTCGGGAAAGGAACTTGAAGATCCAAGCAAGACAAGAGAAGGACCATTCCACGACCTCGACATCAGGATGGCTCGCAGCGACGGAAGCCACCAAAGTGACCGCAGTCGCGAAATGCTTCTCAAACCTGACGCCCAAATCGCGCGCGAACTGGGCCAGAAGACCGAGAAGCGGTTCAATCGACAACTTATCCCTCTTCTCGATGTACTCCACCAAATAGTTCATAATCTTCTCCTCATGGTACAGGATCTGAGCCAAGCTCTCGCACAGCGGGTTCACTCGGCGGGCGAATTGGACGAAATTGTCGGACAGGTTCAGCTCGGTCCAGTGCTCGAAGGCGGAGCGAAAATAGGAGGATGTCTCATCGGCATCTTCACCAAAGCTGGGTCGGCGCACGCGATGAATCGGGTCGATCTTCAACTTTGCGACTCGCTGGGAAAACGGCTCGAATCGATGCGACTTGGTTGTCTCCGTCCCACCTTTCACACGCTTCACGGGCTTGGCCCGCGAAGACGACGACGACGCTGCGACCATCGTGGGATGTGATGGCGACAAAACACGAGCAGCGTCGTTGTAGAGTCGTAGGGATCTCAAAGTGGGTGGAGTATCTCCAACTCTCCTCAGTAGTAGTATAGACAAAAAAATTCATCGGGCCCGCGGTAACCTTCTTCCGGTGCGGAGATTAGTTCACCGCCGGGCTTTACGGGCGGCCAGCGCTAGCCGTATGCGATTAGAATTGAAGTCACGTGGATTTATGTGGCCCAAGCTTCTCATTCCCTTTTGAGCGATGCAACGCTCAAGAACGCAGGCAATAATTGTCTCCGCGATGCCGAGACGCATTAGCGTAGCACTATCTGATCAATCTTGCAGATAATACCTGATATCATCTCGCATTTATGTATCCCCGGTTGCAGCTTGCCGGCACTATTCTAGCGTCTTCAACCCATATATATTGAGCCACTTCCTGCATTGTACTCCGTACTACTTGACTAATTCATCGTACTATACAACCCAACATCACTCCCAAAAAACAAAGGACAGTACCGAATCAGCGGTGTCTATTCTTGACTTCCAAATTTCTATGCAAAACAAGCCCCTTTGGAGGCACCCAAACTGCAAGCATGACAAAAGTACCGGTGCGTTCGTTATAGTTCCATCATTGTTTCAGACATACATCATGCAGGAAGGTTAGGGTCAGGGCGGGCCAGATACACGAAGGTAAATGGTATGTACAAAGCGGTTGGGGGGGGGGGGGGTTGAAGAACCAGGATATTGGTCGTCAGGCTCTTCGCGTGAAGCGAAAGACATGGCTATTTGGTCGCAAGGAGAAGGCGGACGCTAGGATATGGCATCACTATCCAATAGTCTATAGTCGTTGCAATGTGGCTTGGTGCAGTTTTTCTGGACTGCAGTTTTCACCTGACGTCCGTTGCGGAATGCGTCGTAGGTCAATTTTTCACGACCACGGGTCCTCCAAATGTATTCCTAGACGACGTAACTTTTGAAGCCATCAATGGACACACCAAAAGTGGGACCAGGACCGCGGTCACGGCCCAGTCTTGGACAAGATTAAAATTGTCAAAGCAGGCTAAACGGCCTAAAGATCCCTGTACGAGTTGGGGGTAGGCCTGCGCCCACTCTGCAAAAGACTCGGGGGCCTGCCCGGTTCATTGGCTTCATAAGGCGCAGGGGTCGTAGTGAATGGAGGTGGTGGCGACACAGGAGTAGCCGGAGACATTCCTCGATAAGGCGGTGCCTGGTTGAAGCCGGGAGAGGGCTGGCGATACGGGATTGGACGAGGAGCATTCATAGCCGAGTGAAGTGTTGGGGCAGGGGAATATGTCCTGTTAATCGGCATTGGCTGCCCGTATGTGGGTTCCGGTGCCATATGATGGGGCTGCATATTGTTCATCGGCATATACTGGGGCTGCGAGGTATTCATTGGCACATAGGGCGGCTGCACGCTGTCCATGGGCATATGATACGGTTGGGCCCCGTCCATAGGCGAATGATGCGGTTGCGCCGGGTCCATATGCATATAAGGTGGTTGCGAGGTGTAGGTAGGGGCCGGCGACATGGAGTGGAAGCGGTCTTCATGAGGGTATTCGCTATACGGCTGGTGCTCATACGGCGAGATGGGTGGCGGAGACCTTGGGCCGGGCGCGTGGTAGCCATATGTGTCCTGTCCATCATGTCCGTCGTATCCATCATACCCTCGAGGTTCAGCATGATAGTTAGCAGGCGTCCCGGTTCTTAACGGCGTAGGGCCCATATAGCCACCCCCGAGGGACCTGGCGGCAGATGGCATGCGACGAGGCTCCTGGATGGGGTTGTTAAGAGGTTTCATCTCCATAGCTTCTCCATGAGCCCCATCTTCGACCCGCTTCGTTACTGCGTTGTCCCACGTGGGCATGGCGGGCAATGCGTCCTCGTCAAACTTCGCGCCAGCAGGACTTGACGGTGTATCAAACCGTGCTACCTCGGCTCCCCGGTACACAGGCGGTGCCTGTGGCTGGTAGGGTGATTGGTAGGCATTGTTGATGGCCGGGACCGTTGGCATGGCAGGCATTGGAGGCGGCTGATCATACTGCTCGTCCAAATGCTTCGTCTTGTTCCTTCTTCTCCGGGGAGCCGGACAGCATGACGAACAACATCCACAACAGCATTTGCAACATTGCACCCCACAGCATAGGCAATTGATCACGCATGCAACGACCGAGAGGAGAATCAGTGCGGCGATAATAATAGCAACGATAACCGGCCACCTAGGCACTTGAAGTCAGAAAATAGCAGACTAAGAGCGTGAACACAGCAACATACTTGCAATAAGCTTTCGACATGCATTTGTCCCAACTGGTGAACGTTTCAGCATCAGACTTAAGATCGCTCACCACACTCCTCGCCCACAATGGGACGGGTGTCTTATCCACCGGGCTCATGGTTCTGACAAGGTCTGTGTGATCCACCGGCAATCTCTCGAGTCCCACAGCCGATCCGAGACAGTATGGAGCGATGGGTTCCTAGCCGGAAACCTTCTTGTACTGCGCGTGTTCCTGACACGTCTGGCGTAATCATGTAATGCAGCAAAGCAACGGTGTGAGATAAGCGGCGTTGCCCCAAGGGATAGTTCTTCTCGTGACTCAATTCGACTCGAAATGAATGATTCTAATGATTGGTTACCAGAGACTCATCTGGCTTTGCTTCGTATGGCTAGGTCGGTCTCGCGTAATGAGTGGTTCGATTCGCGACGTTGCGCGACTGTTGTTGCACAGATTGAGAGAGCGCAAGTGCTTAACAGGGCGATTCAGAATAATTGAGGGAGGGGCACACAAGGGTGAGGGAAAATCTATTCTTGGAAAGGGAGTGTCTTCCCAAAGCAGAAAAAGAAAGGAGAGAGATCGGAATCGTAAGATCAAGACCGACTGGAAGGGAAATGACTGATGATGGGGGTGGTGGTGGTGCGCTCCGAGAAGCAGTGCGCCGCCGCGCCTCCAAGAGGAATTATGAGTTATCGATCATGTGCAGATCGCCAGGGAATCTGCAAGGCGACAACTAATGTTCTCCTCGGCCGGAACGAAGGACCAGAAAAGAAGGACGTCGTTGGGGGTTGTCCCTGAGGCCGAAGGAGGGGGGCACTGAAAGAAGGCAAAAAGAAGAAACGACGGGGTCGAAACAGCGAGCGAATAGTTTTAAATTGGCTGGGGGAGGATAAGAAGCAAGCAGACGGCCAAGAGGAACAGGAGATCAGCGCGCATGCGGAGAGCCACTCGCCCATCGCAATTGAAGCAGGCGAGCGAACTCGTATTTACGCCCCCGTACCTGATTCCCCACGCAGCGAGCGCTGTATTACCATCCTCGTACCGGGCGAGGAGGGCTAATCTGTCTCGAACCCAGCTAAACAACACTTGAAACCGCCCGTTTCTTCCTCGCCGGACCCTCTCCACTGCTGTCGATCCCACCCACGGCCGCCTCTGCATTTCTCCTGCTCCAGCATAATGGCCAATCTTATTGGTGGTCGCAGTGTCCACTACAGCTTAAGTGACATACATGGGTGCGTCTCTTGGGACGGCAGACGAGCATCCCTACATCTAGTCACACCCTTGATCGAAGCTTATCCTTCTCGTAATATACTGTTATTGAGTCCCTACATACTCCGTAAATATTTTCCGAACCATAAGAGATCTCCTAGTACCCGTCCATAAGTCAAAAGGACGTAGACTGACTTCAGCGTGAACGTCCCAAGGGGTGAACATTGACCGCTTTTCAGCCCCTTAGTAAACTAGTTTACCTGGTGGGTTTAGGTTGGAGAATAGGATGCGAGTCCACCTGGAAGAGGCAGACATCGATAGACCTGCACTTGGCAGATGGGGTCCACTGGATGACAAACGCCGTTCGTTGGAATGGTTCGTCTTCATTGTAAGTATTGACGTGGGTATAGACCAAATTCGCCAATATCGCTTTAAACAAATCATATATCACAGGCAGTCAATAATTGCAGTGCAAGAAAGAAGAAAATGAGTGAATATGCTGCATGTCATGATGTAGAGAAGAGAGCACTACCCTGACGAGTCATTACAGTATGAGTAGCAAGGAGTTTAGCAAATAGGCACAAGGAAACTCATAAACCCGTCACACATTCCCTATGGTATGCCCTCCTAGCCTGACGCTATGAGACGCAGAGCCACATTTCGAATAACCGATAATCAAAGACGCCTGGGTAATTACATAATGGTCGATCAAGGAACCCCTTGAATCTGGTATCTGGGGAGAAAAGTCGTTTCACTGGTGGGCGATGCCGAGCGTTACACCTTGGAAGTCTGAGGAGGAGGTCCTGGAGGTGCCTGGTATATACGTTCGCCACCGTGATATGCGTTTGGTGGTGATTGTAACTCGATTCCGGTTTGCTGCCCTCCAAAATAACCGTACGCTTGCGGCTGAGGGGTGTATTGAGGTGGCGGTTGTTGTTGGTAGTAGGGATCTGCGTAGTATGGTCGTTGACCTTGTTGTTGTTGTTGTGACTGTTGGAAGGTGGGAGGCGGGCCAGCAAGCCATCCAGTGCCGGGATGAGGACGAAGCCCTTGTCTGCGCCGACGGCGGGCGTTGTAACATCTACCATGCGGTAAGCTTGCAGCCAAAACGCCGACTAAGGAGAAGGTACATACGCAAAGAGAAAGAAGATGACTAGTGCCACAGCAACAATTACCCCAAAAGCGATCCAGCGACCCCAGTCATACCAGGTGCTGCCATCGCACACCCGGCCGTTGACAGTGTCATAGCTAAAAGTTGGTCAGCCACTCGATCTGACGGTACAACCCTGGGTCGATCGCAATTCTAGAAGGTCTGAAGGCCCTGAGACCAGGGATGTTCAGGCAGACAAGATACATACCAGTCTCGACGAAGTAGAATACCCATAGTGGCTGCACCTCTCTATCCGAGGCCTGGGGGCGGAAGATGACGTCGATCAGGCGGCACAGGGAACAATAAAACTAGTGCGAGGTGGATGGAAAGTATGCGATGAAGGTTCAGAGAGACGAAATTTATGGAAGAAGGATCGCAACCACTCGAGAGAGAGCTTAAGGTAAGAAAGGGATTCAAACCAGGAGGAAGGTAGGGGGGGAAAGGGAAGAAGCAGTGAAGTTCTTCTGGGCGTCTGAAGGCAGCAACAAAGCGAAAGGAACTGCACGGGTAAGTAATTATGGGGACGGTTGACGATTGGGTAAGGTAGGGCTGGGAGCCGGTGCCAGTGTGGCTCAGTGGCTGGGCAACCTGGGCGGCGGTGGAAGTAACCTAAATACCAGTCCAGGTGAGGTGGTCGGGGGGCGAAGGAAAAAATGGGCAAAGTCGAGGCAGATTACCCAGTTATACGGCGAGTGATGATGATCGATTAGAAAAAAACTCAACCTCAAACCAGGCATAAAGCCAACTTTTATGAACCAATTATTCCCATGAAGAAATCTTTAGAGCGTCCGTCCGTTGGTGCTAATCCTAAAGGCACTTCGGCAGTGTTTGACGTAGTATTCCCCCCCACAAGCGTCGTACGTAGTCTACCCTGCCAGCAGCTCCTAACCACTTGACACATCGACACATGCGGATGGTAAGTAGTAGGCAGTGTATCATCCCGGGGGGAGGGGAGGTGGGCGAGTGTATACCCGAGTCCCGACGGTAGGGGCGGTTCGTGATTCATTAGATCTACGCACAATGTTCATGCTGTTCCTGCTTGACTTCCATGATTGACAGACTAAGCAGATATCTACTAATCGACCAGACTAAAACCTTGGTGGCTCGGCAGACTGGATCGCATCAGGTGGGCCCGTGACTGCAACGACCGGCACTAGCGCCCCTCGCCGCCGTCTTAGTCTTTATCCTGGCCCTTCACGGCCACTCCAAAATTCGGGTGCCTGTTCGACCTTCGAACCTCCTCCAATTCACGGTCCTCCATCTCCGGGCCCAACACGATTCTATTCGCGTTTCTCCTGTCGACTTGGGGATGGTACCACCCTTGGCAGTCTATTCCTGAGTTCTCCGAAACTCAACCAAGAACCAAGGCCTCTGCGCATGGCCATGTTTGGGACTGCCGCCAACACTGTTTTCTATTGACGGTCGGCATGTATTACGACTTGAGCCTCGGTTCTCCGTGTTTCTACTTGGTAGATTAAACCCCTCATGGAGCACCCAGACGCTGACAACAACATGGCCTCTTGACCGCTCCTGCTCTCAACCTGCACATGCAATATGACCTGGACTCTATCCAGTATTCAGGCTGGCCGGAAAAATCCTATTCAGAACGGAGTCCTCCGTTGTAGATCCGGTTGCCTTTTCCGGCGCTTACTTGGTGGGATATCACGTAACCAGACATTGGGCAGTGTCATGGACTCGTTCTCGCCTCCAGCATCTTAGATAATAGATCGATACGAGGAAAAGTATCCGGCGATGCGCGCATAACTCTGCCAAGATGTTCATTAACCTCACTAACATGATGGAGGCATCGAGCCCGATGGCCAGGAAAAGCGACCTAAGCGAAGGCCTACAGCTCTTTAATCTTTAGTGCTTATCGCAGCATGGTGAACGGATGAATCCACTTCTCGGCACTAATTCGGGTTAGATGGCTCATGTTTCATCTTGATGGTGGGAATAGATAGCCTGGTGATTCGCCTGTCATCCAGATCACCGATTCGAGGCTACTGTAGGTCAGTGACAAGGAATGCTACCAGTATCTAGTAGAAGGTACTACTCCGGCTAAGATACCTGGGCTATGCGCTTCGCGGGCGCCGACTGGAAGTACCTCCTCGTCCAAGTCACTCCGTTGTTCCTCTCGGTCGACACCGAGTATTTACTATGGAGCACCACCCCCGGTAGCCAAAAGGGTCAGCGCCAATGGACATGCAACCGATTCGCAGCGTGGACGGCTAGCGAGCCAGTCGTCTGCCTATAATCGTCCAGAAGGTGATACTGAACCCAGAAGCCGTAAACCTTCGCTGGTGTTGTTGGCGGGGTTGGATTTGCTGGATTGGTATGGAAGGCTTGATTAGTTCCCGTCTGCGCATCTGCAATGCCAACGCATCAGTTGGTCTGTGTGTGGCCCTGTTGGCCATCCTGCTTTCCCATGGGGATGCTCTTAAATAAGATGGCCTACCCTCTCCTTCCTTTCTTACCTCGTCGCGGAGAGGGATCTCCTTTTGTCCCTTTTCTCCCAGCTACCGGTCTTGATGTACCATCGGATGCTACTTTTGGACCCATAATCATGTGCCTGTTGCGCCTGGATTTCTCCCAAATCCAGGCGTTCTCCGTCACTGAACTAACCATGCAGTACCTTGCAACGCCATAGCATCCGCTCACGCGGTTTCATTTGTTGAAGTCTCACTTCGGGCGCCGAATTTTTCATGATTGAAATGCGCCTGGGGAACATAAAATACACAAAGAACAAACTGACATCATTGACATAAACCACCATATGACTCCATGACAGGGGCAAGTTGCTGAAGATCGGACAAAATGTTACGCTGAAGCTCAATGTGCCTGGTTCACGTCGTTCACATCATTACGTCGGGGCGGCGAGCCGCATGGTTTGCAGTCTACAGGTCCTCCATCTCCGGGATGCGACAAGGGTCCATCCCACCACGCTTCGGGGGCAATTCCCCCCGCCAGTCTTTTCATCGACTGGCGCGAGCAATTAACCAATGCAGAACCGCATCGAGGTTTGTTTCCTCTTTGGCGCTAATGCCATAGCAGCTCACTTCGCGATGGGTGATGGTTTTCAGATCCATCGCGTGGATCAGATCATCAACCGACAGCTTGTCTTGAAGGTCGGACTTATTCCCGAGAACCAGCAACGGGATTCCGTTGAGCGTTTCTTTATTCATGAGCTCGTGCAACTCTTCTTTGGCCACTGGTAAGGCGGCACGATCTGCTGCATCCACGATGTACCTGACCTGATGGTTAGCGCTGCCGGTCTACCGCGTCTCGTCTCAGAGGGCCGGGGATATTTACACGATCGCATTCACGCCCCGACAATATCGCTCCCACATCGGTCGAAACCGCGGCTGTCCACCGAGATCCCAGCTGGATAGAGGTTAGAAACATCGCGAACAGGGGGCTCAACGCCCAACTCGGGGTCACCAACCATTTCAGAGTCACATGGCCCTTTTGGACCCGTTTCGTGTTAAAGCCGATCGTGGGAATGGAGCTGAAATGGGGGTTAGCCCGACAAACAAAACTCCACGCAGCCCGGCTAGGCCCTACACCTTGAGGACTTACTCTACAGTGAACTCGCCCCCCTATGCCGGCAGATTAGCGATGATGATCGATAAGATAGTGGCGCACTCGGTTGAGATGGAAAGAGACATACCGCCAACACACGCAGCAACGAGGACTTGCCTGCATTTTGGAGGCCAATCATGGTGACATCCATCTCCGTCGCCCTGCGGATGCAAAATATATAATGGCACTTAGCAAACGGAATGTTTTCCTTATCTGCGGGGACGGCCCGAAGAGGGGGGGGACCATTTCCGGAGAAAAAGCGATTACTTATTGGGACGCCGGCCCACTTACCAGAACATCCTCAGGAGCCAGTCATAGATCGTTCGAAAGATACCCGCCATGGTGGTGAGAAGGTCAACGCCGTGTCGTCCGCCCGACGAAGGCAACGAGGGCGATGGGACAGTTTAAGTAGGGGGAGGTCGAAAGGGCGCTGCTTGTCTCGGCTGGTGGGCGATCGACGACGGGTGGGCGAATATATCGACTTCCTGGCACAAGAATTTTGTAAGGTTAAGTGGGGGTGGGTGGGCTGCTGAAAGGGAGCAGAAGTCTTTCCTTTCCCGGGCAGGAAAAAGCAGAGGCTGTGTGGGTGTAGTCGAAGAAGTCGAAGAAAAAGGCGAGGTGGAAAAATAGAGGTCGAAAAAGAGGCGGGCGTCGTAGGCACGTTTTCCAACGCCGGCAGCCGGGGCTGAGAGGGTGATGTTGTCGAAGGGGCGCGAAGAAGGCGGCAATTTTCCAGGGTTGGCTGGTCCCTAGCGATGGGAACCCGAATATTTCTTCTTCTGATGCCTCTGCTTTGCGGTGAAACTAAGCTGGCCCCGATCTATGGGCACGCATGACCGTTCGCTCTGCGCCGCGCGCGCGCTGGAGGGGACAGCGCCTAGTCCTGGTCCTGCCGGTCCCTGTCAGTCTGTGTCAGTGTCAAGTCAGTGTCAATCGCTCGTACCTACCGACGCCTGTCCCTAACTAACGGGGTTAAAGGGCGAACTAGTCCCAGTTAGCTGCTCGCTGGGTGGGAACCGGTGGCTCAGTCGCACGAGGAAGTCATTAAAAATTCGACAAACCGGGAATGGAGGCAATTCTCGATAGTCCTGTAATGATGATATTGACTGCTGCGCTTGCCAATGGCGACCAATAGTCGCCGCTTAGCTCAGGTAATCGCCAGCCCGAGGATTGATACTAGTCCGCAGTGACCCGCCTTGTCTGGAATGATCCTATCCTCCTCCCTGGAAAGAGTAAATGCGGAAGATTAAGAATGGGATCCCGATGCCAATGGTCGTAAAGATGATTCATCGATCTGGCTGGAGGTGACCCGCCCAGTACTCTGTAACTACTGCCATGTCATGCATCTTCGTATGCCTGGACTGACGCCTGCCAGGTTTGCCTTGTTGCCTAAGGCGGTCTTGCCCGGTCCCCGTGCATTCATCCCGTGACGTATTTGGCTCATTAGGTAATTATGGCCCGTGTCGCCATATCCTTCCTGCCTCAGGCAGAGACAGTGGACTATCACCACGTGATGATATCTGTCCGCCGGGTCCACCTCGAAAAATTTCCCCGTCGAGCGACGACGAGGTTCGTTGCTTTCCAGCCAGCACCACTCGGGGTCTCTGTGCGAGTCGCATCCCCTCCCCATTCCCCCTCGTCGCTCGTGCAAGTCTACAGAAAGGAGGGAATGAGAATTGCTACCGATCACTAGCACCCATCTTTTCCACCGGTGCTTCGGATTGTACGCCTTCGGAAGTCCAATCGAACTTTTTTCGTCCTCTTTTCCGACCTCCCGGACAAGAAAACCACACATAATTCACCATGGCTCCCGCGGCGACAGACACGAATTGGTCGGTCGATTACGACGTCCTGAGACGGGAGAAGCTCTTCCGTAACCCTCCTAAGGACCAGACCGCATACCCGGCCTTGGCAGCTGCCATCCGGCCGCATGTTGATTCCTTCAATGCGCTCTTCGACGGCCCCAAGACCCTGGAGGCGGCATTGAAGGATATCGGCACCAAGACATTCATCGACGGTGAAGCCGAGACCCCTGAACAGAAGAAGGCGCGGCAGGCGGAGGGCCGCAAGGCTCCCCGGCGGAACAAGCTCCATGTCCGCGTCAGTGAAGTTTTCCTCGAGAAGCCCGCCCTGCCTGCGTCCAACAAGTTCACCACGCGCAACCGCAATATCTACCCCTCCGAATGCAGAGAGAGACATGCGACGTACCGTGGAAAGCTCCGCGCTAGGATTGAATGGCGGGTCAACAATGGAGATTGGATGGAATCGGTCAGAGAGTTGGGCCAGGTCCCTATCATGTTGAGGGTGAGTGCGACGACGCATACAGTCCTATTGAACGGCCTGTATAGGACACCTTCTAACTTTGCATGATCTCCAGACCAACCGCTGCCACCTGGAGAAGGCCACGCCCAGCGAACTCGTCGACCACAAGGAAGAGTCGGAGGAATTGGGTGGTTATTTCATTGTCAACGGAAACGAAAAGCTCATTCGAATGTTGGTCGTTGGAAAGAGAAACTTCCCTATGTCGATTGTTCGTGGATCCTTCGTTCGCCGTGGACACACATACACCAAATATGGTGTCCAAATACGATCGGTGCGGCCGGATCAAACGTCGCAGACGAATGTTCTTCACTACCTCACTGACGGCAACCTGACTTTCCGTTTCTCGTGGCGCAAGGCCGAGTATCTCGTCCCGGTGATGATGATCCTCAAGGCCCTGGTGGAGACCAACGATCGCGAAATCTTCGAGGGCATCGTTGGCGGCGCTTCTTCCGAGGGCATCAAGAACACATTCGTGACCGACCGTGTCGAGCTGCTGTTGCGGGTATACAAGGCATACAACACACACAGCCGCTCAGCCTGCCGGGCCTACCTTGGAGAGAAGTTCAAGCCCGTCCTCGGTGTGCCAGCGGACATGTCGAACGAGGACGCTGGTACGGAATTCCTCCGCAAGGTCGTCCTGCCCCACCTTGGCAACCAGAATGTCACTGAGAACCAGGATTATGACAAGTTCAAGATGCTCTTGTTCATGATCCGGAAACTCTACGCCTTGGTGGCCGGAGACTGCGCCCCTGACAACCCGGATGCTGTCTCCAACCAAGAGATCCTGCTCGGTGGATTCCTCTACGGAATGATCTTGAAGGAAAGACTCGAAGAATGGGTGCGATCCTTCCAGCCCATTCTGAGGGACTGGTCCAACCGTAATGGTGGTGCGAAGTTCACCGATCCCGCATTCGAAAGGGATTTCCTGAGCAAGGTCGTGAAGCGGTCGAACGAGAATATCGGAGGTGCCTTGGAGTACTTTCTGTCGACTGGTAACCTCGTCAGTCCCACTGGTCTCGATTTGCAGCAGCCATCCGGTTATACTGTCATGGCGGAAAAGATCAACTTCTACCGTTTCATCAGTCACTTCCGCATGATTCACAGAGGTAGTTTCTTCGCGCAGCTGAAGACGACGACCGTCCGTAAGCTGCTGCCCGAGAGTTGGGGTTTCTTCTGTCCTGTGCACACTCCTGATGGTGCGCCATGTGGTCTTCTCAACCATCTTGCGCACAAGTGTTTGATTGCGACGAGCGACGTGGACACGACTCACATCCCCAAGGCGTTGATTCAGCTTGGTGTGCGTTCCGAGTCGTCCGTGTCGGTGGCCGAGAGTGTGACCGTCCAGCTCGATGGCAGAATCATCGGCTACTGCTCACCCAAGCAAGCTGCTGTGGTTGCCAACACCTTGCGACGTTGGAAGGTGGCAGGCTCTGACAAGATTCCGCGCGAGCTGGAGATTGGATACATCCCCAACACCAACGGTGGCCAGTACCCCGGTATCTACATGTTCTCTCAGGCCGCGAGAATGTACAGACCCGTCAAGCACCTGGCCCTCGACAAGCTGGACTACGTTGGTCCCTTCGAGCAGCCCTTCATGGAGATTGCCTGCTTACCGCAGGATCTCATCTCCGGCGTTTCGACCCACATCGAGTACAGCCCTACCAACATCCTCTCCATTGTCGCCAACATGACGCCTTTCTCCGACCAGAATCAGTCTCCTCGTAACATGTACCAGTGCCAGATGAGCAAGCAAACGATGGGTACGCCCGGTACGGCCATCCAATACCGTACGGATAACAAGCTCTACCGACTGCAGACGGGTCAAACGCCCATTGTGCGGTCGCCTCTCTACAACGCCTATGGTCTGGATAACTTCCCCAACGGTACGAATGCCGTTGTGGCTATTCTTTCGTACACCGGTTACGACATGGACGACGCTATGATTATCAACAAATCCTCCCACGAGCGTGGCTTCGGTTATGGTACGATCTACAAGACCAAGGTCCACGCCCTCGACGACAAGGACTCCCGCCGCGGCAAGTCCAGACGCGAGGTCACCAAGCTCTTCGGTTTCGCCCCCGGCGGCGAGATTCGAGCGGAATGGCGTGCTACCCTGGACGAAGACGGTCTCCCCCACGTGGGTGCTCGCATGAAGGAGGGCAGTCTTGTCGCCGCCTGGCACACCGTGCGCTATGATGCTGCCTCTGACTCGTACGTCAACGTCGACGGCATCACCCACTTCGTCAAGTACAAGGACGCCGAAGAAGGATACATCGACAGCATCCGCATCATGGGAGCGGAGTCCGGTGTCGAACCCTGCCAGGCCCTCAGTGTGAAGTACCGTATTCCCAGAAAGCCCATCATCGGTGACAAGTTCTCGTCTCGTCACGGTCAGAAGGGTGTCTGCTCTCAGCTCTGGCCCGCAGTGGACATGCCATTCTCCGAGAGTGGTATCCAGCCTGATCTGATCATCAACCCTCACGCTTTCCCCTCTCGTAAGCTCCCCCTACTACCCCCTCTGCCTCCCTATCCATCCCACTAACCCAACCCAGGTATGACCATCGCCCAAATGATCGAGTCCATGGCCGGCAAGGCCGGTGCTCTCCACGGCCATCCCCAAGACTGCACGCCCTTCCAATTCTCCGAAGAAAACACCGCCGCCGACTACTTCGGCCACCAACTCCGCAAGGCCGGCTACAACTACTTCGGCAACGAGCCCCTATACAGCGGTATCACCGGCAAGGAATTCGCCGCCGACATCTTCATCGGTGTCGTCCACTACCAACGTCTCCGTCACATGGTCAACGACAAATTCCAAGTCCGTACCACCGGACCCGTCAACCAACTCACCGGCCAACCCGTCAAGGGTCGTGCCAAGGGCGGTGGTATCCGAGTCGGAGAGATGGAGCGCGATTCCCTCATCGCCCACGGCGCCGCCTACATCCTCCAGGACCGTCTCATGAACTGCTCCGACTCCACCCGCTCCTGGATCTGTCGCGACTGCGGCTCCTTCCTCTCCACCCAAGTCGCCGTCCCCTCCTCCGGCTCCAACAAGGCCCGCATCGCCGCCGCCAAAGCCGCCTCCACCCAACAACAACAACACTCCGGCCCCAACACCCTCAGCGGCTCCCCCAGCATCGTCCGCTGTCGTCGCTGTGCCCGTGAAGCCGTCTTCGAGGACTCCCGCGCCGACGTCTGGGAAGACGGCGACGGTCGTCGCTACGTCGGCGGTGATAATGTCACTGTTGTTGCGGTCCCCGGTGTGCTTCGCTACTTGGACGTCGAATTGGCGGCCATGGGTATTCGTATGAAATTCTGGGTTGATAATTAGAAATACACCTGCATCCCCACCCCCTTCCCATATCTAGGGATTTGGGTAGTTAGGCTGGATTTGTTGGAATCGGGAGTGGGCCTTAGATACGATGATACTACTATACTATCAAAAGCAACTTTTTGTTATACCAGAACGGGGCGCATTTCAGCACTGCTTTGGCTCTTGGTTTGATTGGAGATGATGTTTGTATGTGTGTTTGTACTCCGTGTGTATGTATGCATTATGTATTTATTTATTTCATTCTCTTTTATTATGAAGGGTTTATTGTGGAGTGTGGTTGTGAGTTGTAGTAGGATTTTTGTAGCAGGTTATTATTAGTGTCTGTTATAGATGGCTACTAGGTCGGAGCATAAACATATAGAAGTATATCTTAAAAACCTAAAGTAAGAGTATCATGTCCACCATACAAGATCAACCACAGCGCTTACAACTCCGACGTGACGTTCGAGAACTCGCCCTTCTCCAGCTTCGTCTTCCAGAATATCGGGTTCATGTCGTCGAAGCCGTGGTGGACCCATCCCTCTTCCTTGACATGGTACAGGTTGATGAAACCACCCGAGTAGGCGTCACGGTGCATGGCAGCAAGGATACTCCTCCGACCCAGCTCGAGAGCCTCCTCCTCGGTCAAGTCGTAGCGGTAGTTGGCGTCGAGCACACCGTATGCGAAGGTCTGACCCGATCCAACACAGAACAGGTTGCCGGGGAGGCGGGTACCGTCGGAGTCGATGTAGTAGAGAGCAGGTCCTTCCTGAGGGGTCATCTATTGGCGAGTCAGTTAGATCCAGGTATACCCATGGAAGGTGGGATGTTCACGTACTCCTGCTAACATCGTTCCCATACTCAGACCCATTCCCTTGTAGGCGTATGTCAGGTTGGCGAGGATCTTGGAGGCAGCGGCGACGGTGATACGGCGCTTGTGACGGATCTCTGAGGGGGCGTTAGTGAGGGCCTTGGGATTAAGAAGAGGGCTGAACTTGCCGTGAAGTGTGCATTGCTGGCTTAGATATCTCAACCAGTATTGACAGTCCTGCACCAGTCGTCAGTCACGCCATCCAATCCGTTTATCTGACACCACGTCTGCTTCAAGCACGTACCGCTGCACCTCCGGCCATGGTACCCAAGAGACCAGGAGTCGGCTCATTCGACTTCTTGTCCTCCCCGCGGCTCAACCGTGAGACGGGAATGACCTTCTTGACTGTCTGACTAGCAATCCAGTTTCCAGCAGTGGCTCTCGAATCTGTAGCGACGATCTAGGCAACGACTGTCAGCGCGAGACGGGGCGGAGGCAGTAATGACGGCATACAATTCCGCCCTGGAATCGGAAGGCCAGTGTCGTCGTTCCGTGGGCAAGTTTGATGGGGCAGCTGGGATTTGAGTGGTCATCAGTCATAGCACGGAGAAAGGCTCTAGACTATCGAATCAGGAGGATGTCAGCCACTAATTTTGCGATTGGTGAAAGCATGTGGGAGGTCCGTCTTAGCTCCAAGCAGAGACAGCCGCAACTTCTCAGGACGCAATATCCCCACATGCGGCTCCAAGCGGTGCGTAGCTCACATTGTCAACAGGAGGCAGGTTGAACTTCAGAGAGATCGGAGGAAGACTCTCTGTAAGGTCACGCTGCTCTTGCTCCGAGTAGAACTCATTCTGATGCGGCGGGCGGGAGTATTGGGCGACCAATTTATCCATGATGTGCAAGTGGAGATTGTATATTCGAGAGGACACGGAACAGAGTAGGTTGGAGGATGCGATGCAGCGGGACGAGGGAGGATGAAAGAGGAGGATGGAGGATGGCGGATGCAGCTCGGAGCTTGGAGATGATGCTGGAGCTCCCAGCGGCGTCCGCGTCACGCTGGCCGCCTGGGTCACGTGCCGGCGGGCGCTCCAGCGATTGCAGCCTCCTGCACTACCAACTACACGGCGATTCCTACCCAACTAATGGCACAAAAACACTTTTCCAACTTATCTGTGCAGATTACTTCAGTCCTTGAGTGGCTGGCTACCTAGACTGATACAATACAAACTAGAACTACAGATATAACTAACGAGGAATGACAGCAAAAGCGGGTTAACCTCAGCTCAGATGGGTATCGCAATCGGCTGGGCCTGCACCGGCACTGGGCTGATCACCTGCGGGGCTTCGGGGCCTCGGGCAGTGAACGAGCTTCGTGGGTCGGGCGCTTGTGGTACTCCCTCCTCGTCCCTGTCCAATTCTTCTGTTGGGACAGAACCACCTGCAAGTTGCCCTCGTGGCGTCTCACTGGAGTATAGGTCCTGTGCAGGCACACTAGCGGCTTGTTCCTCAGCAATGCCGGGTACCGATGGCCCTTGCGTGCCACCATAAGCATATCGATCCTCTGCAGCACTGGTGACGACCGGCTCTTGAGAACGATGGGCGTAATGCTCTGGTGCAGCACCGTTCACGTACTCTTCCTGGGTGGGTCTGTCAGCATATTGCTCCGCACCGCTGCCGTTAACGTACGGCTCTGCGGTGTGGCCGTTAGCATAGTGCTCTCCCCCAGTTCCATTGACATAATGCTCCGTCGTGGTGCCATTAGTATATGGCTCTCGACCTGCTTCGTTGATGTACGAAGCTTCCGCAGATCCATTGACGTCCCGCACAGAGTCCGAGGCAGTCGTCTCGACCGCGTAGGATCTCCGGCCGTTTGTAGCCCTACGGGCCGCCGCTGGTAGAAGTCCGCTGCTCGGGAGTTCCCCGGCAGAACTCTGGATGGGTACGGTGGTGCTCTCCCAAGAACGGAGTTCATTCTCGGCATCCTCGAGGACCTGTCTCGTGGCAGGCGTGCGATCGTATTCGCGCGGGGAGTCACCAGGGACGACAGGAGTATCGTCCAGATGGTTCAGCAAGCGGCGCGCATGGCGAGCAAGCAAGATCTGTTTCTCGCTTCGTTCAATGACCGCAGCAGTATGGATATCCAATGCTTCCTTGAGTTTCGACCTAGTCTAGATGCGGGGGTTAGCGTTGGCAATGTCTTCCCTGGCAGCAATACATACCACGTTGGTCAACTGAGCCTCGGCTACTAGACTCTGAGCTTCGGCCCTGACCAGCTCCTGTTCCAGGGTGTCGATCTTATGACTGTGCGGCTCTTTCCATTTGAGCTTCTGGATCTCGTCCGCAATTTTAGCTCGATGATCCCTTGAAGGCTGGACGGAGTTCTCGGTGTCGCGGATCTGCTTCAGAACGATGCGATACTCCTCGAGGTACTGGGCGAACGTGTCCTCCTGCTCGCCTATCTCGGCCATCAGGACGCCAACCTTGTCTGTGATATCTGCGACAGCATCGTCTTCCGTCCATTCGCCCCACTCCGACAGCTGGGTAGCGATGGACAGGCGCTCCTTGCTTGCCTTCTCATGGGCGCCGATGGCGGCATTCTCGTTCTTGATGACTTGGTTGAGCTTCTTGCTCAGCTCGGGCTGCTGAAAGCCGCGGAGGGTGGAGAAGCTGAACCGGGTGCGAGTGGGCACGGAGTTTCTTCTCCGAACTGACATGTTGCGGTTCCTAACCTGGTCAGCTCTGCACGGCGTCTCTTGAAACCAGTGCCATACATCATTGCGAACCAACTAGTGTATCTGCAGAGCAATTTACAATGGAAAGATAAGCAGGTACAGGACTGAGTTAATCAGTTTGGACAGGGATGCGCCTTCCTTTGCTGGAAGCCAGTCGAACAGATGGTCAATGCCCATGTGATGATCACCTAGTCACAGCTATGCAGCCCAGGCACGTTAGTGTCATATATGATCACCGTCTGTGGGGTATGGGGAAACGACATTGAGAGTTCCAACCATGACATTGACCGGTGTTCAGTTAAACGATCTGGACAAAGAAAGTGACGTCATGCGGGAAGGACGGATGTTGAGGTCATGTTCCGGTTGCAGGCTCATTCTGTGCATGTTGCGATTAAAGGATCCATGGACGGGAGAAGTTTATCTGTAGATCCGGATACTTATTCAACCGAGTGATGCAGAATAGGATATCAACTACCAACATAGTATCCGAGTAATCAGAGAGAACCAAGATCATGAACCACAAGCACGCATAGACCAGTAACTCATAACACCAGTCTTATCATCTCAACCAGAAACAAGCCAATAACCCGTCCTCAACCCAGCCCTGCCTCCCTATACACCTAACTGTGCCTCCCTACCTACCCCGAATATACTCAACCCTCACCCTCCTATCCACCTCCTCTTCCTCCACCTCCTCAACCTCGTTCTCCTCCCAACACCCTCGCCCTCTTCCCCTCCCCCTCCCCATCTCCCTGTCCCTCCCCCTCCTAACAACCCACTCCACATCCACATCCACCGGCTCCTCCAAAACCCCCACACACTCCACCTCCACCTCCTCCACATCAACCCCAGGCCTCACCCTCTCCCTCACCCTCTCCCTCCCACAAATCCTATCCCAATCACAATACCTCCTCACATCCACCACCACGGGCGGCGGCCTCGCCACTCTTACCGGAATAAACGTCTCCTCGATCGTCCGATACCGCCTTCTCGTGACGGTCGTGTATGAATCCCGGCGTGGAAGGGGCGGGGTTGGGTAGCTGCGTGGTGGGGGGCGGATGTAAGGCTCTCTGTCTCGTCGTCGGCGGAGGGATGTCTCGGGGATGGAGATGGTGGGGTTTGAGGAGCATGAGGAGCAGGGGGATGGGGAGCGGCATCGTGGGGAGGGCGAGGGGGAGGGGGAGTGGCGGGATTTGTGTTTGGATTTGGATTTGGATTTTGTGAGGGTTAGGGAGTCGGTGAGGGTTGTGAAGCACATTTTGGTGTTTGGGGGGGATTGGTGGTGGGGTGGGGTGGGGTGGGGTGTTGGTGATGGATCGTATAATCAAAGTGATCTAGGATGGATGGGTGTTGGGAGATAGAGAGAACTGATGCTATTCCCGCCTGTAGATTGTTGGTCTTTGTTTGGTCTGAGTAAGGTTGATCGTGGTTGTTGGGGCATATAGTCGGGCATCGAACCTGACACTATCCTGTAGAAGCTCAGACAACTGAAATAACTGTGTAGGATCAGAAAGGAGAAAGAAAGGGTATACCCCTGTCCAGCCTATATTGATAGCCATCCCGACATATCACTTGACCGGTTTGTCAGGTGGATGGTCGCACCCGGTGATGGCGTCAGCCAGGTAGATGCGATGACTTGGTTAGGACAGGAGATGATGGGATATCCTGTGGCGTAGTCAGGTCCATGATGGGGATTTAGTTTTGTATGGTTATAGTCGTGCGTGTGGCTGATCTGTAGATGAAGTTGTGAGGTGGTTGTAGATGGTTGTGTTGCCGTCGCGGTTGTGTTGTTCTGGTATCAGCTGATCAGAACGGTACGACCCTGGGGCGAAGCTACACTTATACAAAGCACAAACCCAGGCTGGATAGGTGGCATGTTGATCTCATTTTACACGCCTATACACTAGGCTCAAGACATAAAGCAGATCCAGCGCCAATAATGGTTTCAAGAGCACCACAACACCATGTCATCCCGCCCCGAACAAGCCCGAAATCCCAGTGGATCAGCCGTCTAAGCCATATCGTCCGCATCGTGGTGATGCGTGTTTTCATTATCCGATGCGTGGAATGCATCCCCAAAGGCCGAATTCTCCAAGTCCGGTAGATCTAGCCCGTCGTTCTGCTCGCTGTATGCCGCGAGTGCATCGCCTGCGCTGTCCATATTCGTAAAGTCGAAGTTGGCACCGTCAAGCGCAGCGTCTCCGGCACTTCCTCCGTTCCCGGGCGTCAGGCCTTGGATGCCACTACCGGGGGTGCCCATTCCCGCTAGAGAGCTATCGCCTGCCACATGCTGGTCCTTCTTCTCATCGTTGACCATCACCCAGTCGCCTGTCTCACCAGCGGCCGTGTTCAAAGGCTGCGCATCGCCCATGTCCATGTCGACATCCAGAGACGCGCCCTGCTGGGTAGTGTCCATCGTGGGCTGGGGCTGCGGTGGCACGGGCACACCCCCAGTCGGGACGCCGGATGTAGGAGGAACGGAGGGTGCGACTGGTGGTGCTTGGCCGGTAGATATGACTTGAACGGCCCCTGAAGCAGGCGGCGAGCCCAGTTGGTCCAGGAAATGACTGTCTGCACCACCCATGTCAATATCGCCTTCCAACTGGGCCTCAGGCTTGGGCTCGGGCTCGATCTTCTCCAGCAAACCACCTTTCTGCACGCAGGAGATCTTGGGTTCCGGCACGATTGGTCGCTGCCACGACTTCTCCACTTCCCGCACAATATCATCAACCTTGAACTTGGCAGGGTTCTCCACTTGAGGGATTTGCGAGTCATCGTCTTCTGTAGGCATGACAAGACGACCTTCCAATCTCCATGTCTCTGCGCCAGTATCAGCCGGGTCAGCTGCAGCTTCTCGCAGCCGAAGCTCCGCATCCTTCAACAGCGACGTGCGGTTGAACTTCTCCATGCGGCGCGCATGGCGCTTCTTCAGCTTCTCGATCTCCGCAGTCATGTCGGCGACCTTCTTAGCGACACGGTCGGCAAACTCCTCCGCCTTAGCAGGCTCCATCTTCTCGGCTTGAACGGAGGCACTAGCATCCTTCGTCTCACCACTGGCCGGCCCAACGGGTGCATCGAAGAAGCCTGCCGTCAACGACTCCAGCTCGCCTTTCCGGCCCAGACCCAGGGACACCGGGGTGATTTGATTGATGGCATAGGGCGAAGCGAAAATTTCCTCCATCCACTCATGATGCTGCTGGTATCTCATCTTGCTGATCTCGCGAGGCGTAAGTAGGTCCATGGTATCTCCAGTCGAGACATCTTCATCTTCGAGAGCGAAGTCAGCTGTGGCGGCATTGACTGCGGCGGAGGAAGCGCGATGCCCGCGCGCGGCCTTGGCCGGAGCGGCACCGGTAGGAGGGGGCACACCCGGACCAGGTGGGGGGTAATACGGCTGGCGTCCGACCATGGCAGCTGGATAAGAGTTCGGAATCTGAGGAAAGCCTTGCGGGGCCATTTGGGGAGGGAAGTTGATTGCTGGCCAGTTGTTGCGATCGTGTAGCATAAAGTCCTTGCGCGCGAGTTGGCCTTGGCTCTGTAGGAACCGACGCTGGGCTAGCATGTTCTGGACTTGGGGCAAGACAGGGATCCGATTTGCGGGGATATGTTCCGTGGGGGGACCTCTCGAGTAGTGAACAATCCACAAGGACGGGTCGGGGGGAGGCAGATTCGGGTTGGGGACCTTCGGCGGGAGGAGTCGATAACGTCTGCGACAATGGATAGCCACGGGCTCATTAGGCGGGTGATAACCGCTGCGATGCAGCCACATCTCCACCATCTGGCGCATGGCGTGTCAGTGATCAGAGGTCTGCGTAGAAGAGCAAGAGACGGGGTGCGCATACGTAACCGCGAGCTTCAAAGGTAAACGCTTGCTCGACGTCAGCCCAGACATAACCGTCGCTGGCAAAGTTGGTTCCCAATTGGTTCAATGGCTGCCAGGTCAGCATTACGGTCCCGTCCTGCGGACCATCCAGGAACGTCCAGTGCATCGGTTGCGCCTCCCGAACGATCTTGGGTGCGGAGAGAAGGTATTCGACGACGGTATCGGTGGGCATCATATGCATAAGGGGATAGCGATGCCGCGACACCAGATGCATATGCGGCAGCTAGGCGATTCCAAGGGAGGCCCGTTAGCAATGGGGTCGGAGAGCGATGAAGCTCATCTGAGCTGGGGGTGACCTACCAACTGCGCCGGAACACGGCTCGCTGGGTCGTCCATGATGAGCAGAGGCCGTGGAATCGCAAAAAAGGGGTATCAAAGGTGTCGCCTAACACGGAATATCTCTATCCGATCAAGAAGTTAAGATGCATCCGCGAAGCAGAAGGCCAGCAGGCGACAATCAGGCGCTGTCAGTTGGAGCAAGCGCTGCGAAGGCCAACGCGACGCGGAAATTTGAGGTTCCTGGCCGAGCCCAGAGTGGATTCGGGGGGCGGTAGAGACCAGCCGTGCAGGTTTGCGCTGTTTGTCTGCTGTGCTGCTGGACACCTGAGCCTCCAGGCTGGCAACCCTCCCGTTCAGGCAAGGCGCGGGAGGGCTCCGGCTGGAGAGATCGTCAAAAACCCACAATCCCGAGTCGTGCAATTCGTGCATCTGATGCCATTCCCCGCAATGTTGGGGTCTTTAGTTCCAGCCGCCCCCAGAACTAGTCCTACTATGAGTGAGTCCCCAGAGTTGCCTCAGCTGAACCCCTCGTCATGGAACGTTTGCCTCGCTAACAGATCCAGTATACAGCTAATGTCTACATTCCTCGGCCGTTTCCATGCGAGGGAACCATGCAGTCAGGCTGGCAAGGGAATCGAACGAGTCAAACTGAAACTTCCAGCCTCGTCATCTTCTTTATCACCCAATACCTTTGCGACCTCCCCAACCAAGCCTTTCGCAAGCTCGGTTGGATTCGACCCAAGCTTTGACCCGCCACCCACAACACAGCGATGGCTTTTCTCCGCACTCGTCATGATTGGGTCCCCAGAGCGTGTCATCCATGATCCATCTGACCCCATGCGTCCACTTCGGCTTTTGCATGCACCGGGAGCGTGAACAAAGAGCCAGCGTGCTCCCTGGGAGGGCAAATGACTCGTCCGATTGATCCACTAGTTTTCTCCCGTCCCCTCCCATCCCTGCTGAACGTCATCCTCCGAGCCGGAGGTTAAAGAGCAGACTCGCGTAAATCTCAGAGCTGCAAAGCAAACTGAGCCATTGGTGGCCGACTACGCGAGGCCCCTCATTGCGCTGGCACTATAAATCTACGCTCCGGCCTCGCGAATCTGCTCTTGTCCTGTCGTCCATTTCTCCATCTGTTCTTTTCCATTCCGCCGTGAGTCATGGGCTTCTTTGGGAAGAAGGACGCTTCTGGCGATATGACGGGAAATGTCGATGCCATTGTCGCGGCCCCAGGGTCTGACCCAGAAAAGCAACAAGTCGCACATGATGAGGAATTCCGCACAGCACTTCCGCAAGTTCCCCAGACGGTCACCATTGACCCCGCGGTTGAAGCCCGCTTGGTGAGGAAGTTGGATTTGCGGGTTCCAACTCTCTTAGGGTTCCTGTGTAAGTGACCATATTTTCGTTTTCCCACCTCGTATTTCACCGCTCATCCGACAATCTTTCCGCCCTTGCCAATCATTTGTTTTGAGTTTCCGATCTTCGCTAACCGAGTGCATCGGTATAGATCTTCTTTCCCTCCTAGATCGGAGCAACATCGGGTGGGTTTCTAGATCTTCACATCCAGGTGTGGTCGCTCGCCTAACATGAAGACAGAAATGCCAAAATCGCGGGAATGGAAGAAGACTTGCATCTTACTGGGAATCGCTATACATGGCTCTTGACGATCTTTTACATATCCTACACGTTGTTCGAGTTCTTGGCTTTGATGTGGAAAATCATGCCACCCCACCGATGGGCAGCCATCACAGTCATGTCCTGGTATGTAAGTCATCTTTCATGTGTCTGCTCAACCCATTAATACTCTTGCAGGGGCATTGTTGCGACCTGCCAAGCTGCGACGCAGAGCTGGGGTGGGATGATGGCTCTCCGCTTTCTGCTTGGGATGTCAGAGGCAGCTTTCGGGCCGGGTTCTCCCTACTTGCTATCCTTCTTCTATCGTCGTCAGGAACTCGGTCTCCGTTGTGGTATGTTTTTATCAGCCGCTCCTCTGGCAAACACTTTTGCCGGTGCTCTCGCGTATGGAATTACCTCCGGACATGCCAAGATCGCCAATTGGCGGTTGTTGTTCCTCGTCGAGGGAAGTCCGTCACTTGTGGCCGCCTTCCTGGCGTGGTTCTACTTGCCCGATCACCCGGCATCTGCTCGCTTCTTGACTGAAGAAGAGAAGGCAGTGGCACGCGCTCGATCGCTCCGACGCAGTGGTGAAAGTGAGCGGGTCACCGGCATCAACTGGAAAGAACTGTGGCAGACATTGTGGGATGCCAAGGCATGGCTCACTGCGGTATGTACATCCACTTCCGTATGGTGATACCCTAATAACAATGACATAGTTGATGTACTTCAGCTGCAATGTGAGCTTCTCGTCACTGCCTGTCTTCCTTCCCACGATTCTCCAAGACATGGGGTTTACTTCGATTAATGCTCAAGGCCTCACTGCCCCGCCGTTCTTTGCCTCATTTCTCGTTACGATCGCCACTACCTGGCTAGCCGACCGAATTCAGCAGCGCGGCTTGGTGATCGCTTTATTTTCGCTGATCGGTGCGGTTGGATATGTGCTGCTTGCGACCTGTACCTCCGTTGGTGTACGCTACTTTGGCGTGTTCCTGGCTGCTATAGGAGTTTTTCCCTCGATCGCGAATATCCTTCCTTGGGTTTTGAGTAAGTTCATCCCAGTGTGAGCTTGACAGCGGGACTGACAACTGGTATAGATAACCAAGGGTCGGATAGCCGACGCGGAATGGGTATTGTCATTCTCAACATCATCGGCCAGTGTGGTCCCTTCCTGGGAACCAATGTCTTCCCATCGAGTGATGCACCTCGCTACATTCGGGGACAGTCGATCTGTGCGGCCTTTATGTTCTTCACCGTGATCCTTGCACTGTCTTTGCGCACATTGCTGGTCTGGGAGAACCGCCGTCTGGACAAGAAGTATGGCACGGCAGCTGAGAGAGCGGAGCAGACAACTTCCAAGGAGAATTTCACTCATGGAGAGGAAAACTATGGTGCAGGATTCCGATATGTGCTGTAATGTGTAATGCTCCTAGCGATCGAGATATGATACCATGATGAATATGACATGATGATTCTAGCTACGTTAGTAAAGACAATACAGAATTATACCCTGAGCAAGACATCTGGAATTGAAGCAAGTATCTGAAGTCCATAACTAGCGCTGGTGGTGCTGGCGTGCCGTGCAAACGACTAGCAAGGAGGGGTAACTTGAATCCTTAAATGATCTAGCCCCTCCGCCAAAATATATCAACGCCACACTGCACTAGAGCAATATTATTTCACCACAACGAATCCATAGATATTCTGATACTATCCAACCCCATCTCTCTATATAGTATTCACTCTGAAAGTGAGTAAAAACCATCAACTATGCAATCATTCACAACGGCTTTAATGCACACATATACTTAGTAGTACTTACCACCAAAGCAGGACATGACGCACTGACCAGCCAGCATACTCACCCACCATCTACATATCATACACAGTACACCCACCATATATATGCAAATCGCACAACGCCTCAGCACCATCAAAATGGGAACTCCAGCTATGCCAAACAGTCCCGATCTCTACGGCATCGTGGATATGGGCAGGTATACCCCCCTCTTCTACGTTCTCTCTCCCATACCACAGATCATAGTACTCACATGATAATAGTAATGGTATCCGGTTTTCCATAACGGATCTCTCTCCCCCCTCTGCACGGATCATGCCGATTGTGTTTCAAGATCGAGCTGGGATTTCTCTCTACGATGCACAGTTCTCTACTACCACCACAACCACCTCCGAAGGCACAAGAGGGCCGATTCCCGACGCTATTATTGAACAGGTCGTGGATCGTCTCTCACAGTTTCAAAGCACGTGTACGGATTTCCAGGTGCCACGGGAGAATATCTATGTCCTCGCGACGGAAGCGACCCGGACGGCGCCGAATTCGGAGGCGTTCCGGGCGCGGATTAAAGCAGTGACGGGGTGGGAGGTTCGGTTGTTGTCGAAGGAGGATGAGGGAAGGATTGGGGCGCTGGGGATCGCGAGTAGCTCTGCGGCGGTGGCGGGGGTTGCGATGGATTTGGGGGGTGGGAGTACGCAGATTACGTGGGTGATGGAGCGGGATGGGATGGTGAGGACGAGTCCGAAGGGGTCGTTTAGTTTTCCGTATGGGGCGGCGGCGTTGATGAAGAGGTTGGAGAGGGCGCAGGAGGTCGGCGGGGGGGAGGCAGTGGGGGAGGTGAAGGAGGAGATGAGGAGGAATTTTTGGGATGCGTATCGACGGTTGGAGGTTCCTGAGGAGTTGGTGGAGATGGCGAAGAGGAGGGGAAGGTTTGATTTGTATCTCTGTGGTGGGGGGTTCAGAGGTTGGGGATATGTGCTGATGAAGCAGTCCAAGGTTGAGCCGTATCCGATTCCCATTATCAATGGATTTCGGGTCAAGAGGGAGGATTTTCATGATACCGTGTCGGTGTTGGATGTGGTGTCGGATTCGGATGAGAAGATCTTTGGCGTGTCGAAGAGACGTGCATCGCAGATTCCGGCCGTGGCGGTCCTGGTCAATGTGATTATGGATGCCTTGCCGGAGATTACCCATATTCAGTTCTGTCAGGGCGGTGTTCGTGAGGGGTTTCTGTTTGATCGATTGCCGAGTGAGGTCCGCGCTCAGGATCCCCTGCTGGCGGCGACGATGCCGTATGCGCCTCCGTCAGCGAATGCGATCAGGGAGTTACTGCAGTCGACGCTGCCGACCTCGTCCTCGCCTATCGGGTCGGTTCACCCTCCGCCGTCTTTCACGTCGAACTTGGTCGCGGCGATTGCAAACCTGCTCTATGCGCACTCGCAAGTCCCGCGGGAGTCTCGCTCGGCGGCGGCGTTGCACAGCACGACCACGGGGATGCTGGCCTCAACGAACTGTCTCTCGCATGTTGAACGAGCTCTGATTGGACTCGTGCTGTGTGAGCGCTGGACGGGGGACCTCGCGCCCATGGACCAGGCGTATCATCAACAACTGACCCGGTGTCTTTCCGCGCAGGAGGTCTGGTGGTGTCAGTATCTGGGTCGGGTGGCTGTCATCGTGGGTGATGTGTATCCTGCAGGCCGGGTGTCGGAGACGCAGTGGCGGATCCGTTTCGAAACGGAGTGGGAATCCATTGTGAAGAAGAAGGAAACTTGCGACTTGCTGCGGTTGAACGTGAGACGGAATGATGTTGCTGCGGGTGCGACGTCAGTGCTACAGGATATCTTGCAGGAGAGGGCGGAGAAGGTCGAAAAGGCTGGGAAGAGGAAGAACTGGGTACAGGAGTACGGTGTGCGGATTGGGGTAAGTATTTGCTGAGGGGTGTAAGGAGCTGGAGGGGTACAGGGATCTTTCTATGTGGATATTTAGCTGAGCTGGTCGATATTCGAGGTATATTGAGCTGTACAGCTAGTGACAGATACAGTGTGAAATCTACGACTGGCTATTCCTAACCAGGACCCCAACTACAACTACATCCCAGGCAATCCGAATGGGAGAGCCCCAGTAAACCCCGATCTCACGTCATCCTGGCCATCCCGCAATACCGGATAACTATCAGTCTCCCACCGACTCCTCAGCCAAGAAGCCAGCCTCGCCACCGTGACTCACACCCCCCAAATCCCACATCCAAGACTTCCCCTCTACAGCCCGACCCCCGCGCATTGGTAGCCCACAAGAACAAGGAAAAACCTGAGAGACTGAACAGCGATCGTATTCACCCCAATAAAAGTCCGATAAACATGAACATGAATCAATCGTCTTCCGTAGCCGAAAGCAATCCATCCCATAATGAAACCCGTTTCCACACACACAAGTCGAGTTAAAAAAAAGCGCGCCAGAAACGGGCCCGAAGAGCCCTAGGCCACATGCACATTTGGTGATGATGCATGGTGGTGCGGGCCTTCTTCCCCCCAGCGTGAAATACGCTTCACAAATGCTCAGCCCCTCATTTCCCAATCATGCCCATAACCCGGGGAATTCGTTCGTTGGTATGTTGGTTCATCGAAAGGGTTCGCCGTTTACTGGGTGGGGTTGGCGTTCATCTAGATAGTGAGAAAGTAGATGTGAGCCGATATTCTCTTGATGTGTTTCTCTCTTGCTGGTCGTAGAGGTGGTCGTCATACCTTGCGCTTGCCACCGGTGAGGGTAACGTTGACGAAGCGGCGGGTGTAGATGAGACGCTTGCGGGCACGGCCCTTGGGGGACTTCTGCTTCTCCTGCTTCTCAACCTTGGGGGTTGCGCTCTTGACCTTACCGGCACGAGCGAGCTGTATGTGCGAGTTAGAGGGTGGACTTTCTGCTTCAAGGGTTGTCGAAGGCGAGGCTTACAGATCCGTGAACCTAGTCATCATCATATTAGCATGTCTATTCCCATCATCAAAAAAACACCTCGTGGAGAGGCAGGAATCATTTCGTTGTACTTACCTTACCCATCTTGGCGATAAAATCTGACCTTCAGATACAACAAGGAGGGATTCTGTCGTTGGCGTTTGTCGGGGTTGCGAGCGAGCGAGTCGATGGTGTGGAATTTTCGCTGTTTCGACTCGAGGTCACGCGTTTGTGCGGTGGCGCCCCACCCGCTGCCTCCTTCGGTTAGTTGGTTACATAAGGGGTTGTGCTGGAATTGCTGAGTCACCTAGCTTTATGCTCCACTTAACTAGTTAACTAACTAGAACCGTCCTGAATGGCAGTATTAGTTTGCAGGGGGGGAGGGGGGGGGGGGGGCAACCGCCACCCGTCTTACAAGATCATAGTAGGTACCCTTCCAGTCTAAGCCTCACTCCCAGTGCTACCCACACATTCCAATGTATTATTTGGTCGACCTGGCCCTTACTGCATAGCTACTTTCTATCCATCACTAGATCTTGCTCCGCTTGTGGCATAATGAAGACCTTCTCTAAGAGCAGCTTCTTTATGGAGCGACGGGCCCCCTCGCTCCCATCACCAGCCGATATACGAGCTCTGAATGTGAAGACTGGAAATGCCTCTGCCTGGAACTTCAACTCCCCTCCACCTGTCATGATCCCATCTCTAGGACTAGTTGTCAAGTACGGTGCCAGTGTGAGTATTGTTGAGGCGGAAACTCAAATGATGCTGCGCGAGCAACTGCATGGCCGCGTACCAGTTCCCGAGATCTTTGGCTGGACCGAGGACGAAGGCCAGACGTTTATCTACATGTCCCTGGCAGAAGGGGACACTCTATCGAATAGATGGGATGACTTGAGTGATGATGCGAGGCGAGCTATTTGCGAAGAACTTAATGAATTAGTGAACCTTGTTCGGACGTTGGAACAAGACCCACGAGACATGTACATCGGTAGGCCTACTTTTGAGTGACTACTAGGGACAAACGCCTTAACAATTGCGATTGTATAGGTAGCCTAAGCAAGCGGCCACTGAACGACATCTTTGTTATGCACCATCCGGACCTTACCGGTCCATTTCTAGGCGGAGATGCTGTCGAGCAATTTCAGAATGCTTGTGGAATTTATATCGACATCGACACACCTGTGGTCTTCACGCATAACGATCTTCTGCCACCTAACATCATCATCTCCCCAGGAGCAAATCCGAAAGTGGCTGCAATCATCGACTGGGCCCAGGCTGGGTGGTATCCTGCTTACTGGGAATACTGTAAGGCTCGGTGGATCAGGGTGAACCCGAGATACTTCAGCGATGCCGCGCAGGATGATTGGCGCAACAAGTATCTTCCAATGATCCTGGACTCAGTGGACGACGAGACAATCTACCACCCTTGGCTTTATTTTGTATTGTCGAAAGGTATATAACTGCGAGCTTTGAGCTCACGCGATGGTCATATATATAGAGAGCAAAGAAAGATATAAGAGAAGCGCTCAGCCCTTAAATTCTGCCAAAGTATTCGCAACCCCATAGCTTCCACCGTAAGGATTGTATTGGACAATCACTGCTGAATTGCCCGAAGGTAATTGGCAACATCTCTGCTGAGCATATTATCCCTAACAAGTTGATCGGCAGACTCGACAATCCATGTTTGACAGTTCCTTTGGGTGACCTTTTTGCCGACACTGGCCCCCAGTGACTGAAAAATATTGTCAGTTATTGTACCACAAAGCAATAGGGAAGGGGTGACCATAGAAACAATGATTTCGAAAATAATCCGCAAATAGAACGTATCTTCAAAATGACGGATGATAAAGGGAAAAGGGGTTATCAATTACCTTGTTGTCAGTGGTATTCAAAGACTTTTCAGGAGCTTTGACCTTGTGGGCACTAGCCTCAAAACGACAGACAGGATTGTTGTCGATCTTGTATTGTCCATTGTTGAGCATAGCCGCTTCATCAAAGTACTCCCCACTAACCCATTGAAGTGGAATCCTCTTGCTAGGAGGGTTCTGCGTGGCCAGGAAGTCATGGCCGCGCTTCACCTCGAATTTGAAGCCGTTTCTCACATCTCCAGTCGCGTGAATCATGACACCGTAATCAGGGCTGGTGTGCGAGCATACCCAGTACGCCCAGTGATCTTTGAAAGGATGGCCATTGTATATCAACAATTGGACCAAAAAGTCTCCAGCAGGACCAGTCGCAGCCACACTTGGAGGCTGTGGGGAAGTCGGAAGAGTGAAATCCCTCTCGGTGCTCATTGGAGGTGGCGGAGGGGGAGGTGCAGCGCGAGCATTGCCTAGGAGGCCGGAAGCTTTTTTGGGGTTGGAAGACATCATATACAAGGAAACTTGGGAGTTCCGCCGAAGCTGGCCTGCAGACTTGGAATATCAAAGAACGAAGAAGCGAGCTATAGGTAGGATTATCGACAACTGAGAAGCCAGAGTTGAAATCGACCTTCAGCGGGAAGGAAGACGATTTTATATCTAACGCTTCCAAGGATAAACGGAGTTGCGCCGTAAGACTCACAGCTGTAGAGGCTAATGTATCATGTGGGAGTCGAGTAACTTGGTATTTGATGAGCGTTCGGACGGATAAGGCTTTTGAGTTCGGCGTTACGCCCAGTTGTCTAATCATCACAGACGGGCCATTCTCATATGGGGCTGCCCCTTTGGTTTTGCCGTCTAGGCTGTTTCGCACCTCAGCGTGAAAATGCCTCGTCCAAAGAATTTGCGCTCTGGCCATAACTAGGCGCTTCGAGAGTCTCAGTTGAGGGAACTAAGATGCACTAGCCTTGAGTTGTCAGTGCACGAGACAAAGTAATGAGGCTAGATGTGCACCCTTTGGCGAGCCTGCCCAATAGATCATGTCGTTTTGACGATGGAATGCCATAGACGGGACAAACCGGCTATTGAACTTGCATTAGTTCGTTACCGTTACCGCCGGTGGATACGATAGGCGCAGCCTTGTTATGTAGCTTCGACCTGAGTTAGCCTTGCTATAAACCCCGCCGGTGACAGGGGTAGCAAGCCAATTGATCATTCCACGGGCCCATTATCTTGCTGGTCATGTATGCCAGACGGCAGATGTCTCATCATGTGGGGCTGTGCATGTATGTTCAGCACTGTCATAACTGGAAATAGACTTCTGAGCATTTTCGGCGCCAGATTAAGAGGTTCGAGCTATATGTGGTGACCTGGAAAGACTAGGTCCGCTGGTCAGAATAGATGGGGACCAGCTGGCCTATCAACTGATAGGTGGACTCGGGCTAAGCGCCATATACGTGCGACGTAAATGTATGATTAGCCCATTTCCCTCTCTAGAGTAAAATCACAGCTGCGTCAACAGAACCTGAGGGCCGATGGTCAGATTTAGGCGAGCAGGCGGATCATAGTTGCAACCAGAGTGTTCTCTTGCTCGCACAATAGTAGGTGAAAAGGGGAGAGGGGAAATGCCTTAGATGTAAGCTTATTAGAAATATTTTAGACTTCTTGAACTTGGGAGACATGACTCCAAACAGTAGACCCGATTTCATAGTGGAAGACTCAAAGTGTTTTCAAAGCGCTGAGGTGTCGTATCATATGCCGTGAGACGAAGTTGCAGAAGATATATACCTAACCTTGGGGTACGGGTCAATGGGAGTTCGTGATGAAACTGTGTTCGAGCAAGCAAACTCTTCTATCAAACCCTTCAGACTCGGAATGCTTTCAAGTTAAGGAATAGAAGTATGGCAACAGTTCGAGCCATTAACGACGCCAAGAGAGGGAAAGGAGCCAGCCACCGCTACGATAACATAGACGGGGACCGTTTACACGTATATTCCTCTGATGACCTTCACCAGAGGTATCTGATAAATGGGATGACTACCCACCGTAGCTCTTTAACAAGTCTCATAGAGACCAGACTGATTAAGTTGGGCCATGTAGACATTGCAGTCCGCGTGAATAGGAATGACTTGGTGAAGCGGACAGTATCATGCAGACAAGGAACCCAGGGAATCAATTTCCTAGCTTGCTGTTCTTTTGTTAGCACTGGACACAGAGGGCGCAAGATAGAGATATTGAGAAATATCGAATTCATGAAAAAGAGGCCTCATGGGTTAGCAGATTGTCCGAAGTTAAGAGAGAGCAATGGGAAAAGTTTGAAAAAAGGGAAAAAAAAGTTAAGTCAAAGAATGTAGCCAGGAGTGGGAGCGATAAGTACAGCGTGCCAAGAGTCTGACGTCGAACCGCGACTTTTCGGTCTGGACTCCTTCCCGCGACAACTTTCTCAGCTTCCACCACCACGAGCCTGTTCCACGACTGGATCCCAATATACCACCCATGGACCTGCACTAATACCAATAAATCCTCTTCCGATAACCCCTGAGACCACGATCGCAGCGAAACCTTCTGTCTCCCACTCTGCCATCATGAATAACGACCAATTCCGCCGCCTCGTCCTCGACAACCCAACCGCCAAACCCACCAAAACCAGTCCCGATGGATCATCTTCAAGTCAGGAACCGCGCAAAAGTATCGGCGGAGCTACTCCTGCCGGCCCATTAGGTTCACGTCTCCGATCCAGCATTCCCATGACACCGTGAGCTTTTTCTCCACCCAAACTGACTATACCCCAAGTCCCTCCTAAGCACCTCACTAACCCCCTCTTCTTATTACTTTAGTCGCTCCCTCACAAACGTTGACTTCGCCCGCCAACTAGCCGAATACCGACGCGAAGCCCAACCCGCCCCGAAACGATTCAAATCCTCCGCCGCCCCCAAAGGAACCAAGTTACCCACCGGATACCAAGATCGCGCGGCGCTGCTCCGCCAACGGGAAGATGAAGCAGCGGAAGGAAATGATCTAGAGAAGCGCGTCAAGGCGCTCGAGGAGATGGTGAAGTTGGGACAGATTGACCAGGCGACGTTTGAGAAGTTGCGCGGGGATATGGGTGTTGGTGGGGATTTGGGGAGTACGCATATGGTTAAGGGGTTGGATTGGGCGTTGTTGAAGAGGGTTAAGGGGGGTGAGGATGTCTCGAAGACGGAAGAGAAAGTGGAAGAGAAGGAAGAGGAGGTGGGTGATCTGGATGATGAATTGGATAAGGTGTTGGGGGAGAAAGGGGAGGGGGTGGATGCGTTGCCGGATGCGCCAAGGGAGAAGGAGAAGAAGAAGAAGGGCGTGATGGCTCCGCCGCCGCAGAAGAAGTCCAGAGATGAGATTCTGAGGGAGTTGAAGGCGAGTCGGGCTGCTGCGGCGGCGGCGGCGAAGCCGGCTGAGCCGGCGTTGGGGACCAAGTTTAAGAGGATTGGAGGAGAGTCCAAGGCTGAGAAGAAGCGGTGGGTGGAACAGGATGAGAATGGGAGACGAAAGGAGATTCTACAGATTACAGATGCGGAGGGCAAGACGAAGAGGAAGGTGAGGTGGTTGGATAAGCCTGGTGAGGCCGGTGGTGCTGGGCTGTTAGTCCTGGATAAGGATGCGAAGCCGCTGGGTATGGAGGTTCCGGCTGAGATAGCATCCAAAGCTGCTCCGCCGCCGGAGGAAGAGGATGATGATATTTTCGCGGGCGTCGGGGATGATTATAACCCACTTGCTGATATCGGGGATGACGACGATTCATCAGACGAAAGTGAGGATGGCGAGGTGGGCGAGAAACCCGCGCGGGCGACAGAGACAGCCCCTGTCAGCGATACGAAGAAGCCGGCTGAGACGACCAACCGTCCTCGAAACTACTTTTCTACGTCTACAACAGATGAGGTTCCTGAGGTGGACCGATCGAACCCCTTGGCCAAGGATCCGACTCTCCTGGCCGCCCTGAAACGGGCTGCCGCGCTGCGTCAATCGGAGGAGGCCGCTGCCGCTGCCGACGCTGAGGATGTGGACTCGGAAACGGCACTCCGACGGAAGAAATTCCTGGAGGAGGCACGTCGCCGGGAAGCCCTGGACGCGATGGACATGGACATGGGATTCGGCGGGAGCCGCAACGAAGACGAAGAGGACGACGAAGAGGTGGTGCTGGAAACGGAGAACCGGGGCGGGAAAAAGAGGAAACGAGGCCCGAAGAAGAAGAAGGGCGACAAGGACAGCGCGGCAGATGTCATGCGCGTGTTGGAGGGGAGGAAGAAAGACTAATCCTATATTTGAGATACCATGTGATTGCCTTTCTCCGTTGTGTATGCTCCCAGAATAACCACCCCCTATAATTGCGGACTATATCCATCCCCAGATATTTCAAATAGACTCATCTACTCCTGAGGCAAAAGCAATACGCCTCTAAGCATGCCACTATGTCGGCCAGTCTTTGTCTTCCAATCTCAATTTATTAAGCCATAACTCTTAGTTAATCTTGGGGCTTGGAACTTTTTCTGGCGTCGTCATCATGGCGCCATAGTAGCTTTCGTACTAATTCCCCCATGACCATGAACCTTAATATAGATTCCTCATAGAGCTCGAAATACGGGATGTATTTGCAGCCTAATGACCACATCTAGGCCAGATCCATATTGTTTTCATGCCTGAGGGGCCATTACTTGATTAACCCGTCAGCTCCACGAGTACTCCAGTCTCCGTACTCGTGGAGGAATCGAAGGCAGCAACTTAATTATATTCATTGCGTGTGCTGCCTACGGATTTTGCGGAGGCCGCGTGGGTACTCCGGCTCTGTCATTCTAGGAGTTAATTAATCACGGAAGTTCATGAAAGTAATCTGGAGTACGGAGTATGCCGAACGCATTGGACTGATAGGCTGCCTGCAATACGTGACAGGTGATTGGTCGCTTCACAGTGATAGGCTAGAAAGGGATGAGGCGAGGATATCCGTGAGATGTATAGAGTAGCTTCGCAGGGCAAAGTTCTAGGTTGCAGGGATACAGGGGTGTGAATTCCGCAAGCTGTGCAGTCTCTCGGGCTCAACACCGCTGGTAGATAGGTAGAGGAGAGGGGTTGCTGCTGTGAACTGCTGGTTGATCTGTAAGCTGAGTGATCCCTACCACTGTATCATATGTGAGCTGCAATTAGTTGATGCCTTATCCAAGACCCGACAACCCGTCTATCCCTTCCGGAAGCAACAGGTACCAAACCTTGGACTGTCCCGACGACAGGGATTACGAATGGGATGGATGATGAACTGCACGATTATCGCATTTCCGTTGACCTCCGTTCGAACCAGACGATCTCATAGGAGCGGGGCTCGTTCCCGGTCTGCCCAAATCCACATCGGCATCTATATCCACATCCACGTTGCGTTGCAGCGGTGTGGTGGCCTGTGTAGGCAGAGATTTCCGACGTATGAGCGAGCGGTGCTGAAGGTCCACCTGTAAGGTACGTGGTGTGCCTGAATCACCGCCGGCTGTGGTGGTGGTGTACCTGGCAGTCGGTGAGCGGCCGCACTGTGGAGGCTGTCATTGGCGCAACGCGACGGATCTGAAACGCAGTGGATCGGCGGTGACGGTGTGGTTCGTTTGAGATGTGTAGTGGAGGGAGAGAGTTGTTGAGTCTGAGTGGTGGAGGAGGATGCGATTAGGTTTGGACTATGAAGTGGTTCGTGTGCTGGAATTTGACGGCCATGCCATGTGTTTGCTTGGTGCTTGGTGAGGGGAGGATGATCGGGATTGACAGAGAGAGGGGTGGATCCAGGAGGGGAGTGCATTACCTCGGGTATGGCAACGAGGAGTTGGACAGCGGGTAAGCAGGGCGATAATCAGCTGATGGGGGTGCATCGGTTGTGTCCATGTTGTGCTCTGTCCGGACATTAATTCGGAGAGTTGATCTGTGCATCGCGGAGGCGGACGGACGGAGTGCAGTGGGACATCAGAACAATTCTTGCTTGACTTGGGTGGAGCATGCCACCAATCCTCTGGAAGTGTAGTCTTTGTACTCGGTAAGCTTGTGGACGATGCCTCGAATTCGAGGCACCGTATTGGCTGCCTCTTTCACTGTTTCTAATCTTTCCATACGCGTTTCAGGCGACCGCCCATTCTTGCGACCCCCAAATCTCCCTTCCATTATGCTTTCACTTTCACTGTCAAGTTTCACCACAACAATTTGACATCTGAATCTACATTTCTCAAATCTCAATAGTCCTGATCAGAAGTTCAAAACCGATGGATCGGTGGGGTGGCCGTTACGCCACAGTCATTAGTGCCATGCTGAGACACTCTCCGTCCGCCGTGACGCATCACTCACTAGTCTCGAGTCTCCATCGTCTGGCCAGTGAGGGGTTCATCACCAATGAAGCCAGCCATCAACGACAACCTGCAGTTCTGTCCACATCCACAGTCCACACAACCCGGAAATTCGGCATCAATTCTTGCTTCTTCCGTACCTGACGCTATCCGCCTGATGAAACAAACAATCCCCCCAGCGAATAAAGAGCCGGCACGCGTGGGAGACCGCTGCCTACCGGACGCGGCCTCTCGACAGCCGCTCCGCCCGGCATAAGGCCTGGATTAACGCCACGCAACTCAGACGGGTTAAAAATACCCAGCCACCAAGGAGACAGCCTCCGAAAGGGGGATTGCCAAGCTGTAGAGCTGCTCGCCAAGGTCACCCAAGGACGGTCAGCATCTGCTGCACAACGGGTATGCTTGACGAGAGTTAGTGAACTCTGGTTGAAGTGGTCCGAGGCAAAACCATCATTACATGAGAACAAGGCATCACGAGAATGCAGGCGAGTCTGGACTGAAGTGGGGGGTTGCAGTGGGCGCTTCTCCCGGCCAGATGGTGAACTAAGCCGACACTAAACTAGTGCTGCCCTAAGGCGTGGTCTGGCCGCTGCCACAGCCTGCCAGGCTGCCAGACACTGGACCGACAGGACGGCATCAATCGAGGTGATTCCATCAATCGAGCAGAAAAAAAAGTACGGGATAGTTGGGTAGACATGCACATACATCATAGGTTAGGGATAATCAGATACATCCACTGGACGGATCAGCTGCAGGTATCCGCACCACTGCAGGAACAACAACCGGAATCTCCCAGCTGTCCGCTGTCCACTGTCCAGTGCCAATTGGAAGGTGCCTGGCTGAATAATGGGCGTCACCTTTGGTGTCCCACTGTCCCTGAGCGACACACGGATCGCGCCCGATGACGTTCCATGGATCGGCCGCGGTGAAGACGCAGGGGGTCAGGAACGCCCAATTCGGTCAATCAGAGGCGTCGCCGGACAATGGAAAAAGCAACGACTCGCACTAGTTCAACTCTGCATGCGCAGAGAGCGACAATTTCCCCTCCTGGGTGGGGTCTGATTGGTCGGAGCAGAATGGCGCTTGAAAAAAGCAGCCAGCCCTAAGTCTGATGCTGTTGTCTGGCCGGCGTCTATATAACCGCCCTCTTTCTCCTCTTTTCCTCGCTCTTTCTCCCTCACCTGTCCATCCAGCCTCTCCTTATTCTTCCTGTGCCGTGCACGGTCGAGTCATTCATTTATTCCCTGAACATATTGCCTGACTCTTAGAAGTCAAGCATCCACTCTTTGCCAGAGAACCGGTCTTCTCCTCAAAAAGTTATACATATCCATCACTTGATACCCAACCCGTAACCAACATCATGGTGTCCTTCAAATCCTTCCTCACTGCCACCACTTTGGCCAGCGCTGTCCTTGCCATCCCTCACAATGGCCACAGCCACAAGCACCGCTCCACCCACGTTGCCTCCAAGCGGTCCTCGGGCTCCAAGCGTGGCGCCGCCTACAACTCCGCCTCCACCGTGCACACGCTGTCGTCTGGCGCCTCGGGCAACGGCACCGTCTCGTGGGCGTACGATTGGAACATGTACGTCGACGGCAGCCTCCCCAGCAACGTCGAATACGTACCCATGCTTTGGGGCTCCAAGATGTTCACTGGCTGGCTGGCAGCCATCGAAGTCGCCCTCGCCAGCGGCAGCAGCTACATCTTGGGCTTCAACGAGCCCGACGCTTCCTACCAAGCCTCTATGACCCCCTCCGAAGCCGCCACCTCCTACAAGAATTATATCACCCCATACTCTGGCAAGGCCAAGCTGGTCACCCCGGCCGTGACCAGCAGCACCACTGAAGGCGAGGGACTCAGCTGGATGAAGTCCTTCCTGTCGGACTGCAGCTCGTGCGAAATGTCTGTCCTGGCCGTGCACTGGTACGGCACCACGGCCGACGAATTCAAGTCGTTCGTTCAGGAAGCCATGCAAGTGGCGGACGACTACGGGCTAGAAGAGACCTGGGTGACTGAGTTCGCCCTGACCAGCGACATGTCTGCCGGAGGCGATACGACTTCGGGGGCGGATTTCCTGGACGAGGTGCTGCCGTGGTTGGACAGCCAGAGTGGCGTGGGACGGTATGCGTATTTCATGTGTGCGGATGGGTATCTGCTCAGCGGGGAGGAGTTGAGCGCGAGTGGAAAGTCCTACGTTGCGTAGCTTCCTACCCTTATCATCTGCTGTCTATCTGCTGTCTCTTTACTTGACTATTATCGCCTATGATACCTTCATCGTTGTTGCTTATTTTCATCTTCTTCTCAAGACATATTCCGGGGACGAGTCGCTTGGTGAAACTCGATACAATAGAAACCAATCAAATCCAATCCAATTAAACTTCCATTACATCTCATTTCATTAACAATTTTAATCCAATTCATCTAACTCAACCCAATCCAATCCCCCTAGACAGACTCCCCCTCCTAAAACAAACCACCATACCCAGAAATCCAGACCCCAAACCTGAAACCTGAAACCCCTAAACACAGAAATCACCCCCTATAGCAACTATTGGTTTTTGTTCCATGGATGCATCATCCTAATGTAATGTCATTGGTGAAGGGGAGATGAGTTTGGATGTTCCGTGGTTGAGTGTGCCGACTTGTCCGTGGATTGGATCATGGCATGGGCACGGGCACGGGCTAGGAGTTATTTTGGGTTGATTTCTTGTGGTAATGTGTTTGTTTTATTTTTATTTTTTATTTCAGTTGGAAAATCTTGATTTCGATTTATTTCTGTAGGGTTGGAAATTGGAAGATGAGAGGGTCACTTGGGTAGTTTTTCTCTTCTTTGGTGGGGGTCTTCTCTCTTATCAATTTTTAATTTTTTTTTCTTTGATTGAGAGATTGATTGAATGTTTTTTTTTTTCTTTTCTTGATGGATTGACTGCCGTGGGGATGTTGGGTGTCTTGTTGATTGGTTGTTAGACGAATACCCTCTGTACTATGTAATGGATCGATCATGACAATGGAGTGTAATGTCATATGTATGGTATGTTATGGTATGATAGGTATCAGTGGCAATGGTGATGCCACTCTTGGTAGTCGATATTAATGTCAGTATATCATCATCCCTCGTGTCTATTATACATCCCGTAACGCCGCCGTCCTTTTCGCTTCGGAATAATGTACACCCTATCCTATCCCTCGGGGCCCGTGGCTTCGCCCATCTCCGTGTCTTCGGGTTCGGGGATGGGCGCTGGGGCTGGCCCTGACTGACCGTCGTTTTGCCCGTTGGTTTGCGGAGTCGTCTCGTCGGTCATCTCTGTTTCTGATGATGGGTTTGGCTCGGCGGTTTCCTCCCATACTCGGACGGTTCCATCCAAGCCGCAGCTCACCATCAGTCGCGCTTCGCCCAACGTGCATGTGTCTACCCCCAATACCACCCCCGTGTGGCCCTCGATGCGTTGCAGCACCTGCTTGCTCACCACGTCCCAGCAGAGTACCGCTCCGTCCTCGCTGCCGCTGACGGCAAACGCGTGCACCGGACCCCCGCGCACCCCGTATACCCCGAATCCGCCCTGCAGACTGTACTTTCGGTTGGTGTGGCCCTGGTAGGTCTTGATGCAGCGCCCCTCGACGTAGTCCCACAGTCGCACGCAGTCGTCCAGCGTCCACGCCAACACGTATTTGCCGTTCGGGGAGAACTTGACCGCCGTCACCGGCGGGTTGTCTTCGTGCACGATGGTCCGCAAACACTGGCCCGTCGCCGTGTCCCAGATTCGAATCAACCCATCGGTCGCGCACGACGCGATCAGCGTCCCGTCCCAAACCACATCGATGCCGCCCACTGGATCGGAGTGAGCGGGGAGCGACCGCATCACCCGCGCCGACCGCACATCCCACAGGAATACCGCCTCGTCGTAAGACCCGCTGACGAGCATGTTGCCTTTGGGCGAAAACGCAATTTGGTAGACGTAGTTGTGGTGACCGATGAAGGGGATCGGATGAGCTTTGCCCTATACCTAGTTAGCGAGACCTTAATGAGATGGCGACAGACACCTACTGTCAAAACATTCCACAGTCGGATCGTTTTATCATCCGACCCAGATGCAATGGTCGCTCCGTCTGGACTCCACGAGATGGTGGAGATGCCCGCCAGATGGCCCTCGAACGTATGGATTAGTCGTCCTGTGCCTGTATCCCACACCTTGACAGCCCCGTCCGCCCCTACAACAATCAGCGACACCAGCAACACAAAGATTGGAATACCCACCTCCGCTTGCAATCATGGAGGAGTCCGGCGAGAAGCGCACCGCCGAGACTCCCCGCAGATGACCCCGTAGTAAATACTTCTGGTGATAATTCACTTTGTCCGGTTTTGGCGGCGGCGGTGGTGGTTGAGGTACCGGAGTGGGCGACCGTTCCGCGTACGATGCATCGACCTCTACATCGCCGTCGGCCATTTCAGTCTCTTCGACATCGGCGTCAGCGCCGTCTTCCTGTTCAGGTTCGGCTTCTGGTTCCGGTTCGAGTTCCGTCTCAGGCTCGAGGTCAGGTTCGGCTTCGGCTTCGGGTTCGTCGTCCTCTTCATCGTCTTCCTCCTCCTCTTCGTCGTATCGCTCCGAGGAAGGCTCCGCGCTCGGCTGCTCCGAGGGCGACCTGCGAACGCGGTTCCGTGCCGACCAGTACTCCTTCGCGTCGACGGCTAGTTCATCGGGACTCTCGGAGCCGCTGAAGCTGCGCGAACGGCGATATGGGCGCTGTGGGGGATATGCCTTCTGGATGGACCAGCTGGCGCGGCGGCGTTCGGCCTCGTCGTGGTCGGAGCCCGCGGCCAACTCGTCGGACGAGGATTCTACGGGAGAATGGATGAAGCCATTCTGGGCCTTGGGGGTGATGTCGAGGCGACGGCGCTTGGGACGATGGGTGGAGCCATCCATGAGAGCGACCAAGGAGCGCGAGAAGCAAGTGGCAGGGAGAAGAGGGAGAAGAAGAAGCACCGCGATCGCGATGATTTCTTTCATCGCCGCGGCATCCCTCGTGACGATCCGCCGCTTTGAGGCAGGCGGTGAGGATTTGTCCGGCCATTCAAGGCGGTGAGGCATGATTTCATTCCCTCTCCTATTGATCAGCCGACATTCACCTCATCATCAGCTATTCACATCCTTCATCCTTGTCCTTCTTCTCCCTGTTATTTTTTTTGATATGTGACAGTGACACAACAATCATCTACAATGACTGCCTCCGAACCGCTTTCCTCCCCTCCTGCCGATACCCCCACCACCCCCACCCACATCCGCATCTTCACCCTGAACTGCTGGGGCCTCAAATACATCGCTAAACATCGCCATGCTCGTCTTGCCGAGATCGGTCGCCAGCTAGCCATCGCGGATCCTCCCCCTGAAATTGTTGGTCTTCAAGAATGCTGGACCCAGCAAGACTACGACTCCATCCGCCAGCAAACCCGCCACATCCTCCCCTACGGCAAGTTTTATTACGGCGGCATCTGGGGCGCCGGCCTCGCTATTCTCTCCAAATGGCCCATTGAAGAAAGCAGCATGTACGCATACCCGCTCAATGGCCGTCCGACGGCCTTCTTCCGCGGCGACTGGTACGTCGGGAAGGGGGTTGCCTGTGCGCGCATCCGCTTCGGGGCTGGAGTGGAGGATGTCGCCGAGGTCTTTTGCACACATCTCCACGCGCCGTACGAGCGGGAACCCAACGATTCATACATCTGTCATCGAACTGCGCAGGCGTGGGAAATCGCCAAGCTGATGCGGGGCGCTGCGGAGCGGGGACATTTGGTCATCGGTCTGGGAGACTTCAATATGTTGCCGTCGTCGTTCGCACACCAGTTGATCCAGGCGCATAGTCCGGTCCGGGATGTATGGCAGGTCCTGCACCCGGATTCGTCGGTTGGAGCGGCCATTGATCCTGTGGAGCAGAAACGGGGGAAGCCGGTGCCGTCGGCGGAGTTTAATCTGCTGGAGAATGGGGCTACTTGTGATGGGAAGTTTAATACGTGGCGCTGGGAAAAGGAGGATCAGAAGCGGTTGGAGAAGGGGGAGGATGTGGTGGTTGACAAGGATGCTCCTTGTCCGAAGGGGAAGCGATTGGATTATATCTTTGTTGGGGACGGTGGATATGCTCCGTTGTATCCGGCGCCGCGGTGGTCAGTTGAGTCGACCCGGCTGTCGATGACGGAGAGACATCCTACGCTGCGGTGCTCGCTGAGTGATCACTTTGCAGTTGAGGCGGTGATCACCCGAGTTGGGGGGCGAACGGAGGGAGATACCAAGGAGTATGCCACCATGGCTCCGAACACGTCCCTGACGTCGGACACGTACGACATGATCCTCGCGATGATCTACAAATACGTGCAGCGAGAGCAGTCCCAGCTGCGCTGGCGACTGGCGCATTTTGTTGCCTCGGTCATTATCTCGATCGGGTGTTTCGTGGGCGTGTGGTGGACAGGCGACCATCTACCCTACGTGGCATTTATCTTGGTGCTGGTGAGCACGCTGAACTTTGGTGCGGGCATCTTGGATGGGTTGATTGGCGGGTTGTTCATGTCGAGCGAGCTGCGCGCGCTGAAGGAGTTTGAATGGGAGGTACAGAATGCGAAGCAGATTGCAAGCCGCAACGCATGATTATTATGCAAATATTAGCATCTAGGTAATTTGTAAATATTGTAAATATTCACTTCCATATCCATTTCATATTTACCCAGTACAAACCCCGGCAATCCAATGTAACCTATAACCCTCCACCCCCATCTCCATCTCAATCCTCATCCTCCATCCACCACACCCCAACCCCACCCCACTCATATTTATTGAAGATACAGATTACAGACCTCCCAACAGCCTCAAACATATTCAGCAAGCCCCCATAAACCAATCCCTTACGTATCATCTACACATCGTCACTCTTCTCTCCCATCGTAGATAGTGTACGGAGTATACACGGTGTATACACTAAGTCCACGAGACGTAAGAGAGAGAACCAGACCGACCGACCGACAGACAGATACTTCAATTTAAGAAACATCCCTCGTACCTCCCTTTCCTTTCTCCTTCCCATTTACCGAAGCACCACGTGAATGTCCATTTCTTGGGTTTGAATTTAACCCCGATCTGGTTCTGTAAGATGATTAGATTACATCCGATAGATGTGTCATATTCCCCTTCTGTACAGTATACTGACCCCATGAACAGACACAGAAGAACCGAGAACTGAGTGGACAGGGATGGGAATCCCATACAAGCCCACTGCAAACCCACAGTCCATCCATATGTCTGAGTACCGTGACTTATCAACTATCGCCATCGTTATGGACTATGAGATCCAACATCCAGGATATAGCATCTATCACAGGCTAAGAAGCCAGACCTGATGACTATGTAAGGTACGATAGTCGGATTCGTTCAAGAAGTACCTGACTCACAGTAGATAGGCTATAATTTAGTTATAGACTCCCTTCCTGGGATGTTTCTTTGCATATTACCAGGTTTGGTATTGTTTGACCACAAACATGGCACCTTGATCCTAAGGTTCTTCGTGGTGATGTTAATCTCAGTATCGGGAATGATTGGGTTTATTCATTCTAGGATAGAATTGAAGGTACGGAGTCGGGAGATATCATGCGTTATTCCTGTGGAGCATTTGGTATTTTGCGTTGGCGTTTTGGAGTTGGATTTTCTCATAGCAAGTATCCTGAATGACCAACTCTGTTGTGGATACAATGTGGAAGCGTAGTCAAGTCCGGATGACAGCAGAGAAGTGGTTGCGTATACTAATCTGATCTGACCTGAATAGATCCGAGCATGTATTAGATTCCATAACCAGATAAAAAAGAGTTTCTCTGAGCGGAGATGGTCCTTTCTCTGCAGCCTAACCCATGAAACGCACCCAGATTTTGACGACTGTCCAAAGAATAAACGAATAGCCGGCAACATCTAAGTTGGGATAGTAGAAGCTAGTCCATCTCTCAGATAATACGGCTCTCTGGCCTCCTGCTTCTGTTCTCCCCCTTCATTTCGTCCTCCTCCCCCGAGAAAAGACTCGTTTACCTTCGCGTCAGGGTGGCTTTGTTTCTGCCTCTCCCGTTTGATTCTGGTGGATTATGTGTGTGGGTTTGGTTAGGGCAGACCAGCTACAACGCGGACTCCCTCTGCATTTTTATACAGCTCCGCTTCCTTTTCCTTGTCTTCGTTATCAGGTGCTTTGTTTGGATGAGATGTAATCTTTGGTCTCAGATTATATCTTCTTTCGCTGCTTCATAGCCTCCATGTCCGCCCTTGTTCAACCCCCCCCCCAGTAAATGGTGTCTGTGTCGAGACGAGAAATTGAATATGGGTAATGCATGAAAAGCACAGTATCAGGCAGACTGTGAATGTTGACTTTTTTCCTTCTTGCTTTTGAAAAGGAATGATCGACCGTGGTGGTATTCCTTGAGGATTTTGTGTCAGGTGCGGGTTGGTTCGCTTGGAAGCTCCCTATCACATGCCATCATTATCCGTGAATAGTGCTGACAGTAGGCTGGGAGATGAGATGGCGTCGGGTTTGATATAGGATGGTTGAGAGACGCGATAGGAGAAGATTTATCTCCGATCTCGTCCTGTATTCATCATCGAGAGTCAAGCATCACAACATGGACTATGGTTTGGGACAAGCACTCTGCAAGAACCTCAGGTGTATCTATTTCAGATCTATCTCCCGGGATGGGTTTAGTTAGGTATGCAGGGCTGGGACGCGGGTATTGGCTGGTTTTCGGGTCAGAACGGCATCTGAGCAGGTCTATCCAGTCCAGTCCAGGCCAAGACGGAACGTCTTTTGCGTGAGTTGGTTCTGGTTAGGTGAGGTGGTAGTTTGGCGAGACAGTCGGTAGATGTTGCCGAACAAGAACCCGACTTAGTCTTCTTGGCTTCTTTTCGGATGTGGCGAGATTGAACGGTGAGTAGTGTGTATTAGACCAGTGCGAGAGAGAACCCTGTGTCTGGATTTATCAGATGAGGACAAATGGCTGAAGAGATGAGACAAGAGTGAATCGGATGGTGAGGATGGTCGTAGACCAGTGCGAGAGCGAGAACCCTGTCTCTGGATTTCTCCGGGTTGAAACTAGTAGATGAGGAATGGCTGAAGAGATGAGATGAAGTGAAATTGGCTCAATGATTAATGACCAGCGAAGCTCGTCTACTCCCAGCTGTACGGATTGGAGGTATGAAGTTGGTAGGCTAAGAGACACCCGTCTGCATCAAGGCCATTCGTTTGCCACCCCTCCAGCCCAGTTGAACTGATTGGAATAGGTCGCAGATGGAACAGGGTGAGTCTGTCCAGACAGGAAGAGAGAACACACTGCCTCCACGTCGCCCACCTATATCCACAACCATATATGGGGAAAGATCTAAGGTCGATTGCCTCAGGGCACCCCAAGCTGCACCAACATGAGGATCATATAGTAGAATCCGAGACAGAAGCTCGATCGGTGGCGGATGACTGTAGCCTCACATCTCCCATCGAGCCGACTGATATATGGGGTATCGTAGCTGACAGAGATCAGACGATAGTGAGATGCCTGCTTCCCTCTATCAAACACATACACACAGGTATAGAATGGATTTGATGACCAATGCTTGGTCAGAGAATGTGGACTGGGTTGTTTCTGGACGTTGGAACTTCCTTATCTTCATCCCAGTCTCGATAGAATTCATCCTGTATACGGATAAGTCATGGAGCTGATGCATGCCGATGCATGAATGGCACATGCTGGTGTTGTTGGAGCCATGCGTTCCAGCTTCCGCATTGGTCGAATGCATGGAAAGAGCTAGACTGAAGGATATCCATATATCGAGCTTCATATATTCCTGACGGTGCTTATTGATGAAGGCTCGGGAAGCAGCTCGAGACATCCGATCGTGTCGGGCATGAGATGTTAGGTACTGACTGAGTACCACGACCGGTATTCAAGTTCTTCCGAGTTGAATTAGTCTCCATTGGAATCATGAGGGAAGCATGATAAGCGACTTTGTGTGTTGCATGTGAAGGTATAATTGGCTCGCAGTCTCCACACTCCCACCTATCGACCTGAGCAAGGCGTATTATGCAGGGATCAGGCAGCAAACTGATCGAGTTGAGAGGCTCAGATGTTCTCTTGAACATCTTGATCCAGGGCGAAGGAAAATTAATACAGGCAGGGTGAGGATGACGATATCAGCGGTAGCCTACTACCGCTACCACTTAGTTGGAGGGGAAATATGCGTGCTCGTGAGCAAGGTGAGGCTTCGTAGGAGGTTTATATAGCCCTCAGGTGAGGTCCCTGTACGCAGGGATCTGACAGAAAACTTCAATGACCCAGGAGTGACTCATAAGAGAGAGAGAGGATCATTGATCCTGGGGAGAAAGGGCTGTGATACACCCGTTAATAACCCACGGTAGCTAGGTTATGTGCAGCGTGGTTTTCTGGGTAGATATCCCCATTCAGAGGATAGAGCTCGAGGTATGATGTCTGTCATATCTTCCTGGTAGAACTTGCAAGCGAGGTCCACACGATCTGTTCGATACAATCAAGGAGATTGGATAGGAGGTTGTAGACGACAGCGTATAGTTGTCCCTGGCCAGATGCTCCAAGCCCGTCGAATCTTCAGATATCATCTCCCAGATACTGGGTACGGAAAAAGGGCCTGACTGATGTACTCTGATGGTTTGGACAGGAGGGTAGAGGCGGCTTTGAAAGAAAATGCAGTGAATCCTTCGAAAGCATGAGTTGCTTGCTGGCGATTATTGTGCATCCAAAACTAAGACCAGATGAGGTTTGCATTGCACCGACGATGATTGGGATCCTCCAGCGGTGGCATGTCCCACACCAGAAGAACCTGGAGAACGGGACATCACCCGCGTCACAGTCTGGCCCCAATGCTATCAAGGCTTGAGGTCCCATGTAGCTGGAGCGGCCCGACGGTTCAATTTATCCTTCACACTTTGAGACCCAGAGCTCATAAGGAGGAGCAACTGGTGACCTTTGGAATGGGTCTTCAATGGACGGTACTCTAAGTCGAAAGCAGTAGAGGATACTCATATATGAGGTGCAAAAAGCCCATGATTGAAACCGTGTGCGACATCTTCAAGACAAACATTTTGGAAGTACGATAAACTGTTTCTTCTCCGTTCGGGTGTCTTGGGATGTTCAGTGATTCCCTGTTATCCAAGCTATCAGATCTCTCTCATCAGCGGGTCGAGCTGATGTCGATGACGAGATGCTGCGCGATGCATTGTGGTCATTACTTTGCTATATTACCTTCAACACGTTTGAAGACTGCTGTAGTAGTTGTCTTTGATGTCTTCCAATGTGGGGATCTCGAAAATATCATCGCAATCAGTCGAGCGAGGGTTTAGTTGACCGTCACCCACCTGCCAGTGACACAACTTGTACCGCCATTATGGTCAAATGCGTGGCTCCTGAGGATCCAGTCCTGGACAAGGTCAATGTACCATTTGTCCCTCATACCACCCAGCATTGGCGAGTAGCTGTGAGCGTGTATCTTCGTCAATGATTAACCGTCATTTGGCACAGCGTAAGCTGAGGATACCGCGGCCATCAGTAGAGCACTTTGGAGGAAGCGACCACAAGGAATCAACACAGAAGCCATGTAGATGTGAATAGTTTGAGACGGTCCTTTGTCAATATATTGGAAGGAAGTATCCCTTGGCATAAGATCGAAGGTATCGCTTGGCTGTTGAAGCATGTGTTCATGAGACACCGACCAGCTTGGAATTTCCTCTGCTTGTCTCGTCCTCATGTAGAACTGCTGGTGGAGGATTGATAACGGGATATAGCTGAATCCGAGGAGGTGTCGAGGTATCCGACTTGGCTGCTTGGGAGGCACGTTGATTTCTGCACTCGGGAGCCGATGCCATAGGGTTCCTTCATAGCACTGGGCTTTTGCAGTGCTTGAATGTCTGGATGTCTGTAATATACTAAAAGATGTGCCCTCATTGCATAGCTGGGAGACGAGGAATGAGCGCGGCCACAGACTGATTTCCAGGATAGATCCTTTGCAAATAAGAAGTTTTATGACTCTCAGGATAGTCGCACTCGCCGTGCGTGAAGCAGGGAACTCCAACCCTCCTGCGCCTCCACTGTAAATAATAATTTCAGTGCAGTGTCGGAGCACACACGCTCCAGTGTCATGCCATTTCAGACTGGGACTCAAGCCCTCCGATGTAAGCCTTGACCTACTCCTGAACGTCTCCCACAGAGAGCCAAAAACACGAAGCACCGGGATATGGCCTCATTCAAATCGCGCCTAAGATCGAAAGTTCGTATGGCTATACCATCCCGCCCGGAGCATGCCAAACTTATCGTAGGTCATCATAGTTCTCGAATACAATAGGCTGAGCGCTAAGTGATGAACCCCATCTTAGCATGCAGGGAGATCTGACGTGTTTGCGTAGCTTGACCCTTAAGTCAATGCGAAATTCTTCGTAAAAGGGCGCTGAGTCCGAAGTCAGGACAACCTTTGCCACAGCAAGCAGGACAACACAGATTAAGGCGATTAGGATTGAAACGTATTGAGGCCCCGAAGCAACCCCTGCCACAGCACGCAAGCCACCACGGACTAAGGCGATCTGGATTGGTGTCGTCTTGAGACCGTCTCGAGACTCATATATGTCCGAATCAACATTTGCTATAGCACGCAAGCCACCAAGCACTAAGGCTACCAAGGCGAACGGATTATACCGTATTAAGGCCTATATGAATGCAAAACATCTCTGCCGCAGCGCGCAAGCCACCACTGAATAAGACGAGTTGTATTGCACTGTACCAAGGTCACATAGAGATAATAAAGGTTAGCGACTTTCCAGACTTGAAGGACGAGGCCTGCGTAGGCGTTCGGTGATGGCGCGATATGGAGACCCAGACCGACGATGGATGACATAGAGTTGGTGTATAGACAAACACGAGATGACCGCTGGTTGACGGCAGTCTTGGCGAGGCAGTTGGAAGAGGGAGTCATAGACTGTGAACAGGTGGAGGGGCCGATACATTGGAGTCTAATCCTCCACTGAGTTGCTTGATTATATTCTTCGTTCAGGGCCAATGCCCTGCTCTTTGGAGCTGATTTGCTTGATGGAAAGAAGGATGGAGGAACAGAGGAAGAGGTGCCTTTTATGGGAGCGGGCGACCTGTCCAGGAATATGCGAGTGCCGCTCTAAGGCAGGCAATCACCTGCTGGGTTCGGTCATATCCTGTGGAATCTTTGCAAAAAGCTGCAATCGACTGAAAGGGTTTGCAATCCTCCGATTTAGTCGAGTACGTTGCACTCTGCATCTTCCCGCACTGCAACCCGGCTGAATGTAGTATCATCGGTTTCGGGCTACTCCTACATGTCCACAGCTTACAGTGTCTGGCATGGTTGCAATAATCAATGGATTGTCATAAAGAGTGTCATTAATGAACACGACATCATGTTCCCAGATCGATCTGGTGCTCCCGTATCAAATATCAAACGTAAAGAGTGAGACTAACACATCCTTTCCAGGAGAGTTACTCAGCACACTCGCGCTGGCGCTCGTCAAAGATCTGCAGCGCCTCCTCGGCCGCCTTGACACCGCTGAGCACCATGGCACCAAAAGTAGGTCCCATGCGGTTGAAGCCGTCAATCTCAGACAGCTCCATGCCGCCGATGATCAGACCCTTGGTGACCTCACGAGTGTTCTTGACGATGGCGTCCTCGGCCGAGTTCATGTCCAAGCCGCGCATGCCACCCAGCTTGTCAACAGTGGCCATGGACACCAGTCGCTTGGCCGAAAAGGCACCAAACGGACCATCGTGGCCAGTCGTACTGATGATGACCGGAGCGTTGATGGTGTTGGGATCCATGCACGACTGGTCATCGTGGTGGAGGGTGACCAGAGTCCAGTTCACCACCACACCGGCAATCTGAGTTTCCTTCGGGTTGCCGTTGGCAGCCGGACGGGTGATCAGGTCCTCCACGCTGGTGGCATTGAAGAGCTTGACATTGGGGAAAGAGAGGACCTTGGACAACAGGGTCGAGGTAAAAAGGGAGGCATGCTTGACCACCACATAGTTGGGATTGGCATCTTCCTCGTAGGGCACGCCCAATTCGTTCAGGAACACCTCCGCCGGCCGACGCATGATCATGGCGGAGAAGAGCTGACCGCCGAGCCAGGCACCACCACCTAGACGAGTTAGTGTGGTTATTCAACGATAGAAAGGAGGTGGCAGACGAACCAGGAGAAACATTGGCCTCGATGATGGCAATCTTCAAGTCCGGACGAGCCTTGGCCAGCACATAGGCAGTACTCAAACCGCAAGAACCAGCACCGACAATGACAATGTCACTCTCGGCGTACTTGTCCAGATCCTGAAAGTACCGCCTAGTCATCGCACGAGAGACCTGGCTCTCGCGGATGGGAGCAAACTTGAAGTCCTCCCATTTGCCAGCAAAGTGGTCCAGCAGCTGGGTCTGAGAGGATTCCTTGACGGGAGCAGCCTGAGGGACCACCACGTTGGCCTTGATGCCAGTAGGGGCCACGGTGGGCTCGAAGATGGCAGCGGGGGGAGACATGATCAAGATTCAGGTCACACAGGGTGACTGAGAACTGTTAGCTATTCCACATCAAGTAGGATGAGGGAAGGCATGATCCTTTCGCTGGTATTATCCAGATCAAGTTTAACCGTATAATCTCAGAACGAACCCAGAGCCGAAGCAGGCGGCAGAGCCACTGCCCGGATAGGAACGAACACCGGTCCATGCCCAGAATTACCTGAGATACCTGATCATTGAGTGTCCAGCCAAAGGCAGTGCATGGCTTCCATCGAGAGAAGTGAGACCCGAGGGTCCGCAGGTGAAATTACATTGCAGGTTGGTTCTATGAAAAGGTCAGTACGATGTATGCTTGGAGCAAGCTGGAGAGGATGACTTGTGATGAGACTCGATGGAGTGAGTTGGAATTGGATGATGGATGGGATGGATGAGATGGAGAAGAGCAAGAAACAACTAACAAGGCGGGGAAGAGGGAGGATTAAATAAAGCGGGAGGAGGGGTCGGTACGTAATGGGCATGACAGCTCGGTGGGGAGCCGGAAGCTTGTCCTCCGCCAGCTCGGCCAGGGTCCTGACTCTCTCTCTCTCCGACTCTGCCCGTCTAACTTTGCCCGGTGAACCGAACCAGTAACCAGGTGAAGTCATTGCATGGATGCCAATGGCTTCGCATTGATTCGTCTATCGCAGCTGCGAGAGCTTGATTCGCTAGGACAGCTACGACGGGTACAACAAGCTGGTGACTCCAGCATGGATCCGAGTCTCGGAGCGATGAGACAGTGAGTTATAGCAATCAGAGTACGTACAGTTTCCAGTCCCCATTCTCCTCTCAGAGTCCTAATCTATTCGTCTCGTGCAGCCTCTCCAATGGGGTTTAGACCAGAATAGGCCACGAATTTCTTAATCCTGATCGTACATTAGGCCATATATCTTGAGGAATCTGGTAGTATCTGTCTGGCCAACATACGAATAAATAGCTTCAAGCAGGTGCATATGTCAAGGTCGCTCAGCGAGAGGTATACAAAAATCAGTTTAACCGCTCAGTACGTTAAAGCAAGATCCAATTGATTAACCCACACAGCTATGAAAATACTGCTGGATAGCTAGTGCAACTCTGCAAGAGCGAGATGTGTAACAACATGTCCTACCGATACACGCTCCCTTATTTGAAACAATGTCAACCCTGACACAAGCCAGTAGTTCTACCGACAGGCAAACCAATAGAACTCCGGCCCATACACCTGCAGCATGAGTTCCAGCTAGACTGCTCTGCTGTGGTATTACATCGAATCAGTGAGCTGGCAACCCATGTACCGGTCTTCAAAGCATACATCGCCTCGCTGGGTATCATTCTTCCAGCCAGCTTGAAGGGACTGGCAGGGGTAGTCTATACCTGTGACACATGCACAAAGAAAACCCGTCCAACAGCTCTGCCATGATGCCCTAGCTACTATTTATACAGGCTCACTGCTCATACCAGTGTGAAACGCATCCTCCCCGAGGACCTTTTCTTCCAACTCGTGAACTGACCCATCATTAACGCTTCTGATCATGGCATGGTATACCTGACAGTGTAAGAGGAATCCACCTCCTAGGATAAAACGATAATACCTGAGTAAATAGTAAGCCCAAGACACCACAAGTCTCGAGGTAGGCGCGAATAATGTGTGCCAATCCGCGTGAAGCATTCTTTAGCTTGACCAAATGTCATGTCTATGCCTGGAAGAAGCTTGCTCGATGCCTTCGTCAAGATAAACAAACCACTACCAATGTCGAGATATATGAGGGCGACCGAAGAAGGATTGTTTGACAATCTGATATCCATAGGGTATAACCACATGATCAGAACAGGTGCAGGTCTTTGTAAGAACGAACGTAGTATCATCCAGCTCATCAACCCGCAAACTATACCGGCAACCAACAATATCTTCAGATAGTCGATGACGGGATCTCGTGGTCACACTGACCCAGGTCGTTCTTCGCCATTCGATATGACCAAGGCATACAACGTGCCGCATGTCAAATAGCACAGAATGCGCAAGAAAATTCAGTTGGCCTATTTCCTTGTCCTCCTCGTTGCTTTGAACGACCCATAACGCATGTCCATCCCTTGTACGAGATCCGCTGATGATGATTTGCCTATACTCATAGCATCATAGAACAGTCGCCGTCGACCTCCGTGTACCACTCCAAGTGCTCTTTTGGCAAAAGATAGCTCTTTCTGAAGTCATAAGGGTACAAAAACCCATATGATACTCACAACCCAGATTCTTCCCGGGGATTATATGAGCCAGTACAATTCACCCTTGATGATAGGTATGTACCTGCCCTCACCATAATGTTCAATCCTCCACTATAACAACATTCATTCATCAGAATGGGCGAAACCGTATCTCAGCCCCAAGTACTTGAGGTATAATGCAATCCGACCAATACCTCCCCCCGATTCGGAAGGGGTTGGTTCACCCGAGATCATGTATGTGAAAGCTTGATATTGCCAGGCCTATTCAGGACACCGGTATGTCAAAGATAGTACGTATTATCACGTAAATGGATGTCTGAAGGTAGTAGATGATCACATTTGTTTTTTGAACCAGCTTAATGATTATGGGTATGCGACTGTGTAGGCTTAACACTGAGTCTTGGTATGGCGAATGCATTCGTGCTCGTTGAAGGTTGGATATCCTGGCAGTGTATTAAACTAGGATTAGTATTGCGGAAACCCATGATGTTCATGATATGAACAGGGTTTGGAATGCGCATCCCACTGTTATGAGAGATGTTTTCTCGGCCCATTGATAATATAACTTGTTCGTGGGACAGGCTATAGGAGGTAATGGGTGGCCGTCTGTGATACATAATGTCTGGCCAGAGAGAGGTGGCTGTACTATGTATAATGCATATGCATCAATTCCCACATCTGAACCAAGGAAGTCGATTTCTATACCCTGCTGAGCTGTCAATTGTCTCCACGGCAAGAGCTCAATTGTGATATGTATGGATAATGCACCCGCTTTTCTTTGGCCGTGGAGTTTGAGGAGGAACTCAGTGAACAATTTGGCCGCATTCAGGCACGGTATAATAGTATACTTCGTCCGATAAAGACAAAGTATCATAACAGGACATCAAGAGGGCCTTCATGACTACCCTTAACGAAGTACCTCCCTTATGATCCGTATCCTATGAAGTGATAACCTTGTCCACGGGACATAAGACATTAACTGGCCAAGGTATGTCTTGCAGCAGATGCAACGAATAATTCCAACGTGTTTATCGACGAGTCCGCTGGGCCAGGGCTTGGAAGCGAGACTATGACGGAACATGGTAATTATGGCCATGGGTCTGGAGAATAGAGAATCAAGGAAAAGTCTTCCAGAGTGCGTGTTGAATGCGATGAACGGACAGCGTGGTATATCGAATATATTCCAAGCATGTCGACTCTATGCGAAAGGTTTTAGTGTCTTCGAATGTAGCAAGAAGTAGGAGAAAAGGATGGAGGAATCTACGACGCGAGGATGAACTAGCAACTTACATCTAGATGCAATCTAATTAACAGCAAGCTATTGAATTATACGGGGTCTACGTTGGAAATAGAAGGCGTCCTTCTCGACTGATGAATTAATTAGTGATTGCTTCATGTTGGTGAATGGATGAAGCACCGTGAAGGAACTTCAGCGTTGGATTACCAGGATCGCCGCATTCAATCATACGATAGCTTATATGGCCACTTGGTGAGAAAGTTCGAATCGGCCACAGTAATTACCCAGCATGTACAGGTTCGACTTAGTTCCTCTTCCATGATATAAGCCCACGCAGCCTCAATCAGGCAACGAACAGGGTCAATGTAGAGATGGAAAGCACGCGTAAATTGGACGCTTAATATAGAGCATATCCCAGATTCCCCTCCCTGATGGCTTGAACGCAGCGCCAGGGAAATTAATTGGTCCAAACGTATCCCGAAGTAAAACCATGGAAGATAGGATATCCGAACCGCCCGGACCGCCCGTAAAGCCACGATAATGGCGCTTGGCCCTCCCTAGAGCTGGAGAAATGCTTAGCCAGATTACTCTGGAGGTGGGGATGCTATGCATCTCACTGAAATGCGTATTGGGAGGTACTCAAACCTACGCCATATTTCTGTGGGCTTGTGTGTTATTGGTGCATGGCATAATCTGATAGGGGCTGAGATTGTTGCTACATAGCCAATATACAACGTGCCGTGACAGCAAATAGCGAGTAGAGAAAGGCTGGACGTAGATGAAGACCATAACATAAAACACCATGATAGAGAGAGCATCCTGAATGGGTAGGTACCATACTACTTCCCAAGCAAACCCTTAAACGCACCCTGGTCCTTCTGCAGCAATTCCTGCGGTGGACCCACTTCTACAATCTTCCCCTGATCCAAGACCACAATCTTATCAGAGTCCAGGATGGTATCCAACCGATGCGCCACCGTCAAGACGCTATACCCCTGGAACTCCACCCGTAGAAGCTCTTGAATCAGGCCATCGGTCTCCTTGTCAATATTACTCGTCGCTTCGTCGAGGATCACAAGTTTCCCCCGGGTGGACCGCATGAGCATGGCACGCGCGAGCGAAAATAGCTGTTGCTGTCCGACAGAAAGAGGATAGTCCTTCAACAGAGCATCGAGACAGGTTTCAGGTTTGTCAGGGTTCTCCAAGGATGGTGTAGGTTCATCCGATTCGGTGCTAGAGGTTCGGGAGGTAAAGATACTCCATAGCTTGACCTTCTCCAAGGTGGCGATAATCTTCTCGTCGCTGATCGTGCCCGTCGGATCTAAGTTCTCGCGCAGCGTGTCGAATTTCATCAGCAAAGGGTCTTGTGGAATGGTGATAATGCGGGATCGGATCGCCTCGCGTGGGAGCATTTGAAGATCTAGATCGTCGATCGTGATGGTTCCGGAAGACAGCTCAATGAGACGGAGGACGCTGAGAAGCAAAGAAGATTTTCCACTATAACAAATGTTAGTATGAATGTTGGCATGGGTATGTATACGAACCTTCCTGTTCGACCACAGATGCCGATCTTTTCGCCAGGCGCGATATCCAACGAAATTTGATTGAGAGCAGTAGATTCAGAACTGACAATGTTAGCAACGAACGCCCTAGACCCTACTTCACACTCACCTGTAACTTGCTACAATCTCTGTGATCTGCACGGTGCCTTTGTCAGGCCAGGCTGTTGGAGGCTGCTGGTCCTCGCCTGGCTTGCTTTCCGGAGCAACCCCCTGTTCGAAACTTCGAATGCGAGATATCACCCCCAGTGACGCTTCAAGCCGAGTCCACGACTCCAGCGTAACCAAAAGCGTAATACTTGCAGTCAGAAGCACGTTCAAGGCGATTCCAATTTCACCGCCACTGAAATACTCCCTGTATGGTATGGTAAAGAGAACCAGGGATAAGGCCAACCCAGCGATGGTGAGGTCCATGGCGAGGTGCAACCACGCCTGAAGATACTGGAGATTATACTCTGGCTTTTGCGAAGTGTCAACGCTTCTGCTATTGTCCGTAGCAAAGGCATGCTCCCAGCCAAATGCCCGGATCGTCGTCAATCCCTCAATCGTATCCAGGAAGTTGTTGCTGACCAGCGAGGCCGACTCCATGTCCAGCCAACGGAGTTGCCGAGTCGTGTGAAGATAGAATGTCTGGATGCCGTAAAGAGCGAGCAACAGAAAGGGAAAGGTGAGGCCCATGTATCTCTGGGCGACAACTAGTAGAAGCAGCTGCCCAATGAGTCTGAATCCATTAAGACCCGTGCCTGCGACAGCTCCAGGGAGCATCCGATCAACCTGTTTAAGATCTTGACTGAACCGTGTCAAAGTGGTGCCCATATCCGTGGTGGTGAAAAAGGATAAAGGCGCACTAATAACGGTACGCAAAAGACGCTGATGAAGCACAATGCTGGATTTGGGGGCGAGGACCACCAGGAACATGTAGACCCAGCCAATGTTCGTGACCCAAGTGGCCATGGCAAGCAAAATGTAGACAGTCATATAGAACCACTGATCATGGCCGTCTGCATCCGTCCACCACTTGAGCCAGTATTGTGTCGCCATGCTAAAGAGAGCCATGGCAGCCATTCCGGACATCATGATCACCGCATTGAGCTTACCCATGGAGTCGAAGTAGTACGAATAAAGCGAAGGATCTCCTTTCTGTCGCACTAGATCCATTGACCGCTCCGGCCTTTCTGGAGCAGAAGACTTGACTTCGCTGTTGTCGTTCTCATCGGCAATCTTCTGCTGGGATCGGTCAGGTTCATGGAGGAGTAGCTTGCTGATATAGCCGCTTTGGGCTCGAAGTTGCTCCCACGTTCCCTGTTCAGAGACCCGCCTGTCCTCTCCTAGAACCAGAATGTAATCGGCCAACGGGAAATGTTGAGCTGGCCATGTTAGCTCAGCCTTGCTGTATCATGACATTCACGGACTCACTCGTATGGGTAATCAGAAATACTGTGACCCCAATACTGCGAAGAAGCCCATTTTCTCCCAGAAGCCGGTCAACAATATGCGTCTCTGTCTGCGCATCTAGCGCACTAAGTACATCATCAAGAACCATGATATTCAGTTTCGAATATACCGCGCGAGCCAGAGCCTGGCTTAATTAGTTAATGAAGCGTGTCAGCATCGAGGCAGTACTTACGACGCGTTGGCGCTGGCCACCAGACAGGATAATTCCACCACTACCTATCACCGTTTGATCGCCCTGCGGCATTCTTTGAATATCATTCTTCAGATCACACGCATAAACCACCCTTTGATACCACTGCTGATCGACATCTCCTGAGCCAGGTGGGCCGCAAATCAGCTGCTGGATTGTGCCATTCATAAGCCAGGCCGACTGCGCACAGTACCCAATGGATGCAGAAGAGACGGAAACGGTACCGCGATCCGGAGAGATCTCCCCAAGAATGGCTTTGGCGAGTGTGGTTTTACCAGTGCCCACGGCGCCGGCACAGAAAACGAGGGACCCCTGGTGGATTGATACATTAAGACCCTCCAGTACTGGCTCAGCATCCGGTGCAGGACGGATGGTTGCTTCTTGAATTTCGATTGCAAGAGATCGGTTTTGGACCCGGCTCTCCTCACGATCTCCATCAGACTTCGGGACCTGGGCTTCAATCAACAATCGTCGGTCCTGGTGTGAAGGGTTCAGCAAATAATTCTGAACCCGATCAAAGCCTGTAAGCGCTGACAATAGGAAAGGGATCTGTAGGAGCACAGTATTTATTGGCTGAGTAACATATGTGATGATGGCAATTGAAGTAAAAGCCGTGTTGGTGTCGAGCCCATCTTGGCCCCGGAGCTTGGCTTGTATGGCAAATATCACGAGGGTCAGGACAGGGGCCAAATTCTTGACCATCCCGGCTAGTTCGGGTCAGCGGGGAGACGCATGGGGAATGAGTGGACGCACAAACAAAGGTCAGCAGAGTTATCATGGAGTTAAGTCTGATGTTTGATTTCATCTCGCTTCCCCGAGCGGTGTTGATCTTAGCGGCCATATGCTCGGACAGACCCATCATTTTAATGATTTTCATCTTTTCAAGAATGGCTGTCATTAAGGAGACCCGCGCCTCGGTTGCAAGGCTCCATGAGTTTTGACTGGGGCCCACGTTGGCTGCGACATGCTTACTGCCCTTTGAAGATACTATGCGGGTCAGTTACGTCCACTTGAAAGGGGAATGACATACCAAAGACTAGCGCAAAAGGGACAAGACAGGTCCAGCCTAGCTTGGAGGCCAACAGATAAACCCCCACGACCAGTTGAAGAGCGGCCAGTAACACTTGATAGAAGGATTGGGCAGATTGCGCAATGTCCAAAACATCATTGCCAATGAGTGTCACTGCAGAGCCTTGGGCGTTGTTACCCACTGTCAGCGCTCTGTCATGAATGATGCCGATCACAGACCCTTTGACTGCCAGGGAGGCTTTAGTCATGGCTATTTCAGTAAGAGCATTGCAGATCTGCCACGGTTAGTAGAGGATTATGAAGTGATAAAGGGTTGCCGTACAGCCTGGCCAACAAAGATGCCAATCACGGCAATGACGAGTTTTATAGCTTCTGCACGCTGTTCCTCGCTCGACAAAGGGGCCGTCACAAAGGCAATCATGCGACTGATGAACAGGGGTTGCGCGTATTGAAAGATGAGCAGTAGAGACAGACTTGGGAGGACTTTGGCATTCTGCCAAAAGGTGCATTTGATCGTTGCGGCAAGGAGACTATATCTACCCTCGGGGGTTGCTGAGGGAGTTAGCACCGAGCGTCAACTGACTGAGTCATTGCCTACATCGTTTGCCCCAGAATCTCAGCATCCGATCGCGCAGCGACTGAGAAGACAGCTCACTATGCATCGAAAAGAGATCATCGAGGATGAGTATCTGTTGATTTCCCTTTCGAAGCAGTGGAAGTATCCACCAGAGGAATGCCTTGCTCAGGACGCTGGTGGTCTCCTCCAGCGACACATTCTGCCATGGTTCACGCAAAAGAGATCGTTTGTCGTGGGCCTCCAAGATCAGAAGTGCGAATGCCACCGCCGGGATGGCAACATTCCACGGCGAAGAGACATCATGGAGAACGACATGGATCCAAGCCAGGCGGATAAGACCCAGAGCCAGTGCCACCAAGAGATAGATGTTGAGAGTTGCGGATGGGCTCACGGAGCGGCCATGTTCGATAAATGACAGGAGGGGGACGAAAAGCGAGGCCGTAAACGCAACTGCGGAGGCGGCGATGGCGATGGGATTGTGTGCAGCAATGACCGAGATCAAAACTCGAAGGTGGAGTCCAGCAAATACAAAGGCAAGCAGCTAGAGATTGAGGCGCGACATGTGAGAATCCGAGAATCGGGAACAATTGAACGAATGTGGGAAAGACATACCACCTTCCAGAGCCCCCTATAATTGGGGATGACTTTAATCGGCTCGCGCCGCAGGCGGATGCATCTCCATACAGCAGAGATGATAAAAATGACGGAAGGACCGAGGACCCAGGATGGAGAAGAGGGAGATGTCAGATCCCACGCCATGGCTGACAGGATCGATGAGCTGGTGCCTCCCTCCGTCGGTCTGCCTGATCTTATATAAGACGACTCGGATCCATCCTTGCTTAGCTCCGCGTGCTTCGTCGACGTTCTTGAGTCATAGTGAAAGGTAGGTGCACCAAGTGGGAACGGCGATGGGCGGGAACCGTCGGATGAAGCGATAAGGGCGGGGCCACGAGGCTTGTGTGCTTGAGCCGCTGCCTGATAATGGTTGTCGGCTTCGAGCTTGCAATGTGCTAAGATCTCACCTGCAGGCTGCGGCTGCAGCTGCAGCAGGTTGTGACCGTTCTAGACTCTAGTTGCCGTGCCGTCAGGTTGCTTGCCTCTTTGCGTATACTATTGCCCGAGGCTTGATAGTAAACGAGATGAAGAGCCATTCTGATGGAAGAGGTGATGTGTGGGAAGATAGTGTGGACTGAGCCGCGCCGGGAGAATTAAGTCCCTTCCCCAGGCAGGCAGGCAACCTATATCATCGTAAACCATCATATAGTGCGAGAAAGCGTATATTATCAATGATAGTGCACCTATGCACCGCTAGCAATGATCATCAATCAGGCTGACCCGCCGGCCCCCTCTCCAGGTCCACCATAAATTAGCAGCAATTCCAGAACCTTTCTCTTACTTTATGGACAGCTCCCTCTTACAAATATCCCGGATCTCCTTCCACAGCCTCTTCTGCAACCTCTGTCCCTCCTCACTCGTCACCATGTCCCCCTGTCTACGCAATTAGCACCCAACCACGGATCTCCACGAGTCAACTCACCTAGCCAACCCATCATTCACCCAAAACCCCCCATGTCCCTCCTCTCCCAACAATGTCGCACTCACCAACGACCTCCCCCCCTGCTCCGCCGTCCTCCCACAATACCAATGCATGACCCTAGTCATCCAGACCAAATACCACGGAAACTCCCTCCCCAAATCCGTCACACAAAAACCCGGACAAACCACATTCACCCACACCCCCACCTCCCCATCCTCCTCCCTCCTCGCACACTCCATCAACCCCTGCATGACATACATGGTCAACACCTTAATCACACTATAGGACTTTTCCACTCCAAAGAACTCCCTCGAACCCACCACCCTCAACAACCCCCCTTCTTCTTCTTCTTCCTTCACATCCAACAACCCCATCATATCCTCCCTCTTGACATACATATGCCCCACACTTCCCGTCAGTGTCAACTGCCCCAACTCCCCCTCCCCATCCCCCTTGGCCTTCCCCCCCGCCTTCAAAAACCCCATCACCCCCATCCCCACCATTGCCGTCCCCAGCACATTCACCTGCACCGCCTCCTCCCACCCCGTCTCCTCACAAACCCTCCACCTCGGTGCCGCCATCCCCGCATTCAACACCACCACATCCAGTCCCCTGCCCCTAAGCACCTTTTCCAAATCCCTCAAAAACCCCCGCACCGACACAAAACTCCCCTGATCCAGCTTCAACACGCTGATTCTTTCCGAGGGATACTTCGTCGCCTCAACAATGCGCTGCTTCGCCACCTCACCCTTGGTAGGTGTCCGGACCGCAAGAATGAGATGTCCCGCGTCCAGACGGGCGAATTTAAGCGCGGCCTCGAAACCAAGGCCCGTGTTGGAGCCCGTCACGAGGACGGTTTTGTGTGTGAAGAGGTGGACAGGGTCCTTCGGGGGGTGTTGGGATGCCCAGCGTTGGTAGGGGAGTTGGGGGAGGGATGGGGGAGCGGGAGGGCCGAGGAGGGTTGAGATGGGGGGGAGGGATGTAGTCATTGTAGATTATACTTTCGTAGATAGCATAGATGATGATATTGCTAATTCGTAAGTGCTGAATGGTATCAATGGGCTTATATACATCCTGAAGTATACAGTCCTGTATAGTTAGATCCTGCAAAGTACATACTTAGTCAGTACGGAGTACGGAGTATAGTCGGTAACCCTGTTCGTCAACACCCGAGATGATCCTTCGCGGGTGGCCGCGCATCCGGAGCAGGGGGGTTCTGTCGGGGCCGGATGGCGGGGGTCCGATTGGTGGAGATGTATACCTGATCCCTACGGAGTAGAGTAGGGTACCTTATTTCTGTGTGTGTGTGGTTACTTTGATCAAGTACCTCCAGCTTACTGTTGCGATTGTATCCAGCCAGCCTGTATTAGGCATCATTGTGCTTGCTTCCTGATCTTGGCGATCATCATATTCCTCCGTTTATAGTACATCTGATTATTATGATTGGGGTCGAGAGTCACTTTGATCCAGTAGATTTGATTTTCGTCTGTTGGCCTTCGCGTACGGATTAAGAGGCACGGTGAGCTGTCATTTCAGATACGTAGGGCTCGGCTTTGCAGCTAATAATGATCGAAGATGTCTACAAAAGGTAGATGCAAAGTCAGGATACACCAGAATCATGGCATTACTGACATAACTAAGCCTGCAGTCACAGGCAATCATATATAAATAGTATCTTCAAGAATCAACTAACCGATCAATGCACAGTCACGAGCTTTTCACTCCAGCAACATCATATACCATGCAGTTAGGGTAGCAAATATGTCCTGTCCTGTCCTGTCCACCAATCTAGATCGTCTCCCATCCTCCATTGTTGATGTCCGCCTCCAGCTTGCGGCTGATCGTCGCCGGGATCCCGTGTGACAGCCACACGTCTCGAAGCAGTCGGTCGTAGCGCTTTTGGTTGAGGATCAGCTGACGGTTGCGTCGGAGACCCGGATCCACCTCGCCGTGGCGGTCGAGGTAGGGTGCATAGTGCCAGGATCCATTGCCATTATGGAGGTAGAGCACGGTGCATTTGCGGATGTTGATGAATAAGCCAATGTTCTTGCCACATCTAGTCATTGTTAGCACCGTCTGTCAATGTATCCGGGGATGACTCACTTCTGAACATGCTGGTTACATCCACCCAGCTTGTTCTCCATGCAGCACACAGCCTGCGAACAGAAAATGTCACCGCAGAAGAGACAGATGCTGGGGTCGCTCAGCTCCTTCTTGGACTTCGGGCACCGCCGCCGGTTGGCCTCTTCGATCAAACTGTCGTAGTACTTGGGAAGGCCGACCAGTTCGAAGATGGCCGGGTGGGGGAGGCTGGGCCACAGCTTATGGTCGGCCAACCGAATGCCTGAGCGGGATGCATTCCAGTGGAAAATCCATCCGGAGATCACGGAATCGAACGGATTGCCACTCTCCCGTGCCGAGTTGACGGATGCAAAGATCTGGTCGACCGACGGCAGATTCAGGACCTTGGTCAGGCGATCAAGCTCCGAGGCATTCATATCGTGGAAGCCAGTGTTGGGGAATTCAACACCGTGTTGAACATGGAGCAGGATCACCACCTTCCGGAGGAACGTCAAGGCATAGCTTGACACAAGTCGTCTCAGCGAGATCACAACCTCGGGGGTTGCCGCATCCTCGCCATCCCGGACGTAGCCAGTCTCCGCAGGGAAAGAGGACCCGCCCGCACGGCCCACGGAGTTGGCCTTCAACTCAGCAACGATGGAGTTGAAAAAGTGGCGACTGGCCTCGTATCGTGGATCCGACTGATCAAATGCCGACAAGTACTGGTCGTCTCCATGCTGCGCCAGCTCTTCCTTCAAGCCCTGAGGGCAAAGAATGAAGGTGACCGCGACCTTGACCATTTCTGCCACGTAACACATCTGGATCAGGTGGCGAACATCGATTGGCAGGACTGGCAAGAGCGAGAGAGAGCATTCGGCCAGGAATACGAACGTGTCCTTCGCCAGTAACGGCTCGATGTCACGCACGTCATTCAGCAGAGCGGTGCCGTTCAAGCAGGGATGGCCGATGAAGAGCTGGCAGATCTTCTGGCGGTGCAACTCTTGGAATTCATCTCCGCTGTGCGTATGCGGGCCATTGGCATTGTAGACACACCCCACCGCAGCATAAGACAGGGCACTTTCCGCCAAGACCCGGAGATGCGTCAGGGTCAACTGAGGGATTTTGTCCAACAGCGTCGTCCCCGGTTCCGACTCCACGCCGCGCTGGGAGATCTCAGCAGCAGCAATGCTGAAGCCGAAACTCTGGAACAACGAATCGGTGTGCAGCAGGTCATTCGTCTCCGTCGTATCCGGATGGTGATTGAAGGTGGAAGGGATGTGGTTCATCCGGATGGTCTGCTTCAGTCGCTTGTAGATCTGCACCAGCTCGGACATGGGGCTGCCGCTGAGAGCGGGAGCTTGTTGCAGCGGGCTGGTGGTCGAGCTGTCTTCCTGCGATGGGAAAAGGCCAGGCATCGGCATCCTCGCCTGGGGCAGGTAGGGAGCAGTGGATGGGAATGTCGACGACATGAGTTGTTCGACCTTGGTCGCCAGCGGAGGGACCAGTGTCTTGGATAGGTAGGTGGTGAACAGTTCCTGGTAGGACGACTGGAGCTGCGAGTCATTGTTCTCGGTAAGAAGTGCGTAATGGCGGGGCTGGGAGAGGGCAGTTTTGATTTCCGTGTTGATGAAATCCTCAAAAGAGACAGAGGTACCCAAGGCGCCAGGGTATGATTCCTCCTTGCCCTTCCAGATGATGGGGAGGAATGAGTTGCCGAGGGCCTTGCACAGCGGACAGACAAACTCCTTGTTGAGGAGACGCTCCGGATGGTTCCGCGCAATCTGCTGCGTGTGGCGGCGATGGGTGGCAGTGAAATATACCTCAAAACAAGAGTAGTGCATGATATGACCACAGCCCGTGGTGACCGGCCCGCGAAGTGTGTTCTTCGCGTTGAAGCCTTTGCTCAGGCCAACCTTCTCGCTGATCACTTCGCCACCGGTCGAGTCCAGTCGACGGACTGTGGTGCGGTTCTCCCCCGCGACTCCAAATGGACGGAGGTGCTCCGCGGACTTATCCAAGCTGGCCGGGGTCCGGATGACCTCCCGGATCCAGTCAGGGTCCCGGATGTCTGTCAGCCGCATGATGCTACTGTCTTGGATCAATGCGAATGTGCCGTAGAGACGCGAGTCATTCGTTTCTTCCTGACAAAGAATGCAGGTCCCGCTAGGGTACTTCCACAGTTTGGCCTCCGGGGCCGTCTCCGGTTCGGACTCCAGGTCGCTAAAGTCCTCCTCGCCCCAGTCAATGGCCTCTTGGCTGTTGAGGAAATTTTGTTGTTGCTGTTGAAATTGAGCCATGACCCGGGCTTGCCGTTCCAGGGCTTGTTTCTTCTTCATTTCCTTCTCATTGTCGGTGTCAATGGCCGGAGAGCTCGTGTCGACTCGATCGAACGGGAACTTGAGAGAAGCGGTGGCAGAGGCGTAAGCCTGAGGGCGCTTCTGCCACAGCCTCTTCAGAATATGACGGATCTTGGGCCCACAGGCGGAGAACTCAGTCATGACAGAGATCTTCTCCAAGAGGCCAACGATAGTCAAGGGACCAGCCTGAGTAGTGTCCTTGGCCTTGGTCAAGGCGTGCGACACAAATGACGGGGAGGATTCGTCAGACATTGCATCTTCTTCACTGCTGTCTTCGAGCGAAGCTGCAAGAATCAAGTGGAGGACCACCTGCAGGAACGTCTCGACACGGGTCGATGGGATATTCGGGGTACGCTCTTTCGATGACACGACATAGTCCAAGCAATGATGCACCACTTGGGCGAAGACGAGCGTCCTGGTAAACCGAGGAAGCTCCGAGAACGCGCCGGAAGTAATTGGCCGTAGCTTCGGCTCAAACACAATGTCGGATGCTTTCTTTCCGGTTTTCTTAGCCACCCACTCCCGATAGATGTTCTCTGCTTCGTCACGCTGATTCTTGCTGTAGTGGGCGCTATAAGGATCAATGAGGTCGATGTATTCCGGCTTCAGCTCAAACGTTCCCGTATCGTTCAGGCCCTCAGGCGGTCGGAATCCCGCAACATCGTCAAGCACTGTCTGGAACATATCCGAGTCGAGCAGCTTGTCACTAAGACGGGTCGACAGGTCCGAGAAAGAAAGAGGCTTGAAGCACAGAACATGGGCGATATCGCGGCTCATGTTTTCGCGGGTCGCACTGTCGCTGTCGTCCACCGCGGTGAGCGACGTCCGGTCCGTCAGCAGGATGACCAAGAGGTGCACAAACTCCTCGGCGACATCGATGATCTGATTGTCTTCATAGCCGGCACGGGGCATGTAATCGCGGGTCATCCAGTCCATCATACCAAACCGGTCTGCGATCGACGCAAGAACCCGGCTCGGGTCACATGTCACCAGCGCGGTTTGGAGCAGGAAGATATCGCGATAATAGGCAAAGTCGCGGGATGACACACCGCGGTATTGGGACATCTGATGCCGTAGACTCAGACCGTTGCGCACCCACATGCCGGCCTTCATCTGCGCAAGCCAGGCGCAGACCCGGAGAGGATAATCGAACATGGACAGCAGCAAGTCTTCGGGGCTCAGCTGATTGTCGTGGATATACTTTTCATTGGCAGCATGAGCAGCACTCAGAAGCACGTCCCGCATGAGGACGCTGCTCACACTGCGGCCACATTCCAGCAGCCACGAGAGCGTATAGTGGAGAGCGTGATGGAAGCTCATGGAGCCACGTTCCACGACAAAGTCTACGACACGGTAGCGGGGAACCCGTTGCTGGTCGACTTCAAAGTCGAGCGGCGGTAGGGTCTTGAATCGGACATACTCTTTGATCTCCGCCTGATCGAACCGCTTGCGCTCAACTCCTGTGGAGTGAACAACTGCCGCAATAGTTGCCGTCCGGAGTGCTCGCAGTAATTTTGTGCCGCCATCCACCTCCGGGTTGCGGAAGGCCTCACAGAACTGACGGCATAACCGGTTGATCTCGCGCATGAGGATCGACGCGCTGATCCACGCGTCTGTCTCGTATTCGACATGCTCCCCAACAGCCCGCACGTTAGGGCAAATACCCTGCGACAGCTTGACGAGGTCCAGGAACTGGGGAAGATACGGTTCCTCCGTCCGCACGCGGTTCTGTACGTATTCTGATTGCAGGAGGTATCGCAAATCAAGGAAGAAATGGTACAAACGTCGGTTGGTCACAGAACCGGCATCGAAGGCCAGGGTTGCGTTCGGGTTTACTTCGTACGGTTCACCAACCTGCCGCGTAGTGAGGAAGGTATACAAGATGGCCATGACTTTGGTGAGGAAGTTCCCGCGCAGGACAATCTCCTCCGTAATCGAGGGGGTCGTGAGAAGCTGGAGAGAGAGGTTGACAATGGAATGATCGGGCTCTCGGTCTGCAATCAAGTACAGCTGTGCCAGCGCCGTGTACAGAGCCGACAGGCGTAGACCCATGATGCGCTTGAACTGCGGAACATTGACGACGGTACCGATGTAAAGATCGCGAAGATCCGTCCGGGTCTTCTTCCATAGACGAAGATCGAAAAGAATCATCCAGTCCAGGCGGGTACGCTGCCACAAGTCCTCGTAGGGAGGAATATGCTCCCCAATGCCCGGGAGGGAAGGCCGGACTTGCCAGTGACTCGGGGTCTTCGCCGGCGAAGGCTTGACCACGCCTGAAGGGGTTTTGGGAATCGCCACATAGGACATGGGCGGAAGCTCACATGGCTCGTTCGCGCCGGGTTCGTTAGCTGGTGGCTGCATATCCTGGTTTTCATCTTGATTCTCGGATGCGGTTTGCTCTGCGTCACCTTGTCCTTGCTGAGCCCGAGGGCCGGAAGACGCAGGCCGCCCAGCCAGACCGAGGATAGTCTGAGCGATGTCAAAAGCATCATCGGCGTTGCCCATTACCATGTCCTCATCCTCGTCTACCTCTCCACGTAGTCTACTAATCTCAAGCTCCATATCGTCGTCTTCATCGTCGGCATCATCATCATGAGTCTCCCCAAATTCCTCATCTCCATCCCCATCGCCACCTGGTTCGTTATCATTGTCAATGTCCTCTTCATCGTCATCGTCTTCTTCTGCAGCCAGAACTACCTGTCCCTGCGGGGACACCGTGAGCATAACGGTGCGGTACGGGGTATTCTCCGACCTCTGATGGTCGTCGATGCCCTTCATTCCAATATCCGCATTGACGGCATTGCTGCCATGTCGCCATGTGCTCAGCAGGGCCTCACAGACCGTGTGGCGCAAAATCTCATTATCATCAAGGATACTGCAGCCCGAGATATCGGCAAGCCACTCCACGATGGTCCCGCACATTTGCTCGCGGAACGTGTCGCGAGCAGAGCGGATCGTGACCGTGACCTTGATCTGCTCGATGATCTTGGACACCGCCAGCAACCTCTGCAAATCCTTGGAGTACTTGACCACACTTCTGCCGATATCATTCGTCTCATGGGCTCTATCATTACCGAAGCGATCGCGTTCCCGACAGGCGCGGCTGACTTGATGAGCGACATCCCGGATGGTATGCTTCTCATCGTTCCAGAGGGCCAGTGCAAACTCGGGCTCATCTTCCGGCATATCTCCATCTCCGTACCAGCCCGGACGTAGCCGGGATGCCTCCTCGTCCTGTCTGATACCCTCCTCGGTCTTGGGCAGTCGCAGCTGCTCCGGAGAACAAGAAATGACATCGCAGAAATAATCCAGCACCCGGGAGACGGTCAACCGGATACTATCCATCAAATCCCGCGGGAGCTGCGTCTGCGCCCGCTGCTTGCCCTTCTTATCATCACTGTCGGTATGGATGGCGCAAAACAACGGCAGCCGCCATGCCTCCTCATCTCCACAATCACAGCAGCCGCAATTTCCCGACGACAGAGAGATCTGATACTGATGACCGGTGTGATCGGAAGCGTCGAAGCAACGACTGCAGAGCACGCAGGTATCATCCGCGGCGCAGGTGATACACCGGTACGTTGCCTCACCGGCCCTGAAAATATGTCCACAACGCTTTCCCCGCGCCGCTTCGGTATATTCCGCACCTTCTTTCGCACCCTGGGCTTCGGCTAGTTTCCACGGGCCGGTCGGAGTTCCCTCGGGGAAGAGTAGTCGGAGGTAATCCGCGTTGAAACCGGTCAAGGAGTGAAAGAGTAGCTCGAGCACATCTTTCTCTGCTTGGGGTCCGTAGCGATAGTTGTGCATGAAGGGAAGCCGTACCAGGCCTTCCCCAAGGACCCTCTCCAAGTCCGAGAGCATCATTTTACCGCCTTTGCGCTGCAATCGCGGCACTCATCCGGCTGTTCAGGCAAGTGAGGGGAGGGTAAAGTGGGCGAAGTGGAAGCTCCGTGGGGCGGGCCTGTGATCTTCCAACCTGCGATCGCTCAGCCGACGGGGCGTAGTTGTAAGTGGCGGCAAGTCGGAGTGAGAGGAGCCCGGGTGAAGAGGGGCCACAAATTTGGTGGAGGGTATTGGGGGAAGATGAATTCCCATGTGAAGTCGAGGGGGGTAAAAAATCTAGATCAGTCGAGAGGCTTAGTGATCGAGCGACAACAGCGACGGCGATGTCACAGTGGGGGTGGGAGGATGAGTGGTGGTATCCAACCGCACGCACCAGCAACCCGTTGATATCATGGGCAGCGCTTCGACCTTCCGAGTCTGCCCGTGAATTGCGCCCGATGAAGATATCCAGGCAAAAAAAAGCGACCGCAATAAGACAATCAGGGGACAACACCAACAGGGAAGGCAGGTTCGCAGCCAGCGGTTGGACCATGACATCGAACACTGCAAACACCGGGGCTTGGCGCCACCGCAATTCCCATCCACAGCCTTTCAACACCGGGGGCTCCCCGCCCAGCTATGCAGCCGCCCCGATGCTGGTGGTTTCTCTACGGAGGTAAGTGGTCGAGCTACGCACAATCATCCGGAGGCGCCGTGGGAAAATGTTATAGGTTCTTGGGACTCTATTTCGTACAAAACACCCTGGATTATAGCACACCCTCCCGTCACTCGGCGTAGTATAACATGAGACGGGATCTTTCACCCCCAGCACCGATCTATTCCTTCCATTGTGGCATAGCGGTTGTCTCCGTATTTACTCGTCGTCCTCCTCGGCCTTGTTGACGTACTGGTACTTGATGTCCTTCCATTGGCGCTACACGACCGTCAGCATCACTCATGCGGGATAATGTAGGGATGGGGCACATACACCGCGGTTGAAGGAGTCCCAGATCTTGTTGGAGGCAGTGTCAAAGGCCCTATTCCGAAAAGTGGTTTAGCGATTGTCTCCGAAGCATCCCGATGGTTGACACATACAGCTCGAATGCGAAGGCAGCGCCGAAGATCGAGGTCAGGTAGACGGCATTGCGGCGGAACAAGCCCCTATAAAGCGTGCAAGCATTCCTGGTTAGCAACTTCTTTCTGTAGCCGGGCCCGGTGACCGCTTGAAGATCCGGGGGAAGGGGAGACGTGCTGGTAGATAGCGGAAGCGATCTGGACGGGGAGACCCTGCAGTTAGCCATTGAACAGTCACACATCATAGCCCAGGAAATCACTTACGGCGCCGGCCATTGTGACGGTGGTGGATCGAAAGATAAAAGGGAGGGAGCGGGGAAAGATAGCAAGGCAAAGGGATGGCGAGGTGAGGTTGAAGATTCCAGTCGGGTTCGAGTTCGGTTTGGGCGGCCGCGAAAAGCAACAGCGGGAATCACCGGGCCGCTGATTGGCCAGTCGGAACACCACTGGCGCAGAGCCTCCGACGGCCGCCTTGGGCTTCATCCATCCTCTCGCTCCTCGTCATTTTTCGAGCCGCGATCCGGTTCGACGTCCAGACGGTTCCTATAACTCCCTGGATCTAATTCGGTGCACCGCGGTCAGTGTTACTGGGGAGAGGCAAAGGCTTGCATTACGAAACGACCACACTATCTTTCCCACCACGCTGACTTTTCATCCGACGGCACAACACCCCACTTGAAGAATGGCCTCCAACCAGCCTGGTTCGGTCACCCAGTCCGGGATTGCTACCAACGAAACCACTGGAGAACGCTACATCCCCTCGTCCCTTCGTGCGGACGGCTCCAAGCGTCGTGAGATCCGTGTCCGACCGGGATACCGCCCCCCAGAGGATGTGGAACTGTACAAGAACCGAGCCGCAGAGGCCTGGAAGAACCGCGGCAAGGGCGGGGTACCCGGCGCCGACGGCTTGAAGGAGGAAGAGGACGCATCACCCAATAAAGCAGGCAGTGCAACCAACAATAAGAATGCGAAGCGCCGGGAAGCCAAACGAAAGGCAAAGGCCACACAGGATTCTACGGCCAATGGCAAGGATGTGACTCAAATCGAGAACTGGCGCGCCGCTGCATCCGCAGAGGGCAAAAAGCAGTCCAACGGAACCGACAAGGCCGCGGCGCCAGCCGAAGAGGCGATCGATCCGGAAGCTGAGAAAGAGAAGAAGGCCCGCAATCTCAAGAAGAAACTCAGACAGGCCCGTGATCTACGCGACAAGAAGAACCAGGGAGAGGCACTGCTGCCGGAGCAGCTAGAGAAAGTGATCAAGATTCAAGAACTAGTGCGCCAGCTTGATGCGCTCGGGTTCGATTCAAATGGCGACAAGAAGGAAGCCTCTGAAGGGAAGGAATAGGGAACCTTAATGAAGCCGAGAAGTCAACATACTTCTCTGCTGCCCGATGACCGACTATCTGACGGCGCCCCAACGGCCAGCATGGTCACTTGCATCGACAACCGAAGGTATCACCGCTAGGTCCGTGGTGACTTCTTTGCTGAAGCGTACCATTCCATGACAGATGCGGGGCCCGTGGATCAGACCATTTGAAATCCGCTCGGCAATGTAGCCAAACCATGTCAAGAGATTCGCTGCGCCCTCTAGGTCGCGCAGGTTTCTCACCACGATCGTCCGTAAACGCCCTTTTACGGGCACAGATCATCCGTGTTAGTTGACAGAGCATGGCACACCGAGGGCAGACACGCCCGGCGATCTTGAATCAGATTTGTTTCATATTTAGCTCCATGTAGCAAATGAGTAAAAAGTGCTTGTATCCTGCGAAGGTTTTGTTTATCCGCTTTGTACTCCGAATGCGTGAGCATTCGTGTCTCCTACATGAAAAACATTTGGGTGGAAGGTCCTTAATAATGCTGACGCTCGGCAGGGGGAACCTGGCTATACCGAACCGGAGAGGTAACTATGCCACCTTCCAATGGCCAGTCATAGTAGTCATATTTCGTCCAAGGGCGAGGGCCTCTTCCAGCGTCAAGCTTCTTGGATCCGACCCCATACGACGCAGCCAGGTAGGCCTGTCGGATACAGTCCACCACACCGATCCCGACAGTGCCGTACCATGAGCCAGCCAAGGTCAGCCGCTTATCGAAGTCACGGCGAACGGACCGGGAGAGTTTATCGATGCGAGACAAGTGGCCAACCGTATACTGGGGAATGGCATCGCGCAGCAGTCGGGCGCGCGCCACGGCGGGCGTCGCTGTGATCCCCAGGTGCCGATGGAGCAGCGTCTGAGCCATCTGGATCCCTGTATCAGGGTCGGGGTAATCGGTCTCGGTCCAGCCGTCCCACCAGTAGCCACCCAGCATGACCGTGAGCTTCGTTCCTGGTGCCGTGTCTTGTCCCAGGCTGGTTGCACTCCCGAAGATCACTCCCAAGGCTCTTTCCGGATTCTCCTCGAAGGGAATGGAGTTCGGAATCAGATATCCAAATCCATCGACTGGAACTAGGTCTTCTTCCGTGTAGAACAGATTGACCACCATGATGGTCACGGCGTCCTTGTGTTCTGCCAGATTTTGAATCGTATCTGAAGGTACCGTCTGGTTCGCCTTCGTATTTTTCAGCTGTCGAGCGAGGCTTAAAGGCGCATGAGTGGCGATTACGCGGTTGTGAGTGTTGGCCCTTCCCTTGCCGAAGCCGATCTATACCCATTGTCAACGCCCAATCCTACAACACAGTAGCAGATATCCGGATGTCCACTCACGGTCAAGTCCCGAGTTGCTGAGTCCTGGCCAATTGCCGTGACTTCCGTACCCGATACAATCTCGACTTTGCTGGATTCCTTCAGGTGGGCGGCTAACGTGTCTGTTAGTTGTCCCAAGCCGTCCCGCAATGTGACAACACTGGCAATGGAGGCGACCCTCCTGAACCTTGTGAAGAATGTGTTCGACCTGTCTTGCTCTCCCTCAACTGATTCCACGGCCAGGAAGTCGTCCATGGCCATTAGGCGGACTCCTTTCGACATTTCTTCAATCAAGCCATGGCTTATAGAGCCGTATTCCTTTTCCAGGATCCGCAGTTTACCAAGGACTACCTCTGCGCTGAGGCGATTGACGTCGCCCCCGAAAACGCCAGCGAGGGCCGCCGAGGCAATATTATCCACAATTCCCGACGAAACCCGACGTGACAAGAAATCAGCGACCGACTCATCTTCCATGTAGCCTTGCGCACGTAACGGTGGCTGGAAATACTCGGAAAAGATGCTGTTCAAGACACCTTTAAACAAAGGTTCTCGGAGCATCTGCAACCCAGTACTGAAGAGTCCATCTTTAGCGGGTGATGGCAAGCGCACGAGGTGATCGGGGTAGTAAATGAAACGATTGGTAGCCGCGGGCTCGCTCTTTAGAGTCACTAAGACGTGGTCGGAAAGGCCCAACTGGGTGATCTGCAGCACGCCGCGGGGTGGTTAGCCATGGCTGTTCACATCCAGTCAATTGCACACATTGCGTCGCCTTACTAGGTCAAGCATGGGGAGGGAGGCGGGGGCCGCGGTCCTCAAGGTCCGCGGACCATAATCAAAGACAATCTGTCCGCCACCAGGGACAGAGATCTTTTCGGACGAGACCCAGCCTCCCAGGTGAGAAGACTTTTCATACAGAGTGACTTTGGAGCAGGAAGGGTCCCGCGATAGCAGGTACGCCGCCGTGAGACCTGTGATGCCGGCACCGATGACCGCGGCATCATACGGCTTGGTGTGCAAAGCGTGCCGCTGGCCAACGCGGGCAAAGGCCAATGGCGCGTGTGCCTGTCGGAGCGCACGGCTGGAAGCACCTAGTAGCCGCATCTCAGCGATTCAAGGAAACCCGGAATCAGCAGCCAAGAGGCAAGGACATGGCCAGCAGCAGAAGAGCGCAAGAGCAAGCTCGGGAACGGAATTGTCGCGGCCAAAGCTCCGGTGGCCGACGGCGGTAAGATTACCCCGGTACGTATCAATACATGGATTACGATGGACTCTTCGGAAGTTCGAACGATGTGATGCAAAACACAAGCAGGCTTATGATATCCAGATTCTATTTACATACAACCGTGCAATTCTTTGTCATTCCCATGAAGAATAAAAGATATTAGATCAATTGAACGCCCTCCCAAGCAAGCAAGCAACCGTCATTTGCGGGCGCACACACCAGATAATACAAGATCTCTCCGGCCTCATAAGGGGAATTGTAGAATGCGGAATCGTCAAGAAAAAAAGGAAGGAAGTCTCCACAGGAGACTATGTCACGATCTCGTGGCTCTGAGAACCATCGCCGGCCGCGTCCGGCTTAATCAACTCCTCGGTATCGTCGCCTTCGGACACAAACTTCCGTTCACTCACATGCCCGCCCTCTTGTGAGTTGGCCGTCCACACCTTGTCGGAGAAGGCGCCTTTTTGGCCCTCGGCATGCTTGTACGGACAGTTCGGGTTGAGACAAGGGTTGAACTTGCAGGCAGTCTGGATATGGGTGAACTTGCACCCCTCCGTGGTACAGTCGGCACCGTTCCGACAGAGGGGCATATTGGGGTGTTTGAAGTGGCAATGAGGGTTGGCGCAGTTGGGGAAGAATTTGCAGAGCTCCTCTGCCTGGTGAGCGGTTTTGACAGCAGGAGAAGGATGGCGTCCGGTACACTTCCGGTTCTTGCAAGCCGCTCCATATGTGCAAGGGTCTGAAACATCAACCGGAGCACCTTCGGGGGCAGCGGGCGACTGGTGAGCAAAGGGGCAATCCTTGCGAGTGCACCGGAGGTTGAAACGGCACACACTTTCGGTATTGCTTTCATCCTGATCTCCTTCGGGTTTCGTATCCATATCGACATCTCCGGACTGCTCGTGCTGGTTATGACGCTGTGCGCGGTTACCGTGATGCCGGTGGCCTCGCTGGCGCTCGACGCGATCGAACAAGGAGCGGCCCTGTGGCGAGCCATTCTGCTGGAAGGCTGGGTTGATGGCGGGCGGAACGAATCCGGGCATCAACTGTGCCATCATGCGGGCTTGCTCCTCGAGGAGAGACATGAGGTGCATCTGATCGGACTGGGTCATATTCATCATGTTGCCCATGCCCATTTGCCCCATCTGACGACCACCGGGCATTCTGGGTCCTCCATTCTGGTTGAATCGTCCTTTTCCGTGCTCGCGGCCGTGGGAATTGATCCGCCCAGCGCCAGCCTGGCCACGGACTCGATGTAAAGCCGAGTCCCCACGGTCCATCGTCCTATTTATTTGGTTGAGCATCCGACCCCTTCCACCGCCACGACCACTGCGCATCGCCTTTGGGCCCGTCGGTCTAGAGTTGAGTATGTCAGCTGGGATTGTCATCTAAATTGGTAGGGGAAGATTAAAACTCACATCGAGTCGCCCGGAGTTCCATCACCCATGCTCATATCGGTATCCTGCACACTACCATCGAAGCCAGACATCTGAGGAGCGGTGGCGTCCTGTTCCGCGAATGATGGAATTGCCTGCGCAGAAGGCTCGTTGGGCACCGGGGCACCCCCGCCATTGATTTGGTGATTCAGAACCTCGACCTGTTCGAACAGCCACCGGGAGAAATCGAGGGCTTGTGTGTCGCCCTCACCGAGACCAAGGAGGTCATTGGAGAGTTCGCCGGCGATTTGTTCCTGGGTCTTGCCGTTGACCAGCATCAGAATCACATACTCGGTCAAGGCTGAGTCGTCGCCACCGTCCGAGCTCCAGCCCATTTCAACCAGCTTTGGTGGGATGACATGACCGAGCGCCTCCGCGAGGGGAGTGCCTGCTGCGACCATGGTGGCCATGATGAGGATGCGCGGGCGCTGAGAAGGGCGCTGAGAAGCGGCTTCGAAGTGACGCAAACGGAGGCGAGGAGATGTAGGAGACGGGACTGGGTTCGCAAATGCCGCGCTTTTGAGCCAACAAGGCGCTCTGGGACTAGTCGCGAGACTGAAAAAATTGAGATCTAATAGGAAGACAAGACCAAGTCGTAAACTGCAAAATCCGAGGGAGACGAAGATGGGAGGGGGTGGTGTTTGGGAGAGTTCCGTCCATCGCAGGAACTTTGCTTCGCCGATGATGAAAGACCCGCGCCACGGTTGGGTCACGTGTCGTGGCGCAGTCGCCAACTGGCCAGTCTGGCTACCCAGTATTCATTCCATGCGATGCCATCCGTGACAACGCTGGGTATGTGCTACCAGAAGACGCCAATCACAGATTCTTCTGAGAAGGTCCTATCATCATTCTGCTCCCTTCCTCGAGTCTGGTGCACCCTTACCTCCGTTGGGATGAGATGACATCGGATACGAGCTGTTGCTACACACTGGCTCATCGACTCCCATCAACACGAAGAGATACGTTCATATCAGCCCTCGGCGCTGTCAGATGCTAAAGCATCCTTTGCCAATCCTTCCCCACTCCAACCCCAGAATGCCTCGGGTTCGGCAGACTCTTGAACGGTCCAGTGCTCAGATCGGGCGAATCTTACTCGAACGGGCAATGGAGTTGCGGGGTTGCAGATTGACTGGCTAATAGTCTCTCAGACCCTGGTCGGGGGCGTCCTATTGCATGCTACGTAGTGGCATCAAAATGTGGTACTTCAATGCAGACTGGCCCCCGGCCGTCGTAACCATGCTCGGAGTCATCTCCCTCGGTGAGAAGCCCTAGTATAGGCACCATGCTCGAGATTTTGGTTGCCCAGGTCACCCCCGTCAAGGCATCTGTCTGCCTCGCGGGGATCTTCTTCCTCGCGTGTCTCCTGCGCAAAGTGCAAGTGTCTCGAGAGATCTCTCGACTGGGTGCAAGGGCTCCTCGCATCCGATTCCGACTGCCATACGGTCTGTCTATAACACCGGCTCCCACGGTCCCCATTTTCCCAGATAGACTGACATGGACACTAGCAATCGACCACATCTACCACTCTATCGTGGCAAACAACAACTTCCAGGACGTCCCCTTCTGGCAGGGCTCGATCGTAAACGCCAAAGGCGCATCATCGATTGATCATCCCCAAACCGCCGAACTGGATGCTGGCATCTCCAACCGGACCATCGTCACCACGGACCCCGAAAACATCCGAGCCGTACTCACCGGCCAGTTTGCCGACTTTGGCAAAGGCGAGGACTTTCACCGCGACTGGAAGGAGTTCCTCGGCGATAGTATCTTTGTCACCGACGGCGAACTATGGTCTCGCTCGCGACAACTCATCCGGCCCATGTTCACCCGGGACCGGATCGTGGACACGGAACTCTTTGAGAAGCACATCCAGCATCTCCTTCCCCTGCTCGCAGGGACCAAAGACAAAAAGGCCGTCGATGTGACGCCCTTATTCCTCCGCTACACCCTCGATGCAGCAACCGACTATCTCCTGGGCGAGGGCACCAACAGCCTCCAGAACCCGGCCACTGCCTTCGCCGAAGCCTTTAAATACGTGCAGCATCGCCAGGGCGCCATCTTCCGCTATGGGTATGCTCCCTCCTCTTCCCCTCTCCTCCTCCCTCCACTAACCACCACCAACACCACAGCTCCTTCAACTTCCTCCTCTCCCGGACCCAATTCCGCCACAACCTCCAAATCATGAACGACTTCATCCAACCCTACATCGACCGAGTCCTCTCCCTCCCCACCTCCGACCTCCCCAAAGAGCCCTCCAAATCCAAACCCAGCACCTTCCTGCACGCCCTCGCCCACTTCACCCGGGACCCCCAAATCCTGCGGGACCAACTAACCGCCATCCTCCTCGCCGGCCGGGACACCACGGCCACGACCCTCTCCTTCTGCCTCTACGAACTCGCCCGCCACCCCACCGTCGTCTCCCACCTCCGCACCGAAATCGCCACCCATCTCGGCCTCGGCCCCCACGCCCGCAAACCCACCTACCCCAACCTCAAAGACATGAAATATCTCACCGCCATCCTCCACGAAACCACCCGTCTCTACCCCGTTGTCCCCTTCAACGTCCGCTACGCCTTAGCCCCCACCACCCTCCCCACCGGCGGCGGCCCCACGGGCACATCCCCCATCGGCATCCGTCCCCACACGAGAATCATCTACAGTACCATGCTCATGCAACGCGATCCGGCATTCTATCCGCCCCCAGGGTCCGAGAATTACTTCGATCCTGGGAAGTGGATCCCTGAGCGTTGGCTGAGTGGGTGGAGTCCTGCGCCGTGGCATTTCGTGCCGTTTAATGGGGGGCCGAGGATTTGTTTGGGGCAGCAGTTTGCGTTGGTCGAGATGGGGTATACGCTTGTGAGGATTTTGCAGGTTTATGGGGGGGTGAGGGCGCTGCCGGGGAGGGGGATGGAGGATGTGCACGGGGAAGTGAGGTTGAGGTTTGAGATTACGTTGAATCCGGGGTGTGAGTTGAATTGTGTTTTTGAGAGGGATGCGGATGGGGATGGGGATGGGGATGAGAAGGAGCGGGGTTAGGGTTGAGGTGGGGGGTATGATGAAACCGATGTGTATGGGAGATTGGACATCTATTATGTTACATGTATTTAGTTGCGTCTACGCGCCAAATACGTCCGTATGAACAAACGATCATGAGCTATGTTCGATATTCCTCCTACGCATCCCAACAGCATCACTATCCCCACCCTCAGATACAATCACCCAGCACCCCTCCTCACCCTCTTCAACCGCTGCAAAACCTCCACCCGTCTCAACTCCAACCACAAATCCTCCTCATCCAGACCATCCAGATCCTCAAACCCCCCACCACCACCAGCCAAACTCACCGCCAACCCATCACCATTCTCCCCGCCCCCAACCTCCCCAACCTTCTTCTCCCCACCACCAACCCCATTACTCTTCCCATTTTGAATAACAGAACTCCCCACCCACCCCCGACTCATCCGCACCGCCTTCTCCCACAACGCAAACGACCTAGCACTTTCCTCGCGACTGATCTTCGGCTCGAACACGGATCCTCCCGAGCGGTTGATATCTCGTAACTCGGTGAAGTTGTGCCATATTCCGATGGCGAGACCGGCCGCGATGGCTGCGCCGAGGGCGGTCGTTTCGCGCATTTCGGGGCGGTAGACGGGGATGGAGATTAGGTTGGCTTGGACCTGGGTTATAGACTTAGTATGTGAGAGGAAAGGGATGGTGGGAGGGAGGAGGGAAGGGAATGGGGGAGGATAGGGATACCTGCATGGCGAGATCGGAGTTGCTCATGCCTCCGTCCACGGCTAGTTCCGATAGTGCGTGGCCGCTGTCTTTTTCCATCGCGTCGAGGATGGCTTTGGTTTGGAAACAGGTGGCTTCGAGGATGGCCCGTGCCAGGTGGCCTTTTTTGGTGTATTGGGTTATTCCGACTGCGGTAGGTTTAGAATGAGTATAGGAGATCAGAGGGGGTAAAGGGGTGGCCTCACATATGGTTCCTTTGGCATCGTCGATCCAGTAGGGAGCGAACAGACCGCTGAATGCGGTGACGAAGACGCATCCGCCGTTGTCCTTAACGGTCAGGGCCAGGTCGTTCACTTGCTGGGGCTCTTTGAAGAATTCGAGGTTGTGCTGGAGGAATTTGACGCCCGATCCCCCGACGGCAATGCTGCCTTCTAGGGCGTAGATGGGCTTTCCGTCGAAGTGGTATGCCACAGTGGCGAGGAGTCCATGGTTGGAAAACACCGGTTTCTCGCCCACGTTGTATAGCAGGAAACATCCCGTGCCGTAGGTATTCTTCGCCATGCCGGGGGAGAAGCCCTTTTGGCCGACGAGAGCTGCGGACTGATCTCCGAGACAGCCTGTGATGGGAACGCCCGCCAGAGCACCGTCCGAGAGACATCCATATGCATTTGCGTCAGAGGATGGGACAATTTTGGGCAAATGCACCCCTCTGATGCCGAAGAAATCAAGGAGATAATCATCGTATTGTAGAGTCTCCAAATTCATGAACATGGTGCGGGAGGCGTTGGTAGGGTCTGACACGTGCACATTCGCTTTGCTTCCGCCGTTGAGACAGTACACAAGCCAGGTATCAATGGTTCCAAATGCCAACATTCCCCGTTCGTACACGTCTTTGATAGCGGGATTGTTTTCGAGCATCCAAAGCAGCTTCGAGCAGGAAGAGTAGGTTGATAGTGGAAGCCCGCAGAGCCGCTGCAGCTTTGAGGCACCAGGTTTCTTCTTCAGTTTATCGACGATATCCTGGGACCTGGTGTCGGTCCACACGATGGCGTTCCTCAGTGGCTGTCCAGTCACAGTGTCCCAAACAACGGTGGTTTCTCTCTGGTTGGTAATTCCGACGGCTTTGATGCAAGACCGGTGATAGCCCTGGGCTTCGAACTTCCGGACAGCCCCATCGATACAGGTTTGGACGGATGCTAGGATCTCCAGTGGATCGTGCTCATGCCATCTGCTACTGCGTCAGTTGTGAGCATGACAATAATATATGATGCACCTTTACCCCGGATGAGGAAAGATCTGTTCGAACTCCACCTGGTGAGATGCCAGACAGCTCCCATTCCGGTCGAATATCAAAAACCTGGTACTTGTCGTGCCCTGGTCAATCGATCCAATGAAACTTTGGGGTGCATCCATGGCCGTCTGTCTCCTGCTAATGGAGGCTACAGGCCGGGAGGAAAGTGAGGTGCAAATTCGATGTAGGTTGAAGCGAGAAACGGACTTGAGGGCCAGACTAGCAGCCGAACGGCAACCTGGGTCAGTTTGTCTCTAGCTTTCACTTGCTTGTCTCTGGTGAATCTCTCATGTTGTACGACACATCCTTTTGATGGAGTGGGGGTTTCGGCTGACCAGGCATAGACAACGACACTCCCCCGGCTCAAGAGTGAAGCACACATCGCTGAGCACCAGACCCTCCGTCAGCCGCGAGACCTCATGGCTGACGGCAATCTACCGAATACGAGAGTTGCAATCGCAGCTGACCACAGCCACTGAGTTGCATCAAGAACCGCCACAAGACGCCTTATCTTTTCTTGAATCGGCGTAGTTGACCTGTCACTGCAGCTGAATGTCGACGGATCCTTTCGAGGAGGTTAGATGAAGGTGAATGCGGAATGCGTGGGGAAGAGAGAAGGGGGTGCGATGCCATCCGGGAGGCTTGCCGGTCCGAGCTGGAACCATGGCTTCAGCTCAACCGGATCCACCTCGCCGGCCATTCATCATCTCTACATCCCTCCCAATCATGGCCATGCAGACAACCACGCTGACTGGTAGAGCCGCGATGCCATATCGAGAAGACGGCAGATTGTCCTGGGTACCCTAGCAAGGGAGCAGCACCGTTAGCCCTGCAGTACCAGACAGTCAGGTGCCTACCTGTCCAACCTCAAGTCAACCGCCATCGCTTCTCGATGCTACCATCCAGGCCCAGAGGTAACACGGTGGTGGATGGGTTGGAAGATGCACTCCTATTCGGTGGAGCTATACCTATCGGATGCAAAGCTTGCCTTACACCTCGGAGCAGCCGATGTTTATATCCAGTTCTCTCACACTTGCGAGACTATCCAGCTGAGATTGACCAGCCAAGGCGTGTTCATGTTAGACAGTATTCTTTCTGCTCCTTAGCATACACCCGTTACCCCAGATTTCTCCACTGGCCGAAGCAGTGCTCCTGCTACCATCCCAGACCCGTCCACTCGGGTGAATCGATGCCATTGTTCGTTGATTCCCTGCACCATGAACCGTGTCTCAGATACCAGTCGCCTATTGATCCGATATTCCTAGTCCAAAGAAAAATAGGCCGCAAATCAGTCACTATGAGTGTAACCCCATGTTTATCACCCATCTGGCCGCGTCATGTTGCACCGGCCATGCATCGCATATCATTTTCGGTTCATTCTACCTATCTATACTGACAACCACCTCCACCTTTACCTCCAACCTCACTCCAATCCCTCCACGCTCATCCAACACGATGGCCACTCCTAGCAATCCCACCTCCTCCGCTCCCCCTGAACAGGACACTATAACCCTAACCAGCGACAAAACCCACATCACCACGACTACCACCACCACTTCCTCTCCCTCCACGATCCCTCCCACCACCCTCCAATGGCTCAAATCCCGTCCCTACATCCGTGCCGCGGAATCTACACCTCCACCCCCTCCGGCTCGCACCTCAACCCCGCCATAACCTTCACCGCATGTCTCCTCCGTCGTTTCCCCTGGTCCAACCTCCCCCTCTACACCCTCTCCCAACTCCTCGGCGCCATGACCGGTTCCGCCATCGTCTACCTAAACTACCATTCCGCCATCACCCTCTACGAAGGCTCCCCTTCCCCCCTCTCCCCCTCCAACACCACCACCACAGCCCCCATCTTCGCAACCTACCCCGCCCCCTTCCTCTCCCAAACGGGCCAATTCCTCAGCGAATTCCTCGCCAGCGCCATCCTCATGTTCCTCGTCTTTGCGCTCAAAGATGAAGGGAATCTCGGTGCCGGCGTTTTGGGTAAGAAACTCTTCCCGTTCGCCATGTTCTTCGTTATTTTTGGCATCGGGGCGTGTTTTGGATGGGAAACGGGGTATGCTATGAACCTGACGAGGGATTTTGGACCCCGCTTAGTGAGTTTTTGGTTGGGGTATGGGGGGGGGGGGGGGGGGGGGGGGGGCTGGAGGGTGGTATTTTTGGGTAGGTGGTTTCTCTTTTTGTCTTTGCTCCCTGAGTGTGTGTGTGTGTGTGTTTCTTGTTGTGGTGGCTGTCACTCTGGGTTGGATATGTGTTCAAGGTTGAGAGTGGTTTGTAGTGGTATTAGGGTTGACAGAGACGGATGCTAACTGACTCCAAGGTTCCCATGGTGGCGCCATTTGTTGGATGTACCTTTGGCGGATGGCTGTATGATGTGCTTCTCTATACTGGCGAAGATAGTGTGGTCAATGCTCCCTATATGGGCATGGGTTGGCTGGTCCAACCGCTCCTGCGGAAACGAGGTGTCGCGCAGTCTGGCAGTCCAGCATAGGAGGTCGAGGATATGACTGGCGAGTAGCAGCATAGTACTTTCTCACCCCAATCTACGAATGATAATAAACTTGATGACGCTTGCCAACAGCGCATCCACTTCCAAGTGCTGTCCCGGTAACCAATTTACTGCGCCATGTACTCGATACACCTGACTCGACCACGGCGAATTTACTCTGACAGCTATTAGGCTTATTCTTTGATAATAACGTGCAACAATATTATTAGTGAGACTACCAACGCCAAAGTCATCAAGTCACAGCACGTGGCAGCGAGCACCTCCCGCCTGTTTCGGGACCAACGCCTACCCAATGCTGTACATTAAGAAAGATCTCTATCATAACAAGGAAGAAGCAGGGGCCGTCCATCCATATACACCTCATCGGGAAGGTCATGGCCATTAGTCGTATCGTTTCGCATAAAAGTCGTCGAGGGACGGGCGTCATAAATCATCGGCGTAACAAGGCATTCGAGGTCATTGCATGGTGTCGTTTCAGAACATGATCAATGCGCTACTCAGGAGCACACACAAGATATCCACGCGGAGGGGAATATAGTACATGGTTCCGGCAGCATCCGCAGTGGGGGCTGCATGTTCGGCGGTGGTAGGGAAAGAATGCGTGTCCGGGGTCGGACTCCCAGTAATCGCAGTTGTCGTGGTGGTTGTACCTGCAACACTCGTCGGAGAAGTCCTCGTCGGAGAGGCAGTCAAGCTAGGCGTCCGCGAACTGACTCTAGAGACGGAGGGGGAGAATGAAGCCGGCCGAGATCGCGAGGAGGCTGAGATAGACCGGGAGAAAGACTAGAAATACCGAGACCGATTTAGCGACTGTCTACGGCCATTGTAAATGGTGGTAGGAAATGCTCACTCACAGAAGCCGCCGTAGGCGGCTGGACCTTTCCGGAGTCGGAATAGGTCCATGGCATCGCTGTCGACGATCCTGTAGCAACCCAGGGCCAGACATCCGGGGTTGTGAAGGTATTGGTCTCACGATGAGTGCCACTCCAAGGAATCGGAATACTGGCGACAGTCGAGGTTACAGTAGGGGCCGACTGGATCGAGGTCATGGTATCGGCACCGATGTTACCATTGACTTTGCCTCCGTTGGCAGTAATTGATGTCCAATCGCCACTCTCACCGCTATATGAGTACGATGACCCGGTGGAGTAGTCGGTCACTTTGAGAGACTTCAGATACATCGTGTAGGGACCGGCGCTATAATCAGTCACGCCACCAGCCCAATCTAATAGAGGGATTAGCAAATTCATGATCTGGTCGCGATAGTGATGACTGGCTCACCAATCGTGCCCTGTGGGTTGCTAGGATCACCCCCGGCCCAGATTCCCACCTTGACCACCATCGGAGTCTGAGGATACTGGTTGCTGTCGGCGGTTTCGGGTGTAAGCACACGGACCGTTGTGCCATCGATCTGCCAGACGATTTGATTGCTCGTCCAGTCGACGGTATAAGTGTGGAAGCCGTCGTGATTCCCGGGGTCGTTGTGGGTAGCGCCGCGGTTATAAGTGCTGGTATCGCCCTTTCCAAAGTAGTTGGTTTGTACGAGCTCGTCATTTCCTCCTAACCACTCCCAATCAATCTCATCCAGATCATCCGACTGCAAGACCGCACTGCTGACAATCCCTGTTCCGGAGGCAGCCTTGATCACGTACTCCACATGTCCGAACATGATGTACCAGTTGGACTGAATCAACGGAGCATCTCCTTGTTTAGCAACGGTAAACTCGGCGCCATCACTACCATATGTCGGGCTACCCGTTGCCGTAAAGTCAGAGGAGCTTCCTTCGGTGAAGTCATAGCTGGCCGATTTCCCCAGTGCGGGGTCCGCGGGGCAGGCTTAAGAATGATTAGCAACGCATGTCGCCCGCTGCACCCAGACCATACTTACTCTTCTTCAGTGGGTTGCAATTGGTGTATGTCTGCGCGGCGACTAAGCTGGCGCTAGAAAGAAGACCGAGAGTCGATCCCACGAGCGGTAGTCTCATGGTGGACTGAGGTATTTCAGTAAACCACGTTGCAATGTGGACTGCAGTTACAGCACGGGCTGAGAGGAAGGGGCAGATGTCGATCAACAATAGTATATATTGCCTAACTTATGGGCGTAGCAGATGTAATAGATACTATGAAATGCGATTGCTGTGAGGCACGGTTTGGTGAACAGCTGCAAGTCCTCGGCCGGACATACGAGCAGGAAGGTGCAGCTCGTGGTGGAGAGGAGTCACACTCGAGGCAGCCATGATCGGAGCACTGTCGTATTTAAGGCACGGGTGAAATTAGTCGCGGAGGAAAGCACCACCAGGCTCAGCGTGGAGTAGTAGAGGTCGGACTGATGGTTTTGGTCCAGCCTCCTCGCTTTCTCCGTCGCTCCATCTCGGGCCCGTTTATCGCCATTATGCCCGATCGGGCAGGCACCGGGTCGCTCCCGGCCTCGCTGATTGGCTCTGGAACTTTCACGGTGACTGTACCTTACGTACGGGATGCGACCTCAGGAAATGATTTGGCCTGATGATGTACTAGTTGCACCAGGGAAAAGTCTTATCCTTTGACCTGGTGGCAGTGCTGTTGATCATCGAGGTGCGGAGTACAGAATAGATATAGTCAGGGTCTTTCATTTCGGGCGGTTTCCTTACCTGCCCAAGTAGGTAACAAGCTACCTAGTCATACTTACCCGTCCAGCATCCAACTCCGGTATTTTACACATGTGGCATGCCCGTACCCATGAAAGGGAACATTTGCAACTTCGTCTTCCCACCTGTGTCATATGAATCCATCAACTGTGCGATTGCAGCTGTGACACGATTCCAGGCTCTTCCAAGTTCCAACAATAGATCAACCGCCACTGGAGTCGGGGCGATGGGATCACCGCCTGTCCGCTCCACCCCCAGCCTCCTCTTTTTCATCAGGCACCTATCCAAGTCCCTGATAATTCAAGACCACCGCACGACAACATCTCATTCGCAGTCTCTCCCGTCTAGCCCGTACTTACTACTGCTCTAGCCTTTGCTCGTGCGTCTTTCACTTTTAGCAATTCCTATTTTTGCTTACATGCGACCCCTCACGGGACACCGCTTCAGAAGTCACATGTACGTGGGTAAAATCCTGTTTACCTATGATTGCCTGTCATACCAGAACTCTGTACAACTACCCCTGTCGACCCGGGCTTTATCCACGGATGAGAGTAGAACTACGGAGTACCACAGTTCATTTGCCTTCCATTGCATCATCCCGTTTAGCCGTTGAGATCAGACCGGCTTCTGTGGCTTGAACTCCCGTGGGCTACGGCAGCACATTGATTTATGAACCAGAAAAAGCACATCTGAAACAGAGAACCCATGTTTAGGCCCAGGCATTGGCAGGCTTCATCTGCACCCGATTTGACACTGTTGCAAGCTACAAGGAACCACACAAACTTACCCTTCCTCCTCCCGCACCTGTGGCTACCTATGGCATCATGATGCAATCAACCCATCTAGGCATAATACATATCGTGGTGATAAGCAAACCAGAAAAGTAAGACAAAAGAGGTAGGAGCCATGACAGATGCACTTCTTGGGACAATATGTGTTTGGAGTTTCCAGGTGCAAGGAAGCCAGGAAATTGTGGCTTCGCGCGAGTGTCACTTTTTCAACTATTATAGGTCAAACTACGGATTCCCGGCCTCCAGCACCTTCACCGACGGCGTGCACACTGCAAAGTAGCATTCCAGAATTATCAACCCGACTAGCTCTTTTGTGATCTGGTAGAATCGCGCCTCTACTGCGTCCCGATGTGATGACGAGGGTAGTAGCTGCAGGCTATAATTAGTATGCCAGGTCAGAGTCATTCAGCTACGGGCCCTTTTGCAATGAAGCAGGTACTGTATGCAGGCAGGCTAAAATCTAAGCTTAAATGGACCCCCACATTAAGGATTCATTGTCTTGAGGGCAGGGTCGAAGGCGTTTTAGAAACCTCGCGAAAGAGCGAATGCGCAATATCTAGTCACTTTCAGGACACAAGATGGCCAAAGTCCCGATCGATGCTGGTATGCCTTTTCCAGCATACGGTCGACAATGATGCCCTCAGGCAGCTTTTTATTACTTACATAGTAAGGAGCAGTAAGCCAAGTATTTCGCTAAGTTTATGGCTGCCATTTCGGAGATTTGTCGGGGGTTATCAGGCCATGACACCGGTCGGTCTGCACAGCAGATGAATAAGACCAACCCACATGTAGATGGTAAGAGCAATGGGCTTTAATGATAATTAACTGGCTTCAGATTGTAGATGCTATATGCGGTACGATTTAGCTATATCATGCTCTACAGAAAATCAAAACAGACTGGGGTTTGTTCGCAGCTGTTTGGTTGTCTTTGTCCTCATCTACCACCACAATATATCTCCGTTGTCATAGAGCACAGCTTGGGAACATAAAATTCAACAACTGTGTATAAGAGAATCCAACATATCAGGGGCTTCATACCATAAAAGTCTATCCTGCATAGAAATTACAATTCTTTAGAGGCTACAGCAAGTCTGTTGGGACTATCTACTAGCATGGTTTCTTTGTGCCGGCTCTGCCTTTGTATAGGCCACTGATTATCAGCTCGGCAAAACTTACTCAAATAGGACCTGTCACTTCGGCTCGAAAAGAAAAAGGAAATATAGGACCTAATCATAGGATTCACCCAAGGTTCAAGGTTTGTTTTCTTCTTTTCTTTTTTTTTTTCACTTCTCTTTCCCAATTTTCTTGGGGCTAACAACCCCACCCCCAATGAGGAAAAAGCGAAATGGACTTGTTTGAAACAGGATGGCCGTGTTTCAAGCGCATTTCGCACAACCGTTGCGGTCACTTTGAAACGCAGAGTATTACTACTTACCGAGCATGACGGGGCAGACCTGTAGAATGAATCAGGACCCTTAGAAGACGAAGAGCGCAAAAGCAAAAGCATGGTGTGGGGTTGTACCGGTGGGGGTCAACCACTTGCTGCTTACTCGGATCTTTATCCCTGAAAAGTAGGGGCTACGACATGTCTCCAACATGGTTGTGTCTAGATCGCTCGCACTAGTCATTAGGGTCCAGAGATTATAGCATGCTGCCCAGGGGAAGCCTGAACTGCCTATCGTAGGTATCTACCAGGGTGCAATGATATGGCGATCAGCACAACGCCACAGCCACTCGTTGAGGACAGGCATCCTTGGCCAGGAGTGGGACAACCACGGATCTTATTGGATTATCTGACTCGGAAGTGTTGACCAGAGATACTCCGTCGGTTGGTCAAACACCTGCCCGGACACCTGAAACCCAGGTATCACCTGCTCCTAACCGAAGCCTCAGCCCCCTAGCCATTGCCGCTTTTACCGTCAAAAATAGGGAGGATGAAAGATCGTCGGCAGACGGCTCTCGGATTGCCAGGCATCCCGGCATCGAGAGGCTAGTCGTGATTATGTGCTGTAGTGTATGTATCCTGTGGAAGCACGGACATCCTCACGGACCATGCATTCCCCGGAAACGACCCTTCAAAGCGACGGGAATGGTTAGCCAGTGGATTTTGAGCAGGCGTGGGAGTATATCTTAATAATAAGTTTTCTGTCCACGCCGGAGACGTAGACTCAGTCTGGATCGGGACATTGCCCCAATCGGTACGAGCCTTTCAGGAGCAAGGGAACCAGGCCCATCGGATCTTGACATCATGAGGGAGCTTACAGTAGCTTCCGAGCAGCGGTCCACCACCACCCAAAAGCCAAAGGGCCAAAGGGAGCGCGCTGCTGCTCGGTCTGGTTTAGCGGGCGCTCGTGGTCAGAGCCTCAACGCCTTTCACAACTCTGCGCAGGTGAACTCCTCCCGCCGACCGTCACCACCACCTCCACCACCACCCATCCATTCGTTCTCCCTCCACTCAACCTTCGCCAGACCTACCCATGCGGGAGCTTCTCTGATCTTCTATTCCTTCACCCCCTCTTTACCCCTTCTTTTTTCCCTCTTCGTTATTCCGCCCTCTCTTTCCTTCCACCTCACCCCCCTTCCCCCCCCACCTGTCGTCATTCCCGGAGCCCGTCGCAGGCCTGAGTGTCTTCGTCCCAGAAATGTGCGATGGCGTTTCCTGACCGCTGCCGCTCACTCTCCAGAACATGAAGCACGTCTTGACACCGTCGCGCTCGACGCTAAACCCCGTGCCACGGCCCTCTCTTGCTCGTACTGTGATAACTCCCCTCGACAAGCGTCTCCTTTCCGTGGTGCATCTTCGCTGAGGCGTTCTGGTCGCTTTTAGAGTTTATATAATCTTTCTTTATACCGACAACGCAGTATCTATATCCCCACGCTATTCGATTGCCGGTCGGATCCATCAACCGTTCATCGCACACCATTCTTACAATCTTATAATCCTTTGCCCTCCGTCGCCTCAAGATTCCGACCCAACTCATTAATGCTACCCTTTTCTCCCCCTATTCCCTTCCTCGGTATCCGCTTTTGGTGACCTTGCCACATCCTCAATCACACCCCCAACCGGATATTAGTCGGCAGCATGTCTTATCGGAATAGTGATCAGTCGGGGGGTCGACGCAGCTCGGAAAGCTCAGGGGCGCACAGCTGGTTGTCGCAAGAGACTGTCAGAGAAGGTCGAAGCCAGCACCAGCAGCACAGTCATGAACCTTCGAACGGACGCAGTGTTTCTCCTTTATCAGGTTTTAGGGACACGGACAGGTAGGAGTGATCTCCCCGCCCATTCTGCCTTTCCTTATCATTGGTCGGAGTTTCCGGACGCACGTTGGTCTATTCCGGTGATCTAAGTGAATATTGTCTACCCTTGTTACGGACGATATCTGTTCTCCCTTGGAAAGCTCTTCCCGATCAGGTCCATTGTGTTTTTGATGGATTACTTGGATTCCCCTCTTCACTGTCTCCGGTGAATATGGAATTCGTATTGCTGGGCTTGCTGCTGTCCAGTGACTCCAGGCACAAACCATCTGAAGGCGTTCCAAGATAGGCAGAACAACATGGGCTCATGGTCACGTTGGTGTTATCCTTCATTGTGCTGACTTGTTTTAGGCCCGATCCGCAGAGCTGCACGTCACCGACATTCAAAGATCCGAATGACCTATATTCTTCCCTCCTTTCTTGGGGGTCGTCCGATTTCGCCCCTAAAGATCAACGCAAACCTCCTCAATTTGGTAGTCATAGAAAGGCGCTGGCTGTGCTGGGAACGGACGATCCTGGCCCTCCACCGACGAACAATTCTAGTGCCCGGCCGTCACCATCGAATCTTAACCACTCCGATAGTCACCAGCAGGACCCAGAGCCCTCACTGTCCTCCTCCCCTATGATACCACCTACCGATGCCCCCTCTACTTTCTTCCACGACTATTCCGAGCAGGAACCATCGCCTGCGCACCACTTTTTTCGTCCTGGAACTGCCCAAACATATGCAAGTGAACCTCTAGAGCTAGACTATAATGGTGATCATCGGAGGCCTTCGGTAGCCAGCGCAATGACTGTTAGTAGCCAAGGGTCTAAGTCAAGCGCTGGTGCGCTTTTTCGGAAGAAACTGCAGGGATTTTTTGGCGACGAATATGTGGGAAATGGCGAGTCAAAGCACGATTCGGACAACTTCACGCAAAGCTCGGCCACGAAACCTTCGTCCCTCGACCACTTTAGGGCGCGCGAGAGAGCAAACTCCGATGGCTCACGAAATTCAGGAGCTTCACAGGCTCAAAACCAGGCAAGAACCCAAACCCCTCTACCTTCTAGCGACATCACCCCATGGCTGTATCAGAGCTATCACGTAAGTTGCAGATGCTTTTCTCGGTCTCCTGTGACACCAATCCATTCTTGGCCTGCCAGTTGTCACATATCTGTACCTACATCTGTAATCTAAAAGCCGGAGACTAATTCTTATTTACCTGCTAGGACATACCGCAGTATGGTGAAGCTCCTGTCCGCGAAGCGCCCACAGCAGCGACTGATAGTCAACGTGGGTCGATATCCCAGCGGGATCACGGTCGACGACATTTCAGCGGCCATCGGCATTCGCGAAGCAAGGAAGAGAAGCCGACAGTTGCTGGTGACCTAGCAGGTTATTCTAGTCGTCCAGCCACGGGACGCGACGATCTTTCCCTCGAACTCCGCCCATCCAGAGAAGGTAGCTTGAACTACCCAACGCCGATGACTTCGTCCACCACTCTTGTTGGTCGGTCCACAAGCCCAACTCCTAGTGTTCAAAGTGCCTACTCTAGGGAACAGGGCCAAAATTCACCTGGGACGCAAACGAGTAAACGTTCTTTCCTCGACAAGATACGCCGTCCGAAACACGGCCACTTGAAAAACATTACAGGGGCAAAGGCGGTGCAGGAGACAACCAAAGCTGCCAGCTCAAAGCTGTCTCGGCGTGATGCCTCACCCGCCCGACGTGGACGACAAGGGAGCATTGAAAGCGGAACATCCTCGCGATTGACTGAACCCGGAGACACTGAGCGGAGAAAGGACAGCAAAGGCCTAGCCATTAGTTCTGCGAAATTGAGGGGTCGTCGCGGTCATGGCAACGAGATCCCTTCTGACGTGGATATCCGAAAGCCCGGCGTACCAAATATGTGGGCGCTTGATACCGATCTCACTCATATGGAAGGCATAGTAAATCCGCCATCGCCGAGTGCACAAAACAAGATGCTCGATGGGGCTTCAATACGATCCGAGGAGATGAGACGGCCTGATCCTATGCCCGCCGGCAATTGGGACGCCCCGGAGAGCTGGCATGTAAAGAAGAGCGAGCCTTCTAATGTACTCCCCCAAGACACCTCGGAGCCTGGCCCAACCATTTCGGAGCCTGGTGGCTCAAATTGGTACATACGGATCTTTCGTCAGGATGCCACGTTCGCCACACTATCGAGTGGGCTATACTCCACTGTTACCGAGCTGGTTCAATTGCTCAGTCGAAAGTCGTTTTTCGTGGATCCTGCGGCTAATTACGAATTGATCATGCAAAAGAATGGCCTCTCGAGACAGGTCGATCAAACGGAGATGCCCATTCTCATGCAAAAGCGGATGCTCGAACAACTGGGCTATACTGAGAAAGATCGTATTGAAGAAGTTGGCCGGGAAGATCACAGTTACATCTTGCGGTACACGTACCTACCGATTTTGATCAGTGGCTCTGTCATCGAAGGTCATGATCCTCCTCTCGGCAAAACTCAACAGAAATTCAGCCATGTGGACCTTACGAATCGAAGCCTTCTTACGATTCCAATCGGTCTATACAAAAAAGCCCCCGAGATCATCTCGCTCAATCTATCAAGGAACCTTGCTTTGGATGTGCCCAAGGATTTCATCCAGGGATGCATCAACCTGCGAGAAATCAAGTTCATGGGCAATGAGGCTCTCCGGTTGCCTGCGAGCTTCGGATTGGCGGGCCGTTTGACATACTTGGACGTGTCGAACAACTGCCTGGAGGATCTGACGCATGCCAACCTCGATAGATTGCATAGCCTTGTCAGCATTAAACTGGCCAACAACAGGCTCACAAGTTTGCCTGACTACTTCGGCAACTTTCGTGGTCTGAGAAGCCTGAACATCTCGTCTAACAGCTTCCACGCATTTCCAGAACTCCTATCTCGCTTGAAGAGTTTAGTCGACCTAGACATCAGTTTCAACCATATCCCCGAACTTCTGCACATCGGAAAGCTGACAACTCTCGAGCGACTTTGGATGACGAACAATATCGTCAGGGGTCCCCTAGGTGACACGTTTAGGGACCTGGCCAACTTGAGGGAGATTGATGCCAGGTTTAACGAAATCACCAATATAGACATTCTGTGTCTTCTCCCCCGGCTGGAGCTAATAGACGTTGGTCACAATGCAATTTCCAAATTCAAGGGCTCATTTCCAAAGCTTAGAGCTTTAGGTCTGGACCATTGCCCGATGACTCAGTTCGATATTGACGCACCTGTGCCCACACTGAGATCTCTCAATATCGCCTCTGCAAAGCTGGTTCAATTCCGCGACAGCTTGTTTGAGAATGTGCCTAACCTGCAAAGGCTTATTCTTGACAAGAATCACTTTGTGTCGATGTCACCTCACATTGGTAGACTTCGCAAGCTTGAGCACTTTAGCATGATCAAGAACCCTCTTGCCGCTCTTCCTGCAACGATCGGCTGTTTGACAGACCTCAAATATCTCAACTTGAGAGAATGTAATCTGAGAAAGCTACCGCCAGAGCTTTGGCATTGCGTGAAGCTGGAGACACTGAATGTTTCGTCGAATGTCCTTGATGTTTTCCCGAAGCATGGGTGCCCGCAGCCGCAGGTTCCCAGCGAAGTGACCAGCACTCCTGCAGCAACACCTGGCATATCGACGACACCCAGTTACGAGGAGCTGGGCGCTCTAGATGAACAAGAGGCACGCCGTCCAAGCCAAGCCTCGGGCGGAGTTCTTAGCACTGGGAACTCTCCAAACGGTGGCACGTACCGAAAGCCTTCCGTTGCATCTTCTTTAGGTCAAGGCAGGAAGGTGTCCGCTGCATCCCGGTCGCTGACGGATGGGAGTCCGTCTTCTCGTAAGGATTCGAACTTCTCACAGCATCTGACGACGACATTTGCCGGCTCGCTCAGGAATCTCTACCTGGCTGACAATCGACTGGAAGACGACATATTTCGGGAGTTGTCGCTGCTCCCAGAGCTACGCATCGTGAATCTCTCGTACAATGAGTTGACTGAGCTTCCCCAGGGACTGCTCAGGCGCTGGCCTCTGCTGACCGAATTGTACATTTCGGGTAACGAACTGATCTCTCTACCTTCCGATGATCTCGAAGAAGGTAGCAACCTCAAAGTCCTCCACATCAACGCCAATCGCTTTCAGGTACTCCCTGCGGAGCTTTGTAAAGTTGCGAAACTCGCATACTTGGATGCTGGGAGCAATTCGCTCAAGTACAATGTTTCCAACTGGCCCTATGATTGGAATTGGAATTGGAACCGGAACCTCCGGTATCTTAACTTCTCGGGCAACAAACGACTGGAAATCAAGCCTCCTGGCTCATCCCTGTCGAATCAGCCGCAGTCGTCGAAGCAACAGGCATCATATCTGACAGATTTCACTTCTCTCACACACTTGCGGGTTTTGGGGTTGATGGATGTCACCCTCACGATTACGACGATTCCTGAAGAAAATGAAGATCGCCGCGTCAGGACGTCTGCTTCACTGGCTGGCGCACTCGCATATGGTATGGCCGATTTCCTCGGTAAAAGCGACCATCTTTCCATCTTTGATATGATTGTGCCTCGATTAAAGCCGGACAAGGTGGAAACAGTTGTGGGAATGTTTGACGGACAATCCCAAACTGGTGGAGGTTCTAGAATCGCCAAATTCCTACACGAGAACTTCATACACACGTTTTCTTCCGAGCTGAAGCGAATGCGGCCCGAGCAGCATGAGACCCCACTGGATGCGCTGCGGCGGGCGTTCTTGAATCTGAACAAGAACATGGCCTTTGCGTGTTACAAGTCTCTAGAACAGGATGTGCGGCAATACCAGGAGGATTCCACCGATCAGAGAAGAGTGCGGTTAACCAAGGATGACATTGATCGGGGCGGTGCTGCTACCGTCATGTACATCAATAACATGGATCTTTATGTCGCAAATGTCGGCGATGCTCAGGCGATCCTCGTCAAATCCGACGGTTCCATGAGACACCTGACTCAGAATCATGATCCTGCTGAGGCACATGAAAGGGAAAGAATTCGCGCTGCTGGAGGTTTTGTCTCTCGGACGGGTAAATTGAACGACGTCCTCACCGTGTCAAGGTCGTTTGGATATTTCCAAATGATGCCGGCGGTTATTGCAGCTCCTCACACCATGCACGTCAATCTTACGGAGCAGGATGAGATGGTCATCCTCGCCTCTAGAGAGTTATGGGACTATGTGACGCCGGATCTGGTTGTCGACGTGACCAGGGCCGAACGAAGAGATCTCATGATTGCAGCACAGAAGATAAGAGACCTGGCTCTATCGTTTGGTGCGACTGACAAGCTAATGGTGATGGTCCTTGGTGTGGGCGATTTGAGGAGGCGGGAGAAGATTAGGACGCGGCCAAGTCTTTCCATGGTCGGTCCCCCAGAGGAGCAGATTATTCCCAGCGTTAAGCGCACGAAGAAACCGCGTGACGCACCGGGTGACTCGAGGCTCGCTCGATTTGATTACGTGGATGCTCCTGTTGGTGAACTGGCCATCATCTTCACCGATATCAAGAAATCAACGAGTCTTTGGGAGACCTGTCCGGATGCAATGCGCTCGGCCATCCAGATCCATAATGATATCCTTCGTCGACAGCTGGGTATTATAGGGGGCTACGAGGTCAAGACCGAAGGAGATGCTTTCATGGTCGCATTCTCCACGACGACTGCTGCTTTGCTATGGTGCTTCAACTGTCAAACACAACTTCTTGAGGCTGAATGGCCGACGGAGATCCTGGAGCAGCCGCAGTGCCAGACTGTGTATGATAGTGAAAATAACGTCATTTTCAGGGGTCTCTCTGTTCGAATGGGTTCGCACTGGGGCGAACCTGTCTGTGAGAAGGATCCTGTCACCAACCGGATGGACTATTTCGGGCCAATGGTCAACCGAGCGTCGCGAGTCTCTGCAGTTGCGGACGGTGGCCAAATTTTCGTTTCGTCGGATTTCATGAGTGATATTCAGCGCAACCTGGAGATATTTGCGGATAGTGAACGGGCTGCATCGACCGGTTCGGAAGAAAGCTACGCGTTCGATACCCTTGGGAACAACATCCGTCGTGAGCTGCAACAACTCAACAGCCAGGGATTCGTGATCAAGGACCAGGGCGAGCGCAAGTTGAAGGGGCTTGAGAACCCGGAGCCGCTTTACCTCATCTACCCGCATGCCCTGTCAGGACGTTTGACAACCGTGGATAAAGATACGAGTAACGAGCTTGCCCCGACCACTATCAGCAAACATTCTCAGCTGGAGATCCAGACGGATCTCATTTGGCGCCTATGGGAGATCACCCTCCGTCTGGAGAGGCTCTGCGCCGCATTGGAATATCCGGGCGAAGCCCGGCTCAAAGAACCAAATGTGGCTCTTTTCAATGTGGTCAAGAACCATGGTGGTGAGCTTGCCGACTCGACTGTGGTCAGCCTAGTCGAACAGCAGGTGACCCGTATCGAGGTGAGTAACAGTAATCCGTGTCCCTAACATACGTCCAGTGACCCTGACGTTTCGCAGGTGTGCATCACCAGTCTTTCCATTCGGAACATGATGCGGCCCTTCCGGCCAGGCGATCGGCTCAATGACCACGCTGTACCGATTGCAGACGTGATGCAACAATTACAGACCCAGCTTGCAGAATATCGAGCTCTGAAGGAGCAGATCGATGCCAGTGCTGGCACGGCAACTAGCTATACGGGTACCGACCCGCAGTATAGCAATGGTGAGAGCAACTCTGACTCTGCATCGTCGTCCTATCTACAGATAGGGCCCCCGTCTGACGAGTTTAACCCTGGCGGACCTCGTCCCTGACCTCCACCCTTGGATATATCTCCGATGGAGACATTTTGCTAACTCGCATTGTACTTATTGCCATCCCCTCCTATTCTCTTGTTTTCTCTTTTATTTTCACTGCAGAGGGGCGTATCTTTGGTTGGCGGGAAGTGATCAATTCGCAGCATAGTTTGGAGCCATGGAAGGGTGGGGTTCGTCTTTCTTGCCCTTTTCTCTCCGCCATGGTGGCACCTTTCTTCCCCAATTTCTTGGTTACTGTGCATCTAATGAAAATGCAAAAGCGACTTATGATTGTCTGGGTTTCCTGATAAGGATAGTCTAAGCTCGTAGCCATGTGTACTTGGAGCACGCTGGAGTGTCACTGCTCTAACTATCTCAAGTATTGACATGATCTACTCCGTTTTATGTACAAGAATCTCCGTAGCAGGATGCTTCCAGCCTTCCAGCCACGATGCCCCGGCGCCCCCCGGTGGAGACCCTCAGGCGCGTCGGCTCCCGGTCACGTGACACCGCCGTTTGTTATGGTTTCCATGATTGGGCCGGGGGCCTAGTTCGCCCATCTCCAAGTCGTCACTCTTCATCCTTGCCTCCCTTTTCATCAGTCCCCAGCGAACGCGTGCTGATTCTATCGATTCTCCACGCCAATTTGGTTTCTCTAGATCACCTCCGCTGCCCGCCGCTGTCAGCGATCTGGCCAGTTGGCTTTTCTTGCCACGGCCCCGCTTGGTTGCCCTGGAGACCATCGATTAACGGCTGCTTCCGTCATTGACGAGCTGGGGGCTGCACAATCAAGGTTCTCACCACCAGAGCGGAGACCCAGAAGATCTTTCCTTCCCAACCTTACCGAATTTTGACCCCCATCCACCTTCCCCTGCTCCCCTATCGATTTCCCCGTGGTGTTGATAAGTACGACAATTGCTGACACCATGGCGGACGGTCTGGAGTATCTTGCTCCTGATTTTGACCTAAATTCCCTCACCGTGCCGCGTCTGCGATCCATCCTCGTCAGCCATGATGTTCCGTACCCAGCTTCCGCCAAAAAGGCACAGCTTATCGGCATCCTGGAGGCGGAAGTGCTGCCGCAGGCGAGAAAGTTGCTGAGAGAGCGCGAAAGAGTAAGGAGGACTAGTGAGGGTATCACTGATATGGGCAGTCGCGCGACGTCTGTGGTCAGCGACTACGATGAACGCGACGTTCCAACTAGGGACTCGATGCCACCTCCACCTACGCCTTCGACGGTATCGACAGCTACTGGAAGAAGAGGACGCTCCAGGGCCAGCGTTCGGGCATCGACAGCTGACACCGAGGAAAGAAATGCTACGGCTACTCCTTCAATGAGCTCGAGGAAGTCCGTCCCCAGATCGCAGTCGAGACGCTACCGCACATCGGACACGGAATCGCATGACAACCTGCTGGCCACGCCTGTGGCCACTGACACCATGACCCCTCGGAAGTCTACTACCAGAAAAGTTCGACGGAGCGACATGACACCATCGGTAGACCCGCAGCCGCCCCTTTCTGCCATCAAGTTGGAGCCCAAGGAAGAGAGTGTGTTCACAGACGATAACCCATTCCAAAGTGGCTCACCCGCCCGCTTGGATTACAAGAGCCCCAGGCCCTCCAGTCATAGATCGGAGAGGAAAAGTAGTTCGCGGTTTTCCCTGGACTCTCCCGCCTTCAGCAACAATCTGCGGTCGAGAAAATCGGCGACGCCGATGGATATACATGATCCATACGGTACCACTCCATCCAAGCGGTCGTCACTCGAATTTCCAATCTCGAATCTTCAGACCCCACAGAGGAGCTTTGCACCGGTCAAATATGAGGACGAAGAAAGTGAGTTCAGTGGAGGGGAAGAATTCACACCAGAGGAGCAGTTGGCGCTTGAGAGGGAGCATGCAGACTTGAATTATAGTGCTCCAACCAGACGGCCACAGAAACAAGGAGCTGCGAGCCGAGCTGCGCCTTGGGTCATTCTCCTTGTGTTGTTCGCTAGTTTCGGAGCTTGGTGGCGCAAAGAAAAGATTGAGATCGGGTTTTGTGGCATCGGCAAACCGACTTGGTCTCTGGCAGAAACCAGGGTCCCCGAATGGGCTAATGTCCTCGAACCCCAATGCGAACCCTGCCCTCCGCATGCCTTCTGCTACCCCAACTTTGAAGCCCGCTGTGAGCACGACTTCCTCCTCAAGGCCCACCCGCTATCCCTTGGAGGGTTGGTTCCGCTGCCCCCGACATGTGAACCCGACAGCGAAAAAGCACGCCGGGTGAAGGCCGTTGCTGACAAGGCTCTGGAAGCGCTGCGGGACCGAAGGGCCAAATGGGAGTGCGGAGAGCTCGCACAGGATAGCCAGGACAAGACTGGAGCAGAGATTAGCGAGTTCGATTTGAAGCAAGAAGTCGGAAGACAACGTCGCAAAGGAATGAGTGACACTGAGTTCGACGACCTTTGGAAGGGAGCACTGGGCGAAGTGGTTGGACGGGACGAGGTCGTGACCAAGGTGAAGCAGTAAGTCTTGTCAATTCCCTTTTCTACTTTGGAGGCTCTACCGCACCGGCCTGGACCTCATGGCGGCACCGAAGGGATTAGATTCTGACGTGTATTCACGGAACTAACAGAGGCGACCCCATGATTACAGACCATCTTCTGTCCTCACCCTCACTTCGACCTCCGTCAGCCGACTCCCCCTCACATGCGCCTTCCGCCGCAACATCCGACTCTCTCTCGTCGCGTATCGACTCCCTCTTTCAGTTCTAATCGCCTGTGTCGGTGCCTTGCTTTACGCACGCTCCAGGGTTCGAGCTCGTCGCTCTGACATGGCTCGAGTCCCCGAATTGGTCGCCACAACGCTTGACCGCCTAGCGACGCAGGCTGCCCTTCATGCTCGTGGAGCTGCTCGCGAGTCATACATTCCCATTGGTCAATTGCGCGACGATGTCCTCCGGTCCGAACTGCGCGGCAGTCGGCGCGAGGAACTGTGGAAGCGCGTCCGCAGCGTGGTGGAAGGCAATGCCAACGTTCGGGCTTCGGTTCGTGAGGGCCGTGGCGGGGACGTTGCCCGTGTCTGGGAGTGGATCGGAGGGATAGGCAGTGTCCGAAACGAGATGGAGAGCGGCGCCACGACCGGCCGCGAAGGCGGCAAGGTTCATTTCTCGCCTCTGCCCTCCGAGCAAGGCCGTGACCAAACTGTTGGCGACGGCATGCTGGCCCAGAGCCCGGGAAAATCACGCAAATGGGATGAGGGCCGGCCCATCTACTAAGGCTCTCGCTACCCACTGGGATCCTGTTTGCTTCATGTGTTCAACCTCTTCTTGGAGTGATATTTTTGCCCTCTACATTATTCTACCACTTCGTGTGTACAATTTTTTTTTTAGGATTCCCATGCAGTTCGGCTTCAGGATTTTGAAATACGAAGGCCCTTCGGTGTGTTGCGTCCTCCCAAAGCCATCCAACGGCACATCGTTCGTACGGTAATACCAGGTGGACCCGCAGTCTCAGCGCCTTCTTGCGGTTTGAGATGCACGGGAGCTCGTCGGCCGAGTGGTACTGGAATATATCTCCGAGGTGAGTGGTGCACGGCAGCCGTGCAGGTTACGCGCACGATTTCCGGTGATCATCCGGGAATGTTGTAGTTATTACTTCTTACTGCATGTAGTGTGTAGTTACTGTCGATAGCTGGCCGATGGGATATCGCCAGAAAAGTCTGGGTCATGACATCAGGGTGGCGTGATGAACCGATGATTCGCTCGATCACACGACCCCATGCTTCGGAGCGGGTCCCAGCCTATGAAGCGTTTAGTACTCCTGGCTGCCGGGCTTGGAGGGAGGAATCCATGGGTGAGACATCTACTAGTCCTCCGTAGTATGTGAGGTCAACGACATTGGCGGATGGCTTTCCATGCAACAACGTCTGTCGCACCCGATATTCGGCCGCACAGAACGGACACCTTGGTGACTTGATGAGATTATGACCTGGGTCCCTCGATTGTGGCTTTCGCTTGGAGCCGATCGCTGATCATCCACCGTTGGGTTACGACGGACCCAGCAGAGTGCTTAGTATGGGCGGTCGAGGTAGTTGTCAGGTACTATGAACGGTCTCCACGGATTCTCGTCGCGTCGGTTACCTGGAAGGGGTTTAGAGCGCAACCTAATTGACGAGCAGTCGCTGCTCGATAAACGCTACTCCATAGTAATGTAGATTGGTTCGGAGATAGACGGCATGTTCCTCTTGCTGGTGAACCTGGGTTAGCACTGTAGCCTAGCATCGTGTCAATCTGAGTCGACCATGCCACTTGCCAAGCACCTTGTCTTGCCAGCCTCCAAGAATCCCGGAGAGCCCGAGAGGAAAGTCAAGGCTGGGTTTGCCAAAGCGCCTCGAGATGGGGGAAGGATGGCCCAAGAATCTAGACTTGGGCAAGTTCCGACCGGGACTAGTTAGTGGCGGTGGGCCGTCCGGCACGTGAGCGTCGCCTTGCAATGACAGCCGAACCTCGTCGACGAGATTCCAGCCTGTCCAGCTCGCCAGATGCTCGTCGTGCATGGCCGAGACTCCATCCCCCTGCAGCGAGCAGGCCAGACACTTCACGACCCCCTCAATGTCTAGCGAAACTTTACGGCGCGTGTTTCTGGGTTCCAAGCTGGTGGACACGGGCCCTACCCCAAGTATGAACTGAGTTGGACGCAACCAGGCACTGGGCCATCACCGTGGATGGATTGCAACTCACATCTAAGCTTCGCAGAACCAGTAATCGGGGGACACCCGCAGATGGTCTGTGTTGCTCAACCTTTCTCTTTGCATGCGTGTGGGTGGTCACGCTGTGGCTAAGAACCTCTGGTAGCAGATTGTTGACGAAGACTTCGACCCAGCGGACTAAAAGCTCTGGACCCTCTGCTCGTTCCGCTGAGGGCCTATCATATGGGTCGGATAAAACATCCGGTAGGAGGCAGCCATCGAATTCGCGCAATTCGCGCAGAGCATCCGTCGTGACTTTAGTCACCCACTGGTCCTCCGTTAATTTGGCCCGAGGCCTGCCTGCACCATTCCAGTAATTCTTTCCAGCACAAGAAGGGTTGCCGGCGCGAGGAAGGGACACAACCGGACAGGTGCAAGAAAGCCATCTCATCCAGCCCACTGCCTGCAGCAGAAACAAGGATAGGAGAAGCCAACCACACGAATAGAACCGAAACCCGGGGGTTCCAAGAAGGGAGAGAGCCGGTAGATCCGCTCGAAGGGGAAAGAAACTATGTTATTCAGGGAAAGGACGGACGGGGCCCCTAGGCACCTTAGTTGCGCATCGTCCGGTTGGTGACGAAGGAATGCCCAAACCAATCCTCCTGTCTGACCGCTGCTGGGCGGTTCCCCTCGGGCACCTGGGTTTTCTCGAGACGGAAAGACTGGGTTTGGGTCATCCCTGATGGCGAGAGCGATGGCCATGGGGATTGCCCTTGCCATGCAGCTCTCTCTCTCCCTCTCTCTCTCTCTCTCTCTCGCTCGTTCCAACGGATGACTTCGGTGTTTTCCGGCAATGTGAGCCCTGAGCACCCCATGCGCCCCATATCTTGCCAGACATTGGCCCTCTCTCGGCTCTCCTTTGGCCTCTTGAATTGGGAAGGTTCTCAGCTGCCACACACGCCCGACGATTTGCTGTGCCTGGAACGACTGGAGGAGGCCCACATCCACCCTTTGGGGACGGCCCGTGGGCCTGCGTGCGTAGGCCCCCGATGTGTCACAACTCACCGATTCTTATTATTTTCCCTCTCTCCCTGTATTGGGCCGTAATTTTGAGTTTTTATTTTTGGAATTTATTTTTTTTCCCCTCCTCGAGGGAGCAGTCAGCAGAGGGTGCTAATTTCGCTCATCCTCGACCGCCCGCGGTACTGGTGCGACGACGCTGCAGGACCTGGGGGCTACTAGTAGTAGCCCGGTCGAACATGGATGGGTCAGTCTCATGAGATGCGCCTTCAGGCGAGGCGTGTGCTCCTAGAACTTTCTACCCGCGATCTTATCTGGCACCTCGCTGGTCCCCCTCCCACGGGCCTCTTGTTTTCCTACCCGTTGCTGCTGCTGCTGCTTCTTCCCCCCCCCCCCCCCCCCCTCTTCCCCCCCAAACACAGCCAGCTTGCTTCTAAAAGTCATGGCCCAGCAAGGGTCTGCGAAACCTTTCCGCCCCATTGCCCCTCGGAGGATCCCAGAGCCTCCAGTCCCGGCCGCTGCGCCCGAGGAGGGGAAAATCAAGCGAGCTTCCACGGCTTGCGGGGAATGTAAACGACGTCGAACGAAGGTAACACCCCGGCCCAGCACACCTTCCTCCTCAGTTTCCTCTGAGGAGATCTGTCCTTCGTCATGCCTGGCGATGGCCCCCTCTCGACCATCTTCTTCTTTCTGTTCTGACCTGGGTGGCCGCATCACAGTGTAGCGCTGATACTACGGGGACTCCGTGTGCTGAATGTGCTCTCCACGGCCGGGAGTGTGTGATCGATGAATTTGCCGACAAGCGACGCAAGGTGGCCGCCAAGCGGACTCTGGAGGATCTGAGATTCTACCGGGGGTTTCTGGAATTGCTTCTCGAGGCGATTCGCATCGGTGATGACGCCTTTGTCGAGCGCCTTGTCAATGTCATCCGGGCGGGCGCGTCCTATGATGAGATCCAGGCTCTTCTGGCGAAGTTTGCGCCCAGTGATGAGATGAATATGCCAGATGGAGTGGATTTCGGGGTAACAGACAGCAATAACAACAGTCCGCCGACCAGCTCGAAGCCCGATGGTATGACCCGATGACCAGACGAACGAACCGACCACCACCGACCAAGTATATCAGCTTGGTGACCCGCTTACCTTTGCCGACTACGACTCCTACGCTAGCACACACCGATAGCCCCGATTTTACGACCGGATACTGAGAGGCAACTCCATCTGCCATTTGGAGGGAAAAGCGAAGAAAGAAGAAACGGACCGGGATATGTGGAAGGGTAATTTGCGTCCCTTAGTCACTGTTAATCAGAAGAAGAAGTGAGAACATACATTTGCCAGGCCTACCAACCACAGATATCTTATCTTCTGCATTCTCTTTCGCCCCCTTCTTTCTTCTATGTTGGCCGCAACGGGGTGGTTCTCTATGCCCCTCCATTCGATGCCCCTTTATGCCATTCGAGACTGTGACAATCAACCATGGAAGAACTAGGTGCTCTCTATCCATCCCCGCTGGGGCCGAGGATCTTTAGCGATGCAGACCACTCTGCGAACTATAAAGTCTCCCTGGATGGAGGCTACACGGGGGAAAGAGGTGGAGTCCCGCCTGCCAACGGGCTAGCCCATTGGAGCCGGTGGGAAATGGCACTTGAGTGAGGACGTGCACCGCAGCTGCAGCCGGCCATTCTTCACCCGGCCGTCATATGCCGATCCATGGGCTTGAATGGCACGTTGGTCTCGCTTAGGGGGCGAGGTTGGGTCGCCGACAGCAAATCTTGCATATGCAGATCCGCTCGTGATTGGGCCTGGCAATCGTGCTCACTAATCCGGCACTTTTCACGATGTGCAGGCCACCTGGCCTATCAATTCGAACAGCGCCCTCCTGTTTCTGTCACATCTTGATTTGTTGACCAAAACATTTGGTTCATGCAGATTGGGCCGCGATCTTGTCGACTACGAACACGTCAGATTGTGCTGGGGAAGGTTACTGGCGTTGAGCCTCCTGGATGGCCGTTGGGGCTCCACTTGGGGAGATCCGTCCATGCACAGCGTGGTTGGGTTTGCGGGGGAAATCAAAGCTCTTGGAAGGTGGTGAGCCGACAGCGAGCGAGTCTGCTGCCTGATGTCATATCCAGCTGCACCGTTGCCTTATGCATGGCGATGGCAAAGGCACAGAACCGTGATGCACTCGCCGTGTGGGGTTCTTCAGCTAACTTTCGAACTGGTTTTATTATCCAAGCGTTCTCACTGGTTGATATTTCCCTCATGCATCCAGGGACTCATCCTTTGCATTGGCCGGTGATGGCCATGACTAAATTGATTCTTCTTTTTTTTTTTTTTTTGTGCAACATCAAACTGTTGGGCCTCAACAGTGGCTGTAGTAGCCACATGCGTCACGAAGGTTAATCTGCATTGCTTGTCCCTCACTGTAGAAAGCCTGGGAGACCGTCGTGCATTGCTGCAGACTAGATGTTACATCAATCGCCACCCCTGTGTCAAGTCCATCGCCTCATCTATGCCGTCGATGGATGATTGCTCCATTCAGTGCTGCACCCCACCACCAATCACATCCCGTATCCATCCACAATGGAAACTTTGCTATCACTGCCAATCGTACCCTGACAATACCAATTTGAGGCCCGTCTAGGCCATGGTTGTCTCGATCTGTAGATTCCCCTATCAACCTTTAACCTATTTACCCACCTACCAAATCAGTAAACTCAGTGCTAGAAACATGATGTCATCAACCGACCCTGAACATCCCTCAAGCCTCCAGGAATGGGTTCTTCTCCGTGAGTACCTACTTGCACACCTTCATTAGGCTAAGTAGGTAAAGTCGGATACTATGCATTATATGTGGGAGTAAAGTAATCCACTGCATGTCGAATCAGATCTGATCAGTTCTGCTCTTTCTCCCTCTTGCTGTTGTTCGAGTCGACAATGCCATAATGTACTACACCCCCAAATCTGGATGGAGTACATCCCAGATAGCACCTGAAACATACCTACATACCTTCGATGGATCATGAGATCATAGATATACACCTACCTGCCTACCTTGGTAAGAGCTGAGGCTGATGCCCTCTGATCGGATCGGATCTGGGGGGTGTGAGCCCATGGTTCGGAACAGTTCCGGGGTCATTCCGGTCCGGTCCGGTCCGGGTGTATATATATATATATATATATATATATGCACTAGCAGGGGTGGATGGATAGGTAGATAGATAGTGATTTATACAGAGTACGGAGTGGATAGATGAAAAGAGGATGTCGGGTGATAGATGGCTTAGTACGTACTTTGTGGTCATTGTTGTTGGTATTACTGCTAGTACTACTACTATTACTACTAGGATAGCAAGGTGAAATTCCAGTAAGACGTGATATGTTATTCTATGTTGATAGTGATAGAGGTGGAGGTTGGATTATAGCGACCTAGAATTGAACTTGATGTCTGCCTATTATGATGATTCGTTCGAAGAAGTGTTGAATTCGACTTCTATTATATACCCGTTCAAGGATGATAAGGGATAACTAATTCGGTGGACTATATGTCTTGGGCAGTGAGAACGATACTCCGTTACAGTCAGTCCCAGCCTGCTCCCTACTGTATTGCGTCCAACTCATCCTCATTACATTTATCTCCATGTCTTGTCGAAAAGGAGGTAGTTATTAGACCAACAAGGTGGTTTCTTTACTCTGCGTAGATAGAAAACCCCACCGATTGGTCAGGTACTTCTCACTGATTATTGAAAGCGGACCACATCTGAACGGATTTAAATCCGGGAGTGAACCAAATTTGAACGCATTTGAATCCGTGAGCCCCGTAGAAGGGTCACGATAATATTAGGTTATTTTATTGTATTATAGTCACTTACTTGTCGAGGTGGTCTGATCCACAGTGCCCCCCCCCCATTTACCATCAAGGACTTAGTTCGAGGCATTGGGCAGCTATCCGGGGTCTTGATAACTGACACGGTGGGAGAAGGGAGAGCCTATTTCGGTGATATTCAACCTTGTAGGAATATATCTGCAGAGGGGAAGGGGTATAAATTGGTGTGGTGGTACGACTTAAGTCGTTGAGTAGGTAAGTAGTCCAGATAGAGCGTGGAATTTCCTGCAATTGCAGACAATCAGCAGGTAGAAGATTTTCGGAAAACGAAAAAAGACACCAAATTGAGAGAGAATTAAGAATTAGGAACACCGAAAAAAAAAAGGAGCCCGAGATGAACCATATCGGGAAAATTTCGTCAGCGGCAGGATTTGAACCTGCGCACGCGAACGTATCAGATTTCGAGTCTGACGCCTTAACCACTCGGCCACACTGACTTGATGAAAATTATAGACAGCTGAAGGCATACTTGAAGATTTGTGTAACAAACAGGGCCAATAAAGACATTCGGAAAAGTTATGCGAGATGGTTAGTGACAAGATTTTGGTGTTCATGATCATGAAAGGGGTTCGAGAAAATTATGGAAGACTGTCGATGACAGGAGTTATGCACCCGCACATATCGGATTGTGAGTCTGGCATTAATCATCTAACCACACTAAATCTCGGACAGCAGTAACAATTATAATTGTAACCCAGGTAGCCTGCACCCGATGTCAGTATAGACTAGCAGAGGCAATTGGAAAACTGTGGAAGTTTCAGAGTCTGGAGAGTCTCTAACCCAAGGTTTGCTAAACATCAAAGCCCCGTCTATGGACTCTGAGGCATAAGGTAGGTGAATAACCGCATGGAGATAACCTGACTCGTACAATTGCAGTGGAAATGTCCTGTTTTAGGTAGAGGAGAGGGTCTGATATAGGTGCTATTCAGCATGCTTGGTCCGATGTAATGGCACATTACACAAATCGATTCGGGTCGGCGTGGAACAATTTGATTGCTGCAGGAACCATGTGTTCAAAGTCGGTGGCCTCGGCCTTTACCATGGCGTCCTCAACCCTATCCCGACTCGCAATCAACTGCTGTGCAACGCTACCCCAGTCCGCGGTTTGCTTAGGTACTTTGACCTCTGAGAAGGACGGGTTAATCTCCACAGGAACCAGCTTGCCATCTCTCTTGCGGATTTGTCCATCGACGATAACGGTGTCAATGTCGCGGACCGAAGAGTGAAGAACAATCGCTGCCACCGGGTACTGCTCACTCGCACAGATCATCCCAGGACTCCTTCCATCGAAGATGACAAGATCGGCAAGCTTGCCCACCTCGATGGACCCCAATTTGTCTTCCATTCGTAGGGCACGTGCACCTTGGATGGTTCCTAGGCGGAAGACATCCTGCACGGAAAGGCTCAGCGAGCGGGGAGTCTTTCCAGTGGCGAGCACTTCCTCATTACGACGAGCCCGTTCGCTCTGCAATGCAAGACGCATGTGCGTGGCCATGTCACTGGAGCTGCTGCTATGACAATCGATTCCGAGAGAGCTGATGTCGCTGCATCCCTCCTGGAAGCACACCGGATATCCATGAGCCATCTGCAGTTCACTACCTGGGGTGGAGGAGATCCAAGATTTTGCCTTGGAGAGCTTTTCAGCATCGGTGGTGGTAAGATGAGTCGCGTGGGAGAAAAGGATATCCGGGCCAAGAAGCCCATAGTTGTCGAGCAGGTCGACGAGAGAATTATCACCTGTCCTTGTCAGTGTGATTCACCCTTAGTGAGGTATAACCCACTGAAGTGGCCCCGAACGTAGTGCGTAGTGATGACCTTCACTCCTGCTTTGCGGGCTCGGTCGTACAGTGATACCACGGTATCTTGGGGAAGCATGAGCCCATCGAAGCCCAGACCAATCTGCACCCTGCCATCACCATAAGGAGCTGCAGCGGCTAGGTCATTCAGCTGCTCCAATACCCAGTCGTCAAGAAGGTTTCCATCCGTTTCGAATTCCGGCTTCCATGCCTTGAGCTTGGCCGTGGGTGTATAACAGAAGACGGACCGAATTCCCGATGAGACGGTGGCCTCAAGGCCGTTTATCGCTACTTTGGTGAGCCGTAGTAGAACGAGGCTGAGCGTATATCACTTACAATGAGCGGCGGAAACATTCATATGCGCATGATCCACTACCGTCGTGGTGCCCGCGTCCAAGGCCTCCAGACATCCTGCGAGTTCACCCCAGAAGATATCCTCAGGGGTAAAATTCACTTGTTGCATGTTCCCTACGCAGATAAGCAATGTGCATGCTATCATGAGAGGATGACTGACCAGTGGGCATATACTCCAACAAAGTATGGTCAGCATGGCGTCCCTTGAGCTGTGTCTGCCACAGGTGATGATGCGTATCGATAAAACCAGGCGACACGATCTTGCCCGTGCAATCGATAACCTGGGTCTCTGCTGACGGGGGTGCAATCTGGGACGCGATCTGGGCGATCTTGTTTCCCTCGATCAGCAGAGAATGCTTGTGAAGCGGCACGACATCCTCGCCGGACGGGACAAGTATGGTCGCGTTCTGGAGCAGGATGGTAGGCATTGTGGATGAGTGCTTGATACTTTCAAGCCGAGGACTGAGAAGTGGACTTTATATGCAAGGCGCGGCATCCATCGGGCCAAAGCTCATATCCCGGGTCTGGATTGGTGGCCTGACTAAACCGCACGTCATTCCCATCATGCCCACTAATTTCTGACGCGGGGATAATATCGGACACCGACATGCCGAAGACCGACGTGAGGGCCGGTGATGGGTTACCAATTGTCTCAGCCAGATATAGGGTGTAACGAATCACAATGCTTGTGTCGACAGACCGCTAGATAAAGCCCTTGCTTAGTAGCTATGCTAGCTCAGGGGTGGTAGGTTTAGCGAGATGCCTTCGAAGCATATCAAAACCCCCACTCTCCTAGAAAGACTTGGGCCGATCCTTTCTGACTTCTAGAGCTCAGGTGTCGATGGATGCGGGTCTCTTAGATCAAATCGATGATCCGGCTATCCTTATCTTCGGTCCTCGGTGTTATCGGACTGCTGCCAGTCATGGCCGAAGAACCCATCTGTCAGCAATCCTCTTGCAGTCTAAGCAAATCCTTCAATAAAGGTCTAGAACTCACCCTCATGACTCGTACATCTCTCGCGGACATGTGTATCCAACGCAGAGAGGAAGAGAACTAAAGCATTCCAGTGCCAGTCTCAAGTCTGTGCTGCATCTCATTGACAGTATTTTCCTAGGTCTGCAAGCTATTGCCAAAAGCACCCGTGTCACTGCTCATGATGAGGATTATCGTCGCCTCTGGAGACAAGTCAAGTGATGGCTGTCAACTGGATCGAGTCGAGTCTGTTCTCATCTTATATGTTGATGATGATTTATCCGCTTGCAGGATGATCTATCAGTCAGCATACTCTGAAAAGGGTTCGTGACAAAGAATGTCACTTGCTAATAACGTGACCACTTGATAGCATCCCGGGGAGCATAGGAGCATAGCTCACCTCGATAACAAGATCTGTAAAAGAAGATGGAAAAGTCTACCTGTGACCTTTCTGTTGACTACACGAAGTCAATGAAGTGATGGAGAGTAACTGTGAGAATGCAAACAGTGGCCGGACGAATGGGTCCGGTGCCCCGCCTGACATGGTTATGCCATAGCATGTGAGTAAACAATCATCCATTTATCCACCCAGCATGTGAAGATCAATATTCACCGTAATATCAGGTCCTCACGAGCATATCTGCTCCAAGTAACTTTTTCAGGCATCCTTACATCTTTATGTAGACATCTCATCGGACACAAGGATGTCTGAGGCCAACCCTGCAATATCCCAGACATATAACACCGCCTACTATAGAACCATCCGCACCCACGATATTCAGTACATTCATTCGACTCTAAACCCACCACTCAAATCCAACCCTCTATTCTAAACCCACCAACCACTCTAAAACGCAAACAAAACAAACCAGCCACCCAAAGTCTAATCTATCACCCCCACCATCCCAACCCAACCCAACCCTCTGACCCCTCTACTGTGCACACTTTACACTTCCACTTCTACCTCCCCTCACTGAGTAGTACCATCCCTCTCCCTCACCATCTCCCCAATATGCCCATTCAACCAATACCCCGCCAACACCTCGGGCCCCAAATTCTTCGCCCCATCAATCCACCCCTTACACTTCTCCCCGCTCCCACACGTACACTCAAACGGCTGATCCATCTCCCACTCCGTGGAGGGGTAGAAAAACGTCAACGGGTCCCCGGCCTTCAAGTCCCGGTCATCCACGACCCGGACTTCCATCTTCTCCATGTCGAAGTTGATGGTCGGGTCGCAGGAGTGGTTGCAGTACACCAGGTCCGAGTTTAGTTCGATGTGGCTGTCGGGGCCGGTTTGTACGGATGTGTAGGCTTTTTTGGAGGGCGTGGCGCCGGTGATCTTGGTTAGGAGGGAGCCGGCGGGCAGAGAGACGAGGCTGTAGGCGCCGCTGGCGAAGGGGAGGGGGCTGCGGTGGATGCGGATTAGACCTGGGTGGGTGGGGGTGGGTTCTGTTGTTGTTTTTGTCGTTGCAGTGGTGGTGGTGGTTGTTGTTGTCATTGTGGTGGACATGGAGGTAGATAGGTAGTACTAGTACTACTAGTTGTAAGGTGGTAGTAAGGTGGTAGTAAGGTGGTAGTAAGGTGGTAGTAAGGTGGTAGTAAGGTGGTAGTAAGGTGGTAGTAAGGTGGTAGTAAGGTGGTGGTAAGGTGGTAGTAAGGTGGTAATAAGGTGGTAGTAGTGAGGTGTAGTGGTAAGGTAGTTTCCTTGAGAAAGAGACGAGGGCAGTGAGGAGGGGCAGAGCGTCGAGGGACAAACAGCAGACGATGGCCTGCTCTATTTAAGTACCTGACATATACACCGCGGCATGTTGCATCGCCGAGGTGTCTACGGACGAGTGGGACGCAAGACCAGTGACGACGGACGAGTGACCAGCAGATCCCGATGGCGCATCATTGGTAGAGGGGCAGGCAGCTGTTTATGGTTATCTGGTGGAGCTGCCGAGGTACATCACGTAATGGTTGGCAGCCTGCATTAGATCCTCACTATGGCTGCACTCTGCAGATGGCGCTCATGATGGCTCTACCTTCTTCCATTCTATTCGAAACAAACACTTCAATTAAACTCAATTCAACCGCACCGTCAATTCCTGCCCATTCAACCACCGCTCCAAATTCTGCGCCACCTCCTCATACCACCCATGGATCTGCTCATCACCATACCCCATATGCGGCGTCAACAAAACCTCACTCCGCCCATCCTTCCCCCACGCCGTCGTCCTCCACACACTCTCCACCGGCAACGGCTCCGGCTCAAACACATCCAACGCCGCCCCAGCGATCCCGCCCGCATTCAGCGTCTCCAACAACGCCGTCTCATCCACCAACGGTCCGCGTGACGTGTTCACCAACAGCGCCGTCTTCTTCATCGCCTTCAACTCTTCCCGCCCCACTATCCCCCGACTCCGCTCCGACAACACATTATGCAAACTAATCACATCGGCCCGCCGAAAGAACTCCAACTTGTCCGACACCGCCGTGAAACTACCCCCGGGTAATCCCATCGCCGTCGCCTGTTCGTCCGCCTTCTCCTGCGTCAGGTTCGTCGACCACGCGATCACCGTCATCCCGAATGCCTGCACCGCGATCCGTCCCACCTGCGCTCCTAACTTGCCCACCCCGAGCAACCCGAGCGTTTTGCCCGCCAACGTGAGACCAAGTGACCCCTGCCATTCGCCCCGTTTGATGGCCGCGTCGTCCCGCGCGATATGTCGCGCCACGCCGAGGATCAAGGCCCAGGTGTGTTGCACGGTGGAGTTGATACCGGGGGGGCGACGCTGCGTGCCGGCGACAGGGATGCCTCGTTCCGCGCAGTAGGCGGTGTCCAGGGCGAGGTTGCGCGTGCCGGTGGTGAGGAGGAGTTTGAGATTGGGGAGGGCGGAGAGGGTTTCCTTAGAGAAGGGGGTGCGTTCGCGCTGAGCGACGATGATGTCGAAGGGGTGCAGACGCTGGATGAGCTGTTTCTGTTGGGCGGGATCGCGCGGGTTCAGCGTGTCGGGGAAGTAGCTGATGTCGACGCGGGAGGTTAGGTGGGCGAAGTGCCGGGGGGAGATGTTTTGGTAGTCATCGAGGATGGCGAGCTTGGGAGGCATGTTGGCGATGTAGATGTAGAGGTTGATTGCGTAGTCTGCTGGATGGATGGGTGTTGGTGAGGAGGAAAAGTCGGCTCATATAACCCGGGATGAGGGTATATCCGGAACCCCGCGATGGGTTTTGATGCTCCGTTGGATCCCCGCACCGGTTATCGGAGGGGCTTCGGGGGATCATGATCCGTTGATAAGGGGGAAATGGCTGTTCCGTATGGAGTTTATTTCTACCTACTACGGAGTACCTAGATCATAATCATCAAGAAGCAAGCACGTAGCTCCGTTTAACCCTGATCAACCCCGGATAATACCCCAGATCCATCACACGAAGACAATATCCCCATCCCGTCACATCAAACCCTTTCACATTAAATCTACAACACAGCAACCACCTTCCCCTCCCTCTCCCTCTCCCTCTCCCTCTGCAACGCCCCCTTAATCTGCGCCCTCGACGCCGCCAACCTCCTCCCAATACTAGGCGAATACATCATACCATGCTCAGGCTCATCCCCCCAGAGGGCACGATACTCCTCCTCAAAGAAATAAAACGCCCCTTCGGTCTCAAACCCCGCCAGAATCAACGCATCCGGATCCCCCCGACAACAAGCACACCCAACAGGCTCATTATTCTCATCCGGCTTGGGAATGACGACGGTTCCGTCTTTCCGGCCAGCGAGGAGTTGGTCTTCGCTGGAGACGTAGATCGATTCGAAGATCGGGTCGAGGTCCGCGTGTAGTAGCCGGGTGGTGAGAGGGGCGTGTTCTTCTGTACAGGCCCACGCGGTGGTTAGGTAGAGCGTGCCGAGTGGGTCGAGGTGCGCGTAGCCGGTGTAGGACGGGTGGGTGATTAGGCGGGTGCCGGTGGGGGAGATGGTGGGGGTGAGGTTCGGGGTTAGGGCGTGGAGGGCTTCGATGCGCGCGTGTAGGGGGAGGGTGGCTAGGTGGGTGATGTGGTCGCTTAGGGTTGGGGTGTTGGTGTCCATTTTGGTGGATGGGATGGTGGTGATGATGATGAGGAGGAGGCAGTAGAGGATGCAGAGCAGACAGAGAGGCAGAGAGGCTGTAGAGGCAGATGGAAATGGGAGGAGGCTGCTGATGCACCGCCTTGTGAGTCACGGTACGCGGCTATGCACGTACACAAGGCTGCAGAGTAAATAACTGAGCTGTATTATTGACCTGTTGTAACAAAATCTATATACAAAGCAGTAGCTTTATGGTTTTGGCCATAATCGTATCTTTACCCGTTTCGTCGGTGGACTGGACTCCCGTGGAGGATCCGATTCTCTCTGGTTCGAGGCCGATGTACCTTGCCCTGTGCTGTTCTCGCTGTCCTCGCTGTCCCCTATGCTGTCACTGGAGCTAGTTTCCTGGTCATCGCTATTGGAGTTATTCTTGTAACCCCCACCATTGCCACCGCTATCATTGCTGTCGTCGCTCGTGTCATCGGAGTTTCTCTCTAGATTCACGAAGAGCCGTCTCCGTACGGATCGGGCGTGTTCCCTTAGATTCCTAAACGCCGCAATCCCACTCTTAAACTCATCCAACTTTCCAAACTGAAATGCTTTTATCTGTGTCATCTGGTAGTCTGTTTCGCGATTCGGAGCCTGCGACTCGATCGGATGAATGGCATAAATGGTCATGTGGTTTGTCATTAGCACCGCAACATAGGTGTATGCCATCTTGTCATACGATTTGGCTCTTCCATAACACTGTATCTCATGCATCGCTCGTGCCCCTAGAGCACCGCAATGCAAGGCCGCACGGCTCCCCGCAGAGCCATCTTTGTCTTCGAGCCGGTTGTAGAAAAAGAAATTGGGCGCAACCATCATGTTCTCGTCCTCCTTATTGCCGTCATCCTCACTGATGACGAATGGAATGATGAGATCCTCAAGGTCATCCATCATTTGGGGTTGCCGACCTTGGGGAATCGCGCCATCGACAACATCAGGCTTGGCCATGATCATATGCGGTACCAGGGGCGCAAAGTTGGTGAGCTGTCTGCGTTGGGCCGTCTTTGTACCCGGAAACCCAAGCTCGCGATTTCCAAACAAAATGTGGTAGATACCTTCTAGAAACTCATGATTCGTTCGATACCTTCGGCATAGGTCAATGAAGAATGTCCGAGTGTCATCGGCGATTGCGTCCATATCGAGCCGATCTTTCCTCATTACATCCCGCAGCGACCGATGATTCACAGGCCAGTTGTGCACTGCAAGCCTTTGATCGACTCCATGATGGTTTAAGTAGCCCTGTACATTCAGGTCATAGAATGAGGCAGGCTTGGGTTTGGGCGGATCATAATTTTTCCAATTAATGACACGGGGATACTATATAAGATTAGCTTTAGAAATTACCGTCCGAGAAGAAGACATACATCGATGAGGTGAGTCAGGTCAGGTCCGCCTCGTCTTGCAAATTCCTCAACGTTCCTGCAAAGCGCTTTCGCCGCTGGGGGAGTTTTGCGAATCCCTCTCAAAGGCCCGCTTAGCATTGATTCTCGATGGCGAAATTCCACAAGTGCCCGGTGCGTCAGGCGTATATTTGGGTGGGAGTCCCAGTATGCCTTGCTGAATACCAAGTGAAAATCTCGAGGCCTGCTGGTTTTGGTTCGCGCTCCTCCCCTCAGATGGACATTTGGCTGTGAGTTAGGTTGTCGATTCGGCTGTGGATTTGGCATGGAAGGGTTAGGTTGCTTCCGTCTGAGCCCGATTCGCTTGGTCCTGGCTCGTCGCCGTGGATGCTCGTCGTTTTGCGAATTGTCTGTCATGGTAGTTGATTGATACCTGGTGGTAGCAGGGAAGTTGAAGTTGACGATCAGACTCGGTTGTTGACTAGATATAAGTGGGCATCTCTCGGCTGTTCCATTGATGCGTCTTATTGTTGCTGGTGTTAGTCTTTGTTCAGCCCTGCAGTTCACATAATGGTGGGTTTGTCTATGGTATTTAGCCATTGTCTGTTTCGGGCTGTGAAGATGCTCAAACAGTCCTTGTCTTTTATTGTGCCGAATGTCCCGTGTGAAGAACTTGCTTTGTCTGAACAAAACTGTTCTATAACTGGAATCGGGGAGATCTGAAAGAGAAATGATCGAAGAATAGTGATGAACGAGATTGTCATGGCGAGAGCAGACAATGACAGAACGTGAGGCATCCTTTTGTTTTGTGCTTGAGCACAGTTGCGGACTGCTCGTATGTAGACAATACCACTCCCTATAATATCAAACATTTAGCATCATGTCCTTTATGCTTCAACAAACCCCTATCCTTTATGCAAACCATCATAATCATCTGTTTTAAACGGCTATATCCTTTCCTTCCAGGCCTCCATCCCCCCTCTCTCATTCACAACGACACAAACAGCTCGTTCACTCAAGATGCAACAGCTTGTAGGTGAATTCCCCTGATGCCTTCCACTCACTAACCAGCCAGAATATCATCATAGCCAATCGATTCCAGCTAGTCACATATCTCGCCGACGGTGGTCAAGGCGAGGTCTGGGAAGGTAAGCCCCCCACCAGCCCTTCAGACAAAGTAGTACCCAGCTGACCCCATCAGCACTCGACCTCAAGACCAATCAGCATGTTGCTCTCAAGCTTGTACCCGAGGACAATACCACCGACCTTACCACAGAGTACGACTTCTACGACAAGCTCCAACAGCGAAGAAGCACCGGCATGCTCCAAGTCCTCTTCTTCACCGAACAATTAGACGAGTATGCCATCCTGGCCTTGCCTCTTCTCGGACCCAATCTCCTCGACCTATTTCACTACTGTGGCGACCAGTTCAGCTTGAAAACGGTCCTACTGATCGCCGATCAAGTCCTGCAACGACTCAGGTTCTTACATTCCCAGGATATTATCCATCGAGATATCAAACCGGCCAATCTTATGATGGGGAGAGGAATTGACGGAAATACGATCTATCTTGTGGATTATGGCCTCGCCCGGGATAAGGTTCAGGCGCCTGATGATCCGTTGCACTATGGGCTTGACTTGGAGGCGAATGTTGTCGGTACGACTGATTATGCGTCTAAGGCGGCGCATAGGATGCAGTGTGAGTGATCCTCTACGGTGTGGGGGCTAAAGCTGATGAGTGTAGGCCAGACGTACCGTGACGATATGGAGAGCTTTGGGTACATGATGGTTGAGTTTCTTACGGGTAGCTTGCCGTGGAATGAGCTCAGAGCTTCTTCCAACAGATCGAGGGCAGAGAAGGTGGGGGAGGCAAAGGAAACGATAGCCCTGGATGATCTGTGTCAGGATGTTCCAAACGTGTTCAAGGAGTACTTTAAACACGTGCGCAATCTGCGGTATAACGAGCGGCCAGACTACGCTAGGCTCCGGAAGCTTTTTCGCTCGGAATTCCAACGACGGGGATACAAGTACAATCATGTGTACGACTGGACTGAGGAGCTGTTTCGGGAGGTTAACCTTAAAGCTGCTGGCGCTGCTAATTCTGCATGATAAATTCTATCTGATTGATTGGGATGTCTAGCTACTTACCCACCTACCGAGCCAAGTAGATAATTAGATGATTGGTCTTCTCCAAGGACACTTTTTCTCTTGTTCTCAGAATGATAGAGGCCAGATACGCAGGCCCAGAAACTTAGATCTACGTTGGAATAATCTGAACCATAAAGCGAACTCAGTCCGCTCAGACACGCTACACCTACTCCAAAACTGCCTTTCCCTCTTTCCACAACAAGCTTGATCTGCTTGTACTGATACAAATGCAAGATTTGTCTGCAGATATCCTTCCACATCGCACTACTATGAATAATACCAAGAACCCCCTTCCAATTTGTAGCACATATTCAACCAAGGTCTCTGATTAATTTCATTATTTCCTCGTATAAAAGTAATCCCAAGTACGACAAAGCCTCCCCTCACGATAATCTTCAGGCTAATAGCAGTCAGTAACATAAGACCACCATCCCAGGGACGAAACATACCAAAGCCTTGACAAAATAATCCATCAGATCATTTTCCTCCTGCAACCACATTTGCTGTCGCGGCGAAAGCTCACCCTCCGGGAGAAGCTGGGCCGAGTCAAAATCAATCCAGAGCACCCTGTCCTGCTTACCGTTTTGACCAGGACAGATCATCATATTCCTAGGGTCGGGGTCCCCATGCAGGACACCTGCTTTGTGTATGTCTTGTAGAATACGCTCTAGTTCGTCCAGCCGGCTCTGTGAGAATGTAGATAGATCGAGTTGGTGCATGTCGTCGATGTACTCCAAGAGAACTGCACTCATGGGTCGGCCATCGTCAAAAAGAGTGGCAAGCTGTGGCCAGAGGTCTGGTTGGATATTTGTGATTGTTCCGTAGAAGGATAGAATATTGCCCGCCTTGCAGTGTCCTCTGTGTTGTAATCGTTCATAGGCCGATGTTTCGCAAATGAAGGGGTTGGTTTCGCGGGCTGGTGAATCGTGCTCGGATGGGAGATGTTCGCGATACTGGGTGGGAAATCTGGTTGGATAGAGGTGTGCAGGTGAGGTGGTATACTTACTACTTTCAGAATCCTTGTTTCGCCGCTGATAGATACCTTTAAGACAGCGGAAGTTTTGGATTTCTTGAGAATTTGGAGGACCTGGACACTAGATGGACTGAGTTCGATTGTATCAGGCATTGTTTGTGACTCAAATGGCTGGCCTGAAGGAGGTGAGAAACAAGGGAAAGCATTGGATTCTTAATGGCATAAGTCACCGCTTTCTCATTTCGTCTCAGCATTTGGTTATGTTTCTTACGCTACGTATCATAGTAGACAGACTTGGTGAAAACCCGAACGAACCTACTATTCATAGATGACATAGATGAGTTTGAATACGTAAACGTAAGCAGGAGAAAGAGATCGAGGACATAGATCATCTGTTCTTTACGGTAACTTGATCATTAACTCGTCAAACTTACTCTTCGAATGACCAATATGACGAAAGAAGATGGCACATTAAGATCACGTCTAGTACTACTATTCTACCCTTTCTATGCAACAGTCACTTCCAATTACCAATCAAACCAAAATCCTACCACTCCCTCAACCGCCTCCCCGCAAACTCCTCAAAACTACTAACCTTCCCCTCCACCACCCTCAACGTCTCCTTCACCTTCCCCTCCTCATCCCCGCCATAATACCCCACCTCATCATAAAACCTGAACATCTCCACCACCTTAGGCCCCATCGTCCCCGGCATAAACCCCGCATACACCTTCTCATCCAACCTCTCATACCTGACCTTCCTCCCGGACACCCGTCCCATAACCTCCACCATCTCCTGAAATGACCACACCCCACTGGACGCATACGTCTTTCCCACCCCCTCCCCCTCACCAAGCAACAAAGGCACCACATACGCACCCATATCCCCCGCCGCATCCACCATAGGTAATTTCTTCGCCCCGTCCACGACACAAGATACCACCCACGACCCATCCCCACTTGGACAGGGTGTTGGCTTCATGAACGTCTCGAAGTTTTGCATGAATACCCCTGGCAAGAACACTGATACCTTTATCGGTAGACTCCGAAGATATCCCTCCGCGGCAGCCTTCGAATCAAACACGTCCACGGCACGTCCGTCCCAGCTTTCTCGTCCAGACACGGCACTGCTATAGATGATATGCTTAACACCCGCTGCGACACAGGCATCACCGACGGATTTGGTCTGGTTGAGTTCCAGTGCTTTTAGGTCTGGCGCGGCGTAGGTCGTGCAGGTGATGAGGATTACAGTGTGCGAGGAGGCAACTGCTGCTGGGAGGGTCTCGGGGTCGTTGAGGTCTGCGGAGATAATTTCGATGCCTTTGGATTTTAGGGAGAGGGCAGTGGGCGAGTCTGCGGTGCGGGATATGGCTCGCAGGGTGTATTCTTTGGTCAGCGTGGGGTGGGCGTGGATTGTGGTGAGGATTGAGTGGCCTTGTTGGCCGGTGGCGGAGAAGATGGTGAGAAGTTTGGGGGACATGGTGGTTGTTGGTTGTTGATGTTGGTGTTTGTGGCGTGTTGTGAACACGGGAGTTTGTTTGTTTGATGAGAGTGGATCGACCGGATTGATGGTGGTGGATGGGAGTTGATGAAGTGCTGATAAGAGGCATCTTTATACTACGTTTCTAGAGACCATTTCCATGAGCATCTGGGTTAAGGTGTATGTCCGGGCGGAGATACAACGGTATGCCGGGTCGGCTGGTTAGTGCCATGGGGTCGTGACTACTCTAATTGCTACGGAGTAGCGGGTTCGGATTTAGGTTGAATGTCCGGTCGGCTGGACTTGTCCACATAGCTCCGTAGAAGCTAGTTGAGACATGTCGGGAATAAACAGTCTAATTGACTACAATAGTAGAAGTCAAAATGGCTGCTGAATTGTTCGTCAGATCATTTGTAAAGAACGATATATCCCGTACTCTGGCAATCACTGTTTGTCTCCTCCTGCATCCAGCTGATAAGGTTAGATACAAGATCCGGTTCCACTTCCCGCTCGACCCCAAGGTTCTGGACATACCTGCTATGCTAACCGCTACTTGCAAAAGTCATCCGTGCTATGCATGTCTCAATCAATCTATATAAGATGTATGGGATGAAAACTCTTCGATGAACATCTGCACCCCTGTTACCTGCCAGGGTGGATGTGATGGTGCGTTTTTTGGTGATTTGACCCTGAAGCATTAAGGTCGTGGCGTCCTAAGTTCGTAAAACCAAAAATCCAAAAGAAGACGCTGTAGAATGCAAAGCCCCGAGAGTTGCATTTTAGCGGATTCTAGGAGAGTAAAACTGTATATGTTGATGATGTTGATGTAGCTGATGTAGATGTTGATGCTGATGCAGCTGATGTAGATGTCGCTGTTGTTGATGTTGATGCAGCTGATGCAGATGTTGAGGTAGTAGTTGTTGCTGCTGCTGCTGCTGGTGGCGTTGGTGTTGGTGTTGTAGACCAGGAATCTGGTGATTGAGACGAGGAATCTTGACAGGTCGTTCCGTGGGATAGGGAGAGTTGAAGTGAAAGACTGGAAAGTTCTCAAAGGGCGATTGGGGTTTGTGGTAGTAGGTCATAGGATCTGCGCGCTTTCTCTTGAGTGGGTTCATTTGTACTTGTCCTGGCTCCACGAATCCGGATTCGGTAGGGACTAAGGAGTAGACGAGGGAACCAGGGGGTGGGTACTGGAGATACATGTCAATATGGAAGTGAGAGAAAGGAGCGGGAACATACGCCACGTAGATCGGTCAGATCAGGACCTCCGTGTCGAGAGAGCTGCTTGATTGCCCTCAGGCTGTGGGATGGACACGTGCGGAGATATTCCGGAGCATCTTGAAAAATTGGGCGGGGAATGGGCCTGAGCGCTGATTAGCTTGACTGGGGTTGTCATAAGGAGATGACGGACCTCTGGTTTTGCTGAAGACATTGATTTCTGTAGTCTAAGTCTCTCAAGGCGTACTCGGTCAGAGAGGTATGGGGGAAATTATTCCAGAGAACTGGTTGCCACCAAAGGGCATTATGCCCGATCAGCGTCTGATTCTGATTCTGGTAGAAAGCCATTGTATCTATACTGCTGGGCAGTGAATGAGTGAGTCTATGAAGTACACCCCAGTGTGAAGATACCTCTAAGGTTGGAAATTTAAGTTCCCGTAGGCGAAGACACTTAGAAGAACATAAGCTTTACATAGTGTTCACTAAAGGTTCATTCCGAGAAATGTCCCCAAAGGACGTGGGGGGCTGTCTCCACGAGATAGACAAGTTCCGGTCTGGCTCGGTAGAGAGAGAACTTTGGTCGTTCTGCACGCCTGACAAGCTAGCTCCAGTGGAAAACCCGGCTCCACCCGTGGCCTGTAAAGTCTAGACAGCTTGGCAACTTGTTGTCAACTAACCAGTAGTACGTACGGAGTACTAATCAACAATCTCAGTGGCAAATGGTTGACCCTTGTATGTCAGGTTCTAAATTGGGTCTAGCGCATGTCTGGCAAGCGGGCATTCCTTCGCCTTCAGCTTCACTTCACCTTCTCCTCCCTATTTCTGATACTCCAGATGCTCCTCGGTGGCTAATGATTTGTGGATCAGTAGATGTTCAAGTCAATTCGACGTTCCCGAGCCTTACCTGCAGCGACAGACATGTCGCATCACCGGACAGTGACCGTACATCAACTATCGGCCATGCACCTAACCCCGCAGCTCTAATCAGTTTACTGACATCATCTGAGACATAGGCCAACGACTGACAGCCGCAGTGAGCATAAAGTCGGCATCACATTCGTTTGACCTGCACGAACACGAGACATGTCTCATGGGTGGACCCTTTTGAAAAGAATTGGCGAGGAAAGCTTGATCCGGAGTGGTTGGAATAGAGCCTACCATCGGCCTGCGACATTTGACTTGCAGCTGCATCGCTCAGCACGGCTGTTGTAAGTTACCTTCAGCTTTCTGATGACTACAAGATCAATCACATATACTTGAACAGTTCTGCCATAGGACTGCGCGTAAGATTTGGCCATGGCTAATTGTAATTCGCTTATCCAGGAAGCAAGGTTCGTTAGTGCATGCAAGGTGATGGACCAGAGGCAGCCAGACATCACCATATCACAGGAATATACTGGATAGCGCGACTCTTGAATGCACAGCTGTCATGGCTCCTGGACAGGACATCCTGTACATCGACTGAATTTCATTTCACTCAGGAGACTATGGAACGATTGCGTGGGGAGTTGTTGTCCCTGAATAATACGGGACTTAAGCATCGATCCCATCCAGCAGCATGTACTTCATGTCTTCTGCCCGAGAGCAGCGTTTGACTTGAAATCACTTGTTCTTGCCTCGTTCGAATCCCTCAGCTTACTTGACTACTCGTGAACCTCCCTGCATAAACTACATTTCCATAATTTCTTTATAGCCGCCTGCAATACGTACCAGCAGCCCGGCTGTATGATTACTCTAATAGGCTGGGTGCAAGGCCCCAACGCATCTCCTATCACTCCATTACTACTCTGTCAGCAAACAATTCCCCACCCAGGAGCTGGAGAATTGGTGCCACGGATAAACCTGCCTATAACCTGCCATAACTGAACAGCCGCAGTCTTTACTCTCTTGCGAATAAAAATCCTCACAATGGGAGTCCTTCCTAGCAAGTTGCAACACACATCTGCGGCTGGTCAGGTTGCGCAAGGCCACATCACAAAGAACTGGGTCCCTATAAAAGAGGAACCCGTCTATACTCCGAGGAGGATCAGGCTCATCTGTGTGGGAGCTGGATTCTCAGGTCTGACTTTGGCTCACAAGATCAAGCATGAGATGAGACTTGGGGAAATCATTGACTACGTGATCTATGAAAGGAACCACGATGTTGGAGGAACATGGCTTCAGAATAAATACCCAGGAGTTGCTTGGTATGTCATAGATACTAAGGGATGGCTATAGCTAACAGACTGTCTCGACCTTAGTGATGTTCCCGCCCGTATGACTCTATCCCGATTGATGTTCCGAACAGTAGCTGACGAATGGAGATGCCTACACCTTCCTCTTCGAACCGAATCCAAACTGGTCACAATTCTATGCTCCAGGCTCGGAGATCCAAGATTATATCAAGAACACGGTACGAAAATGGAATCTGGATGATCATATTGAGTTCAACTCTTGTGTGGTGGAGTCACTCTGGGATGAGTCGATTGGGAAGTGGAAGGTCAAAATCAATCAGAATGGAACTATCAAAGAAGATGAGGCTGAAATTCTGGCCAGCGCATCAGGGTGTCTAACGTAAGTCCTACCCCTCGCAGCTAGATCTAGCTGACAGTGATCAAGCAAGCCCCGTGTCCCGAATATTGAAGGCATAGGTGACTTCAAGGGGAAATTATCGCAGACAGCAGATTGGTAATTCGCTCAGCGGTCTGTCAATGGAACAAACTGACAGGTTCAGGGATGATACATATGACTGGAAGAATAAGCGTGTCGCAGTAATAGGAAATGGCGCCTCAGGGATCCAAACAGTTACCGCAATGCACTCGACATCATCCAAGCTCGTCAACTACGTCCGAAGTCCTTGTTGGATCTCACCCAACTTTTCCGGAGAATTAACCAAGGATGGGAACAACTTTTCTTTCACGGAAGCGGAGAAGAGACAGTTCAGGGAAGATCCGAAAGCTTTTTTCGAGTTTCGCAAAAAGCTCGAGAACAGGTAGGAGCCAGTTCGGCCGTCTGCACTGCCAAGATACTAACAAACAAGTCTTCAGTGTCAATGGCTTCTGTTACGCCATGCTCAGGGATCATCCGTTCAACAAAGACACACGAGATACTTCCATGAAAAGAATGCAGGCCATCATCAAGAACATCCCAGACCCCTCCATTGCTGCCAGAATGATACCAGATTTCCATCCAGGTTGTCGACGTCTTACCCCCGGACACGGCTACCTCGAAGCCTTTACAAATCCAAACACCCAAATGTGCTGGGAACCAATCGAGCGGATCACAGAAACTGGCATCAAAACGACCGACGGGCAACAAAATGAATTCGACATAATCGTCTGCGCCACCGGCTTCGACACCACATACATACCCCAATGGAAGCTAATAGGGCGCAACAACACCACCTTAACCGGGAGATGGAAACATGACCCCGAAGCATTCTTCTCCGTGCACGTCGACAACCTACCCAACTACTTCATGATCATGGGCCCAAACTTCCTCGTCGCTCATGGCTCCCTCCTGGCCGGCATCTCATTCACATGCGACTATATCCTGAAATGGGCCCGCAAAATAGGCACCGAGGACATCAAGTAAGCCCAACCCCCAATCCCACAGCACACAAACCCAAATCTAACACAACCAGATCCATCGACGTCAAGAAATCCGCCCTGGACGACTACAACGTCTGGACCCAGGAATACCTCAAACGCACCGCCTGGTCTGATCCCTGTCGGAGCTGGTACAAGAACGGCAAGTCGTCAGGACAAGTCACTGCGCCTTATGGAGGGACAACGAGCCACTTCAAGAAATGTCTCGAGAATATGGGCGGCGAGCATTTCAATATCGAGTATAACTCGGCCAATCGGTTTCGGTTCCTGGGTAATGGTCAGGTCGATGTGGAGAGGAATGGCTTCGGAGATCTGGCGGAGTATTTTGTTGAGGAGCTTTGGTGATTTACCTAGACCATTGATTGGTAAGTGGTATGAGCCAAACATTATGATAAAGCAGGACCCCCAGAACTCGGATAGGGACAAGAGATTATGACCTGGGCTGACAGGAGCTGTTGAGGGCGCTATTATGGGGGTGGCACTAATTGATAGCAGCTGCATGACTCGAAGATCACTATAATAGCACTGGTATCTGAATGGACTGACTGTATGTATTTCCATAGGCCGACCTCGAAATTAGACTATCAAACATAGGAAATTTCCACTGAGTGCAAAGACAATGACACAATCAAGAAAATATATCAGGCCAATGCTGTAACCGAGCACTCCTGCTCCATCGGCAGTCCCAAAGACCGCGACGGGCTCAAAGAAGAGAAAAGGAACAATGTGGGGAATTTAACACAATGAAAGCGAAAGGAAATGAAAGAACAAAGAGAAGTGATCAACACGAAGGAAATCCTAGCGCATCCCAATGCTTATGAGGAAAAGACACAGACAGAAATAGACAGAAAGTAGCGAGGACACCAACAGACCAGTCGCTTCTGATCCCCAGGACTCGGCACCAGATCACCGTATCCTACAGCCCAACGTAGGGAAAGTTCGATCATCAACATCACATCGTCCCAAACACATAATCGTTCATCCCACTCGTTTGTCGTGACTTAGACGTTCTTATACAGCAGCAGGGGCTCGCCGACGTTTTCAATCTCGGGAATGGTGCACTTGAGGTCGAACGCCTTGGCTAGGACGATCTTGAAGATCTGGATACGGTCAGCACTGTCGATCAGGACACAAGCTCGGACATACCTTCTGCACGTTGATGCTGTGGCTGGTACTGCTGAAAATCAAGCTGGCTTTCATGGCCTTGGCAAACCGCTTCGCCTGTACGTGGTCAGTACGCGCTAGGACATATCACATGCACCTCTCACCTGGATCGAGATCTCCTCCTGGTCTTCGCGGGGGAAGTTGACAAAATGGTCGTACTTTGTGCCGATGAGGAAAGGAATGGCCGTCTTGTTGAACCCGCGACCTTGACGGTACCATTCCTTGATCGAGTTCAGGGTGCTCTTGCGCGTGAGGTCGAACATGAACAGAATCGCGACGGCGTCATTGCAGACGAGAGGAAGCATATTCACAAATTCGCGTTGGCCACCGAGATCCCAAATCGAGAAGGTGATCTCGGTGTTTCGGATGGAAATAGTCTTCTCCATGAAGTTCACACCTTGATATCCCTTGTCAGCATTGACTTATCTCACTCGCGCCAGGGATCCGCCGTATACCGAGAGTCTGAATGTAATCCTCATCCCAACTGCCCTCCACATACTTGACCATCAGACTGGTCTTTCCGATCTGTGCATCTCCAACCATCCCCACCTTGATCACCACGCTGTTCTTGGCTGGTTGTGACGGCTGCTTCTGGCTCACATCTTGGGTCGGCTGAGACAGGCCGTTGGACATTTCCGAGCTGGGTCGGGATGACACTAGCGACTGTGGTTGATGGGCCAGCGGGGAGAAGTTTTGTCGAGGTTGCTCGTTTTCATTGTGGTAATCGCGGGCGGGGGAGTTGAATTCGTGGGAGGAGTAGTGGGCGCGCGAGTCGCTGCTGTAGCCATTTGTGGTTGCGAACTCGTCTGGTCCCGCCAGTCCGAAGCTTGCGGGAGCGGGTGCATCGAAGCTCTGGGGTTGCTCCAGATGCGCCTGACTTGCGCCTTCCGAGGCGCCGGCCACGGGCAGCTGCGACGCATCCATGTTTGGACAGAACGGTGTGGGATGAGAGGGTATCTCTTGGGCGGCGTGGATTAGTCTCAAGCGTAAACACGGTCGATGTCGGTGGAGCGGGGATGCTGAGACCAACCGAATTTGAGGATTTGGGATCACAGCACCGGTTTCCCGGAACCCATCCAACGGATCGGTATCGGGGCGACAGGGCAGAGGGAAGGGGCCTATCTAGGGAGTGATTCGTCAGTTGGCTGTCTGGGATACCTCGGCCATGATAGCTGGGGTAGCCGATCCGGCACGGAGCGCGGAGGGGAGGGGGGATTGTAATGGTATGCACCTTTCTTTGCAGAAACGAAACGAAACGAAACAATGTGACAGGTGCACTAGTCGAGGCACGCAGCCGTGGAATGGGCGGAGATAAGAAACAACCAGCAGCGGATCCAAGCAAAGGCCAGGGAGTGAAACGAAGGCGGTGCCAACCACGGCGAAGAGTAGCAGCACCACACGAAACCTAGCTAGGAGCAAGCAAGCAAGTGGGAAAGAAGGACAAGCTGAGGAGGACAGCCCCTTGGGACGAGGAGGAGCAAAGCCAGCCGCAGCTCTCCAGAAGCCAGCAAAAGCGGGCGCCAGTCTCCGATCGCGCCTAGTCCCCGATAGGCTTAGTGCCCTTGTCCCGTGAATTTCGCCTGCCCGAAAAAAAAAAAGTTCCCCGACTTTGGCTGCAGCGAATCTCTTCATTTGCTGCACTTGTTTGCTGCTGCTACTGCTGCTGCCCGCCTTTTTCTCCACCAGTCTCCCCCACCACCGTCCGCTTCGCCATGTCCAAAAGATCTGCGGACGTTTCCGACGAGCAGAACGCCGCCCTCAAGGCTGGCGAGCGCCCCGTCGTCGATACCCCTCCCGATGAGGTGGGGGAATTCGAGGACGAATTCGAGGACGAGTTTGAGAGCGAAGATGAGATCCTCGAGGCGGGTGTGGACGGTCGTCCGGATGCTGAGCGTGAGGAGGAAGAGAAAGGTACATCTTTGCTCCGCACACTGCCATTCATGAATGCGACATCATGACTGACTCCGACTATCTTCAGACTCAATGGAAGTCGACAAGCAGACCTTCATCCCTGGCCGGACAAAGCTGGCTCCCGGAGAGGTCCTCTCCCCGGACCCGACGACTTATGACATGCTTCACACCCTCAGCACCCCATGGCCCTGTCTATCGTTCGATATCGTGCGCGATTCCTTGGGCGACAACCGTAAAACATACCCCTCCACTGTCTACGCTGTGACAGGTACACAAGCCGAGGGCAGACGGTCGAAGGAGAATGAGTTGATGGTCCTGAAGTTGAGCGGCATGAGCAAGATGGACAAGGAGAATGAAACCGACTCGGAGAGCGACTCCGATTCGGACGACGAAAGCGAGGCCATCCTCGAGCACAAGAGCATTCCACTCGGATCGACAACCAACCGTATCCGCGCTCACCAAACCCCCAATCAGTCCGGCGATTACTCCAAGCCCCCACAGACTCTTACCGCCACGATGCTGGAGAACTCCCAGGTCGTGATCCACGATGTCACCCCCCACCTCACCAGCTTCGATGTTCCCGGCACGATCCTCCCCCCTTCTGCCTCCAAGCCCCTGTCGACTCTCCGCATGCACAAGTCAGAGGGATATGCACTGGACTGGTCTCCGCTGCAGCCTCTCGGCAAGCTTTTGACTGGTGACAACGACGGATTGATCTACGTGACGACGCGCACCGAAGGCGGCGGCTGGGTGACGGATACTCGTCCGTTCACCGGACACCTGTCGTCCATCGAGGAGCTCCAATGGTCCCCCAACGAGAAGAACGTGTTCGCCTCCGCCAGCAGTGACGGCAGTGTGAAGGTGTGGGACGTCCGGTCCAAGTCGCGCAAGCCCGCTGTCGATGTCAAGGTGTCGAACACCGACGTCAACGTTATGAGCTGGTCGAACCAGACCTTCCATCTCCTTGCGACGGGTGCGGATGACGGACAGTGGGCCGTCTGGGATCTGAGACACTGGAAGCCGACGGCGCCGTCGTCTCAGATTACCGCTGCGCCCGTTGCCTCATTCGACTTCCACCGCGAACCGGTGACGAGTATCGAATGGCACCCGACGGATGACAGTGTCGTCGCGGTCGGCTCCGCCGACAACACGGTCACTCTCTGGGATTTGGCTGTCGAACTGGACGAGGAGGAGAACCGTGAGGCGGGCATGCAAGAGGTCCCGCCGCAGCTGTTGTTCGTGCACTACATGGAGTCCGTCAAGGAGATCCACTGGCAGGCCCAGATGCCCGGTACGATCATGGCTACTGGTGGCGCCGGATTTAGGTAAGTTAATCTTCTCCCTACCACGAGTTTCAATGCTAACTGTTCAACAGCGTGTTCAAGACGATCAGTGTGTAGACGACGTTATAAGAAAAGTGCCCTTTCAACGAATGCATATAGGTAGTTGGTGCGTTTTGATGCGTTATACCACTTTATCTTTTTGTTTTGCTTTATGATGAGTTATAGATTAAATGATGAAGCATGATGTCCATTCCATTGATCCGTGTGGCTTCTTAGTTTGAGAAGTATCCTCTTGTAACTGGCCACTGGCAGTGACCCTTGCGATATCGGCTTCAGGCTCCACCCTACTTACTAGTTACTCCATCCTAACCTGGAAATCAGCGCAGATGGCGCGGATCTGCTACGTAGTAGCTCCACCTCGTGCCTTGGGATCGGAACTATCTATCGCGTACCCCGTCCAAGCTTTGAGATCTATGCACGGGTTTTTATTCAGAATCGAGATTAAGGAAAGCCATGCCAAGACTGACCCCGTGCCTTGCTTTGGTCTCCCCTGCTCACTGCGGATCTCTGTTCCCTCAGGATGCAGATCTCCCGCTTTTTGCAGGTACACAATTTTGTCTATGGATTATCTCGACCAGAGTGTAGGTCCTCGATCGATCGCACTCTTCACATTGTCCTTGTGACTATTAATAGTGTGATAGACATGATGATTTGATGTACTTGCTTACATTATTTCTTTCGTTCTATTGGGAGAGTTTATATAGGTAGTAGCCCCCAATGCCCGTTTGTATGACCATTTGGATGCAGTGATGTCCCAGAGGTGTATGCAGAGGGTAAGCGGGTTAGTATTTCGTGTACGGGGGCACTTCAGACATTTTCTACATCTCCTGAACGATGACCCGGCGGTCGAAAATCAAGTCCACTAGCGATGATAGGGGTCCAGCCGGTAACATCACGAAGCACCAAACCAGTCGAAGAGTTCAAGTCCTCATCGTGGAAACTAAACCACCAGAACTTTCGGACTCCTGCGACTGTGTAGGGTATACACCCGTGACGATGATCTGGGGAGATCACGACCCAATTATTGCGCGGAAGCAGTCCGTTTGGTGAGAGGGTTGGTCTATCTTGATTCTCGTGCCAGTTCTCCCGGGAATAGGAGTGGATTTTGATGGTCTCCACTGTGATGCGCGCTAAGCGACAGGAGTCCCATGGTCCGTCGCGATAGGGCCAGGAACGCACTGCGTGGATGGCGCGCCAGCGGAGGGTTGGGTCCTGGCAGTTGAGAGCGACGAGACAGAGTGGGGGGATGAGGCCAATGTCGACGCTGAGGCTGGCGTCGCTGATGGTTTTGCGCATGAGGATTTCGGCAGTTGAGACGATGTCTTTGTATTGTGGGTTGTATTTGTCAGAGGAGAGATCGTCCGAGGGTAGGAGACACGTTTCGAGGGTCAGGAATAGAGTGCGCTGTCTTAACAATAAGAGGTCGGTTCCTATTTGCTGGAATGGATTGAGTGTCGCGTATGAGGTCTTGCGGAAGGAGTCGAATAACCGGGCAAAGACATTTAATTGGGACATCAGATGCCTCTGCTTGGGCAGGAGTACGCTATTATGGTCCGAGGTAGTGTCCATGGCGGACCGGGTCACAAATCGGACAATAGTGCCCAGGAGGGGCTCGAGAGTCTGGCGCACCTCCCCTAAACTTCTGAATGCCACCTTGTTGGCCAAATAGCCCTCCAGCCAGTCATCCAGTTCTAGGGTTGGCTCGCCTGTTCTAAAATAGGCGACCTGATTATCCATGTGCGCAAAAGCAGCCACCAAGCATTGTTCCACCGGAGACTTGTCAAACGCCCCTGGAACAAGCTGCTGATGCGCCTTGAGCCTCTTGATGATGTCCAGGCCGTTCCGTAGATGTGTAAAGGAGACTTCATACTGGCCCTGTAGTAATTCCAGGGCAACAAAAAGCAAACAGCAGGTCAGAGTGACCATTGGCAGTTGAGGGTCTTGGGAGGTGCTGCGACGTCTGAGTAGTGCAAAAGACCGACCCAACTGTTCTAGTGCAAATCGGTTCCAGTTTCCTTTTGGAGTCGATGGTGTATGATCCTCCGATGCCCGCTGAACGGCGCTGAGGCCGATCACCGCATGGTAAACGGCCGGTTCTGCGTAACTCATTTGGAAAACCAAGTTTTCCCACAATGGGGAGCTAAAGGAGCCCACGAAAGCAGGCACCACGCCAAATCGATAGTAGGAATAGCAGCGTTGTTCGTCCGAGGTCATGGTCCAGTAAAAGCCATTTACAAGGGCCGGCATGACATGCCAAACGGCCTCAGGGCTGGTCCGTTTGATTGGCCGTAACCGATGCATGTCGTATCCATCGCAGACCCTGCCAGTGGTGGTACAATTCTTACATGCGTCTGGGGTCTCATCACATTTGATCCGGCGGATGCTGGACACGAAAGGTGGTTAGTTCATCGTATGGGCCGAGTACCGAGCGACAATCATACCGACAGGTGCGGCATCCTGTCCTGGATCTTGAGTAGGCCTTGGTTCGCTTGGGCCTTGATTCGGATTGTTGGGTGAGAGCTACTGAAGTCATTGCCTTTTGGACAAGTCAAAGTCGAGAGATTGTGCGACAGACAATGGAAGAAGAAACCTTTGAATGACCCTGGCTGCGGCTGATGCTGCGGCTTAGTTCCTGTGATGCAGACCAGCCGGGGATCCCTGCTCACTAGTAGCACCGATCATGGCGGGATACCACCAGTGTTTGGCCTAGTAAGGCTCAGCCGCTTCCTGGCCGTCACCAAGCCACAATACTCCAGACTTCAGAGATATTGGTTGGCGGGGAATTTGGTCTCCCATTGGGTCCGTAGGCCTGTGCATCACCAATAGGTCTCTTGCCATAGCGCAGTGGTACGACACATGGTACCCCGTACGGTGTAGTAAGAGGATGGGACTCAGGACCACAGTCGTAAGTCGTCCTTATCGGAGACCCCTTGATCCGCCCCACGTTGCCAATATCCGCTCTTGCCTGAGGCAGCAAGGAACGGCCATCCACGAGACCTTCCTTCACATTCGAATCGAATATGCTAATGTATCGACGTGACTTGGGTTGCAACCAAATCTGCATATCCCTTCGGCTAAAGAACTCGATCAAAAGCGCTGGGTCTATCAAAGAAATCATTAGTATAATCATTGGCCCATGTGAATCAGATCTATATATTGAGATCGTCGTATAGTACCCGGTTGCACAACAGCACAGAGGTAGGTTCAGTCCTATGTTCGCGATCTATAATGGAAATGGAAATGACGTTAGAAGTAGAAGATCGAGTAAGATAATGTGGTAAGGAATTATAAATGTTGGCGGCGCATACATTTGTTGTGCACTTTAACTTTTCTCTCTCACCATTCATTGCAAAATTGGTCTAACGTACATCAATACTGTATCAACAGTGTCTAGGAAATCTTGAGCATTCACACTCAAGCATATTCAATAAGTTCGGTCTGCCATGCTTGTCTCTGTAGGCATCGCTCTGTCGTTATCGACACGACTGTGGCCATTCACTTGAAAATCACTTCTCTGCCTCGAGAAATCCGACGGTATCGAAAGAACATTGTCTCCCCCACACTTTAGAAACATTAGGATGTAATCGACATAAAGCAAATTATTGGCGGCAGCAAGGACACTAGAGAGCAAACAGCCGTTGAGGAAGCCGGCCATATGTCTATTCTTAGTGATTTGACCCGCGATAATGACCACACTCTGAGATGTACCAGGGGAGGAAGTAGACGATGTTGTACCGTTTCCCACGCCATCGTAGAGCGGTGGTAGGGAGGCGTTACTCCAATTCGCATTGATGACTTCCCCAAGGCACACGAGATATACGCAACCACCACAGTGTACGCGGACTAGCGCGACAGCCAACGCGGGGCGTGGCCGTCTTGAGCTTCAAACGCAGTCATGGCATGCACCTCTATGCCCTGGAAGGCGTATGCTGTGAGCGGAATCACATAGCTGGAGTCATATGAGCATCCTGTAGAGATATCAAGCCAGGAATAGAAAAATCTTACTTACAAAGCCGATCCGTCGGTGCCAAAGGCTTGCCAATGTTTAAACTCGGGTGAAGCCACTGGACGCATAACTTGACGCAGAACGGAGTAACTTCGAAGGGTAGCTTACCATCGCCCGCAATCGCATATAGGTCGACTGAGATTGGAAAAATCATCAGTAGCTTGACAAAGCCGCCAAAGGTTTCCACGAGCCCGTACCAGTGTGATCATGTCAGACCTATATCCACCATGTCCCACGATACAACTTACAAAGACGCCTGTCATGTTCATCAGAAACAGAACAATGGGAACCATCACGTAGCAAATCAGCACTTGCCATGACGTTCCGAGACCCCAATACTTGAGAGGTGTTGCAGCCATAGAACTTTGACGGGCAAATACTGCTGCATATGCATACCTACTTCGTCTGAGCTGCATGGTCTACTCCTTCGAGCCGGGGGAGAATACCAATAAGCCAACCCGACAACCCAGCCGAGATCGTCGTCGACGAAATTGCGGACATATATGACGATCGCATTATAAACGGGGAATTATAGTATCAGCTCGGCGATACACTCAAGCAGCCGTCTCCGGTAATCCGTGTGCCCAGTTCTAACCGCTGAGTGCTAGGCACTGTCGGCTTGACGACAACGATATTAGACCGGTGCTAGTGCATTTTGGTTATTAGCTGACGTGAGAGACAATGGTTGCATTACGGATGAGCGCAGGCCATACTCCGTAGCGGCGTAGATGCGGGGCAGCGGCCAAGGAAGCTACTAGAGGAACATACCCAGGAAGCGAAAGTCCATTCTTGTGTTCTTACCGGACAGAGATTGCAGCCTAACGAAATTGGAACCGCAGCCTCGTGGCCCAAACGGTGTCAGTCAGCCACCGTGGTCGGCGGTGCCAACCGTGGCTGAACTCCAAGGGTCCACGGCTTGATGTTATATATAGATCATTAGCATCACTGCATGCTGGATGAGAAACCGTCCTGGGTTGGCTATGATGCACCCGACTCTTGCGTAGATGCACCAGCCGTTGACCGGATAGATAGTCGGGCCCAGAGCCTCGTCATGATATTAAGGAGGAAGGTCCGGCGGATTGCCGTATCTCCGAAAATCCTGCCACAGGATTAATAATTATGGCGCGGATCGTGGGCAGGACAAGAGCCTCCAAACTCCAAAGGGCCATTGTAGGGAGCACAACCCGAACAACTACAAGAACAACACATGCGCGGTGGTTCGGTGGGCCAGCGCTCAGCTGAGTCGCGATGCTCCTACCGAATCAGACGTGTGGAGTAAAATAGGACAAGCAGAGGGATTCTCGCTGGTCGAAACTTTTGAGCCGGTGTCAAGGCTTGACCGGGTTTAGGCCTTAGTTTCTTTTGGATTCACCACTGATTTTGCGTCGCTCCCCGGGTTCGGGGCCGTTGTGGGGGGCTCCAGCAGGGGTGAGAAATTAGATGTCCCCCTCCCAGCTCCCACCCCCCGAGGCGGACACCTCCGTCCTACCAATTTCCCACTCACTCTCTTCCTTGCCAGGGCGACGCATTTGCTCTACTCACGACGTGAAGGATTCACAGATACCTGATGAATGCTGCACAGGCACCATGGATTTGTTAGCAGGGCAATTGGTCGGGTTCACCCCGATCGGCCAGCCACATCGTGGACTGACTTAGGCCGAATCTTTGTCCACGATCCCTGTCCGGTCTCCATCGGGCTAAACTAATCGCCGGGGACTCTTCGGTCACATACGAGCCAGCCATACAGAAGCCATTGAGACCCGGTCTAGGATTCTTGGAGACTTGGACAGGCCAGCACTCGGGTGGGCCGGTTAAATCGCGTTGGAAGCCGTGGTGTCTCATCGCTGCGCCCCGGGTTGCTGTGACCCATCTCGCCAATGGAAGCTTCCTGACTCCAACAAAGGCTAGGACCAGCATCGCTAGCTAGTTGCCGATAAAGCGGCTCGCCTTGACACATAAATCCACCCGTGCGCTCATAAGGCGGACGGATGCACCTGGCCTCTCCGCGTTTGATTTTTTCTCTTTTCTCTCCCACCACCCTGTCCGTCACCTCGCATTGGGAGTCATGTTGTCGTTGAGCTTGAGTGTGGCTCTGGCAGGCCTGCTGCTAGGGTCACCTGCAAGAGTGTCTGCGCTGGAGCTGGATATCAACAGCACGCGTAAGTTCCCGGGCTACAGGGGTTGGATGGATGAGCTAATTAATATACTTTTGTCCAACCTTAGAATCAATCAAAGATGCCGCAGCAGTAACAGTTGCGAATACACTCTCTAACTCATCCCTCAGTGGCGATGTCAACCCGGTGTACGGCGACGATAATCAGTGGCTCTTTAACTCATCGACCGTCGAGGCGTGGCTCTACTCGACATTGATCCCGTTTTGGAACCTAACCGGCAATGATACCTACAACGACTTAATCACCAAGCGCATGTACAGTAAAGCGGACTTAGAACTCGGCACCTCATGGGAAGAATCCAACAACGACACGAATATGAATCATGCTGCCTGGGCGCTGGCCGCTGTGACGGCGGCTGAGATGGGCTTTCCAGCCGAGTCTTCCAATGTTTCCTGGCTCACTTACGCGGAGCAGGCCGAGGGGACCTTACTTAGTACCTTCGACTTTTCAACCATATGCGGCGGCGGCCTCGAGGCCGAGAATGATGACTTGAGCCTGAACAACAGATCAGTGAAGGACGCCGTGAGTAACGGGGAGTTCTTCCAGCTGGCTTCGCGGCTAGCATATCTCACTAGTGGCGACGATCAATCCGGCTATGCAAGCGACGCAGAAAAGGTCTGGGAGTGGAGCGTGGATAGTGAAATGGTGCTCGAGAGCAACTGGACCATCAATTTTCTTGTTATAAATACGACCGCCAGTGGAAATTGCACGGGATACTACGGGAATCGGATCGAGTACACCTATCCATACGGCTTGTACTTGAGCGGTGCAGCATACATGTACAACGTGGTAGGTTTCAAGGGTCCACGATGGAGAGGGCGAGCAATCTGGCTAATCACAATCACGTATCACAGACCGGCGCAGCCACTTGGAAAACAAGGGCAGAAGGTTTGCTAAATACCACTCTGAGTATGTTTATCGAAGAAGGGGTGATAGTAGAACGGGGGTTCAATGAGGACCCTGACCTGGGATGGGCCGGCGACGTAGTCTGGGACGATGATGAGTATGCCTTGAAGGGGCTTCTCGCATCATGCCTTGCGGTTACGACGCGTTTCCTGCCAGACACCATCGACACGATTGAACCGATCCTCCGGAGTACTGCCAAGGCCGTTGCGAAGCAATGCAGCGGGATGAGTAACGGCACCGTCTGTGGTTCCGACTGGACCATCTCAAGTTACGATTATAATACCAACTTTTTCAGTTCGATGAGTGCTGTGAATGCCTTGACTGCCAATCTCATGATGGCGCAGGATTCCGTGAGCGCAAGTTCCGACGGGGCAAGTACCAGTGGCACGGGAGTGGGCACGGAGGGTGATGGAAGCTCTAGTGGACTCTCCGGCGGCGACATTGCCGGGATTGTGGTGGGCTCTGTTGCTGGAGTCGCCTTGGTTGCTGCTGCTGCCTTTTTTGTCTTCCGAAAGAAGAGAAAAGGGACGGTAGGAGGAGCGGTCCCGGAGGAGCACACGGCCACCGACTCCAAAGGCAATTATCAGGCCGCCGAAGTTGAGCCAAACGAGATTGCCGAGCTTCCCCAGGGTGCCGCGTCCTACACTTTCGCTGAGATGGACACCGACACCCGGGTGGAGCCCCCACCCCAGGAGTTGCCGCCTCAGGAGTTGCAAAAGGCGAAGACGATCCGTTATGAATTGGCCTAATCAACCTGTAGAGTATGATAAATTAATGTATATGATTAGTTGAAGATGATGAATGAGTGCGCGATATACCTCGAGAGGTCAAGGCTTCAAAAATCATCACCACTTGAGAAAATAGAGAAACCTTTTCAATTTCGTTGATTGGAGGACCGGACCTCTGATGCTATGTTAAAGCTGTGAGTGTTACACAAGAAATGTTCTTCAGCTACGCCTGGGGATTGAACATGCACTGTTGATGTTCCAAAAGCTTCAACCAAGAGTCTTCCAACCGTACCAGGCTTCTCGAGAGCCGGAGCGGCCCCCACATTTCCCGGGCTCAATCCTTGTGTTTCCCCGCTTCGCTCCCCACAAACACTGCAACGAGAATGCGGGGATCGCCAGGCTCGTGTAGCCTCCGACCTCTCGACTCACATTGGATGAACACATGAACCACGCTACTCAATGCCGAATTCTTCATCCGGTACTTAGGGCGTCTCGAACTGCATATTGGCTGACAAATATGCTGCGATCTGATTCTCAGCCTACGGTCTCTAACCTGCCAGTTTCCGAGACACCTTGGCAGCAGACTTTTCCGGACCCCCGCAATTATCTTTCTGCACATCCTTGCTGATCGCTGATCACCTGGGTCTCGGATCATGGCTGGGACTGCCGTCCTTGATTCCCGAGATGGGATCGCCATCTTTAGGCAGAATTCGAATCGTGAAAGCTTGGCAGTTCAGGGTGATGTCTCTATCATATAAATCGGCCGACGCTACCAGTCATACGTGTTGAACAATCTGCTGCAGGGCTTCTTTACGGATATCTCGTTGCTTGGTAGGCCGTCACCCGCCACATTTCTCTGTCATATCGCTAAATACTGGTTTCAGGAACAATCGGCATACCATCTCTGTTATTATGGCTCTTCTATCCATAGCTCAGGCGCTTATAACAGCCTCAGCCTTATTGGGACATGCCTCAGCATCAAAGTCCTGCACAGCAGACACATTCATGTCCCTCGGACTAAGTAATATCCACATACTTTCACTTAATGTCACCTCTGCACCCAACTACTCGACTGGCGACTCATCAGCCAGCGGGGTCACATCAGCACCAATAAGCAGAATCCCGCCAATGGTGGATATATGCTTTATAACATTGCAGTACACACACCCCGGCCAGAACGACGTTGTCAACACTTATATCGGGCTTCCTCTTAATGCCAGTGACTGGAACACCCGCTTTCTGATGGACGGTGGAGGTGGTTGGACGGCCGGCGGACTAGACGAGATCATAGCTCCCATTGCGTCCGGGTACTCTTCCTCCTCCACTGATGGAGGACATAACAGCACCACCTCAACAGCAGACTGGGGATTTATGAGTGAAGGCAACACCAACTGGCCTGCTCTGTGGGACTTTTCTAGCGTAGCCTTAGGGGAGGCAGCTACGCTCGGGAAAATGGCCACGGAAATCTACTTCGGATCAGCCCCCAAGTACTCGTATTGGAATGGATGCTCCACTGGCGGTCGACAGGGCCATATGATGGCCCAGAGATTTCCGACCTACTTTGATGGTATTGTGGCGGGTTCACCCGCCATCAACTGGGATCGGTTCCAACTGGCCGAGTACTGGCCCGCTTTTCTGGCACAACTTCTTGGTGAGTGCACTGTTCGGTGCCGCGCCACATTGGCACTTGACACTAATTGACGACCCTTCACAGATACACAGCCGCCAGCATGTGTTCTCGATGCTTTCTCAGACGCTGCAATCGAAGCTTGCGATCTTCTGGACGGGGTGAAAGATGGAATTATCTCTCTTCCAGGCCAGTGTCATTTCGAAGCGTCGTCCCTCGTTGGCCAGACAGTCAATTGCAGCGATCCAAACGGGCAAATCATCATCACCGACAATATTGCTGAACTCGTCAAGGGCATGTGGGAAGGCCCCATATCTCTCGAAGATCAGTTCGAGTGGTACGGTCTCAACTATGATGCCGACCTAACTTCCCTCCTTGCGACAACCTGCACGTCTGTCCACAACTGTACAGTGATCCCCTTTAGTATCAGCGCCGACTGGGCTCGGATATTCCTGGCCAGAAACTCCTCATTCAGCGTTCAAGGACTGACGCGACAAGACTTTGATGACCTCTTCCGTGAATCGGTCGACCAATACGCTTCCATCATCGGAACTCATAACACCGACCTGACCGGCTTTAAACTCGCCGGAGGTAAGATGATCACATGGCACGGCATGCAGGATGAGTTGATCCCGACCAACGGAACGGTGGATTATTACACTCGGGTCATGGGCCGGGATCCAACTGTTGCAGACTATTACCGATTCTTCTTGGCACCAGGGGTAGCTCACTGCGGCGGAGGGCCGGGGTTCGATCCTAGTGATACTGTCTTCGAGACTCTGAGGGTATGGGTTGAGAACGGGACCGTGCCTGATACCCTTGGAGCAATTGCAACGGCTGTAGCAGGGTCGAATAGTAGCGCGACCCGGACGGCAGATCTTTGTCTTTACCCGAAGGTTTTTACATATGTGGGTGGGGATCCGAACGACGCATCGTCGTTTAGCTGTATTTAATCCGTCCACTTCTTATGACATATCGTCTGGTGTTTCCAATATAGATACTACTATCCTAATCCTAAGACTTTCCACAGTACTCAGTAAAGAGAACCAATGAGGATGGAATCTCCACAAATGCGGGGAAGGATGCACTAGACCCGGAGGGGCAATTGCCGGCCCCAGGCGCCTCCACATGGCAGCGATCAATAACCGACGAGCTGCCATTTCACCTCGCAGGCAACCCGACCTCTTCTCTCGGTCGTGTCCTCACCCCATCAGGCCACTCTCACATCACCTCGCCTTCGGTCCAGTAGGCTGGATGAATCCCCCTAGCCCGCCCATGTCCCTGTCCGTTTGTTGCCCTTTCCCCGCAGCGCTGAACGCTCAGGGCCCTCTGCCCCGCGGCCTGCCATGAGAATCGGACGAGGATGTGAGCGTTGTCGCCTTCGTCATATTCGGTGCACCACTCGCGCTGGCGCGTCGGCTTGTAATGCCTGCACTCGCCTCGGACGCGTTTGTCGCTTGGATCCGCCTTTTCGGTTCAAAGCCGTCCGCCATGTGTACCAGAAAAGTAACGGCATAGCCTCCAAGTTCGAGTTAGCCTGGGATCCGCGCCAAACATGGGTGGACCTACCTCCGTCCTGTACGATGGATTGATCCTTTGCTTTGTGTTTGTTAGTTCTTGGCATCACTAATTCTAGTGGATAGTAACGTTTGTGCAAGAATCGTCCGACGACTCGGATGCCGGCAACACCACCGATGCTCTGCCTGATAACCAAGACGAAGCCCAGCTGACTTCCGATGACGCCCCTATCGATATTCCAGAGAACATCTCTATATTTGCCCACTTGCCCTTCCCTGAAGTCATATATTCCCAAGATGAGGGCATCCGTCCTCCCAATGTCGGGACATCCACCCCCCCAGCACAAACCCCTATCTATGAGGGTCCTCCGCTGGCTCCATCGTCTTCAGGTCTCTCCCCTCCTGTCGCTCATGTTGTGTCGCCCCTGGCGTCTGCGAGCACGTGGACGGGTTCAACCTCACCGCTCAGCTCCGTGAGCCCCCGTCCGAGCAGCTCACCGCCGATGACCTCTCGGGAAGCACATCTACTACGATTGTTCATCCAGAAGATCGCACCATGGGTAGGTGAATACTGGATGGATACCTATCGTAGAAAACGAGTAGCTAATGTCTGTCCCGTCAGGCCGACATATGCGACCTCCGCTCACATTTCAGCACCGAAGTCCCCCGCAGAGCCCTGCAGGTCCCCATGGTACTCAAAGCGGTACTGTGTCTTGCAGCACGGCACGATGCCATAATGGCCGACTCCAGTGACTGGGAAGCCTCTGAATACCACGGCCAGTGCCTTGAGCTGCTTATCGCCGCACTAGCTCTGCCAGAAGACACATATGACGATAACCTCCTTATAACCGTGGTCACCCTTCGAATATACGAAGAGCTTGAACGTGCAACCGATGAAAAATGCCACTGGGTCGGTTCAAACCGACTACTCAACACTATGTCCAAGTCCGCCTCTTCTGGTGGTCTCGCCGAAGCGGTAAGCTGGCAGTTCCTACGCCAGGCTATCTATGCTTCCCTGGTGCAACACCAGCCAATGCAGCTGGACCTAGCCAACTACGAGCTCTCGTCCGTCTTCCGGCGCCGCGATGATGCCTCTTATGCCAATGTCATCATCTTCCTGTGTGCAAAGATCATCCAGTCCTGTTGGGGATCACACTGTAACGCGGTGGATGAGAGCGAGTGGCAGCATCTGTCCGACAGTGTGGAGGAGTGGCATCGCGTACGGCCGATTAGCTGGCAGCCATTGCAGTACAAGGACCCAAGCCCAGAGGACAATCGGCCCTTTCCAGAAATGTGGATCATGTCCCCGCCAGCGGGTATGTACACGGTATTCACCCCGAGAAGTCTCAACTGACAAATCAGTGGTTGGTCTACAATACTATCACGCCTCACGGATCCTCCTTACCTCGTCACATCGACACTGGGGTGTAGGCAATGCTTATGAGCTTGCACGATTGAGGCGGATTGAAGAGGTACGTCCATACTTACATTGATGTGCCATCTAACCCAAACAGAAAACCATTGCATCCCATTTAGTCAGTGTAATCGGGCTCTCGACGTCGAACGAAACCGTCGAAAATGCATACTTTATGGCATGTCATTTGTTGCATCAGTGTGAGGTCCCTCTACTTTCATTGGGGCCTTCAGCAGATACTAACAAACTAGCTAGATGGCTATTGCCTACGTCATCCATCTGAGCAACAATGGTCGTTGAAGTTCCTCCGTCGAGTGGAAAAAGTGGTCGGGTGGCGGACGACATGGATGATTCGAGAGCTCGAGAGTCAGTGGACGGAACTGGCGAAGATGGATCGGTGGAGGGATGTACATGGTTGATCTGGGTCTTCAGATAGTGAGGCAAAGATGTGGGGACACTTTGCAGATGAATTGAGATTGGTAAGCTGAAATCATACAGCACTCAAATCATATGCACGATGAGTGAGAAAGCAAACAAAAATCATTATTTATAACCGACTATAACCAAAGACCCTCTCCTTTCTTCGAAGCCACAAAGACTAGAACATCGATACCTCACCAGATTCATCGTCCAGTTCTAATGGAGAGATGGAAGGCATCTTCTCATCCACCAAAAGACAGTTCAAAGCGAGTCTTTTCAGGAGAGGAAAGTTCACCCCACAGTCTCTACAGCGTATGGATTTAACGAAGATCAATGACAATCTCACAAGAGCATTGACCGGCGAAATACTTTCCTTCGAAATTTTCGGATTGACATGGCCGATGCTACATTCTTGCGGGATGCGATAACAAACACGACGACTGACTTTCCAAGAGGTACTTCGCGGCTTTTTCCCAACCGGTGCCAAGTGAGAGCTTGATTGTGACTCTAACACAGTGAGTCATTCTGGAGATACTCACATGGACATGTGTAAGGGGTACCTGCCCTCACAGATTAAAAGACGACCCCGCATAGAGCATGTGACGTGGCAGGCTGTCTCCTTTGTATCTATTCGCTTCCTGCCCCGGCATCATCTTGTCCCGACTATACCTTCTTTTGAGCATGTACTTCAGTGAATATTTACTCTGCCTTTACTGTGGGTATGTTAATCAGCTGACCTTCCTCTGTGGACTCTTCGTACAGTCTTGTTTGTTAATATCGACGCATCGCCCTTTATCTCTCCTCGATAATCCCTCTGCCTAACTAAAGAGTCCATACTTTCCACATCTTCCAACCCCACAAAAGCTATATCCACATAGCTTCATCGACACGGAACAATGGCTACAGACTTCAGCAAGTGAGTCTCCACCAGAAGCAACATATACCGAGCCAAACTAACCTGGCTGTCTAGATACATGACATCTCACCTCTTCACCTTCGTGATCGGTCCCCAGAAGAAAGACATCACGGTACATTCGGGCCCACTGGCCAGCCTTTCCGCCCCACTCAACAACCTCATCAACGGCAAAATGCTCGAGGCCAATAAGCGTCAGGCGGATTGGTCGGAGGTCGAGGAGGATACTTTCTTTCGACTGTGCGAGTATGCCTACGTGGGGGAATACACGCCGCCGGCTTGCGGTACGATGGACATTCCTGAGATTCCTGAGGAGGTTGTACCGGAGCCAGTACCTGAACCGGATCCAATGCCCGAGCCGGAGCCAATGCCTGAGCCGGAGCCAGTACCTGAGCCGGAGCCAGTACCTGAGCCAGAGTTTACCGAAACACCGAGCATTGATCATGCAAATCCATTTGGAGGTTGGGGCTGGGGCCAGTCAGTGAAGATGCCAAAACCCGCACCCTACGATATCTGCCCTGGCCATAGACTGCCATTCCAGAATAAAAGCTTCCGGACTTCCCATCTCCGCGGGATACTGAGTGGTCTTAAGTCCGAGCTTGAAACTAAACAGGATCAGTCCTTGCCAACCCAGAAGTATACCCCAGTGGGGAACTCCCACCCCAGCGAGGACTTCTACCCAGTATTCCTGGGTCACGCGGAGCTATATGTTCTGGCCGACAAGTACAATATCGCGTCGCTCAAGGACCTGGTGTTATACAAATTGGTGCAGACGTTGTTGCCGTTCACACTGTATGAAACCAACGTCGGCAATGTGACAGAATGGGTCCGATACTCGTATCAGCACACCCTCCCTCGAGATCCTCTGAGGAATTTGGCTATTGCCTACATTGTGTCGAATCTGGGGGAGCTGGGTGGGAGTGAGGGACTAAAGGAACTTCTCGCAGAAGGTGGTGATTTTGTGTTGGACTTTTGGGAGAAAATCTGGGATGCTAATTGATCGACTAGCTCAGGGTGTTGGATGGTCCTGAGCTTTGTCGATGCAATTCAACATACCCACTGGACCAAAGGCCGTAATTGAGCATGGCAGTGTATTCAACACAAAGAAAAAAAAAACAGAAGAATCGGACGAGGCCAGCCTGATGCTATCCCTTTTGAACGCACTGCATATCAACCATGATGGAACACGCTAGGGTTCCTATCCGGAAGATATTACATTTATCCCACTTATCCAAACCCTCCAATCTTCCCACAGAGTCAATATCCTACCAGCCTCGTCACATCTCCTTCCACTGATAAATATTGACATCACCAAACCATGCCACAACCCTGACCCCGAAGCGACTCTCCATCGGACATTCCTGCCGAATCGGGCATGCCCGAATCTCTCTGCCTGCTGCCAAAGCGGGGTTCTCCACCCGCACCCAATCAGGACCTCACCGCTAGGGTGTTTTTTTCCCTGAGGAAATTCTGGTGCCTGAATGCGATGCCACTTTGACGCCTATTTATAGCAGAAGTGAGAAAATCAGGGTTCGGGATCGAGGTGATTGGTTATCTGATGGGATGAGATAGAGTTGTGTGCACTGCAGATTTGATGCTGAGGGTTCGATAGTGCTGTTGGTGGTGAGGGTCAGTCCACTTTTTGGTGCTTGACGGCGGGAGTGGGGCATTCGGGGCGGTGTTCCTGTATTGCAGCAGTCTCTTGCTTGTTTTGTTTTTCTGATCCATCGCTGTGGTTTGGAGGAGGGATTCTAAGCGAGAATTGCTTTAGGAATGGAAACGTGATGAGTGAGATGCATCTCTGTATCACTGCCTTACATATAGCCTGAGGTACCTCCACCGCAAGGTATCCATCTGATTCCGAGCAGACACCTGGAACTAGTAGTATCGACCATCCGTGCTCATCGGAGATACCGTCCTTCCCACAGATATCTCTCTGCCTGCTGTCTGCCCCAACCATCCAAGCCAATCAGGTCCAACAATCCCCTAGTCTACACTAATAATATCCGTCGGTTCCAGGGGAATTCATCCAAGGCATAGATACCTTAAGTAAGTACCGTCCCATCCCATCCCGTCCCGTCTAGCATCCTCCACATCCACTCATCCGATCATCCGTCCATACCTCTCCATCTCTCTACCGAGTAATTATCCATGACTAAGTTCCCCTGCAGCATGGCACCTAGCTAGTACTCCGTACTTATACATACATAGGGAGCTGCTCCGCCACCGCCGCGAGAATTTCTTTTTCTTACTTATATTCTGTCCCCCACCCATCTACCCAGTGATACTCTGCCTACACGCAGTCTCTCGTGGGGGTCATGTATTGATACTATCCTCCTCCCGACTTCCTCCAGGCTCCCGCTCCTACCACGACCAATACCTGATTGATGATTACGAGCTGAATGAGTACACGAGTGGAGTCATCAGATCGACTTACGAGGATATCCTGGCTTGATTGAGCTATTTCTTTTCTTTTTGCCTATTTGGATTCGCTGTACCTGATCGGTGCAGCCTGGATGAATGATATGATACCCCCACAATTATACCCATGTTCTTTTCTTTCTTCTTTCTCTGTATGTCTTGCTTTCGTGACATTACAAGGCGTCTTCGTGGCCGGTGATTCGAGCTCGAATTCCTCGTGTGAGTCTGCCCTTCACCCCCATCCCTCTTCCCAACCCACCACATCCAATCCAATCTAACCACAATGAATAATAAATAGGCTCCTCCTCCTCCATAACCCTAACCACGCAATCCGACGCCGACTCCCTCTCCTCCTGCGACACCATCTCCGGCACCCTCAGCATCTCCACCTCCGCCAGCGGATCCATCTCCCTCTCCAACGTCCAAACCATCAACGGCGGGCTCACCATCCAAAATGTCACCTCCCTGACAGCCTTCTCGGCATCAGATCTCCAGACCGTACACGGCAAGATCTATATCGCGGGTAATGATCAATTGAGCAATCTCTCCCTGTCCGATCTGCAGACTGTTGGCGGGGAGATTGATATTCAGGATAATGACGACTTGAGGGATTTGGTGTTCCAAGAGTTGGAGAAGGTGGAGGGGGCGTTGGTGCTCGAGGGGGTGTTTGATGAGTATGTCCCCCACCTCTACCTTTTACATATTCTGTGTGGTGGAGTTAAGGAGGTGGAATGTGATGCTGATGGAGTATGATGATAGTATCAAATTCCCCTCCCTCAAACACGCCAAAGGCCAAACCCTCATAAACTCCCACGGCGGCTCATTCCGCTGCTCGAGCCTAGATTCCCTCCGCAACGGTAAGAGTGACGACGATGATGACAACGATAATGACGACGACAATACCCGCAAACGCAACAACAACAACAACAACAGCAGCAGCAGCAGCAGCAGCAGCAGCAACAACAACGGCGTCTTCCAAGGCTCATACTCCTGCACTGACGGATCCAGCAGCGGCCTCAGCACGGGAGCCAAAGCCGGGATCGCAATCGCAGTGATCGTCCTCGTTTTACTCATTCTCTTCCTCGTCTGGACGGTAGTTAAGAAACGACGGATTCGACGGAGAAGACGCAATATCAATACCCAGGATGGAAACGTATATACGGCTGTTGGGACGGCGCGGGATGAAGAGAAAGTCATAGGGTCGTATGAGAAACCGCTTCCTCTCCCGCTCACCGGTTCTTTGGTCGGGAGGAATGGTGGTGCTGGTAGTGAGCCGATGAATGTGGTCGGTAGTGGGATACCCCGGAAACCGTTATCGCCGCCGCCTGTAGAGGACAACGGGATGAATAGGGATGGGAATCGAGAATCCATGCTGTCGACTTCCCCGCCTGTCCCGGCCGCACTCCTGCCCGGGGATCGAACATCGCGATCACCGCCTCTCGATGAAGATGGTCGCTCACTGTTCTTGCATCCAATTCCGCGGCGACGACCGTCCGAGACGGATGTGCCGTTGTTGGATAGTGGAGACGTGCATGAAGCGCCGGGGAGTCCGATGCGGAGGGAGACGTTTGAGTTGGATGCGGGACCGGTGCGAGGGACGCATCAACAACCTATTAATCATGAGTGATATCCCTGGCGCGAGAGATGCTACTCGAAGCAACTAGATTATGGTATATATGTGATCATGTCAATAGGTGCAAAGAATTTTAAAACATCTAACTGTACAATTAGATCAATCGATTCATATCAAACAAACCAAACCAAACCAAATGCATCCTGATATCACCCATCATGATAGTATACATCATGCATTAACAATCATCGATTAGATTATGACTTCGCTCGCACTGCCTGCAGTGTCTCGCCCGACGCCAACGGTCCACACCATCCGTATGCATCGCATCGGCATTGCTCGTACCGCGGACAACTATTCCGGTTAGCAGTCTGCGCTGTCCTCCATAGGTGGTATCACTTACTATATCGTGTCCATGCCGAAAATGATATGCCAGATCTTCTCATACACCCATCCCACCCCAAAACTATCCGTCAAGTCTGTCTCCTCGGCCCATCGCAACATCCGTTCGTAATCCTCGCGTGGGCGCTGGAGAATCCGCTCCCGACTGACTGCGAACTGCCCGCAGCACACATTTCCAATATGCTCGGGAACCTGATCTAGCGGCACGTTCAACAACGTCTGGTACACCTGCGGGAAGTACGCGCGGATGTCGTTCTTCTCAATGTCGATCTGCGTCGGGCTCCATGGATGCACGCTCGTCGGACACCCTGGGTTGTGCTCGCATCGTAGGTTCACGTATCCCTGCGCGTCAACGGCCTCGAGTCGGAGGTTTTTCAGCGCCGGACTGGTGTGCGTGCCGAAGAGGTCATTGTGCCATTGATCGAGGTTCGAGTGGACAAAGATCGTGTACTTGGGGAGTTGGGAGTAAAAGTCGACCACGAAGGAAAGGTATGCGGCGGCTTCGCGACCGCGGACTGTGCGAGGGACGAGGAGGTGCGGGGCGGGAGGTTCGTCGGTGGTGTAAATGAAGGGTATGGTACCACTAGTGAGAGGAAACCGTTAATATGATCGCGCAATGGGTGGTTGGGTACATACTGGTCCTTGCAGTAATTGAGGAGCCAGGTGAGGTCTTCTCGGACGGTGGCAGCTAATACGAGTCCAATGTCATTGGTCGCATTGTTGTAGGTCGCGGTGATTTCGGCGAGTTGAGACGTGACGATCTCGTGGTCGGTGACGGGTTGGATTTGAGGGACTGGACAGGGTCAGTCAGCATGACGATGGTATGATGCACACGGACCAACACGAGGTATATACCTGGCTGGGGCTCTTCAGGCTGTCCACCATAGAGATACCATGAGACCACGGAGGTCACCAGTAGGGCGAGACATCCCAGGCCGGCGGTGCGGCGGGCAGGCCAGCGAAATAGCCGCCTCTTCGACATTGGGATGGCCTCTCGGGGGTGGAGAAGCAGCGGGCGACGGGGCGAGGGAGGGGATATAAACTAGGAGAGAGGGGAAGGGGGAGGGGAACAGGAAAAAGGGGGAATAGAAACAATAAGGCTATCACGATGGAGGCATGAATGGACGACGAGGCTTAAGTCGCGTCATCCGCCATTTTGCGCGCAGCCGAACAACAGAAAGGGAAGAAGGACAAGGAAAGGAAGTGCGTGAGCCTCAGCGACCGACCGACGGCCAGGGAAGATGGCCGGCCAGACGAAAAGCCAAAAAGGGCCTCCTCCCGGTGGGGCCCGGCTGGACGCCATGGCCTCACGTAAGGGGCAGCTGGCGACGCCCCTAGCCGCGTTGGGCTAGCCTAGCCCCCCGACGGCCATTTAATCGTCAGGATCTCGGTTGGGGTGTAACCCCAGTGGAGACGGGATGTTCCTGGTGGTGGGGGCGACGTTGCCATCATTGGTGGCCAGCCCCCGGTCCAAGACCCGCTAGTTACGGATCCATCCCTAGCGCCACCCAACCATTCCCCGTTCGGAGCTAGGCCACGTTACTTGCAGATGAGACTGGAGAGGAATCTGGAGGTGGAACAACCGGAACGTTGAAATGGTGAGAATTGCTTGTCGCTGGCGGAGACAGAAGGGAGTTTCCCCTCCTACTACTCCGTATAGTAGGCGTAACAAGCAATCCCAGGGGCCGGGATTTAGGGCTGGCCAGCTGGCTGATCCTAGTTGCAGAGCCAAGAAGCCACTCGTCACGAGAGTACGTCACCCTACGAGGATTACCAAATGAAGCTCGACGGGTCATTTCCGCCGCGTCGGGCCCATCCGAACGCATGCAGACGTAGGCAAGAGCATGTATGCCACGCTCCTGTACGAAATCGGTGGAGCTGCTCGTTCTACAGCCGGGTATATTCCTGCAGCCACTGCTGCTGAGATATCCTCCGACGTCTTATCGTGAGGTGGTACGCGCGTCGATACAATAATTCAAGCGGAGGTCGTCATTAAGGACTGGGTTATGGAGAACACCGTAGTGGACATCACGATAGCTGATGAGTGCCAAAAATAGATCAGGAATGACACGGACTGTCGACTGACATTAGCTACAATTCTCCCTTATCAGGTACTATTTACTAGGATGCTGCATCGTGCACCTGTCACGATTGCGTATTCTCCCTATGATTAAACTTTGACTATTGTGTCAAAAAGGTTCCAGTAAGATTAAGCTGCTTATCTGAATATCCCCAAATATAAGCATGACTATAGTGCCACGTGATGGTATAGTCTAGCCATCCATGACATATCGAACTACTATCAGTTTCGCTGGCATGACATGAGCGAAAACTAATTCCTTGTACTCAGCAGGGGCATACAAGGTTCCGAGCCGACTGGAATGCGCGGGGTGCGCAATTAACTGTCATCTTGAAATCATCCCCACGTCTCTGATTGGGTGAGAGGAGAAGATTATAATGTGTGCCTATAAATTACCTTTAATTGCCCTTATAGACTCCAAATACTAAGCAACAGTTACGCCGCGTTTTACTTTCGCTCGGCCGGTCAAGATGTGGTCAGTGCAAGCGGCTACATCCTGGTTCGCGGGACGCTAGAGCGAGCTGGATGCTCTCAGCAGTACGCGTCTAGGCGTCATTTTGCAGTGATATTAATGTGTCCGGGGCCAGGCCGGGGCCGTCCCTTGGCTGCTCAGTGGAGACACCTGGGGAGACTCACCCAGCGACAGCGACCTTTTCCATCTAGATCTGACAGCCAAAGCACGGCCTTCATAACTCCTTGGCATAGTTGAAAATGAAAGAAAATTGAAGGTAGTCCCAAGACTCCTCTGGAGAATGTCACCTAGCTAGTCTGATAAGTCAGAGAAGTGCGAAGTTAAATTTGATCCCCAGAGTGGCACCTGGGTGGGCAAAGCGCCTCTCAACTTGAATATGCGCGCTTGCCTAAGTGAGTGTGACACGAGACAAGGGAATCAAGAAACTCGTCGTAACAACTAGGCTCTGCCACCCTTGCAGCCAGCAGAATCAGACATAGCAGCACAGCAGCCACGTTCAGATTAGATTTGAAGCCGCAATATAAGCATATACTAAGCCCAAGCCCATGCTGCTCGGCCCATATGTTCTGTTCGGCGGGATATGCGGAGAAACCAGATTGACTGTCTTCACATAAGGACTGTCGCAGATAGATTACCGCACGGAGGCAATCGAAAGGCCGTCATCACACACATTATGTGCTGTACTCCGGACAGGGTATTATCATCTTCAACACTAGCTGAACATGTCCGAGGAATTGAACGCCTTATAACACATCCCGGAGGCCAAAGGAGGCCTTGCAGGCCGATCCTCGCCTCCCTATCCGACCGAGCATTGCTCTCACATGACATCTGCGGAATACCGGTTGTCATCTAGTAGGTGTAACTGTACATGTCGGGAACAGAGTAGTCCGTACTCTGTACGGAGGGAGCACTATGGTCGACTCAATTCAACCGAGACAGGGATCGAACTGGAACAAGCAGGAATTAGCCGGATCGGAGAGGAAGCCGAGCGGATGATTGGATTCTGAACTGGGCAATTATCCGTGCGGGAAGCCGGACGGTCACATTTTTCGACGTTGCATACCAGCTGAAACGCAGATCATGCAGCCAAGCGGTTGTAAGCGAGCTGCCACTTACTCTGTACTCTGTCGTACTCCGTTGGAGTGTTGAATGCGCTAAAACCCCCAGATCACGTGCCTGGCAGGCTAATTGACCGGATGAGTAAGGTCAACGCGCACTGTGACTCGTGGAAAAATACCCGCAGGGTTACCTATTCAGGCAACGTGTTTGGACGCTTGACCCATCGGAGGAATGTCTGCCGCCTGACATCATTTCCTCCCTCCATGAACAGCTGCATATTGCGAGGCACACCAGTGTGCAGGAAAGTCGATCAGAGCGTATGCTGGATGATACTGTATCTGGAAAACCGTGATGATGGTCTGCACTGCCATTGCGGTGGCTGCGGACGAATGGACGACGTGCCTGGCTGCGACTCTGGCATCACGAACTCTCAGTCTAAGAACATCCCACGCGTGCCCCACCGAGGGGTCTAGCTGGCGGGGTAATGCCATTGAGCATCCCCAAAGAACTCCATCGAAGATCAGGCGCAGCCAGTCACGGCTCCAGGTCCTCCTCCTTTTACTCGATGGAAGTGTCGCGACCCCCACCGGAGGACCTTGCCCGTCTCGAAGCGCTCCTATTTCTACGCGCTCGCCCTCCTCGTCCTCATCTTTTCTTCCTCAACTTCATTCTATCTCCTCATTTTGACCTGCACGTCTCACAATGTCTCTCGGCAAGAAGGTTACCCTCAACTCCGGTGCTCAGATCCCGTATGTTGTCTTCCGGCCAGCGCAAATTCAATCACTGACCTCCATTAGCCAGCTGGGATTCGGTACCTGGCAGTCTGCCCCCGGTCAGGTCGGCGATGCCGTCTACGAGGCCCTGAAGGCCGGATACCGTCACTTGGTAGGTTCAGCAATCTAGATCGTATTCCGTCACTAACCTGAAATAGGATTTGGCTACTATGTAGGTTCCCAACGACGACTCCGAATACAAGCTAACCCCCGCAGCTACCAGAACCAGCGCGAGGTTGCTGAGGGTATCAAGAGGGCCTACAAGGATGTTCCTGGCCTCAAGCGTGAGGACCTTTTCATCGTATGTCACCAGACTATCCCAATGTTACCAATTATCACCTCTGACCGCATCTGCGCAACAGACCTCCAAGCTGTGGAACTCGCAGCACGACCCCGCCGTTGTCGAGCAGTCCCTGGATGAGTGCCTTGCTGAGCTCGAGCTCGACTACCTCGATGTACGTGATACCCACAACCATTCCATTGGCGACTGCTAATTCCGCAGCTCTACCTGGTCCACTGGCCTGTTGCTTTTACCACCGGCTCCAACTACTTCCCTCTCGTTGAGAACAGCTCTGTCGAGGGTGGTGATGTCCAGATCAACGACAACGTCTCGATCGTCGACACCTGGAGGGCCATGACCAAGCTCCCCAAGAGCAAGGCCCGCACCGTTGGTGTCTCCAACCACATGGTTCACCACGTAAGTACGCTGCAATGGCTGAGAGACCAAGCTGACCCGCGTAGCTTGAGGCCATCATCAAGGCCACCGGCGTTGTGCCCGCCGTCAACCAGATTGAGCGCCACCCGGTGCTGCAGAGCAACGAGCTCATCGAGTACTGCGGAAAGCTCGGCATCCACATCACTGCCTACTCTGTGAGCTCTCGTCATCCCCTTAAGTCCTTAGTCCCCGACTAACCACTCAGGCTTTCGGTAACAACGGCTTCGGCGTTCCCCTGCTGATCAACCGCCCCGAGGTTCAGGAGGTGGCCGAATCTGCCTCCAAGAGACTCGGCAGCACTGTCAGCCCCGCCCAAGTCATCCTGGCCTGGTCCCAGGTCGGCGGCCACAGCGTCATCCCCAAGTCGGTGACGGCATCTCGTATCCAGGCCAACTTCCAGGAGATTGAGCTTACGCCCGAGGAGGTTGCCAAGGTGTCGGAGCTGGGCAAGGACCGCAGACGCTACAACACTCCTTACATTGCCAACGTGCCTCGGTGGGATATCAACATCTTTGGTGAGGAGGAGGAGAAGCCTGCTGGACACCAGGTTGTTGTTTAGTGCTGGTCACTATTGTTGATAGACAAATGAATTAGCTTATTTGTATGCATCGTTGAGTACTTCACACCTTAGGCTTCGCTTATTGTCCAGTGGGCTGTTAAGTCAACGAGACACTGGTAGACATCGGTTCAAGTCCGACATGGCCTGATTACCCGACAGTTACCGTGCATCTTACCAATGCAGATCCCTGCATGTTGGCACCAAGAATACCCGACTTACAAATCAAGGTGCAGCGTCTGCATCACCCAGATGGGTATCTATGTCCGAGCAGCATCACATAAATACCCGAGGTACTCTATAGATCGTAACCTATCAACCACAGCTCTCTCTCTCTCTCTCTCTCTGTATAAAGAAACCACCACAATGACCATCCCCTCCACCACCCGCCAATGGATCCTCAACTCCAAACCCACCAGCACCCCCATCCTCTTCTCCCCATCCCACCCTGAACCAACCTTCATCCCCCAATCGAACCCCCTCCCCCCTCTCACCCCCACCACCGCCCTCCTTCAAACCCTCTACATCTCCAACGACCCCGCCCAACGCGGCCAAATGTCCGCCCTAGTCGACCCAGCCCGTCTCTACGTGCCCCCCATGACCCTCCACGCGCCAGTCCGCGCCTACACCATCTCCCGGGTGCTCGAGTCCGGGAATCCCGCCCTTCTGGCTCCGGGGACTATTGTCCTCGCTACGACCTCTTGGAGCGAGTACGCTATTGTCGAGATCAACGACGTGGAGGTCCTGGATCCGGAGAGGACACCGGGGGTGGGAATCAGTCATTATATGGGGAGTTTTGGTCTCCCCGGCTTGACGGCGCTGTATGCGTTGCGGGAGGTGGTCAAGTTGAAGAAGGGGGAGAGGGTGGTGGTTAGTGGTGCGGCGGGAGCGGTGGGGGGGATGGTGGTGCAGATTGCGAAGAAGGTGATGGGGGCTGATGAGGTATGTTCTTCTGTTGGATGGGTTTGTTGGGATGATGTGGCTAATGGGGTTGGGGGTAGGTGATTGGTATTGCGGGGACAGATGAAAAGTGTCGTTGGGTTGAGGGGTTGGGGGCGGATGTGTGTTTGAATTATAAGAAGGAGGGGTTTGAGGAGGAACTGTGGAAGGCGACGGAGGGGTTTGTGGATGTTTACTTTGGTGAGTGCACCTATTTCATTGCGCTGTATGATGAGAAGTGATAGCTGATGGGACAGACAATGTGGGTGGCCATATCCTCGATCTGATGCTCTTGCGAGTCAAGCGACATGGCAGGATCGCTGCGTCGTATGTCCCCTTTTACTACTAAGTTTACTAAATGAGCTCTTGTGCTAATGGTCGCAGCGGCACAATCGCCAACTACAACCGCGATGAAGATCGTATTGCTTTGAAGAACTTCTACGTATGTCTCTCGCCTCATGATTGATATCCGCTCATAGTTAACCAGGAAGTTGTCACCAACCGCCTCTCTGTGCTCGGGTTCATCATCTTTGACTACAGAGATCACTTTCCCGACGCCCGGGCAGAGCTCATCCAGGCCTGGAAGGACGGTAAGCTGGTGGTTGATGATGCGACGGAGACTGTGGTCGAGGCGAAGTTTGAAGATATTCCAGGGGTGTGGATGAAGCTGTTTGATGGGTCGAACACTGGCAAGTTGACGACGAAACTGGCCGAGTAATTTGTATGGTCAGCACTCAGCAGAGACTGCCCAAATTTTGGAGAATCCCAGCGCATACGGTGACTATATCGGGGATTGCAATGGACTGCAAGGGGGTTTCCCTACGGAGAACACATCTGTAGGAGGTCCACAGCATTCCAAATGCAATATCCGGTCTTCACACATAGCAGATGGCAGCCATAAGAGAGCTCTCATCTCTACAGTTCTCTCAATCCTACCAACCCAGCAGAGCACTCTTCTTATAAATCTATATATCCAATTTCAATCAAGCGAAACTCTGGCGGCATCCGGCGACGGCTTTCCACTGTTAAACAAATATATCATGAACCCAGTTGCCAGAAACCTGGCTCGAGCAAGGGCCAGGCTATTGCGGCCCCTCCTGCCCGGGAATATATGAGACGTTGACACCACTTTTTTCAACGACAACGCCATCGCTCCACCTTGCCAATAACTTGTATCCATTTCTCATTCATGTCCTATTGTCTGCACCTCTCCCAGCTCGCTATCGAACCATGCTGTATTAGCGTCGATCGCAGCATATCATCTTTCAAATACCATATTGCTCGAAGACCCTGATAAAGTCCAGATCAGTCACGCTCATGACCAGCATTCAACTGCCACGCTGCGTTCTATAATCCCAGGACACCTTCCGTCGCCATTCCATCTCATACCTACGCTTACACCTGCTTTGCGGATCGTGCGATTAGTCAGCAACTATGACAAGGACTCTACGCAGCCCATCAAGGCAACCAGACCCAGCGGTGGTTAAGAATTTGAATGCTGTGCCCATTATACACATTGCAGCAAATCCCATCAGGATTTCGAAAACCAAAGCGGTATAGCCTTTGTGGAATGACAGCGAGAGCTTGAGATATTCGTCGACGAAGATAGAGGTGTCATCGCAGTCCAGTCCGCCCGCTGAAGGTGGTGGATCAAACCATCATGAGTGCTTTTGTATAAAGCTGAACAAGAGCGAATTGTACAAGGATTCTTGACACGAGATGAGAGTTGGGCCTGTATCATGAGATCCTGGAATAAACTGTCATTCTGGGAAGGTACCAGTGCCAGTCGCACTGCTCGGAGATGGCGACGTACTAGGTGAAATCTACGACCAATTCAAGCTCATCTTGTGGTGGAATGGAATGTACGCCGTCTAGGATATAGATAGCTCGTTCACGGAGCTATTGCCATCGCTTCTGCGCAAGTTTGCGTTGGAGAAATACTTCCAACGACTAATACTTGCTTCAGTATGATGATGAAGAAATACACACGGCATCTATCTTGTCAACCCGACATGTATATTCACATCATTGCCATTCCAGCTGCTCAGCGCAAAGCAGTCTCCAATGAAAGGCTCAGGAGATATTCAGGATCAGATGCAATATACCACATCATTCCTGCGTGTGTACTTCGTGATGGATTGAGAAGACCGCAAATACACTGTTTATATATCCTTCCGTCTACAGACGCAACAAGGGGCATCATGTTCTAGCCATCTACTCTCTCCCTCTGGCATTTAGGAAGGATGCCTTGCTGACACTGGGTATACCTCTTACCCAAGAAGACTTTCCTGTATCCTGTCAGGGAATGACCATCTACCTTATACTGAAGGTGTGAATAGCGAGTGGGCTCTCAATCTTCTGATTTTGTGGGCCGTGCAAAGCACAGTTATCCTTGCTCTGCATCCAATGGGGAGACATACAGTGAGAGAGTGTCTGGCATACGCGTGGGTAATATCGGAATCAGCACTACTTCCAAGACTATCTTCCATATACGCGATAGTTGCAATGCTCTACCATCACATAGTGGATACCACGCAACCGCATCCATCACTATCATAATGAAACGAAACAAAACGAAACGTCCCCAAGGGCAAATGGTTGGCGCGCAGGAGACGACATAGGCCAAGCAACCATATTAGGCACACGTCAAATTGAGGCCGGGTCTCGGATGTCCACCATTACAATTACTGTATATGACATCGCGAGCTGGAGTAAACCACATCTGTTTACATGGGTGTTCAGTTAGTCTGATCCTGAGTGCCTCACGGAAACGGAAAAGGAAAGATGTTTTGATTCCGAACTCTACCGACCAGTTACTTCAATCCTGGTCTGTTTGGGGGTGTGGCGTTATGTCTTGCAGGTGGGGTCTGTGATGACTGTGAGGGCAATGCCTTTAATCGCGTGCTTTTTCTGAATCATAGACTAATTGGGAAGTCATGGTGGGGGTGCAGGTACTTAATACTTACTCTGGGTATCAAGATTTGACTTCCAATGCCCGTCAATTTGCTTTTTCTTGCTTATGGACTGTCAGACTCTACAGCGGACCACTCGGATCATCGTCTCTTCTTTTTTTCAGACTCCCATTTCAATACGGCGTCTCGCGTCTTTCCTGACTAGTAATCTTCCTTTACTTCCCTCAGATCCATGAAACATATTCCTCCCTTCAAACTCCTTACTTTGTATTACTCCCGCTTTGCCTGTGTATTGAGGTCCCCTCTTAGTGGTATGATAGTCTAATATCCACGGTAGTAGGTATCTTTCCGTAAATAAGCCCAGTTATCTTCCTCCAGTACGCTGTATCGGTAGTTATCAGACCACGAGAGACAACGGATTTGACCCACGAAACCAATTTCCAACCAGTCCCTGTGGCAGCCGCATTCCTCTATTCCGAGTGCTCATAATACAGATAGTAATTAAGATAATCACCAATGATGTCCGAAACCGGCTCTACTTTTCCTGCAACCAAGGATGCGAGAGCAACTCGTCCACACTATCACGATCATCTTCTCGTCACCGCAACATCTTTGAGATTAAATCCAGAAACCCCTGTTTATCATGCCCCTTCGACATCGAAAAGGAAGCTATCAAGGCTTCCCCTCTCGGGGATCAACTCCGGATATCTAAACTTGCCTGGATCACATTAGCATGTATTTACTACCATTAGAATGAACCATACCTTCGGCATCAAAATATCGAGACCCGTGCTTTGCTTGGAGCAACAGATTCCCCCGGCGGCGGACCCAGTATCGATATAATGCGAGCTAAATGCTTCTCTTCCGAGAAGACGGACGGATCTGATTCTGGCGGATCAAAAGGCCCACTCCCTCTTACAAGATCCAACATCTACTTCCTTATCATTACTTAGAATTCCCTAACAGAAAACGATAAACATACCGCAAGCCCCAAATTCCAAACATCAGCACTACAGCTCCAATCCTCCCCAGAATGACTTCCGGGGTTCGGTACTCATCCGGTTGAATGCGATGAGTATGAGTATGAATCTTAGATCCATCCACCGCTAGTCCGAAATCCGGAATCACTGGCCTCCCTAGATCTCGTACTTCTAAACCAAACTGGTTCCGGGAGAGATAGATTATTCGATCCCCTAGATGTTTCTGAGGTCGAGGGTCGGTCATCTCCTCCTGAGCAACCTCTTCGAGGATAGATGGGTTTCGAAGCGAGAGGAGGATGTTGTCGGGTTTGAGGTCTGGATTTCATCAGAAGGTGTGTTTTTACTCTGGGGTTATAGCTAAGTGCGTGCGGGATGGGATACCTGTATGAATCACCCGACATTGTGAATGCAGATATTCAAGACCCTGTAAGATCATTTCGCACCACCGGTCTCAGAACCTCCAAGGGAAGTTACATTCCCCTCGAACCGTCCGCTGGACCGTCCACAGCGGCTCGCAGAGAGGATATCAAATACCATGCAGAGATGCGTGCCATCTGGGGCCCAGACACGGGAAAGGAATCACGCAACGGGCTGATGAAAGTTCCAGCCTACATGATGCGGATTAGTGCGAGTAATGTGCTCTGTTACGCGGAGATCTCTTTCGGCGTCTTCCGTAGAGGTGTAATTGTTCGTCTTGATTTTTGATCGCTACGTAGCGTGCTGGACGCCAATAGCCCCCTATCATGTTAGTCAACAGCCATGGAAAGCAGCAATAGACGTACTGGTATAAATCACGAGCGAGCCACACCGTGGAACTAGTCCCCCAGTCTAGTTTCGCGGTGAGCTGGTATCGGTTGTGGAGCACTTCGTAGAGATGGATGGGCTGGGTAGAAATGCTTGGGGTTGTAGTGGGGAGCGCATTCTTCTTCCAGCAGTTTCGTCGCTGGGAGAAGCTTGATTGGTATCTTTGGTGGTTTGCAGGGGCGGGATTTGAATAGTCCAAGGAGCGAGCTTCTTTAATGTGCGCAGTGGTGTGGTCATTGTTGGAATAGTATGGTGTATTTATCCCTGGGTGAAACAAACGGCTACAGAGATAGATGGGGGCTGGCGGTGGCGCTCATGCGGTACGGTAAGTACCGTACGGCTAGAATATTCTTCACACTACAGCCTCTTGTGATATTGAATCGACTATTCACGCCGTGTAGAGGGTGAATGGATTATTCGAATCCAGGCATGTCTACAAAGAAGAGGAAGTAGCTAGAGACGGTCGGTAGGTGGTACCGCCGTAGCTAAATATCATGACAGCAATCCTTCTTGTGGTTTTAATTGTAGTCGATGGAAAAGCAGGAAATTAAATAAAGTAGACAAGATCAACACAAACATCAGAATAATCCCCTATCATGAACATCACACTAGTCCAACGCCATAAACACCTGCAACAAATCCCAATACCTCGGCGTTCCCAACCCCGTCACCGGATCCCATCCCTTCTCCGCCGGAAATCCATCCGTGCCACATCCCGGGTTCGATCCGACGGTAATATCATGGAACGCTTCGGGATGCGCATATAAGACAGGGTTGACATACCCGACCGGTGACTTGTTCGCCGCCAACCGCTCCTCGTTAATGCGGGTCAACATGGCTCCAAATGCCGGCGCAGCAGCACTCGTTCCCCCGATCAGGGTGGACTCGCCCTTGTTGTAGATGACCACGTTGTCTGCGATCGCGGAGATATCCGGATATCCCCGACCGATGCGGTTGTAGATTCCCCCGTTGTCGTTGAAGCTGTTGTTGTTGACGCTCTCGTAGTATGGGTAGTCGAGGTCGGCGCGGGAGAAGTACGCTTCGACCGATTGGTTCTGGTACGAAGGCCGGGCGTAGATGTTGCTGAAGCCGCCGCCGGACGGGAACCGCGTGACGGCAATCTCTTGATCTTGACTGGCAGAGGCCCCCAGGGGTAGGTAGGTGCCTCCGACTGCGGTTATGTAGGGACACGTGGCTGGAAAATCCGGGACGAAGACCTGCCCGTCGTCACCGAGGCAGGTATTGTCACTCGCGGAGACACCCGAGTCGCCGGACGCGATGATCACGGAGACACCCTGCAGACCGAGCTTCATGAATTCCTGGCATTGGCGGCGCTGGTAGGCGATCGGAAGGTCGGCTTCGGCAGCGCCGTAGGAGATGGAGATTACGTTTGTCGGCTTGTAGACGCCGCATTGCTTTTGGCCTTTGTAGCCGCCTGGGGCTGGGTCTGGGTAGGGAGGGTCCAAAGAGGAAGACTCGTCGCAGTATGAGCCGTCGATGGCGTAGAGGAAGTTGTTCAGGAAGCCCAAGTAGGTGTAGTCGTTTTCATACACGGGGTCGTCGGTTTGGAAGAGGACACTGTTCTGCGGCCAGATGATTGGATAGGAGATCTGAAAGTCCAGGTCGGATTCAGTGCCGGCGTTGATGACGTCGGTAGGGGCTACAGCACCGTCAATGGCCTCGAGGATAGGGTGAGTGCCTTGAGGGATGTCACTGGAACGATTAGCTGTGTCTGGAAGAGTGACGATGAGAGTACCTGGCGAGACTGGAGAAGAACAAGTCGAGATCCTCCTGGCTGTATACATCCCCTAAATCTTCGTAGATGCCAAGTTCGTTGCCCTCGGTGGCGGTGGTTCCTTTGGTGATGTTGTACATGGCTGAAAGGTTAGCCTAGTAGATGAAAGCTGGATGAACGTACCTCGTATGCACTCCGGCGTCACAGCGATATCACAGTATGCTAGAGGGTTGTCGAAAAGCTTGGAAATGGCAATCGGCAGCGCTCCAAGCAGTGGAGGCAGGTTTCCAAAGGAGCGTTTTGCAGCACTTCTCTTCTTAGAGCGCGTGCCGCGTAGTTCCAGCATCTTCACACCCGGTGTGATGTAGTCAATGTGCTCTTGGATGGATTCAGGAACATAGTATCTAAATGGTCAGCGGTGCCACGTTTTATCGGGTGTGGCTTACTCATGGCAGGTGACATGGGAGCGTCCTGTGTCGGCGTGCTCATAAATGTAGTATTCTGTCTGCAGGAGCTGCTCGACCTCCGCAGCACTGGCGTCAAACCGCAGCCATTGCTTGTTGTAGGACTGCGATATGCGGCTGGGAGCAATGCCAGCAGACTCGAGCCAGGATCTAACTGTCTCGACGGTTTCCATGGACGGGGCAAACAGATCGTGCACTTCCTCCGTGGAGAGGTGCTGTCCGTAGCGGGAAGAGTGTGGATGAGACCTGAGTTGTCAGCTACGCTCTTCTGAGTAGATAAAAAAACTTACACCTCCATTAGCAGGTCATGACCACGGTCCAAGTTGGACTGGGTCAGACCAATCCGCATGGGCAAGAGGGCATCTTCATGAAGCCGCCTTTCCTCTATCCAGCCACTAGGCAATGCGTCTCGCCGTTCATGAACAACATAGCTAGGAGGGGTCGGACTAGCCAGAACAGCCGTCACACCAAGAAGGAATAGAGAGGCTCGCATTTTGACGGGCAGCAAGACAAGCGTAGCGTGCGCAGAATCCTGCGAGGCAGAGGCCGGAGATATATGCTGGCGATAAGCACGCCGCTGATCGCTTTTCACCGAGACATTGCTATTGACCATCTGTGATCCGTAGCAATCGACGGCACTAGTACATACCCCTCAGACTAGTGACGAGGAATTTCCGACGCAGTTAGGTCAGGGACTAGAGCCTGATAAGAACTCACTGGCACCATCGCCAATGAGGGATAGTCTCGTGCAGATCGAACGATCAAGCTCCGCCGTCTGTCGGCGTCAGTTGCTGCTATTGTGCTTAGCCAAAGGCTATTGCGGACGTCCATGAAGGCCGAGTGCATCTTGCGCTGATGATGGAATTGACGCAACTTAAATGTGATCTTCCTTGGTCATGATGGTGTGACCATCAGGCGTTATGATTCAGACTGCGAATTTCAGCCTGCCGTTGCCCTGTTTCAGCTGCGGTCAACGTGGTTCGTGCAACCGCACAAGAACAATGCCAATGACTGGCATCGAACAATAGCCAGGACGTAGGAGAAATAGTGGGTGGGGGGAGGATGAAGTGGAGGAAGTGAAGTGGAGGGATCGGCTGATGCCTCCACTAGTGTGGGTTGGCTCAGCTCGAGGGTCGATCGCTTCGGAGTCGGACAATCCAGTCGGAGTTGAAGATCTACTAATGTATTTTTCCTTTGATGTCATGTTGGTGCATTGTAGGAAGACAGATGCTAGATATAGCTAATTGACATCAGAAGCAGCACTCTTGAACCAACCCAACGGAGTATTTTGTCCAACAAGATACAGTCAAACACATGTCGTACCAAGACCACAGTGCATACAGATTCATCCCATCTCTGCTTTGCCCCACTCCGTGGATCAATAACTCCATATCACACCTCCATGTAACTCTATCCACCTAGTGTAGGATCTTATGACATCACACCAATACATCATGCTCAGTCCAACTGCAAGGACCGCTCTGTCAGCTTTGAATCGATCCCCTCTCCTTCTTCCACAGTGGTTTCAGTTGACACATTATCAAGTCCCGTCTGTGGATCCTCCAGGCTCAGCAGGGGAATTAAATTGTCCACACAGAGCACGGCGGTGTTGATGGAGCCGAGCTGGTCCTGAGTGCCTTCATGAACGAGGTCTGTCTCGTCGGTGGGGTAGTTGTCAGCAGACATGGGAGGATTCGCATCCGAGGTCTCGGTGGAAGGGATCTCGCTGGGGGTTGTGGGTGTGGTGGTGCCGTTGACCGGGACGGTGGTATCCTGGTGCGGGTCGAGATTGTTCATGGTGGAAGGTTTGCTGTCTTGGTGAGATGGCGATGGATAGGAAGGGGAGGGGACTTACTTTGTTTCGCTCGCTGATTCAGTGCAAAGTCTGGAGTTGATAGCCACGCAGGTCTTGAGAACGAAGCGTGAAGCGGATGAGAGTCGGATGCATACGGGGGGTGGAATGTCACAGTCGCCGCAGTAGCCGTGAATAGGGCGATGAATGGATGTTATATTCACCTCGTGATGACTGGTAATTGTCCTGGATTCATATAAATGAGGTGCTGTGTGGCTCTTAATTCCCTTCGCAAACCCGCCGCCGGTGATCAAAGGAAGATGCCGGTCATTTGTAGGAATCTGGAGCCGTGTAGGCATCAAAGTGTCTTGGTAATGGACAAATCCCGCAAGATTAGCTTGGTCTGTAGAAGCATTCCCCATGGCTTTCTGAGTACGAGAATTCCGAAGAGATGTTCCTTGCCAGTTATTTCCTGACTCAAAACTCCATATGTTCGTATGTATAGGATTTCGGAGACATACCATATCGCCAAGTTTTCATAAAAATTTACCTAGCAGACAAGAGTTCCCTCGGACTGACAATACCGTGCACAAAGCCCCTGAACAAAGAAGCTCGGTCGGTCTATCCCTTTTGTTTGCAGCAAGATTCCTCTCCCAGGAAATTCCCTATACGATGAACACCCAAACTTGCTTTCCCACGTACTCATTTCGAGCCCCTGGCGCTTATTTCAGATCGCTTACGGTCAGTGGCACTATAAACATTAGTAATAGTCGCGTTGTCTCTCATTCAAAAAGCCTCTTAATGGTATGGCAATCATGGACAGTATCCCGCGAAAAAAATTCTATTATTGGAGAATATATGGACATGCTCCGCTTTTGACTTTCACAGTATGGCTCTGATGGGTTTGTAGAAAGGCATAAAAGCCTGATCCTTGACCTGAGTGTAACCAAACAGGTCACAGGCCTTCATTCTACTACCAACTGCCTTGAAGGCTTACCCTATCATTAACCAAATAGCTCAGTTGACTGGAACTGGGTGTCCCTGCGAGTTACATACGAATCCCCTCGACTTAGTGGTCAACCTTCGAAGTTCGGCGGAGTAAAACCACTAACCGTCCTCGTTCCAAAGACTCTTTCCCACCCAAGGACCTGATAGATACATCTGTCATCCTGCCAAAATGACAGAGAAGGTATTCATCGGAGGTCTAGACAGGCTCCACGTGGTGCACAACCTGTGGACACGGTCCACAATCGCATCACCCGAATATGACGAAGAAGAACCATGGACACTGATCGAGGAAGTAGACTCCTCACCCAGCTCTGACGATCCCTACGAGAACGTCAAACGGCCATACGAGCAAGTCGTGCGTTGCATACTGCGGAAACTCGCCGCCGTCGACATTGCATCCGACGAGTGCATAACTGGTTCCGCCTCACCCGAGCTCAACGTTCTAGAAGCCCGAGATCAATGCGAGAACAGCCAATTCAAGCTCGGAACCCTACAGGGCAGGGTCATGAGATGTGATTTGTCTGAGGAGTGGGTGGATCCTACTGGATATGACGAACATAACGGGCCGGGGGCATTTGCTGAGGTTGTTGCTGGAACTATGCAGGAGAAGGTCTCCATCAAAGGGTTGGATAAATATGAACTGGCGCATGCGTTGTGGGAGCGGTCACGTCCGATCCTCAAGGTGAATGTGGAGCTCCCTTATGATGCAGTGGTAGCTAGACGGTTGTGCGATAAGCATCGGTTTAACCTCGTTTATTTCCAAGGGAAGGTGATTAATTGTGATCTGTCCCGGGAGTCGGTGGATTGTTGGGTGTACGATAGTATTAATGGACGGGGAGCATTTGCACAGGTGGTGGAATGTATGCAGCGGGGGCGTCTGATTGAAGAATCGGTGGAGGATGTGTCCATCCACGGTCTGGATAAGCATGAGCTGGTCCGGGCGTTGTGGATGAGGTCGAATCCCTCTCGGTTCTATGCCATGTGTGGGGTTCCGGTTCCGGAGTTTGATGACGAGGCAGCTCGAGCGGATTCAAAGGGGCTGAATTTCAACTTTCGATTTCTTCAGGGCCGAATCATGAAATGTGATCTGTCTGGGGATACGGCCAGCCCTTGGGGATACGACAGGTACACGGAGAAGGGGGTGTTTGCAAGGGTTGTGGAAGATCTCCGGAACACTCTTCACAACTAGTATAGAGTACATTGGTTGTTTGGGAGGGTTGTTGGGGAACTCAGGGAAGAGAATCGGTGCAAGGATACTACTGCTGCTCTTGGGGAGGATTGTGGTGTGCGTGGTGGTGCTGAGGGGGATATGGGGAAGAGAGAACGAGCCTGGGTGTTGAGTCATTGCTTTTAGTTATGTTGTTAATTTGGTCGCTCTTTTGAATGAAACATCACTTGCTTGGTTGGGTTTGAGGTCAAAAACGAATCACAATGGTAATTGGGATTACTGAGAATAAACTGTATCTGGAGATGTATACTGATTGTTATCTGGGGCGAGCATTGCTGAGGCACTGCATCCAGTGCGGTCATTGATGTGATTTAGTATCATGCGCTGGCGATGGTGATCAAGAATTATTGAGAGTGAAGCAACTCTGTTGAGGCAGACTACTGCAAGCCGAAGATAAGGCACGGGGAATGAGATGATTCTGGTTCACGAAAAATGTCCACACATATATCGTATTGAATATATAGTAGGCAACCTATCGACATCACATTACGCGTAATATTTTCTCATCACTCCACTATACAGACAGATTCGCATCCCACACCTGGTATCTCAAGCAACCTTATCCCCAGTAGTAACCTCTTCATGAACAACCTGGCCACCCGCCACCCGCTTCTCCTCGTCAAAACCAACTTGCTCAATCATCGCAGCACGAGAGAACTCGTTCTTGGTCTTCCAGGCCGGCGTACCGATGTAGGGAATACCATTCGGGTCCGTGAAGATGGCCTCGACCTCCTCCAGGGTCTTGCCGGTGGTCTCGGGGAAGAAGAAGAAGATGTGGAGGAACATGGCGGTACAGAAGACACCAAAGAGGATATAGACCTTCCACTGAATGTTGACAAAGGCCGGAGGCACAAAGTAGCTCAGGGCGAAGTTAAAGGCCCAGTTGGCCGAGGTGCAAAGGGCGGTGGCCTTGCCACGCACGCGCAGGGGGAACAGCTCCGGGGGATACACCCAGCTGGCCGGGCCGAACGAAATGGCGTACGAGGCCACGAACAGATAGGTACAGGCAATGACGGCCTTGCTGGCCGGGCCTTCAATAACCCAGGACTCAGCTTCGACGTGATTGAGACCGCCGGGAGGAGCAGGGTGACCATAGCTGGCCATCAGACCGGCATTGGCGTACATCCAGATCATCATGAAGAGGGACCCCAGGAGGAAGGTCGGACGACGACCCCATCGGTCTCCCCAGATCAGGGCCGGGACGGTCATGCAGACGTTGATCACGTACTGAATACTGGAGGAGATCAGGTTGTTGTTTCCCTTCAGGCCGGCCATGGCGAAGACGTAGGTAATATAATACACTAGAAGCAGTTAGCCATGATGACTCGCCCAGCCAGCAGAAAGACCTACTCATGACGTTCATGCCAGTCAGCTGGGACCAGATCTGAACAAAAATTCCCACATGGGTGCGGTTGATCATGTTGGGCTTGAAGAGTTCAAGGTAGGTGACATCAGCGTTGGCACGCTCGAACTCGCACATGCCCTTGATCTCTTCGAATTCGCGCTGCACGAAGGGGGAGTCGGGGTCGCCTTGGCCGTGCACGAGGGTCAGGACGGCGTGGCATTCCTCCCACCGGTCGTTGCGCGCCAGCCAACGAGGAGACTCGGGCAGGAACAACATGCCCAGGAACAACAGAATGGCAGGGATCATTTGCAGGCCCCAGGGGATACGGAAGGCGGCCGTGCCCTTGATGTAGCTGCAGCCGTAGGAGAGGCTAATTGACTGTAAGAATATGACAGCGACACTGGTGGAGCTCGACCTACTAGAACATGATCAAGATACCCCAGGTGATGGCCCATTGCTGCAGACCGACGACACGGCCACGCTTGGTGGGAGGAGCCTATCCGGTTAGCAGGTCACGTAGCCAAAGGAATCGTGCTACTTACAATCTCCGAAATGTACACCGGTACCTGAGCCGAGCAGATACCAACACTCAGGCCGTTGATGACACGGCCGACGATCAACATGGGAATGTTCTGAGAGGCACAGACAATGATGGATCCAATGCACCTAGGAGGTCATGATCAGTAACGAGCATCAGATACAAGGAGGGTGAGGGATGTACCAGATGACCGAACCGATCTGAATCGAAGTTCGACGGCCGAGCTTATCCGAGATGAAACCCGACAGCAACGAGCCCAGCCAGGAACCTCCGGCCATGGAGGCGGTGATACCACCCTGCACATCTGCACTGGGGCCCTTACACACCCGGTTACCGTTGTCGTCGTACTCCAAAGGACCCTGGTTGAAATAGCAGAGATAGGCATCGGTTTCAATGATCGCAGACATCGACGAGATATCAAAACCGAACAGACCACCGCCCACAACGGCGATGGCCGCAATGAAGTAAAGATTGCCGATGGCCATGATGCAAGTTGATCCCACTCACAGCAGTAGAAGTGAATCTGACGGGACACCACCGAAGAGGGAAAAAGAGAAACGCAGGAGTACCCGGGGAAAAGACGGGGATTTAAAAGAACGGGGACCCGGGATGGCACCAGAGGAAATGGGGGGAAGGGGACGACGAGCCGAAATCCGACCACTGAGACAGGAGGGAAAGCCACGGCGTCAACACCACAGCAGCCATGATGGCCGGGTGAATCGCCAAACCTAAAGGGTGGTAGAGGCTGTCCCGACCCGAGTCGCACGGGGAAGCAGACCCATGCCAGGGGAAATTAGCCCGACCCCTACTAGCGGAGAGACAGGCAGATGCGGTTAGAGTGCAGTCAGCCTGACTAGCGATTGGATGCATGCAGCGAGTGGCGGTCCACAGGAAGCTGACATGGAGGAGGAGCCCATGGGTCTTCGGCTGGCCGTGAGTCCATCCGTCGCATGGAAAAAACCGGGGCGGCACATGGTCTGGAGAATGGAGTCATGGAGTGGTCATGGATCGAGCGATCAGGAGGCGGGCCATGACATCGCGACTCAGCTTCATGGCATTGCATCGGGGGCCCCGGATGTGACCCTAGACGGGCAGCGAGCCGCAGCCGTCGACGGCTTCACGAATCACGGTAAACATCAGACCAGAAGTCAGGGCAACCCTGAACCGAAGACGGGTCACCCGAGGGTCGGAGGCCGCGGCGAAGCGTGGGCGTGGAGGGGAAAAGTGGAGGATTCCGGGGATTGAGTGGATCGGCATCGTGTCTTCCTTTCCCGGCTATGGCGTGTCTGGTTGGGCCGATTCATCTGGCCTGCCTGGAGCGGTCCGAGAAACAAATCCGAATCGATCCAGGATGCCGGTCAGCGAGGCAATAATGCCAGCGGGATGATGCAGCGTCTGTGCGACGGTCAATAACGCGATGCAGACCGGTTTTGATACCCAGACACCGTTTGGGGGATGGGTTGATCGGTGAAGAGCGTTGAGGAGGGAGATGTGTGGAGGAGCCTGAGGTGCCCCGGACCCAACCCGGTTCCCCAGAGCACATGACCGCCCGTCCCTCAGGCGCCGAGGCCTTAAACCCTAATCGGGCCTACTCTGACTTTCAGGGTCTTGGCTGGATGCCCTAGGCCCGGAGCGGCTAGCCCCGTCGGGTTGGGCCAGAACGCGGGCCAATCATCCCCCAGTTCCTAAGTGATCCCCACGGGCAGCTGGTCCTACGGAATCCCTCGACCAGAACTGCGACAGGAACAGGGGTGGGCAGCCATCAACAAGGACATTCCCGTTAGAGGCCACCACCAGCGGGATGGCGACCACTCGGCTGGCTCTCGCTTACCGACTGCTCGTTACTAAATCCCTCAACCCGACGCAACCCTCAATTCCCCGGCCCCCGCGACCTCACCTGATGAATTCGACCAGGCCATGGATATTACCCGGCGCCCCCATTTTAACCATCGCCAAGGACTAACGGCCTCTTCAAATTTTTTACGCCGCTTCTCCTCGGCCTCTCCTCCCCACTGATTCGTGGATTTTCTCCGTCCGTGGCGGGCTGTTCCAATGAGCCTGGGGCAGGCCAGCCTTCCCCACTGTATCCATTACTCAACGAAGGAGTCGTTACTCGTTCGGCCAAAAATTTCGGTGGATGGCGAAACACGCCGGGAAAGATGAATCTGGCAAAAGGGCCAACGGCAAATGCAATTCCAAGTAATCTCACGTGCGTGTATATACGAACAATGTCATTATCATTACGGGGGCAGGAGCAGACCTGGTCTGCTGCGGTGCACGGGAGCCAAACACGGAAATCAAGAAATCTACTCGGGTCATGCAGGGCAGCCAGCCCTAATTACCCGGCTGCCCATCCAACGGCCTGACCCCGGCTCACACCAACTCCCACTGCGCGATGCCGGCATAGCTCGTCGCCACCCGACCAACCTGCGCCCGATATTCCTCCGCTGTCACCCCGCGCGCGTCCTCCCGATCCCCGAGCTTGGTCAACACCATCAACTGCAGCTTCTGGCCCGGCGCTCCCAGCATCCTGGCATCCGGGACGTCCACATACCAGACATCTCCCCCGCCGTTGGCTCCCGCTCCCCGGAAATGCGTGAGCAAAAGATTCTCCTTCTTGCGCCCATCCACCCCGTGCGTCATCAGCAGGAACAGCCCGGGCTGGGCCCGGGTGTGATACTCCAGGGTCCAGTGCTCGCAAATCAGGCCAAACTGGAAACGCATCGGGCCTCCCTGGTGGATGGAGATCTGCTTGGCAGCCGGGAGGAAGGAGCGCCTTCCAATGCCGTGCTTGTCGGCGTCATTGAAAATCACGGGCTGCTCAGCACACAGAGGTGACGCCGGGTTCCCCAGGAGGTACTCCTCCCAGCTGATCTCGGGACGCCCATCATCCCGATAGAACTGGGTGGGGTCGGTGGGGAAGTGCCTCAAGCCCATCTCATCGTTGGTGTTGGTGAACATGGCTGGGTTGAACTTCGCAACGTAGGGCTGCCCCGGGCCGTTGATGAACCCTGCGCCCCAGCATGCGTCGACGAGTTTCCATTGCCCATGGTCAATCCTGACCACGTTCCAGGCATGACCAGCTCGGACGGGAGGAAGTGCAGAGCCGGGGACAGGCTCCTGAAACCCATAACCCTTGCCGTGACCAGAGATGGTCTTGGCCTCCATGCCGGCTTCAGTAGCAAGCGCAGTAAACAGCCCGGCGTACCCCGCACATACCGCCAACCCAGATGCCAGCGTGCGGGCTGGAGTCGCCGCCTCTACCCGATTGTTAAAGAAGGCCTCGGTGTCATACTTGACATTGTGGTGGAGCCACGTGAAGATAACTCGAGCTTTGTCCGTGAGCGAGGGGAACGGGCCCGTCAGCTCCCTCGCCAGCCAGCCCAAATCGTGGGTCGGAAGAGACTCGCGTGGGTATTGAGCCGCATGGGCATCGGGGGCCGAGAAGTCGCGGCATTTCAAGCAAGCGATGGTCGGCGGCACGGCTAGCGGATTGGGCGCATACATACGAGGTTTCGTGGCTTGAATCTTGGAAAGATCCGGTCGCGAGGCCAACGGAACAGGCGGAGGCACCCCATTGGCGCTGGGCTCGGAGGATGTTCCATTGGTGTTACCGAAATTCTTGTTAATTGCGGCGAACCCGGATTGCTTGAGTTTCCCAAGCGTAGCGTCCGAGGGCATAGGCGGAGGAAGCCTCCGGGCCGGTAGTGGTGGGTTCCTCTCCTCCTCTTCGTTGATACTGGGAGAGTGGTCGATGGGATTCCGAGAGGGTAACCGGGGAGGAAGCCGGGGCCGCTCAGAATCTGTGCTTTCCGCGGAGTAGTTGCTGTGGCTCGATTTGCGCCGCAGGGGCAAACTCGGACGAGGCGGGGACAATTTACTAATGCTCTTCTTAGTCTTGAGCGACGGCCGCGGTGGTGGTTGCGGCTGTCGTTTCGGCGGCAAGGGGGGCAAGTCAGCCTCTCCCCATGCGGGGGGCAGGGAGCGCCCAGGGCCTGCATCGAATGAGGTAGCCGACGTAGATGTTGTGCGTCCAGCACTTGTCGTTGTTGATCTCGATATATCCGATGCCATGGACTCTAGAGAGCCTTTCCGAGAGGGCTGCGTAGGTCTGCGCGGCGGGAGAGCTGGGCGCTGCTGGTCGGAGGGCTTGCGAGCTGGCAAAGGAGGGGGCGTCTTGTATTTCGCAGGTGCTGGTGCTGGTGCCGTAGAGGGACGTGGGACGGGTCGGGGAGGAACCACATTAAGGGAGGTGGACGAATGACTGTAGATCGAACCATTGCTGCCAGCAGCATGGTTATTGGTGTTGTCGTTGGGAATGGTAGCGGTGGTGAAGGTCTTGGGTCGCGGGGGAGCAGCCGGCCGGATGGGCATTGGAGTGGGCTGAACAAGCACCGGCTCGCTGGCCTCGGTCCCTGCGCTTTGACCAGCAGCTTGCGCCTGTTTCAGCGCCGCGATCCGTTGCTGGATAGACATGACCTGAGGTTCTTCCGCCATGGTGTGATTATGGTTGCGATTACGTGAGTTAGAGAACGGGGGAAGCGAACGAATGGCGATCAAACGGTAATCGTGTCCAGGAACAGATTCCAGTCGATAGCGATGTCAAAATTAAGAGAATTAAGAGGACATGGGAAAGGGTAAAGGAGGAAGAACACCCTCTGGGGCGGAGGTGGTGAAAGAAAGACAGAAAGCAGACTCCAGAGGGAGATTGGGGGCGAGACTTATAGGCCCTGCCTCGGAGGGGAAGAAGGAGAGGAGAAAGCGAGTGGATCGAGAAGTGGGCGAGGCTGTGAAACCAGCCAGGGTGGCTCAGCCTTACGGGTGCCTGAGGTGTGGATCGCCCGCATCAGTCATCCACCGACCCATAGTTATCTACTCCGTAGATAGTACCCATATGATCCATCATACACGCAATGCTTCCATTGACAGACAGTTAATTATAGCCCTGCACTTCCCGCCCCTTGACAAACACCCGGCCAATGTTGCGGTCATCCCCCGTCATTAGGAACTTTTCAAACACCTTCTGGATTCCATCTTCCTCCTCCACCGGCGCCATTACTCCCTCCCCATGGGTCCGAACAAGCAGCGCATCGAACTCCTTGCCGACCAGAAAATTCCCAACCTTCTCCTGCAGTCCACACACCCTCGCGCCTCCTAGCGTAGCCATATAAAACCCTTCCGTGACACTCAACGGCTTGTCCCGGCCTTCTGTCATCGTACACCGCGCCGTAGACACCACAAACGCAGCCTTCATCACATCAAGCATGGAACTCGAATACCCTCCACCGCAGTCGGTCCCTAAACCGACCTTGATATCGCGTCTCAGATACTCTCGTACGGGCGCAACCATGAACTCATCCATCGTGACATTGGGGATGGGACAGTGAGCAATCCCACACTTCAACTCCGTTATGCGTTCAATTTCCGCATCAGAAAGATATATCGAGTGAGCAAGAATGCTGCGGTCATTCAGCAACCCCAACCGCTCATAGAGCTCAGTTTCACTCTTATCATTCGGAAACAATGACCTCGTGAAATCCACCTCGCCCCGCGACTCATTGAAATGGGTCTGAACGGGCAAGTCACTGTTCCGGGTCGCAACCTCCCCGAGCCCAACTAGGAGCTCCTCCTCACAGCTGATCGCGAACCGTGGCGTGATCACGGGCGTTACTAATCCGTGCGCTGGATCAAGCTTCCTAACCTCGGCGATGAAGTCCTCCGTATCACGTAGAGACTCCTCCACCGACGGATCACGGTACCAGTCCGGGGCGTGGCGGTTCATATTGCATTTCCCAATAAGGGCGCGCTGGCCGAGGCTAAGGCAGGTTTCCGCGAGGATCACCGATGCCGACGCATGGCGGGAGCCGTAGTAGCAGGCGGTGGTGATTCCTTGTTTCAGACCACCGCGGACACAGGAGCTATAGAGCGTCTTCGCATATTCCGGATCGGATAGTTTGGCTTCGTGTCGGAAGGTGATGGTTTCCAGCCAAGTCAAAAGGTCGATGCCGCGCCCGGTGCCGCGTTGCGCCCATTGCGGGGCATGAGTGTGGGTATCGATGAAGCCGGGAATGATGAACTCGGACGGTTGGAGAATCGTCACGGTGCAGGTAGATTCAGAGTAACCGTGCTCTGGGAGAATGTCAGGGATGGAGGCTGCCGGGGTGCGTGGACGGATGGATTCGATGGTTCCAGTGGGGGAGATGAGGATGAAGGCATCGGTGAGGATCTCAAGTTCATCGGAACTAAGGGTGTGGATGACAGTGCCATAAAAGGCTTGGGCTTTGGCTTCAACAGAAGTCATGGTAGTGGTTGTGAGTATGGTGGTGGAGGTGGGAGTGAGAGTTGGCAGAAGATAAGCGTGGTTGGGGTTTATCTACAGCGGGGTAGCGAGGCACTTCGTGTTTACAGAACCACCACAACGCCGTAAGCACAGATACAAAATGCCCCCAGCACCATCCCATCCCAACAACTAAAGGGTATAGTACGTCGCCATCTCCTCCTGAAACCAGTCATAGGAATAGAACAACTGCTCGGCCAGTTGGGGATCAATCATCGGCACCGTCCCCGATCCATTGACCAACAGGACATCATCTAGCACCGGCGCCAGAGGCACCGGCGGTGCGACCAGAACATGCTGCGGCTGCGGCGGCGGTGGCTGCTCCAGGATTGGTTGATGATGTGGTAGTGGCGGTGGTGGCGGAGGCTGTTGTTGTTGTTGGATCTGTTGTTGTTGTTGTTGCTGCTGCTGCTGCTGCTGCTGCTGTTCCTGCTGATATGCCAAGTGGCTGAAGATCATTGTGCTCTGGTTGCGAAAGGTCTCCGCCAGTCGTTCCACTCCCGGGCGGCGCTTTCCAAACTCCTCCAACAAGACAACAACCGCCTGGATGGCACGTCGCATGGTCTGGTCCTCCGGCTTCCATGCCGCCACACGGCCCTCGCGGACAGAATGAAGGTCTTGGTTGAGACACCACAGGATCGTGATGCCGGCAAAGTAGACTTGACTGAGAGTCAACCAGATCCACTTGAGCTTACCCAACGAATAACTGTCCCAGTATGACCGAATAACCTGAATGCTAGCATCCCCGCAGCTCACTATGCTTGTTGCGTCGGGCGTCGGATTCCGCGGACTGGGCCGGTACATGAGGAGCAGGGTCGTGGCGTACAAGTAATCGTAATAGCTAGTGGAGTAGAGAAGCGCTGGTGGGTACACTGGGGCTGCGCGCCGCCAGTCATCCAGCTCCTGGCGAAAATGACTGAGCGTGATGGCGACCTCAGTAGGAGGGGGTGGCGATTGATTGTTAAATACTGTCACGGTCAGTGGGTGGGACGTGGGGAGCCCGAAGGTAAAGTAGGAGCCTTACAGTAACGGTAGATGCGTGAAAAGATCCGACGCAGACGTACCACCTGCAGGGGAATCGTCATGGCGCTAGCCCCGGGGGCCTCCGTCCAGTCATCGTTAAACTCTCGCGGCAGGCTTACAGAGATGTCTTCATCCGCTATCCCAAGTGGCCGTCCAAGGGTACTCGCTATCAGTCGATCAAGGTTGTATAGACTCCAAAACGCCCGTTTAGCCATCTCCTCTTCCACCGCGTTGCCCACTGAACGGGCTTTGTGTAATCCTAGGCTGGTAGCGAGACGCAAAGCCGTCCCGAGGATATGCCACACACTTGGACCCGTGGTCGCAAACATCGTGTATACTGCCACGCTCAACAGGGCCCGAACTGCCGCCAAGTCCTCATTCTGTAAAGCCAGTGCCATGGTCTCGTTACTGACATGATAGAACTCGGCTGCCTGAGACTCGTCGGCAGCCCCGATCAACAAGGCCGTAGCTATGGTGATATGATACGAATGGTGAACCTCCGGAGCTGGTACCTCACCCGCATAAATCCGCCGCAGATGGGCGAAAAATTCAACCCGGTTGAGAAACGGATACTGGTAACCCAGGCTATCGAAATATTGTGTAGTCACTCGTTCAGCCTCTTCCAGTGAGGAAAGCCGGATCACGCGAGGCGCGGACGCGACCGGGCGCGCGATGGAAGGCCTTCGGTGCTCCAACTGGTCCCGGAAGATCTCACCCACATTCGGTAACTCCGTACCTACAGCAGAAGAACTGGGAGCCGGGCTGCTGGATGGCGCAGTTGCAGTCGTCGTAGGCGTCGAGTGCGCCGGACTGCCCCGGGTCATCATCATGGCCGGTACCTGGTACCACCAGTCCGGATCCCCTTCGCCATCCAGGGCCGTCCCCGTCGGCCGATCGGCAACGGAGATGCCTGTCTTGCGGCGCACGACCTCTTCGAGCCATCTGACGCGGTTTTGTAGGTTTTCCAGCTGATCGCGAGGTACGGACGCAGCCGCGACCTGAGGACCCGGGGGGGGAATGGTACAGCGGACGCCGGCGCGAGTGCACGCGGAGCAATTCGGGTATCGGAAGTCACATTTCTTCTTCCTTTTCCGGCAAAAATCACATGCGGTTGACACCCGTTTGCTGCGAGAAGGAGCGAGGTGTGAGGGGGACGATTGCGAGGGAGGAGGTAGCGATTGAGGCGGTTGGGGCGGGCGTTGCTGGTGTTGCTGGTGGTGCGGCTGAGGCGGCAGGGGAGGCGGCGGCAACGACTGCGGAGAAGGAATGGAGTGAGAATGAGGATGAGGATGAGGATGAGGAAGAGATTGAGGATGCGAAGGAAGGGGCAGGGGATCGAGTCGGAATTTGCCCAGCTGATGCCGAAACTCGGGGTCACGGTTGGTCATGGTGGCAGCGACGGACGAAGAGGAGGCCAGGGAAGGCGGCTCGAACCGCAGGCCATTCCGGGGGTGAGTGGGGGAAGTTGAAGGATGGATGGTCGTGGTTGGAGTTTGGCCGAGAGTTGGTCTGGCTGATGCAGCCGTAGTCGCCTTTAGTACCAGCCGGGCGCACGCCCGAGATGCCTTAGTCCTGCTCGGCCTTCCCACCCCTCCGTAACTCCGGGGTCATCCTGGAGACGAGTGGTGGGTTATTCCCTCATCACCAGTACTATCACTACTACTACTGTCCTAGTGCCCCCCAACTTTAGGGGGGACCACCCCCGTTAGTCATCCTACATCATCGCTCTTGTCCACCGCAACACTCCTCTTCCTTCTCCTCAGGATTTCTTCTATGCACCGTTGCCGATTGCAAGGTACCAAAACCTTACCCCCACGCGTGGCGATATTGGCTCATGGAACGTCAAGGAACCTAGACACCTCGCCAACTCTCGCGTCAATATTAACTAACCATTCATTACATTCAATATTATATACGATCGTCCACATGTTTAGCTAGGTCGGAGTGTCATCAGTGCCAGGTCCCTTTCGCCGGCCCAAAATATCCCGATGCCGGAAGGCTCTTGTACGGCGTGCCCTTTGCATCTGCCGTATGCTCATATACTGTATTTCCCCACCAGTTCAATGACCCAGCCGGAAGGGTGATGCAAAAGAAGATGATGACGGTAGACACAGCGACCCCAGAGTCGAGCGCAGCAGAAAGCACGTAATCTAGGTCGTCAGTATGGCATCTCAATCAGTGCGGGAGGAAGCTACTGACTATATTTCGACCACCAGGCGGGCTTGCGCCGCTTCAGGAACCCGTTAAAGATCACATTCACCAGCCACCAGGACGAGAAGTTGATACCCGTCGCAGGTGGCACAAGGCTCATGGCGCCGAATGCGACGGGCCAAGAAAGATAATTCACCTTGCTCCATCGCCGACCGAGGAGCCATGTGATGACTACTACGACGGGTCCCACAAGGAAGAACCAGAGCAGATTCCCGTAGATTTGGCTAGGAGAAAAGTTTCGATCGGGACCAAGGACGCCTGGATACGGTTAACTCAAAGACATGGGGTTGGGGCGCAGTTTCACACTTACCCCAGATCAGTGATGATGAGTATGTCACTTCGCCATGAGGGCAGGTAAATCCCCCCGCGGCATTAGAGGTGCACACTCCATGAATCCGTGTAATCATGAAGACAGTCACCCCGCACTGAACGATAGCACCCACAAGCGTGGCCATCCCCTGTGCGACAAACAGCGTCCGTGGCGCAATATGGAGATAGTGGGCTAATTTCATGTCGGCCACGAATCTACGGGGTCAGCTCTCATCCATCACCATGCAAAAGTTAGACTTACTCGAGTCCCTGCGACACGCCCACGTAGCCGTAGAACTTGAAGGTCATATTTGCGACCGGTCGTCCAAGAAACGCATAGCCACCAATGAACTCAGTGATCAGGTTCAGTTGATTGCTGGAAATGTTGGTGAGGGCTTTGATTATGCCAACAGGGATGATATAGATGATCGGCAACACGAAGGCCAGCAACACCGCCCACGCTGGGAGGTCGGTATGCCAGACCTCGTTGGTCACTATGCTCAGCACAAACATCAGGACCGTGACGCCAGCAAACCACCACCACGGCACGCTCTTATAGCCATCCATGATTCGGGCATGAACATCTTTCTGGTTCCTACCCTTCCATTGCTCAATCAAATCCTTGCCGTGATACAGTGCAATGTGGACAAAGATGCCCGTCAAATTTGCAAATGCCACCCCATACGTCATGGCATATCCGGCGGGGAGAAACATGGGCGAATAATTGCGGTACGCCTCCACATTAAACGTCCCATCCGCGTTCATTACGCGTGTGGTATTATAGGTCTTGCCCGTGTTGTCGAAAGTGCTGGGGTTGAGCAAAGGAAGGTAGGCCGAGTACCAGGTGTTGGTGTAATAGACAATTGGACAGATAATCCAGTAGAAGATCACAAACGAGCCGATGACATTCAAGCCTGCCCAGAATGGAACTAACAGGGGGCTTTGGTTGGCGTAAACGACCTGTGCCCAGTCAAAGGTCAATAAGGACATGCCTAGTCCGGTCTTCTGGCCAAAGAGCTGGTTGACCACGACGTTGTTGGGTACAATCCAGCAAATGAAACTAAATGTACTCAGAGCCGTAAAGAGGTACCCCGGAGCGAAATACCAAACGGCTCCAGCCACAAACACGATCAGGAAGAACCTGAGCCTGCTAATGGTCCAGCCATCAGCCATCGGATTCTTACGTGAATGCAGAGTCGAAAGCAACGCTGCGTTTGATAGCACCTGCGGCCAGAGCATAGTGGCTGGGCCCACGAGCCAGCGTGCGGCCATCCCCGCTAGCCCAAAGCCGAACAATTGGGTTGTAATCATTAATAAGACCTCAAACCCCCCACGAGACGGCATGTCGTAGAACTTGACCATGGCCTCAATAACTTGAGTGGCAGCTGCCGACCCAAAGGACACATTAGCCATAATTGTGATTAAAGCATGTTCTTTGATGTTGAAATGGCGATCCGGATTGAGCCAACCCAGAGGCATCCATTGCGCCCACGCACACCCAATCGGAAACGCCAGAAGTTGTGCAACGAGGGAGCTTATGGTTACACTGGGCTGTCTCAAACTGAAAAACTGGTTCAACCCACTGCCAACCTATGAGTAGTCAGTGATCCACCAACCCGATATACTTCGTCGAGGCCGGAACGTACAATAGTGAAGATGATCCCGATCACCCACATGCGAACAGTGTTGATCGGGAGTTGTTTATCATCGACCGGTCGGACGACCGCGCGCACCTCGGGGAAAGGGGAATCGTCGGCTTCATAGGGGAGGATATCCTGGGCGCGACAGTCGCTAAGGATGCTCGAGGCATCGCTGGCCTCATGCAGCGACGGTTCCTAGACAGGTACGAACGCGACCGTCAGCCTTAGATCTTCCGCAGGAGCCAATGGCGATGGACAATGGACGTGTCAGATGCGATTGTCTCACGTAAAATGCATGCTGCAGGTGGGATCAGGCGAGATACTACTCCGTCGAGAGAGCGACCACGTGAGGGGCCCCCGATGGCTTGAAATCGATGAAGATGACAGGATAAACAACAATTAAAGACGGCAAGGAAATATGGGGCCAGCCCACCTGGATCGTCGACGACTTCTTGTCGTCCGTCATCGTGTGCTGCAGCCCCTCCCCTTTCGTCTAATAATAATCTCGAATCCCGGAGCAATCTGGCGGGAAACGAGCTAGGCGTCTGAAGCTGGGGAGACCGGCTCGGATGATGCGTGGAATAATCAGCAGATTAGGGGCTCTGGCTGGTCCGGAGTCCCTCGGCCGCAGAGACGGTGGAGTGCCGCCGCTGCAATCAACCAACGACCAAGCCTGGCACCGGCATGGGCCGACACTAACAACGCGCTTTCTTGCCCGGGTCGGTAATCCTGGAGACGAAGTGGCTCTCTTCTGGAAAAACGCCTGGAGGAGAGGTGGATGAGGATGAGGATGAGGATGGAGATGGGCTCGAAAGTGGCGGGAACTCTTTCCCCAGGGAAGGGGAGATCCCCCAACTAGTACTGACGTAGGCCTCGCAGCGCAGGGGGAAAGGAGAAAAGTCTGTTGTGATCACTGACCTTTCAGCCTGGTTCCAGGCATCCCGGCACTGAATCGCACAATGAATCGGCCACGCCGGCTCCACTCCTCTCCACCCACTATTTGCTCGGTACTGTGCCACCCGGAGCTTAGGTCCTATGAAATCCTCGCTCATCCTCAATCTAAGCTCTATAGCCCTGGTCAGGAAGGGCCAGAGGCGGCAATATGTGATGGCCGTGCAGCCTGTATGAGATTTGGCCTCAACATTGCTTGTCTGCTGGTCCGCGCGGGCGTGCGCCCAGTCCAAGCACGGGGCGCCACCATCAACTCCCGAGCCCTTGAGGCTTTGTGAAGCTTAAGACGACAGTGCTTCTGCTTCCCTTCTGCCGTCCGGTGGATAATGGATGTATTATGAAAGCCTGTCCCGTCCAGCGCAATGGCCAACAGCCCTGCACTTTATCGTGTGCCGTTCGATCGACGGAGGACTCTCGGTCCGAATTTTGGCCATGGCACCCTGAATAGTGGGTGCAGGATCTCAGTTGGGTCTGCCGTCAGACCTGATTCGGGACATGTCTACCAATCCACGTGAAAGTTTTTAAGTCTGGACTCTGGCGTCAGGACAGAGTCAATCTGAACCTGGGTGTATGCATCTCAGGTCACGACAGCCCGTGGTCCTTTGTTGTTGAGTTTACAAGGGGGAATCCCCGACTCACACCGGACACTGAGCTTCGCCAGATGACATCACGCAGGATTCGCAGCTTGGAGACAGCAGAAACAATGAACCACGGCTCCCAGTGTAGGAGCCTACTGTTGTCCTACAGCTTATCCTGGTACTGTTGGGGTCGTGAATTGCGATGGAATCCAGATGAAGGAGCAACCGGGTCAGGTCATGTGCGACCTCAGCATCACGCAGCAAGGTTGGGCCTAGCCAGGGCTAACGGGGTTTGAACGGGAATTGCAAGTTCTGCAAGTCCGTCAGAATAGTGTGGGGAAGGGCCAAACCTGATAAATCTCGCCAGTCGTGCGTAGTGCATTATACTGCATCAGCTTTGCGGTCAACATCTTCATAGGCGAAGTACCTTCTATCAGCGGATCTTCCCGGTCGGTGATCCCGACACGTTGCAGCAGCCACCCAACCCAGGAAGTCGAGTCTACGATAGATTAAAGCGTGGTTTTGATTGAGTGGTGACCTGGCTAGTGCAGAGAAGAATGCTTAATCTCGCGTTCTATTATTATGATTGTGGTGAATATGGCGGTGGATTAAGGCTTTAAAGCATGCCGCCCGATGACATACGGGCCAGCGCCTTACTGCAAGGGGAACCCGGGCCGGAAGGGCTACTCGACAGTAATATTACTACTCAGTACGGAGGACTTCGTACCGAATACTATCTATCAAGGAGGTACGGAGTACTATGTAATACCATCCGAGTGATATAGTTAGTCATGTCATGTCTTAGTAGCGGAAGGCCACCGACAAGATTCTCACGGCTTCCTTCCGTTCCAAATTCCTGCACGACTCGCCCCCGGCTATGAGGTCAGATCGGGTTCCAGCGAAACAACGGAGCTAAAAGAACTAGGAGGGCTAAGAGGGCTAAGAGGGCCGAGGACGGGCTCTGCCTTGGTCAGGACCCAAGAATTCCAGACCCTGAAACCGGAATCTCACAAGGGCAGAAATTTTCGGGGCCCTTTCCCCTTCGCACGGGTGGAAAGGTCAAACACGGAGGGTATAGGAATAAAGAGGCGCCCCAGGGAAAAAGGGAAGTTGGGAAAGGGAAGCTGAACCTAAGGGCGACATTCCCAGTTCCCCCAGTCAGCCTCTCCCAGTCACTGGTCGGCGCTGCTAAAAGGATCCACGGCCTGGCGGCTGATCTCTTTGGCCACTGAGAGCCGGCCTTGCCTTCCCCCCCGCGAGGCCCGGCGTAACTTTCCGTCCACTGGTTGGTCCATCCCGTCTGCTGCCCGCTCACTGTTGACGTCGATGCCTCGTCCCATCCGGTGGGCCTCTTCTCGCTGCCATCTGACACCATGTAAAGTACTAGGCACATCCGCCATCCACCAACCACCAACCGTCAACCTTCATCACCGCCGCCGGCTGTTGCTCATCCTCACTACTATCCACTATCTTATTTATCCTATTCCAATCTGCCACCTTCCCCTCCCCCCCCCCTCCAGCTGCTTTCCATTCAGATCCATGCCCTATTCCCGCTCGACTGTCCCGGATGCTGCAAGGATTCCCGCTCCGACGCCTCAGGATCGCGTGAAGCCACCATTGGTGCCATATGTGGTGACCATGGATCTCAACAAGCGGCTGTTTCATCTCGACATCGAGAATAAAAGCCAACCCCAACCCCTCAACTTCTCCATGGTAACGACACCCCCGGACGACGAAGACGAAGACGAAGGGAATCATATGAAGCTCGACAGGGGACCGGCACGGTCCCCTCCCGGTCCGGACAATCTGCGTGTCGACGGCCATGGCATGGGTGAGGTTGGCGTGCGGGAGCCCGAAGCCGCCTTAGGTCGAATCTATCGCTATACGCCCATTCCAACCGTCATCCTCGATCCTTCGCTGCGTGTCGTGGAGGTGTCCGATTCCCACGTGGCATTCGTCCAACTATCAAGGGACGTGCTCCTCGGCAGTTTCATCTGCGACGTCTGTCCTCGTACACTGCCGGCTTTAGATGTTGCTACTCTATTTGGCGCGCTACGTGCGGCAATCACCACGCAGGACGTTCAATCAATTGACAGAATTCGTATAGACGATCTTAGCTCCTACTATAGTCTTCGCATCACACCCATCTTCGAAAAGTCTAACCTGCTATACCTGGTCCTTGAGGCACTCAACGTCACCAAGGACCTCACTAGATCGGGGGTAGATACCCGCCGTTCCTACGCCAACGACACGTACAAAGTCTTGCTGGACACCGTCAAGGATTATGCCATCTTCATGCTCGATACTCACGGCCATATTGTAACCTGGAACTCGGGTGCTGCCCTGCTGAAAGGGTACTCGGCCAAGGAGATCATCGGGCAGCACTTTTCCATCTTCTACGGCCAGGAGGACCGTATTGCAGATAAGCCCGGCAAGGAGCTTGTGGTCTGTCTACGAGAAGGCAAAGTGGAGGACGAAGGCTGGCGGTACCGTAAAGATGGTTCGCGGTTTTGGGCAAACGTGCTAATCACGCCGATGTACGAGCTGGGCCGTCACATTGGCTTTACCAAGGTCACCCGGGACTTAACTGAACGCAATGCGGCTGAGGTCCGCATGATCGCGGCTTTTGAGGAATCGTCGAAGCTGAAGACCGATTTTCTGGCAAACATGAGTCACGAGATTCGCACCCCCATGAACGGCATGCTCCTGGCACTCACATCATTGATGGGCACTGAATTGAACGATCGACAACGCGAGTATGCGTCCATAATCGAGGATTCTACCTCTGTACTGCTCCAGGTAATCAACGATGTTCTTGACTATTCGAAGCTCTCCTCTGGGTCTTTTACATTACACCCCGATACTTTCAGCGTTGAAAGCGTTACCGGAGCGGTGGTGCGCAATTGCAAGGGTGCTCTTAAGCCTGGCGTTGAACTAACTAGCTACATCCCGCCCAAATTCCCCAGCACGATCGAAGGTGATCCGTTGAGGTACCGTCAGGTCCTCCAAAATCTAGTCAGCAATGCGGTCAAATTCACCGAGGAAGGATATGTCAAAGTCCACACCACTTTCTCCGACGACGCGGAGGATCCCAATGTGTACCACATTATGACTGAGGTTGTCGATACGGGTGTTGGTGTCCCCGAAGATGCTCTGGGCTCACTATTCACGCCGTTCACGCGGTTCGCTGAGTCTGGTTCGAAGAGGTACCAAGGCACAGGCCTTGGATTATCGATCTGCAAGAGCTTGGCAGAACTCATGGACGGAAGTGTCGGTTATCGACCCAATCCTGAAAGGCGGGGCAGTGTTTTCTGGATGACAGCCAAGATGCACCGTGTGAACGCGGCGGTGTTGAATAGAATGACTAAGACTCCGGTGGAGGAGGTCGGCGATATAGAACGGAAGGTCCATGAAGTTGCCCCTCACAAGCACGTTCTGTTAGTCGAGGACAATCTGGTCAACCAGATGGTCATGCTCAAACTTCTCCAGAACATGGGATTCGCGCGAGTTGACACGGCCTGGGATGGGGCGGAGGCCGTCCGACTTGTCAAGCAGCAACCTTTATCGTACAATACGATTCTCATGGACATCAGCATGCCGGTGATGGATGGTGTGGAGGCTACCCGGCAGATTCGGCAAATGGGGCTTGACATGCCTATCATCGCGCTTACGGGGAATGTCATGGAAGAAGATGTGGACGAGTACGTGAAGATGGGCATGAACGACTATATTGGGAAGCCCATCCATCAGAAACAGCTCATGCGATTGCTGTGGAAGTGGATGGGGACCTGACGCGATCTCCACAAACCCTCGACCCGCCTTCCTAGCAAACGCTCGACCTTGTCGACCATTTGAGACTTGCGATCGCAACTTTCTGGTTGAAGCGAGCTTCGGCCAAGCCGTGATTATGCAGAGAAGCGGGTGCCGGGACAGCGTCCGGCACATTCTGTATTCTGCAGGATTGGCTTACATCCCCCGCCCGGAGGACACGCAAGGCTTGTCCTCTAGTAGCGAACTAACCTGGGCCCCCTACGTAGACTGCGAAGCAGTACTACCGGAAAATCCACGCGATGCGCCCAAATGCTCCAGGACAGAACTTGTCCGGCCTACTGCCGTATGGGCTTATGGATGCGTGTTGACGCAAGACCTACGATTCGTCTTGTCACGATGACCACGAAGGAATATGGCTTTATTTATGAATAGAGCATTCGATACCACGCTATACTGTACTTTTTCAGCTGGCACAGGCTCCCCGGGATCATGAGATTGACATTGCTGGGCAATGGCATGATCAAAAGGGCTGTTGTCTAGGCCATTGAGGAATCCATTAGCAAATGAAAAGCGAGATTTCTTCATGCTAATTCTGTTACACCTCGAGTCAAGTCGTAGTCTCTTAACCCAATGGAGGCCATCAAGTAATGCTAGCCATGTACCTCGTAGCGGAGTTTGCATCGCCGCGGTTACTGTTCTTGCGTCACCGGCTTCACATCATTGCATTTGGGCCTGGCTTTGCGTCACTGCATTTCATTCTGGCTTCACGCGATTGCATTAGAGACTGGCTACCCATCACTCCACCTAGCTCTGACAGGCTTTCCGTCACTCTATCTGATTGCCATCACTGCATGGATCTCCGTACATTCGCCCGCAAGGACCACCATTCCATCACCTAGCCATCATTCTACCCTTACAATGACACCCCCCGTTAATGCTTGGCGTGAAGGCTCGGCGTGAAAACGAGAGAATGATTCAATTGGCCTAGTTCGTTACCGTGTTAGCTCTCCAGCAGTAATATAAATAGTAGAACCCCTCTGTCGCTGAGTTTTCTCTTCTTCTCATCTCCAATTTTCCTCACTTTCGTCTCACATAGTCATTTCCCCTATCATAGAGATGTCAAGTCTCCCTCTCATACCTTCAGTCCAGCATCAGACATGGACTATTCTGCCCTTGCATTTCTCTTAACATATCATCTACAAGAGGATATGGATCCTTTCAAGCAATCACACCGTGCTGATTTGGCTGTGGGAGATGACCTTCTCCACTAAGCGAGGAAATCGATCCTATGCATTCTTGTGGGGTCAGCACTTACCCCCTAATATAAATCAGAAGGCCATCCAACCACTTGCGTTGGTCAAGACAGACCTCTGGATCCCCGACATACATATTAATCCGGTACAAGCAGGCTGGTCCGATAAGACCTGGATTACCGATGCTCCAAGTCTGGGTCTCTAAACACCGGGATATAGCACATCGCGAAGCACAGCTTCCTACCGGACGACAACCCATATTTCCAACTAATTGGTTGTCAAGATACGGCAGATACCAACCTATCTGCTCAAAGACGATAATACAACTCATCAGAGGCAATATGGAAGATGTCCTTGATGACCCGGGACTTAGAACCCATTTCAGCCAGATCTTGAAACCAAGGGATACACTCATCCTGTGTATTTCGATCCCACTTGTTTTGTGGCGTATCACGATGTTTCAGCTCCCAGACTCATGTGTGTACAGCTGGATACTGTGGTGTTAGACTCCTTCGGTGCTCTACTATGCAGCTGAAGGTTTAAAATCGCAAACAGACGTGGGTACAGCCCCATCTTGTGGTGCTGGGCTCTTTCGGCGCCTATCCGAGGACACATATCCCTTGCACAAGCCTATGGGTGCACTGCTCAATGCCGTGGTGTCGGACTGGACTTTTCTTCGGCGTCCCATCGAAGTGTGTCTTCGAGCTTTAGTCCCATAGTTGTGCTTCGACGAATAGTGGGATATACAGAACCTTGACCACGTTTGACATGGGCTCTTTTACACCCGTGCCTGGGCCTGCTTACCCATTGGCTTACTAGTGGGTCGGTAACCACACTGAGCATTGGAGCTCCAGCCAAACAGGAATTGAATTCTTCAATGCCCAAGCTGCAGGTGGGTGCAGAAGATGACTCTTGGGCTCGTGTGGCACGGAATTGTTCTACATGGTTGCCGGAGCTTAGACTCTTCGCTTATGCCATGGTCATGGTGTTGGTGCAGATCGTCTTGCAGATATTATCTGCACATTTGCACTTCAGAACTCCTGAGACGTCGGTGGCTCTTATGTCGGGGCATGGCTTTGTCTCTTCTGACTAGTAGGCTCATGAGGCTAGTCATTGTCATCTAAGATACCAATTCCGAATACGATATGCGATATCTGGCAGTATCAGGCTTAGGATACCTACTACACTGCTGTGGAATATCCTTTCGGAATACATTTTGGTGCGCTAGACAACCCTTCCGAATATCTTAGGCGCAGACTTGTACTTCATCATTCCTTGGACTATGTATCAACAGACGTGATCAACAGACAAGAACGCCTACTTCCGCGCAATGGCTCTGCCCGTGGCCTTCAAGGCACCCAACAACGCCCTACCTTCCAGGACCTTCCATATCCTCACTAATCCCATCCACGATCCTATAAACCCACCTATTACCAATGAACGGGGATATCTACTCTACTTCACAAAATATCCCTTCCAAACAATAAACTGACATATGGAGGATACAACTCCTTCCATACCCGTGAGGCACGGGCCGATGTCTTATATCAGTGCAGGCACGTTGGTTCGTGTTCTCTATACTGTATCCGTGCTCACGACAATCCGGCTAAGAATGTGATTCAGCCCAGTGGGTGTATACTCTATGCTTGCGGGGTGGAGTCTTCCTTTAGGCGGGTTTTATATACTGGGAAGAATTAAACGCAGAGGAATAGAAACATCCATCTTTCATGTGGGATATAGATGGATGTACCGGGTTTCTGGGATGTACAGAGAAACACGTCTGTATCTTAGCTAGATACATCATAGGCATACATATAGTCAATGATCTATTATTATATTAAGTAACCTGCCAAGTGCACGGCAGGTCCGCTCACTCATGGAACTCGTAACTATGCCCCCGTTCTGCATGCACATTTTCGCACGCCATGACCCCACAACAAGGAAACCGTCTGGTAGACCATAAGCACCGGACAAAAGGGAAAAGAGAGAAGAAAAACAATATCTTCTGAACAAGGTCCAAACAAGCCTGTCGTAAATGTCCGTTCATACAATATAAACAAGCCCCATACAAATTCATACAGCCCGCGTGGGTCGTAGATGGAGACGCATCTCCACAAAATTAGCCAGTCCTGGCACGACACTAGTTCTTGGAGTTGACGGGCTCGCCGTTGACCAGGACCTGAGGCGTCTGGTTCTCCTTGCCTCGGGCAGTCAGCGTGGGTCCGTCGATACCGGTGGCAAGCGTAGCGTGGCTGTTCGCATCCGTCACAGCGACATCTTCCTCCTCCGAGTCTTCGTCGTCGCTTCTCTCATCCTTCTTGATGTTGGAGAAGATGTAGTTCTTGAGGATGCGCAGGATCAGGAACAGCCAGAAGAGGTTCACCGCTTGCAGACTGGCCAACAAGGCAAACGTGATATACTGGCTGATCCAGCACTTGTACTGCTGGGTTTCCCAGTTCAACTCGAAGGGTCCAACGGTGCGGAACTCGGTCAGGACAGCCCAGAGGATCTTGAGGTTCAGGTAATGGCGGAGGTAGATCCAGGTGCCCACGAAGAAAACGAAGTAAGGCGCGGTGACGATCGAATCCAGGTAGTTCAAAGTCTTGGAGGTCTACAACACGATCGAGTCAGCACGAATCACGTAATACGAAAGTACATTATCAAGCCACTCACGGCAAGGAAGAAGTCCGAAATGTCGTGCGTAATGTAAACGGCGATACCCATGTAGGTGAAATGGAACCGATAGCTCAGTCCGATGAGGGCCAGAGTGATGATGTGGTGCGCCACCAGCTCCTTGAAGTCCTTGCGGGGCTTCTCCAATTGCAGCATCAGGACGAGCGCTTGCTGGGCCCAGTAACTAGCCTCCAGCAGATAGAACGCCTTGAATAGTCCTTCGTGCTCCCGGTGAGGGAATCCTTCGAACATGCCCGTGGTGTTGAAGTACCAGATATTGGACCGGCTCATCACGTACAGGCCAAACGGACCGAAGATCGCAAAATACATCGCGGTGTACACTTGCTCCATGAAGCGTGCGGTTTTGCCCCGGCCGCGAATCCCGCAGTACACCGCAAAAGGCCGAATCACACGTTGCATGAGAAATTCCCTAGTAAACGACAGTACGACCATATAGAAACAGACGAAGCTGATATCCTTCGGGCCCTTTCCATACATGATCGGACCGCCAGGGTATTTCGGAGGCTGAGGATACGACAAGAAGATGGCGCTATGCATCGGGTTGGACTCGGTCGGATTGACAGCATATAGCGCAAGAAGAACAACTAGCATGACGAGAGGCAGCACCCAGGTATGCTTGAGGCAGGTGTCCTTGAAGCGACGGAGTGGGGACTTCTTGCGACGTTTCGTATGCGGCTTGGAGGACTTCTCGGCGGATTGGGCCTGCAGCACCTGATGGGGGAGTGAGCGGGGAGGAAACCCCAGCGAGAGTCGACTAGTAGTCGCATGGCATCCATACCTGATCCCACTTAGGAGCTTCCGGTTCAATGGGACTGACTTCGTTCATGGTCGCCATGGCCGGAGCGGTCGTGTCTCCCCGGATATCCGCCCCCAGATTACTCGACCTTCTCCGTACACGAGGCATGGTCGAGGGTGTTGGCTAACGACGCTATGTGAAAGATCTGTCTATTCCCAACGGTCGAGTTGCTTGTCTCTCTCCTTATCGCCTAAACCGAGGAGAGAGGAAGCGGGAAAAGATGCCGAGCGGAGCGGAGTGCACAAGACGAGGATAAAGAGGACCACGGTGATCAATTGAAACAGTGAAGGATCGCAAAGGTTCAGAGACAAGGTCGAATGAAAACCAAGAGAATAGTATTACAAGAAAGAAACGAAGAAAGACGAAACGATGTGAGGGGAAACGGTGTGGTTAAGAAGAGGACAGGATGGAAGGAAGAGCGAGGATGCAGAGGGCGAGCGAGTTGATGTCAGTCGTGCGAGATCCACCCGCCAGGGGGCCGCCTGTTTTTTTTTTCTTTTCTTCTTCAGTCTTGCTCCACCTGCTCACCAGCCATGATCGTCGGACTCGTCGGACCACCGCCAGACCTTCCTTTGCTCATCCTAGTATGCCAATCATAGCATTTGGCATTATTCTTATTGTTTTTTTTTATCGGATCCCCGATGTTGGCTTTGTCCTCGAGTCCCTTGAACTCGGCTGTGTCTGGCGCTGCGACAACTCTTGGTGACGGTACGAATACGACTGTTGAGCAGTGGTCCATCTATCTACTATCTGGACTACACTTTCTGCTAGCCCCGGATCCCCGTGCAACTAAGATCGATCTAAATAGGGGCATTCGGTTTCAGAATAGGCCGCCACCACCACATGCTTGCTCCGTGCGGAGTGCGGAACAATACGAAGCCCGCCAGGCAGCCTAAACAGGTAGACCTTGCGACTAGCGTGCCATTTCCCATATCACCATGGCCAGTGGGCCGAGGACAAGTCCCTCTACTCCAGAATGACGCCTCAAGTGAATACAGGACACACCATTTGGATCCAACTGCGGGTGGTACCTCCTAGGTAAATAGCTCCCCTATAATATCGAGTGGAATCGGAAATATTCCAGCTTGCCTACTTTTGGCGGATAAATCCTCCGTGCTCAATAGTTGGCGAGGATCATACCAGGCGCAGCATAGCTCGCGCTGTCAAGTGCCTATCTGGCAATCATGGATTTCTCATGAGTCGGTTGAACCTCCGCCAAAAATCGATGGAGTACTCCATAAATCAAATTGATTGGCTGCCTTCACCGCATGAGGGAACTGGATGTCCAAATTGTCACCGTAGACCATAGCGCTTGTGACTGGGGACGACGGGAGTTCGACCTGACTGCGGCTCAACGCCTGCAGTTCGTGCCAGCTAGCCCCAGGCCCCCAAGCTCGGGCATGTGGGGAGCATCGAGGACTGCTCTTCCCTGCCAGAGATACATAGCGCTAAGGGCAGCCCTCCGGTAAATGGAATGTGCCTCCTGATCTCCTCGCTGCTTGAAATCTCGTTTCCATCCTCACTATAACGAGGATGACGGTAAACTGTGCACAATTCAACTCAAGTCATGGGATTTCACTGTGTAGACTGAAGGGTGGCTGCTTCCCCAAACCAATCTTCGTAATATGCAGCTGTGCCTTGGGGGGCTTCAATGAAAGGATTCACAGGCTCAGGGGGCTTGCTGTCTTACATAAGAGGTTGCTGGGGTAGCCGCGCCGGGGACGCGTTAAGTGGTTCTCGCGGCGGCGGATGGAACTAAGATGCGGTCAAGATCGATCCATGCATGATGATGCCCGACACCCACACCCACTTGCTCCAGGAGCTATGAGGATCAATCCCCCGCATTCTTCGTTGCTCGTCCTCAGATGCAGTCAGCGCCGGACTGCTGCAGTACTGGAATCCTCACCCCTGTTATTGACCGCCCCCCTTCACCCTAATGCCACCCCGTCATCCAGTTTCCCCGCTCTCGTTGGAAACAATCTCGCCTTCTCCGCTCGATCTAGACCCCGATCTTCTTGTCGCTTCCGATGATGACCTGGACGATAATGACCGTGCTGCTCGAGATCAGCGGATAGAGAAGCTCGCTCAGACCTATCTCCATGGCACTCCGCTTTTCATCCTTTCCGCCTCGCTTCGCGGGCCCTTGGACAACGGTTGGACCAATCCATGGAGGAAGGACAGGCGAAAGGCCGCCGGCCTAACACGGCAACAAGGAGAAGAATCGGACCGGTGGGAGCGACCTGTGATCCCAGAGACGATCCCGCGCAAACGACCCCTATACCCTTCGGATACCTCTCGCACAACGGCTGCCGCTCCTCCTTCCGACCCCCCACGTTTTTCAACGGAACGCGAATCCCAGAATGATGCTGCTAGTGAGCCATTGCTGAAGCGCCAACGAGACAGTCGCCGGGGGACGCCAAGTTCGAATAGCGTGCCAAAGAGGACTATACAATACAAAAAGGCAATCGGGTCAAGCGGACAGCCAGATGCTTTAACCCCACTGCGGCTTACCGATCAAAGCTGGTTGAAGAAGGACCGTGCAGGAATTGGCTTCCGAAAGGTCGATCCACCTACCTCTCCTACAGCTACAATATTGTCTCGGCATCGGGAAGAAGGGCATTATACGATCCAAGTTCCAGGGACCGACTATCGAGTCACAACGAAGACTCTACTCAGAGCGCGCACAAACTCACGCGATGACACGACTTTTGACACCCATATCCCGGACAGTGTCAAATCCCAACTCACTAGCAGGCATCCTGGAGCGCAATCCAGTATACAAGGGCCCCTTTCTGATTCAGAGCACCAGCAGAATTCACTGTGTGTGGATAGGTCAACCTCCCATCTACCGAAATTTGAATATCGGCGCAGGAAACACTCCCCTCATACGGAAAATGATGCCACATCGCCAGTTAGCACACATAAGGAAAACATACAGATCCCAGATGATACAGCCGTTGCTGAGGATGACCGGACATTGAGTCAGCACCTGCCAATTCCCCCAAGTCCAACTTCGATGCAGGCCATTGAAGTCGACATGTCTAGGGGCGAATCGAACTCGCACAATATACAGTCCAAACGCTCTGATACCATGGATCATCAGGTTAGCACGCAATCGCGGACAGTCCCATCAATCAACAATGCCGAAGGCGCAAATGTCAGTGATAGGTTGCCTTCAGCCCAGCAAGTCTCCGTAAATCCTGCCATGACAGAACATGTTACCTCATTGCACACGATCTCTGCAGCGAAACCTAACTCGGAATGTGATAATGACACAATCCCGGATCTACATTTCAACACCCAGGCCGCTTTGTTGCATGCACAGAAGTCCTTTCAGAAAGATCTGGAGAGTCAGGAGCACAGCCAAGGGGCATTCAAGCAAGCTTCATCGCCTGCCAATGACATTACCCCATTCCACCGGATGAACCCTTCTGACAGAATGGGTAAATTGTCCCGGATCAACCCTCCAGGAACTGCACGAATGCCAATGAGTACACAATGCATAATTGATGCCGTCACACCGTTCACATTTAGTACGGAAAAGGCCAGGCCTCGTTTTATGTCTCCACAGGAGTCAACACCAAGCAGAATGGAGCCAGGATCTGCTGGTTCTAGCGCGGCGTCTTCTTCGCCCTCAGAGCATGAAGACGATGACGATGACGATCCCACCATTCTGCCACTCAAGTCTGCTGCTCAACCGGACATCTCAGGCGACGCCGAAGGCAACGCATTGCCCGTGATCCTATCGGATACCAATCCGACCACCTATCCAGACGGACAGGGTGCCGCCCCTGGTGCAGACAGTTTCAATCTCAGCCAGGCAATAGCCGACGCAGGCAGCTGGCTGCAGCAGAGCTTCGACATCAACAATGAAATCCAGCAATGCAGAAGCGCCAAGTCTCGCCCATCATCTTCTACGGGTATTAGTCGCTCTGCAGGGAGCTTGGATACTTTGAAATAGCATTTGCATGCACGACAGGCGTCATTGTTCCTCTTCTAACTGGCTTCGCTTTTTCCCTCTTGCGCTACTATTCTTGGGTGTATATATTGGGAGACTTGCATCTTGCATGAGACTTAGCGATATGATATCCTTGTTTATACATATTATAGAAAGTTCAAGCTCAATATTGGTGGCATACAGTTCTTGAGTAACACGGGTAGGCAGCGATTATACCTGCTTGCTATGACGATTATCTCTTCCAAAAGCAAGGATCCTAGGTACTAGGAAATCATCTAGGTTCATCATGACCACTCATTCGAAAAGTAAACGTTTAATGACATCCTAATGGTCTTCTATATCTCGTCCATTCTATTACAAGTACAGCCATCTAATCCTTCCAAGTACCCACAAAAGAACGACCAAGTACCTATCGAACAGAGTGGAGAGGTGGCAATAATCTGCTAAGGGTCAAGAAATTACTCCATGTCCGGCTTCATTTAAAAAGCCCACGCATCAACCACGGATCAAACAGAAGTTCCTTTGCGGTGGCTCTTTCTTCCGGTAACCATCGTAGCATTCGTCTAAGAAAGCGCAGAAAATCCTCTTTCTCGTCACCTTCTAGTCTTTCTTCTCGGGACTCGAGATTGGAGTTCGGGATCGGTACTTGGCTTTTCCATTGGCCTGTTATCACTGTTAGTATTGATGTGGTCGACATCTGTAGATGGATTGTGTAGAGGGGATAAGAGAGGGGTATACTAACCATTTTCATCCCAGAATCGTTTGCTCCTCTCACTTCGAGCGAGGAATTGGGGAGGAGGACTTCCCAAGACTGCTTGTATCTCGGCGAGGTGTTGTTCATCGTCTAGTTTACCTTGGGGGTTTCGAGCGCGGAATAGGTGGCTGTGTTGGAATAGGTCCCAGATCTAGATATGGTTATTCTTGGTTTCATGGTAAGTATGATGTTTGTTTGAATGATTTCTTACCACCATTCCCACATTCCAGATATCGACTTTGTAGTCCCAGCTCATGTTCAGAATGATTTCCGGTGCCCGATAGATGTCTGGCATGATATCGCCCGTTTGATTGTCAGTGCCGAGTCGAGCTTCGCCTAAGTCGCAGAGAATAGGGGTGCCGTAGGAAATAGGGAGTGGTCGTGAGAGGTAGATTGTACGATCTTCGAGGGTCTTTCGTGGTATGGGCGCTTCAAATTCTGCGTCTTCAAACTGTGAGAGGATTGTATTGTCTTTGATTCCCAGGAGGATGTTGTTGGGCTGGATATCTTTGATATCTGTCAGTACTCTCTGGCCTTGTACCTTATGATATAAGGGTGGGGGAATCTTGAAACCGGACCTGTATGTATGACCCGCGCCTCGGTTTGAAGGAAATCCAGCGCGGCGAGGACATTTCGCATGGTAGTTCTCACCATAGCGCTACTCATGACCTTGTCGGGGAGTAGCGGCAAGAGCTGATCGAGACTTATCCCAAGAGGTGGATGCACAAGACACGTATGATTCCTATGTCCGTCTGGATTGCTGACCTGGAATATTTCGATCAATGGTCGGAGGCATGACTGGCCTGCATGGTTGGATTGGATGGTCTTTAGGTGGTCGTAAACTGCGATTTCTTGCGTAGTTGATGTTGAGGCTATGTAGACCTTCAATGCTACATAGCAATGGTTCCTGTTTAGTAAGATTGGGTGCATAGTAAACATTGGATAAGTTGATCCTACAAGAGGTCACGACATAACCATACTGTTGCCGTTGATCCGTAGCCCAGTTTGCCGACCACTTGATACCGATGATTCAGAACTTCTCCAATGTAGACTGGATAGAATCTTTCGGGTTTATAGGTAGGAATAGCCTCCTCTTCAACCAGTATGGAGTGGTCGATATCATCCCACCCTAACCTTGGAAAGACACGCGGTTTGGAGAGGGACCGAACATTAGCTATATAGCGCTGGGTTGAGCCGGTATGTGAGGCTAATATTCTCCTATTGAATGCGAAATGTGGCACCCGACAAAGGGGGTAGGGCTTTTTGTATAAAAGGTAAAATTGTCGCCTTGGATCCATGATGGGCTGCTAAATGATGAGGACCCCAAATTCAGTTTATTTGGTAGAAAAAGAGACGGGGCTCTTCTGAGCTGTAGCCTTCAGCCCTGTGATATGATATCAGCTGCTTTAAACGTTTTGTCCAGATTGGTTGGAGCACAGGCTAGGACTAGGCGCATGGAATAACGGAGGTGTCACAGAGGTGGAATTGAGTATTCAATACCATAAGCATTTAGCGCGCGCAAGGTTCTAGGAATTTTAAGGGAAATACATGCCATACATACTAGAAGGCCTTTTCAGTACTACACTGTGGTCTGGAGGTTGATTGTGTTTCCAGGTAGCAGTCGCGTTAATATATATCAACCAGAGTGTGACAACGGGATAGCCTCAATTCCGATATCAACAAAGCCCTGAAACGCGCAAGACCCTATCAGTAGACGAATTGACTCGGGAACTAAAATTTAAGATCGAGCCCTGTCCATGGATTTGAATGGAATGGGTGATAGTAGATGGATGGTTGGCCCCGATGACGTGGGTGGTTAGGCGGAGCTGCGGCGCTAGCGCGGCGGAGCTCATCCACCTGATGGACTGCCGAACTGTCATTCCAGCTCGGTTCCCATCCCACCCTATCTACCTATCTTCGTCGTCGGTCCATGGGTGGGCCACATTCAGATGGCGTTGACATCAGTGAGAATAAATCCCACTTGCCCATTGGTGAGACCCAACTGATTTCAATGTGATTTAGTGGAAAGCGTTCAACTTCTTTGACGTCTCCGCGGTGAAACTCCCGGAGGAGAGCTCCTCGATCTTCAATGTACGCCCCTTGACCTCTCGGCCCCCGGTACCCGTCGCACCCAAATCTAACACCGAATGAGTAACAGTCTGACATCCTTTCCCTCTCAACCGGCTCTGCAAACCTCTTTCTCGGATCCAGCGATGGCTTTGTCCATATCATCTCGACGAATTTCAAGCTTGTCCGGTCGTTCAAAGCATCGGAGACTGGCTCTATCGCACATATCAGGCAAATAGGAGGGACATCTCTACTGGTCACAATCGCGGAAGATCTCCCCAATGAGCCGGTCGTGAAGGTCTGGGCTCTCGACAAGCCCGAAAAGAGGACCGGAGCCCCTCGATGTCTGTCGACAACGTCGGTCCAGAATGCGAGGCGGATGTTTCCCGTATGGACAATGGCTCCCTATAAGCGTGTGATTTGAGCTAAAGTCTTGAGGCAGGTATCCGCGTTCGCGGTCCTTGACGATCTGTCGCAGGTGGCAGTTGGATTTGCGAATGGGTCTGTTACAATAATTCGTGGTGACCTGATTCATGACCGCGGCGCCCGACAGCGTATCGTGTTCGAATCAGAGGAACCAATAACTGGGCTAGAGGTGCAAAGTGGGCCAGTATCGACTTTGTACATCTCTACAACGAGTCGCATTTTGGCTCTGATCATCTCGGGTAGAGGACAGGGCCAGCCGGCCCGCGTGCTCGACGATATGGGCTGTGCTGTCGGTTGCCTGAGCCTGGACAAAGACACAGGCGATGTTCTTGTTGCCCGCGAGGATGCAATATATACATACGGACCACACGGCCGTGGCCCCAGCTATGCTTTCGAGAGCCGTAAGGACTTGATCAATACATTCAAGGACTATGTTGCTCTGGTTTGTCCGCCCAGAGAATCGGCCTCAAAGCCAGACACATTGCGAAACATTGGTGTCAACCAGGCCGATGATATATTCAAAACGACCACATTCACCCTGCTTGATACCGACCTCAAGTTCATCGCCCACTCCGAGTCTCTCGTGTCTTCCGTGAAGAACATCTTCATTGAATGGGGGGATCTATTTCTCCTCACAACTGATGGAAAGGTATGTTCCTATCAGTGGAACACGAGCCGTTACTCATGTTGTTAGCTCTACCGATATCGCGAGAAAAGCCTCCAGCAAAAGCTCGAAATCCTCTACCAGCGCAACCTCTACATCTTAGCCATCAACCTGGCACAGAAAACGGGCGTTGATACTCTTCAGCAGAACGCAATTTACCGCAAATATGGTGACTTCCTGTACCAAAGAGGCGACTATGACACGGCGATGCAGCAATACCTCAGAGCCATTGACAACACGGAACCATCTCAAGTTATCCGAAAGGTACAATATCCTGCAATGTCAGATCAGAACTGGATGCTAATTATTGCACAGTACCTTGACACACAGCGCATACATAACCTCATCGAGTACCTTGAAGAGCTCCACGATCACGACCGAGCTACAGTCGACCATACCACTCTGCTCCTAAACTGCTACGCAAAGCTGAAAGATACCGGCAAACTTGATGCGTTTATCAAAGCTCCTGGTGAGCTAAAGTTTGACCTGGAAACTGCGATCGCCATGTGTAGGCAAGGAGGCTACTACGAGCAGGCCGCGTACTTGGCTACGAAATACGGGGAGAATGATATGGTCGTTGATATTCTCATTGAGGACTCTAAGAAGTATGCAGAGGCTGTCGAGTATATCTGGAGGTTAGATCCGGAATTGGTTCGTGTTTAACGTGCAATGTGGTCCTGTTGGAGCGCTGACAACTGTAGGCCTACCATAATCTGATGAAGTATGCCCGAGTCTTGCTCTCGAACTGCCCCGAGAAAACAACCGAACTCTTCATCAAGTACTACAAGGGCCAATATACTCCGAGGACTGAGGTGGAAGTACCTTCGGTGGAGCCTCAAGCACAACCAACCAGCACTTTACAAAGCCTAGCCTCTTTCCTCCCTCTGCCTCTAATGAACGCTAGCGCGGGACCAAAGCCAGAGGAAGTCGAAACAGCGCCTCCTGCAGAGGATAAGGCTACCGAGCCATCGATAGATTATCAAGTTCCGAAACCGAGGACTGCATTCTCGGTTTTCGTGGGCCATCCGGATGAGTTCATCTCATTCCTGGAGGCGCTTATTCAACAGGAGAACTTGAAAGAGGATGAAAAGGTAGATCTTTATACCACACTCTTCGAGATGTACCTGGACACTGCTAGTCGGAAAAAGGATGTTACCGAGAAAGAAGAGTGGGAGGACAAGGCCAAGAGGCTCATTGAGGGCAAGGATGTAAGGACACTGCTAATGCCTGCTTTTCCCACCTTTGCTGATATCTTCATAGATACCAATCTCGACATCTAGTGTCCTTTTGCTTTCTGATCTGTCTGGCTTCCGCGAGGGTTCCACGCTCGTGCGGGAGCAAGAAGGCCTCTTGTCCGACATCTTTAGGTCCTTTACTTCTGCCAAGGATACCCAGGGTGCCATTAAGGCTTTGAAAAGATATGGCCCAGAGAAACCTCAACTATATGTCGATGCCCTCACATACTTTGCCTCCAGCCCCCAAATTCTGGAAGAAGCTGGAACTGAGCTGGACGCTGTTCTCAAGAAGATTGATGAGGGTGGTCTCATGACACCGCTCCAAGTCATTCAAACCCTGAGCAACAACGCTGTTGTTACAATGGGTCGCGTGAAGAAATACCTCAGCGAGAACATTGAGCGGGAACGCAAGGAGATATCTACGGTTGGTTACCCCTCCCCCATTCATTGACACATTCGGTCTAATGGTGAAATTAGAATCGCCGCTTGATATCCAGTTACAGTACGGAGACAGAGAACAAACGGAAGGAGCTTGAACAACTGGGTAGCAAGCCAGTTGTCTTCCAGGCCCGTCGATGCATGTCCTGTGGCGGTGCCCTTGATCTTCCTACGGTGCATTTCCTTTGCAAGCATTCTTTCCACCAACGGTGTTTGAACAGAGTTGATGAAGATGCCGAATGCCCTGTCTGCGCACCGCAGAACTCCACTATCAAAGCCATCCGGAAGAGACAGGTCGAATCTGCAGACCAACACGATCTGTTCAAGGGTGAGCTGCAACGCTCCAAGGACCGGTTCTCGGTGGTTAGCGAGTTTTTTGGTCGGGGCGTGATGAGACCACAGAGTACCATGGAATGATGGAACATGTAATGAAATCGGAGATACCTTTATGTAGATACATTATTCTGTTTGCCTTCCGTCCACATTTCCGGTCGCACAATCGTTGACAATCCCCGCAAGGCAAATGCTACCTCAGGCATCATCGCTTATCAGCACGTGCTTTCGCGTCGCTCCGCTCCCCAGATTTCCGGGACGCGGCCAGCAGAATCATTGTTAGTCGAGCGAATGATACCAAATCGCATGAATACTTGACCATTATCTTTCCAGACGTATAATAAATCCCTATCAATGTCCTTCAGACGTGTGATCCAGGACTCTGATGATGAAGACGACCCTTTGGCGGGGCCGCCATCCCCCAGGCCCAACGGCGATAACAGGCACGTTGACGTGCAGAAGGATTCAGGTCACGTCCATTTTCAGCAGACAGGTCACGACTCCCACATGAGCGTCAATTTTGACCAATTCCTACAATCTCAAGACTCGGCTCATCAGGGGGTATCATCTTCCCAACAGCGAAGAGAAGAACGATGGATACCGGCCGATGCGGGAGGCGGATCGATTGGTGAGAAATGTGTGAAGTTGCTTCTGGCCCAATCATTAACAAGCATACTTCTCTCCAGGTTCGATGATGACGGAAATTGGACTTGCGCAGCAACGATTGTTCGATGACGAAGAAGCGCATTACACGGGACAGACTGGGTATCAGGAAGCTGTTGCGATGGGTGTTCATGAACAGATCGCTTCGGAATTCCCCGCGCCTAACGATATCGCCCTAGTCAACAATGACGATCCTGATAATTACACTGAGCAGCCTCCTATATATACAGTCCCACAGCCCAATGTACCCGATTATCCACTGCAATATGAACCCCGCCAGGACCTTCCTCTCGCAGACGAAACGCGACTATCCACTCACACACCAACCGCGCAGAACAATGAACATACAAGCTCCAACTACTCCATCTCAACAGGAGCATCCTACAACATGTTCGAATCATCCCTCCGCCCATCTGGGAGTTTCTATCCTGACAATGACTTCGCTAGCTATCCAACCGGCACCGTCCAGACCGAGATCGCATACAAGTCCCCTCGAAGACACAACTCCGACCAGCCAACCCCTTTCTCCCCACATGATACAGAGCCCTTCTCTTCAGTCAGATCATCAAGAGTCAGCAGAACAATGAGCGAAAACGCAGCACAGCAGTACCATCAAGGCGCAGATGAGCTTGCGGGTCCGGTCACTATCGAGATCTCGGTCGTCGAGAAGAAACGAGGCCGCAAGAAGAAGCAAAGCCTTCCTGACAACGATGACGATGATGAACTGGCCCATCACTACAGTCCTACGATAAACCAAGATGCCACGGCCACAACCACCACCAACAATACTAACAAACCTGAAAGGCGCAAGCCAGGCAGACCACCAAAGAACGCGAAGCCACCGCGCGAAGAAGAAGACTGTGGTCCGATATCAGAAGCGAATGCCGCAATTCCTATTCCTCCAGATACCACCTCAACCAACCCTCTCGCACCTACAGAACACAATCAGACTCCTATACCAATCGACCCACCCCCACAAGATACAAGGGAACCACCTCAAAAGCCACCTAAAGAGCCAAAAAAGAAGAAACTCAAACGCGGAAAAACCACGTCAATCACCCTGACAAAGACATACGACCCCGATGTCGAAGACGACGTGATCTGGATAGACGAGCGACCAGTCCTCCCAACAACTCACGACCACGAACCCACCACCACAGACAACGCAAACCCTCCTGCCCAGGAAGAAGATTCCCCAATCCTCCCAGACCCAGCCCCAGCCCCAGCGGCAGCAGCACCCAAAAAGCGCGGCCGCAAGAGAAAGAACCCGATCGAAGAACCTCCCATCAATCAATCAGCCACTGAAGCCTCGGCGGAACCTCCAAACCAGCACCCCCAACTACAATCCGACAAAGAGAATACACTTACAGAAGAATCACCGTCAGAACCACAAGCACAGCCAGAATCAGAACCAGAACCGCAACCGGAGACAGAGCCTGAACAACACCATCAACAAGAAGAGCAAACCCCAGATCCCCACCAACAGCCAGCACCAACTACACCCTTAAAACCAAGCAAAGGACCAAAACAACACAGCCCGATATCATCGACCAGCAAAGTCCCTTATCGGGTTGGTTTAAGTCGCAGGGCGAGAATCGCGCCGTTGTTGAAGATAGTTAAGCGGTGATTTTCGGCACTATTCACAGTGCTGGGATCTTGTTAGTGTGCGACCTTTCGTACTGATGGATTATTGATCTTGTAGATTATTGACGAAGCTTGGTGTGATGAGAACGAATGTCGGGATTGCAGTATACCAATGTGGCGCTTTGGTTGTGCTTTTTATGCTTTACATGTTGTCTCTATATACCTTATGGCGTCTATCATATCGGTGAACTCGCTGGGAGGCTGCAGGGTCGTCAAGCACTATGCAACTGTCAATCTCCAATATTGATCCGGCGTCACATGTGAGACCGAACTCATGAGCCATCAAGTCATGCCCAAGGCATTCATTCTAATGGTAAGACTAGGCTCTAGTAAAAGTACAAACCCACCATTTTTCTGAAAGGCACCCATACCATGATGAAGTCCATCTTGGCTTCTCTTGGTCAACTGCATCCACACCACCGACAGTATAAAACCAAGCAATCGTATATAAAGGAGCTAACCGGGCCATAGTCCTTATACCCTGGCTCATTCCATCAACACCATAAGGGCTAACAATATCACAACCGCCACAGACGGGCTCAGCTGCAGCAAAGACCCTGCGTCCGATTTCGCGGCCTTCTTGCCCGAACCAGTATAGGCGGCGCCGATATTGTCGCCACAATACCCAGAATCGGACTGGCACCCTGCACCGCAAAACGAAGACATGTTCCCACAAAAGCCAGTGCTACTGCAGCAAGGACCAAATCGCGACCCAAGACAGGTGGTTTGTGTGCCACACATACCGTCAACTGATATCGCTTTGGTGACCGAGTCCTTGGATCTGTTGGATTTCCGTGCATTCCGTTCGTCGAAATTATCATCCTTGCGGTACCAGAGCTCTGGGGGGTCCCCCAGACACTCACCTACCGTCACCGCGCGGTAACCCTCTGCGAGAAGCTTTTTCAACATGTGCTCGGTGAGGTTATGGACTGTCTGTTCATGGACATCGTGAGCGATGGCGAGCCAGGGTCTATCAAACTCTATCCGGGAGTCCAAGTTTCGATCGAAGATGTCCTTGGATTTTTGGATCGCCTCCGGACTGTCATGGCTGTAGTCTTCAGTATCGATATCATACAAGATGACATGGTATCCGAGTGCTCCTAGATCATTTAGACAGCCGGATTCTGCGGTGCAGCTGGAATATGGGGGGCGCATGTAAGTTGGAATTGTCCCCAGAATATTGCGTAGGGCGACTTCATTCCACAGCAGCTGAACCCGACGCTGGGACTGCGTGACCTTGCTAAGATCTTGATGCGACCAAGTATGGCTTGCAACTTGATGCCCACTGCGGTGCATGCGTTGAATGAGTGACGCCCAAGGCATCCCGGGGCTGTCAATTTCGCCCTTGGCATTGTTGTTTCCAGTGACAAAGAACGTCACCTTAGCTTCATATTTATCGAGAAGATCGAGAAGATCCTGCGTGTATTCCTTGGGGCCATCATCGAAGGTCAGGGCAATGGTACCTGGAACAGTACAGGACCGAATGAAGCGCGGGCCATAGGGGACGTTGCCTATCAGAGGCCGAGGAATCTTGTCAGTAGGCGGCCCGCCGGGGGTTATGTGAGCGTCGCAATGACCATAATCGATCTGGCAGTCAGGAGAGCTGCAGTGGCTCTTGGTGTCTCCACAATAACCTGTAGCATCTTAGCATACTTGGCTTTCACGAAGATGAAAGAACATGAAACACACCAGCAGTTGAGCAGCATTTACCCGGAGCGCATCTGCCAAACTCAGAGCCACATCGAGCGCTAACACCACGCTCCACAAGCACCGGAGCAGAAGAATTTGCATTGGTAAGGGGTAGGAGGCGGGTTCCTTGGTGGTCAGGCTGTAGGTTGACGATATTGCGCGCAGTCGAGCACGCTGCGAAACCTAAGCCATAAACAACAACCAAGCGAAGCATATGCATGTTGGAAAGGTATACGGTCATAAAATGTAGTACCGGATAAGATGCAGAGTAATGGAGACAGTAAATAGCCTGGTGCGGGCGATGAGATGTATAGTCGGAGAAGAGAAGGAAACAGGAGGACAAGGAGGTAGCCAGAGGTAGAGATTCAACGACCTGACCCCAGCCTGCTCAACTGGAAGCAGCGACTGTCGGTGCAAAGTCAAGATCAAAACAGTTGGCTGGCAGGACCCCGCCAGCGGCAGGTGGACACATCGCGACGGAAGGAGCACGTCCAAAGATGGAAAGCCGAAGAGATATTGCAATGAAGCCCAGGCTAGATTCGAACATCTCAAACTCCAATAGAAATGCAAAACTATCCGTGTTGTTCTGTAGCCTGGACTGGCTGGAAGTTGCCCAAGAAACGCATCGCATCTACTATTCGCAAGGCACGTTATGTAGCCCGATAGAATTTCGTTTGTGGCATTGGGGTGAGGCAGCATAGCATTTTCTCATTAGGGGTATCATCATGGCACCCAGACGATTGAAGGCCCATCAAGTCTATTAAATAGGCGAGATCCTATATTACATTGGAGTCGCCATCCTGAGGAATAGGTCTTGGAAACTACTAGCAAGATAATGTCCCTCACGCAATCGAGCGCACGGAAGACGATGTTGGGACCTGAATTGACTACTGCACAGGTCAGAGCGTGAGTAGATGGGGAAAAATGCGGGGTATGGATCCATGACTCACTTGTGGTAGGTTATCCTCACCCACAGCAGAGAAGATAAATGGAGCTAGGATAGGAAGATGAGGACCAAATTTAGCCGGGGCACTTTTAGCTACACCACCAACAGTCGCAATGAGGTGACGCCGATGAACAGTGCTAAGTTGAGGGGATTTGAATCTTTGCACGAGACCTCCGACAAATGCACTAAGCTGAGCATCCGAGAAATGAAGGACAAGGGCTGAAATAGCCGCCAGAGCCCTCTTTGTAACCACGGTACCAGCCGTGTCGTTATCGATGATGGACATGACGGAGTTTTGCAAGGCGGTCAATTCAAATTCCTTTAGCAGAGGACCAAAACAGGTGACAACTTGAATCAAAACGTCGATCGCATCACTACTGAAGCCCTTCGACGGATCTTTCTCCAACATCCCCTTGACGATGGAGCCCCTCCGACTTGTTGGGGATGGGGTCGGGCCAGTCAAACGAGGGATGAGCCCCCGAGAAACGGCCGAATAAGCCATGTTCGCCTCCTGACTGGGAGGCTGCCCAGCTTGAGGCCGAGGTAGAGCTGTCACAATGTATCTCAGAGCGGTGTTCGGGACGGAGGTATCAATGGTCTGGGAGGCTGTCAGGTTCGTAAGCTTTTCGAGAAGAGCTGCGAGGCTTTCGAAAGGCATTCGGAGGACAAGCGGGCCAAGGCTAGACAGCGCAAAGAAGTTAGTTATATGAAATCCACTGGAAGTGGGCATTAACGTACCATTTCAGCGCTTGGTTCTGTACATCGCCGTGCTGATCATCGAGAGCCTTCAATAAGCACTCGGCCAGCGCTGAAGCGCCACCTTGGTCGTGTGCCAAAAACGTGGAGCTAGGGCTGTTCAAGATGCCGAGCAAATCATTTAGGGACATATATCTCATGTCCGGGTCGGGATCGCCCAGCTTAGAGAGCAGACTGTTGAGGCTGAGCTGCACTGAATGCCGGTCCGCCATGATGGAGCCCCGCAGTGGATTTGGCTGTTGCGATTAGGAGTATTAACAGGTGAGGAGCGGATGTAGACCCCAGAGGATTGTAGGTGGGGACTAAAGAGATGCCTGAAGTGATTAGGACTGTGAAGAGAAACCAAACCGGGGATGAAGTTGGCTTGGGGGACAATCAGATCAACAAGTGGGATGAATGGGGGATCGGCTTCATCCAGGTGCTTGCTGCCGCTGTTATCGGAGCTAATCTTGCAGCCTGAGGCAGCGACAAGCTCCTACGGCGGACCATACGGCCATTGGTGCACGGTCCATGCTTGATGGATTCCCCAACTATGCGGCGACCTTGAGCTGCCACTGACGAGGTCAATTGAGAATGTGAGCTTTGAAGCAAAAACTGATGCTCAGTCATGATAGTAGTCCGATGGATTGAATCTCCTCTCCCCTCGAGGGATGAAGCTTAAGCTGTCAATGCGAAACTGCCAGTGACTTCCCCGCACGGTGCAATTACATCATCCGCGGTAATTACGGGGACTAGTACTACGGAGTACATGCTCTCTGCTACAGAACACCGTCAGTTGCCAGGTAACTCTGGAGTAAGTGACTGGTAAATGACTGGGCAGCAGGGAACGTGAGCCACCCCGGCAGCACCCGCTCCGGGTAGAAGGCATCGGATCCATGATTGCAACGTAAGGGCTGAGTGCCGGTCCTGCCCTCAATTAGGTCATACCATTCCAGCCTCCTCATACTTCCTCTCTTCCTTCCTTCTCTTTCTCCTCCTCATCGTCCCATTTCGCCCGTCTCTTCCATTGCACATTGTCTCTCGTCTTGCTTCTGGAACTTGTACTGTCTCTTACATTCTCGTTCAGCTATCACGTATCTCACAATGGTTCTCGCACGCCCTCACATTCTCCGCGCATCCGCTCGGGCCGTCGGTGTCGCAGCTCGACGACCTCCCACCCAGCAATTCGCACGCAGGACATATGCTCAGTCGCATGATGCTCCCAAGTCCTCCGATATGCCATGGTAGTTACATTCCTGAGTTCGAGTCGCACTGGTTCAACGCACGAGACTAAGACCGATTTCCAATAGGCTCATCGCATCTGTTGGTTTGGGTCTCCCAACAGCGTACTACCTGCTTCAAGGCGGACCCCAGAAGAAACCCCACCACGGCCACGACGAAGCTCATGGAGCTGGACACGTTGAGAAAGGGGAGAAGAAGGAGGCCGAGTCGTCTGCAGGTGATGCTGCTCCTCAGCCTGATCGCGACTCGGAGCAGAAGGTAGAATCTTCCGGTAGTGGTAGTACTCCTTCGACGGATGGAAAGGCACCTTCTGAGGCGGACCAGGTAGAATTTATCCCCAGCAGCTACTGGTCTTCGTTAATTGGGGATCGCATCCCCCCTCAAGGACTAATTGACTAACTGCTCACCTTTCTTAGGCCGCTAGCCGAAAGGAACCAGGTTCTTCGGCCACTATCTCCTCTAAGCAGGAGGGCCTCTCTAACACGGACACTGACAACCCGTTCGTGAACGAGCCTGGAAAGAGCCAAAAGGGAGAGGGAGAGACCGAAACCGCTAAGGTGAAGGGAACCGTTGCTCCTGACCGTCCTCAGGCGTAATTGGGTTGCCTCAGGGTCCAGTGTGAAAAGTTGATTCATAGCTCTGGCGGCGATTGTTGTATTCTATCTTCCATGTGGCATGATCGAATGTTAGATCACCAAGAGGTGTTAATGTAACATCTTTGTCTACTGGCCTTTCGTGCATGCGTAGAGGGTCATGAAACAGTCAGCTTGACCTTGGGATGGTGCAGTCTAACCGGATGATAAGATGAAGAGGTAAAGAAATGTTACACAAATGATATATACAATATTCTAAACAAGTTGCTAGTGGAAGGTAAGATGTCCTAGAAAATATTACAAAATGTAGAGCTTTTTGTTTTTGTGACGACCCCATCCCCTCAGTGACCAAGCGAATAGGGGTGATAAAGTGCACTCTGTGTCAGAAAGATACACTTAAGTGGTAGTCGCATATTCACACATTAGAGCAGAACTGTGTAGATCACGTCGCCTTTTACGCTTCTCAATGGTGCTTGTTCTTGAGATGATGCTCCAGGTGACTGCGATGCTTAGGGTCCGGAAGTTCAGGGTGGACTCTGACTTCTGGCATTTCTGGCAGATCACCCTGTTGACGGCAGGAGCCGTTCATCGGATCCTTGGGTTTCGAAAATGCAGGAATGCCAGTTTGTACGGCCTGGACTGAGCTAGCAGTAGCGATGGGGGCCAAACTCGAGGAGGAAGATTGCTGGCTCGATGCTGCAACTGAGCTTATCCCGTATGAGGACGAGTTGGCGGTCATGAGACCACCGGGTCCGGTCAGGTATAGGAGGGAAGAATATGGAGTCTCGCCGGGGTAGAAGCTGGTCGGTACAGGGGGAATGGTGAAGGATGAGTTTGCGAGCAATGCCGAGGTGAATTCATTGGTCATCCAGGATGTAGTATATGTGCTGGGTCTGAGTCAGTCTGTCGTTGTACGTTGGTAGGTAAGTGGGGAGAGGATCATACGCGACACTGGTCACCGTCTGGACGGCGGTATAGCCGCCTGATGAAGTAGCACTGGCAGTGCTATTCAGACAAGCCCCGTTTCCGAAAGCATTCTCGCATTCATATGTCGCGTATTCGCCCTCAGAGAACATATAGACTTCCTCGAGATCGATGTTCGTACAAGGGACCTCTGAGCTGCACAGAATGCGAATGGAGGGTCGCGAATGCTCGGTATTGTATCCTACCCAGTTCTAGTAGTACGGTAGAGGTTAGCGATACGCCGGCCATGTTTGGAATATTTGTAATACCTTGAATGTGAGATTGGTAATCTCAACCCCGTTTCCCTCACTCTTATCTCCCCAGGCGCCATCGATGGAAAGAGGGTAGGCGCCCCCATGGACAGTAACGGTGTCCCAGACGATATCCTTCACCGTACCATTGCCACCGTGGTACTTGATAAAGCAGGGATCCGCATCGTTGGCGTAAATATGGCGATAGTAGATGCTAGAGATGTTGGTGTTTGTGGACAGGGATCCGATTGACATGCCCCCGCTGAGATTGCAAAAGATGCTCTCAATCAGCATATTGGTCGATGGATTTTTTACCGTCACGCACTCGTCACCATTGGTAGCCTCGATGTCGTGAATCCACATATTCTGGCCCCAGACATCAATGGCGTCAGTTCCTCCCAGCACGGTAGGTCCACGCATGATTATATTGTAGATTTCGCCACTGTCAACCGTATCGAGGGTAAGGTAGTAGGAAGGAGAATCGACGAGTGCGAAGCCATGAACGGAGAAGTTGCCCATGTCTTGGAAGCGCATTAGACGAGGGCCGTAGTCATCGTTAGCAAGATACTCGTATCCATTTCCTTGGATGGCCCCCTTCGAGTTGCCTGAAAAAAATTCGAAATCGGCACAATTGCGGAAGGACAGCATTGTTGATCCAATACTCCCCGTGCGATTGATGACACCGTCCAGCTGCACCGCGGATGATACGCCGTCCTTGAGCTCATTGAAAGTTGCCATCGAGTAGTTGCCCGGTGGGATATAAACCAGCCCGCCTTTGGCGCAGTCATCCCAGGCCTGGAGCAGGGCCGGTCCAATATCGGTGCCATTGTTGGGGTATCCGCCGTAGTCAATGATGTTGCAGACCTTCGTGGCCGCTTTGGAAGTATAAGAAGTGAGGGGGCCGACCGGCCCTGACAGCTGAGCCGCTGCCGGTCGAAGCAGTAGAACAAGGGAAAGAAGCCGCCACATGGTTTACTGTGTATCTGAATACTGGAATGGCCGAGAGCTGCTAGACTACGCGGTATAAATACACACCCAGCAGCACCTCCTTGTCGACTGTCAGATTCATCCCCTATCCCCTGATAACTAATATCCGATACTCGCTCAAGGCTTTCGCATCCATTCATGCGTAGCCGCCATGGTTTTTTTGGGGCAGATATACCGAAAGGGCTTGGCTTTGTTGATCTGCCGACTTCCATCGGCTCAACCGTTGTTTCAGAGTAAAGTAAAGCGCCCGCACGAGCCTTCGGCTCGGTGGAAACAGGGCAATTGCCGATGGTAAGAGTACGATAGTACTTCTACCGCGGTAGAAGGTATGCAGAATATACTCCGTAGATTAGCGCCCAATTCCCTGCTGGCCAGCTGAAGCTATCCCCGGAGATGAATCACCATTGCTCTGTTTCAGCATATCGGACATCTGAGGGTATGACAGCAGGGTGCGGAAAATGAACCTCTCCTCCATTTAACCGTACTCGAGCCACCCTAACGGCCTTCCAAAAGTCTATCCTCTGTCACTACCCATGGTCTGATCCCGGCTCGGCATACTTTCTAAGGGTGTCCATTGCCTGGTTTAATGACGCGCCTTGGTGTGAACATAAGAGGTCTGTGCCCAATGTCTTCAACCTTTTGCCAGGTTGGAATCCCTGAGCGGGAAACTTCTACTGAAATATATCTACGGAGTACAAGATAACCGGTACTGACAGAATGCAGGCGCGAGGATGAAGTCGCCCAGGAATGAACTTTGTTCTCTCAGTGACCTTTGATTGGCTCAAGCGAGGAGCGTTTATTAGTGACCTTTGATTGGCTCAAGCGAGGAGCGTTTATTCTATGCAGGCCCTGGATTTGTTCGGTGACTTGCTTCGAAGTATTTACTATTAATTGATCCCGCGGCATGCTGCAGTGACGGCCGGAGAGGTCATCCACCACATCTTGATCACTATGGACACGAGTGGTGGTTGTCAATCTAATTTGGCCGAAACACCAAGCTCGTGCCTTGCAGGCCTGGTGCAGAAACGCGAGTACCAGGACGATGACTGAAGGACTCCTTGCGTCGCGGCAATAGAGCTGATTCAAGGATCGACACTGACAGGCCATTGGGTACGTTCGTTCAGTGCCTAAGACCAAATGGGATTGAGCCTGTCCACATCTCCTGTCACTCTGGCTCTTTGAAGTACTGCAATTGGCTGGGGAGGATCCAGTGCCAACTCAGACGCAAATGCCCACTTAAGGTATCAATCTGCTGGGCGCTGCGAGATAACCCATGCAGCTTACGGGCAGACATTTGCGGGCCTTGTTGGGATGCTTTTTTGGATGAGTTTTTTCTTCCCCGAAGCAAGGCTTTTGGGATGCATCACATTTCGTTTCAGGGGCACGGAAAAAGAAAAGGAGGAGGCACGATCTCGGTGGACACGGGGGGAACCACCGACACCATCCGCGCCAGGGAACCGTGGGGAACGATAAGCAGGACGTGACTGGCACTAGGAGTCGAGGAGGAGAATTAATGGGATTATTATCATTGTGTTGGCTGGAAAAGTAACCAGATTTCTGGGGGTTGCCCCGAGCACCCGCCGACTTATCGATCCCGTCACGGTGCCGCCAAACTCCACTCTAGAATAACAATTTATCGTTGTAGATTTCCATGTGTTGCAACCTCTCTTCCCTTCCTCCAACCTTGTCAGCAGTCTCGCCTGTCCCATTCCTTGCGTGCTCACCCATTGCGCCTCAACTCTCCAACCCTCCCACCCCCCACCCAAATCCACCCACCCAGATGCCATTGCCATTCCAGGGTCTTCCAGCTCCATGGTTTGCCCGCATCTGCTAATTTCCGCTGTGCTTGTGCTTGCATTCACCTGGCGTCCTGTGAATCGCGACGCGCGCCGAGCTGGGCTTCAGCCGCTGTGATCGCAACCCACTCCAGAAAATGACCGACAATCCACCATGGCTAGACAACCTTTCAGACGACTGGGTCCCTGTGCCTGTACCTGGCACCCCGACCAGCCCCGTCCCCTCTCGATCCTTCACCCATTCCCGCCAGTCCAGCTTACAGGACTCTCCTAGTCGCATTCCAGTTCCCGCGCGTCGTTCCGTCGGTCCATCGCCGTCGCCTGCCGATAACAAAAAGAAAGTTTCTCGGCCTTGTCATTTCGTGAAAAGGGAACCGCCCAAGCCGAAGACCCCTCGTCCTCCCAAAACCCCGTCCAAGCTGCGATCGCCCGTCCCGGACAAATCGAAGAAGAGCCCACGACCGGACCCGCCCTCCAGGCGTAAACAACAGCGCGCGATGGATACGAGGTCGCCTTTGCGGTCGGTGTCGAATGCTTCTGGTCAGTCTGTACAACAAAGCACCGTTCAAGTGAGACCGAAGAAGGTCAAGGGCACCGAGGGAACACCTGAATGGCGGAGGAGACTGGTTCAAGGAGATATACCCTCGGGCGAACAGCGCGACCTTTTCGCCCCCATCGGACTTGAGAGCGTGTTCAAGCCACCGACCCCGGGAACCGAGAAAACCCAAGATGAAGCCATCTCCAGGCTAAAGCAATCGGATAGCATCTGGAACTTCACCACGTCCCCCGAACCACGCGACGACGCATACTCAAAGGACGCATCCGGTGACGGTCGACAGGGTGCTGGCGAGGGTGCTGGTCATTCCTCTCCTAAAAGTCCACGATCGCCGGCTAAATCGCCCCGGCTCGGCCAAGCAGTACCTAGGACGAGCCCAGGGAGCCCACAAGAATCACAAAATGGAACGCTGCAAGTAAACAAGGAACCCAAGAAACTAGCACCGGATCAGAGCGATAACTACAATGAATCGTGGAACGGCACGCAGCTGAGAACTGCGAGTGGCCTGGAGGACCTGCGAAATGAAGATATAACGCCCATTACCTTCTCTCAGCCGAATACAATGGATGGGAATGCTGCATCGGAAGTCATCAGGTCGGCGTTGAAAAAGGTGACAAACAAGCTGGAGAGACTACAATTGCCACCATACGAACGGCCGGACTCAAGATTAAGCGACAGTCTTTTGCTAAATCAACCGTCGGAGATGCCCGTGGATCCGCTACCGGAGGACGACCTACTTGATGTTACAAGCCATTCTTTGCCCAAGGATCTTTCCATGGGAACGCTGGATTTCCGGGGACGGGGAGCCTTTGCGAACTTGCGACCCGTCGACTATCTGAACGAAGGCTCTTTCCAGAAGCTGCACCTTTCGCCGCCTCCCTTTCCCTCCGAACGATTGTCGCCGTTCCTTCCTGCGAATCAAAGAATCCGGAGCTCACCACCTTTCTACCAGAAGGCCAACCCAGTGACCGATCCCCCGACCCTCCCTAGACCATCATCAGCTCATGTTGGGGCAAGAAGCGGAGCCATGCCCTCTTCCGGGAGTCCCCTGAAGCTATTCGGCAATCATGACACCTTTACCAACAACAGACTTATGCGACGGATGAGCCAATTCGAAGAGACCTTCGGTGGCCTTTCTGAAGACGACGAACCTATGTCCCCGTCGGAAGAGGCCCGGCGTAAGGGCGAGTCTAGGAGTTTCATGAGCGCAAAACAAGACACGCTAGGCTCACCCACGAGGAGACACGAGCGGCCGAGGTCTCGAAACACCGCGAACCCTCATATCAATCGATTCGGTGACGGGGAGTTGGACCATTTCGATTTCTCCGATACAAGCCCCTACGAGCCAAAGCTGCTAAACAATGAGGCTATAGACTCCCACCAACGCTCTCCTTCGCGGCGACTGTCTGTCGAACGGCGGTATCTCAGGCGTCGCTCGTATAGGACTCAGAGTCACGGCACCGAATCAAACAGACTCACGCAGAACTCCAACCCCGCCGGGATGCCACACACGGCCGCAAGCACCAATGCCACCGGGAGTCAGGGTCTAAGAGGCATAGAAGAATTTTTCCAGTCGGAATCGGGATCAAGGCCAAATTCGCCAGCTAAAGACCCCAACCCGAAAAGACGCAGAACAATTCTCAAGTCTCATAGTCTGATGCAGGAGGATACTGGTTTTGGGAGGCTTTCAGGGCAGGTCCCGGATAACTTGTCGTTATTGCAAAGGAGTTTGATGCAACAAGGGGTGACCTATGAGGACAAAGAACCTTTGCTGCGATCGCAATCCACGCAACGACCAAATACTCCAACGCCAAGCCAGATACGGTCGCTCTCGAGAAAGAGACCATCATCAAGCCGGAATTACTCGCGTGCTGGGCATGATGACCACGGCGATCAAAACTCTCCACCTGAGAACGCAGTCCCTATCGTGAGAGTTAATGGCGTCAATACGGAAGCCCGCAAAGGGTCAATCACAACGCAGGATTTCCTAAATGAGGCCACAAAGATTATGGATATCATCCGGTCAAAGGGTAGGTCTGCGGGCGGCCTCTCCAGCGTAGAGGAATCCGATGCAGAAAACCAGGATGAAAGTGGAAGCTATGAAGATGAGTCCACGCGCGAAGAATTCTCGCGGCCCCCGAGTCGGGAGGGGGTTGATATGCGGAAATTAAGGGAGCCTCAAGAGCCAAACCCTCGGATATTGAGTCATCTGAAGAAGTTCCAGGAGGATGATGACCAAGATTTCGACGTTAACGCATCTGTTATGTCCTTGAACCTCGACCAAGATGAAACCCGCTCCGACGACAGCCATTCAGTCTGGGACGGCGATGTGTTGAACGAAATGGACGACGGGGCCGAAGCACATACTCAGAACGTGGATTCCGACTCGCGCACACGTAAAATGTCCGCTCCGACAGATGATGGTGAAGAAGATGATGACCTCCCTGACCTTCTGACTATCAATACGCATGTCTCCGCCAAAAGTCTCAGTGCCCGTTCCATCCCCACCGGCTCTTCACAAAGCTCGCATGCGAAAGGAGTCTTGTCTTCAGATATCGTGTCTCACCTTATTCCTGAACAAGTAAATGGCCTGACATACGACCGTTACCGGAACCAATGGGTTAAGGAGAAACCCAGACAATCTCCGGGTAAACCAAAGGGCGAAGATAGCGAGGATGATCCATTCAAGGATATTCCGGATCTCAGTGTGGATGAGCTCCAGGAGATGATGAGGATGCAGAGCTCCCTCTCCCCAGAACGCGCAAAGGGTTCTTCTGTCCGAGGTGAAGACAACACGCGTCAGAGCTCGCCCAGTCCTCATAAACCCTCCAGCCCGTCAGAGGAACGCCCGCAGCCGAAAAGAGGCGACCCCTCGGTCAATTTCAGCTCGCTGCAGTCCAAGTCTACACCTTTTACATCTAGGTTCTCCAACTCGGATACCAGGGCGACGTCTTGGGAAACGGATGTTCGCAAGCCAAGCAAATCAACCAGCGAGGTCGAGCATGAGATTCAGCTTCATAAAGGTCACCTGTCAAAACCGCCACGGCGTCAACAAGAACATCGCCAGCAAGCTCGAGTCGTGACTATCAGCTTCTCCTCGCCCCTTGTCTCACAAATTGCATACGACGAGGATGAAAGCCCCACAAAGCTCCGACACAACAAAGGGGACCGGCAGCCCGACCACGATCCTGCCATTGCTGAAGAAGGGGCATCTACATACGAACAATCATTCCACCCTGATGCAAGTTCACGCATGTATGAAAACGGCGGGAATGCCGCTGATGCCTTGAGTCTGGTTCGCAGGGGCTCTGGATCCGTGGCGTCTACGCCGGACAAGAACAATGCCAATAATTCACTGATCTGTCTGCAAAACTTTGGGCAAGACACAAGCTACAGCTTCAATCTGACTCCCCTGCCCGATTTTACCGTCCACCAAATTGATCAACCGCTGCACCTGGAGGTGAGCTATGTGGCTCAGCGCACCCATCCAACCTCGCTGCGCCAAGTCCATGGGACCTTTGCCCTGGCCACTGAGGATCTGGTCAAGCATATCACTGAAGCCGAGCCATTTGAGCCTCACTGGGAACATGTTCGGCGGCTGGTCCTCCGGCACAAGGGCCTTATCACGCTTCATAGGCTCTGTGATTTTTGCCCTCGGCTGGAAGATCTGGACGTGGCCGGCAACGATATCGGTCAATTGAGCGGCGTGCCCCCGAGTCTGAGAACGCTAAGTATTCAGGATAATTGTCTCTCGAATCTCACGGCTTGGGGTCACTTGACAAACCTGCAGTACCTCGACGTGTCGGGTAACGAGCTGGAAAGTCTGGATGCGTTCAGCAGTCTAATCCATCTCAGAGAGCTCAGAGCCAACAACAACAGAATCAGAAATATCGAGGGCATATTTGACTTGAACGGACTACTGAGTTTGGAGCTGAGGAACAATGGCTTGACCACAGTCGACTTCAGTCGGGCTGATCTGTAAGTGGCATTGCCCCTCCATCCGCCTACGTCCTTACTAACTGTCGCCTGTTTCATCTGAAAAGGACTCGCCTGCATGATCTAGACTTGAGTCATAACCAGCTTGCCTCGGTCTATAACATTGACGCCCTTCCCTCTCTGGCAGCCGTCAATCTCAGCTTCAATCAACTCACCGAATTCGAAACCACCATACCTTTACCTAGTCTACGGTCACTGAAACTCTCCAGCAACATCTTGCGCACGCTCGACGTCGGAGCCTTCCCGTCCCTAAATCTCATTTACGTGGACCAGAACTCCCTACGCAGTGTTTCTGGGCTTGAGCAGTGCCGTTATCTGGAAGTCTTCTCTGCTCGGGAGCAGGGTAGCCATGATGTTAACCCTGGCGTTTTCGATATCGATTTGGGTCTGGTGAAAGACCTTCGGAAGGCCTTTCTTTCATCAAACAGACTTTCTCTGCAAAGCCTTTCGCCTTCCACCCCTCTTCTAAGCCTACAACTGCTTGATATTGCATCGTGCAGTCTGCAGGGGCTTCCTATTGACTTTGCTTCGAGCTTTCCCAACGTAGTGGTTCTCAACTTGAACTTCAACTCCCTGACAGGTGTCAGTGAATTGGCGGGCATGAAATGTCTCTCTCGATTGACGGCCGCTGGAAACAATCTCACGAGACTGAGGCGTCTCTGTCAAGTTTTGAGCCACATCGGGAAAACAAGCAAAGGAAAGGCCTGCTCTCTGCAAAAGGTCGACATTCGGAGCAACCCTCTCACGGTCAGGTTCTATCCGCCTGTTATTCGAAATGGTAAAGAGACCGCCAAAAAACTGAAGATGAAGGACGAACTGGGGCCCCGACACCATGTCGGACTGGACATTCCCTCTGCGCTGGCTGAGTTTGGGCACAATGGCGATATAACGCATCTTGACGCTGTGAACGAAGACGACATGCCCAGCCATGCCAAGGAGATTGAAGTGGACGACCCTTATACCCTTCCACCCGCCGATCCTTTGGCTGACCAGAAATACTTAACCCACTTGGATGAGCCAACGCGACTTCGCAGGCGTATTTTCGAGCTCATGCTATATGCAGGGACCGGGGGTTCTATTCGTCTCCTGGACGGCCTGGAACTGAGGCCCTCTATGGACGAAGGCTCCGACATGGACCGAGCTTGGGCAAAACTTGAAAAACTCGGCGTGCTCAAGAAAAAAGCAATCACTGCTTAGCATGCCTTTCTTTAGCATTGTATGATTCATGATATCCCGGGGTGCAGCTGCACGGAGTTTTGATGTCATAAGGTTGGATTACTGTTTTGCTTTCTGATGTGCGCTTCAGATGTTGGGTGTTTATTGATTTTTCACATTGGGCGGTCGGCGTTGCAATTGTGTTAAACGGACTGCATACCAGGAGTTCTGGAAAATCATAACACTGCTGCATTTTACCTCGAGCGGACTATTCCCCCATTTCCAGTACCAAATTCTATTGTCTTAATGCACCGATCCTATTCTTCTATCTATTTTCTTTGTTCGTTGCCCTCAATGCTGGTTGTTACATGTTGGGGAAGGACGAAACGCTATACTAAAAATCAGTCATTGGGGCAGTGGTAAACAATTGGCATAATTCATCCATAGTCATAATCCATTATATTTTCAAGAAAGACCATGCTATGCATTGTATGCACAATGCATCAGTACTTTTCTGATTACTAGATTGTTCGTGGATCTGGGTAAGCTAGTCGGCGTCCCACCTTGACGAGCAAGCAGACCCTCTAAGCCTCCATCTCGAGGGTCTTGAGCTGGGCAGCAAACGTCTTGCGAATCCATTCCATGTAGGCCTTCCATTTGTGATGATCACCAGCAACCTCAGCATTCGGGAACGCTTTGCTTAGTTCGCGACTGATCTTGAGGACACCTAGTGAAGCTTCCTGCGCCTTCTCCAGTTCTTGTTTCACGGCATTATCCTTGGGCTTGAAGGATAGAATGGCGGTGTAACGTTCCGAGAGCGCGTCGAGGTGACGCTGTGTTTCTTCCGGAGCGAGGTGAATGAGCTTGGAGGTCATGAGATTGCAAATTGTGCGGATGTCTTGTTCGTCGTCGATTCCAGACAGAATGCGGTTGAAAAATTCGTTGATGTGATTGAGGGAGAATGTCGAGTCTAGGGACGCGTAGAGTGTTTCATAGGCGCTCTATGATTGGAATTTGTTAGCCATTATGATGTATACGCAGAGGGGCCAGGCGAAATGGGGAAATACTAACCTTGCGTAGCTCGAGGCCGTCGTCGACGCGGTGCTTGAAGGGCCCCATCTGGACTTCACGAATGAGCTCGGGCTTGACCTTGGTATCACCGAAGACGGCTGGGAGGAGTTCATTGAGGTGAGGGAGAAGAATATCCATCTTGTTGTGGATTGCGGAGTTCAATGTCGTCAGGGCGAGGCGGTGATTGCCCAGATCACGGTCACTCAGCATGTTGACCAGCAGAGGCACAATCACTGGTCTCAAGACATCATTATAGGTATCCCGGGGATCCGAGAGGGTGTAGCGGAACGCAGAGATGACAACGCCGCGGATACTGGCATCAGAGCTGGAAAGATAATCCTAACATCTGTGTTAGCTACATGGTATTGTTCAAAAGCGTCGCTGATAGAGTCTCACCTGGAAATGTGGGATGTAGGCGACCGGATCAATCAGGGCGAGCCGACCAACACATTCTGCACCAACGGCACGGTTGTCTTCCTCCTCTGACACGACCAGAAGCGCCTGCCAGAGTTTGACAGCCGAGGGAGCTACATCCGGCCGAACAATCTCGGGATGCTGAAGCAGCTCTTTCACGGAATGAAGAAGGAGGTAGCTTTGTGGATTGGCCTTCTCCAGACCTCCCAGGATAATAGGCAAATAGGACTTGACATTCCCAGCCGCTGCGTTTCCGAGAGCAGTAGCTGCAGCCAGTCGGACTTTATCTGACTTGGAGCTGAAATGGGCGATGAAGAGTTGCGGGGTGAGTGAGCAACTGGAGCCCATCCGGAGACCGATCTCTCCCAAAATCGCAAGTGCAAGGCATTTACGCTGAGCATCCTGTGCGGTTTGTAGCTCGGTCATGAAATCTTCCATTTTGACCCCGAGCTTAGAGCCACCGTGCACTAAAAGAGTCCCGATAGCTCTACCGACCACAGACGTGTCGCCACTGATGCCAACGTCTTGCAGAAGTTTCTTCATCAATGCCGCCCCGGCACCCTCTTCTCCAATGACCTTAACCAGCAGGAGCAGGGCCTTTAGTACCGTACCAACGAGGGAAGAAAGAACTACGGAACAGAGAGCGGCAATCAAGTTCTCGTTCACAAGAAGTCGAGAATTTCCTGGAACAAGCTTCGCCAGAATAATAAGCGAAGGTGCGAGGAAATGGAAATCTTCCGCGCTGATGAGGGGCAGGAGAGAATCTTCCAACTCCTTCATGGTCTTATCATCGTAATGAGTTCTAGTGTAGGGGTTCATGGCCAGACTGCGGAGAGCCTCCAGACTGGCGCCTCGGAGAACACGGTCCGACTTCCGTAGTTGTGCGCCCAGCTCTGTGGTGACTTCGCTAACCCATGACGGCGTCACATCCACATCACGACTGCAGAGAACGGCAACATCATCAACGGCCCGGACAGCTGCGAGCCGCGTAGTCTCGTTCCGCAGACGGTCCACCAAGACGGAAAGGCCTTTGGAGCGTCGATCCACGGACAGGAAAGGGGCACCCTTGTCCCCAGATGTCCGTGCCAAGAGCACACCGAAGACGTGGATAGCCCTCTGGCGAACTTCGAGATCCGCACTCGTGTCAGTAATGCGAGTGTGGACAACATCATACAGCTTCTCCAGTTGTGATGTGAGATCTTGTGAAGCACTCGGGACTCGAGGCGGCGTAAGCGCTTTCACAATCTGCTCGACGGCTCCAAGTGCTTCACTGCTGACCTTGTAGTTTCTGTCATTGACTGCACCAATAACGCCGGGAATCAAGGCAATGAGGAAGGGCAACAGAGCATCAGATGCATGCGTTTCGGCAATCGCTGCAATGAGTCCCAAGGTTTCGGTTTGGAGAGTGCCTGCACTAGCCGAAGCCCCAACCGGTGCGGATGAGCTGCCTGAGAGAGAGGAAGACTTCAAGACGTCAGCAATAGGGTCTTCGATCTGTTGAAGATGGTCTGCAAGACCACCGTAGCGAACGAGTGCAAGGCTTTTAAGTAACACAATGATGGCTTGCTTCAGGGGTACAGAAGCTTGCTTCCACATCTTGACAACACTCTGCACGACGATCGGCACAGAGCGAGCCAGTTCTGCCTGCGGACCAGATTTGGGCGACGAAGGAGCAACAACTGGGGTGCTAATGGCGGAAGATGTGCCAATGCTGGGCTCAAAGTCGATCATGCTGGCATCACTGTCCTGGCGTCTCCTCTTCCTAGAGTTCTTTGACCCACCCACCGCTTCAAGGAATCCGTTGGATGTGATGATCATAGCACCTTCACCGGTTTTTCTGACAAGAGCAGTCATAGTAGACACTACCTCGAGCTTGACGCTTTCTTCCCTTTCTCTGTTGAAACGAGCGATGAGGGCGGGGGAGATTTGCTGAAACAAGGATGCATCATCCAGAGCACGGCCCCGCGCGTAGGTGGTAATAACGGAATAGAGCAGCTTTGCTGCACACCGGCGAACCTTCCAGCTCATATCATCAATATCACTGTAGCCTCCTTCTTCCTCAAAATCCTCGAATTCATCGTCATCCAAATCCGGCTCCTCCGTTACGTCATCTTCGGAACCATCATCTTGGGTGCCACCCATCTCCTCGTCCTCTTCTGCGTCGGCGACATTCGGATCGTACTTCAGGTATCGAAGAGCTGACTTGATGGTGTTCGACATGTACGGCTGCATCTGAGAGCTGCAAGAGCTGATGAGGGTCTCCAAGGTGACCAGGGCGGTTTCTCGCAGCTCGTCCGCCTGGGGGTCGTGGTCCTCATCTTGAGAGTAAGACGACATTGTGCCGAGAGAACAGGCGTAGTAGTTTGCTGAGGGAAACCAGTGCTGGACAGGAAAAGCGGGGATGAGGGATGCGGAGAGTGGAGGTCGGAAGAGCTCAAGATCAACAAGGACCGTGGCACTCCAAAGCGGGAAGCCGCTTGGGGAGCTCCGGCCGATAAAGGAACCCCGCGCTAGGCCCAAACCATCCCGGAGGAAGCATCCGACCCTCCGGTCTTGGCATGGGCTCGTGACCAGCAAGAAAATTTGCAGGTCCCTTTCACTGAAGGAAGTCAAAGAGGTCGAGAGAGGATGAATGCGTGCGCGATTGTTGCTTGGAGGCCATCAGTGCCTGTAACCCGCTTTGCTTCCTGGCCTTGGCTCGCTTTTTGCTACTGGCATTGTCGGCCGCTTTATTCACCCGATTTGGATCCGTCAATTCCGAGGTGGGCTCAGAAAGGGAGGCCGTAGCTGCAGAGGATTGGACTTCAGGCGTAGATGCTGTCGTAGGAATAGCTTTGGCAGGCATAGCAGAGCGGCCTGCCTCCTTTCGAATCGGCTTGACGGTGCGCCGACGGCAACGGATACACTTCAGGATCGTAGCTCCTTCACAGGTTGGCTTAACCGCAGTGCCTGACTTCGAGAGCTTGCCTTTTCTTTTGGGGATATTGATGGTCTTGGTCCATGCCGCGCTTCTGACGCTGCCACATGCACCGCATGCTGCCTCGTGATGCCGCTGGTTCAGGGGCTTAAATTCATCATAGATAATGCCATTGTGTAACGTCATCAAATAGGCCGCGGTGGATGGGCTGAGAGCATTGAGGAAGCTGGCCGAGCTCTTGAGAAATTCCAGCCGGGGCGCATGATCGCTGAGAGGCATGGCTATATCACTCTATGGAATTGTAGAGGAACGGGTGAATAGAAGATGTCCGGCCCAGGAGCGGTGGATCGAGGAAAAGAAAAGGACTCTTCCGACGGGGCAAAGCAACCAAACCAAACTCCCGCCGCAACCTTCACCTCTCACAGTGTTACTCCCCTTTCTCTCTTCCCCCAACACCTTGCTTCTTTCATCTCTCTCTCTCTATCTCTCTCCGCTCTCAGCTCCTTGATCCCAGTGTTTCTCATTCTCATTTGCTGGTTAGATCCAGATCTCAGTTTCTTAAAATCTTACCTCAGCGCTGAGCACTTCATACTTCATTGAATCTACTTCTTTAGTTGCCCGGTATCTCCAAGGCCATGGAGATGCAGACTGAAAGTTCACCCTCCATTAGGGTGGCTCTTGAAGGCTGCGTACGCGACCCAGGGATTGATTTCGATTTGTCCTTCTGTAGCTAACCTTGCTGACTGACTCCTAGGGACATGGATGTCTACACGATATCTATGCGTCAGTTGGAAAAGCCGCCGAGCTCAAAGGATGGGACGGCGTTGACCTCGTTATCATTGGCGGCGACTTCCAGGTAGTTCTCCTCCTTTTCCCATTTGTCCTGTCCCTGTTGTCCTAACCCCAACCCCAGGCTGTCCGGAATTCGAACGACCTGGCCTGCATGTCTGTACCCAAGAAGTACAGGGAATTGGGCGATTTCCACGAATACTACAGTGGGAAGCGGACAGCACCTTACTTGACCATTTTCATTGGCGGTAATCACGAAGCTGGCAATCATTTATTCGAACTCTACTACGGAGGCTGGGTCGCACCCAACATTTACTACCTCGGCGCTGCCAATGTGATCCGTTGTGGCCCTCTACGGATCGCAGGCATGTCTGGTATCTGGAAGGGTTACGATTACAGAAAGCCTCATTTTGAAAGACTTCCTTACAATCGTGACGATATCCAAAGTATTTACCACGTCAGAGAGTTGGACGTTCGCAAACTCCTGCAGATTCGCACGCAAGTTGATCTAGGCTTGTCGCATGATTGGCCCAAGCAAGTTGAGCGCTGCGGGGACTACGTGACTCTTTTTAGACAAAAGAAAGGCTTCCGCGAGGACTCTGAAAATGGCAGACTGGGTAATATGGCTGCAAAGCATGTCCTTGACCGTCTGCGGCCTGCATACTGGTTCTCCGCTCACTTGCATGTCCGATTCGCGGCCCTGATTCAACACGGTGAGTATGTAGTTCCTGAGCACCCAGCCGCCAGAAGGCAAGCCGCCGCCGCTTCGAACGATATCAACCAGCCTCCAAAATCCCCGCATCCGTTTGGGTTGGACGGCGCTGTGTTCGCATCTCTGTTGGTCGGTGATGATGACCCGTTGAAGGGGAATTCGCCTGCGGCTGGTACTGCACTCCCTGGCCTTCCCAGCAAATCGGCCCCTGCTTCCCAGGATACGAGCAGAACTGGAAGTACACAGAACCTCCAATCGCGATCTGAAGCCGACCGGATTACCCATGCACTGCCCGAAACTGAGGTCTCTGCTGACCAAGATATGGGAAGCCTGCAGAGTAAGCTGCAAGCATGGCACAATTTCCATGCTGTCGCCGCTAAAAAAGAAGCCGCTGAGAATTCTCGCTTCTTGCTGGAACAGGCAGAAAATCGAGGGGTGCCTCCCCCTGAGGTCACGCACAACCTGACATGGCGCAAGGTCGAGACGTATGACGACGGATCTAGCCGGAAAATCACGGGCATTGAGAGAGATGGCGACCTCGACTGTCAGGCTAATAAAAAGCAGAAGATTGAGCATGCACCCAAGATTGTGAAAAACAGTGATGAGATAGATCTGGATCTGGACAGCGATACAGATGAGGATCGATCTAGCAAGGTCCCGTCTCATACGGAAGTTCCTACCAACGATGGGTCTCATTCAATCACTCCCGCCATGAATGTGCCCGAAAGTAGCACTGGCAACACCCAGACAGCTATGCCAACCAGCGGAAGCGAGGTCTCTGATGACCTTCGCAACCAACTTCCTGCTAGTTTCGCGCGCCCTCAGCCTGACCCTTACCCTGTCAATGGGCCTTTACCCGAGGCTATCTCGAACACAATGACAAGATTCCTTGCGTTAGACAAATGTCTTCCGAACCGTGACTTCCTCCAACTAGTGGAGTACACTGCTATTTCGGATCAGGGAGAAACCTCACTTGAACGCCCCTATCGCCTTAATTACGATAAAGAGTGGCTAGCAATCACGCGTGCGTTCGCCAGCGACCTCCACCTCGGAGATCCGGGTGCTAAGCCATCTTCGGATAAGGGTGACGCGGTCTACAAGGCCCAGATAATCGAAGAAGAGAAGTGGGTTGAGGAGAACATTGTGAAGCCTGGAAAGTTGCTTGTGCCGGAGAACTTCAGCCAAACCGCCCCCATCTACGACCCCTCCGTGCCTATCATGACTGAGGAAATGCCGACGGAATATACGAATCCTCAGACCGCTCAATTCTGTGAGTTGATCGGAATCGAAAACAAATTCGACATGAGTGAGGCAGAACGCCAGGCCCGCATGGCCCAGGGTCCCCGGCCTGCTGACCCCAGAGGTGGGAGCATGGGCCGCCCCCCTCGTCGTGGTGGATTTGGCTCTGGACGCGGACGCGGAGGTCGCGGGCGTGGCAACCGTCGCTAATCGTAAGTCTCGTGGGCTCTACCTTACGGTTGTTCAACCCGAACACCGGATCCTAGCGCATTTCAACATAGCGCCCAGGTTGAGGGAAGATCAAGGAGCGAAGTGCTGGCCACTTACCCTGTTGATCATTACCTTGACGGGGGCCTGACATGCTCTAATGCCGTTTCTTTTCTATTTACTGCAAAATGAAAACCTGATGATTTCTTGTGCCCAGCTACGTTTCTCTTTTCTCATAAATGGTGATGTCAACATCTGCGCATTCCATTCATGTCACGAAAAACTGCTACATAAGGCACACTTTTCTTTTTTCATTCATGACTTGAACCCAACGTTATCATTGAATTTCTCGCAACATTGACGCATTAATGAACTAGCCCTTGATCCCAAAGGCTTCACCGCAGACCTCGGACCAAGCGCTTCAATGTACTCAAACTCAAAACACCAAAAAAAAAGGGGAAATGTACACTATTTTTAACTTAATTCACTATGTCCCATGATCCCACACTCCCCACCCAACTATTCAATCTCCTCAATCCTAGGCCGTGTAGCTTCACTCCTATCAGACGAAGGATTGATACGTAACCCAGCAATCCGATCCCCCAGCTCCAATCGCGGCTCGTCCTCATCCCGAGCCCCAATGCCCCAAAGCAGGGACTTCTCAAGCCATGCTTCCAAGCTCTCAATCAAGACCCGGATATGTCCACGAACAATACTATCCGCTTCGCGACTCTCCACGAACTTCAGCGAGGATAACATGTGCGGAATATTCCCGACAGTTGCCGGTCCCCCACTACTCGCGTCACCGAATCTACTGCCCATCGATGTGTTATCTGATAGTGAGAAGCCGAATCCCAGAGCTTGGCTTCCGCGTGTCTCGCGAACGGTATCCATTGCCTTGAGGATATCGAGGAGGAGGATAACACTCGCGCGTCGGAGGATGGCGGATTCGAGCTCTGGTTCGAGTGTGAGCGTCGCCAGGGCGAGCTCAACGGCCGAGGAAATAACCGATGGGCCGAGTCCGGAGATATTTGTTTGAATGGCACTGGCGAGAATGGATAATGCCGATGCTCGAACTCTTAGATCCTCGGGCTCTTCGTCCGATGCTGCGCCCGCTGCCCAGGCAGAGATGATGTTGGCGGCTTGTTCAGGAGATTCCAGTTCCGGGGCGTCAGGGTCGTCGGATTCTTCTTCGATCAGTTCTTGGATCTTGGATGTGGTGGGGCCGGTGGATATGCTCCAGCCTGGCGGCATGGAAGGCTCCTTGTTTTGGCGGGCTTCGCGCTCTTGCTTCCGCTTTTCTTTTTCGAGGTGCTGTTTGCGCGCTTTTTGGGCTTGGGGTTTCTGCGCGCGGCGGCCGGCGACGCTGATCATGCCTTCGCTGAGGATTTTGCTGGTTTCGCCGGTGAGGGCGGAGCCGAGGTCTTGGACGGTGCGGAGGAGGGATTCGCCGATTTTGAGGCGCTGGTCTAGACTGTTGGTTTCGGTTTTGTCGATGTACCGGTCAACTAAGGTTTTGATGACGGTGCGTGGGTGTCGTGATGCGAGGGTGCCGATGAGTTTGATGGCGTTGAGGTAGATGAATTCATCGTTGCTGTTGGTCTCTGAGGGGTCTGTGATGATAGAGAGGAGGAGGGTTAGGGTGGAAGGTATGTCGAGTACGGGAGATGCTTTGGTGATCAGGCCGGAAAGTAAGGAGAATCCCTCGGCTTGGACTGGTGGGAGGTCTGAGTTGAGGTTTGCTAATGCCCGGCGATGGGTCTCGAAGTCTGCAACTTCGGAGGATGGCTTGTCGGTGGTTTGTCCCTCTGGGGCTGCAATGTGGATTTCGACGAGCATTGATGCCGTGGTCGCTGGCTTGGAGAGTTCAGATGGGAGATAGGGAATCAGCTCGTCGACCTTCGACTTGATGGCCTCGAGAACTGGTAGAGTCTCTTGTGACGTGCTGAATTCGGGAGACGCAAGAACGGTGGACAGCAGACTGAACACAGCAGGCAGCGATTCAGCTGAGTCTGTCTCAGCTGCAGCTTCTTCCTTTCCGGCATCTTCTGGCTCAACAATGTTGGCCAGTGATGAAAGGGATACTTTCCCAGATCGTCCTCCCATGGTTCTCTTGCTTCGCACATAGGCTCGGTTCAGCTCGCCATCAATGATTTGCTTGATAAGTTCAAGAACTCTTAGAGGACGACGCGAAAGCGCATCTTTGAAGTTGTCGAGTAGCGTTTCTGCCACTTTAGCGCTGACCAGCTTCTGGATCATGTCGTTGAAACTATCATCTTCTTGAGACAGCCGCAACCTGTTTACCGAGTGCTCGCCCGCGGAAGGCTTCACGAGCCACCGTTCACTCACATAGAGGAATATGTCTGCTGTCCGTTCTTCGCTACTAGGGTCCGCACCCAATAGGTTGACAAATAGTTTGGTGCGAGATTGTAATATGTCAACGAGTCGTACAATGTTACGATTTGGTTCAGCCGTGCTGCGCTTTTGCAACGACACTCCGCTCCTCGTGTCAGAGCCATAAGTCCAAGTAGACCCGCCATCCCAGAGTAAGTTGTCGACGAGTTTCTGTAACGGTTGCACTCCGATTGATATCCCAAAATATGTCTGCAATATGATCAAGGTTTTCTCGTGTAAAGCTCTGTGTTGATGCTCCAATGAATAGCAAGCCAGGCCCCAAAGCGGGAGAAGAACCGGATGGACCACCCGTTTCACGAGACCTGGGTTTGGAGGTTGAAGGACTAAACTCCGCAACCTCTCGACTGCTAACACTATCACCGGTCCTGGGACCTGGATCTTTTCAAGTGAGCCATGTTCAATCTCACGAGAAAGAGCCAGCCATTGTTTCACGGATGCATCGAGGCCCGCGGTAAGCGCCTTGAAGATAGGCTCTAGAAATATGGAGTACCCTATCGTCCCAGGAGCACCATAGGCTCTCTTACCAAGAATACCGTTGCCGATAACGTACGCTGCGGTCTTCCTTAGGTCTGGGTCATCGCCGTCAATCAATGCCAATAGCTGCGGAGCGATGGTAGAAAAGTATTTGACCGGGTCCATTCCTTCTGGGACTGAAGATAACAGGCGAGATGTTTGCATAATTCCTTGCACTGTGAAAATCGGGCCGTTGGATGCTTGTGTCTGAGCTTCCGCTCCCAGTGAAGGTGCAAACTGGGAGGCCAGGAAAACCATGGTTTGCACTACGCCTCCTGGGCGTAGAGGAATCCGCGATAGGTGGCCGGAGACTAACGACTTGAACCATGGAGCAGGATCCGCCTGCAGAAAGCTAGACAAGGTCGATAGCAGTGTGGGGCTTGGAGTTCTGCAGCGAGTCAGTGGGTATACAAATATCATATGCTTGTCATGTCATACCCTTCAATCAGCTGGACTAGATCCTGGCGATAGGCATTCTCTTTATCATGGGATATGCTCGTTGAGTTATAAGCCAAGTCTGAAACTGCGCTGATCATATCACTAAGAATCCGACCACGGATGGCATCCTGTATGCTTGGCCGTACATCGAATATGATACTCGAGAGAACCATCCATATTTTATCCAGTAGAAACTCATCTTCGGGCTTTTCCTGCGCCTGGTGCTGTTGCTGAGCAATCACTCCTGTGGGCAAAGCTGAGAACACCCTGTGGTGCAGAGGTACCCCAAGTCCCCGTGAGAGTGAGGGATATATACCCTCTAAGGAAATCAAGTCCACTAGGGCAAGTAGTAGGCGACGTCGCTTCGCATCTTCCAGTGCAGCATCTTCTGTGTCTTGGCCACCCTGGCTGGCCGGGTCGCCATCATTAATGGGAGTAACGAACGCGGTATGAATGAGACTTAGTAGGCCCAAGGCTTTGCTAATAACATCTCTTCGAACAGATCCAGTACCCGTATCGTCATCACTTAGTGTCTCACCCAGAATCTCCAAAAGAGACTTCACGTGCGACTTGTGGGTTTGGACGTTGTCTGAGGTGTAAGTTAGCCTTCATGCCCATACGGCTATTTGTTGAAGTTCGCATGCCTCGTTGAAGGACAGGGTCGAGGAAAACGCTCACGGCATGAAATGCCTCCCTTACTCGTATTGATTCACTCATTTTAGACTTTATGAATGATCAAGAGCTCCCATTTCACCAAATATACACATCTACATTGCTACGATTCTTCCCTGAAAGCAAGAGAATGGCTTGGAAATGATTACTTAAGCGCTCTGGAAGGCGGGAGTTTTAGCACGTGATACGACCACTAGTGCTCTTTCGGCTTAGGTGCAACGGAGGGGAGCAGCGTTGGGTGCTTGCCAAATGCCAACGTCTTTGGCAGCAGGTGAGAGACCAGTCTTATCAGATACTACTCCGTAGTTGAGATACTGCTTGGATTGTCTAGCTTGGGCGGTAATTTGCAATTACATAGATTTTGCTTCGCACCTAGCTCGTTATCGTATGGATCGCCTGTTTGGGACGCCACGAACACAAGTATACCTCGTCGGTTGTCCAGAGAGAGCGATCGTTCGCTGCTTCAGATGGGATTCATTGGACTATGTAGTTGCTAATATCCAATGGGATTGGTTTGTGAGCATTACCACAGTGTAATTCTACAAGTTCTGGATGCTGTTTTGCATGCTAAAGACAGAAACTATATAACACTATTCCTCTCTCATGGTCGTGAAGTTATCCTTCCCATTCACCTATCAGAAAGAGTGATTTCAGTTCCTGCAGGCTCCAGTCTAGCAAATCTGGAGCGGGACCGTCAATGCAAGTCTGGACATTTTGCTCCATTGCCCGGGTATCCGAAATTGGAGGGTCACTGTTAGAGAATATATTCGAGAAACCAGACAACAACTGAAACTTGAGGGCAGGTTCAAATTCTCGGGAAACTTGATAGGCACCCTCATCGAAGCGTTGTAATTTTGTTTCGGTATGGTATCCACGTCAGGCATATCCCGATCGTCCGCAAAATGCTTCTGCCACTCCAACGGCCCTGGGGCTGAGCATACAAATAGTTCTCTTTGCTCGCGACAGCGTCGATATAGATCTGTCACCGAAGAGCCCATCGCCTCTGGAAGATATTTCTGTGGTTTCTCACCGAATATTGTGATAGCATTCAACCTGACACGTATCAATGATAATTGTGGCAGATGTTGCTCGGAAATCGCTAGATACTGTAAGTCGACCGGTATGTATCTGATCGCAGATTCTCGTTGTTGGATACCTGTTGGTTGTGTCGCCCGCGCCGATAAGATTCCGTTTTGGGACAGAGAGAAGAGAGACTTGGGGATAAGCTTCTTTCGAGTGAGGCAGTAAAACTTGCTGTCCTCCGGAACCAACACGGGTGCTCGTTCTGGGCGCGGTGAGTGAATAGCCAACGGCAAGATCCATTGAGTCACTGCAGGCATCCCGTCATGGTGGACTCCTCTAGTCATTCTGACATTTATACTGTATGTGATCGAGATTGCTTCGGGCGTCATGTCCTGCCGTCCAATACTCGGGGGAAGTAGCAGATGTTCTTCACGAACCTGCCTGTGGTGACAAGAATGCTGACATATCTGATGCGGTATCCCACAAGGCACCACAAACTCATATGGAATCTCGTATTGTACTCCAGCCTGCAATAATGAGCCGGATTGTACTAGATGTTTAACGTCGAGCGGGTGGTCTATATGAAGGAAAGTCTGGCAGGCTGTAGACGGTGGAAGTGGTACGGCGTTTTCGGTCCTGTCGATATGAATATTGACCTTGCCTGGTGCGCAATAAGCGAGGCTGTATGCTACTAGGGATTATAGACTATTTACCTTCAAGAGAGATGCTCAGCCGATGTGGTGAGATGTCTTTTCGTGGGGTGACGAGAACCGTTCCCTGAATCCTGTCTCCAACATTGAATTCGGCAGAGGGGTCGTCCAGTTGAAACTGTACATCCAAGTATAATTTTTCGAAGAGCATTGTCGTATAACTCTAACAGTCTGGCGTCAGGAATGCTCGAAGTAAGCTTTTGAGAGAAACAGAGAAACCCATGGAGTTCTTGATGCCTTTTGAGTGAATTATATACTTCGGCTGCGAGTTCTCGTTCCGTCGGCGTGGTGTCACTGGGCCGACGACCGGTATGACTGGAAGTGAGCGAGAAAATTAAGGGAAACAGCACCCCCATGTTGTTCCTGCTGCTTTATGTCGACAATTCATCTCTGTGCGTCTATAATCTCATTTTGTCTTGTTTCTGATCCCAGTAGGCTGCATACATCCCATGTCACTGCAAAGGAGAAGGTTACCGAAACCTCCACGGACACCCCCTCGGCATGTGGTCACTTTGCCGAGGATGAATAAGAGAGGCAACCTTCGCCTTGCCTCCTCGGCGAAGGTTCAGACTGCCGGCCCCCTCGATGCGTTCACGCCATTCCAACGAGCTGAAATAGATTACTTCCCCGATGCCTGTCTCCAAAGGTCACCCGAAACCCGAAAAGAAAAAGTCCATAGCGTGTGTTATCTTCCCGAGCGCCTCCATAGTCCGTTTCGCATCAGCGCACTAACTTGATCCTTTCTTTAAGCTGCCATCGATGCCACGCCCATAAAGTCAAGTGTTCTGGTGAACAACCTTGCTCTAGATGCCGGCGGGCTGGATGTGGGGATGAGTGCAAATATGCTTCGCGGGATCGCAAGCTCAAAGTTCAAGAGAGGTATGACTACTCACAGTCTCAGCCGTTCACTCTTCTAAGCCATGCAGTTACCTGGACGAACTCTTGTCACAAAACTCTCAATTGAAAGAACAACTACGTGCTCTCAGTACACCTCAAAGTTCACCCGCTAGTGTTGCTGAGGGCTCAGTGCCTCAAGAGTCTTACCCTCCGGTGCAAAATCCTCTTTTAGGAGACCGGGCTTGGTTCTATCCATACGACCCTTCTGCTCCTCCTATCTACATGGGCGATGCGGCATGCACAGCATTCGCAACGCGTTTGCGCCAATTTCTTACGGGAAATCCCAACACGGCTCATGTTGCTCGAACCCAGTATACACCGGAGTCTTCTTTGCTCCAAGGCGCGGCCGAATGGCCTGGCCTTGCACAGTCCCGTCTACTAGTTCGTATTGCTTTCAACCAGTTAAGTCGTGTCTACCATCTGTTTCTACGCAAATCGACACTTGAGCAGCTTGAGTCCGTCTATCGTACTCCAACACTACGCGATGATCCGTCCATCATGTGCAAGTTCTTCGCCCTTTTCGCCTTGGGCGAAGTCTATTCTTCTCGGGCCAATCCTTCGCCAACATGTCGAGTACCAGGTACAAAGTACTATGTACGAGCAATGAGTCTAATCCCAATTTTGCCGGAGAGGCCGGGGATGATCCATGTGGAAAGCCTGCTCCTGTTGGTAAGTCTTCTTGCCCCCCTCCACCGTATTCAGGCGGTGCTAACGTATACGTTAGTCATTATATTCGTACTTCCTAAACAGACGCCACTCGGCTTATATGTTGATCGGGAGCGCTATGCGTTTGGGCCTGATCCTAGGATTGAACCACAATATTCCTGAGCGGCAATGTCCTAACCCCGTAGAACGTCAACATCGAGTTCGGCTTTGGTGGGCTATATATATCTTCGACCGCATGTATACGTCGAAAATCGGCTTTCCTTTACAAATACGCGATGAAGATATCCTTGTCGACATGCCAACTGACGTTCTCAGCCCTGCCGCCGAGGAACAGTTCTCAGATACTGCTTACTTAGTGGCCAGTATTCGCTTGTCGCAAATTATTGGTCAGACGATTGATAAGATCTACTGCCGCAAACAGCATGCGGAATCATTCTTACAGCGAGAGCAGCAGCTGTTGCTTGCTCTACAAGAGTGGCTTAAATCGCTCCCAGGGCATATCAAGCTACGACCTGATGACAGTGCTCCACCGAAGCATATTGTGTCTCTGCATTTACAGTTCAACCAGGTCAGTCGTGTTCTACCATTGGGGGTTTCACTGTCTTAACAGTATGTAGTGCGTTATATTAGCCACTCGACCCATTCTTCTTCATGCTCTTTTACAACACAGGCACCGCGAGGATAGTGAGGGCCTTCCCCAGCCAGTGATCACATTAAGTGAAGCTTGTATACACGCCGCACGACACTCGCATACACTCATTATAGAGGAATGGGTTAATGGGTCACTACCGATGTACGGCTATTTCTACGCTCAGTACCTTTTTTCATCTTGCATTGCCCTGGTAATTTCAGGGCTTCTGCCGTCAATCGGAAACCCCGCCGACCTTGAGTCCCTCGAGACTGCCACCGAGATCCTGCATAGGATGAGTGATCACGGTAATCTTGCTGCTGCCGAGTTTTACGAAAATCTTAAGCGTGTCAAGCAAGCCTTGCCAACCAATCCTGGAAGCCTCAATGATGATAATGACAGTTGCAGCCATACACGCAAACAGTCCTTGGGCCCTGTTTCGGTAGCAGTTGGGGAACACGGCATGGATCCTCATTCCGTTGGTACGCTACCTGCTACGGGATATACAACAGAGATGGCGTTCCTGGAACCGACAATGCAGGATTTCCTCGGCAGGTCAGAGAACGAAATGGATTTTATCCATCCCTATGATCTTTCAATTGACGACTCTGCTGCCCTTGCTTCTTGGCCCGCTACCTTGTGGACTTCGTGATTGTCTAAGTGGCTCCGGTCATCAAGCAATTGTATGAGCATTCCAGCATGGTGCACCATACTTGAAATGTAACAGAGCACACCCTATACGTCTGCTGAATATGGCAATCTTGGGGAACATGATCTATGACAAGCTGTAATTCTTCCTCGCTACATCTGGGTCTCAGTAATGACACATTCCGATTATTGAGTCCAAACGGAGGCAAGGCCCGGTAGATCCAGAGCCATGGGCAGACCTGAAGTTGACTACTGAATGACAGCTACATCTCGCGATATCGAGTCACGGGTCTGATTTTTATACTGGAGTGTCAGCAAGCATTTACTGGAGTTTTCGGAAACTCTGACTTGACGTATGGCTTTCCCTGAATCCTGAAAGCGGAGGAACACAAAATTCGCCTTTTCAAATCACTTCACACACCACAAGGATAGATAAAATCATTAGATATTGGGTATAGGTGATGGTTTTTCATCCATTCTATTCGGAATGCAGTGTATGCAAGTAGCCTAAATAATTTTACATGAAAATAAAAGGACAGGGTACTTAGAAAAACCAACGTGCGCCAGATCTGCAAGCCAATAGTGTATGGAAATGGTGAAGCCTGGACGACATGTCGAGCCCGGGTCCACCTGGTATCATTAAAGTTAGTCGTCGTCAATCAGGATAGCCCCACCAATTCCTTCGTCTAAGACAATGGGGTTGTCTCCATCACCATCTGCAATGGACATGGCAGCTACGCGCTTGGCCGGATTGTCACCGTTGGTGAGCCCGGCTTCATCTGCGTCGCGCTTCCGCTTGCCTATTCCGTTAGTCGGCTCGGCAACAACAGGCGACGGCGCCTTTGGCTTTCGAGGAATATCAGGAACAGACTCCAAGGAGACTGCTTTGGAGTCTTGTGTGGGAGGCTGAGAGGCTTCAGAAGCAAGTACAACGAGTTCGAGGTTGACGCGTGGTTCGTCGTCCTCTTCGTCGATGACTGTAACAAAACTCTCACTCTTAACACCTAGATCTACCAATTTCTTGGGGAGATTGTCCTCCAGATCAGGGTCATAGATGGTTCCCAGTTCGCTAGTGATGGAAAACTCTTCGCCATATCCCAACTGCTCCCGCAGAATGTCTTGGACCAGATCATTCAGAGTAGCACGTTGAGGGTCGATCTTGAGCCTGCAATGGGCAACGGAACACACCGGGCAGTTGGGATTTGGAGGCTGAAGGGAATCCGAGTTGATTGCACGAGCACCTGAGCGTTCGAGGAAAACCATTTTGGCCTGATCGTACTCCCCTCTTAGCACTTTGTAGGCCTGCAGGACACACAGACCAGCTGTCATGGCGTTCGTAGTTGCGATAGCCGGAATGATATTTCCAGCCATTTGTTTCGTGTCGAACTTGGACTTCGGGTCAATCTTGAAGATCTTCGCCCGCAAATTGGCTGTGGCTGTCACAAAATCCAACGTGTCGACGTCGTCCTTGTCGAAGACCAATATGGGCTTCACATCGCTCTTTGTGGTCTCCTGCAAGGTCTTGAGCCGTTTACTCAACCGATCCAAACTGTCCTTGAAAACGACAAAGTCTTCGGCAAGAGACCAAACTTTCTGGTCGTTACATGAAATCACGGCTTCAATATTTGACGACTCTTCCTGCAGTTTATCGAAGTCCAGGGGTTCTGGAGGATCTCGCGTCTTCCACATGTCCTCCATTCCGCGCAACCGATCTATGTCTTCCTTGAACACTTTTTCGAATACTTTCTGTGCAAATTCGTTGGAGCCCATGGACTGGCGAATCTCCTTGAGGGCCTGTGCCTCTTTGCGCAGATTCTCGATCTCTTCCGCTATTGAGAGTTAGCGAGTTGTCACCTCGATTGGAATCCCATCTTACAGTTTTCAGCGTCTTCCGAGTGATCAAAGTCATTTGAATCGTCCTCACTGATTCCGAAAAGCTCACTTTAATATGTTAGCCGTCGCCCCGCTTGCTCACACCCGGGAAACCTACGGTAAAAGGTAACTCTTGGCCCAAACAATGCAGTGGATTGGCTGACTCGGAGTGCTGCGGATGGTGCAGACAGGGAAGGACTTGGGGACTTCTTTCGAGTTACAGTCGTAGCACTCCGTCACGCCCTGGCAGTCGTCAGCGGTCGCGCCTGGTTGGGAGAACCTGGAGTTATTGACACGGGCGCGCACCTTCTTGATAACCTGAACCTGGCCATTGAATCCCGTTGTTCCACTCTCGACTAGTGGTACGTTGGCAGCTAGACACATTCTGTTGACATGACGGCGAGCATCGAGGTTATCCAGGGCGTTGAATACCACATCAAATGTCGCAAACCAGTCAACGTTGAACTGGCTGTCTTTGATGTTCGCATGGTACGCTTCAAGTTTCGCATTGGGCTGGAACTTGTGGGCCACCTCCTTCGCAACCTATATATAGCGTCAACAACCGTCAGAAATGATTCGGAGGAAAAGAGCTGGGCCGCGGGACGTGGGCAGTATAACGTTCGGAGGAAATCGACGCACCAATGCCTTGGACTTCTTAATATGTTCAAAGCGGAAAAGAAATTGGCGATTCAAGTTGCTGAGATCGATAGTGTCGAGATCGATAATGTGAATTTCGCCGAAGCCGGAGAGGAGGAGGTTCTTTAACAGCTCGCAGCCGATGCCACCGGCACCCACGAGAAGCACACGCGACTAAATTTAAGCAAGCAAGCCCGTTAGCAGATGTATGCGCCTCTTGAGTTCGCGGGAAAGAGAGAAGTCTTAAGAAAGAATAAGCGTGGGGGGAAGCTGAGGCACCTCTTTGATTCGTCTGGCTAGAGTCCCGAGCGAGCGCTTAAGATAAGTCTCCCGCGTCATGGTTGCGGCGCGGAGGACGACGGTAGATCGAAACGAAGACTGTCGGGCTCAGAGTGGGAGAAAAGGCATCGCCGAATAAATGGTCCGCTTGCGAGGCTGGAATTGAAGGGAGGGAGGTAGGAGTGAGGAAAAGAGAGGCTGAAGTGAAAGTAGGCAGAAGCTGCGGCGGAGAGGAAGGCCGGAAGCAGTTGGTGAAGTCAGGAAGAATGAAGTGACGGCAACAATCCCGAGCCCACTTCCACCACCGCTCCGGCTTGGTGTCCCCCCCCTCTACCCCATCACCGGGAGCTTCCTGGGTGAGGTGATGCCGGACAACGAAATGGGTGTTTGACTGCCATCTGGCAAGGCGGCCATCCTCAAGCCGTCCGTCCCATTGTTCCCCGGCCCAGAAGGTGATCGTCCAGTGCTGGTGGCGGTCCGCGATCCGATCGCAGTTCCCTGTTTGTCGCACCGACACGAGGCCATCCGCCTATCAACCCGCCATTCGTCCCCGGCTGGGCTCTGGATGCTTCGGCCAAAGGCTGCTGTCTGGTACTTTGGAATTTGCTTCCTCGATTCAGTTGAGCCTAGCAAACCTGCGGGATCCAGAACGCGACTGACTGATGCACCTCTCCGGTCAGCATGTGAGAGCTCACATTCCTACTCTTACTCCTCAACAATGGTTGGATGACTCGTGCATGATACAAGGCTAGTAGGGGGATATTGTGCAGTAGCTCAATGCCCAGGGCAAAATAATGAGGATGTCCATGCTACTCTGCATGTTCTGGATCTTCCGTGGCGGAGCCCACAAGGTGGACGACATCTTGATGGATGACGGTCATTTAGAGGAGGGTCTTCCATTCTTACTTATGGCCAGTAGGCTGGCCGATCGACGGTTTTCCGAGGAAACGCAATCGAGAAGTAATGGCCATTGTCCACCGCGGGGAAGTAAGAGCAGCAACGAACCATTTTTCTCTTGAGTCTCTAGATATGTTACCCAATAGCCAGACATTCCGGGTGTCAACTAAGCTAAGGCAGCTGTTTCATCGAAGCGGGAAGCAGTGGGTTATGTATCAATCCCTCTGAATGATAGAACTTGCAGGAACTAAAAATTTAGAGCACTAGAGAAGTATTTAATCTGGACGAAGAGAAAGAGCGGGAAAAAGCAGAGACCATGGATAAACTTGATACGCTGTTTCCGCCAAAGAGATTCCTATACTCCGTAGCTGTAGGCGCATGAGACGCCGGCGGCAGCAGGACGGCCCTTCCATATCCGTGTTGGAGAAGGCCCCGCTTTTCTGGCGTTATTCTTCCTTTTTGCTAGTGCATGAGAGTGCAAATGGAGAGCACCGTGAGAATATGATGTTCATTGAACTCCAGCAACCACTTCATGAGGCACACCAAGTGCAGATCGATGTCAGTGGTAATTTAGCTCTCTATCAGACATCCCATGACGGGCAATGTGATTGGCAGGGAGAGGGGTGGTCCGAAACATGAATGGCGTGCCGGGGACTATCCAGGTTCTAAAGATGCCTACTAACGGCAACAAGCTATGGTTCATGGATCCCGATAGGCTGTCGAAGCGGGACGTGTGTACCCAACATGAATCCTTTCAGAGGATGGATCATGTTCCTGCCAAGTATGTGGCATGGAAGCCTCACTCGAATGAGATAGCCAGCGGCAGGTTAAGAATGACAGCATCAACTGCAGCTCTGGTGAGCGGAGAAGGTCGGAAAATCGTATTATCGAATGCCTGAAGTCTTGGAGGCATCTACTCGGTATACTTCCCGAGATAGCGATAGTTAAGTGGCAGCGATAGTCAATAGTTAGTACCCTTGCTTACATAACCTCACTTATCGTCCCAAAAATTGAAAAAAAGTTCCCGATAAAAGGTTTCCATTCGATATCAGGTTAAGAAACACAGGTCACCCCCCTTGGCTTGGATCAATTGATCAGGAACCGGCTCCCAGATTGGTCTTGGAAAACCCTCGCATAGATAATTGGTAGAAAGCAATCAAATTTCCGCGCGCCCGCCTGTCAAATCCGCCTGGGATCGTCTGGAAGCCTGCCTTTGGCCCGATCGCCCTTTCTGGCAGCAGTTTTGGGCCAACGACAAACGGTTCGCTGTTGGTGCCTGTCGGTCGTGGAGAACCCCCTGTTTTCCAGAGCGTTCCTCCCTCGCACGTTTTCGTCTGCTTCGTTCTTTGTTCCCCGCCGACGTGGGCTTGCGGTGCCACCGTTTTCTTTCTCCTCTCCTCCACTTCGCTCTAGACTCCTGACAGCTGGCCCAGCACAAAAGAATTTGGGCACGAACAGTCCCCGAGGCACAATGTCGGACGATGAGGTAGATCCTGAGCTGATTGCTCTTCTGCGCAAAACCCTGGGTCTGGGAGGGTCGTCAGATCCCCGGATGGCGGAGACCAAGGTGCTGGAAAATGCGCAATTCGCTTTTGACAATGCGATCGACGTAGCATTGAACCCCTCTAAGACAAAGGAAGCCGCAGAGACGATATGGCGCATGATGCAGAAGAAGGCGTATTCGACGCAGACCTGGTCGGAACACGAACTACACCCCAAAGCGAAAGACGAGAGCACCGTCGACTTCATTTTCACAATGGACCTCCTCAACTTCAGTTTCTGGTCAGAGCTTCCTAGCGAGAAGCGCTTCGCTATTGAGTATCGAGGAAGGACGTGGACCGGATACTGGAGCTTGGTGGCCGCATTGCAAAGGGCCCTGGACGAAGGTAGGTCTATCAATTCTCGAGGAAGAGCGACAAGCTAACCATTGCAGATATTCCGATTACCACTCCAGAGTTCTGGACAAAGGAAGACGAATGTACCGAGGAGCTCCTCAAGCACGTGTTTCGCTCCGCCACTGAGGAGGAGATCCCTTTGCTCAAGGAACGGCATCAGTGTCTGCAAGAAGCAGGACGGGTTCTTTGCAGGGTGAGGAATCTTGGTCTATCTCGCAGACCATGTCGGAGGCTAATGCAATACCTGTTTAGGAGTATGAGGGAAGCTTTTTGAACTGCATTTACAACTCCAACTACTCTGCGGCTTCACTCGTCAATTTGCTGGCGGAGAGCTTCTCCTGTTTCCGGGATGAAACGACTTTTCACGGACGGAGAGTACGTATTTACAAGCGGGCCCAGATCTTGGTTGCAGACCTATGGGCTTGCTTCAACGGCGAAGGGTACGGCGAGTTTCACGATATTGATAAGATTACAATGTTTGCAGGTAGGTCTTGCCTCTTCCTAATTCAGCTTTGCCATGCATCGTTTCGCTAACAATCCCCAGACTACCGCATCCCTCAGATGCTCCACCAGCTTGGCTGCCTGATGTACTCCCCGCCATTGGAGAGTCACATACGCCAACTGAAACCAATCCCCAGCGGCTCTAACTGGGAAATCGAGCTGCGGGCCACTAGTATCTGGTGTGTCGAGTTGATTAGACGGGAAATCGAACGTCGACATCCCGAGACCAGGGTGCACCCGACGGTTCAAGGCAACAAAACCACCAAGAGGTCAGGCTCAGCGACGCCATACGAAGAAGAACACCAGCAGAAATGCTCGACGCAGAAACGCGTCAAGAAAGAGAGCGTCCAAGAACCCTCTGGGATGGGTGTGAACGCCATCCTGATAGATTTCTTCCTCTACGACACGATGAAAGAATTAGAGAAGGACGGACAGGAATCCATCCCGCATCATCGGACAAGAAGTATCTGGTATTAGATTTGCATCAGAGCATATATCCCGTTTGTTTTCGTCCCGGTTGTTAAAAACTATACCCTCCTTTTACTCGGTCACGCATGATTTGTTCCGCATAAGGGTTACTGTTTGGGTGGGTGATGGGTATAGACTTGCATACATACATTCATATTAATAGCATAGCATTGCATCTTCGCGCTTTCTACATCGTCCCGGGATGCTCTACACGGCTTGTTCTTTACTTCATACTTAATTGTCTTACCTCCCGTCTCATAGTCGAACATGCTTTGGCATGGTCTTTTCTCACTTCCTGGGTATCATATTGAATTATCCTACAGTATCAGGTTTTGCCTTCAGGCAGCCTGCGCAGTTCTCTCAACCTGCTCAATACGCGCCAACATCTCCACCTTCCACTCCACATAATCCTCGCGTCGGTCCTCACTCAACCAATCCACACGATCCTGCATCATGGTTCCCAGTCCAGGAAGAAGACCACGTCGGGAAGACTTTCCAACCACCAAAGACCCACGACCAGAAACCGCCACTCTGCCTGTCCCACCAGGACCTCCATGCTCCCCCTCCGCATCCTGATCAGCCAAATCTCCCTCATCACCATCCAACTCCCCCGCGAGCGGGATATTCTCAAACCATTCTTTCCCGTGCGCCCAATTCTGCTCCATGACCAGGGCAATCCACTGATCTACGTCCTCTCGGTGTCGTCTTTCAGTCGAAGGAAGTCCAAGGCTAACCAGCGCGGTTTGACGCATTTCCGAGAAGGTCTTCTTGTCCATTTTCTTTGTCTCTGCTTCTGAGGTGTCGTCGGACGGTTGGCGTCGTCGGGCCAGAACAAGGAAATATACCGCAACAATCAAGGCATTGATAATTTCCTTGAAGTCCTCGTCTTTTTCCTTGTCTTTGACTGTGAGCACAGGCTCTAGGAACTCCATCATCTCCTCGTCGATTTCCTCGTCGTGTTTGGCCGTCGTTTCGGAAATCAGGTATAATATGGTAGATACACCGGCGAATATATGCGGAGGGAGGGTTCTCGAGATCGGTGGTCGAGACCAGGTGCTCATGCGCGGTGCTGGCGTCGAAAGCGTCTTGCAGACTGTTCGGATAGAGGTCATGACCCAACCGGGTGCGTCGGGGATGATGGTAGAGCCGGAGATGCCATTTTGGCGGAGCTTGGTGATTTTCTGCGGTCTGGGTGATGGTGAGGGTTTGTCGGTGTCGTGAGTGAGGGATCTCTTGAGGGGGGTGGATTTCGTAGGCGTGTTGTTTTGTAATTCTCGCGGAGTTGCGGTGGCTTTCGAAGGGGTTTTCGAAGGGGTCTTTTGTGTTGATGTTTGGGTTCCCTTTCTCGGTGTTGATGGTGCAGTTCCCGTTCGAGATGGTGTGCCTGGGGCTGAGGCAGTCCCTGCGCGTGATGCGCCTGTAAGACTGGTCGATAGAGATCGGTCAAGGAAAGCGTATAGCTTTTTGTAGGCTCGTGGGGGACAGGGTGGGTGGCCGAGGAGAGGAGGTAGTTTGAGGGCGCGGGTCAACCTATGATGGAGCAGGAAACTGTTAGTATGGCCATTTTGCTGGACTCCGCCAAGCTGGGGATGAACATACCTTTTGCAGGCGATTTCAGCGCACGCATACGGACGAGCGATCTCTTCTTCGGGCTTAAGACTGGAAGAAAAGCTGCGCGATTGCGCAACAAGCGAGATGGCGAGGCTGAGAAGCTCGGGTGGAAGATCCTGCGCATGAGTCGGCAGCAGCGTGCCCAGCGCCTGCTCGACAGGCCTGTTATTCATGATCTCTGATGTTCTGGGCGCGTGGTGAGCAAGGGTTGTGATGCGGTTGCAGCTATTCGTAGACGGTCCTCGGCACGAAATTGGGACTTTCTGGTTGCGGGATCAGAGAATGGACGTATCGTCAAGCGTGATAAGAGGACATATAAACAGGAATTAACCCCCAGCGTATCTGCGGAAGTAAACACTGGATGCGGTCCTACTTGCTGGTCGAGTATCACCGCCGTCATGTGATCTGCAGATAAATGCGCGCTCCGCAGCCGACTCGCGATGATCGCCGCAGGTCCGATAGCAGCTTTTGTACGCAGTACCAATCTCACTTTTCTTACAACCACGCTTTGCTCTCCTCCATTCTCCAGGAGACTTCGCACACTATGTCTGTCACAGTGAGTATCCCACCCCCTACACGGCCTCCAAGGTGACCCTGTTAACTAACCACCCCCCACTACAGCTCCATACCACCCACGGAGACCTCAAGGTCGAGGTCTTCTGCGAAGCAGTACCCAAAACAGCCGAAGTACGTTCCTCTCTTCCCCTCAACAAATAATACCCCTGCCCCCTCTCTACACACCCCCTCCTCCGCGAAAACTAACCCCACCCCCACTCACCAGAACTTCATCGCCCTCTGCGCCAGCGGCGCATACAACAACACCCCATTCCACCGCCTAATCCCGGGCTTCATGATCCAAGGCGGCGACATCTCCCTCGGGCCCGCCTCCTCCTCCTCCTTCTCCTCCAACAGCACAAAACCCATCCTCCCCTTCGAAGACATCCCCAAAGGCGGCACCTCCATCCATCACCCCGGCGCGCTAAACCAAGAAATCCACCTCCCAGCCCTGAAGCACAACACGCGGGGTATCCTATCGATGGCCTCCCGACCCGTGAAGGATCGGACCGCGCCGGGAGCGCAAGGCGCAACAGGGGCCACGATCAACGGGAGTCAGTTCTTCGTGACGTTTGCGGCGGCGCCGCATTTGGATGGTGCGAGTACGGTGTTTGGGAAGGTGTTGAATTTGACGGCGCAGGATGAGGGCGGGGATGTGTTGAGTCGGTTGGAGAAGGCGAAGGCGAAGGTCGATAAGAAGGGGAGGGTGGTGCAGCCGAAGGAGGGGGAGGAGAAGGAGGGCGAGTTTGAGGCGTTGATGATTAGGAGGGTTACCATACATGCGAATCCGTTTGCGAAGTGAGGGTCAGAGCAGTATATCTGAGGGTTGATGTGAAAGAGGCATGGCCCTCCCTAGTGCGACAGAGAAGACATCTCCTCGAGGAAGTGTGAGGGCTGGATTCATAATGGGCGACTATACGTGTGCGTTAAGCGGACTAGCTGAGGTTGTCACTTTCGCAATGATGCCGCAAACTGACCCAACCAGCGTCGCTCAACACCTGGTCATCCGGCAATTCGTCAATCGATGGACGAGGTGAGAGCTGCTTGGGGGTACCGAGCTGCCAACGGTGTCACCCAAGAATTGGAGCAAGATTCCTACTACTAATGACACTAAATTCATGGTATAAAGGAAGATATCATCTATAATGGTTCATATATTATCCCTTCTAGAAGAATATATCATCATCACTGCCAGGAACTTTTCCGCACCCCAAATTGGGAAACCAATTATAAGCAACCCACAACCACACCGTATGACATGACCACCTGCACCGGATATCTAGAAGCAAAAGAGAAAAAGAAAACGATTATGGTTGGCCAAAACATCATCGCAATGCATATACGAAGGGCCAAGAGAAGTTCATGCACATCGTAAAAGAGACAGGGTCGTCAATCGAAGAAGAACAAGGTCTATGGGGTATATAGCTCATGCCTTCTGCTCGGCCTTCTCATCCTCCTCGTATCCCTCAACCTTCATGTCCTTGAGACCGAGCTCCTCTTCCTCCTCGTCAGTGCGGGTGTACTCCTCCGTCTTGATCTGGGGGTCGACGGCAGGAGCACACAGGTCCTGGACGTAGCTGTTTGCCATGGGATCCTCAAGCGTGATGACGAACTTCATCTCGCCGCTGATGGCAGCGTCGAGACGCTTGAAGAAGCGCTCCCACTTCTCCTTGTCGGAGGAGGCCATACTGTCTCCTCCAGCGCCGGTGGTGTCATCGACGTCGAAGATCTGGCCGTGCAGCTGGTCGCGGATCTCGGTCAGAAGACCCTCGACAGTGGTGAAACGTCCGCCCAGGGTACCAGGCTGCACGGTAACCTCAAGCTCCTCACTGTACAGAGCGCAGGTGTCGGACTTGAGAATATCACGGGAAAGATCGACCTCGTTCTCGACGCTGAGGGTGATCCGCTTGCCCTTCTCGGGAACCTCACCACCAGTCTTGACCTCGCTGGTGCGGTATCCACAGTGCTCACAAGCGGTGGCCCAGACGAAGACCTCCTTGAAGTAGGGGATATCGACCTTCTTCATGTTGACGAAGCAATCCTTGTTGCAGCCAGGGCACTCGGCGGGGAGACTGTAGACCTTTCCGGAGATGATTTCGTCGTCTTCTGGTTCGGGGACACCCTCGTTCTGCACAGCATTGGGGTCACCGGCGATACCAAGCTCTTCGTTCTGCTCGTGGGTACGAGGGTAGTCACGGCGCTTGTACTTGTTGCCGGAATCCTGGGTGGTGGGCGCGATCCAGGAGTTACCGGTGGGGTCGTCGAGGGAGATGGTGAAAGGGTATCCGTCACGGTCCATAATCTTCTGGAGCTTATCGATGATGGGCACAAGAGCATCGTGAAGTTCGGGAGCCTGTTCCTTGCGCAGAGGTTGCTCGCTGGAGAGCGACTCGTAGATCGTCTGGATGATACCCTCAACGGTAGTCAGCTGGCCGGCGCCCTTGGGCATCTCGATACCCAGAGTTTCGATCTTGAAGATCGAGGTGTCACTGCGGATCACCTGGCGCTGCATGTCGGTCTCATTCTCGACTTCGAGGGTGTACTTGGCTCCCTTCTCTTGGATCTGACCGGCAGACTTGATGGAGTTGTTCTTGAAATGGCAGTGCTCGCATTCGAACGACTCGAGGATAATGTCACGGAAGAAGGGCACACGGAGGAGCAAGAGTCTGGTAACGCCCTAGACGCGTGTCAGTCTCGCTATTGGACTTGTTCAGCTGTTGCGATCATTCTACAAACGTACATTGTCGTGGCAGTTCATGCACATGCTCTCCACCTGCATAACACCGGTATCCTCATTGCGCTCCACTAGATCACCGGGCTTCTGGAATTGCGACTCGGGCTGAGTCGTGTTGTCGCCTTCTGTAGACATTTTGGGTAATGAGTTTAGGAGAACTGATGTGGAGTCTAGTAAGAAAGAGGCCGTGACACCCTAAAAGATACAAAATTATAAGAAACGAGGGCGAGGGGAAAATTTAGCCAGCCAGCGCGGGAATGTTCCTTTACTTTCTTCTCCACTATCGCCGTGGCGGGGCAATTTTTTCTTGGAGGGGCTCCGTGGCATTAGTCAGCTCCGGGGGTTGGGCGGCGCAAGTACGGCAAGAATAGAAGGATATGAAAGTTGCGACCTTATCCTTGGAGTCCCATGCTTAATAATTGCTTGAATTATGGCTGTCTATAGATACATCCGATTACTCAGATATCCAGCTCGAGAAGCATCACACACAAAGTACTCATCCCAGAAATATCATCGCCCGAAATCCCTCAAGCGCATGAGGCCAGGCATGCTCCGCTGTCCGACCTATTGATGTAGTTAGCTATGTCAGCGTGTGAGGAACTGGTTCACTTATAAGGAAAAAAAAAGGCCGTCCCCCCAGAAGGGAACGGCAGTCCACCGACTGACACCACCCTCGACTGTTCTACTATTGTAATCCAGGATACACAATCACCTTGCCATAGATATAGGCCCCCGAGCCTCATTGCAACGTCACTCTTGTTGTCAGCAGAGCACCCTCTCTTCGTTGCTACCACAGCCCGATCCTGAAAGAAACAACATCCAGAGCAATCGCCGCATGAGGAACGACAGAAAAACGAAGCAGACAAGCCTAGGCTTTGATCCCCTGTGAAGAGGTCCCGCATCGGGCTCCTTGTACGAAACTCAAAAGCGAGCGGATACAAAGGGATGGTAATCTCGATCAGTAGCTGGTTCGATCCTGGGTATTGCGACGGAGAGGAGAGGGACTCGTCTTGCTTCAAATGCAGCGACTGCCGATTGTCGAGGTGGTGATGAGAACAGTGTAGCACAGGTTCTAACAGTAGTTGAACAGTTGAAGAATGACATAGCTCAGCGAACGCAGCCTGCGGCACAGGTATACCACACCCTCTGCGAAGAAGACAATCCTTCGGCTACCCCAAAACATCCCGAGTCGAGACCTTGGATCAAACGAACCATCTCCCAATATCTTTAGACATGCTTCTTTGTCGTCACTTGAGTTTCCAGGGCCACACGATGTAACCTCTTGTGTGTGATACAGTACCCTCAGGGACAGGTTTTTGTTTCCTCTCCATGTCAAATCAACAATGGAGGGCAGTTGCAGAACGGACAAACAACATCCCCAAAAACCGTTCTCTTCTCCTCGAAAGGAGGGACCCCGACTGGAGATCGTGGCCTGTATCAGCGCCCATCATCTATTTGCAATCTGCATCGCAAAGAGATGGTTGACACGGTCGATCGGGACCTTCAATAGAAGCACAAATCCATGGCTGATGCCGTGATTTGGGGTCAACCAGCCTCCAGGAGGATAGGAAGTACCAGAAGTCGAAAGGTGGAAAGCAGGTACAAGGATTCCAGGTTCCTCGAGGTTGGAAGCATGTACGGGACAGCTAATGACTGACGAGCATTGCTGAGACAAGGACTGCATGCTTAGCAGCATCATTACATGATAAGACTGATCTAGTACCGGAATATGACAACAAGCCAAGGGTCTGGTGGTATTGTATGGAAACAACAACCGCCCATAAATCATCCTGCTCAACATGACAATGAACCTCGCTGCAATATAATGCTTCAAAGTATGCCTGGGCATGATCGAAAGATTATATTGGTTCTGACGAGTGGATCCATTGACATGCCGGGTTAATGATCGTGTGTAGGCTCTGTTGTATTCAAGGTGATCAACTGGCACATGTAATGAACGCTGCCCGCAGACTCGTTGCAATGGTGTTATTTTTGCCATAAGAATTGCTCCCTGAGGCGACCCCATTGCAGGGGTGCCCGACACGCTTCACCTGCTTTCTCTCCAACTTCGGTATCCAGGCATGGAGTGACAATCCGAAGTGATCAGCATGTAGCGCCCAGCATTGGCAAACCGACGCGTGTCCTTTTCAGAAACTTGAAACGCATGATAAGCCGTCTTTTATTGAAACTCTGGGCATCGGACACCTTTCGCATCGTCGAATCCATGGTGGATCGAGTTAACTAGTTGGCGTATCCGTCATGCGAAACCCGTGAAACTGTGCCATAGATGGCATCGAACTGATCGGTGTGTATTAGGGTTAAGTTCCCAAATTCCATCTCCCTCGCAAAGCGTGAAAGACCAAAATTGAGAAGCTGGAGGAGGGCAAGATCTGTATAAGTGCCCATAAAGGCAGAGGCGACACCGAGTGGGAACCCGGAAAGCAAGTAAAGACGCGTCCACAACTCTTCGAGACATAGGGTCCAATAGATGCTTGAGTTCCCAAGAACCACAAAATAACTGAGTGTCTAGGATAGAAACAGACAGGTTCCTCCACTGAGTTGTTTGTGCCAGCCCATGCCGCAGCCGCATGGTTGAAGACCAAGAGGACGGGCTCAACTCGGGATGCGGGAAATGATGCGCCCCGACTCGTCGCGGGCTGACGCGACGCGCTATCACGTGATCCTTTCCAGACCACCTGGAATGTCCTCTGAACCAATCCTGTTAAGGGTCGCTGTTGTTGATTATCTAGGCTAAGTTCATGCTTATAGAGTGTATCATGCATGTCTATCCTACTTACACAGTGTCACTGCTTGATCTTTTCCATCATTGTTTCTGTTCTGCACTTAAGGAATATACGAACTTCGAAAGGTCGATGACGTCATCTAATCCGAGTGCTGTGAAATAACTCTTGAGGCACGAAGCTGTAAGACAGGCTTGATTTTTAATATACATCCCAAATCTCAGGTCGTACGCTTTATATGCAGCTATGAGACCTGCCTGATCTCTGTAGAATTCAAAAGCATCATTTACATGACCTCACGAACCCAGATCAGACAGCACTCAACCCCCCATCCAGATTAAGGACACAATTATTCGCATACTCATTCTGAGCCAGAAAGACAGCCGCATCAGCCACCTCATCTGGTCGACCAAATCGTCGCAGCGGAATTAAGTCTTTCAAGCGAGCTGTTTCACCTTCGGAAAAGTCTATCGGTGGATTAAAGAAGTCAGTTATCTGAAGAACAACCCATCGTGCGACCTTCCACATTATCCGGAGCAGAAATGTAATATAAAGGAGAAGGGAATGTTGGGGGACAGACCAGCAATCATAGGCGTCTCAATGTACCCCGGTACAATCGCATTCGACCTGATAGTCACATCTCTGAGTGAAGCTGCAGCTTCCACAGCAACAGATCTAGTTAGTCCAAGGACCCCGGATTTCGACGCAGCGTACGGTACGGCCCCGGTTCCCGATTTATGTGCTAGTAAAGAAGAAATGTTGATGATGCATTTTGAGGGCGAGGGTGAATTCGACGATCTGGTGTCTCGGCTCTTCTTCATGCGGTTGCGTATGGAAGCACGGATGAAGGCTCGGGAGGTGAGTAGTGCACCTTCGAGATTCGTGCGTAGGATGTTTGAGATATCGAGGGGCTCGGATTTGGGAAGGATGGAGGAGATGGAGAGGCCAGCTGCGTTGACGAGGATGTCAAGGTTGGTGGTTTGCTGGAGCAGTGGCTTAGCATAGCACGGCATGAAGGGGATGTGAATTCCGGGTAGGATAATACTTACCATTACCTTTTCGAGCTCACGCGCCCAGGATCCTGCTTCGGAGATGTCGCCGATGAGGAGGTTGATTTCCTTGGAAGATTCGATGAGTTGATGCTGCTCTGGACTGTGTATAGGCTTTGGGGCTTCTGTTGATGTAGTTTCCCGTGACTCTGTACTTTGTATGCTCCTGAAGGATGAAGACGCCTCTAGTTGAGATGCGGCGTTATAGAGACGCTCGTAGGACCGTCCGACGAGGATCACCCGCGATGCGCCTTCTTGGAGAAAGCGCTCTGCAATGGCAAAGCCGATGCCGGATGTGCCACCGGTGATCATGCATGTTCGGCCGGTCAGACGAGCTGAGGGGGTGAATTGAGATGACGTGCTGCCCTCGCCCGTCGCGGATAAGTAGGCTCGTTGGTGAGGAAATTTGGGTGATACGGGGAGTTGCTGATGGACTTGAAGCCTAGACGCTACCCCTCGGAAGCGTAATATATGCCTTTGATACATGATGTGATGATTGCTTAGTAGCTTATCTCATTGCCTTAGTTATGACAAGAAAATCGGTATATAGTCCTCTCTAGAGGGGTGTCGAACTTCTTCAGTAAATAGTATCGTGCAGAGATGGTACTGTATCTTGATCAGTGCTTGACTTGGCTATAATTAACGGAACTATTCAATACATTTTGTTTTACTTAACGAGTGAAACTGACTGCTTCTTCTTTGCGCATCAAATACTAGTGCTTGTAGTGTTGAAAGAAGCAGACTGGAGCATCGGCATCGGAGCTTAAGCACGGGCCACTGCAATCCACGGCATCATCGCCGCCGCGTCTCGAATCTTTCCTCTTTCTCACTTACCCCTCTGTCGCCACCCGCGCATCACAACATGTCTGCATCAAAACCATCGCAATCGGAATACGTGACATTGGTCTCAGGCGATGGATTCGAATTTGTAATTCCTCGAAGCACGGCCTGTGTCTCCGGCACGATACGCCGCATGTTGGAACCTTCGAGTAAGTTGCCTATCTACGCGCTGGCCACTGCAGGATTGAATAGTGTTGCTCACGAGTTTTTCTTCACATTAGGTCGATTCTCAGAAGCCGTCACCGGTCGTTGTGTCCTCGAGAACATCAGTGGCATCGTCCTAGAGAAAGTGTGCGAGTATTTCTGCTACAACGAGAAGAACAAGAATCAGACTTATGTTCCGGACATGGATATTCCGCCCGAGTTGTGCCTGGAATTGCTGATGGCGGCGGATTATCTGGATACATGATCCTGTGGGGATGATGTACGTGTTTTGCCTTCTTCGAGTGGGCTGCAATGCTGATGGTTCTAGATCCATTCTACTTGGCTTTACGATTGATGCGACATGACGGTCATATGTATATTTAACATGGAGTTTGGTGGTTTCGACTTCACTCTTCACATACGGTAGGCTGGCGTCGATGTCTGGGTATAGATCTGGGAATGAACAGACAGAAAAGCCCCGTAGCATATCTTTTCTTTAAGCCTTTTGCCCCGCATATTTGTTTTCTTTCAGCCAGCACACAAGTCCACTGGCTTGGCCATCTGAGCATCTACATCCGTTCTCACCTATGAGCGGATGTCCTAAAGATGATGGCAGATCTGTCGCCATTCACCATTATATTAAGCCCTTATCCTTTCACCGGTGGATCCTAGGGCCCTATCTTAGGCGGGACATGCTCTTACCCTTCTCAGGTGTCGTGATTAGCGCAGGTTGTGCGAATTGGAGGTTATCTCATCATCGCCCTTTCGGTCGTGGACGCCATGGTCCTTTATTGCCCCTCGTGTTCTTCTCTTTGTAGATATTCTCCTTGCCAAACGCCGAGTCCGCAATTCGGAGATAGCTCACAACACCCTCATCTACCACTGCAAGAATCACGTTTCTATAACCGTGCCGGAGCCGCATGTATAGTTGGCGACTCATCTTCTCGCCGACGGGTGGGTCGAGCGGCGTGCTCTCGAGCAATGCACCAAGCTGAGACGACGTCGGGAAGGTGGTGTGAGTGCGTGCATTCACGACGGCTAGTCTGAAGTCCGGGGCCGGAGGAGCGGATTTCTTGAAGGCTGTGGATGGTTTGTAGATATGGAAAACAACGCGGTAGGGCGCCGTTGCACGTGGCGGCGGAGAGGAAGAAGTAGTCGGGTCATACCAAGGGATTATGGATAAGCTCCGGTATATGTTGTCTAAGAAATCATTAGCATAACGGCAAGCGCAGCACACCAAGAACCGTACCATAGCTGCGATGAATTCCAAGACCCGCCACAGGCCCCAACGCTGTCGTAGGGCTGGGTCTGTACAGCCATTGCAAAAGCTGGTTAAAGATCCCAACTAGACTGGCAGACTGCGGCTTCTCCAGTGACATTGGCTCTGATTCGCTGCTGTCCGCGCTCTCTTCCTCATCGTGCCACCCGGGAGCACGAACAATCGTATAACCCAACCGCCTCAATCCCGTATAGACCGAGAATCTCTCACTTGTCAGACCGCTCCGCCCCATGAAGGCCGCATGAGCAGCCTGCAAGCTCATCGGAATCCCCGAGTCTTCCGTCTCATCACCATCAGCACATCCGACCTCCGAGCACGGCCACCTGATATCCAGACTTCCTCTCTCGAGTAGATACAGAGCCTCCTCCGGGAGCAACCATACGCGGTTCCACCGATCAGCCTGCCCTATAGACTTGAAATATTGCCCCTTCGGATTCGAAACATAGACACATGCGTCTGCGTGGATGCCCATTCCCGTGCCTGCGGGTTTCGAGGGCTCGGACTCTTCCGTAATCGTATCGAGTTTCTGGGCGGATCGTGGAGGCGCTGGTCCATTGGGGGCAAATACACCTATCACTTGTGTTTTCGGGTGGTGTAACCGGGGGTATGAGAGAGCATTGTGCATTGCCTGCCGGGAGGCGGAGAGAACGTCGGCTTGGAAGAGCGTCGGATTCGGTTCGAAGTCCTTTTCGCCTCGTTTTGGGAGAGTCTGTTGGGATCCATCTGTGAGACTGCGGTCTGCTGTCAGTTTACATGTTCCAATTGCAGCAAATGAGCTAGGGCCAGTGGAAAAAAGCGTGGCAGCACTGACAAGGAAATGCTATTCAACATGCGAAAGTCCTGAGTCTCATCTGAGAGGTCGGTGTCAATGTGCATGCCCGAATCCTGCGAGGGCATGTGGATAGCGGCCTCATCTGTGTCCGCCATTTTGATCCCAGCCGCCAATGACCCGATCGAACGAGCTGGATGGATGTCTGGTCGGGGATGCAAGGCGCGCGAGGGGTGCGTGGGTAGAAAGAAAGTTAAGCTGCGCGGGCGGATCGATATCCACTCCCGATAAGAAATTCTGAACCGACGGGGTTTAGTGTTCAAGCTTAGCCTGCGGTCTGCCACCAAACTATCAAACATGCATTTCAAACCAAACGTGAAACAAGCGCTGGATCTTCGCTGCGAGTCTGCGACAGTCCAAACGCGTAGGCCTATGTCGTCATTCCCCTGGTGATCTCATCGGTGATTGAGTCTCTTGATTGTGCATAGCTACACAGTACAGACGGAATTCTAGGAGTGGGATCCAGGTAGCCTGGTTCCACATTTAGATTCCGACCAAACCAATTTACGACTAGCTATCCATTAATGGTTCAGAAACACTGACAGTTGTGCGTTGCAAAATTGAAGCCTGAATTGTGGCCCAAACCATTCTGGGCTTATCAGGTTTGATCATCGCGGGGGAGTCGAAAAGGGGCACTAACCACTCCGTATATCTCCTCTAGCGTACAATACCATCTCAATTGGCGTGCTTCAGACTAGGATCTCGGGTGGCAGAAATGGCAGAGAAAGTTCTCGACTATAATGAAATTCTCATCCAGGTATGTCATCTGTTGTCGGCGGCCTGTGAAACTCCCCTCCCTAATAATCTCACCCGCTAGATCTCGGTAAATCTTACCAATGCACTGAATACCTTCGGTCCAGCTTCTCCGCAGTATCAGGGTATTCTGCAGATCCTCAAGCAGTGTCTGCGAGATATCGACGAAAATAAAGAACGCAACCGCCGCAATCTCGACCCAGATGCGTTGAGTATCGCTCTGGAGTTCTTGGAGATTGGGGAACGGTGTTGATCTGCCTATGGAATCTATTCTACAAAATTGATTAGAACAGACGTACCCTTCCATGATTTATGAAGATCGTGACCGTCTCGGATATAACACTTGTTGACCTGGAAATCACCAGTTGATCGGTTTCTGTTCTTGTATTTAGCGTTGAACTCCCATTCACCAAGACTAGCATTGCTGTATACATTCGAGATGGTTGCCTAGCGTAATATGCAAAGAAAAGTCTTGAATCATGCTGATGAGAATATCTATCTGTCCAATATCCTATATCGTTGAAATCAAATCTAGTTGCCATAGTTCCCCCATCCTTCGCATCCAAAATCAAGCCTCAACAGGTAGATCTTACATATTATATTGAGCATACACAGCTAGAAGATGCATGGGAAAGCACGCGCACAGAACCAAAATGGAACCTCTCCCCCAGCCCTTCCTAGATGTGAAGCAAAGTCAACCCAAACACCCAGTTTTGCTCCGGCCAAGAGAAGATGGAAAGAAATGGCTACCAGGAAAACCATGCAACAAGAAAACTCCGTGGCCCATGCATTCGTAAGACGTAATGACGCTTTTTGCGTCCGCAGCAAGCATGCCGAATGTGAAAGGATTAAACAACGTAGTCAGGCTATAACCGCGCGCATCAAAGATGGGGCAAACACCCCGTGACCGAGCGAGTCTGGTGTCCCTTAGTTTCATGATGGTGAGGATTTGATGTGGCTCAGTCTATTAGAGGCTTCTTTTGATTACCGACAATAGCCACCCCCAGGTGACGGAGAGCATTGGGGTCGCTAGGTCGCACAATAGAAGGAAGGGGTAGCATGGGGTTATCTGGATTTATATGGACCGCTTCCCGAGCAGCCTGTTCAATAGCTTCCATCTCCTCTTTGCAGCCCGCATGATCCAGTGGACAGACAACTATCGGTTGTCGGATGACAATATCCCTTGCAGACGTCAAGTGGGCCTGTATCATAAAATTAGTCAAAGACCAATGGTTGGGTATGAGGAACCGCACCTTTACTGTTAAATAGTATTCGATCTTATAAAGGCTCGCAGTAGTCGTAAACCCGCTCACTGCATAGGTCGGGAAAGCCGCGTCCCCTCTTGGGAGAACTCCTTTCGAATCCCGCAGATCTTTGGCCGGGAAAACCAGGCCGAGATTCGTCAAGAACCCCGATGGAGGTAGTTTTACCCCAATTGCTTCCGTTCTCTTCGTCAAGGTTCTCACTTTCCGCTGTGGCTCATCGCCCTCATGGTTGTAAATTATCTCCTCATCAATAGCAATGGTTATTTTGCTTATGGTAACTTTCCTGGCTTTCCCAATCCAGTCGAGGTTGGGCGACAGTTTGACGTAAACGCTCACAGGGTCAAGAGGGCCATAAGACCACCGTGGCAACGATATGCCCAAGGTGACTAGGTGATCCGAGACCCTTTCCGCCGTCTCGGGGCGATTGTACATTCCGAACGTGGAGAGAGTATCGTATCGTGAGATAGGAACCGGAAATGTATATTTCCTCTGGTCCGAGTGTCCTTGTTGAACCATGACAACTATTTCGTAGAACGTTTCCGCAGTGCGACTAGGAAGTTGCAGACTGGCTGGAGGAACCCTCCGCGAAGCATCCGGTCCACCGCGCCCAAATGGAATGAAAAGGACAAATGGCAAGTCCATCGATATCACTTCCTCATATTCTCGGCCGGCCGGGCAGCGGAAGAGGAGCATCTCCTTGCCCACAATATCGGTGATCTCTTTTCGAGGGGGAGCGAGGTGTTTCTTAGTCACGGAATCGGCGGAGGGATGTATTGTCTCGCGGCGATGGAGGGATATGGTGACCAGGGACACATTGACGGGAGCGGTAATGCCGACGCTGGGCCTGATCTCGACCTTGCCTTCGATACGTGGCTTCTGATGGTCAGTGATCCTTATTGTCATCGAAAACAGAGCAAAGCATGACCGGGACTCACCATTGTCGCTGATATACCTGGGTAGCCGATCAGAAAGTTACCATTCGGCGGGCCCGACACTCGCACGAAGGCGGCCATGCTGAGAGTACTGCTACCGCACCACCATGGGCACGCGGCGGGTGAGAGGGATGCGCTCCGGGGGTTTTGCGGAGAGTATGCGACCTCGACGAGCTATTTATCGGTGAGAATCTCATAGAGAACCTGATCCCGATGATCACTCCCCCTCAATAGCGCTGCGCCCAAGGTCTTGTGAGGACGCAGTTGCGGTACCCCCTCCGTTGCTATGGAAGGTTAGTTCGGACGAACTCTCGGCGAGGCTAGGCGATTGCGGCTTAAGTAGCAGGGCGGCGTTCGGCTGGATTTCCGGAAGGCGTTGAGATGGTAGGAGGGGGGGTGTTGAATGACGCTGGAGTGAAGTGAATCAGGTACGACGTTCGCAAAGCAAGCGAGGGTTGTTTACAAGCGCCGATGTGGGGAGGGGAGAAGGTGATGGGGAACATCTGCGGCGGCTAAGCAGGTTCCAGCGGCAGCCACGGAACTACGTGCACTACGAGCCTCCGACCACCTGGAAGGGCCAGCCCCGGCCCTTGCTCTGTCGTCAGCGATCTGCACCCGGCACCATAATAATACGAGCAGCGCATTCCGTACTCGGGGAAAGCTGATGATGGACTCGAGGCTTCACTACGGAGTTCTCCGTAGGCAGAACACCACTCCCAACATACTGAACAGGACTCCGGGCTTCCGATGGTTGTCCACTGCGGTACCACGAAACAAGTCCTCGGCATCAGAAAGTCAAAACCTGGCCTTGCCGCCTGGGTCATCCTCAAACACGGTCACATCCTGGATGGATAACCGGCCCCAAGATGCGCCCGCTCAACTACCAATCTCGGCCACCGCAATTGTCTGCTAACATGTTGACTTAGTGCGCGCCCACAAGTCTCCGTGCCGCTCTTGTCGTGCTTGGAACAAGGCCACATTATATATACCGTATACTTAGTTGGATCTTTCGATGAAGGGAGAAAGAAATTACGGGGGACAAAAAAGAAAAAAGGAAAAGAAAAAGCGGCCCACTATCATATGTAGTACCATTCAAAAACTGCAGGTGCACTATTACCGGTGGGTATGACATCTCCACGGTGCAGAGCTCGGACAAATTATCAGACCTAAATCATGGCATTCTATGCATGCAATAAATGGCGATCTATAAAAGACGATCATACAAGCCCTATGGTCCTTCGTATTTTGTCTGTCGCTCGTGCCTGGCACTGCTATTCTGGATGTGCTCTTCAACCTCGTTGAGCTGATCGGAATGGCAATAGTATACTTTACGTACAAGAAGGGGTAAGAGACGCTTGGTTAGCTGCCTGCTTGGCTGTGTCATCTTTTCATACAGGCGCTTCCATTTCTTTTCCTCTGGCAACGATATTGATGTAGCGGGTTGTCATGCTATGTGCCTCAGGCCTGGTTGGATCGATTCCCTATAAACCCCCCCCTCCCCCGTCAACATCTTCTGCTCCGACTGCAGAACCGTGATCTGCATGTGCAGATGCGGAGTTTGGCATCGGTACATAAGAATTTATCGATGGGCATGGTGGTTTGCAAAGTGAATGAAAATTTTGATTTAGAATTCAGCGAATATTAAGCAAGCAAGGACGAAGGAAGAGCAAATACAATCCGTTCGTGTATGACCTGAAGACCAGAAAGGAAAGTAACAAATGTCAATGCAGGATAAAGGGTTATTAGAACGCAAGTGCAGAAGAGGCTTGCTATACACTCCACATTATCCTCATAGTCGATGAACCGTCTGGCTAGTTATATCATAAGTAGCGATATACAAGCCAGCTCATGTTCAGTCTCCCTATAGCAGGTACACTGCCACAGCGGCAACAATAGCCGCTCCAGCCACACCCGCCTTGACATTAGACGCCGAGCCAGTTGCAAGAGGAGCGGACGGAGATGTCGAAGACCCGGAGCTTGATGGAGTGTGCCCACCCGTAGACGAAGGCAGTTGAGGGGTCGATGCCGTTGCAGATGCAGACGGCGACACCTTTGAAGATGAGGGTGTAGATGAGGAAACGACCGTCGGAAGAGTTACTGATCCAGAGCTAGAAGACGCAATACCAGTCTCAACGGTAGAGGTCCTGGGCATGGATAAGGTCGTAGTTTCTGCACCGCCGCCAACAGGAGGGATAGAGATGGGATGGCCTGCCAACGAGCACTGCCGGACGACCTCACTAGATACGGCTTATAAACTGTTAGTTCTTTGAAATAATATAAGATATCCGGTAGGTGGCATGTACCAGACTGGTCGGCAAGGCTGCACGCCTTTTGCACGCACGGAGTCACAGCTCCTACAACTTCAGGCTTTTGGCAATGGCAGGCAAAGTCCATCAACTGTGAGCATCCATCACGCTCGAAAGCGCTAACGAAACAGTTTAGCTGAGCGATAGGAGTAGTGTCAGCTAGAATCATTCTGCCACCTGGGTGTGTTGAAGCTTACAGAGCATGAAGGAATATTAGGCAACTGAGCGTTGGCGAAAGTGGTAATGAGCAGGACGCCGATTGTACGATACAACAGCATATTTGCCACACTCGGGTATTCCCACAATTGATAGAGATAGGAATATGGAGCTTTTGCACCGAAACGAGCGTTTATATATCCGAGGATCGGACCGACGGCGGTTGCTCGACTATAGACCCGATCCAGGTCAAGAGGCGGGAGGCACTGCTTCTTATAAGCCAAGGGAGCTCGCCGTTTCACGAGTCACTGGAGCCTGCATCACATGCATATGAGCGCTCGGGTTGAGGCAAGTCCGTCTTTGGTCTTTTCTTGAGAATGCATGGGCATCATGGACGGAAGTGGGAGATGCAGGTTTCTACCCCGGGTGGATCAGTCCTACTTTGGGGACGTGGACAATTGGACGCGAAAGCTGATACACGTTGGAGTTACCCATAGAGTACGACATGGACTGTTACATGCTGTGGACTGTAATCCGTGTGTCACCAGAGAGAGTGTGCACCTGTACTTGTCCTACATAGCCCTTTGCTCACCCGACATTATTGTCCGCCTCGGTGCAGCCTAGTCGAGAACGCCCCAGCATGTAGGTCAAGAAGAGCAAATATGAACGGTCGTGTAGGACAGGCGTCTTGATTTAACCTTGCATATTGGCAAATGCTACCCGTCTGTATGCCTCAGACGGTTACATCGATCCCACTTGACTAATAAGTCTCAAAGAAGGACATTAGCCACAAGAGCACAAAATGCGAGGGCAACATCACACCGTCACCTGGTATGGTGGACCATGCTAGATTAAGCACCGACCAGGTGCTGCCCCTGTTGGTGCAGTCGTGAAGTATATATGAAGAAGAATGAGTGAGAGACACGAAGACTGAAACTCGGTATGGTTTTTGAACGACGGATGGATTATGACTTTCCCAGCCGTGCCAAAAGCCTAAGGGATATCCGCGCTCCGGTAATATGGTGGAGGATGCAGCTCGCGCGGGAAATGGGCCAATCATGGAATTTGACTCGACCACAATATCCCCAATGGCACTGGCTTGTCACACTGTATGTCACGAAAAGTACCAAAACTTTCCGCACAAAGGACCCGAAGATGCCTAGTCGCCGAAGACGTACAGCTTGGACTCTTGTGGCCAGAGTAGTAAGACGATGTCCCCATTCAGTGCTCTCAGGCGACTGGTCCAACTTTTCCCAACATGGATGGAGCCGATGAAGCCCACGCGGCAGTCAGCGTTCGGCAAGGAAGATGCACATAAGCCCACGGATAATTCAAGGAGGACTCAAGGGTCATCGTCTGAAGCTAGTGCAATATCATTCAGTGAGAGCTTCTGGCGGTGGCAGAAAGAAGGACCTAGGGCGATGACGGTCGGCATGGGAATGACAACACATCTGAATGGCCGGTCCGGAAGCCAAACAAATATAGCATACCTGTTTATGTATCTCAGGGGCTTGCATTACCTTTGAGACACCCTAATATGCGTTGCTACCGGACATTCGTGCGTAGTATGACTGGTGAGTCTTGTTTCACCATGTTTGCGGGTCGACAAAGCCTGGGCTCGGACATAAGAAGGCATAGAAACCAGTGCATTGTAGGTCATTCAAGTCATAATTATCCAAACGATATGCGTAGAGTTCTCCAGAAACGCCGGTCCAAAATTATAACCATACTCCCACCCCCATCAACCTTCATCGAATAGACCAGATAGTGCAGTGTCACTTCGTGGTCATGCTCAAGACATCAGTTCATCAATATAGGCTCTCTGCTTGACATCGTCGTCTTGCTTCAGGAGGACTGCGAGCACTTCAATTGGAGGATTGAGGCCAAGCATATGTGCACGTCTCCACCGCTTTAGTCGAGCAATTCCAATGCATGGCTACACAAACAATGCGTCAGTCCAAGGCAATCAAGATGAGAACCGCACAAAGACAGACGTACCCCGTATTGGCTGGAGAGGTCAAAGTGCCGCAATATCTTTTCTCGTAGTGTGAGGTCCTCTTGGTGAACTGGTAGAAATGATCAGCGTCCGTGCTCAGTCGCAGGGGATGCGTGACTTTGAGAAGTGGGATCCTCACCTCGAGGCCCCCGTCGTTTTGCTTCTTCTTTCTTCCAATATTGCTGCAACTGCCGTTCAGTGATCTTCCCCGCTCTTTCATCCTCCGACGACAGCGGTTGTTGGATTTCCTCCCGAGCCTGCTTCCTCACGACAAGCTCTGCCACATGCGGCTGCGAAGGCTCTGTGGGTGTGACAAGAACTTGTTCTGGTTCAGATACATCATCGACCGACGGTTCCTTTGATAGAGCGGCATCGATTGAGTCGAGATCTTTGGCTTTTTGGGACCGTGTCGATGGTGCCGCTGACGGCTTCGTAACTCTGGACTTGGAGCCGAACGACAGGGTCGCCTGGTTAGAAGAGGTAGCGGCAGTATTGCCTCCGCGACGACGAGTAGGGGGCATTTTGTGAGGTTATACTAGGCTTCAGCTATACAAAGTGACAATATAACGATCCTCGATCAGCAGCGTCCAACTTGAAGGACAATCAGGTCTGGTGGGAGTGTGGGGGAACGATGTCATCATGCTTGTTGCACATGGCAACCGCCGCTACCGGATTTACACTTCACCCAACCCAAATTTAGGCAGTCGTCATTAAGTGGTTCCCCAATCGTTGTCTAGACTCCTCAGTTATCCGGGCTATTTCTGACTGAAATTGCTCTTGCAGCGGATCATGTATATTGCCCGGCCTCCGTGGCGTGTTTTACGCATCAAACCCGTACATCCACTAAACTCGTACATCCACCTAGCTAACTAGAAGATGGTCTAGACCCCGGCAAGTCCCCGGGTTTGCGGTACAATGGTTTCATTCGAAAATTGTGGGGTAAAGATGCCAATAGCCTGCTAGCACCCAGGCAGGAACGAGTAAATTTTGTGCAGAGGACTAAGTGCATCCATAAAGTAACCAGGCGTAATAAGTCGTATCAAACCTTCACCCAACAACACCATCGTGGAGACAAAAACCTCCCAAATTCCCTCCCAAACACACCAATCATGATAGTCCTGAACCCACGCCGAGATGCAGTGAACGAGGAAAGTTCCCATGAAAGCGAGACCAGCGCCGAGAAACCCTCCCATAAAAACCCATCACTCCCCCCAAACGAATTCCTTTTCTCTTAACGCCCGATACCCTGAGATGTGACCAAGACGAGCGCATTCAAAAGCACCTCACTGAGAAACAGCAATCTCATCAGCCAGCTACCGTCACAGCTCCTGGCTCGAGATGGTAGCTGGCTGAGAGTTCTCACTTATATAGTACTTAATCAACCCCGCCGTGAGCCTCTGTGCCCAGCAGCCTCCTCTAAGGGCCCATTGGATTTGTCCCAGTGGACATCAATCCAGAACAACTTCTCCTCATCCTCATCCACATTCTCCTCCTCCATGCCACTTGAGCTATCGGCATCGTATCCGGAGTCGTGGGCAACCGTACAAGAATCCTCATCGGCAGATTCAATATATGCCGATACGTCATTGAGATCGGTATCTGACATTCCTATCTTTTTTCTTAGTAGGGTCCTTGAAGCTAACCAGCATGCAGGTATTGGGCCTTACGCATCTGCGCAGCAACAAGAGCATTATTAGTCTGGATGGGAATAACGTTCGACTGGGTCATTATCGCAACGAGATTCTCCATCCAGACTTGCGCTCCATGGACGTGCTGCCCACGCGAATCAGAAGATGGGACGGGTATCGCCCACATCTGGATTTCAGCGTCATTGTCACCGGTTCGGACAAGGTGCAGGGTGAATTCCATGGAGGTGTCAGATACGGAGGTATCATATACGGTCGATGCGGAGGCCATGCTGCTGGATGGGCGAGGATGGGACGACGTGCTCTCCTCGCTGGTCGAGGGAACGGTGGATGGCAAGGAAGAATCACTTGGACTCATTATTGCAGTTCGATCTGTCACGTTGTAAGGAAGATATCTAACTGGAGATTCTGGAATGGTCAGTGGGTTTCATCTAAGGACACCTCTGACAGACGGCATGACATACGCTGCAAGTTGGGGTTCAGTATGTAAGGCTTGTTTGGAAAACCTGGAATAACGCCGAGAATGTATCATACGACAGAATTATTGTGACGAGGAGAGACGGTTATACTTGGGAGGTATCAGACAAAGGAGGCATGAAGAGTGATGGTGTTACGCTTCAGGGTGAAAGTGAATTATATCGTGAATGGTGCATTCTGTCTCTGCCAGAGAACGTTCACGTATGTTTAGCAAGTCTCCGTGATAGACGACCTCCATAGGATCGTATTAACATTTAAAATGAAAAGACACTCACTACCCTCACCGGTACGACAAATCTAGACTATATGGAATAGGTGTGCTCAGTTGGTCGAAGCCCAATGTACCCAGTCCCTTGAAGGCTCCCCGCGGGTTACAGACGTTCCAATAAGCTACAGCTGCGAAAGTATTTATAGTAACAACATCCATACATTATGTTCATAAAGCCTCTGACCAGATGTAAAGTTGCTCAAATGATCCCATTCATGTTCTCTTTCACTATATCAGTACTATAATATTGCGTCCCTTGTAGATCAGCAGCCGTAGGCTTTGTAGTTTCTAGATACTCTTCTAGCTCCCGCATGCTACTTGGGATATCCTCATGTAGCCAATTTGGATGGAATATGCTCCCTTCAATATTATTGTCGGAGCATATGGCTGAGCTACAGCAATTTTCGTCTTGCTCGTTGCATAAAGCAGATTGATCCTCGCCTTCCCTCCACTCTTCGTAGCATGTTCCGCGGCGGACTGGAGAAAGTTTATACAATATTTACAAATCTCGCAGTTCGAGCTCTATATTTCAAAGCCGTTGACGCTTCCTACAGGTCTCTAGGTTGGCTGGGGGTTGTCCCTGGCCTTGATGCACTTTCCGTGCGCCGTTGCACTTGGGTATAGGGCCGGGACGAGTCAAGCTTCTTGGCCGCATATAGGGATGAGTTGGGCCCGATTTAAGGGCTGACTGCATTTGTCTGGTGAAATATTATATCTGTCTGTAGATGAGCAGTGACTGCTTCGTGGTTTCCGGGACGTGCTTAGGTCCTTAGCATGTCCTGCATACTGCCAGGTCGTTGTTATTCCGTTTGGTTTGATGCATTGGAGGATTTAAATCTATATTGTATCATATAGCATTGCTTGGAAACAATATCCAGTCAAAAGATGAGACTTGGCGCATGAGTTCAAAAAGGCATCCCGCGCCCTATAGCCCTATATCCCAAAGAAAAAGTATGTATGTTCAATATCTCTAATCCTATGTGTTCAAATTACGCTAATATGCTAACTGAAGACCCCAACAAGACAGAAACCAGGATGTGAAATAAAACAAAGGAGTCTCGTAGAGAAAACTCAAGTCTAGGGCACCCATAACCGGACATAACCTCCGACTTCTTGACGACATGTCACACAGCTTCCGAAATTATTCATCGCTAAACTGACACGACAGTCTTCACAGATGCAGAGACATCGGCATGGCCATGTGATAATGGATCGTGGGTTAGTCTGGCAGATAACACAGGGTGGGCCGCTGGGTCCGAGGCCAGAGGCGCCGGATTCCCAAGTCTGTGCGTTTGCGGACGAGAAGGAGAGCATTTCAGATCTTCGAGAAAGGATAAGCTTCTCAAGAATCTCTGATTCTTCATGGAGGGTAGGTCTGCGTTTCTCATCATTTGATCGCCTCTGGTTAGATTGCGCGAACCGCGAGGTGAGCAGGATTTGTGCTCGCTCGTGCTCCACTTGCTTCTGAAACTGACGACGAGTCAATATGCGGCCATCACGACCGGCAGCAAGGTGTGCGGCTAATATGCGCGCTTCATGTCTGCTTTCCCGGTCACGCGGGTCCAATAGACGTGTCAAGGAACCGATATCCACTAGCGATTCTTGCACCGGAGTGCTTTCTCGGGAGAAACGACCCGGAAAGGGATCTTCTTGAGTGGGAGTCCGACGACCGTCTGATTCGTACCCTTCCCATTCGGAATCGCTCGTCGTCGACATGGATATGACACTCGTCGTGTCTTCCCCGTCGTAAGCAGACGGTGCATAATCGGAACTCTGGTCCTGGTTGCCCCATGAGCCACCCGCTTTCCACCAACCGTAGAGCTTATCGTCCAGCCGACGTTCATCCGATTCCTCCCAACCAGTGGCCTGAGTCTTTTCTCTCTTTCTCATTTCTTGTTCTACGTCAAACTCATGGTTGTCGGGGAGTTGTAGGACTCCGTCGTCCGACAAAATCCAAAAGTCTAATGACTCCAAGCGGTTGCCTTCTCTTTTCCTCTGTGATTCCTTCTTGTGGGATCCTATAATAGCCTTCAACCACTGTGGGCGAGCGTTAATACCAACCCGACATAGAATCCTGTCGACACCATAGGCAATCCACTTCAGGACGAGATAAAAGATGCCACGAAAGAAGGCAAACCCGTGGTAGCATCGAACTACGCCCCTGAACGCACCCACACCGCCTGGGTCAGTCTGGGGGCGAACCGATCTAGAACCATTCTTGGGCTTTTCGATTTTCTTTTCGCGGGAATATCCGCTTTCCCATTCCAAAGACGATTCGGGAATATCAAAGTTCATCAATTCCCCACTTTCAGAAAGCGTATCTTCGGAGAAATCGCCATGATGCTGCCGCGATGATTGCTTGCGCCTGAGAGACTCGATTTCCATCAGTCTATCACGTTCCAACCAAGTCATTCTGCGTGCGACAACCCGTCTACCCTCATTGAGAAAAACAGCCTCGCTGGCAGCCGTCAGAGCAGTGTAACCGATTCTGAGCAATGTGGTGTAGAAGTCATCGTGCCAATTGAGGCGAATGCTCTGGATTTGTTTGGCACCTTGCATATTCTCGTGAGCTAGGGAAAACCTTTCGCGGAGCGTTAAGGGTCCCGGAGTCTGCGTTGGAAGAGAAAATGCTGTAATAACCAGTGCAAGTCCATATATACCGACACAGGCGACAATGCCTAACAGTATCAAAAGATGCGGCACAAACCCTACAATGCAGACGGTTGGGAATTTGAGAACGACACTGTCGCTTCCGACTGACGAACCGCTAAACAAGCCCCAGGCCATAGCTGACATGAAGCAGAGCCCCCAAAATGCGGTGTTTACCAAGCGGTAACGACTCTGTTTGCCGATGACATCGAGAACGTTTGAAGTCAGACTGTTGCAACACGATATCAAGGCAATAAGCAGCAATTCGGGTGTCACGTTCATTCGTTCCAAGGCCTGCCCTCTGCTTAGTAGATGGAGAGCAGACTGCCCATTCTCCCCAGGAATATCCTTTCCACTGCTTTGCTTGGATAATCCAAAAATACCAAGACCGAGGGATTGGCTGATCGTAGACTCTGCTTCGGCAAATGCAAGCGAGTGTTCAAAAATCGACATGCCGACTTCTGAGACAACCGCCCTTCCCTGGAGAGCGCAAGAAAGAGTCTCCACAAAGTGGCTGATGCATAGTCGTATGAAGACTGGCCAAAGCAACCGGAAAGAGCCATATGAGATATCCGAGGCATTTGTAGGACGACCCATATGCACTGCACCGCAAGACTGCTCATCCGTTTCCCACGACAAAAGCGTGGAGCTCAGAGAATATAGAAAACCGCCGCCTCCAGCATAATCAAATAATAAACGCTTTCCTGGCGTGCCGTAGCGTATGGTTGAGTACTCGGGAGACGTCTGACATCGAATAGTACGAAGAAGGGAATGGATCTGAGAGATAAACAGGACAATAGGGACAATGCGCAGAGCCAATCGCCTGGTCCAGTTTAAATTGAGTTGTCGACGGGTAGAGGCATAGATAGTAATTCTGTTCAGAACAAGTGCCTTGATGAGTTAGTATGGCCGCGTCCGTGTATCAGGGGCCGGGATAGATGGATATTCACCACGGTAAAGCAAGCCAAAGACCACCGACTCGTCAGGTACGAAAAGAAGCCACTGAACTTCATAACAGCCTGTAAGATGTCGGAGAAATGGAGGCTGGATTCGGCCTGGGCAGCTGCATCCACCACGCCCTCTCTTGCAGCGTCAGCTGCTGTCTGCGTTGCCAGTACCACTGCATCAGTCTCTAGCCCCGTACCAGAAGATGTGCTCCAAAAACGTGTCGCCATATCCTGCAATCCAACTAATCTGGCAACTTGTCTCGGCAAGGTCGAGAATGTAAAGGCCTCTGCCTGGTGAAGTCCACGGAGTGGTAGAGACAGTAGTTCGCGAGACGACGAGGACAGGGAGGAATGAGCGGCGATTGTCGGAGTCGTGTTCAGGGACTGAACGGCGGATATTGAGGCAGAAGCGGCTGGGGTGGCCGGCTGGAGCATAGACATGTCTGGCTAAGCCAAGAAGATTGCGCCGGAACTGGGGTGAACTGCAAATCGAATGGCACCAGTGCCCATGCGTGGGGAAATGGGGTATGTCTATCGCGCGGTGAGAGAGGGGGGGAGTGCCGAGGGAAGAGACGAGTTCACTGGGAAGTCATCAGTAGAACAAGGGAGCAGAGGGCAAATCTGGGGTCATCATCCCCAAGCGAAATGGACAGAGAGTCCCCATGCAACACGCAACGGAGGCTGTTGGGTAGTAGTAGTAGACACTCCGTTCATCTCGGACCGTCATCAGCAGCAGCCGCGTCTCCAGCCGTAGTCCGACACCCGACACTAGCCTAATCGGGCAAGAACCGGACAGTTGCACGTGCCACCCCGGCATTTTCCCGCGGTTACTATCTACTCAGATGAACCTCTATGCATCTCTTGAGATGATGTGCAGTGCACCTAAAATTTTTCGATATATGTTCTCTTGATACTTCCATGCATCCTTCATGCCGTCCCGAAGAAACTCTATCTTTTTGTGCAAACTCAGTTGGTCCCATATATCCATGTAGTACCCCAAGTGTTCAGGCAGAAAGTCTCATCAATATCTCAACCCTCTGGTTGTATCCTCCAAACGCGACATCAATTTCTTGATGATTCTCATTCCATCCGTGATATCACCCTTCTGGATCTGCTCTCCAGGTACCAAATGATGGAGAACTCTGTGTCGAATAACCCATCCTGTGACTGCAAATGCGCCGTCATTTCCCATCTTAATATCAAAGTCACGACTCAACTCAGCTATAATTCCAGGAATAGACTTTCGAGCACTCAGGTTGGCGAGAGTGTCATCAAACTCTCCTTTTATACGGTAGTCATAGACGAAAACAGGGCGTTTCTGACCGATGCGGCTAACTCGTCCAATTGCCTGATTGACCAGTGACTTGCTGAGGCCAACTGAGAAAAGGTGGACGTTGCGACAAAGTGACTGCAAGTTTAACCCTGCCGTGTTGAGCATATAGTTGCATACTAGAACCATGCACTTGTCAGGTATTTCAGTGAACTTGTAGAGAAGAGCCGCCCTTTCATCGCGACTTAGACTTCCATGGAGAACCTCAGCATCCATATTAGCTTCCCTCAAGACTGCTGCGACATAGATCTGTTCAGCGGGGACTTGTGTCCACACAATAGCCTTCTCATCGTGTAAGATGACCTGGTCCCTGATTAGAGGAAGCATAGCCCTCATCTTAGGCGATCCCCGAAGAAGAGCTTCTAGAATACGAGTACGAGAATCTCTAGTTCCATTCCGCGTGCCTTCATGGACTGTTTCCGACTCCTTGGGCCCGGCTGCAGATTTTGACAGTTTCTCTTTCAAAGTCTGGGAAGTGATAGCATCTGCAAGCTTTGCACCCAAAGTGCCCTCATATAGCTTTTTACAAGCCAGCGGGATGTCAGAAGCATAATAACTGTGATGAGTATAGTGAAAGCCCAGCCAGGACATTAGTAATTCCAGCCGGCGAAACTTCCTCATGTTCCAGATATATCTTTGGGGATCAATTGGAGACTGCATTATCAATCCCCGATACAGAGGTGGCGAAACCTCTTCAAACATTGCTTTCTCATTCTTGTTATATTCAACCCGACAGATCTTTCGCTGCGTTGGCGGGATATCATCCCCAATAATGTTTGGTGAATCAAATGGCATGTGTGAAAATAGGGTACGTCGAATCATTAAATGACTAAATATTAATCGCAGGCGGTTCCCCGTAACGCTGGGTAAAATCCAATCAGCCGAAACGTGTTCTTTAACCGCATGCTCCGTGCAGCAAAGATGGCGTGCAGGATGTCCGAGAGGGATGTCGAATATCCGGCCTCGCCAGACTTTAAAGTAATCCTGGTCAGCTTTACTCCATGAGCCAGGTGGTTGGAATAGCAGAGGTACATATCCCAGGATATCTTTCCGAGAGTTGTAGATCGGAGTGGCGGTAACAAGCAAGTGAAAATCAGCCTCCAACCACTGCACGGCTCTTGACTGCGATGTCTCTGGATTTCGAAGTATGTGGGCCTCGTCGAGAATAACATCGCCAAAGCAACCTGTCAGAGAAAAGGGAAACTTTGCCGGAGGGCATGGGATCTCATCTGGACAGAGCTCTATAGTAGCTTCGGAATACCATGCCCTAACGGCAGTAGGGCCGTGACGGTGTGCAAATGTCTGGTATGATGTAATGATCACAGTTCGTGCGTTGATCGGTGAGCCATTGAAAATGGTGTCGGTTTTCCGTAGTCGGGATGCAATCGTACGCATTCCCTGCACTGGTCGTCCTTGCCCGTAATAGATGTATACTCTCAATTTATCAGTTACTCGATTAATCTCCGAATACCACTGCGAGATCAGCCCTGGGGGAACAATGATCAGGAATGGCCGTCCTGCCGGGATAGGTCGGTTCTGCTGCTTGGAATTAATCACCGATTGATTATAATCTTCCCATATTTTAAGCATAATGGCAATTGTCTCCCAAGTCTTTCCTAACCCGACAGAATCACCCAGAATTGCACCGCGTAAGAAGGGGATCTGGCGGATTTCAAGGATTCGTGCAATGGCGACTGGCTGCCAGAATTTGAGGACAGCAGAGCGATTCATCGACCTCATACGTGGCACCCGGGGGTTCTCAATACGAAGAACTTGGCAGGCGAGCTTGTGATCCTCCCTTTGGTAATCTAGGTTATCAAGGAATCCCTGCTGTTCCCTGAAAAACTTCAATGACTCTTCCGTTGGTATAATGGTGTCGGACGACGCAAACTCCGACGTATCGGCTTCTGCAGCCATACTTGCCTCTAGATCCGCTGTTTCCACGTACTTGAGTGGGTCATAGATATCACGAGCATACTCATGAAGAGACTTCGGGGTTAAGGGTCTCTGAGCGTTCTTCGAAGCGTCGGGTTGAACACATTCGCTATCATCGTCGGTAAGGAGTACTGTCCTCTCCAAAGCCTCCACGACAAGTCTGTACCGCCAATACTTATCCTTGGGGTCATAATCTTTCGATGTGCGTGCCAATATGATACGTTCTTTCGGTTGGAGGAGCTCTATATTCCAATCCTCCGTTTGTCTTCTTATCCCAAAGTCATCCTCATCCGTATCCGTGAGTGTGCTGTCTTCATCGTGCATTCCATCATATTCCTCTCCCTTGAGATCAATATAATCCCTCCCGTCGTCATCGAGCTTTCTTTTGTGAGGATCGATGCGAACTGGTTTGTAAAGTGCGATCCCCCCATGAGATTGATAGGTTGATCTTCTAGCCATGGTGATTAGGTAGCTTTTTATTGACCACACAATGCCTTCCATTTCATTGTCAGTGAAACCTTTTCCGTAGAAGACGCCCTGGTTGGACCGAAGATTCTCATTCTTCACATGGTATAAAAAGCGAGCCATATGATCTCCTTCATCCCAGCCGTCCTTTTCGGGATACATTGAGCTGTAACCAGTATTTCCACGGGCTTCGCCGAGTATAAGCCTCTTCGTGACCATTTTGAGCCCGTACTTGGCAGTCTGTAGATTGCGTATATTGTTCACCAACCAGTCATCCCAGAGTTCCATCCAATGCGGCTTCACGAATTGGCTTCTCAACCATTCCTTCCATTCACTATCGGACTCGAGCTTAAGGATCTTCATAAGATCCCTTTTGCTCATATGTAGCCGAGTACTGCTCGCCATGTTTAACGGGTTGACTCTAATGCGAACTGTAGATGTACAAGAACAATGCAATAATGTCGAGGAGTATACGAGTATTCGAGTAAGGAGGAGGCGTAAGGGATTGACGACAGGAAACTCCGGGAAGAAACCAATCCCCTTTTATATTCCTCTTGTAGGCGACCCTCAATGCTTCACGTGAGAAGGTTATGGATGTGAGAGAAGATCGCTCTAGAGAGGTGAGGGAGACGAACGTGAGTATGTACTTTTGCTTCGTACTGAGGGGATGATATGATTATGTATAGTGACTTTTGATACGTGCTTGGTATACAATCCAACGAAGATTTGTATTGAAGAATTACTTGGGACGAGCCTGATGAAATGAAAGGTGTATCACGACCGAGGGCCGGAGTATGAAGGGCAGATATATGAGACTTGTGGAGGACAAATGACGAAGTGAAGCAAAAAGAATAATAATTCAATGAGACAGAGTCACGACGTAGATAGGTAGTTCTTATGAGAATGATGTGATGATTTCAGCTTCTTGAGCACTATCGTTCCTATGCTACATTTTCTTCTCGCCTGTGATCGCTGATTAAGAGGCACCTGCAAATGTCAGGTCAGAGTGGCAATCAAGAGCAGAGAGGATTAGCTGGCATGGTTTGTATCTCTCACTTTACATTGAGATTTAACTCCAATATGAAGTAAACGTTGTTATGGCAGCGCTAGTAACTTCCACGAGAATTAGTCTCTGTCGACAAGAATAACTTTTGATTGCAACGCATAGCACTTTAGGCTCGGACCGCAAACCCTTCTGCAACTAAAGTGTATGGTGAGTCGAATCCGTAGGAAGCGATGTTTACTACCCAGCTCGCAACTTGGTGTTGGATGTCCCCTTTCCTTTCGGACCCCATTCTACTAGTTTGTACAGCTGTTCGACAACTATTTTAGGCTAGATAGTAGATAGGAGTCTCTGGTGCAAAAGATCGGCCATCAGCCACTGTTACGATTAAGGTTCTTTGACTCCATCGAGTGGGTGCAACTAGGCATGCCTCCACTTAGGCGCTAATCTCATAGTAGCATTGATTACGAGTACGAACTTTTCTAAGTTGGGATCCCTTACCAAAGTTGCCTAAAGCTTACTGACTATTCCCGCTATATATTACACGGTCGAATCTCTTTAAAGATGGCCTTTTCAAGATCGCATATTCTTTATCTCCTGGTTACGGCATCAGACCATGGAACCCCCCTCCCGGAACGATCATGGCGACAGTGGTTCATTGGATGAACAAGCGCCTCCGCCGTATTCACCGTATGTGGATGATGGGCTCGTGGCAGAGTCGGCAGATGTGCAAGGTGAGTTGTCGTTTCCCTGACTGGGAATCACAATAGGTTGAAGTATGGCTGACGGTATCGCAGCCGATGGACGCGTAAATGTTGACCTCGATTCCAAGTTTGCCAGAACACTAGCCAAAGTTATCGAGCTACAGCAAGAGGACCTCCACAACCCCCCTCCAGATTACCTCTGGGGTCAGCCAGCGCAGGAACAGACGGTCGAGTGCGACATCCAACTAAATATCGTGATACAAATCGTGGGCAGTCGGGGAGATGTACAACCGTTCATCGCATTGGGGAATGAGCTACAAAAGTATGGGCACCGGGTTCGGCTAGCCACGCACAATGTATTTGCTGATTTCGTCACTCAATCGGGACTCGAGTTCTATCCGATAGGTGGTGATCCAGCAGAGCTGATGGCTTTTATGGTCAAGAACCCGGGCTTAATACCCCAGATGGAGGCGTTGCGCGCCGGAGAGGTGCAGAAAAAGAGGGCAATGGTGGCCGAAATGCTCCAAGGTTGTTGGAAGTCATGCATCGAAGATGATCCAGTCACAAGGACTCCGTTTGTTGCGGATGCGATAATTGCAAATCCACCTAGCTTTGCCCATATCCATTGTGCTCAGGCGCTGAGTATCCCAGTTCACCTTATGTTTACAATGCCTTGGACTAGTACCAAGGCTTTTCCTCACCCGCTCGCCAACCTGAGCTCCTCGGACATGAATCAGAAGACAGCCAACCGGGTGTCGTATGGTGTTGTGGAATGGCTTACATGGCAGGGGTGCGTATCTCTTCCATTGAATCAAGACCTGCCGCTAAGCTTGTTGTGCAGACTAGGGGATGTGATCAACCGGTGGCGAGCATCCATTGACTTGGAGCCGGTCTCAGCAACGGAAGGACCCATGTTGGCTGAAACATTGAAGGTACCGTTCACTTACTGCTGGTCTCCAGCCTTGGTCCCGAGACCACAGGACTGGCCAACAAATATTGGTGGGTATCTCCAAGCAACATTGGACTCTTGGGCAAGTAAACTGACTCCTGGTGTAGATATCTGTGGGTTCTTCTTCCGGGAGCCTCCTGCTTATAAACCGCCGCCTGAATTGCTGGACTTCCTGGATTCTGGACCGGCCCCCATATACATAGGCTTCGGTAGTATCGTCATTGAGGACCCTCAGAAGGTAACCGAGATTATCCTAGAAGCAGTTTCACGAACTGGTGTCCGTGCAATTATCTCACGGGGTTGGAGCAAACTAGGTGGTACACCAGGCCATAATATCTATTACATTGATGATTGTCCACATGAGTGGCTTTTCCAACACGTGGCCGCCGTCGTCCACCATGGTGGTGCCGGGACAACAGCATGTGGTCTTGCCAATGGTCGGCCAACTACTATTGTACCCTTCTTTGGGGAGTAAGTTATCTGCGGAACTACCTTCCAGTTCCCTAGCACTGACCGGTCGCAGCCAACCATTCTGGGGTAACATGTTGGCGAGAGCTGGAGCTGGGCCTAAGCCCATTCCTTATGCATCGCTAAATGCACAAGTTCTGGCCGACGCTATCTTGTTCTGCTTGCGGCCTGCAGTGGCAAGGTCCGCACAGGATATTGCGCTCAAGATGCAAGATGAATCAGGAGTGACCGCAGCTGTTCGATCCTTCCATCGCCATCTGCCTCTGAGTAAGATGCATTGCTCTCTGATGCCTAATCAACCTGCCATGTGGACATACACGCGGTCCAGAGGGAATTTGAACCTTCCCAAAATAGCCGTCCAGACATTGATAGAAAACGGCAAGATCGATGCCAAGCATCTTCGCTGGTGCGTACCTCTTTCAGTTTTCTACTGGAGACTGATTTTGTTGACCGTGCTAACTTGGAACTTCATCCAGTAATGACATCAACCCAATTTACATTGAAAACCGTCGGTGGGACCCCTTGAGCGGTATCTTATCTGCTTCTACAAGCACAGGATCTGAGATGCTCAAGTCAACTGCAGAAATGCTTTACAACCCTTACAAAGAATACAAACATGGTCGTTCTCAGAAGCCTCCAGAAGCACATACTGAGCAGGATCTGTCACCTCTTTATCCAGCATCATCCTCATCATCGCATTCGAACAAGCTTCCTCCCGATGCAAGGAGACAATCCCCGGATCTGGGCACAACAGTGACTCGGGTTAACAGTGATTCCAGCAGAAGCTCCTTACTCACAGCGGGAAATATGGTTGGGGCTTCTCTTAAGGGATTCGGCAAGTTCACGGGAGCATATTTCAAAGGCGTTGTGGTAGACCTACCCCATGCTGCTGCGGAGGGTTTCCGGCAAGTTCCACGACTCTATGGGGAGGAACCTAAGGACTATGGTACGGTTCGCGATTGGAAAACCGGTGCTACCATGGGCGGCAAGAATTTCGTCGATGGCATGACGGATGGCTTCAAGGGATTTTTCACCGAGCCGGTCAAGGGTGCAAGGCAAGATGGGGCGCTGGGGGCTGTTAAAGGATTTGCAAAAGGCACCATTGGGCTGGCAACCAAAGTTCCTTCGGGTATGTTGATTCCATCCCGCACAACTCAAAGTCGTGTTTCTGGGTGGAACAATCGCTGACTGTCGCTTTTCTACAGCCGGAATAGGTCTTGTGGCTTATCCTTTCCACGGCATTGCGAAGACGATTGAGACCGCCGTCAGATCAAAGACTAGAAAGGCAATTGTCAACGCACGGCTTAGGGAGGGGTATGAAGTGACCAGGCAATGGGACCTTTCAGAAGACGAGCAGCAGGATCTTATCCGAAGGTTCCAACTTCTCATGCCTCGCTTAGATTCGTGATCGTGATATATCCGTCGGCAAATCGATGTCACGGGAGCATTCCAGTGTTATCCACTGTACCTTCGGTTAACACTAAACCTGCATGCATGGCGTCCGCATTCCTTGTTGTCCCCAGGGGATTTGATGAGTGCAGGTTCCCCTCAGTCGGGCTATTTGGGTGGCATCTCCTCCGTGCTGCATTTGCGAGTGACCGCCTGTCAGGCCCGTATACAATGCAGATTATTGGGCCCCACCCAGATGCATGGCTTCAACTAATGGATCCTATTGGCATATAGTCCGACTAGCTTCATGATGCGATTGCATAGCGAGTCTGCCTGTCATGGAGGAATGCTGCATACCACGTGTCCTCCCCTGTTTCTTTATTTTTCCTCTTGTTGTTTTTTGTTTTCTTCACGATCCTCTTAAATCCCATCTTGCTTGATCATTGATATCAAATTGAACTCTTGGCGCATACTCGATTCCATGAGATAGGGCACGTGGCCGAGGTTCAGTGAGTGCGTCGGGCACTAACGGATAGCGGCTAATGCGTTGCGTGGTCTGTCTTAGTTCAGTCGGTCTGGATGGACGGACAAGACTGCTGTTCTTCCTTGTGGACATTTGTTTCCACCGGCGATGCCCGGTATTCTTCTGAAGAATTTCCCCGAGGGGAAGTCAGCGCCGGGCTGTCACCAGATCCCTTATCATTAGCGCTCAGCCAATTCCGTGACAACCCGGCTTCGCTCCGTTGCCCCTGCAGGATCACATTGATTTTAATTTCTGCCGCAGCCTGCCAAACGGCCCGCCCACCAATCGCCATCACGAGTGCCTCGGCATGCCCCCTCTATCAGAGCACCCGTGCTGCCATATCTCCACCAGTCATATAAGCACCACTCAATCACCGCGGAGCCCGGAGGAACGTGCAGGATTGCAGGATGATTTTCGTCGGACTTTCCTGTAGGCACATATTAATGATCTATAAGTCTGGTGGAGCAGGTGATCGAGGGATGACTGAAGAAAAAGGATCGTTCCGCAGGACATGACGATTGTGTCTACATAAGGCACTGAACATGCCATTTGCTTCTTCAAGACAATTCTAACTCCCTGCACTACACTGGCTTGGTGCACGATGAGAGTCTCTCGGCTGCTTTGTTTTGCTGGCCTTCTTGGTTCTGCTTTCGCGTCTAGCGAGACTGGGATCGCTAAAAGGGAGACCGTCAGTGAAATCCTGACTGATATCGAGGATGCTGCTACCTGCGCAGCATGTGAGGTCCGTTATGAATATGATATTATGGGAAATGTGCTAACACTATCTCCTTCTTTGTAGGCCCTACTTGTTGTACTCCAGGCACTTGCCCACTTGGGCAATGATGACTTTGTTGATGTGATCACTGAAGTCTGTATTTTGGCTGGGGTAAGGGTTCTCGAACAAATCGTATCACTGAGCACTACTGATACTTGCAGGTGGATGACGATGATGTCTGCAAAGGCGCAATTGGCCTCGAAGGCCCTATTTTGGCCCATGACCTGCGCAACATGGACGTGCCATCTAAGACCGCAGTCCTCTTCTGCACCACCATTTTTGGACTATGCGACTATCCTGCAGTGGCCGAGTACACCGTCGACTTCCCCTCTGCCAAACCGGCCAATGCCTCTCGCCCGGCACCGAGCGGAGAGACGCCTCTGCAGATTGTTCATATCAGTGATATCCACGTTGATCTTTCATATGAGACTGGCGCAAGGTAGGCAACCCCTTTGACTGCTGATACAGCGTAAGTGCTGATGATCCATACTAGCTACAACTGCACCAAGCCTATTTGTTGTCGTCCCTATGATAGCTCTGACGACCCAGGCGTGACCGACTATCCTGCAGGCGAGTATGGCAACCACAACTGCGACGCTCCTCTTACGCTGGAAGAGAGCATGTACGCAGCTATCCAGGAGCTCGTTCCCAACTCCTCCTTTGTTATCTTCACGGGCGATGTCGTTGAAGGTGCTGTCTGGCTGGTGAATGAGACCGAAGTGACCCACGATCTGAACGACGCCTATAACACTCGGATGTCCGATTACTTCGACCTCGTCTACGGTGTCACTGGCAACCACGATACTGCTCCAGTGAACTCATTCCCACCGTCTGATATTGACACGACCATCTCTAGCCAGTGGGCTTATGATACTCTTTCTTCCGATTGGAGTCAATGGATCGGATCCACTGCAGCCAGTACCGCCGACGATTACGGCGCCTACTCTGTCAAGTACTCTGGTGGTAACCTGCGGATCATCTCGTTCAACTCCAACTTCTACTACAAAGAGAACTTCTGGCTATATGAGAAGACTATGCAGACCGATCCCAGTGGACAATTGGCCTGGCTCGTAGATGAGCTTGCTGCGGCCGAAACGGCAGGAGAGCGAGTCTGGCTAATGGGTCACATGCCCATGGGATCCGGTGATGCCTTCCACGATGGATCCAACTACTTCAACCAGATCATCCAGCGATATGATGCCACTATTGCTGCGGTCTTCTATGGACACACCCACAAGGATGAGTTCGAACTTGCTTACTCGAACTACACCGACCAGTCGGCCGATACAGCCACCATGATGTCCTACATCATGCCGGCCATGACTCCCACTTCTGGCAACCCTACTTTCCGGGTTTACTCGGTCGACCCTGTCACATTTGGCGTCCTTGACTTCACGGAGTACATTACCAACATGTCGAGCTCCACATACCAGGAGAAGCCCACATGGGAGAAATATTACTCGGCCAAGGAAGCCTATGGCTCGCTACTTGACCCACCTGTTACTGACAGTGCGGCTGAGCTGACCCCGGCATTCTGGCACAATGTCACCGTGCTCTTTGAGAATGACGACAGTGTATTCCAAGACTACTATGCCCGCAAGCGACGTGGCTGGGACGTGTCTGAGTGCACTGGTGACTGCAAGACGGATGAGATCTGCCAGCTGCGTGCGGCCGAGTCGCAGTATAACTGCGTTGAGATTACACCTGGAATCAATTTCAAGAAGCGCGACACAAGCTCGAGCACGGCCAAGGAGTCTACTTGTGGTGAGTCAGTGGTTGGCCAAATGTTCTCCAACTTTGATGGAGCCGTGGCAGCTTTGAAGGAGGCAGCGACAGCCAAGTTGGGATCGAGTTTCCTGAACACCACAGTCAACTCTACTGCTTCCTAAGACCTCCTTTATTTTGTAGTTAGATAGGAGCCAGTGTATTAGCCACACGAATACATACCAGGTTGTACGAAATTCTCATACTGTTAAGAACAAATAACAGTTCCTGCCGTGCACGAAATGCAACACTAAGGCCCCGTCTGCTTCCAAGATTCGGTATCTTGCTTGGGTTGCAATTCCACCTCAAGGATTACAATTATACCCGCCTCTTCGCGCAGTATTCTTGGCTTTTTTCTCGATTTTCCCTTCTCTTCTGCTCGAAGACTCACGCCTCTATCCCAAACACATTGGGTTTGAGCCCATGCAAGGGCCACTGTATGAAAGAAAGTCTATGGCCGAATAACATTGATATTGTCACTGCGATATGTCGGGATTCTATTTGAGTCTGTCTGTTCCATTAGCGCCGCGTCCAAATGATAATCAGCGGGGTCGTTTTCCGGGTCTCACCAACGTTAGAATCAATAATCACTTGGGCTGATATATGTGCGCTTCCTTGTAGTCTAGATAGATGAGTTTCGAGTAAGTTGACAAGGGGGTTTCCTGTGGCTGTGGCAGCGCCGCCGTTCTGCGTGCTATTCTGCCTCGGCATCCCTTTCCTCCACTCGCACCATGGCACAGTATCATCGAAAGAATAAAACTGACGCTCAAATACAGACACAAGACACGTTCGCAAAATGAACTCTCAGGCCTCGTCCCAAAGCACCTCTACGCAACGGGTGTCCACAGCGCAGCGACAACTTGAACCCAGCCGCTACCAAGTCCCACCCCCCAGTCACTGTCATCACAGACCACGCTTGAAACGAACAGCAAGGCTGAAACCGCACCTCGGATAACGATCGAGAGACTAATGCACACCAACATAGCCAAGATCAAATGAGAGTAACTAAAGCGGAAGTCCGGCGCTTCAACACCATCAATCACAACTCGTTCCGTTGACGCCCCCTCCAACCCGGCGCCTACGTCTAATAATAGCAATGAGTTCAATTCTCTTTATTTTGAACCTGCATTCCTACAAACATGGACTGACTCGTCTCGTTCTTCTTCAGTCGATATTTGATTCTCGACTGCAGTCGGTGCGACAATTTGTTTGTTGCGCACATCGACGCCATGTTTGCCTCGCAGCCACTACAATATACCCTCTACCCATCAACAACACCAACAATATCAACCCTTCTCTATTTCGCCCTCCTCCTCTCCACAACCCCCTCAACAACAGCCACAGACACAGACACACAAACAGCAAACGCAACATGTTACTGGCCCAACGGCCAAACAGATACCAATTACGTCCCCTGTCCAAACAGCAAAACGTGCTGTCTACGCGGCGAAGCCTGCCTCTCCAACGGTCTCTGCTACGGTCCGAAACTCAACATCGCCTATCGAGGCGCTTGCACCGATGACTCGTGGCCTATTAGTGAATGTCCGCGCGTGTGTTATACGGGTGTGTAACCCCCCCCCCCATGTTCCCTATTCCCTACCGTATCCCTCTCAACGTCATGATCCCGGGGGTGTTAAGTTGATCCGAAACCAGAAATCCCAGACCAATGGGCAAATCTCTTCTCCTGTCCTAATTCCACAACTAACGTCTTCACCTGTGGAACCGCCGGCTGGGCGACCGACGTATGCGACCAGAATGTAGGAACCTGGCAATGGGATAGTGGGAATGTGACGATTGGGCAAAACGGACTTACTTCGTTGTCCACCACCACCACCACCACCACGACAACAAATTCTTCCTCCACCACTACGAATACAACCACCGGTGTATCTGTTTCCAGCGGCTCGAATAACCTGACGACTTCCTCCGGGATACCCACAGAAACAACGAGTTCTTCTTCTTCGTCAAAAATCTCAGCACTCGCGCTAGGAGCTGGATTAGGCGCCGGACTGGGGGTCCCGCTGCTTATTCTGTCGGCGTTTATGGTCTACTTTTGTGTGAGGGTGAGGAGACGGCTGCGGGCGGCTGGGTTGGAGGGTCATGAGAATCCAAGACGGGTGCCGTATCGACAGCAGGGTGTCGTGGAGATAGCTACTCAGTCGCATAATATGGCGACGGAGTTGGATGGGTTTAGGCCTTGTCGGGCCGAGTTGTATGGGTGATGCTGGCATGCACTGTTGTTTATTTCGATCCGAGTTATATTATATTTTTATGGGCCTGGTGGGGTTCTAAATTTGATTATGCATTATAGCGAGGTAGGCGCCTCGCCATTCGAGGCATAGATGTGAGGCTAGAATGCTGTCAGCTTCGATTTTGCTGTGCATGATCCGGCGCAAAGACACATGTTTGAGGCAGTAGAATAATCTAAAAGGAATGCTGCAATCAAGCCAGCTTCTTGAGAGATATCATCTTTCCATATAACACCTTATTCTTGTTCCTTACTTGCTATATTCGTATTTTTGCTGCATGAGTCCTTCCGGGCGCGATTGGGCCTATCCATTGTCTTCGGCATTCTTTTAGCACTGTGGGGCAGATTTATTATGGTTCTGGGCGTTTCTGTGCTCTAGTTGGATAATACTGTGGGTCATAAATCATGAGATACATAATCTAGCTACTGCTGCGAGCCCACTGAGCTAATCCTGCATCCCAAGTTTGATAGTTATCAACAGAACCGATAGCCTCCGAATGAATTCTCCTGAGTAACCTGTCCTTTAGGCTTCTGATCTATTGGGTTTAGTTTGACATCCTTCAAACCAAGATCACTCTTGCCATTCTCATGTATGTCTCTCAACACAAGACCGACCATGACAAGTTTGAACGGCCCTCTAGGACTATCGGACCAGACGACAAGATTCTTCGGGTTTGCGTCAAGGTTGTGTAAGCCTCGACTTCTCAAGGTACTCAGGACATGGGTAGCGTCATCGCAGATATTCTTCCACGCTTGTCGCGGCATGTAATATGCAAGTCTCTCCAACGGAAACCCTGTGATATACTGGAGAAGGAGTCCAGGAGATGACCAGCTCATAGTATGTCCCGGTACATCCGACAGTCCCATGACAAATGAACACTGCCAAAACACCGAGGGACGTATGCACCTTGGAGAGCTCTGACCCTGTGATATGTCTCCATCTCAGTTATGTAGTACCTTCGCATGACCGCTGCGATATGTGCTTCGCGCCGACCAACGCGCCAGTGCTTTTGCCCTTCTTCACTCGGTACTTTGGTGCTCAGGTTCGCCAAGAAGCTACCTGATTCTCTGCCCCGGATGAACTCCCGGAATTTCACCTCAATATCACGAGACCAATATGCACACCCATGCTTTAGCCTTTGGGAAGTTGCAAAGCGTCGATCAAACATCTTGACAACTAGCATGCCTTCCAGCCCTAAGGGCGGTCGCTCAATACTGATGGCTACCACACACGCAGTATCGAATGGTTCGAAGACGTGAATAATCCTGCATACCACTGTCCGGCTTTTGCCTACATTCCGGTGTAGACGTAGGAAGATGCGGTTTCCTGCAAAGTAAGGAGATCTGTAGCAGTGAGCTTACTGTTTAATATTCGGTAGCCAAGGCTTACAGTTCTCCAGTGAGTTCTCCTCCCAGTTGTGGTTGGAATTGGTATAGCGGGTTGAGGCAGTTGGGCGATAACGGCGGGTTGACAAAAAGGAGCGGGTTCACAGTCTCCATTTTAGGTATTGATAAAAATGAATTGGGTAGAGATAATGAGGAGCGAGCTGACAACTAGGAAAAATAGAAGGTCAGGTCGTTTGGGATGGAGAGGCCGGTGTCGAGGGCGCGGTGTTCCCTGTTAGGGAAGTCGCAACCGTCCTCGTTCTCTTGTCCGCTGTAGCCGTGCAAGGATATGATGGAACTTGATAGCCTTGAACTATCGGATCAGAATTGGGCTGGGCAGATGGTTCCTGATAAATCCAGACCTAAAGGACGCAGGCTTCGGCATCCTTATATCCAGCTTGAGCGAGTCACATCACCCAATATCGCCGGGTTATTCCTGCGAGATGTAGGAACCTTTCAAATGAGCCATCATCCATTCACCGGCAAAAAGCTTGGTCACCCACACACCCTTGTTTCATTTCAGCAGTCGACTTCCGCGAACTAGAATATGATCGGGATGGAGCTGAGCGTGGTCTGGATTTAGTTCCCCAACCTAAATATTCTCTAATAACCCTATTGAGGATAAAAGAACAAAGCAGACAAACGTTCATTGATTTGATGAAGGCTACAGGGGCATGGAGTAGTGAAGAGCAACAGAGAATTGCTTTCTGCCCCAGTGTACAAGGTTATTGGAAAGATTTCTGCATCGGGACGCCATATGGGGGATCGCAGGTCAACAGATATCTAGAGTATCATTCTCATGCATTCGAGAACTTGAATTCAGGTTGTGAGAAATAAAGTAGCAACTCTTGCCAATTCATCCAGCGATACCGTGTCCGAAAGGCCAAACAGGGTCGATCTCCGCTTACTGTGGCCACCATGAGGTTGAGTTACTTGGTCAACCGTGTACCCCTCTGAGCTGGGACCGTAGACGCGTGCTGTAAACTCATTTCCGATATTTCCATCCATAATGGCAGGCCATGGTTCAGTGCCATGGCAGAACTTGAAAAAGTCAACTGCAAATGCAGTCCCGATTTTCTCTTGGTCCGGAATCATAAACTCCTGAAAATTCTGGAAAAGATAAGCAACATCCAAGACATGACTGGCCTTGCCCCTCCATGGTCCCTCCCAGGGGTTCTCTTCGTTGAAATAGTAAACATATGCGTTCCCTTTCCAGCCCCGTGCGTATGCCAGCGTTGGAGCAGATATAAAAATGTCATTAAGATAAGCGAGAACTGCGCTGAAGGCTTCATCGTCTGGAGTCTCGGCAGTCAACCCATATACAGTTAAGATCCGTGTCATAATGTCTGGTTGTAGTGGGAAGACAGAGTTGATAGCTTTGACAAATCGCGTTGCACATGCCTCTTTTAGATGTGGCATTATTACTGCAAGGATGCTGGTCTAGGTAGAGAAGCATCAGCACAGTAACAACTCTGTCTTCTATGCAATAACTCACATCGTGTTGGGCATCACCAATCAATAACTTTTCACACCAGCTCTTGCCCTTCGGGATATCGCTAGTCGGATCAGCTACCTGCGCATAAGTAGCAGACAACACCATGTCTCCGTCAACTGCCGGTGCGGTCAAGGCGGACGGTGGTAGCTTAGCCAGTAGGTCTTGGCCAGGTGTATTCAAGAGCACTTTAATTCTTTCCTCTGGTGTGGCATCTTCCAGGCCAAGTGCCGACATAGCCTGTCGGTAGTTGTCTTCGTGCGCATCATACGGCAGTGCTTGAACAAAAAATTGAGAGCCACTCATGAGAATGGCGCGTTTGAAGAGCGGTCTTTCGGAATCGAGGTGAAATGTGAGGGATACTAGAAAACTTAACATTTCTCTGGTTGCGGAGAATGACCGCTTATATCTTGGCCTTACCTGCTCCTGCACTCATTCCAGCAACAGTGATATTGTTTGGATCTCCTCCAAAATCACCAATGTGTCTATGTACCCATTCCAGAGCCACTTTCTGGTCCCGGAGGCCATTGTTGGCTTTGTACCCGGCTCTCCGCAGTTCAGTAGAGGTCAAGAAACCAAATAACCCAAGGCGGTAGCTTTAACCTGCATTAGCTGATCTAAATTCCATGCACAACAAGGGGCTCCTCTCTCACTTTATAGCGACTGCAACAATAGGCAGACTATTATCGATCGACAGCTTAGTGAAACGCTTCAAGTCGGACTGTGGCCAAGAATTTGCCCCGATCATGAGACCACCTCCATGAATGAAGACGAAAACAGGGAGTTTGGAGTAGGCAGGTGTGTCTGCGGGGACGGCGATATTTAAATTCAGACAGTCCACATCTGATTGGGTGAGCTCCTTCCTGGGTAGGGTATGCTGAATCGCGCTGAGTTCTAGATCACATCCACCAAGGGGTGAAATAGCAGTTGGACTGACATCCTGCAGTCAGTGTGTGGTATAATTATGCAAAATTCTGCGTCGAGATCTCTCACCCGTCCTGAGTTGCGTCGAGAACGCCTCCGTCGCGCCGTTCCACCAGCTCCGCATCTGCAAGTCTGTTCTTCAAGGTGGCGTATTTGATCCCCAAGAACTTGGACACACCATTTTCAATTTTACCGTGGACCTCGCCCAGATGTGTGGTAGGTTGGATTATGTTCGCCATGACTGCGATGTGTGGGTGGTGACGAGGTTTCAGCGACGGACAGGGGTGGTATATTCCCCATGCCTGTCCGGAGTTATGGATATATGCCCCGCTCGGAAATCCCCCAACGTGGGTTTGCGGAGGGAATGTTGGGACGCTCAAGCGCAGATCGCCTGGGTAGTGGCGTCTCTGTTCCTGATCGTTTGTGCTTGTCGATCTCTCGTGTAGGTTAGGCACATTGAATATATGGAATTACAAACAGTCCTATGAACAATCTACCTACCTTAGAGGAACATTATCAAGGAATGTCTTCGTCTTCTTACTTCTTCCTTTCTTCCTCTGTAGGATATCTAAATTCGATATCTCCTTCTAATAGAAAGCTCCCTGCTTGTGAAATTACATCCAATTGTACTTCGCTCAGCTATATGGTCCCAAACTCCGCAATGCAATGTGACGCTTAACTCGCTCGGCGATTAACCAGACTGGAAGTTCATGCTATATCCACCCGTCTTTGGATCTTGCACAAAGTTGAAGTTATCCGTCGACAGGCCAAATGGCTTAAGGATCCCATTTCCGAGCTGTTTCCCGTTAGTATATTGACAGGGATGCTTGTGAGTAACGCAAACTTACATCCTTCAGCTTCCCCATCATCTCCCCCATCTCCTTCTCCCGCGCCTGAGTTATCTTCGCAGGCAATTCTCGGAGTGCCTTCTGGACTACTCGTCTATCATCCGCTGGAAGATTATCCATCCCAGCCAGTTCCTTGTAGTCCTCTTCGGCCCCCTGCAAGTTCCCCCAACCGCCTAGTTGCATTTTCGCCCGCGCGCGTCGCATAAGCGCCTTTGCTCGGATACGCATGACATCACGTTTCCTATCGTCCAGCTTCTGTAGCCGTTTCAGCTCCTCCTCGGCTTCTTCATCGTCCCCTGTTATCTCGACCACGGCGTCTCCGTCGCTCGACTCTTGCTGCTTTCCCTTGGCGCTCTTCGCATCTGTCTCTGTCGAGGAAGGGATCACTTTATCCAGGCGGTCGATGCAGGCGGTCGCGGAGTCCACCGACGCTTTCCAGTCTTCGAGTTTCAAGTAACAGGCAGCCATGTTGCTTCGCAAAACGGCGACCTCGTAGTCGAGGTAGTTGGGGCATGAGGCGAGGGCGCGGTCGTAGCAGGAGATGGCTTGGTCATAGCAAGCAGCTGTGAAGAGTTTGTTGGCTTCGGCTTTGATGGACTGCGACTCTTCCAGGAGTCGCTAATATCTGTGTTAGTAGATAATTCCTGGGTGAGGAGCTTAGGAGAGCTGCGCTCACCGTTTCTTCTTCAGCGGGGAAGCGGGCATCGTGGAAGACGTCTTCCTCTTCTTCAGCGTCGCTGTCGGCTGAATTGCCAACTTTTTGCTTCGCGTCGTTCGTCATTTTGTGCTAACCAACGATCGTTAAAGTATGTGCTTGCTTTCTTGCTTGGTTCGGGGATCCCAGGATTCCAGAAGCTACTGCTCCGCGGCGAACGCGGAGTCGGCAAGTCGGAGTCACTGCCCCGGTCGACTCCTCCATGCCTCAGGCCGAAACTTCCCCTCTGCCGATCACCGATATCATCGCCAACGTGCGGAGGGAGATGAACCCCGTCAACCAGCCGCAGAACTCAGTAACCTCCTACCTATTCACCCCCGGAGACTACCTGCACCATGTCCCCCTCAGCCCCCAGGTATGGTTTTGATCTCGCAGTAAATAACCCACAATTGACTAATCCATCTCCCAGTTTACCCCGCGTGCGGGCCTGTCTCTTTGACATGGATGGCCTGCTGATCGATTCGGAGGATAAATACACCGATATCACAAATGCTATTCTTCATGAATTCGGAAAGCCTTCACTTCCCTGGTCCATCAAGGCTCAATTGCAGGGTCGTCCCCAGCCAGATGTATGCCTGACTCTCGTCCAACTCCCCAGTTGCCTGTTGCAGTTGTTCCCCGGTGTCTGCATCAGTCAGATGGCATGAATGCCTACCTTCTGTTGCATTTCCTAACTCCATATTTGAATCCGTGACGTAACTGACCAAACCAGGCCAGCAGAATCTTCCACCACTGGGCTCAGCTCCCCATCTCCCCAGAGGAATACGGTGTGAAGCAAGCCGCCCTGCAAGAGAAATACTTTCCTCAATCCCAGCCTCTCCCTGGTGTCAGAGATCTGCTCGCTAAACTTCTCTCCACCCAAACCACCGATCAGCCCGTGCACCTTGCTCTGGCTACATCTTCCCACAGCAAGAACTTTGTGCTCAAGTCTGGTCACCTCGGAGATTTGTTCTCTGCATTCCCCAAGTCCCAACAGGTGCTGGGTGACGATCCTCGGATCGGTAAGGGAAGGGGCAAGCCGCTTCCTGACATCTATCTCCTTGCGCTGGAGAGTATCAACTCGAATCTCCGGGCAAAGGGAGAGACTGAGATCAAGCCGGAAGAGTGTCTCGTCTTTGAGGACGCGGTGCCTGGTGTTGAGGCGGGTCGGAGGGCCGGTATGAGGGTCGTTTGGGTCCCGCATCCGGGTCTGTTGGAGTCGTATAAGGGACGCGAGGGTGAGGTGCTGGCTGGGCTCACTGGGGAACATAAAGAAGAGGAGAAGACTGAGCCTGAGAGGGAGGCGGATGAGATTGTTTCGGGGCGGTTGAAGAGCGCGGGTAAGACTGGGAAGATTGACGATGGGTGGGGAGAGCTATTGCCTTCCTTGGAGAACTTCCCATACGAACGCTATGGAATAAGTCCTGTGTAAATTTGGTCTATTTAGTTATCGACAAAGAAATTCTGGCAATCTGATGTTGTACATGCATGTCAGGTAGAGAATACACCGCGATACATGTGTGAAGAGACCGAGCGCTGAAACCGAAGGACAATCTATGATGAGCGCAAAAATAAAGCTGGAAAATAAAAACCGAGACGACACAAAAACGCCGACCAAAGAGAAAAAGAAAACACTGGCAGTCTAAGATAAGCAATCGAGGCATGGAAATGTTGTCCTAAAGTGATGATCCTGATCCGCACCCTCAACCAACGACAAGAGTGAAGATGAGGTCTGTACAGGATGAGCTTGCAGAGCTAGTTGCTGAAGTGTGCGGCAAATTGATTCCTGGGATGGAAAATCCAAGTCGATGTGGTTTCCAATCGTGAGCAAAGTGAGGTGAAAATAATCCCAATGGTAATGCAAGCGCAAATAGATCGTGATAATATCTCGGTTGGGTATCACAAAACACCGTACATATGCAAAAGCCCTCGTAAAGTCGTTATTCGTCAATCATAGATCAGCTCATAAATGGATCATTGTAGATGAGGTTCGTCGTATGAGGCCTGTCTGTCGTCTTGGCCAAAGTGTTGGAAGTTGTGTCGTAACGTGCCATTGGTGCAGTCGCTTTCTTACTATCTAGAACCTGTCCTCGTCATCGCAAGTGTTCGAAGAGTGATGTCTTAACGGGCAACCAGTGCCGTTGCGTTCCTTGTCTTCATTGATGCAGTCCTATCCTTTCATCTCGCCGGGCTAGGTTGTTTATGGAGTAATATTAATGCTGCCGTTTAGCTGAGGAACCTTGGCCTTCGAAGTCAGTATCGGACAATGTCCTTTTGCGAGCTCCTTTTGCAGCGACTGCTGCTTGCTGCAGCTGTCTGATTTGGGCATTGGGATTCATCATGCTTGCGTGCACCAAGTTGGTGTTCGTGTTTGCGTTCATGCCGGGAGTCCTGCCCGGGTTCATGCTGGGGTTGGCATTGGGGTTGGTATTGGGGTTTGTGATATTGCGTTGCATGAGAGTCCCAAGCACCTGCTCCGGATTGTACAGAGTGTCCAGCGGTTTAACGTGAGCTGATGGGGGCCCAGAAAGCGGTGTCATGGGAACGAAGCCAACGCTTTGTCTTGGGTGCGATGTTGGGCCCATCATGCGATTCGTGTGCGCGCGTGTAGTGGCCATTCTTCCAAGCGAGGGCGATACCCGGGCTTGACTGAGTTGGGCGAGCGTACCTGCACCCATCGCCACAGGGAACATATGATTGCCTCGTTGGGGAGTGACATTCGCGGATGGGTGTCGCATGGCTCCTGTGGGTGTTGCGGGGATATTTCTTCCGTTGGTCGTGACGCTTCCAGGAGTGTTCGTGGGCGTCATAGCAACACCGGCATTAGGTTCCTCGATCTTGACTCCCTGGCTGTTCGTGGTAGGTGCGTTGGTCTTCTTGGCCCCGAGGACCTGCTTCCCAGCATTCATAACTTCCCCTTTGCGTTTATTCAAGGTCTTGTTTGCGATGACGCGCTTATAAGCGGAAACGGGATCGTCGACAAACTGATGCATGTAGAGGGGGTCCAAGAGGTGTTTGCATATCGTCTTTTGCGTTGATAGGCACTGCAGGATTCTGGTTATGCGCTCGTAGAAGGACATTGACTCGCCAGTGCCCTTGCGCTTAATCCCGTAAGATGCCAACAACGAGCCCGAGGTATGCCTGACAATGACACTTTCCTGAAAACAAAGTTAGCCCCATAGAACGACGGCACTCATTCATTTGGATTCCTACTAAAAGCTCCCAACAGACAGCCTCAACCCTCTCGGAGCCAAATTTGCCTTCTTTGAATGGCTTTACCATTCCGGGGTTATCCTCGGCGTTTTCGGTGCTCAGCATCGCGTTGGTGAGGGCCTTAACAATCGCCTTCTTCTGGAGGTCTGTCGTCGGAAGAATGTCATTTCCCTGAAGACCAGACGAGGCCCGATTTGCTTCTCTAGCTTCTGTCACGGAAGAGTACTTGGTTTCGATATCGATGTTGTACGCTGTAGGGTCCATGAGCTTCACGATGTCAGGAACAAAGCTAGGCCGGGAGATTGATGCCGGTGAATTCATAGCAGTCGCATGCAGAGTAGTATGGTCGGCCAGAGCCGGGACTGGCGAATTCGAGACCGATGAGCTTGAATTTCCTTCAACGGTGCCTTGATTCATACCATGCACCGCAGTGGAAGCAGTCTTAACACGAGGGGATATAGCATTCATAGCAGATGAACTGCTACTGCTAGAGCCACCCACCTGACCAAGACCGTCAACTGTCCCAAGTTGGCCTGGGAGGTAGATAGGCGGGCTCGAGTTTGTTTCCGGTCCAGATCCAGACGCCGATGAGTTGTTTGCGGGCGATTGGCCACTACAAGAAGTGTAAGTAGTGGTTCCTAGGAAATCATTAAGAGAAACGTACTCTAATTTGGTCGCGCTGGCTAAGTTGCCCTCCATCTGCTGATGTGAAGGATGAGTCTGGCACACACTTGCAGGGAGAGAGATAAAATGGCCAGTAGCATCCGTAACACCCTCCGCCAAGGGTGAGGCGACTTTGTATTTGTGCAGGCTTTGCGAGTTGCCCGAAGATGTGGTATCGGATCGGTTCGCATTAGGTCTATCGATCTGATTAATGGGTGTTACAAACCCTTGGGCGAGGCCACCAGCAGCTCGTTGAGACGGAGGTGTAGATATCTGACCCATGGGCGTAGAAATGAATCGACCGGCGGCTATGTTAGCAAATGGGGCGGCCAGCTGTTCAATAGATGTAGACACATATGGGCCCATTGAACCATTATCCACAGTGGAAGTGCCATAAGGAAAGTAGTGATTGCTTCCATATTGCTGCGGAAATGCACTTCCAGCTTGCTTCATGGCATTGTGTTGAGAAGCAGAGACAGGCCCCATCATGTTCGGAGTGGTACAACTGTAATAATTTCCAGGTAATTTGTTGGCCTGGGTAGCATGCAACGACGCCATGTTGGGCTGTGCTGAAGCCATAATGCCACCCTGTGTTATGCCAGTAACATCGTATTGTCCTGAGCTCATAGCCTCAAGCTCATCCAGAACCCCGGCAGTATCAAAGTCTCCTATGGTCTCTATAGAACATCCTGGTTGGTCATGATTTTCTTGGATAGGCACCGGAACACTTTCGCATGCGATCAACATACCGAAATTATCCATATTCGCCTCGTCCATCGAGATAGGATGATCGGGAAAGATGTTCGAGGTATCGGGAATGATTCCAAAATGCCTTTGCTCGCCAGCTTCCTGCGCCATGGTATTCGCTAAACTCAACTCTTGATAGTCAAGATCCTGGGTCGTTACTGCTCCTCCACTGCCAGGTTCCGCAAGCCAGTCACGACTATTAGACGTTAGGGATCATGGTTTGAAGACATCCCGCAAACAGGCTCTTACAGGACTGCGTCTGTTTCCAGTTTATCAAGGAAATCGTCAATGAACTCTCCTCCAGGCGTCGCAAACTCTGTAGACGTTACTGGACCAGCTGGCGGAAACCCCCAGGTCCAAGAGGTCATGACCGACTCTGGCTTTTTGGGAGCCACGTGGAGCCGAGACCTATGCCTGGACACTCGATGGGACAAGAAAGCAATTTAGATACGTTAAGAGAAAAGCTATAAGAAAACAGATGATAGACGTAGATGAAGAGCAGAACTAAGTTGGACAGTGAAAAGTAGAAGAGGATCAACACTTGATCGGATGCTGAGGAATGATGATTGATATTCAACGGAGGAGAGGGGAAGAGATGAAGAAAGCTGCACTATTTAAAGTGTTGGAAGAACAGGCAACAGCACTTCTGTGAATTCACGCTCTGTGAATTCACGCTGCGTGAACTGCGTGAATTCGCAGAGCGTGAACTGGCAGAGCGTGAACTACAAGCGGAATTAGCATTCACAAACACATAGATTCTTTCATCTGGTGTGCAGTGGGCCCAGGGTCCAGAAGGGGCTGGGCCATGGATAACTCCATGAAAAGCCCAGAGACTAGCACACTAGAACAGGGCCAGGCTCTCTTGTTCTGAAATATCGTAGGCAGATCCCGATAGATATTCATTCACAATTCACAGATCCCATTATATCCAGCAATGCCAATAAATACAAGATATCTGTGAATGAAATGTCAATGAACTGGGGAGCATGAAGGCCAAAGATCAAGTGTTCATCCATGGTATTGTTAAGCGATGCTGACATCCCATATACTCGAATAGCTTTTTCCGGAACAAACACAGGTCGTGGTTGACAGGGTGGCCCTTTCTTAAGGATCCAGAGTGGAGCATCTGGTCAGCCTCCAGCAACACGGGGGTTTGCAACCTGACGAAACTGTGGTAACACCCACTATAGAAGCTAGCCCCATATTGCCCTCGTCAATTCGGGACTGCGGTTTTGGTTCATGAAGAGCAGCGGGTCTAGTTGATCAGAGCCTCAAAATTTCTAGAATGTTGTTCCACCACGCGATCCCAAAGATGTGGGCCTTCCGCACAAGGCTTTCAAATATAACATAGGCCAACCCGCGACAATGACCCGGTCCCTTCAATCGATAACGTTATTCGTGCTTAAGAATGGCATATACCACACCTTCAAGCTATTGTCAACAACCGGGGCAGATAGCGAGCTTGTACTGGCGACATCATTGTCATAATGACGTTGACCCGATGTGGTTGCTGCTATATTTCCCAATGGGTGCAACACAGTACTGCTCACAGATTCTAAGTGATGTTAGAGATATGCACTTTCATATGATCACGTACATACCGCCATGGACTCTCCACTCCCACTTGGGTTCTTGTGCCCCACTAGAGTGCGTAGGGTCCTGCCACACTCTCATGCATCCATCAGTTCCTCCAGCCCAGATTTCATGAGACCCGCCGTCGCCACTGGCGACCACATCAATCTTCATCCGTTGGTTTGTCAAAGCCTTGCGACCTTTAAGCCATCCAAGCAATTGTCCTGTAACTCTAATGTCATATATCAAGACACCATCGCTCTTGCGTTCAGCGACATATAAGTACCTTCCACAGGGGCTCCACAACAGCTGGGTAATCCCACGGCCGCCAATGTGACGGTTTGCTTCTGTTTTGGCAATGCTGAATGTCCCTAGAGACTCCCCTGTTCCATGCGAACCATATAGTCCAACATGCCTGGTAAAGGTGCCGGCAGCTAATATACCGGCCCCAGTCGGATCCATGGCCATGGCAGAGACGATTCCTTTCATACCCACGCCTCCACCCACGACTTGTTTACGCTTACTTGGTATCGTGGGCATTGAAGCCACAGGGCCATCGTTTCCGGGTCGAGAGACATCGAAGAGACAAATCAGGCTGTCTGATCCTGTCAGAAAATGAGTCCCTCCCAGTACAGATGGATATATCATTGAATGGGGCGTGATGAAGGCTTCTGTCATCGGATTCACCAAAGAATAACTCGCCACGGAGGTTGGAGAGAGAGCCGATGCCAATCTGATCGGATGGTCGCGCACGGAAGAGAGAAACAAGGTGGTCGAAGGGTCCTGAAGAGAATAGAAAGGATACATGGTAGTTGCATAGGTCGGTTCTGCAGACGGCAAGACAGAGTAGGGCAATAGCTCTTGGTGGGATGTCTTCTCTTCCAGCAGATCCAGTGGTCTATACATGGCGAGTCAGTATATATCAAAGATGGAACTGCATCTCAACTGACAAGATCCAAGTCCTGACATGGTGGTCTGCAGAATCTGTCAATATTGTGGTGCCGTCCGCTGACCTGCATGTCACCATCAGATACGGTTCCATTAAAGACAGTCCGAAGCTTACCATTCCGCACTCTTGAAGTAATTGAGATGGGAGCTTTTCCTGGCTCGTTGTTTTACTGTTCTCGGCAGGCTTCCCTGGTCTTGGGGACTGGGGGATCGGGCATTGATTGATGAGCTATGTGCATCATCGTCACTATTGTGACAAGTTGACGCCACACATATGGGCATTGAGTCTTCGAGCATCGTGCAATTGACGTTTCCTTATCTAACATAAGAATTAGGGAGAATTCAAAGAATTTGAGGGGTCTTATAGAATAATGCTTGAAGTAAAGGGCTTCCTGGGGTTTCAATGTCAGAGTACCTTCACTTCTAGGTCAAAGTGCATTGCATATACTCGGCTGCGGAGACAAGAGAAGAAACCAATTTTGGCCTCGGGGAATAACAGACTCAACAGGTGACTCGAATGCCAGCCGAGGAGGTTATCAGCTGACTATAAATGTGGACTCGAGGGTCAATTGAATTCCCTGCTGTGGCGTGATTGGGTGTAACATTAACCCTTGAAGAAGTTTACCTATGCTTCAACATAATCGAATTGAGTTTCGCCACAGAGCACAGAGAGGTATAATTGGATCGTTGATCTCACTTGATCTTTCTTCAATTGTTCCCTGTCAAGTCCAAGTTCGAGTCCGTAGTCGTTATCGATAAGGCTGAATAATCTCGGTCCGGCGAATCTTTCCCCATTCAACACTAGCCGGGAGGATCGCATCGACTTTGTTGTTTTACGATCGCTACTTACCGCAGCTCCAGTGGACATTGTGCTGGCACAAGGCGCTGTTAACGGGTGCAGCCAAGAAACTTGTCGCCTTCTGTTGTTCAAATCAGTCACTATTCCCAAACCATTCATTCCATTGCCGACTCCAACAGTACACCATGTTTGCTCCAAAGCCTTCCGGGACATCGACCGGCCTGTCCATCAACACCGGTTCTGCCAATTCTTTATTGTAAGGGGTTTCCTTTCTCTCATTCTGATAGTCTCATTGTGCCCCCCTTGGTGTATGTCTCTACAGTGTCTCTTGGCTTTGATCGACTGGCCTCCCTTGCTTTACATTTCCGGGATTGTAGCCGCTCGAGTATGAAGGAGGCTGACAGAATCGCATGAACAGTGGCGCCGGCACCAATACACAGACTAGTACTACGACTACGCCAGCAACTACCAGTACCTCGGGTGGTCTTTTCAGTAACCTTGGAAACACTGCCTCTCAAGCGAAGCCGGCAGGAGGCCTATTCGGCAATCTGGGTGGTACCACACAGCAATCCCAGCCTTCCGGTTCGAATATGTTTTCGGGCTTAGGGGGACAGCAGCAGAGCAATACTACAGCCGGTGGAGGTTTGTTTGGGGGCGCTACAGCGACGAGCTCGCAGCCACAGTCAGGCGGCCTTTTCTCAGGAGCCGGTACGACGACCAACAACACACAGACCGGGAACACCAGCGGGGGACTGTTCGGCAACCTGGGGGGTACTACTGCCACTCAAACGCAATCTAAACCGCTTTTTGGGGGCCTTGGAAGCTCTACCACAACGGGAGGGGGCCTGTTGTAAGTAGGACTTTTACCCATATCATTGTTTGCGTCTAACGGTGATCATTACAGCGGCGGTGCCAATCAAGCTAGCGCGCAGCAGCAGCAGCAACAGCAACAATCCCAGAAACCTACTTTATCCTTATTCGGAAACCAGAGCACTACCGTGCAACAACCGACTCAAACCCCTGCTACTACTGCTACAACTGTTATCCCTGGAGTTAAAGTCGATATCAGCAATATCCTACCCACAACCAAATACGAAAGCTGCGCGGATGAGATCAAAGCAGAGCTGGAAAGATTCGATAATTTCGTCTTGAACCAGATTAAGATATGCAACGAGGTCGCGAACATGATCCCCACCATCGCCAGCCAGGGCGAGACGATTCCAAATGACGTGGAATTTGTTCAGGGCAAGCTGGAGACAATGCAGCACGCACTCGAAAACGATGCCGGCGATATTGATCAACTTCGCAGTCTTGTATCTCGCGACGCAGCCGAGGCTCAAGTCGCTTTCCGCGCAATTGACACCTTGAAATTACCTCTGCAGTACCAATCTACTGGCGGAGCTGGATGGTGGTCCCAAGATCAGAAGGTGTCAGATGGGCAGGCTTTAAGGTCGACGCGTAAAAATACTCTAGCTCTTCCAGACGATGTTGAAAGCGATCCGGCTACCGCTACTTCTGTTAACGGGGTGCCTGTGAATCTGGTCGATTACTTCTCTCAGCGATCTGAGGAAATGGGAGTGGTCCTGGAACGGTACACGCGGAACTTGAAGGAGATCGAAGACCACCTTCACGGAGTCGAGGCCACTTTAGAACGACAGATTCATGACTTTGTGACATCTCGTAGCCGAGATGGCCCAGCCGCTGGAACGCCTAAGTCTATTGTCAGTGATCTTGCTACTGTTCTTGGTGACGTCGAGGCTGGCATATTGGGAGTTGCCAGTCGCCTTGGAGGAGTTACCGAGCAGGTCCAAGAGGTGGTCTTGGGCCCTCCTTCCGGGTCATAAGTTTTTTGCGAGTTGAGCATGAGCACCAGATACTCCTTGTATAACATATCAATGGATTGAACATCATGAAGCATAATTAATACCGCTGACAGAGGCGGACCATACGACCATACAACTTGGGCTTTTCTTGTCTGTGGAATCGATTTCTACACTCTACCGGTCTGCGAGTCAATCCAGCTGCGGACACCATAGCGGATAAGGTGAGGGAAGACGCCAGAAGACCAGGATCGCTTGTCAAGCGTAGATATAACATTTGAAGGCCAATGTACTGTGTGCAGACTCGACACCCGGCCGCCACTTTTTGACCCATACAGAGTACTCCGTACTCCGTCCGTAGTGTGAGATAAGCTTGGGGGCGGTGTGGGGAACAATTGCCAAGCTACCCGTTCGGTGCACCAACGCAAGAGGACGGCAGTCTGGCGTGATCGCACCTAATCGCCCGGCTAACGTCACCCCGTCCCCGGCTGCAGAACTCCAGGGGTTCCGACGGAGTAACTACATTCTTCATACTAGCAGTAGTTGCTACTGACTATCTAGTATGTCGAGTACCGATGGCTGTGATCCTTCAAGCTGCAAACCTACCTTACGCAGGCATATTTCGAAATCCGCATGGCATACTCTTTGTTCTGCAGGGTTTCTCATCTTTCCCCGTACTTGGTACCTGAAGTCAACCCAGTTTCCATCCATCTAGCGGCCTTCTAGAACCCTGCAGCGATGTATGATTGGTGGTAGATCACCATGCTTTGAGGGAGCGGTGTGACGCCTCCAGATCTTCGTAGATAAACTGGGGATCTGGTCTGACGCGGAGTGTCCCAGAGTGTTCCAGAGGGTCCCCACACCCTTGCCTTCAAATGACGCGATCTACGCTGACACCGTCGGCGGCCCGCAATTCGGGAAACATCGACTGGAACTGACTCCGTCGGTACCCGTGGATAGCTGCTTTATCAGCCGCTTGGGTGATATTCTCCAGCGATGGTGCAATATCCGCCAGACCCGATTTTGAGGCCTGATGGCGTCAGCCTATCCCAATTATAAAGGCACAGAGGAGGTGACTCCTTCTGTCTTCGTATAAACAGAGCTTGTTCACCTTTTATCTAGTACCCTTATATTTGTTAATATTACTTCCCTATCTAATCACATTCTCATCAAGACCATATCTACAGAACTCAGCATATACAGTCAACACTCTTCGGTATACAGAGTACCATGGCGCCATCACTAGCGGAGCCCGTGCTATCCCAATCGGTGGGCCATATTCCCGTGGTTAAGAAAGACTCTATACATGATAACAAGTTTGGTTACCAACCCGGCCGAACGGTTGTCCAGAGCCACGACAATTATCAGTATCAGGACCTCCTACCTTCGTTCCCTGATCTCCATTGGCCTCCTCTAGAGGAAACACCATATGAAGACAGAGGCCTATACGGGGACGCTAAGTTCCGGAACCTACTTCAGGATGCAACAGACGTCTTCGATTATACACCCAAGATCGGAACTGAGATCCATGGAGTGAATCTGGCAAAGTTGAGTGACGCACAAAAGGACGACTTGGCTCGCTTGGTAGCCGTCCGTGGCGTTGTTTTCTTCCGGGGACAGGATGACCTGGATATTGATGCCCAGCGAGAGTTAGGTCGCCATTTCGGAAAGCTACACAAGGTATGAATGGCGTCAGTCTGTTATTAATATTATGAAGTATTCCTAACATAATCTGCTATCAGCATGCGACCACATCTGTCCCGAGAAAAGGGGGTCTGGAAGATGTCCACGTTGTATATACTGGAGATAACTCCACTGACCAGCGAGCAATGTTCACGCCTAGCTTCCTCTGGCACTCAGATGTATGGCCTGTCCCTGATACGACAGAACTTGGCTGATAATTTACTCCAGGTCACATACGAGGTTCAACCTCCATCCTACACATCGCTCAAGGTTCTGACGGGGCCACCAAGGGGAGGTGGTGGTGATACACTTTGGTCATCTCAGTATGCGGCGTATGACGCACTGTCTCCCCATATGCAGACATATCTTAAGGGCCTGACTGCCCTACACTCTGCGGATATGCAGGCTTCGGATTCGCGTGCACTTGGTCGGAGTGTCCGTCGCGAGCCGGTCACCACGGAACACCCTCTCATCAGAACAAACCCTGTTACTGGCTGGAACAGTGTATTTTTCAACCCTGGGTTCGTCACTAAGATTGTCGGGATTCCCAAGACGGAGAGCGATGCTATCATCGCATATCTCACCGAGGTTATTGCGACGACACAAGAGATGCATGCTCGGTTTCAGTGGAACAAGAACGATGTTGCGATATGGGACAATCGAACAACCGTGAGTAGATTGTCGTCTGCGTAATGGTGTGACGGATCACTAATCATTCAATAGAACCATACGGCCTCTTACGGATTTGCACCTCACCGCCGTCATGCTGTCCGGGTTTGCTGTCATGCGGAGCGCCCTGTGTTGGATCCGGCAGGAAAATCGCAAGAAGAAGAGTTCAATGCTCTATACAACCTGCCCCCTGTCAACAAGGATGGCTCCCGGCAGTCCAACTACAACGATTGATTGGGCCTATATTCTGATTTCTTAGCGATATATTGTGGATTTTTGAGGCTAGCGGGTTTCGGGTTTTAGCAATCATACAGCGATCTCAGACGAAGACCTGAGAGCTGGCTCTCAGAAATTCAGAGTCAATCAGCATACATAGCGTCCGAGTGTTAATTTATTTTTCGGTTTCATACAATTCTTAAAGTGTTACTCAAAGACTTTCTTTTAAATTAGACACGTGCCTAGCTCGCCATCATGAGCTCGGAAAATTGATATCAAGAGTAACCTCAGGACATTTTCGCGATCCACGCGACACTCCTATCTTCTCAATGGCATACAGAAGTGATCCTGCTCTACTACAATACGTTCGCTTCCACGGTATAGCCAGTGACTACTTTGCTCTTGATCCCCTCGAACTTATCGACAAAACCTACGAAACCGCCCCGGATGCTCTTCAGTTGTCCGAAGACACACTCGCCCCGATACGTGTTCAACTTGAACATAGCCAGCAGCTAGTTGAGCATCAAATTTTTCACGAAAAACTCGATATCAGAAAAGAAAGTGTCAGGTTCCTTTCCTCCGTGCTTCACATCACCAACTCAGACATTGTCGATGACTGCTGGGCAAGAGTCCTTCCTAAGTGGGATCGCTATGATGGTCTAAAGCTAGAAACTCCCGTCTTCAACTCAGAAGATGACACAAGCTTGAGACTTTCGAGCGAACCCCTCCGTTACTCTCATGCCGACTATGCGTTGCGTCCACTTGAGGAACTTCCCAGCTACCACAATGTCAATCCCCCGGGGAATATAGTTCACGATGCGAATACAATTGGCAATAACACGATGCATGAGAAGCTATACTGCTCCAAAGCCGCATTGTTGCTTATCCAGAATGTGAGGCATAATGGGATCCGTCCTTTGTCGGACATTGAGAATTTGTTTCAGACACCCCTGGATGCGAGTCTGGTACGTGTTCAAATTCCACTTGCACTTTCGTCAGTGATTTGCTGACATGGAGAACTTGAAACTAGTGTCACCCGGCCTCGTTGTTTCTCCTCCCGTTAGATGACGACTGCTTCTCATGCACAAGCCCCTCGTCGATTCCAGAGGACAAGGATCTATCTAGTCATATCGATTCAAATTCGCGTGATATACCTTCATCAGGAGACATTGAAACCTTGCCATCAGAAAACTGCTTTAAACCTGATTGTACTGGGTTCAGAGCATTCCCACAACTAGATGACCATCCAGCCCAGAAACAAGCAGCTAATGACCCATCATTGGTTGAGGCTACTCCCGGGAGGCATCAGTCATACGAACAGAGCCAAAACGATGAGACATCCGATGCAGACGTGAGTCTCGACTGTGGAAGAGGATCACACCTCCACGCTAAGCAAGATAACTTGGCTACGACGAGTCCAAGCAGTGAGCTTTCCCAGATAACCTATACTGAAATCATGGATGATATTGCAACATCAGATTGCTTCCCTTACGAGAGTCCCATCGTCATACGAACACCTCCAAGACCAAGCTATTCCCCAATCTCATCCGCATGTAGCTCGCGTTGTCAGGAGCAAGACATTCTCGAGTCTCCGAGACCCTTATCACAAACAGATCACCAAGCTTCAGTCTGTGAGGCGCGACTGGGATGCTCTTTCTCAGATGAGCCTCTCTCAATAACTTCCTGCATCCCTGAAACTCCACGCATGCTTAAGGCGAGTAATGATTTGAAATCGCAGTGCCTGACACGAAAGCGAAAGTTGGATAATAGCCAGAGTGATCACCCTTCGGAAAAAAACAGCGGACTAGAAACCATGGCCTCTTCAAAGTGTTCCAATACGAGACATCCTCGAACATCTTTCTCTACGAGTTTGGGTTCTCTATCACGATTCATGGAAACTAGGGGGCAGTCCACCAGGCAAGAGGAAACAGCACAGAGTCCATATTTCGCCAGAAACATAAATCCCGACATTGGTGTAAGAAGGCACGACAATGCTGTACATACCGAGTCAGCAAATAATCAGCTGAGTCCTGACAATTCTTACAATCAACCGCAATCTATCTCTTCGGACCCAACTACGCGGATTCCACGATGTCAAAATGGGACCCATGTGCGCCTGATACTCTCCTTGTCAACGTCACTTCTGAAAAGCCATCTACGCGTTATACACTGCTTAGAGAGTATCAAGCCTCCCCCTTCGCTCGTGTACAGAGATTCCGATATGGACATCAGGACACAAGTGCGGGGATCCCAAACCCAAAGCACAGGTTCTGCAAAAACCGAGGACGAGGCCGATATTATCATTACACCAGCAACGGGCATACTCTTGACAAACTCGCAAGCAACTACGCAACTCTTCCTTCCAGGCCATAAGCCTAGAAACTCGAGCAATATCAAAAGCATCAACTCTCCTCTGCGAGAACGAGTTTTTCTTCTAGCAGGGAAACATGAACATCTATATGTGCTAGTTGCTCATTGTTCTGGCCCGACTACAAACTTGCCAAATTCCGAGCTTACCATCGATAAAAACATCCTATCATGTATTATTGCTTTTACTGCGTTTTGCAATTCGATCTCTAGTTCCAACGTCCACCCTCTCGTGATACCCTCTTCCCCAGATGCTATTGCTGGCTGGATTCTGGCACTTGCCAATAAATCAATTCACTGATGTTCGGTTACGTGATTCTACATTTCTTATCTTGTCTTATCATAGAATTGCAAGTCTCCAACTCTATTCCCTCCATGTTATCGAACCTCGGCCGGAAAAAACAAGTAATCACCGATCAATCACATTAACTTCATGAATTCATCTACATCTACCCTTAGTCAATCTTATCTACAATGTCGCCATAGACCCTTCACCACCCATAACCAGTTAATAAAGCATGAACCAATTTCCAGTGACCTTAATAGCCTAAGTACTCCATATATTGCCCAAAGTCTATACTAGACATTCACCCCCCTAGTAGCAAATTATCGAAGTGTCTAAGACGAAAGTCAAACTCCATAGCGAGGAAATGAGAGCATTCAATAGGTGAATGTAGATGTGGGATCTATGGATGCATTCCTCTTCAGTCGAGTGTGGCGTTCTTTTTAGCGCTCGTGTATTTTATATGAGGTGTTCAGTGGTGCTCGGATCAGGGCACGCACAGAACGTTCCTAAGAGCAGTACTATTGGATCAGGACGTAGTAGTAAATGAAGATGATAGGAAAGACCTCTGGCAGATTTTTTGTTGTGGTGGGAGGATAGACCACGCAGTGGGCTGCCTAATTGCGGTCATACATCAGGTATAAACACTCTACTGATCCGCGGGGACGATGTAGCTGAAGGATTATACTAGTCGGTCGGGGTCAAATGCTTTCTTGAGGGTACTTCAGTTCGCTGCATAAGTATTTCGAGGGAGGGTGTGAGGAGAAGTTATATTCAGTTGAGATCATAGTGGTAATGGAATTTGAGCAATCAAGGGCTGATGTCTGATTCTAAATACTCCCAATAAGCTTCACAGTGTAAAAATATTTATCTGATACCTTGAGAGAAAAAAGTACTGATGCACGCGTATTTGTTCCTCCTTCCTCCCGCAACTATGACCTTAGGGCAAGACCCTTCAGGGGACTATATTATCGTACTGTTGAAAAAGGATCTCATCCCAGGGGGCTCTGTAGGGTCACGCGTCTGACCACGAGGTTGCATGCTGATGTCCCTTCCACCCAGCGAGGCTTGTGCGGCTAGAAGAGCATCGATTGGCCCCGATTCAGCTTGAAAGCGCTCCAGCATTATACTGTCGTGTGGAAGTTGTGACTTTGCAGTCGAGGGACGTGATGGGCCCATGAGACGCGTCCGATGTTGCGGCGTTGCAGCTGGGTGGTCATCTAGACAGGTTTAGTAGTAATCCAAACAGGTTCAAGATGTCAGTCCATACGTTTTCTCGAAGTCTCCATGGGGCGGCTGGGTGGTGGCATTGCAGAGTTGTCGGCTTTCTGTTTTGCCCCTTTTGAACTACCAGTGCCGCTACGTTGATGGCGATGCAGTTGCTCTACGCCTTCCTGGTTGACGGGATATACGTTAGACTGCCTAGGTAGAGGAGTTTGAGGCGGTCCCGATGCTTCTGGGGGTCTAGAAGCGAATTCTGATACATCGTTTCGCGAAGCTGTGAGGGAGTTCAGCGCTTGCGACACGGTATCTGTTGCTGCGGTCTGCATCTGAGATCTCATCGCCCGAGATTTGAGCAGGTTATATAGATTGGTCATTTGTGTGACCTTCTTGCATTTTTCACGATACATATCGACGAGTTCCTGGTTCTTCTTGCGAAGTTGTTCCTGCGTTGTCTGCATATCTGCTTGGTTTTCAGACAGTAGCACCTAGCAAGTCTAGGAGTAGACGAACCTGATACTCGTGCCTGTAGGGCCGATATCTCGGAGTTGGCGTTGTGTATAACCTTGTCTAACTGTGTGTTCAGGTTGGTGTATTTGTCGGTCAACGTCTTCGCGACAAATTCTTGGTAGAAACTGTAGCACATCGGTAGGTATTCATGTAGTCTTAGACAACAATAACGCACATCTCCTGAGTAGTCTGATACGTCCAGAAGAGCAAGGCCCGTCCCGCACACTCCATGACGGTATTCGGATCCAGGCCGCTAAGTACGCTGGTCTTGTAGTCTTCGGTTGGGTTGAGGACAGTCGCTACCGCGTCGTCGGGGTTCACGAGAACAGTCTGGCAGGCTGGACAGGTCCGCTCATTTGCTGTGGGGTGCGATAGGCCAAGGTTCCCTGCGCAGTGAAGACAGAAGATATGTCTTTGATGATCAGAAGTCGTTCACTTAATGAACAAGGACTGCATTGAGCTGCGAGAAGTGACCTTACTTACGAACAGGTGGTCACGACCGCTTTTTCTTTCAATTGAGCTCGACATTTCAGAGAGTTGCAACGGAGATAGAAGTCCATAGTTATGATGCTGGAGACGTTGACGAACAGAATGCCAAACTTGGTTGAAGAATGTTGGCGTCCGGGGGATGGAAGAGGTCGGGTGCAGGGTGATATCATGCAAAGTTACGGCCCTTGAGGGTATCGTCCCAAAATAAGGCAACCACTTTCACAGACTATCACTTGTCCTGGCACCGAAGATTGAGTAACACAAGATAGGTGGGAAATATATGTTTTCATTGGGTATCTCGTGCATATATAACATCTAGATCTCAGCTCACCCATCTATATATCAAAAGAAGAACGTATTCCCAGAAGCATCACGCCTGGTCGTGCGCATTTTCTCTTCAAACTCCGGCCCCGGTTCGTATTCCCGCCAAAGACTAGCGGGGAAGATGTGCTTGTTCCGCTCATACCATCGTCTATCCACCACTTTGGTCAATGTGGGATCCTTGTCAGCACCTTCTAGTTGGTCATTGTTCGGACGTGCTAGCGGATCGTCTGTTGACGGAGCCGACGGTGGTTTGTTGGAATAATCAAATAGCAATCCACCGGTGCTGGAGAAACTGGATACCCGGTTGGCGATAAAATAATAAAGCTCGTAATGCTATAGCTAGTGAGCAGGCGCAACGTAGAGAGAACAGAGACGGTGCACATACATGTGGGACAATTATCTCCCCTTTGACCAACATCAGGTCATCCACGCTAACTCGAGCCCACTCGCGGCGGTTGTCTTTGCGGCCCTTTGATGCTCCGCTGGAACCGCCGACGCCCAATTCTGCGCCAACCTTTCGGCACCGATCCAAAAACAGCCAAACGGGGTCGCCTTTCTTGACCCTGACAGTCCCCGCTGGGATGTTAGTCCCATCGAAAAATATAAAGGGGATCAATATCTCGGTGTTCTTCACAGCTTCCTGCATAACAAGGAACTTCTTGCGGAGGGCATCCCGTGTTTCTGCCTCTGCCTTCAAGGCAGCCTTCGTCATCGCCTTCGGAGGGGGTGGGGCATTTGGATTCGGGGTAATGCGACGTGACGACGGCGCAGAACTGTCGTCAATGGGGGTTTTGGAGGCGGAACGGGGGATGCTCGAGTCACGCGGCGTAGCGGCTCCATCAGCGGCACTATCGTTCTCCTCCTCATCGTCATCGCCAAAGGACAGTTTACTCTTCGAGATAGGCTTCTTTTTCTTCTTCTTCGGCGGACCCTCGCTTCGTGGCGTCGAGTTGCTAGATGCTTTGCGATCAGTTCAGGTACGGGTGTGGTATAAGTGCGCCTTAACTCACCCGTCAGTCACTTCCCCCGTAGAGGGAGTTGCGCTTCTGGAAATACCAGATGTGAACCTTCCTAGTGACTTGTCATGAGCTTCGCGTTCTTTCTGCTCTAGAACCTCGGCGCGACGTTTGCGAAAGTCGGAGAGATGAACAAGACCAACTGTCTGAGACTTGAGCAAGTCTTCTGCCGAGACAGTCTGGCTGGTGAAAGAGCGGGGAGTCGAGCTATGGCTCGGCTGTTCGGATTGTGACATTTTCTCGTAGTTTAGCCTTGAAGGGTATAAGGAGTAGGCGCTGAGGGTGTCGATAAATCTCACATGAATGCGACTGACGTACTGACACGTGATCTTCGGGGTTTCCGGATCGGGAACACGCCAACCTACAAGGCCTGCACATAATCATAGATCTAGAATCAAAATTGATTATTCTGCGTTCATAGTGTGTGGTATCCTAATATACGCCCTTCTACAGAGTCGATAAGTCCAATTCCAACACCGCGACGTACCAGCATCAAACGACGAGCACAAGAACAAACAGACCAAACCCGACGATCTCCGCAGGGTCGCCGTAAACAGAATCGCATCTCCGTCTATTTCCCATTCGTTTCCCTCAACTCAGTCGCAAACGCAAACATGATGACGGACGACGAAGACGACGATTTCTACGACCCTGCCGATGCGGTACCGGTAAACCAGCATCAGAATGGATCTCATCCCGCAACAGATTCCAGACTTCAGGACGATGGCGAAGAGGAGGAAGTCGAGGTAGAAGAAGATGAGGTATGCGCCTCTGAAGATCTTATCTTGCCACGATTTCTAATTCTTCCGTAGGATGACTTTAATATCATCACAGAAGCGCCAGCCGATGCCCCCCCTCCAGAAGCGTGAGTCTGCCATCTCGATCGAAAACGTTCACTTTGTTTGACGGAGGACAGCCAACATCCTCGTCACGTTAGCCTACGCGCAGAGTCCCAACGACCCTCATCTGCAGATTCATCCGCGATATCGAAATCAATAACACCCACCGCTACCCCTAAAGTCGAAGCTGCCACACCGGTGTCCGTTAGTGTGAGGCCTGCGGCGCCTCAAAAGCCTGGTTCTGCCTATCCCCCCGTTCATGCGTCGAATATCGATGTCCATGCGAACCCCATCCATCCAGCGACCGGGAAGCCAATCATGTCAACCGATATGGACACCGATTTCCCAGAGGACGATAAGCCTTGGAGACGGCCAGGCTCCGACATTACGGATTATTTCAATTACGGGTTTGACGAGTTCACATGGGCCAGCTATGTATTGAAACAACAGGAGCTACGCAAGGAGATCGGAGATCAGAAGAAACAATTGGATGATATGCAGGCGTTCTTGACCATGGGGCTTCCGCCGATGCCCGGAGGTCCCCCGCCAGGACCGGGAGCACCTCCAGGAAGCGCACCCCCTCCTATGCCTGGCATGCCGGGCATGCCGGACATGTCACAGGAGATGATGCAAGGCATGCTGACAAGCATGATGTCGCAAGGCCTAGATCCCTCGTCCATGGATCCCATGGCATTTATGCAGCATGCGCAGGCCATGATGGGCGGACAACCCGGCGGAGGCGGTGGACAACAAGGACAACCCGGATTTGGTGGGCAGGGTGGTGGCCAGCCCCAGATGGGATATGGAGGTGGTTTTGGTCGGGGTCGCGGGAGAAGATGGTAGAGCCAAGTGGTGCCTGTCTTTGCAGCAAATTCTAGTTATAATGCCTTAGCAATGGCATCATATGGGATGCTGATTCAAGTTAAAAGCTGAACCCATGTGAACACCATGCACGGGGAACTGCTGAAAGCTTTTACTCTTGATTGTGCTCGTGGTGATCTGGGGTCCGTTTGCTCGGGGAAAGGGAGCTACTAGTAGAGCGCGATGTATTGTTGCTCGTAGGGAGAGACGACTAGAAAAGATTTCGGACATAGGATGAGAATAGCGAAGCCCGCCATCTCTAGGCCAAATCCACGAGCTCACCTGGGGGAACCAACACGTGGACTGAAGGGGAGAGAAAGAAGAGCGCAGAAGATGGTGATACCCTCGGCAGAGAGGATGGAAGCTGTCGGTCTTGGCATTCTGGAAATTTCTCGCGAGTCCAGATCAGATCTTCTTTCCCCGGCCGCTTTCTCTTCTTCTTTTGCTCTCCACGTCCCCAACTTATTTCCAACTTCTCTTGCTCTTGCCTGTATTTTACGCTGCTCCTCGTGTCCGGCACTTCTATCCACACTCTCATCACAATGGTATGTTATTGCAATTGATATTGGATGCTCTAGAGCTCCGATTGAACTTTTCCGCCCATCAGCGCCCGCACTTCCATCCCTTTCCGACCGGATTGCCATCCCTAACCAATGCTTAATCTATCTCGGGACCTTGCTAATTGGTTGACTTCTCGATCAGTCTTTCCTCCGTAACGTCAAGAACCTTGCTCCCCTCCTGGACCGCGTCCTGGTCCAGCGCGTCAAGCCCGAGGCCAAGACTGCCTCCGGTATTTTCCTGCCCGAGAGCAGCGTCAAGGAGCAGAACGAGGCCAAGGTCCTGGCTGTCGGCCCCGGTATCTTCGACAAGAACGGCCAGCGCCTCCCCATGAGCGTCGCCCCCGGTGACCGTGTCTTGATCCCTCAGGTACGTTGCGATTGCTCTCGATCCGCGATCATCCGATGCAACGAACGAAGCACCTTGGCTTGTGATATGGATGGATATGCTACTACTGGAAACATGTGCTGACGGGTATCATGATTTAGTTCGGTGGCAGCGCCGTCAAGGTCGGTGAGGAGGAGTTCACTCTCTTCCGCGACCATGAGTATGTACACCTTTGCTTCGTCTTACACTAAGTATACTAACATATTCTGTCAGGCTCCTTGCCAAGATCAACGAGTAAATTGGACTAGTGAAATGAAGTTCAGCTCCGTTGTCTTTCTGTTCACGGGTTAAGCCGAATCACTTGTATTATACCTCCTACGCAAAATCATGAGCTTCAACCATACAACTCCCGGGGAAATCTATAATCAAAAAATCACCAAAGAGGTATCAGGAGGGATGGACTGTCCCTCCTTATAGTCTTGGGCTAACGTTTTGTCTTGCATTTATTATCGAAAGCGTGAAATGACTGTTTACATACCACACGATGTACTTTTAAACATAGCAATCATCATGTCTGCGTTGTCTGGCGTGATGAGGGCAAGTAATCAGATATAATCTCCTCTCTTACTTCTCCATTCCGATTTTTGTATCTGGTCAATCACATGAGACAGATGACTGTGAGCACGCTGTTTCTATTCATTCTCAAATACGAGGAGCAAGGGCAGCTTGGTCCCGCTTCGGGTGCAATCGATCACGATGTATCGAAGAACCTCCCTTTATGGCTATGAACATCAATGAAATTCCTCCGGGAAAGTCCTAGATTGGACTATGAATCTGCTTATAGGGCCGCCTGGGGGACTACAGCCCGAATGGACAATTTCATAGCAACTCTACTTCGTCCGCTATGCTCCTTACTATCAAAATATGCCCAAGACTCATAAACCTTTCGATACGGATGCTGAAGACGGTACATCATGCGAGTAGCCCTCCTCATGCTGGTAAAATGTAAGGTTGTCTTCTACAAATTAAACATTCATGGCTAGAAAGATGTGTTGGCCGATGCAAAAAAAAAAAAAAAGGAAACAAGACAACGACCACTTCCAATCGAAAAGTTCAATATTCCGGCCACTGTCGGATTCAAAGACCTCGCATTCTCCTCAATCGACAGTACTTCACAGAGCGAGATTCGGTGGAATACTATACGTGGAGTAAGTCAACTCCACAAAAATCACATGCTCCTTGATAAAATATCAAAAAAACGCGCTTAATTGAGATAATATCATTTGTGATGTGAGAAGGGAAGACTTCCACGATAAATGGGAAACGGTGGTTATTGAGCACTTGGCATCTTGGATTTGATGTGGACCTGACGCATAGCATTGAGCCAATGGGAGAAGATTAATATGAAACGGAGATTCTGTGTGCGGTGTGAAGGGAGCAGACTATTCTTAGGTATGGATCTACAGTACTCCGCATGTAGCGGCCAAATGGATAAAAGCGGCATGGCATCTGTGATATTGGGAGGGCGTTCACTTGTGTATATCAATTTGAAGGGATTACGTGCACTTTTGTTCCTTGGTTGTTAACAGAAAACTGGAAGGGAGTACTATGATTGTATAAAGAGTATCTCCCCAGTATGTGTGAGGTTCAATTTTCAGGGTTCTTTGGACTTCAGTAGCCAAGTTCTGTCCAGCGACGATATATAAACTAGACGCGTCTCCGTATACCCGCCGTGACCACGGGTCTTTTAGACGCGACATCTAAAACCACCATGCCAATGGAATCTTGCCTAGCATGAGTCAAAGAACGAAGAACACTGACGACCCTTCAAACAACCTATTCACAATAAAGACAATCATCACAGCCCTGAATCAGTGTCTACATGCCCAACGCACCAATACCCGTGAGACATAAACCTCGGCTAGATACACCAATATCACAAAAAACCACCCACCACCAAACACCAACACCCAAACCAACCCCTCCAAATCAAGAATGAAAAACAAACCCAGTCCAAGATAAGATCCAGATCTAATCTCAATTCCACCCCCTCTCCCCCTCACTCTAAAACAAAAAGGGATCTTCCGGATCGACCCTACACCTAAATCTCACCTTTCCCCCCCGCCGCCCCCATCACGCAAAGGCCCGTCCCGTCCAAATGATGTTCAAGTTCCATCCATCCGCGTCCCGTCTCGGACGTACGGAAGCCCCCCCCCAACACCTCTCTTCCCTGCCACTTTTCTCTCCCAGGGGTTTTTTTTTAGTGCCCACGCGAACAGACACACCTTATCTGGATCTGACCGTTTATTATTAAATTTCTTATCTTTCCTTGCCGCCTTGTGGATCGATGGGGCGAGATTAGGTTGTAGCTTATTTGGACTTCTGTCAGGGTGTTACGTATTGTATGTATGGGTCTTACATACATATATACAATTATACATGTAAGTGTAGTACTTGATGTGGGTGTGTGGATGTTCGCTTGCTGGATGTATTTGGGACCTGCGTTTGTGTGTCTGTGTGGGTGTTGTGTGCCTTGCCTTATCTGATATGTCTTATGTGTCTGTCCACGTGTGGTGTGGCTACTTTTGTGCTGGACTGATTGATTAGGTTGGATCCCTGGGTTCTCTGTTAGGTGTGAAAATATCCACTGCTGCGCGTAGAGATGCGAACAGGCTAGGAATTCATGATCCGTAGTTCTTCATGTAGGCTTCATGTTGATACATTTACTGGGCTAACTGACAGTCATAGATCATATCGTTCTATTAACGACTATCTCAAGTCTAAGCAGCATCAACTCCAGAACGAGTCTCCCCTCTTCCACTTGCCCTGCAGTGTAAAGCTGGGCAAACCGTTGTACCGTCAATAAAAATAACAAGATAGCGTAAACAACCATATCATGCCATGCATTGAGAAGAAAAAAATTCTCATAGAAGATTAAATTAATTAGAAACCAGAGAAACTGTGTCCTTTTCTACGCAGTACCGAACTCCTTGATGTCGGTCTTCTTGCCCAGAAGGGCAAGAGGGACGATACCACTGACGTGCATCTCAGGGCCGTAGACGTGCATGTTGAGACCAAGCTCCTCACCAACAGCCTTGATGTTCTTAAGACCTTCCTGGTAGTTGGGACCAGCACGACGAACCCAGATCTGGACCTTGTGCTCGTTGAGGACGGGGGCGACCTCACGCAGGGCGCGGATGACACCCTTGAAGGTGGAGGCAACGTTGGTGAAGTTGGCAATACCACCACCGATGAAGAGGACCTTGCCGTCGGGGTGGGTAGGAGCACGCAGCATCAGGTCGAGAATGGTGCGGGCGTAGTTGAAGGTCTGGGTCTCGGTGGGAGCACCGGAGTACTCACCGTAGTTGGCGAGCTCGCTGACGAAGCCAGCGGAGGCAATGGCATCAGCGTACACGACGGAGGCACCACCACCGGCAACAAGGGTCCAGACACGGCCGTTGGCGTTGAGGACGGTGAGCTTGAGGGAAGCACCGGTCTTGGCATCCATCTCGGAGATGAACTTCTCCTCCTTGCTCAGCTCACGGCCGAAAGGAGCGGGGAACTCCATGGGCGGGCCAGCATCAATGTTGACCTTCTCGCTCTGGGGAAGGACGGGCATGCCCAGGTTGGCGGGGCTGCGGGCAATGGCCCACTTGGTACCACACTCGAACTCAGCAGTCTGGTCCAGCTTGGCAGCCAGATCAAGGAAGTGAACGTCAGCCGAGGTGGCATCAGCGTTGGGGATGACAACGAGAGGGTTGATCTCGAGGTAGGTGAACTGGCAGTCGACGTAGACAGCGTAGAGGCGGGAGATGAAGTCAACCAGGACGTTGTGGACACCCTTGGGCACCTTGCTCAAGAGAGTAGAAGCAATCTCCTCGTTGGAGGGGTAGTTCTTCAGGTTGACGGGAATCAGAAGCTTCTCAGCCTTGGCGTCAACATCACCAACATCGACACCACCCTCGTGGGTGAAAAGGATCCAGTCACCCTAGGTAGCCTGTTAGCATTGAACCCCGCAGCACGGAAGATGCCCATCACACGGGCTACTTACCTCACGCACGGAGTGGATGTTGATGTAGTACTCAGTCTCCTGGGGGTGAGGCACGAAAGGCTCAACCAGGAACTGACGGAGAACACCGGTGACGGTCTCAACCTGAACGTCCTTGGCAGCACGAGCCTCGATCCATTCCCTGGCCTCAGCCCAGGTCTTGTTCAGGGCCAGCAGGCCACTCTTTCCACGTCTCTTGATCAATTGGTCGGGCTTGGCCACGAACTTGGATCCGGGGGTCAACAGCCAAGGGTAGAGCACCTCAGCCTGGTCGAGGACATCCTTGACGGCGATGTCTTCGGGGAAGTGGAGGGAGGCGAGCTTAGGAGGAGGGTTGTGCGTGGAGGACGGAGGAAGAGGAGTAGGCTTGATAACGGGGGCACGGGTGAGGTGGTAGTTGAGGATGGCCTTGCCATCAGCCTCGAGAATCGACTTGGCGGACATGATGATCGTATAGGTGGGAGAAGAGGGGTAGGATTATACTAAGAGGTGTAAGAGGAGCGAAAGAGCAATGGATGGAGGACGAGGGCGGGTGTATATGGGAAGTGAACCCCGGATGGGCAAGAGTGTATACCTGGAGGAAGAAAGATGGAGGGAGAGAGAGAGGGAGAGATCAAAGGTGGTCGTTTTTTGTGGTCTGGTAGAAATCACCAACCAAGAGGGGAGCAAGATGAAATGGAGTGGGAAGGAGGGGGGGAAAGAGGAAGAGAAGAAACAAAGCGGGAGGAAAAAAAAGTCCCAAACGGAGTTCGAGGAGCGCGCCGATTAGTCGGGGATGATATGCAGCGGCCGATGAAAGGAGGACGGAGGGGGACGAGTAAGGAAATTTTTTGGGGTCCGAAGAGGAGGAGGGAATGGAATGATCATCTGAAGCCGCCAAAAAACGCCCAAAAACCGCTTGATACGGCGCACGATCAGGGCCGAGCTCGGGCAATACAAGGGGCTTAGCGGCGCCATGCTGCAGCTGGAGGACTTTGTTGAGATTCGGTGGAGCCGCCGTAAGAAAAAGCGGGTCGGCCCAAGACCCAGCCTGTCAGCCGGGATTGGCGGCGTTGGGGATCCTCGGGAGCCCTCTCGTGAGTATTTGACTCGCAGTATCTGCCCTACGCTGTAGCCTCAATACTGAAGCCCCCTGGGATGAAGAATTGCAGCCTACGGACGGCTTCCCCCGACGCTCTTGCGTCTTTTTGTTGGGTACGTGTTCATTTTGTTGACGCCCCCCAGCCCGAGTTGTCCGCAACCAGGATTCGTGTCAATTCTACTAGGTACTGCTGCAGCAAAAGTGCCAGCTGGATAGACTTGTTGTCTCCTGCCCGATGATGTAATGGGGGGTTTTCTTTCCCCAGCTTGCTTCCCCATACTACGGGATTGACCACCGCCAAAAGACGTACGGACTACGGAGTCGGACATCGTCGTACGGAATTCAGGTACTGCTGCTACCGGTGCCATTCTTACAGCAGTAGTACTCCGTACATTCGGGGTGGTAAGCACTAGATTGCGTAATGAGATGTACCTCCCGGTATGATTCCAGAAGCATAGTATACCGCTGTTTGATCTTTCGGTGAGCGACCACAAAGCATCCTGGGAGTTACGGGCCTCGTGCATACGCATCGACCCAGTCCCTGGCTGCAATTGGGACCTCCAGTTTGCTGATCCAGACGACGGATGTGGGATCCACTGCGTAGCCCCAACCAGGCCACCAGCCCACCTCCGGTTCTATCCTTCTGGATGTCCGTAATACGGAGTACCGTGGTCATGCTGAGTCCTCGACGGTCCATTTTCTCTTTGGATTCGAAACACTACATTCTCCGATAATGGCCTTACAATCTGGTCGACCGATGAGCCGAAGCTGACAGTGTTCTCCCTATCTTTCGGTCAATCGTCCCACGGAGTTTGTTGGGCATTGGGGAGTTCTCTCAAAACCGACCTTCTTCGCTGATATACTCCGGACTCCGGACTCCGTAACAATCCATCTCTATCAGACAACTCGGCTCCTCTGCGTGCGGTGCTAGTGGATATGAGTTTCCAATAGTGATTCGGCACCGTTCTAGCGATCCATCTTCGTAATTCCCCAACTGGGTTTCGGACCAAGATTCGGGCTTGCGCCCAGTTCAAGGTACTGTATGGTATGACCGATACGTCCCCATTCATACGCCCATACCAGCTGTAATGCTGTATGTATGTGCCTTCTCCCTTGGCCCCATAATTTTCTACCCCCCCATCAAGCTCCCGATATCGTCCCCTCCTTTAGCTACTTTTTTTTCCGTTTCCATTTTCTTTTTATCTTACATCTTGTTTTTCTCTCATCTCCCGCCTCTTCCCATCAGTCCACTCCATCTTCCTCTCCAACTCCCATTTCTCCATCTGGTTGCATCCCTTCCAGCTCCCTTTCCTCTTGTCCCTCTCCCATCCTCCCACTTCCCTTGTGCTCAGGTCGCAGTCTTAGGAGCGGCTTGTCACCACCTCACTTTATCTATATCTCCATACCTACCTAATAATACCCTCTTCCTCCTTTAATCCTCCTATCCTCAACTCTGTTGACAGGTATGTGGGCTGGTGATATTATACTAGCACGGCCGATGCCTTTTGAATTCCACGGATTCGTTACGCTTTGTTGATTGCCGACTGACATTTACTGGCTATACAGAGTACTCAGCAATCATGCCTACCTCTGCTCCTTTGGTCAACACCGCCAGCGGCGCTTCCGCCAACGACAACATCACCCGTTTCGACCCCCCCAGCCGTGTGCTCACTCCCCTCAGCAACGCCCTTTTCCACAACAAGACGAGATGCTTCGTATAGTAAGTGGCGGTTGTTGGCGGTGGTCAATTGCTCTAATTGACCATGATCACAGCGGTATGCAGCCCCGGGCTGTTCAGGGTATGCTTGACTTCGACTTCATCTGCAAGCGTTCCACTCCTTCCGTCGCCGGTATCATCTACACCTTCGGTGGCCAGTTCGTGAGCAAGATGTATGACAACCCCGGCTCCGTGTCCGTGGAATGAGATATTGATGCATCTACAGGTACTGGGGCACCAGCGAGACCCTGCTCCCTGTCTACCAGGATGTCTCCAAGGCCATGGCCAAGCACCCTGACGTTGACACTGTTGTCAACTTTGCCTCTTCCCGTTCCGTGTACAGCTCCACCATGGAGCTGATGAACTGCCCCCAGATCAAGAGCATTGCTATTATTGCTGAGGGTGTCCCCGAGAGAGTACGTTCCAACATGAAGACAACAAATGGTGTATTTTGCTAACAACAGCACAGCGCGCACGTGAGATCTTGGTCACTGCCAAGGAGAAGGGCATCACCATCATTGGTCCTGCTACCGTCGGTGGTATCAAGCCCGGTGCGTTCAAGATCGGTAACACTGGTGGTATGATGGACAACATCGTTGCCTCCAAGCTCTACCGCCGTGGTTCCGTCGGTTACGTCTCCAAGTCCGGCGGTATGTCCAACGAATTGAACAACATCATCTCTCAGAACACCGACGGTGTTTACGAGGGTGTCGCCATCGGTGGTGACCGTTACCCCGGTACTACCTTCATCGACCACCTCCTCCGCTACCAGAACGAGCCCGAGTGCAAGATTCTGGTTCTGCTTGGTGAGGTCGGTGGTGTTGAGGAGTACCGCGTCATTGAGGCCGTCAAGAACGGCACCATCACCAAGCCCATTGTCGCCTGGGCTATCGGTACCTGCGCCAGCATGTTCAAGACTGAGGTTCAGTTCGGTCACGCGGGTGCCTCGGCCAACTCCGACCTGGAGACTGCCGTTGCCAAGAACAAGGCCATGAGGGAGGCCGGTATCTACGTTCCCGAGACCTTCGAGGACCTTCCCCAGACCCTCGCGGAGGTCTACCAGGACCAGGTCAAGAAGGGCATTGTCAAGCCCCAGCCTGAGCCTGTTGTCCCCAAGATCCCCATTGACTACTCCTGGGCTCAGGAGCTGGGTCTCGTCCGTAAGCCCGCTGCTTTCATCTCCACCATCTCCGACGACCGTGGCCAGGAGCTGCTGTACGCTGGTATGCCCATCTCTGATGTCTTCCGTGAGGACATCGGTATCGGTGGTGTCATGTCTCTTCTGTGGTTCCGTCGCCGCCTTCCTAGCTACGCCAGCAAGTTCTTGGAGATGGTCCTCATGCTTACTGCTGACCACGGTCCTGCCGTGTCTGGTGCCATGAACACCATCATCACCACCCGTGCCGGCAAGGACCTCATCAGTGCCCTGGTCTCTGGTCTCCTGACCATTGGTTCTCGTTTCGGTGGTGCCCTGGACGGCGCTGCTGAGGAGTTCACCAAGGCCTTCGACAAGGGCATGAGCCCCCGTGACTTCGTTGACACCATGCGCAAGGAGAACAAGCTGAGTAAGTGGTCTCATCTTGCTGCTATGATATCGTGAACACATCACTAATTATAAATAGTCCCTGGTATCGGTCACCGTGTCAAGTCCCGCAACAACCCCGATCTTCGTGTCGAGCTCGTCAAGGAGTTCGCCAAGAAGAACTTCCCTAGCACCAAGCTTCTCGACTACGCCATCGCTGTCGAGACCGTCACCACCTCCAAGAAGGACAACCTGATCCTCAACGTTGATGGTTGTGTTGCCGTTTGCTTCGTTGACCTGATGCGCAACTGCGGTGCTTTCTCCTCTGAGGAGGTGGAGGACTACATGAAGATGGGTGTCCTCAACGGTCTCTTCGTCCTGGGTCGTAGCATTGGTCTCATTGCCCACTACCTCGACCAGAAGAGACTGCGCACTGGTCTGTACAGACACCCTTGGGATGACATCACCTACCTGCTCCCCGCCCTCCAGAAGGGTGGCTCCGAGGGCCGTGTTGAGGTCAGCGTCTAATTTTCTACCTGTCTCCCTTAATACACATACATCTCATGGATTAGTCATAAAATCCGTCATTGTTGACGTCGGAGTTCTGATGGCTTGTTTTTGCCGCTTATTTCTTTCTGCATCGGTTTGGTTCACTTCATATCCCATCTATTACAACTTACAATCTGTAGTGGCACATGTGGCATGACTCGCTGTTAAGGTTGATGAATATCACGCAACGATTAAGTAAACGTGCAGATCCAGACCTGTAGGCAATTGTAGAGTAAACTGTAGAAGTTCACCAGACCTGTTTGTAGTTGCAGTCAATATTGCACAAATTATTGCGGGAATTATTCCGCGGTCCTTAGTGCTGCAAAGGCGGCGGCGGGATACGCCCAGGCCCACATGGTTGGCAGAAAACCGGGCCCATCGCCAATCCGTCCGGAGCTCACTGATATTGTCAATCAATCGATGTCAAATCTTCCGCAACGTTCCAACTGCTAACTACTCCACGCATGAAAACCGTCAATCGATAAACCCCCGATTATATCGCGTTTATCTGATTCAGAAATTGACGCCCCGCACCCCCAACCCAAAAAAGCTAATCTCAACTCCTACCATACCAGACTGCCACTACATCTCGAATCTTCATCTCACCCACCCACCAACCAATCAACCACACAAGCACGCGCGCAATGGTCCGCCTCAAACACCGCTACCTCCTCCTTGATATCCTCTACCCCGATCCGTCGACATGGCCCGCCACGGGCGCGAAAAGTACCCCCAAATCTCAGTCCCAGTCGCAATCGCAATCGCAATTACAGATCCATTCGCCTACGTCTGATGCTTTGACACCGAGTTTGTTGGCTAAGATGGTTCGCGAGGAAGTCGCGGAATTGTTTGGTGATTATGGGGTTGGGAGGTTAGGTGGTGCTGGGGCGGGGGGTGTTAGTGGTATGTTTTCCTTTCCCTTTTTTCTTTCTTTTGTAGTTGTCTTTATTTGGGATCAAGAAGGATGTGGGTTTGTGGTGAGGCTAATTGGTTGGGATGTGATCTTCTAGTGAAATATCTTTCGCCTGCTACGTCAACGGCTATTATTCGCTGTCCGCGCGCGTCTTATCGTTTGGTGTGGACGGCTCTCACATGTATGTCTCAGGTGCCTGGGCTTACTGAGAATGGGTCGAGAAGAGCGACGAGCTCGAGGGCTTGTGTGTTTCGTGTTATTCGGGTGTCTGGGACGATGCGCAAGGCGGAGGAAGAGGCGATTCGACGCGCCAGGAGGGAGATTGTCCGGTTGAAGGGCGCGGATGAGAGTGGGGTGCTGGAGGGGTTGTTGGGTGGGTTGGTTGATGCGCAGGCTAGTACTCCGCTTACTGGGAGCGGTGAGGATGGAATGGAGGGTGAGGATGTCATGATGGAGAGTGATGATGAATGAATGAGTATGGGATATGATATTGGGTGGCATCTATCTGTGGTGCCTGTGCCTTGCATGGGGGAGTTTTGTCTTGCTAATCATTTCATTAGAGATACCCTATTATACAGTGTGAATAGATGCTGGGATAGATTCATGTCATGACTTTCGTATAACCTTCACGCCGCCATCTGGTATCGGGCCTCTGCCCAGATCGTCGTATTCGTCGTCATCGTCGTCGAAGTTCTTCCCTGCATCTCCCGCTGCTTGTTCATTGGCTTTAGCCTCTTCCTCCAACTGCTTCAACTCGTGTTCATCATAGGTTTCCTTGGCATCGAGCCAGCGTTCCTGTATATCCCGAACGTCCATTGTCCCTAGGCCTTCTCGAACGGCAACCTGCCAAATGCTGTCGTTGGCACCCTCAGCGGGCCCGAAGACGTAACCGCTGGCGCGATCGATTACGCGTAGTAGGTTCATCATGCTCTTTTTGTCCTCCACAGCTAACGTTTCAAAGCCCACCAAGCCGAACTCTTCCACTAGATCGATAATGGCGTTGTTGAGTGGTCCGAACTTCTCATGTGATAGTCGTGAAGACTCGGCTTCCAGATGCGGTAGAAGATAGTTAAGGTCTTGCACCTCTGTGTAGTAGTCGAGGTTGAAAGGCAGCGGGGCGTAGTTTGATAGATTATCAATCTTGGTGAGGACGTTCAAGTGAGGCAGATCCATTTGGAGCATGGCGCGAAGGGAGAGGAGAAGGGCGGAGATGTACATCGAGGGAAGCGTGAGGTTATAGGAATCAATGAGATGGATTACAATTAACTGCGCATCTCCATGTCAGCGACCACGAAGCAGATGAAGCGCACCGGAAGAATACAACGTACTCTGTAGCCCAATTTCTGGATCTTGAAGAATATATTCCGTAGGGAGGAGTGATGGGTAAAGAGCTCCACTTGACCTGGACAGTCGAATAGGACATATTCATCTATTACAGACATACAAAATTAGCATCCAATCCTACAGCATCTTCAGGCACGAGGAATGCGCCTACCTCCGAACTCCTTCAGCCCCTCCTCAAGGAAGTCGAAATTCTCCTCCAGCTCTTCCAGCGCGTACAAGATACCACCATTCGGTCCTAGCTGATCTTCGCTCATGATCTCCTCCAGCGTCACAAGGTCGCGAACGTCCAGCGCGCACGGATACGACGTTTTATCATTTGCGGGGTCCAGGTTAACGATGGAGCATTTGCGGCCGATAGCTCCAAGGAACTGGTGCATGCCATTACAATAGGTTGATTTCCCTGCGCCCGGAGGGCCTATCACAAGTTGCGCGAACGGCATGACGAGGGTCTTCTCACAAGAATGTGTTCGATCAAAGGAATGCTCGATGTCACTGTCGAAGCAATCGATGATGGCGGGGAGAATATTCCAGGGCGGTGGATATCGGCAGAAAACGGTCTGAAGGTGAAGCTTGGATGACGCCGGGACGATCAACAACGGGTTCAAGTCGAGCTCGGTGCTGGTTCAAGCAGGTAAAATGGCGTCAAGTAAGTCGCGAACGGAATCTGTATCAATTAACCTCTGCTGACAGGCTATCAGATCAATTCTCTGTCGCGTCTCCGCCGACGGATGCTATCTCCGCTCTGAAGTTCTCTCCCGATGCCGACTCCACGCGAATCGTTGTTTCCTCGTGGGATAAGAATGTGTACCTGTACGACCTGCGCGACGAAAATGGTGCAGTAGGAGAAGGAAAATTGTTACAGAAGTTTGAGCATCGTGCTCCGGTGTTGGATGTGTGCTTTGGCGCAACCGAGGATGAGATCTACACAGCTGGCTTGGATTGGGACGTCAAGAAGTGAGTCCGCTGTCTGCTCTGTTCAAGTCCACTAGCCATTGGCTCATATTTCACCTTTTCCCAGCTGACGCTCTGCAGAATCGATGTAGCATCATCCACCCAGACCGTCCTTAGCAGCCATGAAGCCGGCGTGCGCAGTGTTGTTTTCAGCAAGGAGCACAACCTAGTCATCTCCGCATCCTGGGACTCGACATTGCATGTGCACCAGACGAACGATCCAGCCACGGCACCCGCTGTCATTCCTCTTCCCTCCAAGCCCTTCTCCATGTCCCTTACCGCCACAAAGCTCGTTGTCGCAATGGCTTCCCGCGCTCTTCACATTTACGACCTGAAAGCATTGGCTATGCTCACCGCTCAGTCGGAGGGTACGGGCCCCAACAAGATTGAGATCGAGCCCTGGCAGCGGAGGGAGAGCAGTTTGAAGTTCATGACCCGCTCCGTGGCATGCATGCCCGACGACGCGGGATACGCTTCATCGAGTATTGAGGGACGTGTCGCAGTCGAGTGGTTCGATCCGTCTGCCGAGTCCCAGGCCCGGAAATATGCGTTCAAGTGTCACAGACAGACTGCAGATGATGTGGATGTGGTATACCCGGTCAATGCGCTTGCATTCCATCCCGTTCACGGTACGTTTGCCTCTGGCGGTGGCGATGGCGTGGTCGCTCTTTGGGACGGTATCGCGAAGAGGAGAATCAGGCAGTACCAGAAATACCCGTCCAGTGTTGCGGCCGTGGACTTCAGCGGCAACGGAAAGTACCTGGCGATCGCTATCAGCCCGGGCTTTGAGGATGGCAATGATGATGTTGTTGAGGGGACGGTCAAGATCTTTGTACGCGAGCTGGGAGAGACGGAAGCGAAGGGGAAGGGTGCCAAATAAGTATGAGTATATTTTTGCCTTATGAAATATTGTTTTGATGACCGGCGTGCGGAGACTTGGTGTTCTTACTTTTGGTTCAGTGATATCACAGTTATGACGCACCAGGTTATAGAAAGCGTAAAAATTCCGATTCGTCCTACAGTCTACATGGTATCATTGTACTTTTCCCTCTAGTCTTTTAGTCTCTTGACACATCGTATATGGCGTTAGAAGCAACTTTATCAAGCAGCTGCCTTCCTGACGGACACCGAGCCGTCAGGCATGCCGAAGTAGGCGGCAATAGGCTTCTGGCCTCCGACACCTCCAAGAGCCTGGGCCTGAGGGCCAGTCAGGCCGGAGAAGATACCCACATCCAAAACACCGGGGATCTGCTTGATCGCCTGGGAGAGGGCGTGGACCTCCCACACGCCTCCCTTCCCACTGCCATCCTTGCCAGCGGCCACGTCTGCCTGCGTAAGCAGAGTCTGGAAGGGAGCGTCGATGATGAAGAAGGCTTGGTCAGTCTTCAATGGACCTTGCTTAATATCGGAGTTGAGACGGATGGCAGGCTCAATGCTGCCAATCTCGCGCAGAGCAGTGAGGACTCGGTGGGCAGCGATAGGAGCAACTTCGATGGGGATGTACTTCCAGTTAGAGAGCAGGCGGGACTGGAGTTTGCGGGAGTCTGTCGGGCGTGGGGTTAGTGCGCATGTCTATAAAAGGTGCCGGTGTAGATGACTGAGTCAGCGTGAGATATACGCACCAGCCACACAGATGAATTCCTTGGCCTGGAGGGCCACAATCTTTTCCTGGAAGAGACAAGCACCACCGCCCTTGATCAGGTTGAGGTCGTCGTCTACCTCGTCCGCGCCATCGAAGGCGACATCCAGCACCGTACCCTCGGGGAGGGCATCGAACTCAACCGCGGTCAGACCGGCTGAGACGATCAGCTGCTTAGACTGGAAGCCGGTGGGGACGTATTTGGTGGCGGAGGTGTCTACTCCGGACTCCTTGATAGCCTCTACAACATAGACGATGGTAGAACCACTGCCAATGCCGACGTATTTGGCATCCTTAGGGTAGTGGTTTTCGACTGCAGCCTTACCGGCCGCACGCTTTGCGGTTTCGATGACGCTGGCCATGGTGGAGTGACGACGAGAGGGACTGGAGAGAACCGGAAGGAGGGGTACCAAGGAAGGATACGAGCGAAGTGATTGTAGGCGAAGACGGAGACGAGGATAAATGGGAGCGGAAAAGAAAGCGCAGGGACGGGTTCTGTTGTGATATTAATAGGCGGACTACTCCGGGGAAGAAACTCTTTCGAGCCCCTGCAAATTCGGGGAGGAACCGTCAGAAGCAGTGGATGCCCGCGGTGGGGGAGCTCAGAGATTCCCAAGAACTTCTCAGCGGGCGATTGGACCACTTACAGCGAGGACAAACGGCCACGCGGGATTGCGAAACTCATGGCATGGCAATTGACACCTTGACCCCCTCTAGATCAGTCAAATCCCCTGTCCTGAGGAGTGATACAGCAGCATCCAACCTGCGCGACAATCTGATTGTTTTGGAAGCGCGACTTTCACTCCGGCGGGGTTGTGTCGTCATAGTTGTTGTGGCCTCGGGCAACAAGGCTACAAGGCCACAAGGCCACAATATAGGTCCGTGCACCATAGCTATCATGTGACTGCACCCAAATGGGGGGGTATTCCACCACTCTTACTGTGACCTGGCGATTTACTTCCAACAACCAACATTTGGTTCCAGTGTCAGTGCTTCATCGTGGTTTTAGCTAGGACTTAACAGTGGGATATTGCTTTCCAGTCTCGTTGATCACTGCCTTCGATTCAACTTCCTCTTGTCTATCCTTGTCTCTTCTCCGCTATAGCCCCTCATGGCAGAGGCCTTCCCAAGTGCCCTAGTTGGGCCTTCTTCAAAAGAAAGAAAGTATGATCGTCAGCTACGCCTGTGGGCCGCAAGTGGCCAGCAAGCTTTAGAAGAGTCCCGGGTGCTTTTGGTAAACTCCGATGGGCCTTGGAGCAAGCAGAATACGGGAGTATCCGGTGTAGTTGGCGTGGAAACGCTCAAGAACCTTGTACTACCCGGTATCGGCGGTTTCACTATCGTGGACCCTGCACTTGTTACCGAGCCGGACCTCGGGGTGAACTTTTTCTTGGAAGAGGAGAGCTTGGGCAAGTCCAGAGCCGAGGAGACCTGTCGATTGCTGAGAGAACTAAATCCAGACGTAGAGGGGAGCTTCTATACCAAGGTATTTGTCGAGTGGACAACTCCAGTTTGTTTTGAGGTTCCTAAAAGCTGACCTTTGTTGATAACCAGCCGATCGCAGAGCTCCTGCAAGACCCAGAGTTCCTCCCGCAGCATAAGCTGGTACTGATATCTGGGCCTGTGAAACGATCTTCTTTGGAGGCCGTCCGCAAGGCCGCCAAAGAGTTTGACATCCCAGTATTGTACACACGCTCAGTGGGATTCTATTCTATCTTTTCTCTCCAGCTTCCTGCTGCATTTCCCATAGTAGAGACACATCCGGATCCTGAGAGCACGCAGGACCTTCGTCTCCTTAACCCCTGGCCTGAATTGGCAGCAGTTGGTGCTAGCATCAGCAACTTGGACAGTCTGGATGACCACCAACATGGTCACGTTCCGTACGTTTTGCTTCTACTACACTATCTGGAGTTATGGAAGAAAGCACACGATGGCCAGGCTCCGTCAAACTACAAGGAGAAGTCGGAATTCAGGGAAATGGTCCGGTCTAGTGCAAGAGCAAGCAATCCGGATGGCGGCGAAGAAAATTATGATGAGGCTGTTGCAGCAGTCTTGAAGTCATTAAACCCATTTACTTTACGCAGTTCCATTCGTGAAATCTTCGAGATGGAGGAGTGCAGGCGCCCGAACTCAGAGTCCGCCGATTTCTGGGTCATTGCAGCGGCCGTCCGTGAATTCTATCAGAGACACAGTGTACTGCCTCTACCTGGCTCCTTGCCTGACATGAAAGCTCAGTCGTCCGACTATGTTTCTCTTCAAAACATCTACAAATCGAAGGCTAGGAAGGATATAGAAGAAGTCACTGAGATTGTCCGAGGCATTGAAGTACAGATTGCACCACGCTCGATACAAGTTTCGGACAAGGATATTGAGGTTTTCTGCAAGAACGCGGCCCACATCAAGGTCGTGCACGGCCGTGATATCCCCTTAGTGGATGGAGACGCATTTACTCTGAAGGCCATACGGAACAACTTGAGCATTCCCGACTCCCTCGTTCCAATCTTCCTTGCCTTCCAGATCCTGGATGACATTGTAACCGACATCCAAGGTGGAAAGAGATCAGAAGAGGCCTTAGACGACGAGACGGTGTGGGAGTCTGCAACCAAGAACATCGTTGATGCGCTCAAATCAGAAGATCCGTCGGTCATCGAGGAGGAGGATGCAAGGGAACGAATCCTACAAGCCACCCGAGAGCTTCGAAGGACGCAAGGCGGAGAGCTGCACAATATTTCTTCGCTCACCGGAGGACTAGTCGCACAGGAGGCGCTCAAAGTAATTACCAGGCAGTACGTGCCTTTGGATAACACTTGCATCTTTGATGGGGCCCACAGCCGCAGCGAAATGTATAAGCTGTGACGAACATGGTGGCAACTCTTGAGACCTGCGATAGCCCCCACCAAGAGTCATTATGGCGTGAAAACACAAAGTTCAGCAAACCGTTTTACAGTCTATGAGTTGTATTTCCATTCGACTGTTAACCCCAACATCAGAATACCTAGCCTGACGGTAATATGCCCGAGTTTTGTTGAATAATGCTGATCCTGTGTCATCCATAGCTCCACGCTTGGCTCGGGACCCGCGGGCGCCGAGACATCGTGTCGGCAAGTTTTGTCTTGACCAGTAGTCCCTTATCAATTAAATATAATTACAGCCCTATTCCTGACACTGCATTAGAGTAATTTCTTTCTTATCTAGTCAGATTAAATTCTCCACGCCACCAGCGTGATCTGCCAGCTTTCCCTCGCCGAAGCGCTGCCGAAAACGTCACTAATTTGGCGGACACTACCGTTTAAGCTCTGCAACCTTATACAATGGCGTGGAACTTTGGTGGCTTATTGCCCGGGCAGAATGGAGCCAAACCACCTATATTCCTTGAATGGAGGTCATCTAATGGCTTTGTTATGTTTGTGGTTGCTTTCGCGGTCTTCACGGTATGCTAAACTTTCCATAATTTGTCGATATTTAGCAGCACTCACTAACAGGCAATTGATAGGATGTTCTGCTCTATGGACTGGTACGTGGCTTGGTTGTACCAATGAACTATTTGGTCCCTTGGAGTCTCTTTTATTCTGACTTTTTTGGTAGATCGTTCCTGTGGCTCCAACTGCCTTGCACCAAAGAGTCGGGTTGTCAGTTGACCAAGGTGAGTACTTATTCGCATCTCAGGTTTTTCGGTGATAACTTGCTAATCATGATTTGAATTAGAACAATCATGGACGTCTATTCTCTTGGCCCTGTATGGAGCAGCTTTATTAGCAACATCGCGTGAGTACTGGCATTGCCGTCTCAATTTAAAATGGTCTTTCTGATTGACTTTCATATCCAGCCATCGCAGGATACATAGCTGACCGGTTCGAATCTCGATGGTGGCCGCTCATAGTAGGATTGTTGGCATTGGGCGCCTCCACGGCTCTACTCTGCGTAGGGACTCACCTTGGTCTCTGGATAGCAGGACGTCTGTTCCAAGGCGCATCCGCGGCGGTTGTTTGGACCGTCGGGGCTGCGTTACTTGTCGATACGGTCGGCAAGGAAGGCCTTGGGCAAGCGATGGGTTATCTCGGAATGGGCATGACCCTCGGAATCATGTGTGGCCCTCTTATTGGAGGTGTCGTCTATGCCCGTGGCGGATACTATGCGGTATTCGCCCTGGCATTTGCTATGGTTGGAGTGGACATTGTTCTGCGGCTCGTCATGATCGAGAAGAAGCATGCGGCCAAGTGGATCCGGCAAGAAAAGCAAGAAAGCCCAGATATTTCGCCCTCCGGGACAATAGAAAAGCGCTCTGGGTCGGAGAATGTCACTGAATCCTCGCCCTCTGATGCACCAAACAACGCTTCGCAAGATCAGGTCTCGACTGGACAATTGTCACCGGAGTCCTATGACAATGCAAGTTCCCCAAAGGCAATGAGTGCTGTCTATACTCTCCTGGCCTCTGACAGAATGCTGGTCACTATATGGGCCTATTTCATCCTCTCCGTCCTCCTGAGCTCCTTCGACAGTGTCCTTCCCCTCTTTGTCGAGGACACATTCGGCTGGGGTCAGACAGGCCAGGGGCTGATCTTTATTCCGTTGTCTGTCCCTCATCTGACGGAGCCATTGTTCGGTATGATCAATGACAAGTATCCGAATGCTCGACGCTACATGGCGGCAGGAGCGCTGTTCGCGACAGTTCCGTTCTTGGTGCTGCTTCGACTGGTCAGCCACAACTCCATGGGCCAGAAGGTGCTATTTTGCGCATTGTTGGTCCTCGTGGGCTGTTGTATAGCCTCGTTGATGCCTCCTCTCTTGGTTGAGGCATCTTATCTCGTGGAGGAAAAAGAAACGCAGAACCCAAACATCTTTGGCAAGGGCGGGGCCATGGCACTATCATATGGGATCCTCAACGCAGCATTTGCTGCTGGAACGATAGTCGGTCCCTTCTTTGCGGGATTCATCCGGAAAAGTGCGGGCTGGGGTACCATGACATGGGCGTTGGCTTTGCTGACTGGTGTATCCGGTGTTCCTACACTGTTGTTCCTGGGCGGGTTTTTCTTCAAGAAGAGAAGTGAACCGGCTTCATCTGCGTCTATGGAGTGATTGATGGAGTCAAGTGCGGAACCGTGGGAGATTAAAGGAAGTTTGCATCATAATGTATATAGATAATTTCGGATAGACCACTCTCCACTTCAAGGACTAATGTTATGTCTAGACTTGCCAGGCTGTCTGAGGCTTGATTCAAGCACGATCTGGGTCATCCTGGCGTGAAGTCTATGATGTGATTGCCTTGAGCAGACCACGAAGAGAGTCTTGTGAGAATAAAATTCATCCAATGAGATTAGATTAAATGTTGTTCCGTGCTCCGTCTTTGCGAGCCGAGCAAAGAGACAAACCGGCCCTCCTTCCTAGACCCAACTTTTGCTCCCGATGGATCTCCCCGCAACAGCCCCACAGCGTGACGGAGGGCGCACTGGGCACCAGCGGAAGTCGGCATTCCCTGGAGAACTATCAGCCGGATTGAAGCGAGAAATATGCTGAGAAATTAAGGAGAAGTGAACTAGGATTCTCGTCATGGAGCATGGTGCCATTTTGCCGCCTTTCCGGGTGGACCGGCTGTCATTCATCTTTGAGTATCCTCCCTCACCTTCAGCATAGTGCCACACATCGCAAATATGGCGTCTCCGCAGGTCCAGCACCCAGGTCTTCGGGCAACTTTCACGGGGATTGAGAGGGAGTCTGAGGGAGTCACAGTCCATGAATTCAGAGGTATCAAGTACGCCTCGGTGCCGGCGCGGTTTGAGCGGGCACAGCCCGTGGATGGCTTTGCGGATGCCGTGGTTGATGCTTCTCGATACGGGTATGCTTTGATACTAACGGGGACAAAATATGTTGATACTAACGTTGAGTCTTCTCAATAGGCCGAGGTGTCCACAGGTCGATGTTGACGTACGCCATTTACTGCGCATACCAGAGGACTTTAAAATAGAGAAAGAGCCTGAGGATGAGTTTGAATGCTTGAACTTGGATATCACCTGTCCGCCAGCTTCGTCAGCGAAGGGTCCTCTTCCTGTTCTTCTATGGATCTATGGTATGCATCAGACTTTACTAGTTTCGATGTCTTTTTCGTGAATCACTGGCTGACCGTGTCATACAGGAGGTTCGCAAGTAGTGACCTTCTGCTCCGCTGCATCCAAGATCTGCGGTAAGCAAGATTTAAGCGATTGCAACTAGGAAACTGACAGCCGGCTTGACAGATTCCATAAAGATCGTTGCAGATTCTATAAAGACCGGGCAGCCTATCATATTCGTCTCGATCAATTATCGACTCAATATCTTCAGCTTTGGCGACGGCAAGGAGAAGAATCTTGCTATAAAAGATCAGAAGTTAGGGATTGAATGGGTGCAAAAGAATATCTCTGCCTTTGGAGGTGATCCGGTTAGTCTATCGAGCGCGGCGATGTGGCTACTCCATTCTAATTTGTACTGCTCAGGACAAAATCACGCTGGCCGGGGAGAGTGCTGGAGCGGTGTATGTCCATGCCCATCTGGTCACCGGTACGCCCGTCAAGAGAGCAGTCCTGGCATCTGGATCTTTGTATCTCTCTTCTCCTCTGCCTGTTGAGAGGGGCCAGGGGCTCATCAAGACGCTGGAAGCCAAGGTGCAGGAACTAGGCCAGCTGTCGCTTCGGCAGTCGTCTATGTCGGCTCTCATACAGGCTTTGAAAGAGTGCAATGTGAACACCATGTGGATACAAGAGGATGAGGATTTCCAGGACTGGGAAGCGAAGCCCGAGTTGGTCGAGGAAGTCATGATTGGTGATACTGAATATGAGGTAGGTTGTCAGCCACAGCGTTATGTGGAGTCATACTAATAGGTCATGGCATCTAGTCAGTCATCTGGAGAAACGGAATCGAGACTTTCGATGGTGAAGCAATTGCTGCAGCTTTCGAGCAGGATGAGCAATGGGGCACGAAACTACGCAAGATGTATCATGTTGTCGCCGATCGTCCAACAGCTTGCAAGTTGGGCGCTTTGGATCTTGTGCACGACGCTCGATATACATTGCCAGTGGAACTCGTCGCCGAAAAGCTACAAGCAGCAGGCAAACGGGTCTACAAGTACGTGGTTGACCAGAGCAATCCGTGGCAGCCATCCAGCCGAGCTCACCATGCCGTTGACCTACTCTTCCTGTTTGATGGCGTCGACCTATCCTTCAACCCAGCTGCGAAGTCGGTCGGCCAAGAGATGCGGAAGCGTTGGGTACAATTTGTCAATGGCCATAGCCCGTGGTCTGAGGAGCAAAGATTCGCATATGGGCCTTTGGGTGAATGTGGGGAGATTTCCGCGGCGCAGTTTGCTTCCAGACGACGAGTCGAGCATGTGCAGGCACTAAGGGAGGCGGGGATGGGCGTCTACATGCCCATTGTATTTGCCTTGACGGCCGGCAGGATTAGCTTATTGAATTAGAGAATGCACCGATTTCTATACAATTCCGGAATAGCACGTAAAAGGGGGGTATAGTCCTTCTGCGTAGTACATTCTGTTGCACCTCCGATAGTACAAGTGGCAGCGGCTAGTACCAATATAGTATCACTTTCCTACCACTACTCCAGGCCCTCAACTTTCGGCAATTCCACCAGCGAGTGCTACCCGGGGACCCCGGCGCAGAGGCCTGGCGGGCAGGTCCCCCACCGTTACTCAGCCCTGACTCATGTGGGGTCGCTCCACCGGGGATCGGCCGCGAGCTGGGCGCTCCGACGGCCTCCCCAACTCCTCTCGGCAACACATTGGCCTCCAGATCTGCCGAACCTCCCCTCCAACGCTCCTACTACAGAGACTCATCCAGCGGTCTACCCGTCCTAAAGTCTAGTCAATCTCCTGCTGCATCAGCTAGCCGGGTGTTCGGATGTCCCAAAGTCTGATTAATTGCTTCACGATGCCTGCCCGCTCGGATCGAACCCCACCGGCTCAAGTATATGAACCTGCTCGAGCCCAGACTGGCATTCCCTCCAGAACCAGGACTGATAGTCACCAATTCGTGATTCTACAACACTACATTCTTCATTACAGTCTCATTTTCACTGCACAAATACTCCCCTGAGACCTACTACCACCATGCCCTCGACGAGCGACCTCTCCGACCCCAAGGAATACCAGAAGATCTTCCACTGGGCAGAGACACAGAAGGATGGCACGATTCCGTCCTTCAGCACAAGACGAAATGATCCCTATGAGGTGTGTGTCATGTGGTATCGTTATGGCCGTGCCAACCTTATCTAATTAATCGGACCAGTACCAAGCCGGATTCGGCAACTCGTACGTCCAAGCTCCTGCATCTAGCGATTCAACTGGCTGATGTAGATAACCTGTCAGATTTGCCTCGGAGGCTGTCCCTGGCACCATCCCACAGGGCCAAAACAGTCCTCGCAACGTCCGATTCGGCTTATATGCTGAGCAGATTACGGCAACGGCCTTTGTTGCCCCTAGACATTGCAACAAGAAGGCGTGGCTTTACCGTGCCCGTCCGGCCGTTGCCCATCAGGGATTTGTACGTGATGGTGCTGCCTCATCGGAGAACCTATGCTGACAGATTGTAGACTGATCTTCCTGACAATAAAGACACAGAGTCCAACTTCCTGCCACTGAACCCTCGCGTCCATGTTTCTCCCACCCAGTTGGCCTGGCATCCCTTCGACATTCCTAGCGATGGTGAAGTGGATTTCGTCGCGGGTCTCAAGACCGTGGCTGGCTCGGGAGAGCCGACCCTTCGCGAGGGTCTGGCGACCCACGTCTACGTTGCCAATGCTAACATGACCAACAAGGCCTTTGTAAACTCGGATGGTGAAATGGCGATCGTCCCCCAGCAGGGTGCACTAGACATCCAGACCGAGTTTGGCCCTTTATTTGTTCAGCCGGGAGAAATCGTCATTATTCAGCGTGGTGTTCGTTTCCGCGTAGAGCTGCCGGATGGACCTTCACGTGGTTATATACTCGAGATTTGGGGCAGCCAGTTCGAACTTCCCGAGTTGGGTCCGCTGGGTGCCAACGGTCTGGCCAATGCCCGAGACTTCCTCTTCCCCACGGCTAAGTACGAGATCACACAAGAGGACTGGGAGATTGTGTACAAGCTGGGAGGAAAGTTCTTCAAGAGCACACAGAAGCACAGTCCGTTTGATGTGGTTGCCTGGCACGGTAACTATGTACGCTCCTCTTCACCTTGACTGCGTACTGTTTCAGCCAAAAGCAAACTGACCAATCCCACAGGTACCCTACAAATACGACATGACCAAGTTTGTCAACGTCGGTTCCATTTCGGTCGATCACATCGATCCATCCATCTTCTGTGTCCTCACAGCCAAGTCTCGTGACACCACAGCGCCTCTGGCCGACCTGCTCATTTTCTCTCCTCGGTGGGATGTGGCATCGCGTACGTACCCCGCCCATAGTACCGACACTCCTCCCTCTGGCCTTGCTAATCACCACCACAACAACAGACACTTACCGCCCCCCATACTACCACCGCAACGCCGCCTCCGAGCTCATGGGCCTGATCTACGGCGACTACGGCGGTCGTTCCGACGCCTTCAAGCCAGGCAGCGTCTCCTTCGAATGCGGAAGTAAGCAGCCTCCCACCATTCCCATAACTACCTACCCACAGGGCCAGACAAACTAACAAGTCTCACCAAACAGTGGTCCCCCACGGCGTCGCCTACGAAGAATTCAAAGCCGCCACCGAATCCGATCCCCCGGCCATGCGCATCTCCGAGGCCTCCATGGCATTCATGTTCGAATCCAGTCGCGCGTTCACAATCACAGATTACGCCTGGACGAGCGATAAGAGACACGAACATGAGCCCAAGATGTGGGATAACCTCGTCGATAACTTCTCTAGCCATGCCAAGGAGGTAGAGGAGTTGTTGGCGAAGAAGGCGAAGGGGTTGAGGATTTGATTGCATCTCATTGCATCCTGCTATGTTATACTGTGTCGGGTTTTCTTTAGCCAGTGTCCTTTTTTTTATGCTCATAAGTGTTTACTATGTGAATACTACCTCTATCATCTGTACATATTGAAATTTACTATTTCAGAGAAGCAAATATCAATCAGGGATAAATCTTATAGCTACGAAAGGAAATGACGAGGAATGACGTAGACCACGTGCAAGTTACTTCTAGAAGCCTGGTTGTGGTACCAAACTACCATGCATGAACACCGAAGTAGCCGCAGTCGCTCGGGTATGGATTACGGAGTAGATAGAAGAGGGGCATCCAGGACAAGACGTTCATTCATGGATCTATCCAGTCTTGCAGACGGAGAAGACAATGATACGGACAAGAATTATGAATTGTCCCTGACCAGGATACTCGGGATGGCAAGCGTCTTTCGGGCTCCAATTGACCTGTCACGTCAGGCCAAAACCTACGGCATCGGGCGTGGATGTCGACCAAGGCACAAGGCACCTGGTTCAGGCAGCGACAGCGCATCCTCCCCACCCGGTGGCAAACCCATCGTCTGGGGGCGGGAAAGTCTCGGAACGTCTTTTGTTTTCATGAATGGTATCAACACGGCCAGAAATACGGACACACAATTATTTAGGCGGACCGCCCTGATGTATCCTTGTCCCAACATCCCAGGAGCCCTTTCGAAGGGTCGGAGAACCTCAACTTGCCAGAGGTGAGAAGAAATGTCTATCACAAACAAATCACAGGAAATAATCGGGTGTGCGTCTCGAGACCATGGGTTCTCCCGCACGCGGGCAGGGATCGAATTGTAAGCTGTAGACCGCGTCAGCGAACCCCAGCCTCTCAGAAAGCCGTCGGGGATGATCATCACATACAACGTATACTTCAGATGCTCGTCAATTTCCATAATTGCGGCTTGGTTACCGCAGCGGTAGCAGTAGTTGGGAGCTGCGGTCGCAATTAGCCAAAGCCTCCCGGCCACACACGAAACAAGATTCCGCATACCTGAGAAAATCGTGACCACGTTTCTATCCTGCGACCAGTTATAACCCTCCATTACCAGCTGGTGCGCCCGTGCCACCAGAGTCAAGCCATTGTTGTGATTAAACGCCTCCGAGATGTCCTGCCCGAATGTGTATCCAGCACCACGGGGGGAGATGCCCCAACCGCATCGGTCGTCGGGGTCACTCCACAGCAAGTCGCACATCGGACCCTCGTGCGGGACCTCCTGGATCCGATCCAGGGAGCGGATGTTGTCAAGCGTGTCGATTGACGGACTCAGACCGCCGTGCAGACAGAAGATCTGGTTCTCGATGAGTGCGGTGAGAGGGAGATAGTCGAAAAGGTCGGTGAAGTATTTCCAGACATTGGCGTTGCCGTATTTGCGGAGACATTCATCATAGAAACCGTAGACTTGCGTGATCTGGCGGGATTCGTGGTTTCCGCGGAGGATGGTGATACGCTGGGGGTAACGGATTTTGAGGCAGACGAGGAGAGTGACGGTCTCTACGGAGTAGTAACCACGGTCGACGTAGTCACCTAGCGGGCGGGCGGGTGAGTGAAGGGGACGACTGGCACGCGCGGCAAGATGCCAACTCACCCATGAACAGGTAGTTCGTGTCCGGATTGGGGCCCCCAATGCGGAAAAGCTCCATGAGATCGTGAAATTGGCCGTGTATATCACCGCACACAGTCACCGGGCATTTCTGAGGGTTCCAGAGGGTCAGTCCGACCGGTCGCAACAGCCGCGGGGCCACCACAGAGGCCCGGGCAGCGCGGGAAGACCAAAACAAACGAAAATCATCCACATACCACGGGCTGCACGTTCGACTCTTCCTGCAGGACCTCTCTTGCCTATAAAAAAACAAACCACGATTAGGATCATCTCGATGGTCACCCAGAGCGCCCGGCAAAAGCATCACGCACCCGATCACACAGCCTCCGCACGTCCTCCTCCGCTAGTTGTTTGCAGGTCATCAAACTTTCGATCCATCCGTCGAGGGTGGGTATGGAGCCCGGGTCGGTGGTCGGAGAGAGGTGATGAGGTTCGGGCGACCGCGCCGTATCGATCTCCATGTTGTTGTCCATTGCAATGATCACCGAGAGTAACAACAAGGGTAGTGGGAAGAGAGGTTAGGATGATTAAGTGTAACCGAGGAGGGGCGGGCCAACTGGGAGGGGAGGTCTCGTGAGGGAGGCGTGGTTTTCTTGGAGGGGGGGGACACGATCGGACGCAACGAGATGGACAAGGGAAATTGAGAGAAACCAAATTAACAGCGACAGCAAAATCTGTCGCCCAAAGATGAAAGAAAGATAGAGTAGGAGGGGGGGTTAGTAATGGGGGAGGAAGGTTTGGGGGGGGAGGGGGAGAGGGGAGCAGGGAGTTTAGGGAAAGGGAGGTGAGCTGGGATGGGTTGGTGGTGGAGGTCGAGGTGGTGGTAGCGGTCACAGGTCAGTAGTGGCAGTGGCAGCAGTGCACTGCATCAGGCCGTGCTGGTGGTGGGAAGTTCCCAAGGTCAGGTTTGGGCCCGTTCACGCCTGCCCGTGCGCCACACCGCCGCCTGCCTGGGACTTCTCCCTGCCAGCTCCCTCGCAAAGCCACACTTGAACCCTCTCTTAGTCTTTTTGCCCCGGGATTCTACTCCAGCACCCGCCACACCTTGGGCTTCGAGGGGAACATGGAAAATATTCTCTCGTTTAGACTTGGCCAGTCATGTAAATATGTCAGATTCTTTATAGCATAATTACATACATTCTGTCAACCATGTAAATACGATTAATCGATCATCATTCATTCTGTCATCACATCATGCACTCATGGTCGGCAGATTTCACTCCGACCCCAGGCTCAGCCGCGCGGTTAAATGATGTCACCACCACCAAACCCCCCGAACCCTCCGCCAAACCCGCGTCCTCCATATGGCCCCTGCCCCCGTCCAAATGGCGCTCCTTGTCCGGGTCCTACAGGATCATATCGCGAGCCCGGAGGTGCTTGAGGGTCGTAGCCTTGGCCTCGAGGGCCCCCAAAGAGGGGATCATCGAAGGTGGGGTGCATCCCACCACCGGCGCCACCACCCAGGCCAGGACCGATGCCTCCTCGCAAAGGGTCGTGTGGACCGAGTCCCGCAGGGTATAGATCCCGGTCTCCGATACTCAAAGGATTTCTACCTCCCATGCCTGCTGGGTATCCTCGAGGTGGTCTCTGGATCTCGAACTCATCCTCAAATCCCGGTGGGGGAAAGTCGCCCGCAGGGACAGGTCGTCGGGGCGGCATCGCTAGAGGATCGTCAAAAGGGTAAGGGCGAGCGGGTTGCGGCATGGGATCATCTCGCAAAGGATCGCGTCGCGGGGGAGGTTCCAGCTCTCTGACTCGCGCCGTCTCCTGCGCTTGGCTGGAATCTTCGTACCCTTCCTTGTACAGCCCGGGGGCTAACTTCTGGATGACACTAATTTTGAATAGACCTATCAGGTCCCTGAGGCGCGCTGGTGATATGAAAGCCTCGCTGAGTGCTGCTTGAAGGTCTGCAGTCGAGGACAGTGGAAGAGCGGATTCGGAAACATAATCTTTGACCGGGAGATCGAAGGATGTAGTTCGGTCGTCGCCTAAGGCCAGGGCGAAGACGACAGCATTATTTCCAAGTCGACTGATCTTGAGCAGGTACTGCATCGATGACTGTGAGTGGGCGTATCGGAAGGCAAAGGCCGGGTTGGCGTTCCATTCTGCGGGGAGTGAGGGGTTCTCGGATTGATTCTCTACACGAAATAAGACGATCAGTACCTAGTTTCTTGTCACTTTAAGAAGCCTGCATGTCACGCACCTAGCGTATGATCTTCCCCAAGTCCAACTAATCGGAAACCCACTGCTGTCATAGCCGCGTGGCCGACTAAAGCGATCGCTTCGTAAGGCGTCTTGAGGCTGGGCGGCTGAGCTCCATCTCCGCGAAGAGCTGTTGCTGCGATCGCCAGCACATTGTCCGGGCCCAAGGTATCAGTGCTTGTAGCCATATTGATAGATTTTGATGATATTTACAATAATGAAGGAATCAGGAAGGTGGGGATGGAGGGTTGAGGTTGCTGCGCAAGGCTTCTGCCTTATCGCAGCCTGCAGCCTCGTTTATCGTGCTTAGTCAGAAGCCTGGACGGGCCTCTTCAACTGAGGCAATTCATGACGTTGCGGCTGGACCACAAATAATCAGGGTGCGATATGAAGATAATTATTTTGAATGCAATGAAGTATATCCTCATTTGCCCTTTTTCCGGTTTTCAATAGTTACAGTCTAAACCCCTAGTACACAGTTATCCCCGGTTTCATCCGTTGTTTATATTTTATTTCGGAACCGATACTTTGTTTGAGATATTGGGTACCGCTAATCAAGACCCATGAGCATACGTAAAAAGAAGCTTAATCAAAGATTAAAAATTTTGATGATGCAATATTTTGGAATCATCTCATGACTAGTTACCATTTCTAGTCATCCAGGTACTAAATCCAGACTGAGGTGAGATGCAGCAGTGGGGAGCCGAGTACCTGCTAGCGCGTCCCATCTTATTTACCACTATCCAGAAACACAAGCATCCGTTCGCGGTGCCGGATTCCAACTCTTCTTCCCTTTCTCCTTGATCATACAATGACGAATGTTCGATCGGGCCCTTCCATTGGCCTGGAGGAGATCTTTGGAGACACGCGAGGCAGCGTATTCCCCGGTTACTAATGGGGACTATGTCGCCAACGACGGCAGCTCATCGGAATTTGGGCAAATTCGGCGCGTTGATTCCGTGATGTAGGAGCATCAAAGAATCGGCTACCATTGCAAAAATCTATCCTGAGGTTATAAGAAAGTCCTATCAGGATAGAGCACCTCCTCAGAGCTTCGGATCTTTTCAGCAAGCATCTCCCGAAAGAATCCTGAGCAAGTCGTCAAAGTTATTTCCTACAAGTGCCATCTTTGTGTGCTCGGGGCCTCTTACAGGAGCATACCGGTGTAATGGATCAAAGTGGATTGGATTGAATATCCTGTTTTACCGCGGATTGGCGACATTGGCCATTTTCTCGAAGAACAGAATCTCGCGGGAGTTGATTACAAACCTGCTACATTTGCGGAGCCACCAATGTTCATTTTTAACGTGGTACGGTCTATAAATGACCAACCTTGATCGGACGTCATGATTAGGGCAGGCACAATCCTGTTCACGATCTATGGTACGCCATGGTTGTTGGTTGACCACAATGACCTCAATATGGGTCAAATTACGGTTGTTGAGTTTAATAGTGATGACCAACCACTTGAGACATTTCAACGCAGACATTACAGCATGTATCTGGTCTATCACTCGGAAATCTTTGGCAGAGCCAAAGAAAGAAAGAGTGAACTGAGGATATTGACATTGGCTGGCATTAAAACGGGAGGCACGATTGTGTCATTCGCTTAGTTGGACTATTCAACCAATTCCAAAAATCAGTCGGTCCTTGGTCAACAAACGTTTCACACAACGAATTGGCATGTTCATGACTAGCTCAACACACATACGTATGAGACTTCAAGTCGGTCAGCTGACAGACTCCTATATTCGCTATAATTCAACTAAGATTCGAAGACGGTACCCTGTCCTGCAGGGCCAGCACATGAGAAAGCAAGGTCATGGTCAAGAAGGTAGTATCAACGTCGCGCACTACAGCATCGCCTTGGGGAACTTCTTCATCGCCTGGCGGACTCCCAGGTCGGCCAAGATCTCCTCCGTGCCACCCAAGATAGCGTCGAACTTGTACGTCCGGTGGAACATCTCAATGAATTTGCCCATGCCGCTTTGGGTCAAACCGCGGCCACCGAATATGTTGGTGGCCTGGTCAGCAATCTCCTGTGCCGAGCGGGTGGCGTGAGACTTGAGCAGAGCAATGGGGCCGCCCAGGTTAGCCGATTGCTGGGCATAGGTCATGTGGCACATTTGGTACGCGATAGATTCCAGCCAGGCCTGGTTGGATTCGCAAAGTGCGATCATTCGGGCGAGCCTGATGTCTATTAGCATGTGACAAAATGATTAGTGGAGACGACCTACTTCTGTCGCATAACGGGCTGCTCAATCAGTTTCTTGCCAAAGACAATGCGTTGGTTGCACCACTTCAAGCATTCCTCCACAACGGTCACGCACATGCGGACCACACTGCAAACCATCATAAACCGCTCATGGTTGAAGTTGCTCATGATAACGATGAAACCTTTGTCCTCTTCACCAAGCAGGTTCTCCACAGGGACCTTGACATTCTCAAACTGGACAAACGCAGTAGCAGCTGCTGTCGAGTAGGATGTCTTGATCTGCTTGGTTTCGACCCCTTCGCCACGGGGAATCAAAAGCACCGAGAAACCCTTCTCTGTGCGGCAGCCGGTGACGAAGTAGTCACAGAACATACCGTTGGTGATCCATTTCCTGCAAACGGGTCAGCGGCTTCATTAGCGACTGGGAAAGGTCATGCGTACTTGGTTCCATTGACGATGTAATGCTTGCCATCAGGGGTCTTCTTAGCTGTTGTGCGAAGACCGGCTACATCACTGCCAGCAAATGCCTCTGTAACCGCCAGACACATCTTCTTCTTTCCAGACAGAACTTCCTCGGTGACCTTTTGCCGAAGGGGCTCATTACGAAGCCACTGCTGAACGGCAGTCAAGCTGATACACATGCCGGCCATGTTTCCATCCTGGAAGCCTGCTGAGAGTCAGTACACCACGTTCCATCCACATGGGCCCAGGTGAAGAGTCCAACTGACCTCGAGCATTAGCTCTCACCAACTCCTGCGATAGCACCATGTCATGGAGGTAATCGAACTCCTTTCCGTCAATGACCCCACCCAGCAGCTTCCGCCCATGCAAGTGCTTTCCAGGACCCAAACGCATCGCCAGCACCCCAGCCTCCGCCATGCGATCGATCAACTCCTGACTGATATAGGTACCGTCCTTCTCCTTCTCCTGCGCCTCTGGGGTAATATAGCGATCCGTGAACTCTCGAAGAGCCTTCTGAAGTCGACGATGACTGTCATTGAAGTATGGGCTCTTGAACTGCGGGCGGAGCCACAGAGGCTCGGCGTAGGGGACCTGGCTAAGACTGCCAGGCTCTGGGGTGACAACCTCGGGGGTCTCGCCGGTTATCGTTCCGATGCAGAGGTCCTTGTACTTCTCGAGCACTTCATGTCGGTGAAGGTTGTAGAAATCGACCGTCGCATCGGTGCCTGCGATTTGGTTCAGAACCACACTGCCACCGGGGTGCGCGTCAATGAAATCGGTCAGATCGTAAACGCGGTGGTCGATGATGCACCAGACGGAGTCCTCGGTGTTGTGCTGCGCAACCTCGGCGCGAGTGAAGCTTTTCGACATGGTCGGTCGGGAAGGGCTAGTAGTGAGGTCCTGCTCAAACAACAGAAAAAAAGCAAAGTTCTGCAGAGTAAACCAAAGCTCCAGACTAAATGCGGGGAAGGTCTCCGTCGAGGGATCTTATAAGAAGTCGCCGATGCCAATCAAGGGGAGGGGATTAGAATTGCCCAAATGCCACGCCGATAAGCCGAGGCTTTTACCGCATCGGGCAAGGCCGATCCTGGTGAAGATTTCGCAAGTCCACGGGTTTCCCTTCTTCAGACCCTCCACGGCCCCTCGTCCTCAGCTTTCTTCTAACCTGAGGGAATTGCGCTGCATGCCGAATATGTATTTCAGATAACATGTCTGCCAAGTTGAGAATATCTGGCGTGTCCGCGATACTACCGGGCTTGGTAACCCGTGATGCTTCAGATCAGGCAACCCGCCGGTCTACCCGGAACAGCCTCGGTTGTGCTGAGTGCTGACGCTGGAACAGACTCCACTCGCTGGTGTTCTGGTGGCGTGCAGCCCATTTATTAGATGACGCAGCTGATGGCTCGGGCGATCGGGGGCGAATGACAATATGTCATGACATTGATGGAGCTGAATGCAGAGCTATGGAAATATCTGCTCTGATGGCATTCTTGGCATTGTCGCTGATAGAGAGACTGTCCTCTTTCGGAGTGCTCACCGTTGATCGTATACATTCTATCGAGTTAGATTAAGAAACTTGGAAGGTGATTTGATCACAGTGTGCAGTCCCAGTGCTGATCATCTATGAACAACACTCTTGACTTTGCGCTACCAAAGGAACCAGATATCATGATTTTTGGGCTCTATGTTTATCCTTAGCCCGATCGCTGCTTCTTTCCATCCCACCACGATTGAAATACTACCCTCGAATCTCATACAGCACTTGAACTCCCCTACGAAACCTCCAGCCTCAACGCATCATACTGCACATAAACCGTGGCCGGCAAAACCGCCGTCTCCGTATCCGTTGCATTAAACGGCAGATGCAAGGTCAGGACATTGTTCCCGACCTTCAGCCAATCCACCGGGAACTCCATGCGCGAGCGAACCTGATAGCAACTGACTGCCGACCGCACAATGCAGCTGCTTGACTGATTAAACCCGATCAATAGAGTCAGTGGCTCCGCTTGGTCATTGATGTAGCTTTCCAGCGCGAGGTTAGTATATGGTTCCTTTGGACTGTAGACGTCCGTGTTTCCGGAGGCCGTCTTGGCGCCCGCGAGCTGAATGGTGAGAGTGGCTGTGGATCGCTGCGCAAGGTCATCCTCGCTCAAGGGGAAGTTGATCGTCCAGTCGTGCGTGGTATCGTACTCGACACGTGGGTCGTTGGGGGTCGGTCCGAACACGGACCAGTGCACGGTGTTCAGATCGGTTGCTGGATCGCTGGCCCCGATGGTGTAGTTGATTCCGTCCGGGAAGTCTGTTTGCCAGTCATATGCGCCCCAGTAGATAAGGTACTCTGGGGGATGCAGTGGGTGTGTGGGGTCCCTGGCAACTCCGTGTCGAAACTCTCCAGACGATTTGTCTGGCGTCCCTAGTCGCCAGATCTCGGTGCCTGCGGACTCTGCGACCCAAGTCTCTTGGATATTGGTGGTCTTGCCAGCCTTGACATGCACGCCGTCACGTTCAAAGTCACCGAAGATTCCGTCGGCGTATACGGTTACCCGGTACGTCCCTTCTTTGACGTGGTCGATGTTGAACCGTCCGGACGCGTCAACCTCAGCCCAGTACTGGTACGAGGAGGCATTTGCCGAGTTATCTTGGAAATATTGCCCATCCACGGTGAGTACAGCCACAGGTCTGGTGGCCCCCTCCGGGAGGTCGATCTGCCCTTGCACACTGCCGCGTTTGCTGGAGGGTGCATATCCGACTACATGTTTGGCGATCGAGTCGTAGAACTCCAAGTTCCAGCTCGGATCTGCCAGGGACTCTGCATCCGATTTAAGCTCCTGCAGCGAGGCAGAGCCCTTCCCGCCGTTGAAGTAGTAGAATTGAGGGCCAAAGGTCCGATCAAAGCCGTAGGTGATGTTAGGAGTCCCTTCGCCATGATGGTTAGACACGAGGTAGTTGTAGACGATACCATCGACAGTGAGGTCAGAGTGCAGCGGTCCCTAGACGGTCAGCATCGAATCAGACGAAGACATAGCATCACATACACCATAATACGTATCCTGCGCAATGAAAGCATCAGCAACCCATCACACAATTCCCTCAGAACAATATCCCACTCACCTTCGTATTCATAACCAACCAGGCCCCAAACGTCGTCCCATTCGAAGTCGACCCATCGGCGTAAACCCCATGCACGGAATTCTCCCTCCACGCTACATAACCGTCAGCTCTTCTCTCCATCCATCCATCCACCCCTCCATCCAGCATCTGAAACAAACTCACAATTCGAAAACGTATACTTCGTAAAATAATCCGAATACTGGTCATAGTACGCATCCCCGGGCGTATTATTAAACGTCCAGGTGGCATCCTGCACGACCACCTCCTCGTCAATCGCCTTTTCACTTGGCAATGGGGCCGTCTGGACCTCACTCGAGGTTAGATGGGTCCAGAGGTCGGTATTCGGGCGAAACAAGGTTCTGAATTCTTGGAGGTTGCGGAGATATGGTGTGGAGGCGTTGTAGTATGCGAGTCGACTGAATGTGTGGAGACCGGTTTCGCCGTCTCGGAGGAACCAGTATTGTTGGAAGTGTTGGCCCGTCGGGAGGTAGGTCGAGTCCATGATTACACCCGCATATTGGGTGTTGGTGGTGTCGGTGCCGGTGAGGAGACGGAGGGTGGAGTTGGAGGTTGAGGACGTGGTGGAGCCAGGGGTGTGGAAGCCCGAGGGGATGCAGTAGCAGTCGAGGTAGGGGCCCACGCCGGTGTCGCCGGATTGGGGACCCAGGAGGTCTTGGGTGTCGAGGTAGAGGTCGGTGACTCGGCCTTGGGATTTGGAGAAGTGGGCGGTGAGGCGGTCGTTGGAGATGGTGATGGTGCTGGTGTTTTGGGACATGTGGAGGGTTGCGGAGGTGAGGGTGAAGGATAGGGTGGTTATTAGGCTGAGGGGGAGAAGTTGGCGCATTGTGGGTGGTGAGTTCAGGTATAGTTGCGCGAATGGGTTATGGAGGGTGGTGCAGATATGTGCCGTTCCTGACGAAGTCAATTGGCGCCATCTTATAGCTATTGTAATGGTGAGATCCCTCCGGTCTGGAATACCCCGAAAGAAAAGATTGGCGTTTGTAGGCGATGCAGCCAAGAAGTATGTGTGAAATAGTACAACGGGAAATTACTGCACACACATCGTCCAAGGCCATCAATGGCGATGGAGTACAATCTGGGGAAATGCGGGGAATCAACAGCCAAGAAAAGCGGATAAATAGGTGCCAGATTTCGGCGAGCATTGTCCCGACAACAGCTGTCATCGGAATCCCCAGACGATTGATCCGTATGCGGGGGATACAGTGAAGTATTCTGCGCTGGTGCGGATTCCATGATGTTCGTTATATTGAAGTGCCATGTTTGGAGCAGCTGCCTCAACGCAGTTATCCAATTGCCACTTGACGGCAGAGAGAACGGCAGAGACATCTCCTCCGGAATAATGCTACCTGAAGAGAACGACTCTAGGATCAGAAGATAAATGCCGTCTTTGTTGCCGAATGGCCATTCGAGGTGTCATCAGTCGTTTCTTTGAAGTGCCGTCTCTCCTCACCCATCAAACTTAAGTACAGGCTAACCCAGAGTAAATAGGGTTCAATTCCTAGCGTGATGTCATTCATTCAGACGTATCCGGCCCGTGGCATCTACCCGACAGTCTTCCGATGCTAGAATCTAGATCCCAGGTCAGCAGAACGCAAGGATCAGCGCTGTTCCCCGGATCAGCCACCTCGGAACCCTGGTATACCCTGTTACCCCCAGAAATAATCTCTCGAGTCTCATCGAGTTGGAAACGGGTCCGCATCCGACGGTTAAGGTTCTCAGGGTATATAACCTCGGGTAGGATGTCAAAACCACAATTGAAGGCAGTTTCGGAAACAATTCCTTTGATTAATGGCCGATTGGTGAAGCTCCCGATCAGAGTTGTCCTTGGCATCTCGTCGCCCAAACACCGTGCGCTCTGTTGATGCAGACCCGAGCGCCCAGCCAAAGTTCCCCACGTCTCTTGTCTGCAAGGGGCCAGACGTTTATTGCGTGCGGAATTGTCTAAAGATATAAGTTACCCTTGGGGGATAGAAAGTGAGGTGTAGATTGTCTGTAGCTTGTGGTGACCGTCCAAGTTGCTCGCTTGTTTTCGTTTCTCACCCTGTTACCTGTCGACCCAATCCACGACCAACAGTCGCTTTCTCGAGCCATGGCAAAAAATAATCCTTTGTATGCAGACATATACCGCTGTGAAACAATGAAGGGAGATGGCGATGAACAAGTCCACCTGGAGGACATATCCCCGACGCCACCTGACCAACAATACAGTAACAGGGACCTTCGGGTGGACACTTCTCCTGCAAACCCTCAGAACTGGCCTGTATGGAAGAAGGATGCTCAGATTCTGATGGTAGCCTTCCATTCCATGGCAGCAACATTCATGGCTGCAGGAATTATCCCGGCCTATGACACGATGGCCGAAGCGTATGCTGTGACCGTGCCACAAGCAACTTATCTTACCTCTGCCCAGGTATGACTTCGACTCTGCCCCCTGATAAAGGTCGCGAACTCACATATATCTGTCACGCAGATCTTGCTCCTAGGCATATGCCCCCTTTTCTGGAAGCCCATCACCTCGACCTACGGACGATACCACGTCTTCATCTTCTCTGTCCTTGGTAGCATGGTTTGCAATATTGGCGGAGCTCGTTGTACCACCTACGGGACACAAATGGTAACCCGAGTGCTCACGGCAATCCTTATCTCTCCTCCCATGGGAATCGGTAGCGGCGTGATCGCAGAGTTGTGTGAGCCAGAAAAGCGAGCCCAGAAGCTAGGATGGTGGACTCTCATGCTCACACTGGGAACTCCTGGCGGCCCGCTCATCATGGGCTTCGTCACCAAGCGTGTCGGGTTCGAATGGATGTTTTGGATTTTCGCCATGATGAACTTTGGGCAGCTCATCGCGTATTTGCTGCTCGGAGAAGAAACATTATACATTCCGGCTGACGGCGATACTTATGGGGCAAATCCGGAAAGACCTCGTTTCTTCCAGAAGTTGATTCCACGCAGAATCAACCCACATCCGCTTAAGCTTCGCGAGTTTATCGAGCCACTTCTCTATTCGCGGTTCCCTAGGGTACTAATTCCCGCATGTGCTCACGCTATCGTGTTCTGTTATGGAAACATTGCGCTGATTGTCGAGATGCCAATTGCATTTGGTGAAAAGTTCAACTTTGATTCGCAGCAAATTGGGCTGCAGTTCATCGCGATCGTCATTGGATGTCTGCTTGGCGAGCAGTTGAGTGGGCCCATGTCGGACTGGTTTCTGCAAGTCATGCATAGGAAGAAAGGATATCACCGCCCTGCCGACCGTCTATGGCTCTCTTATATTGGCTTTGGGACCGTCATTGCAGGCCTTCTCGTATGGGGGTTCCAGTTAGAAAAGGCGACCAGCTGGAACATGACCCCATGCGTTGGTGCGGCAATCGCCAGCTTTGGCAACCAGATCATAACAACGATTCTCATATCGTTCGCCGTTGACAGCTATAAAGAATCGTCGACCAATGTCGGAGTCTGCATCAACTTCTTCCGCCACATATATGGATTTGTAAGTGGTATCAGAGGTGGTCCAGACCGAGTGGCTAATAGTTTCAGATTGGTCCATTCTATTTTCCTCCGATGTTCAATTCTTTGGGTTTGGCCGGTGCAGCCGGTGTTATGTGTGCGATTATCGGAGCATGTGCACTGCCTTCAGTCATTGCCATACAGTTCGTAGCTACGCGAACAGATCGAAAGAGACAGGATGTCACACACTGAGGAGTTGCACATCATGCTGGGAGCCCGTCAGCAATTTGATAGCTTGGTATAATAAGAGACGGTTGTATCGCATGACTTACATACAGTGAAACGTACAAAGAAATGAAGCAATTATTTCCCTAGCTAAAGGTTAGCCATATTAATTCAATGACAGCTTTCAGTCTACGCGCGGCTGCGAGCTCAACTTTCGTGGATCATGATACGTGTTACTCTGCCTCTAAACAATGGCCCATAAATGAAGACCTGAGATATGGATAGATGTCCTAGGGGGCAACTCAGAATAGATTGCTTGGAACGCTGTTCAGCCATGACATATCTTGAAAGTCAGGGGGGTCTAGACCGTCTAGGAGTACGGAGTTTATGCCCTCCCCTAGGGATAAATCACCGAGGCCATGCGGTGCACTGCCAGTGTGGAATGTGTTTATTGGGTGATCATTAGGGGAAGGCCCTTCCGACACGACCCTTTCGTACAGAATTTCAAGCGCTGCAACACAGCGCCGGGCTGATGTACTGTGGCTATGATACCGGCGCAACACCTCCAAAGCACTATCCCAGGATTGCGCGATTGCCGTTTCGGTCACCTCGTCTAGAATGGCAGGACAGAGACGGCCTGCTATAAGAACAGTGGCAGCCGTGTAGACATCTGTATTCATCAGCCTTGAAAAATTATCCAAGAGGCTGAAATACTTACACAGAATGTTGTACCACCAAGCAGGAAGGGGACCCGAACTCCCATCAGCGGGTAAGTTACCATGAATTAGTCCAATTACTTCTTGTGCAACCTTGACGCAAATGATAGAGCACTGCAACGCAACCCGCTGGGGAAAAGAATCACGGAAGGATATCAGGGGATCCGAGATCCCGATCTCGCGCGAGGTACAGTATCTAGATAGGATAGGTCTGAAAAGAAGCATGCGCACATGAAGAAATCTGGAAAGGGGTCATATCAGTGGCAGATCATTGTTTGACACTCAGATAACCATACCTGGCGCGTAATACAACACTTTGATGGTAGAACACCGTATACTCACCTCCGGGATAGGACTCGCCTCGCAAGTGCGAGGGTAGACTGCGAGACCACTTCGTAAGAGCCCTATCAAGTTCAAAGATTGTTCGCTCTCCCTGGTTTGCTTCTTTGTCAAAGTAAAAATCATAGATGTCTTCTGGACTCTCGTCTGTTGTGGGACTATAGAGGCTGAGAAGGATATCGTTCAAAATTTCATATAGCTCAAGAGATTTTGCATAGAAAGCCATGACCGATGGTCGGTTAGCTGGTTGTGTCACCTCGGACCCCGACACAGCGGGTATATACTCCTCATCCACATTAGCTGGTAAGGGAACAGATCCGCATGATGCCTTGGAGATCATGGCCGGACGCCCAAATGTCATAGATATGACCCTATCGAACGTTAAAAGTGGAAAAGGATGAGTTTGGCATTCTTCATGACAAACCGGTCCATCAAGACACATCCGTGCCAGATTTTGCGAGCCAGCTGCTGCTCTTGTGGATTCTGAAGACAGGCAATTGTCTGTGGGAGGTGTAAGCCAAGGCCCTGGGCATTTCGGATCGCCAGTCCTGTGACAATCCAGCACTGATGAGCCGAGTCGGTACTTTGAAGGTACTGGGCCATCAGAAGTAAGCATTGGATAAGGGCGGCAGAACCAGTGTTCCATAAGTCAAACTGAAGAAGGTCTTTTGCCCGAGCGAAGAATGCATCCGCGGAAGCCTCTCGCTCCTCGGGAGGAATGAAATCAGCCAGTTGACAGGCCAGTGCAAATATGACATTGAAGGTACACATTAGCATATTTTCGTCGGACTGAAGGGCTTCCCCCGTCCAGATCCTTTCATACTCAGCTCTCAATTGAAGACCATCCAGAAGGGGATAGAGTGGGAAAACGAACGTCCAGTATACTCTCATCAGGCTGTCGGCAGTTTTTCTTGGGGGAAGAACATAATTGGGGACTGTTGACAGTCGTTGTTTCCTTGTGGACATGAGGCTGGATGGCGGAGCAAGCCCCAGAACAGAGTCTGAAGTGTGGCGATTGGGCGAAGGGACCTTCTTATCCACGGCCGTTTTGATTTGACGTATGAAGCTAGCAGCGCTGGAGCTTCCAAAAAAGCCCTGCGATGGGCGTTCGTCTTCCACAGCACCCATCATCGCATTAACACTATCCGCTGGGTCCTTCATTCGCAACGACTGCTCTCGTGAGTGTCGCGGTGACCAAGTAGTGTGCCTGGGGGCACAACCGGTATTTGCCTCCGGGGTGATCGAAGGTGACACGGCGCAATTCACTTGGAAATCGCCTGGTCTGTCATGGCGTTGTGAATATCCTGTTTCCCGACTGTCTGGATCTTTTGTCGGGCTCTCTAGATGCTTTATCCGACTCTCCAGGCTCGCAATATAACTATTACAAAACCCTGTCAGTGAAAACCGTCGGAAATATCCATCGGCTGTTTATGCCTCATATATCAGGCAGAGACTCACTTGCGCACTGCTCGCTTCTTCTCGAGCTCCCCGGTATAAACACATTGCGTCGTCTGGTCCACTCGCCTGGCGCATGGCCCACAGACTGCACTTGAAGGTCAGCAAAAGGCGGGATCATTCCGACGGCCAGGATGGGGAAAAACCGACCGGGTTGTCTCCCGTCACACCGGACCTTCCGAGCACGGCATTCGTCACACGCAATGGCTACTTTACGTCGTTTAGGGGGCCGGTCGGACCTGTCAGTATGACGGGTCTGCTGAGTGCGCGGACTTGACATGGGTACCCGCAGTCATGCGATGCTAGGAGAAATTTGTTGATGGTCTCGGGTGGGTAAAATGCAGGAAGGAAGAGAATCCGGGGTCGCGGGGACTAGCCCGGGGAGACCGGTCGCTTCCGAAGTGGTCCATTGCCTGCGAGTGCACCAATCGTTTTCATGTTTCTGTTGACAAAGGTTGTGCTTGTGGCATTTCTATCCACTCAATAACCAATGACTATCTTGTCGTATTGAGTGGGGCAGCTATCATCCATACCATCATCAATGGGTGCGGAGTAAGTGCTAGGAACTGGGATGAAGAAAATATATAAGGAGGACGTAGTAATCTTAAGGACTTCATGATGATTATGGATCTTGAAGCCACAACGCTCACTTATTCCTAGCACTCTATCTCACTTGCGATATGTTCGATCACCTTAATATGCGCAACTACATAATGGGTGAGCTCTGCCTGGGCTTGATCAAATCCCTCTGTCCATTAATATAGTTCATGCCATGCATCCCCCTAAAGGCGGTTCGATAAGCTTACCAAACTCGGTCGGATTGCTCGGCCAAGGCCGGTAAAGGTATGTTTAACAAACGGCAATTTGCACCCGATCGTTGGCAAGAGGTAAATACCGCACAATACTACTTGTTCTAGTCATCGGGGCTAGGTATGGTCTGACGGCTCAGTAGACAGTATTTCTGGGATTATTGGTCTATAGGTTAAATTAACAGAAAGTGTATTCATCAATTGGCCTGCTGGCCCAATGGTAAGGCGCTTGACTACGGATCAAGAGATTGCAGGTTCGAGTCCTGCGTAGGTCATTCTTTTTGCATTTTTTGCCTCTTTCAAACACTCCGTACTTTTTACGCAGTACTCCATAAATAAGCTGGGATGCAGCGTTTACTGTGTTGTGGTGTGTTGGCAGCAGTGTTGCTAATGTCTTAGTGTGGCTGGGTCCTGCCTGCCACATCGCAACTTCAAACGTGCACCTCACCTTGAAGACCCCCCGTCTCCTCCAAGATAGTGTCTCCTAAGCATAGACCTATGTATCCCAACCTTCTTTTCATACAGTGGCGTTACATTATTATCTATCACCTCAATGACACGGCCGCCTCTAGTCATGATAAGAAGTCGTACATTTCTCACAAAATTGAACACGTTCATCTCCCGACCCAAGAAATGGGAACAGCGAGGATTGATGAGCACTCAGCCTCCTCGAATCAACACCGAAGGGCCTTTCGAGGAGGAGAGGCTTCCTTCCTACAGACCCGAGCAATTCTATCCAGTCCACATAGGGGAGTTGTTGAAATCAAGATATAAGGTTTTAGGAAAGCTTGGATATGGGTCTTACTCAACAGTATGGTTATGCCGTGACATGAGGTGGGCCATTCCCCGCTCAGGCTATTCGTCCCTAACAATATCCCACGCAGCAACCGTGACTATGTCGCCGTGAAAGTTTTAGCAACAAACATGTCGGAGCAAGCGTCATCAAGGGAGGTGGATGCTTATGAACACCTAAGCAGGCTGGGCTCGCAGCATATCGGAGGTGCCTATATTCGCGGCCTCTATGATACCTTCGATATATCTGGTCCAAATGGCGTCCACGGATGCTTGGTGCAGCCACCGATGCATATGTCAATCCATGAGCTGAGAGTGCGAGCTGAATCTTGCAAGTTCAGTCCGCCACTGCTAAAACAAACCCTCATTTGCATCTTACAGGCCCTCGACTTTCTCCATCGCGAAGCAAAAATCGTCCATTCGGGTATTCTTCCACTCTCGGCACTTCAACGTGTCTGACTATTCATTGACTATATTATAGATATCAAGGCTTCGAATATCATGCTGAATATTGATGATGCATCAATCCTTGCGGAGTTTGAAAAGGCCGAAGAAGAAAATCCAAGTCCGCGGAAGATTGTGGACAGCAATCGGACAATTTACAAATCGCGGAAGCTCTCCTCTCCCAGAGATGGCCTATGGGGCCAACCGGTATTGTGCGACCTTGGAGAGGCCAGGATTGGAACATGTCACACGGGGAATATCCAACCCAATATCTACAAAGCCCCCGAGGTGCTTTTTGACATGAAATGGAGTTTCAGCGCTGACATATGGAACCTTGGCGTCATGGTAGGTCGATTACATTTCATAAGGGAAGGATAGGCTAATTACGGCAGATCTGGGATATCTCTGAAAACAAACATATGTTCAATGCGCTTGATGAGGACGGGGAGTACTCACCTTCCCATCATGTGGCTGAAATGGTAGCATACCTCGGAATGCCACCACTTCACTTTCTCCAGCGCAGTCAGGAGACTCGCCATGTTTTTGGCGAAGATGGTCAGTTCAATATTTCTCTAGTGTGAATGAAGCTGATTGTAAGTAGGTAACTGGTTAGGTGCGGGTGATGTCACTATCCCATCGGTGTCGTTGGAGAGATCAGAGGAAAGCCTCAGTGAACAAGACCAGCAGACTTTTCTTCGCTTTATGCGGGGCATGTTGCAATGGGTCCCTGAGGAGAGATTGACGGCGAAAGAGTTATTGGATGATCCGTGGTTGAATGATTCACGAGTTAGATACATTTCTGTACTCCGACCTTAACCATCGAAACAAGGAGAGCCGTCAAACCGCTGGGAGGTGATATATTATTTAGTCAGTAGGTACAAATAAGCTTCTTCAACCGGGTCTACCATTTCACAGAATTGACAGCAGTGTCCAATAGAGCACGCCGGTAAGCAGAGGTAAGCGCTTCTGCCACAATGCCAGGACGTCCTGCTAGAGATAACGAGAACACAAAATCAGTCCTATTCGAAATCGATCTGGAAACAAATCAGAGAGCCCACGCAGTGTCAATATGTTGGTTTATTCCACCCCTTTTAATCAATAAATACCCACTGCTGGGAGATCAGCGAATACCTTCTACACGCCCGATGGCCACTATGGACACATAACCGTCCCACAGAGCCAAACAACGCTACCACAGACGACACATCTATCACTTCAACACACCCAATCCCTTCACCATGTATATATAATATTCAATTATGTTAAGCCTCAGCACATTCACCCAGCAGCGAATGGCCAGCACAAAGAATGTAAACGAACAAGAGCAAAGCGAGAGGCATAAGCCCACAAATCAATCGCGTGAACTGACTAGAACATGTCCCTTTCCACAACAACATCTGACTGTACATTGATTGTATATCCAGTTACTCCGGAGGGGTTTGACATGAGTCCCCGGGGATGAAGACGGTTCACAGAATGCTGCCGATGGCGATGCAAGGAAGATTGACCAGGTTGCCGCTCTGATGATGCCATGCTTGTTAGTATTCGAAACTTGATGATCTGGGATAATTATGATGGTGACTTACTCCTCCAGTGCAGCAAGCCACGCTCTGACCCTTGTTGTTCGGGCCGCCTATTAATCACCAGGTCAGCATGAAGTAACCCACAGATCGATTACAAGACCGAGACGAGAGGAGAGGAAAGGGATAGACATACAAGGACTACAACTCTTCCCACCTTCCACCTTACTCGGCCCATGCTCGCCCATCTTGCTCAGAAGGGTATCGCTATCGCTGATGCCTCCAGTGCTCGGGGTGAAACCCGTGCAGCACAGAACGGTGTTATCGCCGCAGGTGTTCTGCGCGTCAGCCTTGTTGAGGTTCGTTAGGCCGGTTTGCTTCGCCCAGGTGAAGTCCCCCGGGACGATGCCGGCCATGGCGGTGGCGGCGAAGAGGGTGGCAATGGTGATGAATTTCATTGTGGGGGTGGTTGGATTGATGATGAGGGGATGGATTGGATAGGAACTGATTGGATTGTTGTTGTTGTTGTTGATGGATGGGATTGAACGGTGCGAGAGCCCTCTTTATACCGCCCAGGGGTTCAGTGCACAGACTGTTCGTCGCTGACTCCAATGCTTGTAACAAGGCAATCTAGAGCCCGCCGGGTATATCCCCGGTCAGCTCCTTGCAGGAAACAGCCGTGGTGGTGGCGATACAACAAGGTTGACAGGCAGCTAAAGAAAGCGGATTTACTCCATATTTCCGGTGAGAGGCAACACAGTGAGGCAACCAGGGCTCTGCTATCCAAGACGGACTCATTCCCGAAATGCTCGCTGTATGTCAATCCTCCACCCTTTCAATATTGGCGGGCCTATACTTACAGACCAGAGCGCCTCAGATTTCACAACAGTCCCCAAGAATACAAGATCGTCAGGAGACAATCTGACATGTTTCTATCCGCCGCCCCATCCCCACCTTTAAGGCAACTGGAACGGCGGATGCAGACTATGACAGCTCATTCTAAGCCCCAATGCCCCACAATTTCCATCTGATATCACATACACCATTCAGGGGAACTGCCAATTATTGAATCGTCTTCCTAAGCCCCGAGAACGGAGAATCGGAATGCTATTTTGCGTTTATGTAGGGGTTCGGATGATACCGAGGGCGTTTACTTGTAGAAAGGTTATCGGGCAGGGCGGGCTGGTAGTACAGTTTATCTGGTCGGGGAAAACAAGGTGACGGCTCTGCTTCCGGGATGGTGCATTGGAGGTTCATGGACGTGCTGTGAGGGTATCTGTTGAGTAGATGTGAAATGTACGAGTCGACTGTACGGAGTAGGCTGTGGCAAGATAAGGCGACAGTCATGGCCTTGCCACTATTGCCTTGTCAGTAGTGCCTTCTAGGCAACTTGATATGATGACAAGAATAGTATCATCGGCACGCCTCGACAGAGCCAGACCCCGACGTCAATTCCCGTCGCCACACTGAGCATAAACGATAAGAATTGACATAGCAGCGACCTGAAACAATAGTCTAAACATATACGAGAATCCATCTATGCCAAGAGCTATCGACATAATTCTATTCAAGCAAGTCATGCACAACATACGTACCTGGGCCACAAGGCCCCAAATATTCACATATCCATATCCATATCCATATTCGTAACCAAGTATATCATACCGAGACATCTGATCATACCATCACCAACTAAACGACTCCTCCACGAACCGTATCCGCCGATACCCCCGTCTCATCGCCAAATGCACCGCCGCACGCGCCTCATCCGCCAACGCCACGGGCCCACACACCAGCACGGCCGCGGACGATTCACTGAGTTGGGCTTCCTGCGCGTGGTCTAAGATCATAGATTCGAGGTCTGGTCGGCCGTGAAGTGTCTCGATTTTGTTTTCGTGACCGGGGGAGGGATTTGGGGCGGGGGCGTCGTCCGTGGGAGTGGATGTTGGGGCAGTCGTGTAGAATGAGGCGCGGAAGTCATCGCGGGCTAGAGCGGGGGCGAGTTCGCGGGTGGCGATTTGGTGGATGAAGGGGGCTTGGCGGGTTACCCAGATGAGGTGCATTTCTCGGGTTTGTGTGGTGGGTTGCTCTGAATCGGAAGATGAACGGAGGAGATGGTCTTGGATGTAGGGAACTACGGCGGCGATGCCGGTGCCGCCGGCGATGAGAAGGACGGATTCGTAGTTCCACAGCGGGAAGTGATTCCCGTAGGGCCCTTCGAGGAGGATGGCCCTGTTGATGGTGAGATCCGGAGATTGGGTGCATTGTTGGCGGAGGGAACGCGTCCAGCCGTCGTATGGGCGGATCCAGAAGATGAATTTGAGGTCGTGTTGGTCGGAGGTGTGCTTGAGTTGCATTTCGTCGGGGGTGTTGGATGATCCGGATGAGGAGTCGGAGAGAAGGGGGACTTGCGTGACGTCTACAGTGTGGTCGTCTTTGGACACGCGGGGGGTTTGGGGTGTTTGATAGCGGGTCTCGTAGGACCAGTAGCCCAGGGTGAATGGATGGCTTTCCCAGCCGGTGAGTCGGAAGGATTGGTAGAGGTAGTAGAAGTCCCCTGGAGTTGAGCATATCATGGATGATCCTGGTGTGACTTCGAGGCGGATGACGTCGGCTGCTGGATCGTATGTCGCAGAGCTGCTGGTACATTGTACTTGGTTGCCCTTGTTGAGTCGTACGTGGAGGTTGCAATAGACCAGCCGAACTAACCGGAGAGATCGATCGAGGATCCAGATCACGACTGCAGGCCACAGATAGTTCCAGTACTCGTGACCCTCGAAGATGATCGTATGACTAGGTTGTCAGGAAAAGCATGATAAGGTGGGGGGGGATGTGGTACTGACTAGAAGCAACCGACCAGTAGTCCTAGGGAGAAGAGAATGTGGATGAAAAGAAAGGTCTCGTATAGTCGATGGCGAAACCACTGCACTGCGAATGGCAGAACCAACACCATCAACACGGTCGCCTGCGATAGTGTGAGTCTGATGACATGATCTCGGATGGTAACACTTACTGCAGTTCCCCAAACTAGGTACGGCTTTCGAAGCTTCTTCAAGATATTGCCTTCTGTATTGAGTTAGAGGGATAATGCAGGGTATCGGGCAGGCAGCATACTTTGATACATAATCACCAGATAAAGAAGAGTATGGAAGACAGCCTGAAGAGTAGCGATCCAGGCAATATGTCGGTGAAACAAATTGAATGTCGCGAAACTCCAGCCGGTTGCCCAGATAAAAATGTTGTTGCGTCCGGCAAAAAGCCATACCAGAGGAATATTGGCAAAGCACAAAACACCGGTCCGATCAGCGGCATAACGCAGAATTTGGGACGAGATCGAGGGCCAACTGACAGTCCGTCAGCTATGGACAATAGGTAGAATCGGATGACGTACTAGATATTCCCCTCAACCGCCCGGTATCCCAAGGTGCAAAAGACAGCGCTCAGCACCCAGAACAGAAGGATGGTGACGGCTTCGATGCGCGTGGGAAACGTCCACCAGAGGAGCTGCCGCCGTGACGATGACAACGGCGAAGAGACCACCAGGTGAGTCTGCAGCCAGTGATAAAGCCCATCCAACGGTATCCATAGCCATCTGATTCGTGATCGCGACCATTGTCCCGCCCGAACGTCCAGCGAGTGTAAGATGTGTCGCACCAGGCGATGGGTAATCCCCGCTACTAAGATCGAGCCCCAGAAGGCGTACCCCGCGAGGCTGTTGCGGTCAGCGACGCTCATGGAAGGTCGCACAGACTGGCTTACCCGAATGCATTGTGCGACCACACCTCAAATTGCCAAGTATCCTATTCAGACGCATGATCAGCTGGTGGCCTCCCCGTGCATGCCCAAGACACGTACAATAGTCTCGAAAGTCCGACGATAGTAAGATGGCGAGATCAGGACCGGCGTTGGAAGACGTTGTGACCGCGAGATCTCAAGATAATCGACGACCGGCATCCGACTGAGCGCATGGCGAGTGAGATTCTCCGCTAGCTGGGCGCGCGGAATCAAGTCCATTCTGCCGAATTCCCGACAGAATCCTTCCAGCTGAGCAGTCCCCGTGGTTTCCTCATCAGGAGTACAATAGACATCAGAGGCCGCATAGATGGAGGTCACCTGGAGCGGGTTTTGGCAGCGCGTCTCCCAGAAACCGTCCGCAGGCTCGCCCGCAAACGAGAGATAGCTCAGGGCGGTGTACACCGCCGTCACACAGCCTTCGTCGGTTCGCGGGCGGCCCGCCAAGGCCAGCCCGGAGTAAACGAGGAGAAAGAGCCAGCCGAGGGGCACCATGGCTGGGATGGCAACTGGAGGGGGATGGATACAGAAGGGAAGAGGCAGAGAGCGACGACGCTTGGAGAGGCTGCCAGTGGGGCATGACGGATTTGCCCACAGGATCCGTCCGAGTCCGACCAGGGGCTAGGAACATCGAGCCCCACGTGGCCCAGAGAGGGGAATTGGATGGTACAAGCAAGCGGCGGGTGGGGGTCCAGATTGATGTCTAAATCGAAACAGACTGGACAAAGATCATATACATTGGAGAATCACTGATCATCAACTCCGTGGGATTTCACCGGACTGGGCGTCTGGGCACACCCCGTGATCCTGGGGATGGGACTATCTAATCTGATCGAGCCATCTGATAGCAGTCGGCGCCGGTGATTGGCTGTGGGTCACGCTCGATTCCCCGGGGCCTGAGGCCGCAACCGGCAGGCACCGGGTATCGTATTCGGCCGGGATTAGGACCAAGGAAGGTATCGGTCGTTGGTGTTTTGATTATGGGATCCTTCAGAGCGGAGACAATTACTCAGAAAATTACGACTATCAACCAAGGACAGCTAGTACTTCGAAGCATAGTACTCGAAGACACTACATTCACAACCATTGCTGGTCCATAGTAAACACCAACTCTATTGACAGACGGTGTGAACCTCTCACCACCATTCCAATGAACGACTACCGCGATAAGAAATGCAAAAAACAAGAAGAGGATTACTGCATCACAACATCAAACCCCTCAAAGTGCGGCAACACTTTCCGAATCTCCGCGCGATAATTCGGAATCCCGCCCGTATAATTCAACTGCTCGAACGGCTTCCCCGGAAACGTGCCCCCCATATACGTGGACCGCGTCGTCGGGAACAAGGTACGATCCGACAGCGTATTGATGGTGTGTTTCCATGCATGCGTAGACGCCAATGTCGGATCAATGGATTTGATCCCCTTCCGCTCCATCGCCTTGATCGCGTCCACAATCCATCGCCCCTGCACCTCGATGGTGGTAGGTCCATTGGAGATTGCCGTGGGTGCATGGGGACCGTACATGAAGAAGAGATTGGGATAGCCGTGAATGGTGAGTCCGAGGTGCGTGTGCACCGTCGACGCCCATTCATCTTTCAAATATGTCCCGTGGATGCTGCGCAGACCCATGTTCACAAGCCCACCCGTGGACACGTCGAAGCCGGTTGCGACACAGATCACGTCGAATTCATGCTCCGTACCGTCGGCCATGAGGATGCCTTTCTCCGTGAACGACTCGATGGCGTTGCTACGCACATCGACCAGGTCCACATTGGGTCGGTTGAACTGATCGTAGTAGCTGACTTCCAAGCTGGGTCGTTTGACTCCCCACGGGTGAGGTGGCTCCAACGGGGCCAGGAGATCGCGAGTGGCCGGATTGTCGATGCGTGCGCGGACCTTGCGCGCCCAGAAATCGTAGATGTTCCGGTTGGCTGTGGTATCAAATAGGGAGTCAGGGTACGTGCCAACCCAGTACCGGAAGCCCCCATGCTCCCAGAGCTGCTCCAGAAAAGCCTGACGTTCCTTGTCGTCCTCGTCGAATACGCCCCGCTCGATGAAGTCGTATGTGAAGCCCCCGAAGGACCTTTCCCGGAGCTGGAACAACTGCGGATATACCGGCTTGACTCGTTCTTGCTCTTCCACGGTGAGAGGGCGCAGACGCATCGGGATGGCTAGGTTGGGCGTGCGTTGGAAGACCTTGAGGGAGCTGGCAACAGGTCCCAGGGCTTGGGTCAGCTGGACCCCCGACGCTCCGGTGCCGATCACGGCACATCGCTTGTCCTGGACGTTGACGCCTTCTTCAGGCCAGAGGGCCGAGTGGTGGATGTCTCCCTGGAAGGAGTCCATGCCGGGCCAATCAGGAACATGACGCTTAGCCGAAAAACCGGTCGCGACGATGAAATACTTCGCCGTCACCTGGCGGCCGTCGGCAGTGGTGACCTGCCAGCGCCCGGACTTGGGGTCGAACTCGGCTCCCACGACCGTTGTGTCAAACGCACAGTCCTTTTTAACGTCAAGCACGCTTTCAATGTGGTCGAAGTATCGACGCAGCTCGTCATAGGCAGGGTAGTTGGTGGACCAATTCCAATTGGCCCAGGTTTCCGGGAACGAGAACTGATACTCGGGCACCTCGGAGTCCAACCGCGCCCCGGGATAGCGATTCCATCGCCAGGTCCCGCCCAGGTCCGGGGCCGTGTCAAAGATGACCGTTTTCAGATCTAGTTTCCGCAGCTCATGCAGGCAGTAGATGCCGCTGAATCCGGCGCCCACGATCAGGACGTCCAGGTAGAGGTGGTTGGCGTAGGGTCCCCCGAATCCTTTGGGGTTGGAGGTGTGAGGCGGATCAACAGTCATGGTCGAAATGCGTGACGGTAGGGATGGGATTGAGATGGTCTGGGAGGCCGGGGAGGAGGGGGTTGTTAAATAGTGGTCGTGTGCAACCATGGGCCAGCCCCCTATTGCAACCCCGCCTTATGCACGCCAAGTTACACAGCCTGTAGGGGAGAGCCTGGTGGTGATACCAATTTACAACATGGTGAGGGAGCATCTTTCTCTGTACCAGTACCCAATGTGCTGTACGTGGGTTACACAACATCCACTCGCGATGCATCGCTTCATGATGCTTTCTTCTCCATAGAGGCCCAGCCTAAGCAACCGTTCAGGGTAAAATGGTCTCCGTTCGACCGATATTATTGAGCTTATTGATGCTACTTCCTAGCTAGTCCTGGGTCCACTAGAGGGTGAATTCCCCCGTCAGGGGAAGATCCCGACTCGACCGTCCAACATAAACTTGGTACGTGCCCGACTGCAGCTGCCACTGCTGCGCTTCCACGCTCCAAGTGCTCAGATCCCGCCGGTTCAACGAGAAACTCACCTGGACCGTCTGCCCCGAGGCAATCAGCACCTTTTCGAACCCACGCAGCTGGCGGATCGGCCCGTTGGGTATCCCCACATAGAGCTGGGCCACCTCCGCCCCGTCGACCGATCCACTGTTCTGCACCTCCGCCGTCACGGTCACAATCTCATCCCACAGGTGAGGGTTTCCCCCCTCTTGGATCGTGGCAGACGGAGGATACTCGGAGGTGGTGCCGTTGGACTTCTGGATATTCAGCCCCGAGTAGTCAAACGTCGTGTACGAAAGGCCAAACCCAAATTCAAACTGCGGGGTGATGCTTTGCTTATCGAAGGCCCGGTAGTCAATGTAGACCCCTTCGGTATAGTCAGACTGGGGGAATAGTCCATACGGCGTCTGTGGCTCGGACGGATGTAGCAACGTGCCATAATCCGATGCCTGTTTCGCGATCGTATAGGGGAGCCGGCCGGAGGGATTGGCCCGACCGTAGAGGATATCTACCAAGGCATGACCGGTATCTTGACCGGGGAGATGAGCCAGGATGACGGCCGTGACATTCGCATGGTCGATCCAATCGGACACCAGTCGGATACCGGCATTGTGGACGACAACGATGGTGTTGTTACATTTACCGGCGACATTGGTTACCAGGGTATCGCTGTATTCGTCGGTCAAGCCTGGTCGGTCAGAGCCTTCCGTAGCAAAGCTGTTGATGAAAACGAGGCAAGCCTCAGATGTCGGATCCACGTCGGGGTCTTGAGAACTGACATCCCATAGCACCGCTGTGCTATCCTGATACGCCTGTTGCTGAATGGCATTAAGCGGCGCGATGACATAGGCTGGTGAATTAGCCCCAGAGCCACCGCCCACATAGAGTGTGGAGTTCTGGATAGGAGGGCTGCTACTCAAGAAGGTAAAAGTAAGGTCAAATGCATCGGGTATCTTCGCATCATATCCAAAGACAGATACCAACCGTGATGGTTGAAGGGGAAGGGCATTGTTGGTATTCTTTACTAGGACATGACCCTCAATGGCACTGTCTAGCAATGTACCCTTCTCGTCAGACGAGGTGCCGATGACAGCCTGGTGTTCGGAGTAGGCACTTGCAGGCATACCGACACCTGGGGCTGGGAAATCCGTATCTTGGTTCAACTGGTACCACGTGGCAAGGATTCTGTTTCCATCAGACACCATAGCCTACATCCATAAAGATGGAATGCTCACCTGGTCACCATGTCATCCAGCCTGGATGCTTCCATTGTTCCATTAGCAATAGCGGTAGTGAGGTTCGCTCCCCAGAGGGTGGATTCGGGCATCACCATGTCCAGTCCAGCGTTGGCGGAGGCGATACCACCGTGTTGAGCCCCCCAGTCAGTGATTACATAGCCTAGGAGGATCAGTACTCATCAATCTAAGATAGTTGAGAGAGCTTACCTTGGAATCCCAGCTCGGTCTTCAGAAGCCCATTGAGGGTCTTACTATTCTGACATGCGTATGAATTGTTGATACGCTCATACGAGCACATAATTGCAACACTTCCCGCTCGGACAGCATCCTGGAAAGGCCAGAGGTAGAGTTCATGGATTGTCTGATCATCGATGTTTGATGAGACAGAGGCGATCTCGACGCCGTCTTCAACCCCAGGGTTTCGGTTTGTTTCTTGCTCATTTCCAATGTAATGCTGTTCGAGATGAGCCCTGGTGTGCGGCTCCAAAGCAACGGGTGGCACTCACCTTGGTAGAGACACCAACACCTGAAGATTGAACGCCTTGGACTGTCTCATAAACCAGTGCTCCGGTAAGATAGGGATCATTCGAGAACCCTTCCCAGTTGCGGCCCCCTTCGGCCACCCGGCCAAGAGGGCCAACCACAGGGCCCAGGAGAAGATTCACTCCTTTACGATGGAACTCCTGGCCCATGTACACCGCTCTCTGGTGGGCAAGCGTACGATTCCAACTGCACCCGCGCATTAGCTATATAGACTGAGGGGGGTCACTCGAGGAAGGGATCTATACCTTGCACCGACGTGAATGCCACTAGACCAGCCGTTGACATAGTCTGTTCCTCTCTGCTTACGTTAGTGACAGCCGATGCCTTACTTTTGGTGTTTGCACTCACAAGTCCATTGCTTGCATCACTCACGCAGAGCCCGGGAAAGTTCACGCGAGGAATCGCTGCAATTACGCCAGAGCAGCCCGTGGTAGAGCTGACTCCTGCTGTGAGGTTGACCTTCTCTTCGTCCGTGAGTTGAGCAACGAGCGCCTTTGCCTTTTCATACGCTGTAGCCCAAGAGCCAGTACCCGTCCCCTCCGCTACAGAGAAGAGTCAGCGAAAGGTACAGGAAGAAGGAGGCGACTTACGCGATGGGTAGACGGCAGGGGAGTCTCCATAAAAGTAGACATCGCTGGTGATGTTCTGTGCTGGGGCAGCGCTGCAAAGAGAAAGGCCGCCGAGCAGGCCAAAAAGCCCAATGATGCTGTGCATTTTGCAAATGCTGGGTCGACTGCCGACCAACTCCAGACGGATTCTCCATTGCGGTATTTATATGCTACCTGCCGCTCACAATCCGGATGGATAGCAGCGACTTTGCACCCAGGTGCTTGCATCTGTTGGATTGCATGACTAGCGGGTAAACGTCGGAAAACCCGCATATGGGATGGAAGACGAGACCGTCCCTCGCTCGAGCAGCCATGAGTAATGTGGTACAGACACTGGTCGGAGTAACAACAAGCGAGCCGTCTCTTGTCCAACACGCCCGGATGCTTGAGGGACATGAAATGCCGCAACAATATCCCCACATCCCCCATAGAGGCCCCACCTGCGATTGGGAGAGATTCTGGGGAAATGTAGGCTGAGGACCGCCTCATAGGCCAGAACAGGGCACGGGGGTCCATGCAGGGAAAGCATGCCATGCGAGACTCCGCATAAGAGGAGAGTGAAGCGAGAGCTGTGATCCTGCAGTGACTTTGCGCTTGGCTTGGGAAATTAGGCTATTTAGGTTTCGGTCGTCTGACCACCACGGGGATGGGACATGGCGTCAGCAGAAAGGGAGAGCAGTAGGCCCGAGAGTTCTTGTCATCCTTCCTGCTATCCCTAGTCCAATGAGATCATGAGCACCAATGTTAACTTCAAGGCTTGTTAGCGGTTCGGGCCTCGGAAGATGATGAACCAACCCTACATTCTTTGATTACCAACCAAGAGGCCGCGGGTCGTGCCGCTCGAGGCACTGAATCTCTCTCCTTCCCCTCTATCGGGCCAGGAAATCGGCATTTGTGTCGACGGAAGGCTTGATCCAGGTGGATAAAAGACTCCGAGACGAGGACAGGCTTGGGTATGTCCGTTCGGGCAGCAGGCACTGCCAAGCGGAGCGGGAAGTCGGATGGCAGAAGTTGACCCGGCGGGGGGCACAGACAACGTGGTGCAAGTGTTTGCAGAGGGAAGATGATGAGAAAGAGCAAGATAGAACAAATGTCGGGAATAGCGAAAGTTGGGAGTCGAAGGGGAGGCTGTTGTTCCTCCCAAAAGGGCTTGGTACAATCTGGGGCAAACACAACAAACCTCGGCTTGCCTTTTCGGGACTGGGCTCTTCTCCCTCTCCTTTTTTGAAAGTCTTCGGCCGATTCAGATTACCACATTTCTTTCCCCGTAATGTCTGATGAGCCTTGGAGGGATGTTACCTTCGAGGTCACGCATCGGTTATGTGGAGACCAGGATCCGGCAGGGGCCCCACGTCCCTGCTCATTATCCCGGCATCTGGACTAGAGACTCTCCCGCATTTTGCGGGGAAATGCATTGCGGGGGAAAGCCAGGTTTAGTGTGGTTATCCCGGTCGGCCTCCATGACGCAATATTTTAGTTGTCGCTGACAATAGGATGTCTCTGTCTAGGAACGGTGCCAGATTTACCCGTCGCTGCTGCCTACTGTCCGAAGAGCAGTGCTGGCGCGTCAACAATTGCTACATGCCGTTCCGTTTTCCCACAGAGCCTTGGTCCTACTTACCGGGTAAGTACACATACGAGTTTGCACAGTGATTGCGGGGGTTCTGAGGGGATGATGGAATGGGGTTGAGGGTACAGCATTGCCTGGTCGATAAACCGATATTTTCTATCGTTCATACATGTACTACCTTCTCCGCATGGCCGCGATGCCACACCTCCCCAGCAATGCGACGTTGCAACCTGCGCTCCTCGTCCATGAGCTCATCGCCGAACACTGCAGCCATCTGCTCCAGCGATTTGTTCGATGTCTCCGGGACAAAGAAGAAGGAAAACACCGCTGCAGCGACACAGAATAAGCCGAAGAAAAGATAGGTCCCCCATCCAAGTTTGAGGAGCATATCGGGCACTACCACACCGATGATGAAGTTGGCTAGCCAAATCATCCCGGTAGCGGCGCCAACCCCTTTTGCACGCTTGGAGCTGGGAAAAACCTCCGCAGGAAGGACCCAGGCCAAGGGTCCATACGAGGTGCTGTACGAAAGCACATACAGATCTATTACCGGCGTTAGCGGAAACGAGTAAATAAGAACACAAATGGGAGACATGCAAATTAGTGCCACACAGAACCAGCCAACGCCCTGGTGTGCCGCCCAGTCACTACTGTATCGGTCCATTAACCCGGCCATGACGAGATGGGGAATGGCCATGGCGATCCCGCCGTAAATGGCGAGTTTACGTCGTCCCACGCGATCGAGATACATCAGAATCGGGATGCCGCCGACAAGCTGGCAAACATTGATCAAACCAGAGAGAATCAGGGACATATCGTTGCTTTGTCCAAGGGCTTCAAAGAATGTTGGCGCATAGTACACAAACGCGTTGATTCCAGAAAACTACATTGGTGAGTAATTGGTGTCGCGAAGGAGGTTGATTCATTGAAAGATCACTGACCTGTTGGAAAAAAGGGATCGCCAGGGCTACAAGTGTCCGCTTGAGGTACTTGGGCCGAAAAAGGTCTATCCACTGCTTCACACCCACGAGAAGCGGACGGTGAGCGTGGTGCGGATACTCCCTCTCGAGAATTGCCTGCTGAAACTGGACTTCTAATAGTATCCCTTTCCATTCCAGCTGCACATTTTCGTCCTGCGGCGATCGCCTACGCAGCTTTGAGAGACAGTCCAGAGACTCCCCATCGCGGCCTCTCATGGCCAGCCAGCGGGGAGAGAAGGGAAAGAAATGAATTCCCGCACCCACAACCAGGGCAGGAAATATCTGAAGCAGAAAGGGGAGCCGGAACGCCCAATCGTTCGGAATTGATCTATCCTCATGTAAGTGTGGAATCGGGCAATTACTGGCGTTCAGAACGTACCTAGCACCGTAGGTGATCCAATACGAGACAATTGCACCGATGACGATGCTGATCGCTTCCAGTACCAAGAATGCACCGCGCCACGTGGGAGGAGAGATCTCCGAAATATACAACGGGGCACCCAGGGCCAGAGTGCCGACGCCGATTCCCCCGATAAACCGACCGGCGACTATGGTACCGTAATTTTGGACGGCGGTTTGGATTGTGGCGCCAAGTACGAAGAAGAATGTGGCTACTGTCAGCCCCCATTTTCGGGAGATCCGGTCGGCGACGGCAGGGAAGAAGAGACAGCCGACGAAAGCTCCCAACTCCAGCATTCCGGTCATGAGTCCAACGTTGAACCCATAGTGTGCATGATCCGGCGACGTTTCAGGAAATTGGTCTCGGAACTGGGACATGACTAGGATAATGGATATGACACCCTGATCTAGAAGAGATTAAGCGGAATGAATGGGTGTATGACCACCGATGGTTACTGACCATAACCGAAGGAGAAACCACCAAAGGATGCTAACAAGGCTGCTCCAAAAACGTACGGATCGCGTGCAAGATCCCGCAATTCTCCGTTGTCATACCTGACTTCCGATGACAGGAGCGCAAGCGCGTGGTTGTCCGCATACTCATCGTGCACTGCCGAGCGTTTGTCTAGCTTTTCAGGCAGTTCTTGTTGTGCCATTGTGCGACTCGGACTGTAAGAAGAGCTCGACCATGAGAATCAAAGGAAAAGGGTGTAGCTAGACAAAGCTCCGAGATCAAGGCGTCATGCGAGCACTATATACGCATACGGTCGAGCAGCAATTGCCGGCATCCTTGATTGATCATTGTGAGCTGCTACTCCCCGGCGTCATTTTCGGTGTCGGCAATTGAATCCCCGCCTTCAACCTGGGGTGCTGATCTGGGGAAGAGTCATTGAGCAAAGATCCATGGAGCGTTGCGGAGAGCACCCGATTGTCCATCTGGCCTTCATTGGCAGCTGTCCAGGAGACGGAGCATTTTTGCCTGTTTGGGCAATGGCCTGAAGCAGCAATTGTTCCCCAAGCGGTAATACCTAAGATAGACTCAGCCAATCAGCATGTCTGGCGCTTGGCAAGTGGGCCCACTCTTTGTGCCGTCACCGGTCACATCTCAGTGAAATTTGTGAGGCATTGGTGACATCACCTCTACGGTAAGAGAAAGTGCCTGCTCAGCACACGAGGGAGGGACTACAGACTGGGGATGACGGATACGGCCTGAAAGTTGCTTTCGACCCAGCAAGCCATCACCGCCATGCCCTGCAAGTCGTCCCAACTGAGTCGACGCACTCTTGACGGCTTACGATGCAACTACAGTACAAAGCAAAGGGAACCTTAGGAGCCCGCGGTCTCTTTATAGGGCTACGAATGATCAGGGATGGCTAGATACAATTTGTACATCTTACCTTCCTTCTCGGATGCGTGACTAGCTGCATTGCTGGAGCGCTGGTTCACCACGGAAAATAGTTCTGGAGGGCGTTACGAAAACAGTATTAGGTGCCATGAGATGGCCTGGAGTGACCGCCTACCATAGTCGTCCAACGCTCAGGTATAATGCCAGTAAGGAATCGGTCGAACAATACGTACTGTGATATTAAGAAATGCCATTGTCGATGATAAACATAGTGACACTTGAGGGCGGCCTGGGCCATAATGAAAAGCCAAAGTTGATACGGCGCACTTTTGCTCAGGTATGGTGTCAAAGAGAACCGTGCAAGCAGGAGGCCTGGTATTAAATGTTGAGACATGCCATATTTCTACCTTCTACGCCCGAGGCTAAGAAAGGGATATATTCCTTTTGGCCTACGTGGTTCTTGACATTAAATGATCACTCTGTCCTCAGGCCCCGCATCTCTGGGGGCGACGCATGCTTCTCCTTCGCAACTTGCAATCTCCGCTGAGTCATCCCACTTGGCCAGAGAGTGTTCCACCCTCCCTCTCTCCCTCCCTCCAACTTTCCATCATTTCATCGTGTCTCGGACCTGCGTGGTTCCGTGCAAAGGGATAGTCCCGCTGAGTCACTGGGCTATCAGATGATGTACTGATATCACAGGCACTATGGCAATCGAGGTGCCCGCTAAGCCGACTACCCATATATATCGCGGCACCCCCATAGTCAAGATGTGGACCTCAGATGCCTTCATGCACTACTACCTAGCTCTACCCCCACCTTAAACTGATACAAGTCCAACATATGAGCATCTTGTCTTCACTAAACGAGATACACCAGTCGACATCTTCCTCAATGACGGCTCCGAAGGTCCTCCACTTTCCCGATAGGCCGCAGTTTACGGCCTTTATGAAACCATGTCGTGTGGAGGGCGAGGTCCACAACCTAGAAGTCTACGGGGACATCCCAAGTGACATCGATGGCACATTCTTCCGGGTGATGCCTGATCCGCAGATGCCACCCTTCATCGAAGACGATCCGGTTCGAGGCTTCTTCCCGCCCTTGGTTGATGTCAATGTGTTAACAGCGGTAGTGGTTTAACGGGGATGGGAATATCAGTGCGTTTCGCATCAAGGATGGCACAGTGTCATGGCAACAACGATATGTCCGAACAGAAAAGTTCATTCGGGAGAGAGAGGCAGGAAAGGCCCTTCTTGGTATGTCACGCATGACATATGCCTCGTTGGTCCTCAGTGCTAACTGAATACCAGGAAAGTATCGCAACAAATTCACGGATGCGGTCCACTTCAAGATCCGCAGCACTGCCAACACGAACGTGGTCTACTTCAATGGGCAATTGCTGGCTTTGAAAGAGGACTCTCCTCCGTATGCGATGGATCCTCGTACCTTGGAGACGAAAGGATTGTACAACTTCGCAGGGCAGCTGCCGAGTGTGACCTTCACAGCACATCCCAAATTTGACCCCGATACTGGTGAAATGGTCTGTTTTGGTTATGAAGCCAAGGGTGACGGTACACCCGATATTTGCTACTACCAGGTCGGTTCAGACGGGATATTCTCGGATATCTGCTGGCTTGTGGCTCCAGTCTGTGCTATGATACATGATTTTGCAGTGATGGAGAACTGGGTAATGCCTTAAAATCCACTGCAGCCGCAGCTGAACCTGTTGCAACGTACTAATTTCTCTAGGTCCTCTTTCCCCTCATTCCACAATTATGCGACATTGATCGCCTCAAAGCCGGCGGAGAGCACTGGGAATGGAATCCCGAAACCCCTCTTTATATCGGGATTCTCCCTCGACGAGGCCCGAAATCCAGTGATGTCAAGGTAATTTCCAGTCAGACAAACCGTCCAACAACTAATTAACCATGTACAGTGGCTCCGATGGAACAACTCTTTCCCCGGCCATATACTCAACGCGTACGAGAACGAACAAGGCAACATCGTATTCGACCTAGGCATCAGCCAGCAGAACGTATTCTTCTGGTGGCCCGATAGCACCGGCTCTGCACCCGACCCCAGTACCATCATCTCCCAGTTAATGAGGTTCACCATCGACCCGCACACTACCAGCGAGATCCTATCTGACCCCGAGGTTCTCCACACCGGGAATAGCGAATTCTACAGAATAGATGATCGCTTCGCCACCAAACAGCATACACACTGTTTTTTCGACCTCATGGACCCTGCCCTCGGGACTGACTTCAAGACTATCAGCCCTCGTCTCGGCGGCGGGTACCCTCTATACAACGCTCTAGCACACCTGGATCTACGGACGGGAGAATCAGAGATTTACTTCCCTGGAAGGACCCATCTAGTCCAAGAGCCGGTATTTATTCCGAAAGCTGGATCCCCTGTCGAGGGAGACGGGTATCTCCTGGCTTTGGTCAACAATTACGATACCATGGCAAGCGAGTTGCATCTTCTTGACTTGAAGGACTTTGTCAGACCGAAGGCGATTATTAGCCTTCCTGTTCGGCTACGCCCGGGGCTACATGGGAATTGGGTAGATAGTAGGGATATATCTGCTGCGGATGCTGTATCTTCTTAGAGCTTTGACCTAGTTCTGGCGAACGTTGAGTGACTCTTGGGTGTTTTTCCTTACTCTAAATGGGCAACGGTTAAATGCCAACGACTAGGAGACAATCGAGGAGGCTGTAGAGCTTGTAACGAATGTCAATCAAGTACCCATATAATCCTCGAGAAACAGTACAAATATCCCGAAAAGAATAAACTTCATCCAGTCATGGCATTTCGTAAATAACCCCTCCCGCAGTGACATCCTATCCACCAATCTCCCTCCGCCAAATCTTTATCGGCATCTCTCCCAAAATGAGATTAAATGCTTCATATCGGTAGATACTCCACTCGGGCGACGGTAATGCAAATTCATACCGATGCACCACCGAAGCCAGCACGACCGTCTGCTCCAAGTAGGAAATGTTGCGCCCGAGACATCCTCGGGCACCAGTGGAGAACGGGATGAAGTACGGCTCCATGCGTTTGCGGGCTTCATCGTCAAGCCACCTCTCTGGTCGATACTCTTCGGGGTCTGGGAAGATCTCGGGGTCCCGATGCGCGGCGTAGATGGGCATCGAGACACTGGTGTCACCCGGGATCCACTGGCCCAGTATTTGTGCTCTCTCGGGTGGGGTTCGACGGGGTAGAGTAGCTGATGTGGGTGGAAGGATGCGGAGGGCTTCGTCGAGACAGGCGCGTAGGTAGGGGAGATTTAGTGCACATACGCTTGCTTCTGGAGCCAACCCATGTTTGATCTGGTGAAAAGGCATAGGACTGCTTCGGACGGGGTGTCGATCGAAAGCGAATTTGCGCGACCACGGGGCTGCACGATGACCCAGCCTTCTGGCAAGACTTACATGGGATGCCACCAGTACCTAAACTCCTCAATATTTGGTAATCGTGGCAAACATGGATCATGCCTTACAGCGAAGATGGCGGTCTGTTTGTGCGGCATTAGCATGGAGTCTTTGTTTCGTAGGCGAGTCGGCGACGTACCTCTGCAGCGGGCACAGGACTGCGACGATTGTAGTGTATGAGGCTTCATTTCGCGTTCCCAATGATAGAGGCTTGGCTATGACTGCAAAAGTTGTTGAGGAAGATCCAAAGCAAGAAGATGGGGGATGCGGAGAAGGAGGGGAGCTTGACCCGATTGGGCCAGCGCGATGCGGGGAAGCTGCCTGATTTGGAAGGCATCACAAGGCATCCAGGCTGCTACGCACTTCCTGTTATGTACTCGTTCCCAATATGAGATCAGGATTAAGTGAATGGTCATGACGTGGAGGAGTTTGAAGTTCGAATGAAGTACACGAGTTAACAGGCATTGATGCTTTTGAGGTGAGTGATACAGATAATTTGGCTTTCAATTGTACAGCGTGAGGTGATTTTGACTTTTTTGAGCTACAGATCTATAGCCCAAGCTATCGGCAGTAACCTGTGGTACATTTCAGGCCACAGTAATACACACAGTATGGATACTCTGTAGGAAGTGTCCACGTCTGTCATAGTTCGATGAAGAAAAGCCCAACCACCAGCTCCATTTACTGACTGGTACCAGGCCTGACTCCAGTCAGAAAACACAGACTAACACAAATCTCTGATACACATTCACTAATAAATCGAGTTCCTCTCATAGTATCCAGATCTCTCACCCTTCTCTCCAGCCACCCCCCACCCCTACTCTCCATATCGTCGTCCTACTTTATCCGCTTCGCTTCTAATCAATAAACTACAAATACTATATCACTCCAACTTTTTACCAGGCAAGATGTTCTGGACCGCCGAGGCGAACTCCAAGGTAAGCCAACTGACCCTACACGAGCTCTTGAGAGCAGATCCAGGACTGACCATCCCAGCTCTTTGTCGGTGTTTTGGACCAAATGCGCGGCAAGCTCAAGCTAGACTATGAGGCCCTCGCTGCTCACATGGGCTCCGGTACGTTATATCCTATCCACACGTACATCGATATACTCATTTCATATCCTACTAGATTGCACTGCCTGCGCTGTCGAGCAGCACATCGTCAAACTAAAACGCCAGGCGAATAGCTTCTCAGCCGGTGCCGCCAAGGGTGGTTCGAGCAACAAGTCAACCCCGACTGGCACCCCCAAGAAGCGCCAGCCAGACCGCACCTCATTGACCCCGATGAAGAAGGTTAAAGGGGATGATGCCTCTACCGCCTCCTCTATGGCAATCGGGCAGGATATTGTCCTCATCAAGAGCGAGCGTGAGCCTAAGATTGAGAGCAAGATCAAGATGGAACACCTGGCTTGATCATGGGAGCGAAGATTTTATGTATTGGGCGTGAGGCTCGCAGGAATTATGCTAGGCTTCGGTCCATTGAATTGACAGAATTATCTGAAATATGAGTGCCGAAAGCCATGTAGATACAGCGATGAATATGCTATCCCAATTATCCTCAGTACGAATACGGCCAGCCTCAAGGAGCCCCTATTCAACCAGTACTACAGCCTGAGTCGCCATTATCGCATCCTACTCTTCCTTGCTACCAAGAAGAGCATCATCCTCGTCATCCTCTTTCTCCTTCTTGACCTTCTTCGAAGTGCGTTTCTTGCGCGGAGTCGGAACAGCACTGTCATCACCTCCAGCACGTTTTCTACTCATGCTAAAAGTCATCGAGTTGCCCGACTTTGATCCCTTGCGAAACTTCTCGAGATGCTCTTTGATGGCGCGAGCAGTGGGCTTATCATCACCGACTATTGCTCTTATCAGTATCAATGCTCGTAGAAGAGAGAGATAGACATACGCCACGCCTCAGCGATCTTGTCCAGGTCTAGAGTAAGGTTCTGAGTCTCGAAAATCGTGCGCCAGAGCTGGCGGGAATGGAGTCAGTCTTGAATTGATTATACTGATGTTATGGGATGCGTACCACATGTTCATTCTCAAGGGTCCAGCGCATTATTAGAGACTGCGTTAAGCAAAACGGGGAATTAGAGGTAAAGTTTGTTGGAAGATAAAGATTATCAGACTTAGTTGCTAATGAGGAAGTAAGATCAAGATAAGGGGCTTATGTTACAAGTTTTAGAGATTTGATGTCGTCTGGAGGAAAGATTGCTCAAAGTAGGAAAACCAGTGATATGTAATTAACAGTAAGAGACTTAAATCCCAGTGCCATTCAGCTGAGTGACAAGGTAGTGACCATACAGTGAGGAATTCAAGAGTAAACAAGACTGAAGATTCACCAAGCAGGCACTCACAGACATGTTTGCCAGGTGACCTCAGCCGTCATTCACCAGACTAGTTCTAATCACATCATTCGGGTTGCCATGGTCGCATAACTATGTAACAAAAGGTTCTTTGGACATAAGAAGTAATTACTCTGTATGCCGTGCCGCTGCATGGTTTACTTCCATTAACCTCATTTGCCTGGCCTGTCCTGCTTTCCAGAATATACATCCAGTGCTTACTGTCTTTGGGCCGAGTTCCGGGGATGATGGTCTCAATGATGTCAACATACAGAGACTGACCATCACCCAGCTGGGATCTTTTGTGTAGTGATTGAGTCCTCGTACCAGTAGTTGGTCTGGCGTAAGGATCTGATTTTGGGAGGAAAACGATTACTGGGAAGGACGCCAGACCTACTCCGTACTACCGTATTTATCGCCCGGAAAAGTATCATATCCTACTAATTACCAGCATTGCGCAGATCGGTATTTAGAAAAAGATCTCAAAAATGAGCATGCAAGTAGTACCCATCATCGCATTCAAACCGATAACTATGAGCATGTACCTTGTCGAAATCATCACCTGGGTGGCCCCATGGACGAACTGATGTGGCCGTGCTTGACGGGCTGCGGCCGAGAGCAAAGGCGGCGAGGGCAGATTCTGCCTCCCCGACGCGGCTTCGGTTGGTTTTACCCACTTCCACCCACTCCGTACCATCAGTCATCAATCTCATGGCTGCGAACCCATGGCCACACTCCGGGCCGGAACGAGGTGCACCCAGACGCCAGAGCGAGGCAAAAACCGATGTTGCTTGCGACCAGTGCCATCGTCATAAGCTTAAGTGTTCCCCTCGGTCCCAAGGATGCGCTCGCTGCCACCGTACGTCTCTGTTTGCCGTGTCCCGCTTCCCGCTAAATTCCCCAGGACTAGGAATTCGGTGCACCTCAAGTCGCCCGATCAAGAAACGCGGAAGAAAACCCACTCGAAAGGATTCCACGCAATCGCCCCAGCCGTGGTCTGAACTAGGCTCAATGGTGCGGGCCATGTCACTTCGCTGATATTTCCCGAGGAGGTGTGCTGAAACGGAGTATAGCATGCGCCGGACTACCCTGTGCTAGACTGCCTTCGAGATCTTCACATTTTGACCTCAGATCAGGACCGGGATAGGTAAGTCCCTAGGTTACATCTTATGCCTCGGTATGCTTACCGTTAAAGCAGCTGTTCTGCGCATCAACTCCCGCGTATCGAGGCCTCTCGCCTACTGGAACATTTCTATGCGTCTCCCAACCAAGAATTCCATACTCTTCTCATTCGAAAGGGGAGGTTATTAGACCAGCGTGCCCCCAGGCCTACAATGCCAACACTACTGCTTTCAATCCTATGTACGCCTCCGAGGTACCCCGATTGACGGCCTCCGACGATCTCACGTGGCATAGGCGTTGCGTGTTTCATGCCATCAGCTGATCAATCACCAACACTATCGGGACTAAAAACAAAGGAACGTACCATTCAAGGGCGATATCTCCTGGACAAATTAATTCAGCACTTTCACCCTCGGACGTTGCCAGATACTGATCATGTGTTCGATGATGCTTTAACGGCATTTATTATGACGAGTATTGCCCCGAGCGACAAATCTGTGGAGTCGAGCCTACATTACTGGCTAATCTTCCTCAAATACATCGTTCAGAAATTGCACTTACACAGAGATGTGCCTGATCTTAGCGAAGATGACAAGGAGGAGAGAAGGAGGTGCGTTAGAGACAGAGACCGGATGTCCGGGTATTGTTAACAATGAATTCGTGGTAGGTTGTGGTGGGCAAGCTACATCATTGACCGGCATACGGCCTTGTCATTCAATGGACGTCCGCGCATCACAGACCATGAATGCCTTCTCCTTCCGACTCCACGCCCCGACGCAGTATGGAACCAATCCGGTCCGCTACTTCCTTGGTCCGACCGACGAAGTCAAAATAACACGATACTGAGCTATCATGTTCAGAGCCTGGATATGCTCGGTATCTTTCTTCCACTCTCAAGGTATATTGGCTTAACGATAAGCGCCGCTCTTTCGTTATTTGAGGGCTGAACCTAGGTGTAGAATCTTGGGCGAGATACTGGAATATCGCTTTCTCAGCGACCACTCGACTTTTAACTCAAGCCACGACTTTCTCACTGCGATCCAAAAGAATATAGTGCGCAATCTTGAGGTTTGGTGTCATTCATTTCTGTCCTTAGTGGGCTCAGACTTCTGCACAATTGCGGAGCCAGAATGCGAGTTCTCCCCAGCTCCAGAAATTCCGACGGTAGCCTACTATGGCTTTCACATGTATCATTGCATGTTCGTACTCCTGCATGGTCCTATGGATGTGGTGCGGATGTATCAGGATCTTGCCTGGCAGGCATCCTCGAAATTTCTCACGGCTGGGGAGCATGCTGTAGCCTGTGCCAATGTGAGTCTTCTTCAGTGCGCAGAATGCACAATATCGGGATTTTACTGGAAAAGACAGCAACTAACCTATTACCGGGATTAGATCGCACGGTACATCTTGCGGATCGATCCACAGCTATGCCTGATGTATAGATTCTTCGGAACCTACTTCTTGCAGTCATCGTTCATCTTCCTTATTCTAGCCCAAAAGTTGGGTCGGCAGTCCGACGACATGATTTTACGTAATTGCGCCATCAATCTCCAAGTCTTGGACATGTTCGTAGCAGCCACGAACATGGACTACCAGCGCACTTTTGCCAAGCTCCTGCGCCGGGCTCTGTCGTACAACCTAGGGGATTCTTCCGCAGGAAATGCTCCCGGCAATGGCCATCCCGTGGCCGAATACGTGGGCATGCCAGAACCATCGCTAGACCCGGAAATGCTTCTTTACCGGTGGGTCCCCGGCTATACGGGATTATGGATCAGTCCGATGGACCGAGAATAAGTTGGACGGAACACCGCCGACTCATCTCCGCAGCCCTCAACAGAATGGCAACATCCAAACCTACACTATCAGTTATACAGTCTCTATGTCCGTGAACTCGCTATTATAGATCTAGAAAACATGCCCAGAACCAGCCAATGCCTTTATGGCTTGTTGTGCAGAATGCCAGTGTTTCTCCAGCAGATCGAATCTGCGCAATCTCTCCGTCCAAGCTTGATCCGATTCCATATTCACTGTCGATGCAGTCCTGTCGCTCCCATAGACAATTGCATGGCCGGCCTGGCTACTGATCGATGGGGCCGCGATGAATCGGACCCAATCCTCTTGGATGCGCTCGACCAGGTCGGCATTGGTCACGGCGCCGGCAGCCAGGGCCTTGTCTGCAATCCGTAACGCATCCGCAAAGCAGTCATAAATATAAATCAAATCCACACAATGCTGTGCCAGTCCATACCTGGGCCCTGGAAATGGGTTGCCCACGCTCATGCGGTATGAGTGCACCGCTGTACGGTGACCCGTGCTTTCTGGATCCTTGGATTTGGATGCCTCCCAGCCCATCAATTCTTCCCTTGCACACTGCACTGGATATCCAAACTGTATATCTGTCAACAACTGGAGTACTCCTCTGTGCAGGTCTGACAGGGGCACATCTGGTTGGAGACCATAGGCTTGATAAACCCCGTCTAGAAATTCCGTCGATGTTACCTCGTCCGCTAAGCGTTCTTTAAGGTGTTGGAGATCTCTAATCTTGCCCACCTCGCCTAGGTGTAAGACACCCTATTCATTGTCAGCTTATTTAGGGGTAATCCATGACTGCAGTGGGCTTGCTGACCTCGACATCTGTATCACCAATCAAGACTTGTATGACTCCAGAATCTCGAGAGTGAGTATCCCGCGGGGATATCGTCTCGTCGCCACCAAGATGAATGCTCCAGCGACCGTTCGACTTTTGTGAGATGGTAAGGTCGTCAACCACGAGAGGGCAGACAATTGAGCCCAACTGGCCGGCTGCTCGCAAGATATCTGCCGCGGCGATGGTGGTCATAAACGCGACGCGGGATGAAGCGTCACCTGCCGGGGCTCCTGCCTGGCGACAGAAACCCTCCCATCGCGTGTCAGCGACTGCCATAGAGATGGGCCCGAGCACCCCCACAGCGCCGGACTGGATGATTCCGCGCTGGACTAAGGGCTCGCCTTTCCCCAGGATTGCTTCCAAAATGTGTGCATGAGACGAGCTTCCGCCCGCGGACTGCCCGCCAACAGTGATTCGGGTAGCATCGCCCCCAAAGGCCCCGATGTTCTGGCGCACCCAGAGGATGGCGGTTCGCTGATCACTCAGTCCAAAATTACAACCCTTTGGTTGACCTTCTGGTTGGGCTTGAATGATCTCCGACGAACCCGCAAATCCGAACATATTTAGGCGATAATTGATGGTGGCTACAATCATCGGGGTCTTCATCGCGACCGATTTCTTGACAAGTCGAGCCGGATCTATGACCATGTTAACCATTCTCGTCGTGGCTGACCTAGTAGTTCATGCCGAGTACTTACCCCACATAGGATCCGTGCCAGCACCGAAGCTATAAGCCCCGCCATGAACATAGACATAGACGGGTAGCTTAATGGAGTGAGCATCGAAACCAGCTGCCGCAAGGGCCGCAGCACTCGGTCTGGTGATGAAGAGGTTGAGGCAGTCAAATTCGGATTCCGCAACATCAGCCGGGAATTCTAGGTAAGACTGGAATTCATCGCTGTTGTTGGGCTCCTGTGGTTGAGGACAGCGCGGGCTGAAGCCCCGACTGTGGTTAGCAGAACTCACGGTAGGGATCAGTCGGCTACTCCTGGGATTGACTTACCCGTTCCGAGTGGCATCGAAGACATCCTGGGGCAGTCGATCACGGAGCACCGCATGCTGCCACCTCGCTGGTACTGTGCCATATGGGATCCCCCGAAATTCCTCAATTCCCGGAATAGCTGATTTCCGACCGATGACGCGTTGGAGCCGGGAGGGTGACGTCTGGGTCGGAACGGTGACGACCACGGGATCTGGCGCTGGCGAGGCAGGAGGCTGACTGGGATCCTCGGGCATTCGATGCTGACGCACTGCGGCGGCCATGATGTGAGTCTAGAAGGTAGGGAACAGGCGAAACAGTTGGGGTCGGAACACTGAACAGGCCTGTTTGGGGCGGCTAAGGATTTATACCTGTCGGGTTGCCCTCGTGGAGTCATCGATGCCGGCGCATGTTGCATCGTTCCAGTGAATCCCGACCCACTGACGCCAGAAGGCTATCTACCCCAGTCGCCCAATCAGCCCGCCCCTTCGGACCGCGCCGGTGAACTCTAGTCGGCCATTTGCGCCCGGGGCGTTCGGCCAATTCGAGCTTTTCGGCTGGGGATGCCTTCTCCGCAACCCCGGCTTTGGCCTGCGCAAAATCTGGGGAGTGTGGGATAAACTCATCTCCAAGCCGCTCTCGTATAAACTATAAAGGGCACCCCCAAGGACGAAGCATGCCTTTCCGTCTGCCTGTTTCCTCACTGCTTCATCGAGTCGTGCTTGGTTCTGCTTCCATACTTCTCACAACATGACGGCTCACACGTCGGCCGCCTCCGCCGCCCGGGCAGAATGGCGTGCCATTGCCATCTGCTTGTTCATTACGATTGCTGCTTTCCAATTCGGCTTTGACTCGTCCTACTATTCCGGTACGTAAGATGCTCTGCTCCTGTCCTTGTCTCCATGAGAACCGTGACTCGAGTCATCGTACTGGCGCATACACTGATCGTTTCTCTGCATCTTAATTCAGGCATCTTGGTCATGGAGCCCTTTATCAAGGCCTACGGACACTACGATAGTGCGACCGGCGGCTATATCCTCAGCTCGAGCATTCAATCTCTCACCACTAGCATCATCAATGTCGGCGAGCTCGTCGGAGCCGTTTCATCCTACCTGGTGGATGACAGAATCGGTCGCCGGGGCGGCTTGTTTGTTTCCAGTACATTCGTGGTCCTCGGAGTGGTCTTCCAGGTTGCCGCAGACAAACTCGCTCTGTTGATCATCGGGCGCCTTTTCCTCGGTACGTCTTCTATAATCCGGCCATTGTACCTAACGGTCTTCACTCTTTTGTCACTCTGACTGACTGGCGAACAGGATACGCGGTGGGGTTGATCTCGTGCTTGGTGCCTTTGTATGTAGCCGACTGCGCTCCAGCCAGGTTTCGTGGGGCCCTGGTGTCTCTCTACCAATTCGACGTCGGCCTCGGGCTGCTGCTTGGTGTCATCGTCGACAACGCCACCAAGAATCGAAACGACAGTGGTGCGTATCGGATCCCGATGGCAGTCCAGTTGGTATTCCCTGTCATCCTGGTCCCCGGCCTGATCTTGTTTGCCCCCGAGTCACCGCGCTGGCTCTTGACCAAGGGGAAGACCGAGCAAGCTCGTGCAGCTCTGCGTCGCTTGCACGGGAACAATCCCGATCTGATCGAAAGTGAGATCCTGCACATCTCGGGAATGATTGAGGAAGAGCGCCGCGTGGAGAGTTCGTGGCGGGATCTACTTCGTTGGACTCCTGATGGTCGCAAAGCATATCTGGGGATGGCGCTACAGGGTAAGATGATCTGAACTCTTTACTTGCATTGCACAATCCGTGTTAATGTGTCTCTCTCTAGCATGGCAGCAAGCATCCGGTATCAACTTCATTACAAGCTACGGAATTGTTTTCTTCACTGCCATCGGGATGACAAATACCTTCCTCATCCAGATGGGCCTCTACCTGGTCCCTATGCCAGCGGTATGGCTCAACCAATACTGCGTGGAGCGTTTTGGCCGTCGTCCCATGCTGCTACTCTCCTGCATCCTAGTCGCGGTGGTGCTGTTGATCGTCGGCGGAGCAGGAACTGCAGACCACAAAACCATGGCTCTAGACCGAACGATCGTAGCAATGGTGTACATCTTCATGATCGTCTACAATCTCTCCCTAGGACCGGCCGTCTGGGTCGTGACCTCCGAGATTTCCACCGGCCCAAACCGCAGCAAACTCATGGCCACATCGACCGGCACCAACTGGTTCTGCAGCTGGATGGTGACCTTCACTTTCCCGTATCTCTTTGATTCCGATGCAGCCGGCCTCAGCGCCCGAGTCGGGTTTATCTACGGTAGCTTGATGGTCGCGGCTGCTGTCTGGGTCTTCTTCCTGCTGCCCGAGACGTCAGGTCGGACGCTAGAGGAGATCCAGATCCTGTTCCAGAATGGTGTATCAGCATGGAAATTCAAATGTACGCACCCACAACCTCCTTATTTACTTTGGTTGAGATGATCAGCTAACCAATTGTCTGTCCAGCGTACGATATCACGGAATTATCGGGGTCATCTGCGATCGAGGAAAAGAAAGAAGCACATGCAACAGAAGTGGAGGAAGTCTAGAGAGAAGGCCTAACCTTCTATCTTCTATTTTAAAGACTCCACTCCTGTATATCTAGACATAATAGCACATTTAGCAATCTATAGCCTGCTCTAGACCAATACCAAGCATGTGATGCGAAGGCGCATACCTGCCGTCCTGCCTCTTCCAACTGAACACGAACAATCGATCCCATCATCAGCTGGTAGAAGGTCACACTGGTGAAAGTGGGACGAATATCGAATTAGAATATCTACATCGACCATTAGAAGTTAAAGTCTACCTTGCCTCTTTCATATGGGGAGGAGGCCAAGTGTACTCGAGTGGTGTTGGCGACACCGTGACATGTGGCCATCCCATTGCGACGAGGTTGGGAGGGGCAGAACCTTATGGTACGGGGTGAGTGTCGATGTGTTGTTCCTCTCACACAGTCGAAAGTTCATATAGTGAAGACCTCGCACTGGGAACTGGACATCTGTAAAAGAAATACCGACCGTTGGGCTTCCAGTATCGTAGGGAAGTGCTTTGAATCCGCTCTACACTAGGACTAGTCGAAGTCAGAGTCATTAGACACCGAGCTAGGCCTGTCCCTAATTGGGGGAGTGCGGAGGATCAGCACAGGCTACAAAGCCATAACGCACGGTAGATCAAAGCCCATGACAGTCCGGAGTAATGTATTCTCGTATGTGCACAGATTTGTGCAACCCATCGAGTGTGCAGAGTCATGTCGTATTGCGTCATGGCCAGATGATGTGCCATCCGCGCCGAGTTATATTTACCCTCCCTACACGAGTAGCTGGGTTAGATTAATGCCATTACGCTCGTCTCGACGTCTTGAGACCCTGACCCCAATCCGAGCATTGGAGCAGTTCTTCCGAGGTTGTGGTGAAGATCGGTCGGCTGATCAGCTGTCTGAATTTTGGGCCCGGGGCGCGTTGTTTATATGAAACCTATAGGCTTTCAACCAAGACAGGTCCATGACCCCAAGGATTCTCGAAGACGGCAGGGCTGTCTCCAAGTGATGAACCATGCATGGTATCTGAGTGGACGACCCAAAAACATGGCCGGGATGTGAAACACGCCGTTGGTGGCCGATACAATAAACTACCCGCTCTCCCGCATATGCCCATTTTCAGGGTCTTTCCAGGGTCTTCTCAGGGTCCAAACCCCTGGTTCCCACACACGCCTTGACCCGTGATTTGAAAAGGTTGGATCAACTTACCCTGCTCTATACCAGCGGCTGGTGCCTGAAACAGCATACGGCGAAACCCGAGTTTTTTTTTTTTTTTTTCCTCGGCCTCGGCGCACAAATACCTTAGCACGGTGATCTGTCCGGTTTCAGTGGGAGATGTCCAGAAGATAAATTCTAGCCATGCTGCCCATGAGCAGCATGGTTGCCTGCATAAACCATCCACAGCATCAAGTCACTCACACACCATGCACCTCCCACTCTTCCTTCTTGGCCTCGCGGGCCTTGCCGCGGCGACTCCTATGGGGCTCGCGGAACGCCAGTGTAAGTGCTTCTTGTTTGTCCGCTATTTCCCAAGCTAACAGATTAGTTTCCGATGGCAATGAACTGCGCCAAGGCTCTTGCAAGCCCATCATCTTTATCTTTGCCCGGGCGTCTACCGAGCCTGGCTTGCTCGTAAGGAACCGCTGCGTCCAAATTTTCTCTAAAGCAAGGACTGACAAGAGCTTAAAGGGTATCTCCACTGGTCCTGCAGTCTGTAACAACCTGAAAATGGCCAAGGCCGGCCAGGTCCTCTGCCAGGGCGTGGGACCTGCCTACACGGCAGATCTCATGTCCAATGCTCTACCTGACAACACTTCCCCTGCGGCAATCAGCGAATCCGAGAGTCTCTTCAAGCTGGCTGCTTCCAAGTGCCCAGACAGTCAAATCCTGGCGGGTGGATATAGGTCAGCTCCCGAACTTTGCTTGGACACCCATAGAGAGCACCACTAATTTTCCAACAGTCAGGGAACAGCGGTTATGGATGACTCCATCAAGCAACTCCCAGATGACGTCAAGGACAAGATCAAGGGTGTCGTGCTGTTTGGATACACCCGAAATGCTCAGGAGCATGGCCAGATTGGTAACTTCCCCAAGGACAAGGTCAAGATCTACTGTGCCGCAGGTGATATGGTCTGCGATGGCACTCTCCTTGTCCTGCCTGCCCATTTCAGCTATATCATGAACACAGGCGAGGCCGCTCAGTGGCTAGAGTCCAAGCTTGGTGACACCTCCACTTCCTCGCAGACGTCTTCCTCCTCGAGCACGTCGTCAGGGGATTCCTCCTCGGAGTCCTCATCGGCGGCCGGACTCGGTGGCTTGAGCGGGCTTAGTGGCCTGAGCGGCCTGAGTGGATTGAGCGGGCTGGGTGGCTCTTCCAGCTCCGGTGACTCATCCAGCTCCAGCGGCCTTTCCTCTTTGTCGTCGTTCCTGTGAGGAACTAAGATTTCTTCCTTCAGAACGATAGAGACGGACACCAAGCATGAATGGAAGGAATCAGATCATTCAAGCCTGTTGTGTGGTGTGCAGCTGTCATAATCTTACTCTTTGGGTGCTGTGTGACGACTTGACTTTAATTGCCCGCCTTCGCCCTCAGGTTCGAGGGTCAAGTCATTTGGATGGATCTTGGACTTGGGACCATTCAGTGGGTACGGCTATCCGAACCACCCTTGGTCTTTTCAATCTGCCTGTATCCTCCAGGCTTCTGTTTTATTTCACAAATCCCTGGCTGGATTATATGTTATTTTCTCAAGTATTCCTTCCTTAATCAACTCTGGCCTCCCCCGTTGGCCCTTCGCCAGGGTAAACGTGACTGGCGAGTGAATAAATCGGAATGCTATTCTTCCATTGTGGATTAGCGATTGTCATCGTGTGCCCGTAATCTGGATATAGCTTCTGCATTTAATGTCCATTTATTACCGTAATATGACAGACGCTGTAGACTGGGATGTCTATTGTGCACAACCCTTGAACACATCTTTCAACCGTCATAGCTATCGGCACTGAGCAAATTGTCTTCCTGCTACCCTGGCTTGCTTTCTCTTTTTTGGAGGCGTTCAAAGATCTCTTGCTTGCCGTAGGACACCGCAACTCCATCAGCGTTATATTAATTCGCGTATCTTCAACGGCGCACAAGGCACACAAACATTCAGGGGAAAGAAAGGAGGGAAATGAAGGAATACAACACCACAATCGAACAAGGGGCGGGAAACTGAAGGTAACAGCCCACCACAGCGGTTCGTTGTTTATGGTCCCCTAGAGAAGAATGCAGAACCAGTTCCATCGAATAGAGGATCGAGTCCAGGTGTTTCTGATTATTCCACGAAGACCACCACGGCACCTCGTACTTCCCAACTAGGCGTAGTAATCCAATCCCTCGCCTTTACCCATTCCTGAAACAGTGTTATAAATTCGAGCAAAGTTATTGTCTGGCTCGAGTAGATCTAAGGACAGGTATGTCAGCCGTCGGAGGAGGTGGATTTGCCAGTTCTGAGTGGCATACCCCCAGAATAGGTATCCACCTGAGCAGGCCGAGAGTTCACCGGTTATGAGCAGCACGTTGAAATCGAGCCGGCTTCGAGACGAACGAATTGGATAAAAGCAGGTAGCTGATACGATAGAGATTCAATTGAAGTCGTTAGAGTTGATCAGGTACGCAGTGGGCAGAGACCATTGCTGGAGCGATCACAGCGGGTCGCCGGGGTCGGGGATCGGCACCAGCGTCGGGAGCACCCACCAAGACGAAGACATCCTCCTCAGTGCCGGCGATAGAGGATATGGGGGGGGGGGGGGGGAAATTGAGGCGGATGAGCGAGGTGACAGTGGGAGGAGATCGCAGTAAGCAATCAGAGGGTCCATGTGGTTATATAGCCAGCAGGATTCTGACTCACCTCTAGCCTGAGATCCCTGCCCGTCGAGAGACCTCAGGCAAACGTCCTCTGCCATGCATAATTTGTAGCAGGGGTTCTCACACACCCCGGACACAGCTGTGCCGGCGTTGGAAGCATGGATGTCATGGGCTGGAGAAAAGCAGCGGCCATCGGAGGTTGGTGGAGGACACATCGCCTTCGTTCGATAGGAAATGGACGGCGCCCAACCAGGCTAGCAGCCAGTCTCAATATTAATGCCTGAGGCAGGCAGGCGCATTGGCTTTGCTGCCTGGCAAATCTGGCATCGACGTTCAGGCCGCCCGTATCTACATTACAGTTTACAAAGTAGTTCGACTGTCCGAAATTGGTCCTCCTGTCCATACACTGCCACGGCAGATCTTAACAAAATTCAACCAGTTCGTAGTATCCGACCTTCCTCTCAACATATGTACTCTATATACCTTCTCTGAAGCTTGCGAAGCCCACCCCATCCCGGTCAATCACAGATGCATCAGCAGACGTTATGGTTTTGCTCTGGCATTCAGCAATACGTCCGGACTGTTGTGTGGGTTGGACCTGGTGCCTGGACAGTCGTATGCCGTTGCCATGTAGACCAGCATGAGTGGGTGATCTTGCCTGAGTACCTGTTCGACCATTGGCCTCAGAAGTTGCAGCGTATCGCACTCATGCCCAAACCCACCCTGCTACATGATGAATATCACCATCGAGAAACCTCCCTAACGGTGTGGTCAGGTGCATCGTTCCATCGTCTAGATTGGCGATATGATAATCTGTTCCTGGAGCCGTTCCAGGGGGAGCCTATCCGACATGCCGTTGGTTCTTTTCCAGCTTCGAGCATCTCTGGTTCGTTGGAAGGACACTTCACGAGGCTTCGCCTCTTGCCCGCATGGAGGACGCCCACGCTTTGCATTGCACTCCCACTACCTCTTTCGCAACTTACAATATAGATAACGGACGACCCGCGGTTGAGCACAGCTGGGGTGATGATGAGGTCATGAGAGATGGTCGCCGCTCACCAGCTAGTTATCACCGGCTTCATCGAGTCATGCAGTCCCACCAATTCTGGTAAATTCTCACCGGTTGGACTAGTATCACCGGTAGTTGATCCAATCCCAACGAGGAGAGGTGGTGCTTGCCGGGTGCCGGATCGGGTATGTTTGACGAGCGGCGCGGACCCTCGGGGAGTAGCCTGGGTTCGGTTATCGCCATCAGCTTGGCGCCCAGTGACAGCCTGGTTCATCGGGCCAGCTGGTCCGTGGATGGATGACGAGATAAGCTCGAGTCGATATTTGTCACGGTATCTCCTCGTTCCCCAATGATTGGAATTGAAGTTGCCCGTTGTTGATGCAGTGGAGTGGAGCGCTCGAATACGAGGCTATATATATACCTCGGCCCACATGGCGATAGAATTCCACTTGTCGCGTGGCATTTTTTGAAGAGGGGCGCCCAAGGACCCGATAAATCTCGAAGGGAACATTGGAAGGTGAGTGTGTGAAGTTGTAGTAGCGGTAGGTGTAGTGGTAGTTGTAGTGGTAGTCGTGGTGGTGGGAATCCCGACCAGGCACCACGTGAGCCGAATTCCTCATCTCTTCATCTCCCTCAAGCATTCCTCTCCCATCTCTCCCGGATCTTCTGCTATCTTCCGATCACCGTGACGAGCCAGCCTCCGGATCGGGAAGCGCCTCGGAGGGACTGGATCCGGACTACGGAGGCGTTGCCATTTGAATTTCTTCAGTGTTCTAGCGCTACTGCATGCGCGTGGTTAAGCTTTGTTAGCCAATCCTGGCGCCAACGCTGTTCTGCCGGGTTTCTCTGCCCCTCTCTCGGCGTCACCACCTGCAGAATTTGCCGCCAAGATTATAACCACCCTGTTGATACTAGGTTGACCCCATCTACCCCTGATGATGCTCTACACTAATCACCGGTCCTCCGAACCTACCTGACACCTGTGTGTATCCCGTGGAGGTCTAACAAAGGCAAGCTCTGTTTGCCCCCATTTTCAAACTACCGAAACGAGGCTCTCCTGGCTGACTGTCTCTGTTCTCCTCCATTCTAGGCAACAAGATGGCATGACTGGATGGGGCCGCCATGAGAATCGATAGTCTCGCTACTTCGTCGCCTCCGATGCCAAGCTCTGTCCACCACGTGGGAAGGGGTGGCACCATGTAGGGGTCTCCGCTGGATGGGGACACGGTTATTGGCCTCGTCTCGCATCGACCTCGGGTCTGGATGCACTGCAGCACGGCTAGCTTGTTAGTAGCCCCTTAGTCTCCAACCGGTGGAGTGGTGGCAGTCCGCGGAAAATCGAACGGAACGGCGGTGTGGTGGGGATCTAACCTTCCATTCATCTAACCAACCGTCGGTTCGGAGCAAATTCCACCTTCCGGGCGCGGCACACCCGCGATCTGTTTAAATACTTCCCCCCGTCGGGGTTCTTGACGCCATGGTTGGTCTTGAACTCGTCCTTCTCTCTTCCTCTATATTTCTACACCATGGGTCTGCTGCGCACGTCTGCTGATCGCTCCTGGGGCCTGACCGCCACCGCCATGGCCTTGGTCGGTGCCGTCAATGCGACGGCCCCGTCCGTCACCATCGACCAGGGCATCGTCCGCGGCTTCGAGCAGAACGACACCCATGTCTTCCTGGGCGTCCCGTTTGCTGAGACCACGGCCGGCGAGAACCGCTGGAAGGCGCCCCAGGCTTTGTCCTCGTTCGTCGACGGAGAATTCAATGCCACAGCCTACGGCCCCTCTTGCGCCCAGGCCATGTCCGGCACCGCTATCACTGCCCAGAGCGAGGACTGCCTCAGCCTGAACATCTGGACTCCACTCGAAGGCACCGACCTTCCTGTGTTTGTGTATGTCTATGGCGGTGCCATGGTCACCGGCGGCAGCAGCAACGCTCAGTGGCAGGGCTACAACTTCGCCCGCAAGGATGTCATCTACGTCAACCTCAACTACCGCGAGAGCATTTATGCCTCGCCCAACTCCCCCGAGCTCGAGGGCCAGGTGCAGAACTTTGGCATTCTTGATGTGGAGTTGGCTGTGCAGTGGGTGTATGACAACATTGAAGGTCGGTCTCTTATTTCTACCTCCGGGCAATCCGTCGCTAATCCACCCCGCAGCCTTCGGTGGCAACAAGTCGCGCATTGTGCTGGGCGGCCACTCCTCTGGTGGTGTGCACGTCGACCACTACCTCTGGACCCACCCTGACACCTTCCTGGCCGGTGCCATTGAGATGTCGGCCAATGCCGAGTCCGGCCCGGCCTATGCCCCGGCCGGAGTGGCCCTGACCCAGGTCGTCGAGGACATGGTGGATGCCGGTGTGACGCTCGGCTGTGATGCTAGCAACTTCACCCTGGACTGCCTGCGCCAGGCGGATACCTACGATTTCCAGACCACCTACTTCAACTCGACCTCCAACACCTGGTTCTCCCCCAACATCGACAACATCACCCGCTTCTCCAACTATACCGAGCGCTTCGCCCAGGGCGACTACCCGAAGTCGCTGCCCCTGATTGTTGGTAACTCCGACCAGGAGGGCCGTCTTTTCGCCTACGCCTACGCGTCCGAGAACACCAACTTCACCTCGTGGATCCACACATTCGACGCCGATGTTGCCTGGGTTCCGTCCGAGGAGCTGCTGGATGCGTATGACATCGCCGACTATTCGTCCGTCTCTTTCATGAGCGGCGCCTGCTACGGCGATGCCCGCTTCCTGTGCTCGACCGACTACCTCGTGGATATGCGCTCGAGCGAGCAGCCCACCTGGATCTACCGCTGGTTCGGTAACTACTCGAACGTGCTGGGCGTCGCCGATATTGGCCCCTCTCACGGCAGTGAGGTGCCCTTCTTCCACGGCGGCAACGAGTGCTTTTCCAAGTTGAGCGACGTGACCACGGCGGAGCAGGAGCTCGCCGACTACATGAACGACTGGTTTGTGGCCTGGATCAAGGATCCCAGTGCCGGCCCCGGATGGTCCCAGGCCCAGCCTGTCAACGGCCCCCTGGCCCGCCTGGGTGTGCCGGGCAACGAGCTCGCGATCGAGACGAGCACGACGGGCACCTACAACGGGCGGTGCCAGGCCGTGTACAAGCCCAACTTCCCCAAGTACCCGGTGGTGCAGAACCCCGTGCTGCTGGACTCGTAGGGGCTCGACTAGGACGAAAAAGTTAGTAGTTAGTACATAATTAGGTGTGCACGCGGGGCACGAATTACTCCGGGACCAATGCCGAAAGTCAGTTTGTTTTCTTTTACGTATGTGTGCGATGACTGGTGAATTTCATCGTATGACCTAATGTAAATGGGAAATTAGTATGTTTTAAATTAAGCCCCATGGTGGCTCTCCTTGGCCGGTGATAATAGCCAGCGCCCTGGCCAGTTGCGGAGGGATTCTGCTGGCCGGGTCTTCCAGAACCCCGGAACGTTTCTGGTAGCGTCGATGCTAACGCGATAGTGTGCCCTGGGTGGCCACATCGTGCGATATTGTCGTGCAGGATGCAGGAACGTGACGCTGGTGCAACGCGGACGATGGCCGAAGGAAGACCGGCTGCTCCGGGTCGGTGGGGGGGCAGCCTTAAGCGCGGCCGCACCAAGCGGGGCCTCGCTCCGCCGAGGTTTTGCCTGCTCGGCAATGAGCGTCCTCCCAGTGGAGTCCCCCAAGACCATTATCGATTTTAGAGCCCTGGGACCCAGGGAATGCTGCAGGAAAGCCCTTTGCAGCTCAGATCATGGTGCTGGTTACCCCGTCGAGAAGGTGGCAGAGTCCAGGAACCTCGCGGTCCTGGCCGACATGCCTTGGTTCTGGTTGACCTAAACTCAATCTTTGGCCTTTTTAGCACCAAGCCACGACGAACACCACCCTACCGAGGATTTTTGCACGGCCAGGAGAACCTGCCTCCTGGTGTCCGACGGTTGTATTTATCCTGAGCTGCAGGAACCTCTTCCCCACGTTGTCCGACATGACTGCTCGCTCCTGCACGTCCCTGCCGTTGTGACTGCTGGGACAATCGCGTGTCCATCGTCATGGCTCGTCCGGATTTTGGTCAAGTGGTATGGACCCTGCTGCGTCTTCAATCTGAGCGCAGGCAGTTTGCTAATAGTTTTTGTCGTTGCTCGTCCTAGGTGGCCTGGTACATTTGCACGGTGGTTGCGTGTCTCTTCCTCGTGGGTCGACTGATTGTCCGCTGGCGACTCCTCAAGAAGCTCTATCTCGATGATTGTTTCGTCGTGGCGGCGGCGTTGTGCCTGATTGGCGACCTGGCCATCCAGCACTACATGTTCAACCTGGGTTTGGCTCTCCGTCTCGATACCTGCTGGTGATCCGTGCGACTCTAACCACCCGTATTTTCCCCCCACAGGCATGTCAGAGATGGTCAACACGACCAAGGCCGAGAAGATCAGCATGCAAAAGGTCAGTTTTGGATCTGCACCCAAGCATCCACTCCGCACGCACACTGACTCCATTCTCCCCGGACAGATGATCATCCCCGGGTCCACCTTGTATGTCACCTCGCTGTGGTTGATCAAGGCCAGCATGGTGTTGTTCTACAAGCGTCTCGCCGACCGCACCAAGTACCAGACCATCTATAACATCACCCTCGGGGTTCTGGCTGCCGCCTGGCTGGTGCTGTTCTTCGACATCGTCTTCAAGTGCTATCCCCCCGACCGCCAGTGGAAGAGTATTGATGATCCGACGTGTGAGTAGACGGACTGTTGGAAAATCCGATATCAGGTGCTGACCGGCCGGCAGTGGAGTGCTCTGCGACCCAGTCGACGATCAACTACTGGCTCACGATTCTATGTGCGTGCCCCCGGTCCCCCTCGCCGTTGGCGGTTGACCTTGTGCTAATAGTCCCTGCAGTCAACATCTTCAGCGATGTCTTCAGTAAGCGATATCCAGGCTTGCAGACTCATTCCACCCCGCTAACTGCCCAGTCATTTGTCTACCCATCTCCCAGGTCGCCCGGCTCAAGATGCCCCGGAAGCAAAAGCTCGGAGTCATCTCGGTCTTCCTGCTGGGTGTCATTGTCGTCATCACGAGCAGTCCGTCTTCCCTCGATCTCTTGCATTCTGGCCTTTTCGAATCGAAGCTAACTGGAGCAGTCATCCGGGCCATCTACTCGTCCCTCAACCTGCAGATGATTACCTGCACGGTGTCGATGATCGAGACGGCCATCGCCATCATCGCGTCCTGCCTGCCCGTGTTGCGGACGCTGGTGTTTGGTTCCCACTCCCGCACCGGCACGTATAGCGGCCGCCGGGGGTACGAGCTGTCCGGCTCCGGGCCCGCGGGGCTGGCCAGCAAGCAACACACGACGGTGTCGGTGTCACATACGGGTCAGGGGGACTTGTCGCGACATGACTCGGAAGACGAGCTGGTGAAGGCGGCTGGACGCCCATCGACGGATGATCCCAATGCCGGGATCTCGGTGACGCGGGAGTATTTCGTGCATGAGGGAGCGATGGAGGGGGCTGGATTGCGGTAGGAGGGAAAATAATGAGTGTACACCCACGATATAATGGTTGAGATCTGCCTCACCGATCCATAATCTATTTCTTATGTTGCTATGTTCCTTCCTGCAGGTCGGTCATCACTGGGCCAGCGACCTGCACGGCCCACCTCAGTAATGCTCACTCGTCACTCTGCCAGTCACCGTCACGACAATAGCCACCATCCCGGTGGAGATGCATGCTATGGCTTACGTGCCGCGTATTGAGCATGAGAGCGAGGCGACAAAAAGTGCGGTGAACGGGAGGGATCTGCGGGAGATGAAATCCGGGGCCGATCTCGAGGCGGGGTCCTAATCGGGGGGGGGCCTGACCGGATGGCGTGTCAGCTTGCCAGCCTGACGGCTTCATCCCCCGCAACGACTCCATCGTCCCCATCTCTCGAATCTCCCCCAATCCGTCCACCCCCCATCCCACATTCCACATCCTGTCAATGGATTACTTCCGCTCGCCACAATTGGCCGCCCGCGTGGAGGAGCTCATGGCCGAGCACCATGTGCCCGGCCTCGCTCTCGCCATTGTCCACCACGATCGAATCGCCTCAGCCGGCTACGGCCACGCCTGCCTCCATCCGCCCACGCCATGCACCCCCGACACCCTCTTCGATATCGCCTCCGCCTCCAAGTCGCTGACGGCCGCCGCTGTCGCCCTGCTGGTCGACGATGACCAGTCCTATCCCGAGGTGCAGTATACCACCCCCATGTCCCACCTGCTGCCCGACGACTTTGTCATGCCGGACGACGGCTACACCCAAGGCGTCACTGTCGAGGATGTCCTCTCCCACCGGACCGGCATGCCGGGGTAGGTGTCTCCCTCCGTCAGCCTAGTCGGAGGCATCCTGGCTGACCAAGCCAGTCACGACCTCTCCTACATGAGTCCGCGCGCCAGCCAGCCAGATGATGCCCGGTCGGTCACGCGAAACTTACGCAATCTGCCCGTGGCCGCCCCCATCCGATCCAAATACATGTATTGCAACATGATGTACACGGTGGCCACCCACCTGGTCGAGCAAAAAACCGGCCAGCGCTTTGCCAATTACCTGGAGGACCGCTTCTTCCGGCCGCTGGGTATGACCTCCACGACCCTGCAACCCCAGCGTGCGCGAGACCGCGGACTCGGAGATCGCATTGCCATGGGGTATAGCTGGCAGGCAGACGATCAGAACTACCATGGCTTCCCCTCCCCGGACTGTCCCGAGGCTCAAGGCGCTGGCTCCATCCTGACCAGCGTAAATGACTACATCAAATGGGTTCAGGCCATGATTGGCCGCCACGGCCCTATCACCGACACCGTCTACAAGGGTCTCATTCTCCCTCGAATCATCACTGACCCCACCTCAGAGCATCTGGACCCATTGACCTCGCCGACGTTATATGCCGCCGGCTGGGAGGTCCGTTACTACCGGGGCCACCTGATCGTCAGTCACGACGGCGCCATCTCCGGCTTCGGAACCACGCATTTCTTCCTCCCCGAGTATAACTTTGGTGGGGTCATCTTTGGCAACTCAGAGGCCGGGAACCCGGTGGCAGACATCTTAGCCCGTGAGCTCGTTGATGAGGTGCTGCAGGTGCCTGCCGGAGACCGGCCGGACTGGAACAGCATCGTGTTTGCGGAGTGGACGAGAAGCGACGATCCTGGCGAGGAGGAACTACGACAGAAGCTGTGCCCTGATGCCGAGCAATCACAGCCTCAGGAACTGCCGCTCAGCGCGTATACCGGCGAGTACCAACACCCGGGGTACCATACTCTGACGGTGGCGGTGAAAGACGATCAGCTGTTCATTGATGCCACGGATCGGTCTTTCGGGTTCACCCTCACGTTGGACCATGTCTGTGATCAAAGCAAGTACATTGCCCATCTCAGTGACTTTCAAGAAGGCGGGGATGTTCCCTTCCTGGCGGAATTTGAACTGGAAAATGACCGGGCTGTCCGGTTGGGACTAGACCTGGAAGTCGACCTGGAAGGCTTGGTCTGGTTCGACAGGGTGTAACTGTACATATCTATATATCGTTGTCATCCTATCGCCATAAGCATATAGTACCTAGTTTCCTATTTGCTAGCGCTGCGATTTCTATGGCCTGTTCCAATATCCGCTGAAGATCATCCTACCCGGCGTGCTAGTTAGATTCCAGTAATTCTCATCTGAAATCCGTTACCAATACCGCGTCCAAGTGCGCAGACACCTTGATTTCCACCTTTGGCTTCCGCTGATAAGGCTCAGGGACTTGTCATATCAGGCGTTCTTATCGCACGCCTTTCAATTTTTATCACCGGGTCGACCCAAGAGTATGGTATATTTTTGTGCCATAGATGATGATAGGCAGCATCACCCATATTTAACTACTAGTCAAGAGCCTTGAATTCCTTGGAGTATTGCGTCATTTCATTCAAATTTGCACTTTCTTCTTTTATCTTCCTGACATTAAATATTACATGATTTATCCTCTTATGATGTTGTATTACTATGTAGTTGTTTCCCAAAGCAAGCGCCCAGGCGACCCCGACGGGCAGAACCGCGACTGGCCGAGTGGCTCGCTTCCCGTCGCGAACCACGGCACCCATCCACATTCAACACACAACCTTTCTCTCTTCATCCTTTGCCCCAATTGCAAAGATCAACAACATCAATACCATCCATTTCAATGTTTGCTCCATAATGGCTAGTCCATACATGACAGCCTCCGCTAGTTCGGGAGAGTCGCAGATGGGCGCTGAGACATGCAAGCCGGTTGCTTCCCCTCCGACCCATGGGCGGCCAAGTTGCCCAGGCAGCCACTGGGAGACCTGACAAAAAGTTGCATCGTCTCGGCTACTTGGTCAACCAGTTGCTCGGCCGTGGCCTTATCCAGCACACTTCCTACTGCCGTGATGCACAATTCCACTCCAGTGTCACGCTCGATCGATGTCACGGCCATTTGACCGGCCAAAAGCTCTTCGTTGCCGCCCCTGGCGCTGGACCAATATGTACGGGAGGCCGAGCGGGTCCCGTCGAAGTCGACAGCGGTGGACGATGCAACAATCTGATGATTGACTATACACCCATACGTTGTGTTCTTCGGCCATTGCGTGCATTGGCGAACAATGTCACCGAACGCCACATGGTCATAGGGAGCAGTTTCTAGCCGTTGCCGCTGCACATGATGCAGGAGATCGTGAACCGTCCATTGCGGATTCACTCGTACTCGCATGGGCAGGTGGCTCGCACAAGGGCCGATGACCTTGTCCATGTCCGGCAGGGATTCTCCACGACCGTGGACAATCTGGGTGAGGGTGATATCGTGTCGACTTGCACGTTGGCAAAGAATCCAGGCTAGACTGCTATGCACCAACGTCGCCATCGTGACATTGGCAGGTAGAGTGAAGTGCCCAATGTCGCGGCTTACAGCTGTATGCTCGTCGCTCCCCTGTGGGTTAGAATAACCCAAGAAATCGAGACTCGGGGGAGGTGCAATAGAGAGATACTCCCGCCAGAACGAGAGCCCAGGCGAGTGGTCCCCGGTCAGTCGCTGATAGACCACATCTTTAAAGTCTGTTGTCCGCAATAGTTCTTGGCCGTTGTACGCGTCCGCGATTGACTGCCAGAGCTTGGGCAAGGAAGTCCCGTCACATTGACCATGAGATAAGGAGATCATCAGTGCCCAGTCGGCCTGGGTGCGGCTGGTAATCACGGTAAACTGTACCGACGATTGCTCTTGAATTGACATTGGCGCTGGCCTGGCATGAGATGCCTGGGTGATATAAGCCTCGAGGTCTTCGCACTTCACCTGCCGGATCTTTGGTTGCACGGAGCGGAGAATGGCCTGGTAGATGTGGCCTTCGACCGGTATGAAAACCGACCGTAACACGCTATAGTGTGCTACCACTTCCGCGCACGCACGACTGAGACGAGTCAGATCTAGAGGAGTGCGGAAGGTCTCAACCATGTGCACCAGAGTGGCATTTTTTACGTGAAATGCTTGGAATTCCACGGTCGGAAGAATATCGATCACGTCATCTGCAGTCAACGACTCATTTTGACCAGGATAGGGCGCCAGGGCAGCCGTGCGCACGGTATCACTGACCAGAGAGTAGGGTTCATGGTCAGGAGCTTCGTATGACAGTTTCCCAACGGGACAAGCTATCTGAGCCCATTCTCGGATCGTGGGGTGACGGAGTATATCACCAGACCGAATCTCTAGTCCCTCCGTTCTCGCTCGGGCCGAAATCCTCATTGCAAGGATGGAATCCCCACCAAAGTGGAGAAAGCTGTCATCGGCACCGACCTCCTCGCCAGGTATGTTGAGCAGACTGGTGAGAATGCTGTGGAACTTGACAGCTTTTTCGCCCTTCACGGGTTCCTTGCGTCGCTGCATCTCGATATATGCGCGCCACTCTTGAGGCGAAATGCCCTGGATGCACTCTCGCAATTTGGCACGGTCCATCTTGCCCGAGGTTGTCCGTGGGATCCGAGCAAGGGTCACGAAAAGATCCGGGACCATGTACCCCGGAAGACATCTGCGCAGCTTACTCAAAGCAGCGGCAGTGATGTCAGCCTGGAACACAGGGTTTTGACCATGTAGGATGGGCTGCGCAACAGGTTCGTCGCTGGTGCCACAGCTGATCCCCTCTCTTTGAACCCCGTCCCAGATACACGCAACAAGTCGTGGCATGAGATCATAGGTTCCAGCGGCGGATTTGTCGAGTCGTCCATAATTCGGAATCTTGGCTTGTTCCACGACCACTTCCCTAGAATCTGGGAAACACTGGCGAACGTGATACTCGATCTCCTCCAGCTCCACTCGTTGCCCGTTTACTTGGATCTGGTGATCTTTTCGCCCTTCAAAACGCAGCGATCCATCGGATATTTCGTAGCGCACAATATCCCCAGTTTTGTAGAGGTTCCCAGCAACCGCTTGGTCTGGATACAGATCTTGCAACCATTGCGGCGGCTGGATAAAAGCCTCGGCAGTCTTGTCCGGCTGGTTGTGATACCCCTGGCCAACAGACGGGCCATGCAGCAGTAACTCTCCCCTGGCGCCAATAGGCGCAAGTTTGTTAGCATCATTATGGTTGACGATCCAAGAATTCACACCCACGCCCCAACCGATGTTTCGTGCATCATCAGTTGATTGAAGAGGCGGGGATACGGTTGAAATGACCGAACACTCGGTTGGCCCGTATGCATTCAACAAACGGCAGGACTTGCTCCAGTCTCGAAGGTGCGAATTTGACATTGGCTCTCCCAGGAGAACAATTGTCTGGACCCAGGATGACTGCCTAGCATCCATGGGGCTAAGTTGCGAAGGTGTCAAAAACACATGGGACACATTCACCGGACTGATCCCAGTTATCATCATCTGGTTTTTCTGAGATTCGGAGATCACAGTAATGGTGGCTCCGGCGATCAGTGTGGTAAGGATATCCATCAAGGACACATCAAATCCGTAGGACGCTAGTTGGAGGACACGAGATGCTGTCGTCAAACCAAAGGAGCGAATATGACCCGCAGCGGCTGCGGCATAGGCGCGGTGCGAGATCCTGACGCCTTTCGGAACTCCGGATGTACCGGAGGTGAACATGATATAGGCCGCTTGATCTGGGTCAACTGTCGGCAGGAATGAGCTAGGGTTGTCATTAGCATTGCTGCCGCATTCAGACGCAATGTCATTATCGATTGAAATAACATCCTTCACCAGAGTTTCACTCAAGTGTGCTTGCATCGCCGATGATACCATCAAAGGAGGATGGATGCGACGGATGATATCTTGCAGTCGCCCCAGCGGCTCATTAGGATCAAGAGGAACCACAGTGCCTCCCGCTTTCATGATCCCTAGGATCGCTACAATCGTCCATCTCGATTTCTCAAAGCAAATCGGAATCGGGTGGCCTGCTATAGCTGCACGACGGCTGAGCACATGTGCCACACGTGTCGACACTTGTTCAAGCTCCTCGTACGTGAAATCTCCATCCCACCCGGAGACAGCAACGTGGTGTGGATATTCTCTAACCCTCTGCGCAACAATCTGAGGCACAATGACTGCCGCAGCTTCTGCACATGGCAGGTTCCACTGGCGTAAGCGCTGTGCATCGTGATCGGTGAAAAGCTCCAGATCATTTACTCGGCCATCTGGGTTGTTAACAATACGGTTGATGGCGAGTTCGAAATACTCAGCAAGCTGTGCCACAAGAGTTGGGGGCACCCGTGATGACCGGTAGTTGATCAAAAGCTTAATTTGCCCGTGCCGTTGCAGTGCGATATAACAAGTGAGATCGTGCTTTGTGGGCACCCGATGATTAGAACGGACACAGGACAAGGGACATCATCTGGGTGGAACTTACCTTTGCGGGATCGTGGGTGTGGAGTGATTCCACACGGACGGAATACCCATCTTCAGGCTCAGCGTCCGGCACATAATGAACGTTGACGGCAGTTGACGCCAGGTCCTCTATTGCTAGCCTGGCAGAGCTCGCAATCGAAGACAACGGAAAGGATTGATATGATAGGATATGATAGTATTCCTCCAGCAGGCGCAAGGCGGCCTCATCCAGGGTCTCGTCCGGGGTGAAGCGCACTCGGCACACCGACAGATTGGAGAACTGTCCCACAGCCTCGTTCATTCCAGGGACGGGGACCATTCGCCCAGACGAGAATGTTCCGAAACACACATCATTGGCTCCAGTGAAGGCCTTTAGTGTTAGGGCCCAGGCGAGGTACATTACGCTAGACGGAGTCCAATCAGTCTCGTCGCAGAAGGACCTGACTTGCGCACCGCTGGCTTGGAAGAAGACCTCGAAATTTTCTACCATGTCCGCACCGCCATGGGTCTCCTGTGTGCCCTTCAAAGGTAACTGACAAGGCTTGTACCCCTGTAGGTAAGATTGCCAGTAGTGCTCTGCAGGCTCCATGGGTTGCTCGTGAACATAGTCGAGATATCCCTGGTAGGCACCATTGTCTGGGCCAGTTGGCAAGCTTAAGTCATATGCCTGGCACAAGTCGCGCTCAATTATCGATATCGATATCGTATCGATGATGGCATGGTTGATGTCCAGTCTACAGAAGACATAGCCTGCAACAGAGGCACACATTGTCATGTGGTGTTGGACGGATTGGCCATCTTGTAGCGTCACTGTTCTGGACACATTGGCGATGATAGGTGGGGGCTTCAAACCGGAACTCTCGTATGCACCCTCAAATATCGTCAGTGGCGGATTAACCTTGCGAAGCAAAATCTGTTCGAACTGCCCGTCACCAGAGGACCTTGGCCGGAAGGCAGCCCGAAGCACAGGATGTCGGGCGACCACTTGTCTCCACGCGTCTTGCAACCTGTTGATGTCCACCGTTGCCCCGGACGGTGCACGTACCCTCCAGATGAAATGGGGAGAATAGATGGTGGGATTCTCTAACTGGCTTAACAAGATACCACGCTGTGCCGGCGTACACGAATATACTGCTTCAACATTTTTATCAGCGGTGATAGGCATCTGGATGCCACGACCTTCGAGAAGCTTGTCTATAGCATCCTCATCGACGATGTTGGGGGCGAAAGCCTCCATCTGCTGCCTGGTTATCGCTGCCATCGCTTGCTGCAATTGTTTTCGGTCCGTCTTGCCACCGCTGGTTCGTGGTATGCACTCGAGGGGCACAAACGCTGACGGTAGCATGTAGCTAGGTAGAACCTTTTTTAGTCGGTGATTTGCTAGAGCGACGTCTTCAGTCAGTCCACTCGAAGCCACGACGGGTAGCAGCGGGACTGGTGAAGGCGACACTCTGGAATCATGTCCGGCCTCCTTCGGGACCAAAAAGACCACCAAGCATTCGGTTTTAACTGCAGCCGTTGGCGTGGCTATCAAGGCAATCACGTCGCTGAAGCGGCCTGGGAGAGCCTGCTGGACCTGCTCCTCTACCTCGCCAAGCTCGAAGCGTTGGCTGCGCAGCTTGACTTGAAAATCTCTCCTTCCGATGAAATGAAAGGAACCGTCTGCCTCATACCGGACGAGATCCCCAGTGCGGTAAACCGAACGTACGGTCGGATGCTTTCCACTGCTGAGGTTCTGGATCCACTGCGGGCAAGGGATAAAAGCAGCAGCAGTCTGCTCTGGCCTGTTGTGGTATCCACGGCCCACGAGTGGGCCTTGCAAGAGGAGCTCACCCACTGCGCCGACTGGGACTGGCCGCTCAGGATCATGCCGGTCACTTATCCACGCGGCTCCTGCAATGGGTGCTCCGATGTTGGCGGCTCGCGCCGTGCTGACTGCGCGTTGCATGGTGAATAGAACTGTGCATTCAGCGGGGCCATACATGTTGATCACGTGCATGTCCTTTGACCACTCTTCGATGTCGCTGGCTCGAACGGTTTCTCCGATCAACATCACCGTTTCCACTGAGTTGACATCTGTCGGAGTCAAAGCTCTGAGACGAGCTGGGGTGATCACCATGTGTGACGGCTGCAGGCTCTGAACTGACTCGGCGATACCGTCCTTTCTCTCACTTGTCGATGGGATGCAGATACACCCTCCCACCAGTAATGGCGTCATGAATTCCAGCATGCTCACATCGAAGGCATAGCTAGACAGCTGTAGCATCCGAGAATGTGGCCCAAATCCCGTCTTTTGTATGAATGACTCGGTCATGGTGAGGAAACCGCCATTCTCGATAACCACTCCCTTCGGCTTTCCGGTCGACCCTGATGTGAAGACGATGTATAGAGCATGGCCAGGTTTGCCCTCGACGAGGTCCACATCGTCCTTTATCCTAGTATCAGCGGCAACTGATCCATCAAGGCCAATGACAGTTGAGGCTAGAGTCTGGGCTGTGGTCTTGGCACTACCAGAGGCAATGATAATGGTTGCATCAACGTCGGAACAAATTGCCTGGAGGCGAGCGAGGGGATGAGAAGAGTCTAGCAGAAGGATGGCGCCTCGTGCTTTCAGGACAGCCAAGATGGCCACCACAACCCAACGCGATGGCTCCATGTATATGGGCACAATGGTCTCGGGCCCGACGCCATGGCTCCGCAGGACAGCAGTCAGTTTGCTTGCTTCGAAATCCAGTTCCTCATACGAGAGGTCTCCATCCCAGGCGCATACAGCGGGGGCAAATGGTTGCTCGATCGATTGTTCATAGAAAACATCTGCCACATTGCCAGACGCCACGGGAGGAATATCTGGGTTCCATTTTTGCATCTCCCGGAGATCGTTGGGATTGACTGTGGCTATCTGTCGAACTAGGGTTTCTGGGTGACAGATGACCTGCTTAAGCATGTAGTTGAACTGATCCATGATATGCTGCATTTGCCATTCCGCGACAGTGGAATCATCAAAGGACGCCTTGATGATTATATGCCTCGCCTCGATGCTAGCAATCATCTGCAGAGCATATGGATGGACTGAATCGCCCGGAGCATGATACTTCGCAAACTTCAGATGCGATCCATTCGATGTGCCGATCTTCTCCTCGTCTCCCTCAACGGTAAGGAGAGTTTGGAAGGAAGTTGCTTGCTTGGCCTCTGGACTCAAAGCCGCAATTTCCGACAATGTAACCTGTTCGAACCTGACCACGTCTGCGTCTCGCTTTTCCAGATCCGACAGGGCCTTTGCCACGGTCACGTCGGGGGCAATTGATAAACGGAAAGGGACGATGGTGGCAGTAGGTGCAGCCATGGACTGAATACCACTGACGTTTGCCTTCCGCCCGTTGGAACACACTCCAAACACCACGTCTTTCGAGCTCTGGTATTGCGACTGCACAAGTCCCCATGCCAGTTTAATCGCCGCAGAGCAACCATCTTTGTTCGCGAGGTGCCTAGTATCCACGATAGATTGCAATTTTCTGATAGCCCGAGGCTTCTTGTGCTGAGATGGCACCGAGGGGAACGGTTCGGCCTCGTTGTCGCGCAGATCCTCACGCCAGTAGCCCAGAGCAGCATCCTTCTGAGACGCGATATATTTCACAAGATGGCTCAAACTGACAGACTGCTCCACTGAAGAGCCGTCATAGACAGACTGCACCCTAGCCAGTGTCAGGGACAATGAATCAGCATCCACCTGGGCATGATGAACTGTGATAGCCAAATCGGCCGGCCTATCGCGACCAGGTGAGATGAGTTCAAAGCCCAGCAGTGGTTGTCCAAACCAGTTCTCCCTTTCGGGTATCGATTGCCTATTGGAGCTGCTTACGCTCCAGCTGATACCGGCATGTTTGGTCACAACCTGGAGGTAACCGAGGCCGGCTACATCAACCAGGCGCGTGCGTAGGATAGGCTCACTGGCTATGACTTTCTCCCAAGCTGCCTTTAATCGATCAACATCAAGACTAGGGACGAGCCGCAGGCGGTGTTTTGCCATTTGTGCCGCACCAGGCAGCTTCAACATCGTCGCTTGCCATGGTGTACAGGGGTAAATGTCCTCGATTTGCTCCCCGGAAATATTGCACTGGGCCATAGCTTCTTTGTGAGCTTCACTACGCTTCTCTGGCGGCAGCAAAGATAACCGATCAGGGAGGGTAACCGACTTGGTGGCCCCTTCTGAGGGTTGTTGCTTTGCGTTGGAGGATAAAGCCAGTGCCAGGTCTCGCATCTCGGGGTGTAGGAAAACCTGTGGCACAGCCAGCTTAAGTCCTCGTGCCCCCGCGGCGGAGGTTAGCCTCATGGCTGCAATGGAGTCGCCCCCGAGGAGAAAGAAGTTGTCATCAGGGCCAATCGTCTTAGCGGAACATTGCAGCACTTCTGCCCATAAAGACTGCATCGTTTGCTCATCCGGTGTCAAGGTCTCTGGATTCCACTCCAGTTCATCTTTGGTCGGCTGGTCCATTTGGGACGCCAGCGCTTGGGCCGCTAGTTGATATACCTTTTGTCGATTGACCTTACCGTTCACCAAACGCGGAATCTCATGGAGGGGAAGGAAGGCATTTGGAATGAAAAAGACAGGAACTTCCTTCACAAGGCGAGCCTTGGTTAGCTCTACATTCCTCTCAAATGCCTGGTCATCGCTCTCACGAGTCGCCACTGAGGCGACAAGGTATGTTGTCTGTGACGCCCATGGTGCAACCAGGTCAACAAATACGCCCGGACTGCCACCCGGGAAGCATCGTTGCACATGATGTTCGACTTCAGCTAGCTCGATTCGCTGACCCCGGAGCTTGACCTGTCGGTCACGTCTTGCGATATATCGGACAGAGCCATCCGGAAGCTGGCGAACGAAGTCCCCAGTCCTATACAACGTATTCCCGTCTTCGCCACGCATTGCCTTCATCCATTCGGGATACCGTAAAAAGGCAGCCGCCGTATGCTCCGGACGATTAACGTAGCCTCGCCCAACAATCGGACCATCGACAACCAACTCTCCGAGGGCACCGACTGGCATGGGCTGATGTGGCTTGCCTGGATTCATCACCCAGACACCACCGCCCACGGGCCACCCAATGTTCCCCGGATCTGACAGCATAATATCCGACCGATTCTGACTAGTTGTTATCATGCTACACTCGGACGGGCCATAGCCGTTCACAAGGCGAACATGAGGGGACCAGCGACGCACATCGCGACTGGTCACCTTCTCCCCAACGAGCAGAAGCGTTTTCAAGGGGGAAACCTGTCTGGGGTCCAGTGTCCGGGCGATTGATGTGACCAAGATAGCCCAAGTGATCTTGTATTTCTGGATGGTGTCTTCGACCTTCTGGCGATCATCCTCGGTCGGAACACAGATACATCCACCGGCCAGCAGTGTGGTGAAGATCTCGATGATGCACGCATCGAACGCATATGACGAAAATTGAAGGACCCGAGAGCGGTCCTCCACTTGGAACGCCTTTCTCTGTGCCTCAATCGCTGAGTGGAATGACCTGTGCTCAATGACACACCCTTTAGGTTTGCCAGTACTACCAGATGTGAAAACTGCGTACGCTGCGCAGGCTGGGTTCACCGCGGCGAGGGACAAAGTACCTTGTACAGGTTGCCTCTGCAGATCTTCCATGACGATTGGTTCGGGAGCAATGAAAGCCGCGACTTCCGCATGTTTGGCTGAAGTAAGAATGACTGGACAGGAAAAGTCATTCTGCAGCATATCGTGCAATCGCTCCTTGGGATGTGTATGGTCCAAGAGGATGAACGCACCGCCTGCCTTCAAAACTGCCAAAGCCGCCACAATAACCCAGCTTGAACGGTCACTGTACACGGGCACAAAGGTCTCGGGTCGCACGCCACGGTGAATCAGGTGCTGGGCCCAGGATGATGAGATACGATCAAGCTCGCTGTATGTGAGGTTGTTGTCCCACGCAGCCACGGCTGGGGCCTCCGGTTGGGCCAGACTCAATTCATGTATGGTTTCGTGCACACATCGGTTTACAGGATCTGGTAGCTTCTGGTTCCACCCAAATATCAGATCTTTGTTCCTGGTCCCGAGTAAATCCAGATGATCTATGTGAGTCTTGGCTGGATCAATGAGCTGCATGACAATGCAATGGAGTGTGTCTGCAATAAGTGCTGCCTGCGTATCGCTGATGATGTCGGAATAATAGGTCAGGTTACCGTCAATGCTCGGTGTATTGATGGTTACGTTGACCACGATGTCGTACTGGCCGGTTAGCCATCAACAATATTCTAGTGAAAGTACCCACGAGTCAGGCAATCCTACTTACCTCGGTCGAATCAATTCCACCATTATCCTTGATCGCAATGTCAGATGATCCACCACGTGCCTGATCTGGCACCTCATTCTGAAGAGACATCGCTGTGTTGAACAGCGGCTGGCCGGAGAGGCCCAGACAATGCATGACCTCCGCCGTGGAGAAATGCTGGTTATCAATACCGTTTGCATATGCAACTTGGTTGTTTCTAAGAGCGGACAGCAGCTCAACATCATCACTCAAGGGGAGGCGGCAGACGAGTAAGCTGATAAGTGGACCCGCAATCTCATGCACCTGCTGCAATGGAATGTCGCGACCAGAAGAGAGGGAACCAAAGACAACGTCCTCCGACCCCGTATAGATCCGGAGCACCAGCCCCCAAGCCACCTGCAGCAGGCTAGAGATCGTGAAATCGTGGTCCTGACAGTAGGACCTCAATTGGTCTCCGTTCTTGAAGGTGAAGGGAGCAATGCGTGGCGTGACTTGCCTTTCCCCGCGCTCCATTGTTTCTAGCGATGGGAAAATACAAGAGTTCGCTCCGTTGAGATAGCTTATCCAGTACTTATTTGCCTGGTCACCGCGTTGTTGCAGGTAGCCAATATAGGTGCTATATGGTGTTGCACGTTTCTCGTCCAATAGTCCGTCATAGGCCTGGTGGAATTCATCCATTAAGAGGTCTCCAGTACCTCCGTCCATCAAGATATGGTGAATGATCAGTTGGCACGCAATGTCACCATCCGCAGTAGGAACGAGAGCTAGTTGATGCAGGGGCCTGCCATCTTGGGCAAGTTGTTTCTGCCGCGAAACGTTGTCATCCATATTCAAGTCATGGGCCGCGACCACTTCGATATCCGCGGTCACAGTCCTTAGAACGACCTGTACCGGTTCCCCTTGTCTAGCCCCATCCTCAATAAAGATGGTTCTCAAAATGGGATGCCGATTGACCACCTCCTGCCATGCCTGCTGGACCTTGTTCATATCAACACGCACTCGGCTCTTGTCTGTTGCCTGAACCAACCACTGGAGCCGGGACCAGTACCTTCCCGGAGCTTTCAACTGACTGAGCCATATGTCAAGCTGGGCCGGGGAACAAGGGTATATATCCTCGATTTCGGAGATCCCAGCTCCGGTGCGGGTTAGGACATCTTGTAAGACCGTTTGCAGTTGCTTCTCGTCGACTGATAATAGCCCGAAGTCCGAGGCTGTCACATGGCAGTGGTTCTGTAGCTGGCGTGGTAACGCTTCCAATGTTGACTTACACGTCTGGACCCATTGGCGGACTCGATCCTGATGTCGCATGTGTCGGGGATACATGAAAGTCAGGTTGAACGATCCATCAGCAACGGTGGCCGATACATCAATGACAGCGAAACGGGGCAAGTCAGAAGGTAGAGGCAAGATATCGTGATCTGGAAGCGCGGCTAGTTGGAGAAGCGCGTCTTGTCGCTCCAACTGTTGGAAAAGCCCCGTGTAATTGAAGAGTATCTCCATTGGTGCATGTCTCTTGCAATGACTGGGGCCGTCCGGATGCAAGTACCGCGATGCAAAATAGGCCCATCCATTGGAGGGAATCGCTCGACGACCACTCTTGGTTGACAGGAGCAGTTCAGTGATCTCCTGGCCCTTCCGAGCATCAATGAAGAGCGGTACCAAAGTCGTGAACCAGCCAACCGTACGTGAGATATCAATATTGGCATCCCATGGCTCCCGTCCATGGCCTTCGTTGAAAATGGCCGGTGCCTGACGGTCGTCAAAGACATTGACAAACGAGTGCAGCACGGCCGTTTGTATTACTTCCACCGGTCGCGTATGGAAAGCATCGTTGGCAAGGCCGAGGAGCGCTTGCGTGGCATCTTGCGAGACTTTGATGGACTCCTGCACCACATCGCCCCAGGTGTTCTGAGTGTTGCCAAGGCCCCAGTAGTCCAGAGGTGGACATGGAATCTCCGACGGCAGAGCCTTCCTGGGATCCAGGGACTGGGAGCTATATGCTTGCTGCAGGTCGCACCACTGCTGAAAGGGGATAGAGGGCGGTTGCAATGGACTGCCGGTCGTGAGGACATCCTCGAGGTCCTGCAGTACTACTCGCCAGGAAACCAAATCAATGACAAGATGGTGAGCCATGATTCCCAGATACTGTACCTGCGTCGCGGTGGCAATGTGATCAACCGCAATTAGTGGCCCGTGTTGGATGTCCAGGGAAGCCTGGCTGCCATCGAGAATCCGGCACAGGGTCTCCCGGTCCTCAATTGAAGATAGAAAGTGCTCGCTGAACAAGATGGATTCATCTGTGTTGGAGGAAATCCGCTGGTCCCAGTGGCCATCCGTCGTCTTCCTGAAACGAGCTCGTAGCATGGAGTGCCGGGCAGTAATTGCCTGCATTGCCTCCTTCACCTTGGAGCTTGAGGTCGGCCGAGTGATCTCTAGAAGGAAATGTTGCGTGAACCTGTCATTGCCCTGGGGATCGTATTCGAATAACATCTGCTGGATAGGGGAAAGCCGGAAAGGTTTATCGGTGGGATCCTCGCGGAACGTTGGAGCCAAATGCTGCGGTCTCCCTACCTCCTGCATGCGCTGGGCTAGTTTACTAATTGTAGGATACCGAAAGATGTCGCCCACCGTGACTGACCAGCCTGCCATCCGGCAGTTATTCGCTGCCTGCATGGCACTCACTGAATCTCCTCCCAGGCGGAAGAAGCTCACAGAGGTGCTGACCTCATCGACGGGGCGGTTCAAACTCTGCGCCCAGATCTGGCGCAATTCCTCCTCACATGCGTTGGACGGGCGCTGACTATGCCCTGCTACCGCGCGGTAGTTCTGCATAGTGGCCCAGGACAGCCTGGCTGCCTGTTCTCGAAGGTGACGACGGTTTGTCTTGCCCGACGGGGTTAACGGTACACACGCGATCGGCAGAATCACTCGGGGTACCATAAAGGCAGGCAATACTTCAGTGAGCCGAGCCTCCGCCGTCGCGCATGCGGCGCGGAACCTGTGCGTGGATGGCAGGAACAGAGATTTGGGGTCGGTCGACGATGCTGGGTCTGGGATACACACAAATGCGGTCAAAATGTTCTTGGGCCGAGCATCTTCCTGAGACGGAGAGGACTGGAGCATCTCCACCACTGCCTGTTTGGCCCCTGGAAATGATTGACACACATGATGCTCGACCTCGCCCAGTTCCAGGCGCTGGCCATGAAGTTTGACTTGGGTGTCCTTCCGCCCCAGGTACCGGAAGCTCCCATCTCCCGTGCACTCCACTAGGTCCCCGGTTTTATAGAACGCACCGGTGGTGGGAGAATCAAAGGTCTGCCGCCACGCAGGCGCCTTCACATAGGCACGGCTGGTCTGCTCAGGATTGGCAAGATAGCCGGGCCCAACTGTCGGTCCTTCAATGAGCAGTTCGCCCGGACATCCAAGCGGCATCAGCCTCTGATGGTCCTCCGGGTGGACGACCCAGCCAACACTCCCGGTCGGGAAGCCAATATTGGTCGGGTCATGCTCCTGTAGCTGGGGCTGCACACTGAAGACGGCCGAGCACTCTGCCGGCCCATATGCATTTCGCACCTGAACGTACGGCCTCCACCGGGCAACGTCACTAGCCAGAACTGCTTCGCCAACAAACGCCAGGACCTGTAGCCCGGGAAGCCGGTCGGGCGCGAGAATCCGGGTCACACTCGGTGTCAAGCACGCAACGTTGACGGTGAACCGATCTATGACCTCAGCCAGATTGCTCAGACAGTCCGATGCGGTGGGAATACACACGCAGCTCCCCATGATCAGCGAGCTGAGATGCTCGATGATGCATGAGTCAAATGCGGGGGATGCAAATTGCAAGACCCGCGACTCGGGGGTGAAGTGGTACGGCTCGCCATGGGCAAGTGCACTGGATGCATAGCCAGCATGTTGGACAATCACCCCCTTGGGCGTTCCTGTCGAGCCCGACGTAAATGTCAAATACATCGGATCTTGAGGGCTGACAGCTGGTCCATGGTCCGGACCCTGGATGTTCGGGTTCCCCTGATGTCGATCCACGGACACGATGGTCGGCAGCCCTAGTTGGGCCGCCACATCCGCGTGCGCCTCCGAGGTTAAACCCACGGTCGCATTCAGCACCCGACACATTTGCTGCAGTCGCTGGATGGGATACGATTTGTCAAATAGGACAAATGCCCCGCCTGCTTTCAATACTGCAATCATCGCCACGGGCACCCACTTGGACTTTTCCACCAACAGCGGAACAAATACACCCGGTCGGATGTCGAATCGCGACAGGCGCGCCGCTAGGGCAGACGACAGGTCGTCCAGCTGCTGGTAGGACAGGTCACCATCCCAGGCACTAATGGCGGCTGCATGTGGTTGGCAGTGGGCACGCTGTGTGATCAGGTCGTGCACGCAGGGGGGTGGAGTAGAAGCGCTACTTGGTATATTTCGAGCAATGAGCTCAGCTCGGTCGTCGCGGCTTACCGATTCGATCTCGGCGATAGTCAGCCCTGGGTCATTCTCGATCTGCTCATATATATGACTGAGCTGTCCTAGGAGCCGTTCGGCCTGTCTGGTACTAATCACGCTGGTGTCCATAAGAGCCTGGACTTCCATGGTGGCATCCGAGGGTCTGCACACCAGCACCAAGGGATAAAGTTCCTGGGCTCTCTGGTTGGCATCCTGTGGGGTGAATAGGCCCGGCAACTGCTGACCACTCCCAGGCTCCACCGACATGAGGGTCTGAAAGCGACATGCAGCCTCGGGGCCAGGTCCCATGTGTAGCAGATTCTGCAAGCCGACATGCTCAACCTCCATACACTTGGCCCATTGCCCTTGCACCATCGCCAAGGTCTGTGAGATCGTCCGTTTGGTGCACAGTTGGATCCGCACAGGCACTGTGGTAATGGCTGGGCCGATCATGTCCTCCACGCCGGTAACTGGTACACTCCGGCCTATGTTGACGGCGCCAAACAGAATATCTTCAGAACCGGTGTACAGGCTTTGGACCACTGCCCACGCCAGGCGCAGCTTAGTGTTAACCGGAAAGCCGCCTGCAGTCATCGACCGGATAGGAAACGTGCGGCACACGGACCCGGAAGGGTTGGCAGTATATCCCGGGGATGGAAGCGGAGGATAAGTGGCCATTGATTCCAGGTGGGCATCCTTCAGCTCTGCCTTCCAGAATGCCTCTGCACGTTCGCGCGTCGCCTCGATGTACTCCACTAGCGGTCGGAATGGTCGAACCGTAAGCTCCTTCCCGCGATAGGCCGCCTCGACCTCGCGGAGGAGTAGCCCAAGGGACCATGCATCCGTGATGGAATGATGCATGCAGACCCTGAGCACGTGTCTGGTCAAGTTCAGGGTGAGATAGGCCAGTTGGCCTCCCATTCGCCAGGCCACCGGCTGCATCTCGGCTGGCAAGGTCTCATCATCCTCAGAACACACACGCCATGCCACATTGCCCCGCAGCACTGCTTGCACGCAGCCGTGAGAGCTAGTAGTTACTATGCGGGTCCGCAGAGCTGGGTTGGCCTGTGCCGCTTGATAGCAGGCCTGTTGGAGTAGTTCCGGGTCTGTCCCTGCTGGCAGGCGGTACTCGTGCATCATGGTGTAGGCCGTCGGACTCTTCACAGTCAGGGCCATCATTGCTTCTTGCAAGGGCGTGCAGGCATAGATCTCCTCGATCTCCCTCGGGGAGCAGTTACAGAGGTTGGCGACCTCTTCCTGAAGGGGATCTAGAACTTCGGGAGGCGATGGCAGGGTCTCCTTGATGGAAATATAGATATTGTCCCGCGTCGGGGCGTTGTCCAGCTTCGGCGGGATTGTCTTCGTGTGGCCATCCCGTTGCTCGGCCGAAATATCGTGGATCTGCGATTTCCCCGATCTCAGGGCATCTTCCTGTTGCCCCGCGGGGGCTCCATCTCTGACCCCGACTTGAGGGTTCATGGCGATGTCGGAGCTGTTGAGATTGCTGCGCCTAGTCAGGCCTCTTGTTTGGGGAAAACACGTCGTGGTTGCGGCAGAACACCATGGACAGCTGTTGAGAGACCAACGGTATCACTCGATCGACGGCCGGTTACAGATTATTATTTGATCCTGTCGCCCCAGTGCCTACGTGCTCGCCGCAGTGGAGCCTTATACGATGTATACGAGTCGTAGATCATGAGGCATCCCGTGCTCCATGGGCGTCGCAATCGTGACGTCCCTGACGGGCTTCGAATATGGCGTGCTGATGTTGTTGGGATGGCAGACTTTTCACCCCAACATAGACCAGAGCCTATCAGCAGAGGCTGTGGAATACGAGATGGCCCGCGGATGAAGCCACCGAAGGTTGCATCCACGGCCCCAAGACAGGCCGAGACAGGTTATATACGCCTCCCAGCAAGCCATCCCGCGGGGAACCGTGGGTGACATTCCCCCTTTGGAACCCTGTGTTACATCGACTGAGCGGGGATCGTGGCCGAGATCTGGGGCCCAAAGCTAGAATGTGTTGCGCGAGTGGAGCCGCGAGCTGGTAGATTCGTCATGACAGCCGCTGCCCTGGCCGGATGCGGAATCCGCCCAGGCCCATCTCGTACATACAGCTCGACCCGCCCATCTGGTTGTGTCCCGCATGATCAAAGAAACCCGCAAAATATGATTGTGAGCTTGTCAAAGCCCTTAGCACCAGTATGGACTCACCTTCCACGGCTGCCCCTTCGTCCGATGTCGAGGTCCCGAAAGTGTCGACGCCCCCCGACCCGGACCCCGACCCGCGATCGACACAAAGTGGTGAGGCAGCTTCTGCAAAGACCCACGACAATGGCAATGCGCCGGGCAAAAGCTACCTGGTATGTCTGGAAGATCTGCACACATAGTATCGTGGCAAAACTGACGCCCCCTAGCGGATCCTGTCCTATGGTGCTCGCAATGGCGGCATTGTAGCCATCATCCTGGGCCTGATCTGTGCCATGGGCTCGGGAGTAGTAAGGCCACCCCCGGTCGGCATCTCTTACCACTGCCCACTAATGCTCCGCAGGCCCTGCCCTTGATGAACATTGTTTTTGGTAGGCTGGTTGGCGGCTTCAACGAGTATTTCATGCCGGGAACGAATGTCAGCGAACAGACGTTCAAGGCCACGGTCAACCAGGACAGGCAAGACCTCCGTGCACCATGGCTGTAACGCGCCAGATGCTAATCCGTTCAATCAGCCTGTATATTGTCTACCTCTTCATCGGGAAATTCGTCCTCACATATATCTCCATGGTTGGTACTGCGGGAGCTGTCCATTACCTACAGACTGAAGGTATGGCTAACCAGACACCAATAGATATGCTTCCGGTTTATTAGTCTGCGTGCATCGGCTATATTGCGATTGGAGTATGCTCAGGCCCTATTTGCGCAGCCGGTCAGCAGGCTGGACGAAATGACCGTAGGGTCGGTTACCAATGCCATCACTGGCCTGTCCAACACCATTCAACAAAGCGTCTCCGATCGACTCGCAGTCCTCTTCCAGGCAGTTGCACTTCTTATTTCAGCCTATGCGATTGCCTTTCGGTACTCCTGGGCCCTCACCCTGGTCGTCAGTGCAAGTATCCTCTTCGTGATTGTAGGATACAGTCTCACCGTCCCATTCCTGATCAAAGCCCAGCAAAGCATGGACCATGCCGATGGCCAGCATGCTTCAGTCGCGGCAGAAGCATTGGGCTCTATCCGTACTGTTCTCTCCCTCGGTGCCGAAGCGCCCTTGACGAACAAGTACATCGAGTGGACTCAAGAGGCCCAGCGACGGGGCCTGCGGATGTCCGCGGTGGCTGGCGTACACATCGCCCTTCTTTTCTTTGCACTCTATTCCAGCTTTGCTTTGGCGTTTTGGTACGGGCTCAAGCTTTACCGCGACGGCCACATTTCTAGTATTAACACAGTCATTACGTGAGCCAAATCTCCCTCGGTTGCACTTAATGGGCTTGTTCTGACGGGAAGCAGGGTCTTCTTCTCCGTCCTAATCGTTGTCGGCATCTTGGGAAACATCGCGAGTCCGCTGATGATCATCTCCAAGGCCGTGAGCGCGTCCGGGGCGTTCTTCGGGATGATCGATTCGGAGCGTCCCACGCTCGGCGGCCTCCGCGACGCAGATGTGTCTTGTCAATCTGATATCACCTTTGACAACGTCACATTTGCCTATCCCACACGTCCCAACAGCACAGTATTGAACGGGCTCAGTGCTCGATTTCAGGGAGGTAAAACAACAGCCCTAGTCGGAGCTTCCGGGTCAGGGAAGAGTACAGTCGTGGCCCTATTAGAGCGTTGGTATCACCTAGCGGACAACAATGGTAATATTTCGATTGGCGATCGCTCCATCCGAGATTTGGATGCCAAGTGGTGGCGCTCCCACATTGGTTTGGTGCAACAGGAACCCTTCTTGTTCAATGATTCCATCTACAATAATGTCGCCTTTGGGCTTATTGGGTCTGACTGGGAGGATCAGCCGGACGGCGTCAAGATGGAACTCGTAGTCCAAGCGTGCAAAGAAGCTTATGCGGATGATTTCATCCAGCGTTTGCCGCTGGTTCGTTTCTCCCACTCCCATTTCCACGCCAACCTTATCTAACCGAGTCCGGTCAAGGGGTACACCACTATTGTCGGGGAAAGCGGTATCACCCTCAGCGGTGGACAACGCCAGCGTCTCGCCATCGCGCGTAGTATCGTGAAAAGGCCGCCAATCTTGATCCTGGACGAGGCGACAAGCTCGATTGATGTTCGTGGCGAGAAGCTCGTTCAAAGCGCCCTCGATCGAGTGGCGACCGGCCGCACCACAATTATGATAGCCCATCGCCTGTCCACGGTTCGTCGGGCAGACCATATCATGGTGATGCAACAGGGGATAGCCATCGAGGAGGGCTCTCATGACCAGCTAATGGCCCGAGGTGGCGTTTATCATGGCTTGGTTCATGCCCAGCGGTTAGAGCCCTTGGCCGAGGTTTGGGAGGAAAAGATGAAAGGTGAACCCCATTCCTCAAAGGAAGACCCGCAAGCCAACCACTACCTGGTGGCCGACTCCGACGATCCAACGAATGAGGAGGATGGTCCCAGCCGGAGCATAGGGTTTTTCAAGAGCTTTGGGATTATTTTCAAGGAGCAAAGCCACCACTGGGTCCTTTACGTATGCATCCTGGTGGGAGCGCTTGGTGCGGGTTGTAAGTCGTCTCCAACACTGTCCCGACAGTAGGTGTACTGACTGCAGGCGCAGCGGGATTTGCACTCCAGAGCTGGCTCGTCGCAAAACTAGTCCAGGTCTTTCAGTTCAGCGGCCAAAAGCTGGCACAAGCTGCCAACTTCTGGTCTCTGATGTTTTTCATCCTGGCTCTAGCGATGGCAGTGTGCTATTATGTGCTGGGGATGGCGTCAAACTCCATTTCCATGGTATGTTTCCTGGGGACCAAATGGGAAGCACGGGTGCTCGGTAGCCAATACTAATCGATATTAGTTTGTGGCCTCGACTTACCGGCAAGATTACTTTCTCAACCTTCTTCGGAAACCCGTGTCCTACTTTGACCTCCAGGCCAACTCGTCGGGAAGCCTGGTATCCCGTCTCGCCACCGATCCCAAGCAGCTCCAGGACCTATTTGGACCCACCGGTGTCTTCCCGCTCATTTCTGTGTTCAATGTAATCGGTTGTGTGACAATTTCGTTCGTGTTTGGCTGGAAGCTGGCCGCTGTAACTTTCTTTGCGGCAATGCCTTTTCTCTTTCTCGCGGCCTTTATGCGAATCCGCTATGAAATCATGTTTGAAAGGATGAACGCTGAGGTATACGCGGACAGCTCGAAGTTGGTTATGGAGTCGATGAAAGGCTTTCGGACTGTCACCTCGCTAACCATGGAGGATACGATTATTCGGAAGTACTCAACCCTTCTCCAAGAGCAGCGACAGAAGGCCATGCGTAAGGCATGGGTTGGCACTCTGATCTTTGCGTTTTCCGATAGCGTAGAGTTGTGCGCGATGGCGCTGACCTTTTGGTGAGTCCTTTGCAGTACCGGCTTTTCAACGCAACAAAAGTCCGACGCTAACCCATCGATGAATGCAGGTACGGTGGCCAGCTACTTGCTTCACGAGAGTACGACACGGTCGCTTTTTTTGTGGTGTATATCGCGATCATCCAAGGGGGGCAGTCCGCTGGACAATTCTTCAGTTTCGGCCCCAACATTGCGCAGGCCAAGGCATCCGCGAATCGCATCCTAAGAGAAAGAGATGCTTCTGATGTAATCAGAAGGGACCCTGAGGCCGAGAAACTACCCACTAATGATCGCCGGTTTACTGCGGACGTGGAGTTTCAAGGGGTCTCTTTCCAGTATCCGGCCCGCGCGACTCCAACTTTTGATGGATTGGATTTGACCATCCCAAGTGGGTCATTTGTAGCTTTTGTGGGAGCGTCTGGATGCGGCAAGTCCACGATCATCTCGCTGCTAGAACGATTCTACGACCCGACTGGGGGGCTCATCCTCTTTGGGGGGCGGGACATTCGCTCCATTGAGTTGGCATCCTATCGTCGTGCCCTGTCCCTGGTTGCGCAAGAGCCCCAATTATTTGGCGGGACGATCCGGGATAACCTCCTGCTCGGCCTGGAAGCGACCGATGAGGTAATCCCGGAAGCTATGGAGCAGGCGTGTAAAGATGCCGAAATCCATGAGTTCATCATGTCCCTGCCTAGCGGGTACTCAACAGAGCTTGGGGTCAACGCGCAATCCGCACTGAGCGGTGGTCAGAAGCAGCGCCTGTGCATTGCCCGGGCCCTTCTGCGAAAGCCTCGACTGCTGCTCCTGGACGAGGCCACCTCGAGCCTCGACTCCCATTCGGAAAAGGTCGTCCAGCAGGCGATGGAACGGCTGGCAGCGAAGCGGGACATGACGATCATCGCTGTGGCGCATCGGTTGGCCACCATCCAGAATGCCGATGTGATTTTTGTGTTCGGAGAGGGCTCCGACGGCCGGGGCTCCCAGATCCTTGAAAAGGGGAATCATAATGACTTGCTCCGGACGAAGGGGGTCTATTGGCAAATGGTGAGCATACGTCCTGATTTGGCCACGACCGTGACTAACCCTGAGGCAGTGTGAAGCACAGGCGTTAGACCAGTAGTCCTCGACGAGGGACGGCATAGTGTGGTTAGTGTAAAGGTTACACTTCCGGAGGCCAGTCCGGGTCGGTCTGGCTGTTATCATCTATTCTAGCATGGGCTCGTTGTAGGTAGTAGTAACATTGTAGGGGGGCTCAGAACCAGACACTTTTTAGGGGCCTTCCGCTCGCATGCCGGAGCTGCCCACGGCAGACATGGGTTTATGGATGGTCAATACCCAGTCCACCCCGGCCAGATCCACCCGAATGGGTCCGTGGGGGGGAAGAAGGTATCCTGGTAGTTTTTGGGTCGACGGCTCCAGCACGAGAATATGGTCAATCATTGCGATGCGGATAATCATCCTAAGCATTCTAGGACACGGAAAGAGGAGGTGCAGACATGACGCACTCATGAGACCAAATGAAAGGGTCCATGGGACATGTAGGTTATTCCTTGCTAGGTTATTTATTGAATATGCTAGGAATCTCATTGGGGATCTCAGGACCAAAATGAATCTGTCTTTGGGATCACGGGACTGGATCATGTGTCGGGGAAATATATATCGCGGCTCCGGCAGCGAACCCAAGAGACAGTCTTCTCATGAGTGGGGATTCGTGCTAGGTTATGGAAGATATGTATGATTTCGTCATCGTTGATGGGAAGTGGATGATATTTTCCCTTGTAGACCATATTTCCTATTCGCCTTTCCAAGGTGGTCACTGTCATCAGAGGTTTGGTCGTGGAGTCGTTGGGCCCAGTGCGACGGCGGTCAAGGCAGTCCCGGCAGTTCCCCCAGGCGGTCAATCCAGCCGGGGCGGCTTCCCGATCGGCCGAGCGGGTTTCGCTTCGCTTCCCGTCCACCGCAGTGCCTGCCTTCTCCCCCTTCGCGGGTTGATCGCAAAAATTCCCTTCTTAGACCACGATGTGCTGGCGCTGGAGTGCAGTGGAGCATCAAGTCGGGATGAAACAACCGGCCTGTCTCTGGCTTCCACCCTCATACTGAAAGTCTGAACTCGGCTAACCAGATCGAACCGAGCCTGTTGGAGCCTTGGAGGTCGAGATTGGAGAAAGAACTATTAAGGACTAAGGTAAGGTTTCGGTAGCTGCACTCGCCCTATCAGTGCCGGGCGGTGCCTGGAACCTCAGGGAGAGACCCAGAATGCTGACACGCGGTCCGGAGCAACAGCCTAAGTTTAGGTACGGGGCAGCAAGCCAAGCCGCATCGAGTGCAACGGCCGGGGAGATCATCCTGCGTTTCAGCCCCGTCGGAGAGCCTGCCAGCGGAGAGGGTTCAATGTTAGGCCCTGGTTTCACGCTCGTCCCGGGAAAGAATTCGCCGAGAATATCAGCATAAACACGACGGGTGCGAAAAAGCACTCATGACAAGATATGACCAGAATCTGGTGGAGTCGAAGCCAACAAGATAGGAGAAGGTTGACGACCGTCTATTTTGCACCGCCATTCCCTGTGACCCGGACCGGATTAGAGTCCGCTCCCATACCCCCTGGTATCGGCCGACAAAGAGCTGATCCATCGAGCATCTGCCCGTTCTGCACGGCTTCGTCGTTCGGTAGAGGTGGGCCATAAACCTTAATTCGGTTTCTCCAAGCCCAGCGAGATCGACCCCAATCGTTCCTGCATCAGATCCTGATTCCTCTCATTAATCCCAGGACTGGGATACAGCTGCCCTACATGACCTTGGACTACGCACCGTGTGTCGTGCGAGACGCTTGCGCCTTGGAGGTGCACAGTCAGCTCAGCAGTGTTGCACCACGCGGCCAGTTCACCCTTTCATCACCTAGGCAAGCTTTTCAATCCAAGCCCTGAATGTGACGTAATACCATAGCACACCAGCTTATGTCCAATGGTCAGTCAAATCTTAGACTCGGATGGGTCAACTGTGGAACTGTCATACTCATAGTCCCATGGTGACGGGTGTCTGGACTATCTTTCGCATGCTGAATTAGGAAAACGAAGACGCGATTATCTTTCTTTCGCAGCAGCGCTAGTCCCATTGGTAGCAAGCTTGAAACCCGAGTTCTCCTTTGTTCGCACGTCGTTGCTCGGAGAGGGTTTCGACTGTGCCGATCATCCCGGTCGCGTCACCCACTACTCCTCCGCTGTTTCAGCGCCGATTCCTCCCGATAGCTTCATGCAGGGTCGGGAACAGAGTTTGTACTCCCTTCTGACAGAATCGCTCGTGACATCTAGCCTCACTACGGAAGCCTATTATTTGATAAACTTTGATCTGCGCCACCCTGAAAGGATATCGTGCCCACCCCGTTGATAGTAGCCCAGACCACTACCATGCCTACTTCATTTGGGATCCTATAAGATGGCTAGTAGTGCCAAAACGGCACTTGCCAAGCTGCATCTCCTGGCAGCTACGCCATCTAGGATTGCACGCTCGCGAGCCTGACCCTCCACGCAGGGCAACAGCCCCCCCCCTGTTGATTCGCAAGATGATGCCACTTGAAGGCCGGAGTGCAAGCATCCTGGGGGTGTCGGTTGTAACCATGGTAATCTCGCTCATTACGGTGTGTTGTCGGTGTTTTGTTCGCCTTCGATTACTCAAAACCTTTGGGTGGGACGACGCCCTGATGGTTGTTGCAATGGTAATTGGCTTGATCAGTCTGGCCTGCTTTGCTTGGGGTGACTGGTTTATACATTCCTCTCAAGCCAGATGGCTGATCAACACGCAGGTTCTTGATATATTCCTCACTGTATGTGCCATTACAGGGTCCATGGAAGGTGTTGGCCGCCACTTGAAAGAATTTTCAAGCCTGGTGGAGATCCGCCGCGCCATGTTGGTACGTGATACACAGTTGAGCATCGCCCCTCGTACTAATGCCATGCTGAACATCCAGTACAGTGGTGGTGGCTAGGCCAGTGCATCTATATCTGGGCGTCCGGGGTCGCTAAGGTGTCTATCGCACTGGCGCTTCTCCGATTGTCGGTCCAGAAAGTACAGCGTATCCTCTTGTTGACTGTGGTGGGGGCGTCGACCTGTATTAGCTTGGTATTCTGGTTCTTCATGCTTCTCCAATGTCACCCCGTCTCGGAGTTTTGGGAGAGAAGAGGCACGGGCAAGTGCCTGAGCACGGATTTCCTCGTTGACATGGCATATTTGTACAGCAGCATCTGCGCCGTCTGTGACTTTGTGCTCGGGCTGCTGCCAATTTTCCTAGTAAGCCAGCTGCAGATCAGCACAAAAACGAAGGTTGCGCTGGGCGCGACCCTCAGTTTGGGGTGTCTGTATGTATACTCCCCTGGACTGCTGGCACCGTGGCTGACCGGACTACTTAGGGCGAGTACCGCCGTCATCATTCGGATCCCTTGTCTCCAAAGCTACAAGGACATGGACTTTCTATGTACGTGCTGGATATTGGGATGTCCTCCCATTGCCCCCCCCAACCTCTTGTCCGACTCGGATGGCTTTCCCATGCCGTGCAAACGCCAAGTCTGACCGAGTGCCCTTTCCTCAACAGATTCCACATTTACAATCGACATTTGGTCTTTCATCGAGGTTGGCTTGGGAATCACGGCCGGCAGCCTGGTTACTCTCCGGCCGCTCTTCCGCCAGGCGCTTGATGATACGCCTCGTCGGGGCGCCAAGAAGAGCCGAGGGAGTATCCTCCTGTCCAGCCTGACGGAGCAGTGCCGAACTGGACAGAACCCCGAAGAGACTGGGGGCTGGCACCAGCAGCCAGATGGCACACAGACAATCACCACGGTGATCACGGCTTTCCGTCGAGACTTGAACACCAGCCCGTTGACGCCGACATTTGGGGTGGAGTGGAGGAATGGGCGGGCAGTGGGGATCAAGAGGTCGATTCAAGTGACCGAGGAGCAGGTCTAAGGAAACGGATCAGGATAGGGGACCTCCTTAAGGGGATACGATAATGAGAGAAGGCATTCCTCCGTATGGTGTTTCACTCCGCAATACCGTAATGTGTAAGGCACGGGACCGGCCACCTGACCCCGCCCAGCGGCCCCATCGCCCGTCCCGACTGTCTCTCTCTCTCTCTCTCTCTCTCTCTTTCTTTCCTTTCTTCGCGCTTCTCCCCAGCTTCCACATCATCCTCTCTTCCTTTGATTGTCAATAGGATCCCACTCAACTCGAGGGCCATGCGACACCGTCCAGTCGCGTGGGAGTCACGCGTCTCCGGCGGTGCGGCTGGGCGTGCTTACCGGTGCCACCCTGCCAACTCATCCTCACCCCCATCCACTCCATCCTCCAATCACGCTGGCGCCTCGTCTCTAGGAGGCGCCTTAGTACGGCCAAGGATAAATGCCACTGGCTCTGCAGACTTACCACTCCCCAGTCACCACCCACCAGCGGGGCCAGATGTTTGCAGCGGGGTATAAATCGCGAGTCCCCTCACCGAGGCTCCCACGGTGTCTCTTGCGATCGCGCCCGGGTTCCGCCATTGCCATCCTATGCCAACCAAACAACCGCCTCATACCCGCCGGACAATGAAATAGGCGGCAGAGATGGTCAAGCCAGAAAACAAACTTGCCCGCCCGCCCCAGAAATCCCCGGCGGGCGGCACCCCCGCAAAGCCCAAGCCGGCCACAGCCCCCAAACCAAAGACCCCGACCCCTCCCAAACCCCCAAAGCCCACCCCGGAGCACAAGAAGTCCAGTAGCACGGTCAAATCCACTTCTAATGTCAATAAGCCCACCACGAGCACCCTGCTGGACCCCGAACGGAACCTGTGGGAAGAGGCATGGATGTCCGTCGACGTGGGAGAGGCCAACCGGAAACGCCTCACCCAGAAGTGGCACGCCAAGAACCTCAATCGCGTGGGGAAACTGCCCAAGGAGTACGTGGAGAGTGTGATGGAATTGACGAAAAGCAAACTGGCCGTGTGTCAGGAGCGATGGCCGTCCAAAACAGCCTACGACCGATCACTCTCCATTTTGAAATCGGCGATGGCTGTGAAAGCGCTAGGCGATGTGGTCGTGAAGTTTGACCCCACAGGCTATGCCTCTAGTGCTTGGGCGGTGGTGTCTTTTGGCCTCACGGTTAGCATTTCTGCACGTTGCCCCGAAAGCGATGGTAGTATCGACTGACCTCTTTTAGCTGATTCAGAACACCCAGGAACGAATGCAGCGGACGCTGGAAGCCTCGCAGTACCTTGCTGTACTTCTGGCTCGATATTCTCGGATCGAGGCGCATTATCACCGGGTGCATCTAACTAACGCCAAGGATCTGGGGGATGCCATTGTGAAGGTTTACATTGGTGTGCTGAGATATGCCGCCCAGGTCAAGGAGGCGGCGACATCTAAAAGATTGGGTTCGACTATGGCTGCTCTATCATCAAGTAATGACAGGAAGGACTAACCAGTTCTGCTACAGACCGGATAGTCCAGAGCTTCAAATCGCTAACGGACGAGCCGCTCAAGGCTCTCAAAGCCGCCATTGAGAGCGATGATCGGACTGTGGACAAATGGTATCGACAACTCATGGCTGAACAGCAGCAGCTGATGCTTGAGAGTAGGTTAATTTCTGTGTGTCAAAGCAGTGCGTAGGGTACTGGTACTGAGACACGCTTAGGCCAAGAAGAGGAGATACAACGGGTCAAAGAGGTTCAAAACATGCTGAGTACAGTCTCGCAACATGCTGTGCTCATCATGCAAGACGTTGCCAAGATTGACATGACTCTTTCAAGTATGCGATCCCCACCATCCGCCTATTTGCTTCGACAACTAATGCATTCGAAGCGGAAATACGAACACAGTTGCTGGAATGGCTGTTTCCCAGCGGAAAGGACGCTCCTAGTGAAAGCAAGCATCGGAGATTGAGGTCTGCCATTGTCACTAAGCAGGGACACCACACGGCGGGCAAATGGCTCCTCGAGCGTCAGGACTACCGAGACTGGGTCGACCACCCGCAATCACTTCTTTGGCTCTATGGGGAATGTATGTTGTTACCCAAAAAATTCCGACCGCACCCAGGTCCAAGATGCTGACGAGCTGTCTAGCTGGATGTGGCAAATCCTCGTTGTGGTATGCGTCGAAGTGATCCCATACCCATATGTGGTTCATTCGCTGATATTGCTTTTCTAGCTCAACGGTAATCGAACAACTAGAGACCTTGTTCAAGAAGGATCGTGATAGGATACTTCTGCGGTGGTACTTTCGCTTCGATAAACCCGATACAATGAGTATCGATCTCCTCTTACGCTTTTTCCTACGGCAATTGGGTAGTAGCGTGGGGGGCTTCCCGGAAGAAATTTCAGGGTCTTTGGAAGAGGACCGAAGGTTTGCCCGCTATCCTGACACCAAGGTTCTCATCGACTATTTGCACAAAGTGTTATCAGGACTAGAATTCCGGAAAGATGTGTTTATAGTTTTAGACGGCTTGGATGAGTTCTCGACACAATCAAAGGAACAAGGCCGACCTGAGCTTCTCGATCTCATTCGGCGTCTAGGCGTATCTGGGCTTTCGAATCTTCACATTTTGTTGGTCAGCAAAAATGAGGAGGACATACGAGAATGCCTTCGAGGCCGCCTCAAGGATGTTCTGGTACAGATCGATATAACAGAGGAGTTGGATGTGGATATAAACAACTACATTGACACAATCATGCTTCAAGGGGAGGGTATCAGTGAGCTAGATGAATCGCTCAAATCGTTGATACGCTCGAGACTGACCGCAGGAACCGAAAGGTACAAACCCACCGCGAGAGGCTATCCACGTCATCAGCTAACAGTGAATAGAAACTTCCTGTGGGTTACATCCTTGGTACAGGAATTACGCGATTGCCGAAAGGATCCGAGCAAGATCGAGGAGAAACTAAAAACCGTCCCAACCAGCATGGTAGCCATCTACGAGAAGCATTTGAGCTCTGTAAAGGAAGCCGACGAACGATATGTGAAGTTAATATTTGCCTGGCTTCTGAGACAGCTACGACCGCTTACCCAGGACGAGATCGCTGCCGCAGTTGGCCTCCACGATGCAGATGCAGTCTATGATATTTGTACGGGCAGGTGGGTGACCCAGTCGACGCAGACAGTCACCATCAACCGCCAAAATCAGACGTACGAAAGGGTGCTTCAATTTACCCACTTCTCAGCGAAGGAGTACTTGGAGGCCCAGCTTCGTCTAGGTTCGCAGAGCCCGATATCGCGATTTCTCTGTTCGCCCGGGGAGGCACATCTTCAAATTGTTCACCGGTGTCTCGACATTTTAATACAGTCCCGGGAAACGGACGAGACGGCTGGGAAAAATGCACTGGATGCCAGATTAAAAAGTTACGCGGCCGAGTACTGGTTCGAGCATTATCGGCAACTTGAGAAAACCGAGGGTCTAGCGGCCGAACGTTCGTCGCTTCAGCAGAGAGTCATTGAGTTGTTTCAATCGTCTGAGAGCTTTGAGGCTTGGCTGGACTGCTTCGACCCTGATCACCAGACCACACCGGTTGAGAATTCCACGAAACAGAGCCAAAGCCAAAGAAAAAAACGACGGGCATCGCCCGTCTACTACGCGCTTAGGCTTCGTCTCAAGATAATTTCCGAGGAGTTGGTCAAGGCGGACCCCAAGGATCTGAGCATCCGGGGTGAGAAAGGGGAAACTGCCTTGCAGCTTGCAGTGTATCAAGGATATAAAACAGTTATAAAGACTCTCTTGAAACACAACGTCGATGTGAATGCGGGGAAAGGCCAACATGGAACGGCACTGTATGTTGCCGCCGCAAGGGGTTATCCTGCGATTTCCGAGGTGTTGATCAACGCCAAGGCTCGAGTTACCGGAACCGACGAAGGTGCCTTGGGAAATGCACTCCATATTGCCGCATACAAAGGCCATGATTCCGTGGTTAGCTTCTTGCTGGCGGGCAGGGAAAGCACGGGAAAGCCGTCGAGGGGAGTTCCAGTCAATCACATCGCTGGTTTCTTTGGGACGGCGCTCGTCGCGGCGTCGGCAGCGGGAAAGGAACCGATGGTCCAACTGCTACTCGAACGTGGCGCTGACCCCAATATTGTGAGTGGTAGGCTTGGCACTGCACTTCAGGCTGCTTGGAATGCACAGCCCCCTGCCAAGGGCGTCATTGCCGCCTTGCAAGCCAGTGGCGCAAAGCACCAGACGAATGAATATCATCCATGGACCACAGCATACAGGAGAATTGAGAAGGGCGACAAGGACACCATTCGAACTTACCAGAAGTTGTTTCTGCCCCAGCAGGCCATTACAAAAGAGGTATCAGAGCGGCAAAAGCTGCTGGTTGCTGCACTGGACCGATGGAAGGCATTGTCACGACTTTGGACTTTGAAGGACGGCCAGGCCAGCCTCGCAGCAACAGGCCATAATGAGGTGCCATTTGCCAACCAGTTGGAGGATATTGAGCGACTGGTGTCTGGCGTGCCGGTGGACGAGGAGGACTGGAAAAGCGAGGATTTGCTCTACAAAGCGATGTTTTGGGCTGGGGTCAGCTACATCATCGAAGTAGGCACTCACCCCTATTACTTTCCTGATCTGTCACTAATACTGGACAAGAACATGGTGCCGTTGGTTCTGAAATGTATGGATAGCGTTATGGATGGGTCGCAATCCCCGAACAAGCCCTCGAGTAAGGAGACAACCCGATTCCCGCAGGCTCTGATCACCGGCCTACCGAGGGAAGTAATTAAAGGGCTAAGCCCCGCGGGTCTCAGTGATTTGGTGGCTATTGATCTTGAACGGCAGCGAAAAAGCACCGACGATAGAGATCTAGAGGGGCGAGGGTCGGAAGCAAAACGTGTGGGATTGACACCAGGTTATCTTGCAGCCTCTGATTTGTTGTTACTGGTAAAGGACCTGATTCGGTTTGGGAACAAATGCACACAATACCACAGACTGGCAAATCGCCATGGGGGTGAAATCTCACACTGGGCCAAGATTGATATCGAAGATCTCACGTTCGAAGTGCTTTCGGCTGTGATGCGCATTGCAGCGATCAAGGAATGGAATCACGAGTCGATCGTGTTCCAACAGACGATCAGATCCCTGACCACAGTGCGCATGCCACGTATCGTCGATCTAGAGAGGGCTTGCTGGAAGGAGCTGACACTTGCTGGCGCATTGGCGCTTCCACCGAGCAGCCTGGCTGGAGACCATCAGTCGTCAGAGACTGCTAGAAACCTCCAAGATACGACCGTGGCTGAGATGACCAATGTCCGAACCGGCCTCTCGGACCAGCTCGATGCATTCCAGACTCGCTTGGTCAGCGACCTCCAGTCGAGGCTATCGGCCCTGATCGGAGAGGAAGTCACACGAGCAGTCAAGCAGCTTCAGCCCAGCGAGGTAGTAGACGCCTCAACGGTAGACGTGGAGTAAGGCTAGTACCGAAATCAAATTCTCAGCCTCCGCGGCAACCATAGCGATTAAACCTGGGTCCATATGCTAGTCTCCTTCTATCTTTACCAGTCTACCGATGCATGTCGCAATTGTTCGAATCCTACAGCCAAATTTGCCGAAGGCGCAGGCCTTCATGACCGCAACAGCCACTGCCAGCAATGGCAGATCTAGCGCACGGTGGCTACCATCATCGAGAACGCCTTTGGCGAAACCGGCCTCCAGCCCTTTTCCAGTAGGCCGGTGTACCTGTGCTGGTTCGACCGGGCCATGGGGGCCATGATTGGGGCAGACTGCGCCTTGTCAGGCAATGGCGATCCGATCGCGTCACGGTGGGTGAAGCCAGTCTGGAGTACCTCCTGGACACCCGGGGGCAGTTCGAACTGCATCATCCACTGCGGGTGGGCGATCGGAATGCGATGCGCATGGGGCCCCCGGCTAAGGCCGTAGTTAAAAGCTTAGTAGGGGTCGATCTTCCGGATACGATGGGCCTTGTCGTTCCTTGACCGAGGGGATCGACATTTCCGACACGCTGCCACAATCCTAAGTCACTCGAGACCCTTTTCCTCCGTCCAACTAATCCAGGGTCCTCGTTCCCTTATCTGCTAGTCCAACAACGATGACGCGATCGGCCGGGGCAATTGGCATCACCTCCCCACTTTTCAGCAGTATTTATTCCCTGCTCCCTGCCAAATCACCCGTTTGTCTCAGCGCGCGCGAGTGCCTCTATCCCGCCACACCACCATGGTCCGCTGGGGAATTCTCGGTACGTCTGCCATCACCAAACCACGATCCGTAGTCGCTAACATGATATCCCCGCAGGAACCGGCGACAACGCCCTCAGTCCGTGCCCCTTGTCTCTGCCTGTGTCACCTCCCCGCTCTCACTGACATCCGCTGTCGCAGAATTCGGCAAAGATCTACTGATCGACCCGACCACCCGCGACGTGCACGATGTGACCCACGACCTCCTAGCCGTTGCCTCTTCGACCTCCCTCGACAAGGCCCAATCCTTCCTTTCGGCCGTTCGGGCGCCCTCGACCGCCCGGGCCTACGGATCCTATGAGGCCCTCCTTGCCGATCCCGAAGTCGAGATCGTCTACATCGCCTCGCCCCATTCACACCACTTTCCCCATGCTCGGCAGGCCTTGTCTGCCAATAAACATGTCTTGTTGGAGAAAGCGTTTACCGTGAATGGCGCGCAAGCTCAGATTCTCGTGGACCTAGCCAAAGAACGAGGGTTGTTTTTGATGGAAGCTTTATGGACGCGCTTCTTCCCATTGACGCGCCATGTGCAGCAACTCGTCCGGGATGGGAAAATCGGTACCGTCCAGCGCGTGGTCGCGGAGCGGAATTTGGGCAGGAATGTGGAGCGACTCTATGGCACTTCGCATCGATTGGTCAATCCTGATTTAGCCGGGGGAGCACTGTTGGATCGTAAGTCCTTGCCCTGCATCCATGTCATGATGCTAATCCGAGGGTAGTGGCCGTGTATCCCCTTACCTGGGTCCGACTCTTCCTGCCCTCGGAGGGAGACTCGCGTGTCACGAGCGCGGTAATTCCCTACGAGGCAACCGGAGTCGACGAAACCGTGACAGTGGTGATCACCTCCCCTGCAACAAAGACGCAGGGCATCGCGACCGCCAGTCTGCGCCTCACGGCCGATCCCAGCGAGCCGGGGGTGCGTATTCTTGGCACGCAGGGTCAGATCCAGGTGTTTGGGCCCGCTGCTCGCCCGGACTGGATCCGCGTGGTCACGTACGGATCGGCGAAGGCGCCCGAGACGATCAACTTTCCAATCCCTGTGGGCCATGGCCTGTTCTGGGAGGCGGATGAAGGTGCTAAGTGCATTCGGGCGGGGCGGTTGGAGTCGGCGACGATGCCGTTGGGGGATACGACGTGGATGATGAATGTGTTGGATCAGGTGCGCCAGCAGCATGGCTTGCGGTATCCGGAGGAACTGGAGTCGACGGGGGTTTGAGGCGGGGGTGTGGGATGGGAAGATCGATATTTCCTGAGTGTCCACGTACATGTGGGAATCACGGAGAAAGGGAAATTCATGCTAGCTAGAGCTGATCGAAAGTACTAGACATGAGGTCTGGCATGAGTTGCAGCGACCGCGTAAAGCCAAAGGAGCGCCCTGAGCGGGAGCGGAGACGAGGAGTTCGATGAAAATGAGGAAACATGATAGGTCGTTTTGGTCCAGAATATAGTAAAGAAAGAAAAAAAAAAGCCAAAGCAAACAGAACACTTGTGTCGCAACAGCATGAAATTTACTACTAGGTATTAGTATTAGTTCTTTGCCAGTTCAGGCTCATTGGAGGAGGAATGGATGGGACAGAATGCGGGTATCCGAAGTTCTACGATATATATCTCCGATGTCGGAAGGATCTCTCCGGGACATTTACAAGCCAGCGATCGATCCAGCGAGCCATTGATTGGCCGGGACATCATCTCTATCACTTGAATTTGAGAAATCAATCATGATGGGGTTGTTTCTAATACGAAGGCGAGTAAGGAAGAGAGTTGGGGAGGGAAAAGCGGGGTTGAACCCTGGCACTCAGTCCTCCGAGGCGGAACCGTGGAAGTCGGCGCGAGACGCGGGGCCCGAAAGAGTGCACCCACGGGTCGATACACAAAGCATCATATGCAGTCACATCATGCTATAAGACACATTGAGGGATCACATGCTACACATTTTCCATGTACTATTGAACAGTCCAAGCGACCCATCACTTTAACCGGGCTTCCACCACTACCATCGGCACCCCCGGCGCCTGGTACACATTAGCCAGCTTCAGACCCACCAGGTCAAACAGATGGGCAAAGTCCTTGACCGTTCGCTCACGTCCCCCAAAGGTCATCATCGTCAGATCCATGTAGGCATTAGTCGTCGTGGCGCCCACTTCTGGGATGATGGTCTCGGTGATGAGGATGCGCGATTTGTCCCGGTCCATGGCCCCCGCTAGATGCTCGAGGATCTGGCGGACCTCCTCATCAGGCCAGTCGTGGAGGACCCGACGGACGAAGTACACGAGGGCTCCTAGAGGATATCATCAGCATTCACTCTCAAGGGCGCAGTAGTGGAAATTTGGCCTACCCTTCACCGGCTGAGCCTCAAAAAAGTCATGCGCCATCGGCTCGATGCCATCAGTCTCCATCTCAGACCCATTGTCTGCAATTACCATCTCGCGATCTTGCAGAATGTATCGCCCCGGGAGCCCCGCCAGGTTCTGCTTCAGCTGGCGCAGAATGTGTCCCCGCCCCCCACCGACATCCACCACGGTGGCCCTGTCGGGCTGGGCCAGAGGTCCCAGCGTCTCTACAAAGGGGTACAGCCCGATCTCCGCCAGAAGGGTGTCCTCGGCCACCATGGCGTCGTTCAGTCGGCTGACTCGCACCGGATCCTGCGAGATGTGCTCGAACATGGTCTGACCTTCACAACCATGCACCAGGGTATAGGGGTTGCTGCGCAGCCCGATACGATGCTGCCAGTTCTGCTGCCGTAAGAACTCATGAGTCCGCAGCATGGCAGGCGAGTATTCGTCAATCCTGGTCAGCCCGACCGGTTAGTGATCCGACATGCAGGGACCAAGCCCTTGACGGCACCGCCGCACTCACATTAGACCAAACACCGCTCGCATCTGAGGAGCCAGCAGGATCTCCGACTCGGGGGTGTGGGCGTACTGCTCCTCGCCCGTCTCGCGGAAGGGCCCCACGGGGGTTAGGGCTCGCATGAGGCGCACTGCGACTGGGTCAGCCCAGTCTGGCACACACACACAGGGACTCCCCTGGCGGTGCTGTGGGAAACACCAAAGAACCCGGGAATGCCTACCGATGATCTCCTTATCAACACCGGTTTTGGCCGTGATCTCGGCGGCCGAGATGCTCTGGCCCCCGGTCGGGATGGCGTCGAATACTCCGGCCTCCAATAGTGTGCGGATCGCGCCCATTCCGACCATCTACGAAGATATGGCCCGAGGGGCTCGTTAGTTGGGGAATTTGATTCACCGAGCATCGCCGTCACTGTTTCTAGAATTTCTGGAATTACTCACGTTCTCAAAGTTGGCAAAGACCAGGTCGGCCGGGCCTCGGATGGCGTGCACCAGCCGGGTGGCCTGGACCATCAACTGATATCGAGCATCTTGGCTGGTATGGGAGGAGACTTGGGCGCGATACTGGTCGACAGCGGCCGTCACCTCGGCCAGAGATTGCTGGATGTGATCCAGACTGGGCTGAAAAGTGGCCATGGGTACCCGGTTGATGCGGAATGGTATGAACCAGGGTCAAGAGATATTGGACCGGGGTCTGCCGCTGGGAGAAGGAGGGCCGAGCTATTATACTCGTCACACTCGGCCCTCGCCGCAGGGACCAGCCAAAGCCAATGACTATCGCGACGCTATGGCCCTTGGCTGGCGCGGTTGAGTGTAACTGCGAGTGTCATTGGCGGGACAAGTGGAGAGGCACCGCGATCTGCAGCCATAGCGTCGGATGGCGTCCAGGCAGCCCCGGTGCGCCAACTGACAGGTCAATTCCCCGCAGTCGCCTGCTGGGTTGCCGCCAGTTATTGGTCCAGCGACAGCCTGGGAATACGAGCAGGAGAAAAGTACGGAGGAAATGGGGATAATCCTCGGCTGACTCTCCCGGCAGGCCTGTGCCCCGAGGAACTGACACTGGTCACATCCTGACAGCCTAGCCCGGGAGAGCATCCGGAAGAAAACCCTACCCTCTACTGATCTCTCCCATGATCCGGATTGCGGTTCTCCAGGGCTCATTGATGATCGGATCTGCAGAAATCACGTCACGAGTTGGCCAATGCCAGACTATCTTCGAACCTGTCATCTTGCACCCGGTTCTTCCTGCACTGCACTGAGTCTATACTGCACCCCTGCGTCTGATAGATGCAGCTCCTGCGTAGCCGAGATGTCGGAAGATGCCCCTGACAGGATCTCTGGACGAATGCGAGCATGAGAACGCTTGACGGCTCGTCATCTCGACGCGGAACGGGATCCCATCTCGACGTCGTAGCCGATGTTGAAGCGAGATGATCAGTGGCGTTGCCTCAAAAGGGCAGTGACTGCCGCATCCAGCCGTGCGGGGATTGCAAACTATACGATGCAGGGAAGAATTATCGGCCAGTAGTCGAGATGGCCTGCAGGAAACCCGGGGATTCCTCCGCGGAGCATCAGGGCCAGGGAAGCGTGGTGCTCAAGATACTTAAGTCGCAATGCTTCGTCGGCTGCCATGTCACTCTCCTAGGATCGGTGGTAGGCCTCTCGTGGACGAGCCAAGTCATTCAGCATGTCGTCAACAATGGATCTCAGCCAAGTGCCTGCCTCGACGCCTCCTCCGGGGGTGACGTCCAACTTTGTCAACCCCGAGAACCAGAATTACCAGATCTACTCCATCAACATCGCTCTTTGCCTGACGGGAACGACAATCCTGTTGTTGCGCCTCTATACGCGCATGCGGTTGCAGAAGACCGTCGCGATCGACGACTGTGAGTGTGGAGTAGTACATGGCTGATTGACTGGACTAACCATCTGCAGGGTTTTGTATTGGGGCACAGATATGCGCGTGGTTGTTTGCCATCCTTTGCATGCTGAGTGAGTATCCCGGGCTGCTTGAGCCGGGAAGGCAAGATGCTGATAATGCTAGATATTCGGAACGGATATGGCGTTCATATGTGGGACTTGCATCTGAGCGAGATCAAGCCCTTCAAGCAGGTATGCATGCCCCGGCGGGCCCTATGGCTGGGTTAGGATGTATCACTGACCTCTGCAGTATGACCTCGCGGCCGAGGACATCTTCGTCGTTGGAATCTGGCTGGTCAAGACATCCATCTTGCTATTCTACCTGCGACTTAGTCCCGAGAAACGGTTCCGGCAGATGACCTATGCCATCATGGCGTTTGTCGCCGTGTACAACATCATCAGTCTTCTTGTCTTCACGCTGGGCTGCCTTCCGGTCCAGGCAATGTGGGATGTGACCCTGATGCCCACTGCCAAATGTGTGCAGCAGCTGTCTTTCGTCTATGCCAATGCGGCGTTCAACCTCTTTTCCGATCTGATTACCCTGGCCTTGCCCATCAAGCTCTGCTGGTCGTTGCAGACGACCGTGAAACAGCGGATCCTGCTGATGCTGGTGTTGATGATGGGTTCTTTGTGAGTGCTGTCCGCGCTTTTTAGTCCGTGTGTCAGCTGTCTAACAAGACTGACAGTGCCTGTGTGATTGCCATTGTCCGCATCGTGACGATGATGCCGTTTGTGGACGACATGGACCTGACCTGGTACAAGGTGACCCTGGCCAAATGGGCGTACGTTCCCCCTACCCCGCGTCTATATCTCGCCTCAAGGACGAATGGAGCTAATGATGACAGTATGGTGGAGATCAACGTGGGTATCATCTGTTCCTGTCTGCCGGTGATGCGCCCCCTGCTCCTCCAGATCTTTCCCAGTCTTTTTGGCAGCCAAAACAACAGTGGGGTGAAGCCGATTCACCGGGCCGATGGCAAGGACACGATTGGCGCCTCACGCAAGAAGGTGATTCGTAACTGGGACCATCTCACCACGTTGAAGGGAACGACCGCGGCGGAGACGACCCACGATGTGGAGAGTCTGCATGAGACGGCCAAGCATGATGACGGCAGCGAGCCAGCCATCATGATGGCGACCGAGTATTCCGTGACGTCTAAGCGGCTGTCAAAATAGGGTTGTGGATGTTAGCAACTCCTGGGGCATCAATGACTGTGCATTTCCCAGGTTCATCCCCACTCCAAGGATGATGGCTCATAGCATCAGATGGAGAAAATGACCCACAGAATGAGAGTCGCGGATGGGAATGATTGGCCTAATGTATGTACCTCTAGTTTTATAGTAATAGTTAATTTCTCGTATGTGAGTTTTATGCCGGACAGGACATGCGAGGTGGGTCGAATAAGATTGTATCAAAACCGCCACCTGGGCGCCCCTGAAGGGCTATCCTCGCGACACGGCTGAGTGACGAGTGACACGGGCAGGCTGGGTCAATAGGCCATTGATCCGGTCTGACTGCGCTTTAGTCATAAACGAGCAGATAGTTAGCTGTCAGCAAGACGTCAGGTTGATGCCCGTGTGTTACGCTGGACCATGAAGACATCCGGGGCGCCATGTCAGGCAGGATTTATCGCAGAACTATCGCGGTGAATGACTCTGATCACCTTGACCAGATGTGAAGTCCATATGTGAGTGTGGGTATCTCCAGTTATGACTGTCCTTGTCCCAGCTCCCCGCCACAATGAAGGCCGAGTACACCAAGCTCCTTCGGGACTTTCTCGGTCAAGTCCAGTATGAACTACCCCGCCACCGGTATGATTTGGCTCTGGAGAGCCTCGTGCATGAGTACTTTTTGCCTGTCAGGACATTGCTCCCAACGTGGGTGAGCGCCTCCGTCCGATCATCCAATGGAGTACTGCAATTGCTTTGACAACCTACCCCTGGGTCTCACCCGAGGCTCAACGCGTGATTGCAGTCTATACGGCCTATTTAATTGCGATTGACGATCTGGCCCACGAGTTGGTGGAGAGTTTTGCAACAGTTTGCCCGCCTCCTGTTCGCAGCGCAGCCGTCCAAAAACCAGCTGCTCCGATCCTTTATACACTTTCTGCATGAGATGGTGTGCAGTGCATATGGCCAGTTTGCGAGAGACATGATGCTCAAGGCAACCTTGGACTTCATTGCTGCTTGCTATCTGGAAGTGGAGCTTGACGGGGTTGCAGGCCCTCACGGTCCCGAAAGAGGCCCAGCGCTGGCCGTTTTACTTGCGCCTGAAAAGCGGAATTGCCGAGGCCTACGCCTGGATGGCTTTCCCTCCAGCCCTCTATCCGGAAAATACCCACTTCAGGGTCTACCTATTGGCTGTCCCCGAGTTGACGTATGTTTTCAATGCGGTGAATGAAATTTTCTCCTTCCACAAGGAGTGCATCGTTGGTACCGAGAGGAGTAATTTTGTCTCGAATGTCGCCATCGCCAACTCCGTGTCCCCTTTGCGCGCATTGGAGCTTCTGTGTGACGAAACCATACAGGCCATGCGCCGAGTCCGTTCCATTCTGTCAGTGAAACCCGGGATGAAGCAGGATATTGAACCTTTGTTTCATGGGTATATTTTGTATCACCTTTCGCAGACCCGGTATCGACTTGCCGAGCTCCACATCCCGGAAGCGCGGGAGGCATGCAACCTGATGAAGGGGACCCTTTTCCAGGACCACACCCCAAGTGGGCATATTGAGAAGAGAGCCACAGGGAACGGCCAGGCCTGGTAGGGCAGGTATCCGTTGCATGAGCATCAGTGTGTTTTATAGGTCATCTGTCTCTCTGGCCATTTATAATTGACGACTTGAAGTTTGGCTTTCATTCTCCGGGCATTAGAAGCTGCGACCATTAGGATATACATACCGAACAAATAAAGATGTCCACCATAATCCCTGACCAGAAGCCTGTAGGCTCGAGCACGCCCACAAAGGCACCATGCTGTAGCAACTGAGGATTAAAATCACAGCGTCCCGTGGCTTCCCCTGATAAAACATCTTTAGCCGGACTCACGGTACAGACCCCGAGACCTTAACGTAAGGCCTTCTTGTTCGCCACTTTTACCCCAAATAAATCGTCCTTGGTAAAGGTAACGCCAAAGTCCCGATGCGGCCAGATATTCTCACTGGCAGTATCGCACAGCTCCATGTCGAGACGACTCACCACAGCCGCTGTAGTCAAATAGAGTTCCGCATACGCCAAGCGGAACTCGTCAGCATGTTTCAACTCAAACCTGATTATCCGGGGTCATACTTGATCCCGATGCATGATCGACTGCCCTTGGTAAAGTTGGTTATGAATTGGCCTAGGTTCTCCCCATTCTCTGCTGCCTTGAGCCACCGATCCGGGTTGAAGGTTGTGGGTTCCGGGAACAGGTCAGGGTTCATAGTGATTAGATAGGATGACGAGCTGATGGGGGTCTGAGACATGCCTACATCAGTATTTCATGAACAAGTAATCCAAGGGAAACTTACTCCTCGTGGGATAACCCAGTCGTTGTGCACCAGATCCTCATCAGGTGCCACTCTCTCGGCAGGCGGATAGTCAATCCAATTGACATGCGAAGACCCTCGTTGATCACCGCCCTCTTGACTGCGTTAATGAGACTCTCTGTCTGCTCGAGGCCGACTTACCAAGTACGGAAGACTCTCCAATTCTGTCCAGGTCGGGCGATCGGACCCCAGCTGCTTGAGTTCCTTCCGCAGACGGTGAAGCACATCGTGCTGCAGACACAGAGAATACGTCCAAACTACCAAGTCCCGCGCCGTAGTCTCCGTGCCCGCGGCAATCAGAATCTGGGCTTCGTCTGTTAACCGCTCCACGGTCCGTTCGGACGCCGGAATCTCCTCAACATTCATGGCTCCGAAGATGGTGGCTCGTTCACCCTTTTCTTGGCAGGCTTTGACGGAGTTAGATGCCATGTTCTTGAGACCATTCCTCATTTCCATTACCAGAGCTGCAAAGGGGTTGGACCTTTCGGACTAGTTCCACGGGTAGGCCCCTGAGGAGGACCGCCAAGATGGGGAAGAAGCGATTAAAGTGGACAACGTGCGTCATCCCATTCACTCCCCTCCGGACGGCGCTGTTGAAGGTCGGATGGTCGAGGTAGTTGAAGCTTTGGCCGTAGGAGTAAAAGGAGATGACGTCCGCGGTGAGAGCAGCAACTGCGTCTTCGGTCGCGATGATGGCTCCGTCGTGATCGGCCGCGATGAAGCGACTCAGCAATTTGTCTACTTTCTGTTGGATCATGGGCTTCTAGGGGTTCACCCTTGCGCTCGCTCCATCCCATCGTACGCAGCAGGCCGGGAGATTGGATAGCGAGTTGCTTCTTCTGGGCCGCGTCGCCCGCAGGACTGCACTGTGCTGCGGGCATCGGAGACAGTCTGCCAATGGGCCCGGGGAACCAGAACCTCACCATCGACAACGGCGTATTCCCAGTCCGGGTCCATCGGGTCGGATGAGATGGGCTGCAGGAGGAGATGGGCTGTCAGATCCACCGCGACGGCCGCCGGGGTGGATCGATCGACCTCGACGGTAAACAGCGGGATGGCCAGTTCATTCCGGGCCGTGCGAGCCAGGCCCAGGATCATGGCCGTCCAGGGATCCTCACAGTGGACCTGCGCGGCGCGGGTCAACCACACCATCTTCCCGCGGAGGGCGCAGAGGGATCCCCTGATAACGTTGAAGGTGGCCTCTCCCATGCCATGGATTCCTGGCTCCTCCAGATCCAGGATCGAGATGACATCCTGGGCCGGGGGGAGCGGATCTCCAAGCGGGCAGGTGTCCACGGATCCTCCTCTCCTCGGGGAACTGGCGAGATGCACTCACTGGGACAAAGCTCCTGCAAAAAGAGACGCCGCCCCCGGGCGCAGCAGGCGTCGCAGATGCTCGGGGGTCTCAGGGCGCATTTGAATCCGGTCCTGATGCGCCAACATACACAGGATCGTGAGCTCTTCCAGCAAGGGCCACTCCGGGGGACAATGTTCGCGCGGGTGGATCAACCGATTCATGTCCACGAAGTCGGCATGGGGCTTCCACCCTCTATTCCGCATATCATGCGTGGATCGGCGATATTCATGTCGACATCTACCGCTGCCACGAGAAATACGGTGAGAACCCCTGCGACCGCCCCTGGTGACGGACGGCGCTCATGGGAGACCGGAGACCATGTGCAGTATGCGCCCGACCGGCTACTCATCAACACGCCGGGGGCCGTTCACGACATCTACAGCCATCAGGCGCCCGTGAAGAAGTTTCGCAATTAATCGCGTGCTCGCCCAGCAGGCGCCCAATACCCTGACGATGCGCACTAAGACGCAGCACAGCCGCCGGCGGCGGGTGCTCAGCCAGGCGTTTTCCGCCCGGAGTTCTGGAGGCCTGGCAGCCCAAGATCCTCGACCAGCTCGATCGGCTTTGCGAGGTGATCCGCAGCCATCTGGAGACCGAATGGACGACCTCGTTAGATATGGCCCGCACCTGCAAATTCCCTCGTCCCCCACTCCGTGACCCTCTGGCTCATGTCTGTCTTAGTCAATCACCTCGCCTTTGACACGATGACCTCGGTGTCCTTTGACGCCGACTTTGATACCCTGCGCACGCCCCCAGCATCGGTCAGTGATGGCGGCGATTGCGGCCTCGAACGTCCGGCTCAGCGTGCTGTTACAGGCGTCCGGACTGGGCACGGGCAACCTGGACCGTTGGCTGTTTCCCGCAGCCATCGCGGCCCGCACGCAATTTTGTCCGGTTCATTCGCGGCCTGCTGGGGAAGCGCCTGAAGGGGGCTGGCTCGGGGAGCGACATTTTCTCGTTCCTGCAGCAGTGCAAGGACCCGGACACGGGCGAGGGCTTGACCCTGCCCGAACTAAGCACCGAGACGGCCACCTTTATTGTTGCTGGTAGGTACTGCTACTCCTCTTCGATTCTGCTCTCTCACTGACTAGGTAGGATCTGATACGACGTCGACGACCATGGCGGCCGTGTGCCACTACCTGACGGGATCGCCTCGCTGCTATCGGCGGGTGGCAGAAGAGGTACGGTCGACGTTCGCCTCAGAGGCCGACATCCGGCTGGACCCAGCGCTCACCTCGTGTGTGTACCTGCGGGCGTGTATCGACGAGGCGTTACGTCTGTCGCCGCCGGGGGGGGGGGGAGTTCGCTGTGGCGGGAAGTTGAAGGCGCGGGCGCGTGGATAGACGGGCAGTGGCTCCCCGGGGGCTGCGAGATTGGAGGAGGCATCTACAGCATTCACCACCGGGCGGCCGACTGGCCGGATCCGTTTCACTTTTGATCCGGATCGCTGGCTGGCGGCGGCGGCGGACGCCCCTGGGCGGCCCTACATGCCGTTTTCCATCGGCGCCCGCAGCTGTATTGGGAAGCCGCTGGCCCTGGCGCAGGTGATGCTCACGATCACTCGACTGTTGTGGGCATTCAACCTGCGACGGGCGGAGGGACCGGCGGTCGATGCGGAGTATGTGGTGGCGGATCATGTCACGGCGGGGGGGAAGGGCCCGTGGTTGTGTTTTCGCCCGCGGTGAAGAGCAGGCGTTGTATGTCTCTGGTCTAGTTCTTGAGTTGCCCTGCCTCATATAGGTTTCGAGTGTTGGATGAAGGTACTATCTTGCTTTTGCCCCGCGAGGGACCCAACTTGTCCACTCACGTGAACATGGGAATCTTATCTACTTCTCAATCATGCGACACCAGACAAAACAAAGCGGCTCCCGTGATGAATTCCGCTATATAATAGTCATCCTTACTCCCGCACATCTAATCAAAATACCCAATCTCCCGCCAATGCTGCACAAACCGCAGCACCACCTCGTCTTCCACGGCGCGCATCCGCCGTAGAGTGGGCGCGCACGCCCGGGCCCGATCGGTAGCTAGGATAACGTGTCCACACACGGCGGGCTGGAACAGACGCGTAAAGAAGGCCTGGAGCTTCCATACGGGATAGCCCCGGGTGCTGCCTGCGGTGTCCGCGGCCTGGACGACGGCGGCCAGCCACTCGTCAAAGGGGATGCGGGTGGTCAGGCCGAGCTGGGGCGCGACGGTGTCGAGCAGATCGCTCCAGGGCTGGGCGAATGGGATTCTCAACCTGGTAGACGGGGGCCAGGGGTGACGGGGTGAAGAGAATCTCGCAGAAGACGGCGGCGGCGTCGTCGACGGGCATCCCCTGGCCGCTCGGCGATTATCCCGGCGGCGCATATGGGGCGGCGTCTCGGGTCGGTCCGCTGGAGACTCCTCGCAGGCCTCCGGTGAAGCATCTCGCCGATGGATTGTCTTGCTGATTCTTCCTCTCCGTCGTCCTCACGGACTGAGGTCAGTGAGTCAACGGAGAGGACCACGGGCGGATGGACTCTAAACCCTAGGAATAAACCCTAGTCACCATACATCAGCGGCCCTAAGAAACCTCCCCGATCCTGTCATCCCCCTCGACCTTTCACTGGGGGGAGTTTCTGCACCCTTCCCGAAGACTGCCGACTATGGCCGGGTGGCAGTTGGGAGGCTGGGGTGATGACGGTGGTGGGTTGGAAATTAGCCTGGAGGATTGCCCGGGGATGGCCATCACGATGACCTGCAGTGGACTGCACGATTCTCAACCGGGCCATCGGTGCTGCTGGTGATGAGGGACGACTGATGACTCTGGGACGCAGAACCGAAGGCAGTGAGTGCCTCCTGATTGCTTGACCCCGGCGACTCCGAGACATGGGTTGACGGCGGAGGGGCGCGGGAGCTGCTGCTGAGTCGGGGGCACCGCCACGGACCACGTCAGTACAGTGGACAGGTGCTGCCGTGTTGTATGCACGATGCGACCGTGGGGATGACGGCGGGGGATGGCTGGGGCGTGTGACAAGCCTCTGGGACGCATCGGGTCTATTCTTAGCTGGGCGGGTGATAGGCCGGGCAGCATACATCGAGCTGCATCCCGAGGCCCGCAGATGGACTGCTGACGGACCCATCTCACACCTGTCGTGGGAACGTTGCCACGCTCTTCTTTGTCCTTTGTTCGTCGTTTGTCGGTGATTCATGGTTGCTATTGTTAGGACGGTGCCAGCTGGTTCTGTGAACCGGTTGTCCGTCCGCTCCACGGAATCCGGACGGGTGGGTGGTGGCGGACTCTGGGCCGGAGTGGAGTCGATGGGATCGATAGTGTTGCTGATCGTCGAGTGCACACCGCATTGCATCGTCTGCAGGGTTGGCGGGCGGCCGGGTGAGACCGTCAGACGGGCTTGGCCCCGGGGGAAAGTGAGACATGGTCGGCCTGGCCGCTCCCAGCCTCCGCGCGACAACTGGCCAGCGCTCATTCCGTGGCAGCCAGGCTGCCACGGAACCCTTCATCAACTGGGTAGATGATTGCTGGAACAGCTCCATGAGATGCGGGATTTAGGTTGACGACGGACCAGCCAACCTGCTCGTTGCATCATCGGGGCCGCCCGCTCGCGAAGGGATCGGCGTTGGGCGTGCCGATCCCCCCGCAAAGTCGGATTCCAGGCGAGGCCACCCTGCCACCCGCTTAAAATAGCTGTCTCTGCACCATATAAAGCCCCGCCCGGCTCCCGGTTCTCCCATCCTCAACAACATCATCCACAGCAGCATTCCAACCATATCCATTGCATCACTCACTTACCTGATTCTACACTCCAAATCTTACTTGCAATTTCCTAAGCATCCACCATGCAGTTCACCGTGCTTCTCTCCTCCCTGCTGGCCCTGGTCCTCTCGGCCTGGGCCCTGCCCACCGGCGACATCCGCGTCATCCAACTTCGCGTCTGGGGGGAAGCCGGCTGTAGCGAGGAGAACCTGGGCGAGCTCGGCCTCTACCAATCCACCCTCAACCAGTGCGCCGCCTTTCACGGCAACTACACCATTGAGTCGGTCAGCAGCGAATTCGTCAACGCAGGCTATGCCGGTCCGTTCCTTTCAGCTCCCCCCACCCGAGCCCTGTGCTAATTGATTGGCAGCCCAACTCTTCAGCGACCGTGCGTGTCAGGAAGACCCGGTCGAGATCACCACGACGGGCTGCACCAACGCCGACACCGTCTTTGGCAGCTACAAGCTCGTGCAGGTGTAGGACCCCGCGCGTGCCACAGTGCAGGGAACAAACACTTCAGATGACAACACTTGAAACCTTTAGCGACTTTGATTACGAACCACGGGTAATGGCTGATACGAGGGACGGCGATGGGATGTTACGGACATGAATGTGTAACTTAATTCGACCTTAGATAATGACCTTTGCATATACGGCGAGATCGATGGCCTCTACGCAGTCCCCTTGGGTTTTATAGTAAACCCCGCCCGACCGCTGCAGCAGCTCACGCCGACCAGAATGTCCGGTGGCGCGGGAAGGTTCTTCCGAAACCGTAGGTATGCCGAAATCTCCAGAGGACGGTTCGTAATTTACCGCCACTGCGATCATGTCCGTGGTCCGACCAACGGTTGCTTGTGGACGAGCAGACCCCGGTAGGCTCATGTCAATTGGCTCCCCGGATGGAGAAAGTATAACCCTGACTCTCAATTCGATGATCGTTATTGCGATTTCTATTAATGTGCTGTTGATAGAGGTATCGCCTTCTATAGTAAAACCTGCCATCTCGATGGCCAGACATGCACACGGGGAACATAGATTGAGCTCACTCAGTTTCTACCGAAACAGATAAACTCCACGACTCGCTATGATGCTAATATCTTACCCCGAGCCGAAATCCCGTCAATGACTTCCTTGATCTGGAGGAGCTCGCGCAGGGTCTGCTTGTACTCCTCGGTCTGGTCGGCCGAGGGCACGGCCAGGGCGATGGGGATGTCGCCGCTCCCGTCGCTGATGAAGGAGGGCACGTGCTCCAGGTTCTGTTCGTTGGTTTTGTAATACGAATAGATCGAGCTGAGGGTGTCCCGCTCCCGCTTCTGTTGCTGGTCAGCCATGATGTCGTGTCCGGTGATGTGGTTGGAAATATAGATCAATCAATTCAATCGATGAAGCTATGAGGGTTGTGGCGTGCCTCAGGGAATGGGGTGCATTCTACCAAAGGAGACGAGATCATGGATTGATCGGTTCTCCTGGAACTACTACAGTGGGAGTGCCCGACGCTTCTGGAGGAGATCCCCTGCTGTATAGAGGCAACCTCCTGCCCGGCAGGCCGAATTCCACCAGCTTCCAGTCATGAATCCGAGTCTTCTCTGGTTGAATGGGTATATAGGAGTTATCCACCACCGTGGAGGAACTATGCTACTGCATACCGGCGATATACCATAGAATGCAGGCGATATCCTGCCCGGGCCGGAAGATTCCGCTGGCTCTTAGCCACTCGGCCTCGTATCAGGCTGATATCATCTCCTGCGAGGGATTGCCCATCCAGAACCCCCTCATAAGTTGCAGCTGTCTGCTACTGCCTCGTCTTGCAGTCATCCTGCGACGCACCTGCTTCCTACTTAGAAGACCCCCGTCGGACACCGCAGGTAACTGAATGAGAGCCATTCATATCGGTGATACAACCCGCCTCCTTGTTTACTTGGAGAAATCCCTCCTGACCCCCTCTTCTTCCCCTGCCATCACGCCAAAATGGACTGGGACCATCTCGCGGAGCAGTCGAGCGATCAGCTGTTTGCTGGCTGGCTCCGGTTGCTCTTTCAGAAATCCCCGGCCCTGCCATCGCGACTCGCCAGCCAGCACCGGGGGGGCACCGCCCCGGTGACGGATGTCTCCGAGTTTACCACGGGGGCGTGCAACATCTGCTGCATCGTCACCTTTGCCGATGGCTTCCGGGTGCTGGTGCGGTTCCCCATCCTCGGTCGCAGTCGGTTTCGCACCGAGAAGACCCGCCATGAGATTGCGGTGATGCGATTCCTATCGCGACAGACCACCCTCCCCGTGCCCCGGGTGCTGGGGGCGGGTCGGTGGGGGTGTGGTCCGTACCTGGTGATGACCGTGGTGGAGGGCACCTTGTTGTCCCAGCGCCTCCGCGACCCGGCCGTGGACGCGCCCCGCCGGAACCCCCAGGTGTCCGATGCGGACCTGGAACGGGCCTACCGCGCGATGGCCCAGATTGTCTTGGAGTTGTCGAAACCCACGTTCTCGTCCATCGGAGCGCTGGTGGAAGAGCCGCGGGGCTGGAGGGTGGCTCCACGGCCCTTGACCCTCAATATGAACGAACTCGTCCGGGTGGGCAATCTGCCCCCAGGGATCTTCGCGGAGAAGACGTTTGGGACCGCCCGCGCCTATTTCGAGGAACTCGCGACGCAGCAGCAGCTGCACCTGCAGCATCAACGCAATGACGCCGTGAAGGATGAAGCCGATTGCCGGAAAAAATACCTCGCGCGCTGTCTGTTCCGAAAGATCGCCCGCGAGCTCTACGAGGCGCAGCCCGGCCCGTTCCGCCTCTACTGTGATGATTTGCGCCCGTCGAATGTCCTGGTATCCGGGCCGGAGTGGACGACGACCGGCGTGATTGACTGGGAGTACACCTATGTGGCGCCGGCCGAGTTCACTTACACGGCCCCCTGGTGGCTGCTGTTCGAGAGTCCCGAGGCGTGGGAGACCGATCTGCAGGCGTTCTTACCCCGGTTTACTCCACGGCTACGGTTGTTTTGCCACGTCCTTCGCGCCTGCGAGACGGAACAGATCCAGCAGGGGACTCTGCACGACGCCGACCGACTCTCGGGTCGGATGGCGCAGTCGATGGACAGCGGGGTGTTTTGGTTCTGTCTGGCCGCGCGGAAGAGTTTCCTGTTCGATGAGATCTACTGGACGTTCCTGGACCCGCGATACTTTGGGCCGGGCTCTCTGGAGGATCGGGTTGCTCTGTTGTCCGCCGAGGAATTGGTCGAGCTGGAGCGGCTGGTGCCGGTGAAGGTGCAGCAGGCGCGGGAGAAGCGCTTGGAGGAGCATCTGTCGTTTGACGAGCTGGTGGAACTTTGACCGGCGTCTGTGCAGGGGTTGATATGGCATGCATGATTCATTTATGCATGTCTATGAGGCAAGCAACCAATCAGTCCTATCCCTAACATGGAGACTCAGCAACTCAGACATAACGAATATATTCATGACATCTTGATTGGAGTCGGAGCGTCGGAGTATATAATAGTAGTTTGAGTCGGAACGTCTACGTAGCTAGATCCCTTAACGCCTGGCGATGATCTGTTGGGCCTGCCATAGAGGCAGCCACGGATGTAGAAATGCGAGGATGTATATACATCTTCACGAAGCGGGCGTGGCCGGTTAGGTAAGAGAATCCACCGTTCCAACGCCGGGCCTCTTGGCAGGGCTTGGCCCTCCCACGGCCTGCAAGATCCAAGGAATGACTCGCCTGGTGCTATCTCGAAATACGTAATGCAAACCCGACTTCACGCCCTATGCGAGCAGACCCCGCGGCCGGCGATGGCGATGGTCAGGCCAGGAGCCTGATTGGCTGGCTCGGCGCCCTGCCGAACACACACGCGGACAGTTAGGGTAGTTAGGCGAGGCATGCGCTCCGCAACTCTGGCGCGACCCAAGAAGCTTGATGGCATCCCGCTGTCGTTTCCACGTGCCGTGCGGTGGGCATCCGAATAGCAATTTGCAACAAAATTCTCCCTTCTAGTGTCAAGCACGCCATTGTGGCGTCCCACCAGCGGCCCGCTTTTCGCGCCGTACTTATACTCCCGGCTGGCCATGGCCCTATGTCAATTTTTTTTTGGCACTCTCCCGGCATCCCAGGCGCACCTCGAGGCATCATGGCGACTGCAGACGTCTCACCACCAGTCCCGCTCCGACAGCGGGTGGTCTCGATCTGGCGGTCCATCCCCTTCCAGATCGCCATCGCCAGCGGAGTCTCCTTCACGGCTCCCGGTATGTGGGATGCGCTGAACAACCTGGGCGCTGGCGGTGCCGCCAAGCCCTATGCCGTCTCCGCGGCCAATGCCGTCCTGTACGCCCTGTTCGCCGTGGTCTGCGTGGCGGCCGGTGCCATCAACAACCGCATCGGCCTGCGGTTTGGCTTGGCGCTCGGCAGTATCGGCTATCCGATTTATGGTGCCGGACTGTACACCAATAATTACTCGCCCACCACCTGGTTCCTGTTGTTTGGTAGCGCCTTGTGCGGCCTGTCCGCCGCCTTTTTCTGGGCCGCCGAGGCCGCCATCATCATCGGATACCCCAGCCCGAGAGACCGCGGGTTCTATCTGGGTAGGTACACCTCCGTGCCATCACCTGACCACGTCTGACCCCAATCCAATAGCCATCTGGCAAACGGCCAAAGCCGCTGGCCCCATCGTCGGCGGTGCCATTAACCTCGGTCTCAATGCCCGGACATCCACCCAAGGCTCGGTCAGTGCGGGCACCTACATCGTCTTCATCGTCATCATGTGCCTGGGCCTGCCGATCGCCCTCTTTCTCAGCCCGGCGGAGAAGGTGCAGCGGAAAGACAAAACCCTCATCGTCGTCCAGCGGCAGACCTCGTGGCTGGCCGAATTCCAGGCCGTCTTTTCGTTGCTGGTCAGCCGCCGCATCCTCCTGCTGCTGCCCGCCTTCTTCATCAGTTACTTCTACAACGGCTTCCTCAGCACCTGGCTGACCACGTACTTTACCGTGCGCTCTCGTGCCTTCTCGTCGTTCTTCTCCAACTTTGCGGGCATCTTCTCCTCCTTCATGATCGCCAGTCTGCTGGATCGGCAATCCATTCACATCAAGACGCGCGCCCGCGTGGCCTTCTCGGCCATCGTCCTGGTCCTGACCGGCACGTGGATCTGGGCGACCATCCTCCAGTATCAATTCTACTACGAGTATCCTGAGTCCCCGGTCTTCGATTGGTTCCAGGGCGGCTTCGGCAAATCCTACGCGCTCGTCTTCTTCTGGAACTTTGGCGGTCAGGCGTTCCAACAATTCCTCTATTGGCTGGTGGGCCAGTACGCCACCGACATCTCGTCGCTGTCCCACCACTGCGGGATTCTCCGAGGCTTTGAGGCGCTCGGCCAGACCGTCGCTTGGGCGTACGTTCGTTCCTTTCCCCCGTAGCTGCCAATCTCGCTGACCATACTAGGATGCAATCAGAAGGCAACGCGAACCACTTTGTGAGCATCGGTCTCAACTTTGGCATTACCATCCTCTGCATCATCCCCACGTGGATTATTATCTCGGAGCTGGAGCACAGCCATGAGATCGAAGTGGTCGCCGAGGATACCAAGCCCGTTGGCGACCCTGACACGTCCGTCTAACCACGGGTTGTTTTTACCATCGACCACTCTCCGAGTGGTCACATGATGTTCAACACATAACGGCATTCTACCGTCCCCCCTTTTATGATAATGTTAATGTATCTTTCCCTCTCTTTCTGTCGCTAGAGATACCCCTTCAGGCTTTCAACATACCCCACCAATATATTTCTATTCTTATCAACAACCAGCGTCCCAGTCACCTCTAAGACTACAGGCTCCATCTGGCGACGCAAATGCCTCCCGAAACTTGGATTTCTAATCGTCCAACTCCATGGTAGGGACAGGAGTATGACTTCACTTCGTGAAGATGTAGTTAGCACGAATCCCAATTTCTCCTCCTTGTCTTCCATCGGATCTATTTTCAATCCAAGATAAGTTCAATTTGGAATGGTTCAATTTGCGGCACGGGTTTCAATACGCGAGGAAGAAGAATAGCCATACTAAGACCAGGAGTACCTGAGATGGCTAGAAAACAGGTCAAACACCTGGTAGTACTAATTGAGGACCCCAATTAGAGGCGCGGGCGGGCACGACAGGAAACGCTGGAGAAAACACGCACGATCAACCGTCACTACAACGACCCAACCCATACACCACTCGGTGCTGTAAAACTCGTTCGGCTCTCAGAGCGTTGGTGGCTAAGCATACGGTAGGGTCTGGCTCAAGGGATCATGGTCGCGAAACGCATGGCTAGGGCTCCCCAGGACGGGTCCTCGCGCGCCCGCCCAAGAGCGCTTTTCCTATTCCGGGCCGGGGGGATGAACCGGGTACGGTGCGAAGTCGCCGGCGCTGCCGACGACCCAGGCTAGGCGAGGTATTTTACATGGTTTCCCGACGCCCATCACCGTTTTGAAGGGGTCTGTTTGACGGTGATTCTTAACATATAGGGATCCGAGGCGGCGGAAGGTCCTGCTCAGGACAAAATGATGTTAGTCTAATGGGCATAAGGTTAAAGGGACATTGTTAAAGTAGTCTAAGGTAGCGTTCAGGTGACATAATGAAGGAGTTGAATTTCGAATGCGGGCCTAAACTAGCATCCCGTATTGCTGTAACTGTCATTCATCATTTTCCAGATGCCTTTCTAGTACCATTTGAGTGTCCGTCTGGCTGGTTTGCACCTTTGGAGTTGGCAGATTTGCCCCGTAAAGTCTTTGCCATGACTCGAACCACGCTAGAATTGGATGTCGCCTTTGATAATTCACTGGACGCTGCGCAGAAGAGAGGTGATGATCGGTTAAGCTGGATTACAACGGTGTGTAGTGTCATGCGATCGTTCTCTATGACTGAAAGGCGCGGAAATATTGTTAGAGCATTCTCATCCTGGGTGTTCTGTGCAGTTTGTGCCTCCGGTCGGCTGTTCTCGTCCAAAGTAAAGGGAAGCCAATACTCGTCGGGTCCTGGCTGTTCGAAATCTGGCTCATATCTTCGCTTGGCACGTCGTATGGGTTGCCAAACTCCTGCGGCTTTCCGCACGATCTTTTCCAAACTAGAGCGCATTGACATATGTTGTGCCTCTGTCAGTAAATCGTCAAAGTATGACAGCACGCGACCGACGACAGTCTGGATAGTCGACGAAAGAGCTTTTTCTTGGGCTTGCGTATTTATTGACTGCAGGACAGACCGGGAAAATGATTCCTTCTCACTGTCAGTCATGGCAAGATCACCAAGGATTTTCCGAATACGGCCATCTTCGGGGATGATGTAGCATGGCTGGAAGATATATTTGTCGATCTCCCTCGCGAGGATAGCAAGAATAATTGCTAAGCGGATTTGTTTCGCTGGCGGGGTATTCGAACAAGGTAGGGGAATGTGGTAGTTACGGACAAGATCGCAGCGTTTTAGATTGGTCCACGCTGAGCCGTTCTGAGGAAATAGATCAGTCAGCCATAATTGATATCTTGCTGTCAATACGTACCGAGATAGCTTCTGTAGTGAAGTCGACATTGAACTGGGAGTACAGCTCTGTCTTAGCAAACTGCCACAGACCAGTGAAATCATCTATCCTGTAAGCTATTAGTATACTATAGCTTCTACTGTGTTTCCAGGTGTCACTTACAGGGAGCCCTCGTCCCCTTCATAAAACCCAGAGGCAAATCCTTCAATCGTGTTGAGTCTGGCACGAGTGTTATCCAGCAGTTGTTGAAGGTTCGAATTCTTCTCCTCAAGCGCCTTTGCATTCTCCTTGGTAGTAGAAAGGCTCTGTTTTAATTCCGATTCTGCTGCCTTTAGTTGCTCGATGATAGTGTCCTTCACCTTGAGATTACCCTGTAAGGCACTGATGTCCTGTTGCGCCTGCACCAAAACCTCCGTTTGTTTTCTGAACTCGGCCTTTGCTTTTCTTATCTGTGTTTCTTTGGTGTCCAGGGCTGCATTTTGTGCATTGATAAGGTCGTCTTTCTCTTGCAGGGTCTTTTGAAGCTCTTGCGCACGACTTTGGGTATCTTGATGGCGCCGCCTTTCTTTCTCATTCATCAGGAACATTTCGTTGATGGCTGTCTCCTTCTTCAAATCACAGTCTCTTATCTTTTTCTCAAGATCGATGACTTGCTCTTCTTTGGACTTCAGGTGACTCCGTAGTGTCATGTTTTCGTCGTGGACCGTCAAAATCATATTGAAGCCCACTGTGGGAGATAATTCCTTGAGTTGCGCAAAGAAGCCTAAAAATGCCTGAACATCAGGGGCCTGGGCCTCGGCCTCGGACTTCACGGATAAGACGGTTGTAGTTGCGGAAGGCATTGCTGACAGTAAAGCTTCGATTGGTTCCCTTGCTAAGATAACAGAGCGAGCCGGTGATAGTACATCATTTTCAAAATCCATGCCCTAAGCAGTTTGCGACCTTGGTTCTTATAGTGAGCCGCGGACCCTGTCCATTCTCTGTCATAGTTGGTGTTCAGCGCTTCGATGCTACTAGCTCTCAAGTGGAAAGTAGTTTGGCGGCTGAATTGCCCATTTGATAGAAAGCCATAGGTAGTGTTGTTGTGGCATGGTCTGTATGGTTACCACATCCGTGGTACTGTCACTGCGCATCTGCGCACTCTTGCTTACAGGGTTGCAGGTTATAAGATTCTCGAAAGTATTCTGCTTGTGATCTGCTAGAAACCACTCATATCTGACCAAAGCTAGAGTGAGGCGGTCGGGTTGGAAAGATTAACACATGTTTGACTCATGGGACTTGCAGCTCAGCAAATAAACGAAGGGGTTGTGCAACGTGTCGCTTATCCGGGCGGCGCTTTGACCCTGCCAACTTGGCCGAGTACTCCAGCAGTTCAAATGAAAATAGTTTGTGTGGATCACTGGCCCAGCACGTCTAATCGGAGCGCCCGGATATGTCGGGCTCCATTATCCAAGGCTATGCAGCGCATTAAAGACTTTGCTCTGTTAATCATTGGCATGATTGCGACAATCATCAAGTAGAACCCCTTCCCATTAGAGGAGGGGCAATGTCTAGCCTAATAACTCCGCAACCACAGTATCACAGAACGCTTGCCCCGCACGGAAAAAGCCCGGTCGCCGATGTAGTGGGATTGAACTTCTCGGAGCCCGTTCCGGACCTCGCAGCCAGTAGAACAGCTCGATTTGACTTACTAAATGAAATCGTAGCCTAGAAGTCCCTTGTTTAGGCAACACTTTTGACTGCATCTGCTTCTATGATGGTGTTAATCTCGCTTATTGCATAGTCTATCTCATCTACCCTCCAATTGTTACGGTATCTAGCCATATTCATGAGAGGTCTGCGGACGAAAGAAGACTGCAGGCAAGTGGGGCCTGAGGGGTAGAGGTGACCGGTCCACCGGAGTCATCGCTTCGTCTGACCGCAAGCCTCCCGGCCGCACCAGTCCTTTTGTGCACTAACAGAACTTGCTTGTCAAATGGAGATGAGAAAGGCGACCGCTGCTGGGATCCCTTCACCCTTGGAGGGCCAGCAATCACTGCACAGATCATAAACCTCTACCTTGCACAACTGCCATGGCTGCCTTGGACTGCTTAAAATGAGCCGGTTTCGTTGTGGTACTGGAAACTGTCGGCTGCTGATGCGAGGGATCAAACATAGACATACATTCTCAGTGTATCCGGATAGCTGGGGAATGTCACCTCAAGAAGCAGCATAGTTCTGAGGTATAATTTCTCATAGGACTGACATACTACACCTCAAGCCCTTAAATTGACCAGTGAATTCTCCACCTTGGTGACTACTAAACATCAAAGTGTCGATCAAATTCGAATACTATGATGGCGTGCAGGTGGCCAAGAAACGCAAAGTATAGTTCTCACAAGTACTGTACCATCCCTGCAAATAAGGTTACGTGTAGCCGGCATGGAGCGACCACTTAAGAAAGAAAAATGAGCGATTGGTGTGGTGACACACGCAGCCGGTCAGCTTGGGATTACTCGCAATAGCCAGGAAATAAATAGCCTTTTCTCGCAAGGAAACCCAGCTGGCAACCAACTTATTATAGTCTAGAGAACATTGAGAATTCCACTCTCTTCTTGTTCCGATTGCTACAACAGGCTTCATGCCCCAATAGAGCAGCCATACCATGGATCCTGAGCGGATTCGGGGTCTGATTTGTAAAGCAACCGGGTACTATTCCATGGCTTTTCTGACCTTACTATGCCATTACTATTGGCACATTTTGATGGGCGATGGCTGTTGCATGGCCACGTCATGCGAGGCTACAGATGCCATCCCACCGGGTAAAGCATAGTACTAACAAGAAGTTGATGACCAAATCCATCCCTGACTCCCTCACAGTAGGTTGTATTGGCTTGCTTGTAAATAGCGGCACTGATAACCCTTTCTTTTATTTAATATAGGGTACAGCGTCTCTTATCTATAGAGATTTATGAGCTTTTGATGAGGAAAGGAGGAAAAAAGAAAAGATAGTTAGCAGTATCTATAGTTATTGATATAGCTGTTGTACCTACCGAGCCGGTTTCTACAAACGAACGAATTATCAGAAGATGTAAGAACTGGTATTTAGGTTAGATACTATGGTTAGTAATCTTATCTTGTAAATACTGCACTAATCTATGTACTATATACTATTCCACAAACACTTCGGAGTCATTATCACGTATGGCTGCCTGACAATAGTGTGTGTCTGCTGGTTCCCGCCGGCAGAACATCTGGATACCACCTCGGCCTGCGCTATTGGCTATCGCGCCCTTCTTTCCGCCCTGTGTCCTTCTCATTAGTCATATGCTCCATACCTGCAATCCATACCGTGGGTTATAGTGGCCTCACGATCTAGCCTATTGCATTAGCTGCGTCCGCTGTGGTGGGCTGCCTCGGGGCCTGATTGGAACTGAATAAACACCAAAATGCCTGTCAACGCCACGTCAATACATCGTCCGAGAGAACGATGTTCGTCGTGATCAGTTATCGGCTATTGATATTCAGCAATATCAGCCCGGCTTACATTTAAATATAGTCAATACCCCATTACCATTGCGCACAGATTTGTTCCTTCTTCTTCTATAGTACATACCGCCTCCTTGCACGAAATGTCTCCAACAACAGAGAATAAACGGTGCCAGGCGTATGAGCACGTCTCTGCCGCACATAGCGCATCTCAGAGTACCGTTCCCCATCACGAGGCAACTACCTCCCAAGCTAGCGAGAGCCAAAGTCCCGCTAAGATCATAGCACAATACCTGCTAAATGAGGTGCCGGAGTTTCAGCGACTATCCGAGCTTCGGCATAAGGTCAGGTTAAGCCGGCCATTTCTAGGACCTTGAGTTGACTAGTAAAATAGGGTTGGGAAAATCCGGCGGGTGATCGGTTCTTCGAACAGCAGCGTCAAACAGCAGACAATGCTGATCAGAAAACAGCCAAGCATTTCTTTAGAATGATGAAAGAGATTGGACATGACATGCAACAGCTTACGGATGTTTTCCGGATTTATAGTCCTTATCCGGACAAACAACGTATCCTTGACATGTGCATGGCACCGGGAGGCTTTCTTAGAACAGCCTTATGGGTTAATCCCGAAGCGCGAGCTATAGGATTCAGCTTACCAAGGCGTGAAGGAGGTCACAAAGTCCTTTTACCTAAGCATCCTAATATTTCGGTGAAGTTCATTGACATCACCCTGTTGGCTGCGGATATGGGCCGGTTGGATATCCCGAACGATCACCCAGACGCTGGAAAATTCTTACCCCGTCAATTCGAGCCTGGACAGGCTTTTGATCTAGTCATATGTGATGGTCAGGTGCTTAGGAACCACGACAGGGCCACCTACCGTGAGCATCGAGAAGCCAGCAGACTAACCCTGACACAGCTGGCGCTTGGCTTGGAGCATGTCAAGCTGGGGGGAACCATGATCGTTCTTCTTCACAAAGTCGAATCTCCACATACCGTACAATTACTATATGCATTCACAACCTTTGCCTCGGTGCAACTGTACAAGCATCCCAGGTTTCATGCCAAGCGATCTTCGTTCTACATGCTTGCAACCAATATCCAGAATGATTGTCCGGATGCAGCCATGGCAATCCAAGGGTGGAAGAGGATGTGGGAAATTGCAACGTTTGGGACGGACGATATGTACAGTCAAGCGCTCCAACATAATGTTCCGGATATTGAGCTCGTCTTGAAGAACTTTGGCCCTAGACTAGCCGTTCTAGGCAAGCATATTTGGGGTATCCAGGCAGATGCGCTGGCAAGAGCTCCATTTCTGAAGTACAGTCTATCTTGACTAAGCGCTACGTGTTCTATATTTGTATTGTACGGAATTTGGATAAGTTACGTTGGGACATCTCCTAAAACTGGACATTATATCAAGATCGGCTACTGACCTGTTCAAAGTATTGCAGCAGTTTTGGTATACCGGCGACTGAAATCCTAGGGTCAGTCCATGTCACAAGACGTTAATTACTTTGGCATTGCTGTGAACTTTCTTGCATTGGTCTAAAACTTGTAACGTCTTACACTGCTTCGTATGTTGTGAATAGACAATCTAGCGAAATTCTGAGTTAAGATCTGTCTCCCTGACAACGTAGGTCCATAGAGCAACATATCCTCACATCGGTATCAAAAGAACCATGTCGATAACTGATATATAGCAAAACCATTATAGTACTATCAATCTACTCGTGTGAATAAGTACATTGAAGGAAATGTCAAAAATTCTACCTACATGATCAACACAACCAACCGGGACCAAGGGTACGTTGCTGCCTTACCCCTCACTCTAAATTGTCCGATCCATATCTTTCGCTCTCATCTCTCACTTTCATTCCCTCACTCTTCCTCCTCCACCAGCAGCAGCGCATCTTCTAGCTTCTAAAAGATCAAGTGCATCAACAAACCCATAAATTACTTTCTCAATGACCAAATCATAAATATGCCCAGGTCTGGGAAAGACTTCAGCTACAAGGACTCCGGTACTAATGGTAAGGTAAGTACCACCATATTTTATAGATCCAAAACCTTAGCTAACGATATGATGTCCAAAATGGAAACCACAGGTGCTCCCGCGACTACTCTGGCAGCTCTAACTCAAACTCCTACCACTACTCAAACAGGTCAGTCGTGTCATCCCGTTCCGTGCCATCCCCTCACTATTATTCCTCTAGCCCGACCTCATATTTGCCAAACTAGTTCTGATGAGTTTCCTTCTCCAGTAACGGGTCCTACTATTACTCCAACCCCGATGGGAGCACTTATTACAATAACGGCAATGGTGGCTCGACTTATACCCCTCCTAGTGGGAAGAAATAGGCGGGATTTGACGGGGTGCTGAGGGATCCTTAACACCTGTGTTAGCTTGAAGAGATTATCCCATGGCTGTTTCAGTTATTGTGGGGATACTTCGTGACAGCAACGATACGGTTGCAGAGTATCATATAGAAGCGAAACCTTGACTGGCTTTGCCTTTCGGTGCAGTTTCTTTTATTGTTTTCCTTTCTTTACTCTCTCTCCTTCTCTTTCTCTCTTTTCATTTCTTCTAATTTTTCCCCTGTACGTTGAGGTGGCTTGTAGTGGAATGCTGCCGGCTCGAAGACCTTGAGGCGGTAATCCTATAAACGACTGCTAGATATTGATATAATACCCCGAGCTGGGGTCAGCCGTCGTTTGCTTGGGAAATATCAGGCTATGCCGCTGTGAAGATAAAATCTAATTCTGTCGAGCTCCGCCATGCCATTGCGTACATATATTTAATTTCAAACCCATCGTGCATTATGTGACAGTACTACTATTACCAAGGTAATATAACCGCGGCAAGGATCTCCACAGTTACCCAAATGAAAGCAATATCCGGGGGTACAAGTATTCTGAATCATGAGTGTTTAGTCCTTTTCGCAATAGGGGTTCGATATAAAGGAGAGCCTTTCCCTAGGATCATTGAAAAGGGCTAGGCCCTGTCAGCCATCCGGAATCGGAACATCTATGTTCTGACCTATCTAGTCCTGGACCTTAACCCAATGATACCTATAAAAAAAATAGGAATCTTTAGAGAGGATAGAAATCTCTAGAGTAATAAAAAAACTTATTAATATTATAAAAAAACCTCCTAGAAAGAATTATCTATAAAAGAATCTAATTAGTCTATAGATTAGATAGTTCTTTCTCTAGTAAATTTAATTTTTTTATGAATTATTATATTTTATATAGTCTACCTGGCTTCTTAGCTTGTTATAATTTTAAATTTATTTTTTCTTTAAAATATTTATTAGATAATAGATTAGTAATATATAATAACTATAATAAATTAATAAATATTTCTAGTTACTATGGAGGCGCTATCCAAGCTAATATTATTAATTAATTAGCTAAGTATATTGAAGAACTAATAATCTAGAATATAGAAATATAATATATCATTATCTAATAGAATATAGTAATAAATAATAAGATTAATACTAGTCTTGGACAGATTAAATAAATTATTAATATTTAATTTCTATTTTTTTAGATATTTATTATAATATTTTTATTTATATTAGTATTGGCACTGGTACTAGTCTAAGATTTAATTAATATAAAAAAATTAAAATTACTAATCTTTATAAATTTTAATAAAAAAGATAAGAGTAAGTTCCCGAGTTGGTTTAATAGTATATAAATAAAAATTAAAATTAATTAATAATTTATTAATATGCCGGCTGAATAAGCTTAATATATATTTATATTTTTAAATAAGGAAACTAAAATAAAGATTAATTTATAAATAAAAATTAATTATAAAGCCCCAATCTTCTTAACTATAATTTTAATTAATTATTTTAAGCTAATTTACGAGGATCCAGTCTAATAGAAAAAAATTATTAATAAATTATTTACTCTTAAGTAAGAAAGATAAATAATTAATAATCTTTTAATAAAAGTTAATAACCTATTAATTAAGATTGGAGGATATAGTTAGAAAAATTTAAATAAAAAAAATCTTCTATATTAAATTCTAAATAATAATATCTACTAATAAATAATTAATATTAAATAGAAACTAGATTTTAAAGACTTTTATTAATAAGTTAAATGGATAGCTGACGAGCTTATAAAGATAAACTAATTTTTAGAAAAATAATTAAAATATTCTAGTACTTAGATAGATAATATTTCTAAGAAAGTAATTATAGATAATATTATAGATTAGAAATCTATAATAATAAGTATAAGATCTGCTTAATCAATCTAATAAATATTAAAAAAAATATTAACTAAATACTGTGAGACAGGACTTTATATATACTATAAATCTTTAAAATATTATATTATTAAATATCTATATTTATTATTATAGTATTTCTAGGACTTGAAGAGTATTCTAAAGAATAAAATTTATTAAGTCTTATTTAAAAATAATCTAACTAATAAAATTAGCTAGATCTTAAAAAACCTAGTTATCTAATAATCTCTAATTCTAGAAAAAATATAATTTTTTTAGATTATTACTTAGAGAAGCATACACTAGTTAACTAAAATTATAAAAAGTTTAAAAAAGAAATTTAAGAATTTAAAGACTATTATATCTTCTCTATATTAGGATTAGTTAATAGAATTTATTTTATAAATATTTTAATTAATACTAGCTATATACTGTACAGGATAATTAGCTAGAATTTTATAAATAAAAATAAACTAGAACGCATTTCTATTGAATCTTAAAATATTAAAAAGTTTAAAGAAGAAAAGACTTATATAACTAAATTAGTAAAAATATTACTAAATATAGATAAGAATCTATAAATATATATATACCTCTATATTCTATTATATGACGGCAGCCTCGTTCAGGATCATGTGACTATGTTTATTTTATTTATTTTAACATTATTTTCTTCAAGCAAGCATCCATAACACTTTTTATTTTTCTTTTTTTCTCCTTATGCTTAAATTTCTAGAGTAATTAGCACTAATATGACCTCATTTTATTATATTAAACAGCTGTTTTATAATTTTAAGTATTATTTTTTTATTTTTTTCTACTATTATATATGGCCAGTTTCTGCTAAGCTATTAGTAATCCTTATCCTATATTCTTAGTAATATTTAATAGCTAAAAGATCCACCTAACCAACTGACTGAATAAATAAATAAAATAGCTAGAGAAAGTAGCTAGATTCCTAGTTCTAAAGATAACTAATAACTCTCTGTGATATTACCTAATGAATTAGACTGAAAAGATAGATTTAATTAGATTGAATTTAATGATTAATATAAAAGAGATCTAAAGTAAACTTTTAAAATCCTTCTAAAGATTTTTAATATTCTGGAGACTGAAAAAGATAATCTTCTAGACTAATAAGATTAGTAGATCTAGGAGATTAAATATTTTATTAAAAAATATAACTACTTTACTATATAAGTTTTATAATAGTAAATATATTTAAACTAGAATATTCCTATAGAGATAAAAAAACCTGTAAAGATTCTAGATCTTTCTCTATTTAATAATAGTATAGATCTAATTTATGAAAACTAGACTTGCTATATAATAAAAATTAAAAATTAATATTAATTAGTATAGTATTTTTATTATATATAAAGTATATATTACTAGTTGATATTAGAATATTACTAAAAAATATTTTATTTTATACTTTTATTCTGACGTTACTAATCCCTTTTTTAATTCGGACGATATACTTGAATATCTAAAGATTATTTTTATTAATTTTAATAAGATTTATAACGCCTGTTATTAGTACTAAGATTTATAAATAAAGACTAGAGATAAGTTTTATATTTTTATTTTAATTTTTTATTATCTTACCGTCGAAGCTGGAGTTAATAAAAGTATTTAAAAAAATAATTTCTATAGTAAATTTTCTATTAAATTTTAGGATCTTACTGTGTATAATTATAATAATAAAAACTTTAAGAAATTCGTGAAGTAATGCGCCAATTCTATAGATATAATTAAAGAATAAATTAAGAAATATATTAAAAGTAATTTTATAATAATTAAAAGTTATATAGAGTTCTATATATCCTATTCTTCTATTATTATTTTGAGTGTTATAAACACTTTCTCTAAACCTCTAATTTAAGTTTCTAGTATGGAATTAAAGATTAGAAAGATATTAATAAAAGATAGAAAGTATTTCTACTATAAGAAATCCAGCTATAGAAATAGAGAATATCTTAAAAAAAAATTATATAAATAAAGGTTCTGAAAATCCCTACAGAGAAACCTAAGTTAGTAAAAAATAATATTTAGAAAAAATCTTTATTTTAAATAAGTTAGAAGTTTAAGTAAATATAATAGACTTACAAGATCTACTAAAAAATAATAATAATAGTTTTATAATTATTATTCTATTCTCTAAAAATGGTATTGCTATTCTTGCTTATATATTTATTAATTCTAAAATTAATATTTATTTAGTAATAGATACTTAGTTTACTATTAAATTAATCTAATACTTTAAAATTTTAATATTATCTTTAAAGAAGATAATTCTAGTCATAAGTTTTAATAGAAAGTAAACTACTAATTTAATACATGTAATCTAATTAAATCTTATAATTAATAATTATTAATTTTTAAATATTTTTTTTCTTATAATAGACCTGGAAAGGTATGATACTATTCTTAAAAAAATATAGTTTATTAAATATAATATTTTACTAGATTATTAGAATTGCTGACTAATCTAGTTAAATTAGCTAATATTAAAAAATAAAATAAAAGCTAAATTTTTTATGAGTATTTTTTAAACTATCCTAGAGTGGTCTTTGGTGGATTATAAATATTAATAAAATATAATCTAAAGAAATTATAAGATGTAGTTAAAAGACGAATAACTAAAATTTTTATAATTATTATTAATTTTTTTCTGTATTAATTAAAGCAGCTTATATAAGATTTTAATAAAGATAGAATATAATTTAGTTAGAGAGAGTTACTAGTACTATTTTTTTTTAGAATTTTAAAACCTGAACTAAAGCCTACTTTAATTAGATTTTTTTATAGAGAGATAGCTTTTATTAGAATAACTAGGTTCTAATAATATTTAAAGAATTTAGAGATAGAGATTTTTATTACCTTAATACTATTAAGAAGGCTCTCGTAGAGAAACTAGAGACTTTATATATAAGTAAGAAAAATAAAATTAAAAAAATCTTTCCTAAATAATACTATAATTTAGTAAATATTTTAAAGAAAGAATTTAACACGCTATCTCCATTCTAGTATTATAATTATAAGATTTAGTTAGAGGGTAAGAATCCTTTAGATATTATTTTTTTTATAAGATAATAGTAGAAAAGTTGCAAGCCTCCCGTGATTATATTATAAAGAATCTAGATAAAAAATTTATTATATTAAGTTTTATATTTTTTATATCTTTTATTGTGATGGTCTGAAAGTCTAGAGGAGGTCTCTATTTTTATATAGATTATTAAAAATTAAATACTTTAATTAAAAAAAACTTGTATGTTCTAACCTACTGGGGTTAGGGGATCGCATATGCGGCGGAATTAGGGTGCGGGTAGTTTATATGGGAGAAAAGTCTTGGCATAGAGTACGGCGGAATTAATTTTTAGAGTGCGGTGCTCTCATGAA